GTAATAATTAGGAGCTCACCACAGACTGTCTAGAGCCGACTACGCTGTCGTCGCTCCATCTCGACACATGTTATGCCATAACATGCCAAGCCCTCCCCTGAACCAAACTCCATGCGGCAATCCACTAACCCGAAATCGCCTACCCCGGACATGTTATGCCATAACATGTCGCCAGACTAGTGATAGCCAACATACGGACGGCCTGAGTACCACGCTCGCCAAAGGAACGATTCGTGACATAAGGCTTGCTGTAAGTACAACACTTTATATTATCGATAAGAGGCCACTAAATTCCCAAGAGCATGTTCTCCGCCGACATTTCCTGGAAACACAATATAAGGGACGTCTGCCCATTTGGCAATATCCTGCTCGCTCGACTCCCAGAGTGGTATTCCCGGAGCTGCCTGACCAACCACGTTTGCCTTCTTCATTTGAAGGGCCTGAGTGGCAATATCGCTGCTCGTGATACCTCCCTACGGTAGAGTTAGCATATTTGGGACCTATTAGCTGGGTTTGCTATACCTTAGCAATGACATATTTCGGTCGGACGTTGACGCTTGCTGTAATTGAGCACAACAGATCACTAATAACTTTGCCCATACGCAAGCTCTTCTGAGCATCTTCATGGGTGATAAGCTGTCTGCTGGTGCTGACGACAACATCGAGCCCCTGTTGCAAAGCCTCCTCCATGGTCGACACTGTCTTTGCGACGAGCTTGGTCCTCTCGATCTCGGATGACTTCAGAACTTGTTGAACGTCAATCTGGATATGCTCGAGATGTTGGCGACAATTTTCAAGGAGATATGACAGCTGTATCGTGGTCTTGGGTACATAAGACCCTACAATGATCAATCCACCGAAAGGTCGGTTGCTGGTCCGCGGAGATAGGCTTTGTGGTGTGATTGGCGGTACAGGATCGATCCCCAGATATGCCGATACAAGACTGGCTCCACTCCGATACAGAAGGGACACATTGGTCTGTGCTTTTGCGGTGATGAAGGTCTTCATGTCGCTGTGGTGGAACACGTTGAGAATGATCACAGGGGGTGTCCGTGGTGATTCTTTTGAACGTCTTTTGATGTCCTCGAGTCGTGATGCCACGTGAGCAACGGCATCATCTCGTCGCAGGTCCTCGATGCTGATGCTGACAATCTCTGGAGGTGTTTGACCAGCCTGTTGAAACTTCTCTGCCACCCAGGCCCGCAGGTTACTGGACCGAAACCCGAAGGCTTTGTCGGCAGCAAAAGGAGTCATGGCCACCGGGACGAGATCATCACCTTCGCGAACATAATGCACATCATCCACCGTGACCCGACCGCCTTCAAAGAATGCTGGGGTCAGCACCCAAGCATCGAAAGGACCGACAATGTCATGCACCAGCTCAGGCTCCAAAGGGAAGTGGCCGCGAAGACAAGAATCTGATCGGGTGACTACCTCGACCTCGACGCCCACTTTGGCGATTCCGTCGTGTAGGTCGCGGAGGAGCTTGCCCAGTAAGACCTTTGCCTGCTCGCAAGTCAGCACAGGTCAATAATAGCTGGAACTGGTTTCAAGCTTTACCTCTACCTCGGGATATGCTCTGGAGTTGGTTAAGATGAAGAATCCTCGACCTCTCTTAGCGAGTTCTTCCTCCAGAACCAGCTTGTCGAAACTGGTCAGGACGGTGATGTCGTGTACTGTCTGTGTGCCGGTGGGATCGTCATCCAGTACAACGAGTGTCTTGAGATTGGCCCTGGACCCGGAGCCTAGTTGCCGAGGCTCGTCGAGATTAACCTTTGACAAGGGTAGCGAAGCTTCAACGGCCTCGTAGGACTTTGTTTCACCCTGTGACATCATCATGGGTGAATAGAACTGATCTCAAGAAGCTGACACTGATCGTGTAGCCTACCTGGGCACAACTCGCTTGGTCTCAAGGACATGGGAGAGTCACCAACATATCCATTACGAGCTGGTCAACATGCTGGTCAACGTATGCCCGTCACCTTCGACGGAGAGGGTGTTGCAGCTTCGGACCGCGGCTTGGAAAGATCAGCCACTTGACGGACGAGTGTAAGTTCTCCGGTAGCGTGTGTGGGGATCGAGACCACGACGGCATCTCCCCGTTCTCGTTTGTTTCCCCATCTTTCCATCCCCTCAGGGGTTGCCACATTAGCACTTCGGGGCGGCCTAAAACATATGCCTGGGTCATCAACCGGATAGATTGGGATGTATTAATGCTGTACAATCTCCACGAAGGGGCATCTGGACCGCAAAAGATATCTTAGAAAGTAATATGTCTATCGACAACTCGCTGGACAGGCTTCTCACAAGCCATGGAGGCCCAGTTACCAATGGACTCAACGCACGCTTCAGGAAAGCGCTGAAAGAATTTGCGGTATCGCAAAAACTGCAATACTCTGTATGTCGCACCACCATCGCATTCGTATAACAGGCCTCTGACCATGGCAGCAAGACAATATCGGCAACATTTATATCACCCGACCGGGTAGAGATCACGAACTCTCCAGCATTTGTCTAACATTCCCGCTTGACGAGCCCGACGAGCACCTCGCCTTCTCGGGTGCCTTTCAAGCCTTTTCACATTTCGAAAGCCATGGGCTTAAAACAGATCTGACTTTGCTGGGATGGACTTCAACTGATGGCAAGCTGGGAGGAAGGGACTTTTGGGATACATTTGTATTCAAGAAAGAGCCCGTTGGGCAGCAGGTAGCCCACCTTCAGCAGTTCGAGGGACTTCCTGATCCTTCGAACTTCTCATCCTCTGCGATGATTGAAATTCAGGAGTACACAGGCAGAGACTTGACCGTATCAGGATCGCCAGTCCTCGTTACTCGAGTCAAGAAGCTTGCTCCAGACCATTGCAAAATTGGCTCTTCTTCAAGAAAGGCATCTAGGGCTCCAGAAATCCTGATTCAAGGCGAAGGTGCCGAGGACTTAGCGCAGCGACTGATTCGAGATTATAGTGATTACATAGCCGCGCTGTTTGAGAATTTCGACTAAGAGATTTAAACAGATTGAAAATCAATTCCATGATCTATTAGTCGACGAGGTCCCTCCAATTCTTTCAGTACAGCGGCCTGGTCTTGAATTTAAAAAAAATCTTGGGAATGCAAAGAAAGTATTAGGGGCTCCCAACAAAATGGTAAAGGGTTTCAGTGACGCATCCCCGACACAATGAGGCTAGAGTACCGATCTACCAAACTCCGATTACGTTCCATGCTTGGCTCTCCGGGAGGATGCCGCCACAAGGATGCGGATTAACCGGGGGGATCATGTCATACTAAATGTTGACCAGGTACTTACTTGTTCTGCCAGGATTCGCGTCCGAGGAACTTTTCTACCCTCGTAGACAAGTTCATCAGTACGTCTACTCTCACTATGGCATCCAAGATCACCAGCTCAGGCTACATCGACTCCCCTAGCGGCCGGCTGTTCTTTGAACGAGAAGGAAGCCCTGAAGGGGCCTCTATCCTATTCATCCACGGTCTGGGCGGCACGACAAACGCCTATCAAATGCTTGTTCCCGAGCTGCAAGATTTTGATCTGGTGCGGTTTGACTGGGCCGGTCACGGTCGCAGCAGTGTCCCTTCGACGCCAACGAGTATAGAATCCTACGTGGAAGACTGTGAAGGTATGCTTCCATATACCTGACCAGAAACATTGAATGGCTTTCTGGACTATGGGCTAATTACAACGTCAGCCGTTATCAATTCCCTCAAGCTCACCCGAGTCATCGCCGTTGGGCATTCGCTGGGAGGACTGATTGCACTTCATCTTGCAAGTAAACAGCCTCAGCTGATCTCCAGCCTGGTGCTTTTTGGCCCGGTGCGTCCACCTCCTCCGGCCGGCCAAACTGGATTGAAGGCTCGTGGATCTCTCGTCCGCAAAGATGGCATGGTCGCTGTAGCAGACACAGTGGTTGCGAATGCCTTTGCAGCCGAGTCATATGTGTCTCGCAGGGCACAGGTGACATTGGCGAGAGAGTTGTTGACAAGGCAGGATCCCGAAGGATATGCGCTGGCGGTCGAAGCTCTTGCGGCCAGTTCATTGCCAGCCTGGGAGCCACTACGTGGGAAGCGGATCCTCATATTGAGCGGATCAGAGGACAAAGTCTCGACGGTGGAAGCTGGGCAAGGCTCGGTGAAAGATATTGGAAGCGAAGCCGAGCAAAAGGTGCTTCAAGGTGTGGGCCACTGGCATATGCTCGAGGATGCAACAGCCTCAGTCCAGGCCATCCGGGAAATAGCATCCCTAGGGTAGCAAGCTAAGATCAAAAGCCGGTATGACTCGCTCGGATTAGAAATGGACAGATGCAAACCAAGAGTCTAAAATATCAATTGTGAAACTCCATATCAGGACGATTGGTACTGGTCATGTCTAGCCACGAATATATATAGGTTCCGGCCAAATCCTATCAAAGTGCATGGAGATCTAGGCTATGGATGTTGTTCGGCATCTTAGACTAAATCAGTGCCCATTAACACCATCTGTCCCATTTGCGCCGTTGGACTTGTCCAATGTAAAGTCTTCGCCTTTGAAAGGTGGTAGACCTGCCGTGACACGCATACCAGCCGCACAGGAACTCCAATCCAGAGATTCACCACCGATTGCCTTGGCCGTTGTCAAATGATTCCACGCCTGGTCAATAATCGGGGTTGGCGTAGATGTTTCTGCCCCCAGTCTTCGGATATAGGCCGCATCTTTCATGCCTCCCGGGATCGTGAATCCGGTCTTGCCACTGAAAGCGCCATCGCGGATCTTCTTGCCGTAGTTGACCCAGGCAGCGGCAGGGAACCATGCTTCTGTACGCAGAAAAGATGTTAGATATACAAGGAAGAGAAGAGCGTGGACAGAGTAAGGAGGAGGGTTCGCGTACGAATAAACTCATAGAACAGTCCGGCATCAAAGCCAGTCTTTTCCGCCAGCGTGAAGCTTTCCGAAAGCAGTTCGATCGTGCCCAAGATGCAGTTGTTGCCCAGAATCTTCAATAATGCGCCTTTGCTGGCGTCACTCCCACAGTCAATTGTCGCCTTGCCAATGGTTGGCACAATGTATTGCTTGAGTTTACTCCGAGCGGTTTCGTCTCCTGCCAATGCCACCAGGAGCCCGGCACTTTTCGCCACAGAGGGAGGACCAAAGACGGGACAGGACAGAAACGAGGAGCCCTGAGCGAGGGCTTCCTGCTGCAGAGTGGCTGATGTGGTGGGAAAGAGGGTGGAATGGTCGACCAAGATGAGACCTTTCTTTCCCGCGGCCAGAACTTGCCTGAAGACGGACAAGGCGACGTCGTCGTTGGCTAGACAGGCATGGATGATGTCGCAGCGTTCGACCAGGTCTTCAATTGTGTCTGCAATCTCGCAGTAGCTCTCCTTGAGCATATGCTCGATTTTGCCGCGTGTTCGATTCCACAGCTGGACCTTGGGCCATTCCTGTTTTTCGGCGTAACAGGCGAGGTTGTGGCTCATCTGAGAGCCCATATTCCCAAGGCCAATAAAGCCGAATGTTGTGGCTGTCTGCGCCATGTTTAACTGTTTCTGGGTTGTGAAAAGCAGGTCGGTACACAGCTCCAAGAAACAGCAGGAAGTTGAAGGGAACAAAGTCAGTCGGGACCAAAATTCAACGATTTATGACCTCTACCGGCAGTCCTGGAGGCTAGTCGAATGTTCAATCTTTTGTCGAAGGGTCCAGACTACCTTCCCACGACGAGGGACTGCGGGTCACGGCATCTCTCCGCGATAGTCGCCACCCCAGTTCCCCAGAAGAAACAAGCAAGGGTCGAGCGGGGTCTACCGAGTCGGGGTCCCCACAATGTCCACTCAGTTGGTTCCAATCCCCGAACCATTCTCACGGCATCTGCCCCCCGCTTGCTACGGCTCGAACACCATGTGTCAGGCGATGATGCCTACTCCTACAGGCTCTGCTTTACTGGTGGCTGCTGAATATCATTTATAACTGCCGTCTTTCGAGGCTGGCTCCTCTGGTGTACCATCCTACAAACCTTTTTCAATCGAACACAATGGTATCCAACGGCACAAACGGCACAAACGGTACCAATGGTCATACCAATGGTCATACCGATGGCTATTCCGATGGCTACATTGTGGACCAGAAAGATATCAGCCCCGTCAATGGTCTCCCCTTCTACAAGCCAATTCCTGCAGACATCACGATCAACAACCACAAGGACGGCGACAAGGGCAAGATCTTGTTCAAAAATGTCAACATCTTCGACTCAACCGGAGCCGACCTTTATCCCGGAGACGTTTTGATCGAAGGGGAACGTATTATGCAGGTCGGAAAATTCGAATTCACCCCTGACAATGACACGCTGGTTATCGACGGCAAGGGCACAAAAACCATCATGTCAGGTCTCGTGGATGCACACAGTGAGTAAACCTCTTTGAGCCTGGCAGGGCCTGAACTGACAGTCTACCCACAGCTCACCTTAGTTGGAACAATTCTCCCACTCTGGATGGTTTGACCAGTCTTCCAATCGAAGAGCACGTTCTGCATACGGCCAATTCTGCAAAGACTTATCTTGAGTATGTCCTCCTTGTTGCCGCTCGGCGTGGGTGCTCTTTTCTGACAGAAGTTTAGTTGTGGATACACGATGTGCTTCGGTGCCGCTGCAGCACGTAAGTCTGAACCAACATCCCCATCCCCCATGCCTTTTTGTTATACAATCCTCTAACCACGATTTGGCTACAGAGGTTCGACTTGATCTCGTCGTCAAGAACGCCATCAAAGAAGGCATGATCCCCGGGCCGCGCACTTTGTCCAACTGTCAAGAAATCACCACCACCGGAGGGGCCATTGTCCCCAGCATCAGCAAGTTTGCAGACGGTGAAGACGCAATGCGCAAGGTGGTCCGAGAGTTCATCGCCTATGGGGTCGACAACATCAAACTGAGCATGACGGGAGACTATGTCCACCCAACCATGGGCTCCACCGAGACTTACTTCACCCTCAGAGAAACCAAGGCAGCCGTGGAAGAAGCTCATAATCGCGGGAAGCGGATATGTGGCCACTGCCGCTCCAAAGAATCAGTCAAGCTGGCCTGCCTCTCTGGAATCGATGTTATCTACCATGCAAGCTTTACCGACGAAGAGGGCTTAGACATGCTGGAGAAGCTCAAGGATCGAGTGTTTGTTGCTCCTGCGATCAACTTCCCGTACACCTCATGTACCGGTGAAGCGATCCCATACGGTCTAACCCCGGAGATGGCTGCAAAGAAAGGGTTGAAGCACGAGGTCGACATGGCTTGCAAGGCCATGTCGGAGTTGCGAAAGCGTGGGGTGAGAGTGTTGCCGGGTGGTGACTACGGCTTTGCTTGGGCTCCTCATGGTACCTATGCTCGAGATCTTGCGCACTTTGTCAATTTGTTTGGCTACACACCCAAGGAGAGCTTGATCGCCGCAACGGCTTGGGGAGGTGAGATCATGGGCCACCCCGAGGAACTTGGAAAGGTTCAACCAGGATACTATGCAGACCTCATTCTGGTGGACGGGAATCCACTGGAAGATATTGAGATCTTCCAGGATACGTCAAAGCTACATGTCATCACCCTCAACGGTCACATACACAAGAATGTCGCTGTGGCAGGCGCCGACGGTCAGAGCTTGACGGCAGAGGGCGCCCCGTCCAAGCGAACCATTTACACCAATCTTCCACTGGTACCCGAGAAGGAGCAGAGGGAGCTTTCTCAGACGGCAATGAAAGAAGGGATTGGTATCGATCCACGGGCATTGTAATCTCCAGTTTGTAACTAGGCTTTAGCAAGTATTTCGAGATCCTGAGAATCTTCCTTGAGACTATGGGTTTGCATCGATAACAAAGCACATGATATGGTGACTAGTACGGCAAAAGAACGTAACAAGTCACCGGGATAAGTCTGGAAGCTTTCGAGTAAAATATACGTCGACTTCCAAAGTTGTCTTTGCTTCAAATTGAACTTCGCTCCTTTGCGTGGACAATCAATGTTTGTCCACAAGGGGCAGCCAACCAAAGCTCATGCATCTTCATTTTCTCATCGTCGCGATCAATAAGAGTGAGACTGAAGCGGTGGAAGAGACTTGCCAATATGATTCTCAGTTCCATGTAAGCAAGATGGATCCCGATGCACTTTCGAGGCCCCTCGGCTCCGAACGGGATGTACATGCGACGCATTTCAGGCGTTTCCGAAAACCAACGATCTGGCTTGAACTTATCAGGCTGAGGAAACGTGACCGGATCTCGATGGGCGCTGTAAGCCTGAACACTGACGGTCGTACCTCCAGGGAAGTAATAATCACCAATTTGGGCTCCCGGGTGTGGTACGTAGCGTGGAGTCGATCCTGGGACCGCCGTATCAATCCTGAGACCCTCTTTGATAATGGCATTGAGCATAGGCAAGTGTTCGAGGTCGGCATGAAGGGGCACGGCTGTCTTGTCATAGCCGACTAGAGAGCTATCCAGCTCTACAATGAGCCTGTCGAGGATGTGGGGACTTGTCAACAGGCGCCAAACAATCCAGGTCAAGGAGGACGATGTCGTGTGTGAGCCGGCCAGGATCAGCCCCGTGGCTTCAATGTTGAGCTGTTCTTCCGGAAGTGACCGACCGTCTTCGTCTTGGGCATCCATCAGCTTGCGAAGCATGTCTTTCGCCCGTTTCTTGGTCGGATTCTCCTTGTACTCGCGCACAATCTTGATGCCCTTTTGCATTGACCGAATGCTGCAGGCTTCAGCGTCCCGAACCCATTTCAGGGGTGCCCAGGCAGCATAACGGTTGAGCCAGCCAAAGTGGTAGCGTACGGGCTCGATCTCGAGCGACTGGTACATGTCCTGGATATAGGTGCTATTGACGCCTTCCTCCAACATGTTGAAGGTCATACCAAACGAAAGGTCGCAGATGACGTCCATGGCCAGATAGTGAAACCAATCGTAGAGATTGCTGGGCTTGTTGTGACAGCCTTGAGCGGCAATCAAGTTCATGCATCGAGATACATGCTCCGATATCACGAGCTCGTAGTCCTTCATGGTTGACATTGAAAAGAGATGTGCCATAAGTCTTCTTCGAGCCATGTGCTGTTTTTGGTTGGACATGGTGAACAGCTCTGGAACTCCTCGAAGCTGGTATGTATAGAACTCGGTCTTTACGAACTTTGAGCCGGCACCGTATATGGGCACAATGGCTTCTGAATCGACTGTAGAAACCTCTTTCGGCCCAATTCTGACGCATTTGCCATATTGTACGTGTAGCTTGTGGATGGTCATGGCACGCTCTCCACAGACGGTCTTGTAGACCATCCACCATTTAGTGTAGGCGGCAAACCATGGCCCAGGTATCTCCTTGAGCGGCGAAAAGTACCATGGTTCTAGCAGCAAATAAAGAATGTACAGGCCGGTCAAAGGGGGTAGCCAGTGCAGCAGGACCGACAGTCCTTCAACGAACAATTCTTCACGCATTATTGCTTGACGTGACAACTCGAGATTACTTGCATCTTCCAGGTCTGTGTAGCAAGTGTCGTACTGTAGCAGCAATCGCTCTCAACGGCCAGAGCATGATGACACTGATGGGAAGATACCGATATTGCAGCCTGGCAACCCGTCTGAGATGCGATTGACCATGGTATGGATGGTGCGTAAGAGAAGCTGTCATTGTCCCCAGAATCTTTGCCCTGCACAGCAGTGAGTCGTCCGGGGAGATGCCAGACGACACCGATAGCATCGTCAACCGCCCCGGACTTTACTGTTCAATTGACTTTCACTTGATGGCTGCATGCCTAGGTACGTGCTTGGGATTTGCGGGGATAGAAGCAAAGGAAGTGGAGGATGACGCGGAGGTGGAGATGGAAGTGGGCTGTCACTCCACCGGGAGACATCAAATCAACTTCCCCGTGATTGGAAATCTAGACGATGGCACGGTCCCGACTCCCTCGGTCTGGCGAGGTCTCTAAGGATGAACCAACCACTAACCTTCACGTAGCGGCACAACATGGGGCGAATCCCGACGAGGCCTCTGACCACTTCGGTCAAAGTTCAAAGGTCGACGGCATCTCGCCGACCAACCCACTAATGTAGGTGTTTTGCGTGTTTCTCTGAGAGACCTTGGGCTTTTCGGCGAGCCCAGGGAAAGGCTGCCTCCCCAGATTTTGACCCCGTACTCCTCTATGTCTATATTGAGACAGATATAAGCTGGGGAGGTCTCCCTAGTCAAGCGTCGCAACCAACTATCAGCGTCAACATCATGGCAAGTGACAAACCCCAGGCCGAGGCTATGGCCGTGCACCACGAGGATATCATCCATCACAACGTGGTTGGCGAGGAGCGACTTGATCCTCACATTCGCGATGATCATGGTGACCCCCATCGCGCGGCGCTGGAAGACATTGACGGCACCAAAAAGGTGACCAAGTCGACCTGGGCCGCCGTCTTCTTCCTGGGCTTCACCTTCCAGCCTGCCCTAACCTTCACCATCTTGTGTTGTTTCCCAATCCTGGTCGGTCTTTTCGTCTGCTGATTGATTTTCGTGCTGATGTCGCGGAAGGGTCCTATCTCTCTGGAACTCCAGGGCAACACCAACAACGCCAACTGGATGGCGTCTGGATGGTCGTTGGCCGGCAGTGTGTCCTTTGCCATTGCCGGTCAGCTGTCCGACTACTTTGGCCGACGATATATTCTTCTCTTCGGCCAGGCTCTGTTGATTTTGGGGCATCTAGTGGGAGCGACCGCATATAGTGTCAATCAAGGGATTGCAGCCATGGTCTTGCTCGGCTTCGGTACCGGTATGAACTCTCTGCAGCAAATTAAGACTTTTGCAGGCCAGATCTGATATGTGGTCCAGGTACAACGTTCGTGCTCTATCCTGGAATATCCGAGCTCCTCCCCAACAAACACCGTTCGCTCGGTTTGGCCTGGACAGAAATGAACATCCTACCATTCACCACCTTTGGGCCGTTGATTGCTCGCGCCCTTTTGAAAAATGCCACTTGGAGATGGGTGTATATCCTCGGTGTCATCACCGCAGTCATCTCATTCGTTGGCACAGCCATCTTTTATATCCCACCCACCAAACCCTTGAGAGACATCACACGTCGGCAACTGATGGCAGAGCTGGACTACGTGGGTATCGTTCTCTACACGGCTGGGCTGACGCTTCTCCTCTTCGGCCTGGGCAGGGGTGGTGTCAGTGCTCCTTGGAAGTCGGCCCAAGTTCTCGTCCCTCTCATCCTCGGTGCCGTCGTGTTCTCGCTCACCTTCTTCTGGGACTTTTACGGGCCAGTCAAGCGGCCACTGTTTCCCTTACGCTTGTTCAGGAAAATGAGAGACTACACTTCCCTCCTGGTCATCATTTTTGTGACGGGCTTGGTCTACTTCAGTATGACTGCCCTAATTCCGACCCAGATCAGCGACATGTTCACCAGCGATCCCATCCGGGCGGGTCTGTATAACATCCCCGGTGGCTTTGGTGGAGCAGCCGGTGGAGCCATCATCGGATCCTTCATGGCCAAAATCAAGCACGTTCATCTCCAGTTGGTGTTTGGCATAGCCATGCAGACTCTGTTTGCTGGACTGTTTGCCTTGGCCACGCCGGATCGACTGGGAATGACGATTGCTTTCCAACTCCTGGCTAACATCCCTTTCTCCTGGATCACCCTCATTTGCTACGTGACAGCCTCACTGAATGTGCCTCAGCGAGATCTGGGCTTGGCCCTGGGGTTGATCGGGACCTTCAGGTTTCTCGGCGGCGCCATAGGGACGACGGTAAGATGATTCATGTTCATATCGAAGTATATTGGCCACTGACCGATGACAGATTTTCGACACGATCCTCAACAACAAGGCACAGACGGACATTCCCCCCCGAGTGCTTCAGTTTGTCGAGCCACTCCATTTTCCGGCGTCCAAGATCCCGGGACTCGTCACGGCCCTGTCGGATCAAGATGCGTCGGCGTTGTCCACCTACTCACAGGCCGTGATCGACGCCGGAGTTCAAGGTATGCGATGGGGATACTCGGATGCTTATCGCATCACTTGGATCGCGAGCATTCCATTCGGCATCATTGCCACCTTGATAGCAGTGGGGGTCCCTGACGTCTCTCCTTACTTCACCTCCCATACCGCGGTGACCATGGAAAAGGAGAGATTAGATGGACGACACCAGCATGTCGATGTTGAAGGTGAACAGAAAGGAATGGCCTTGGTCTAGGAGTGATACGAGCAAGTCTAACTTGGCCAAGCTTGGTTGAGAATGTACCTGAGAGATGCTCATGATCGGAATCATCGAGGGATTGGATGAAGAAAGAGTTAGACTTGACCGTTATAGTAGTACCACTTTCTATGTAAAATCTCGGTGTTGTTCTGTAAGAATGCCATGAATAACAGGCATGAAGAAGCTGGTGTACGTTAAGTACACCAAGTGATCTGCAAGAATAAGCATGAAGTAATTACTTTCCATTAACGTCGGGCTGGTCCATTCGTTATTTGATGATTGTAAATAAGATGGACTCGGAAATATCTTGTCCTTGTATCACCTTGTATCCATCTACTTGTAGACTGTACATAGCCCCAACAATCTGTACAAGGCTATCCCGGGAATTCCAGATCATAGGCCAAAGTTTCGGTGCACAGTCTCTCTCGGACTCGATGAACCCTGTAGCAACAGCAGTTAATTCTAAGGTTCTTTGAATTGACATGGGCAGGATTCCCTCACTCCAAATGCGCTGGATGCTCAGCAAACACTTTCACGTCGCCGGCCTTCTCCAGGATTGCAATCAGGCCCATGTTATACCCCTGGCTACGGTGTGCAGTAGACGGCAGAGGAGTATTGGCCTCATACTTGACCAGCCCAGGGATCTTTCCCACCATGCCCCGGGCGAGGGTTTCCCATTCACCCAGCTGTTCAGGGGTTGTGCCTGGCTTTAGCTTGAAGAGAACTTTGAGAGCAGAACACTGTTAGACTTGACCTTCCTCCGTACGGGGCGAAACATGGGAGGGCTATGAAGATGACAGCTTACCGATGTGATAGATGGGCATGTTGGACGACGGGGTTCGTATGTGTGCTTTCCAGACACAGCAGGCACATCATCCATGGCGATGCTCAAAAGAATAAAAGGTTGAATGTCGCAGCATGTCTCAATCGCGAAATTCCATAGTCCCCACGCGCGGCATGTCTCCGTGCATGGGTCCATGCATGTCTCCCAAAGACCCCGGAATTTGCGCCCGCCCGCCACCCCCCCCCCCCCCCCCCCCCCCCCCCCCCCCCCGCATTTCCCGAGCAAGACTGCGGGGGTGACGTGGTGCTGCCGACAGCCGATACATGGCCTATAGAGTTTACTGCGCCTAGTGAACCTAGTGAACCATCCTCGCCCCCTAAGGAGCCTCCGCTGGCCCTCGCTGTCTTCCGTGGAAGTCAGTCTCCATGCTTCAACTCTCCGTCTCCGTTGGTTCTCGCCAACTCGCCGACTTCGACTCCCATGATTACACGGCATCTGTCGCTTCTCTAGAGTTTGCGTCTCGGCCCTTTGCTGTGCAACAAGCAATGGTACCATGGCTGGCCAACCCGAGCAAGTCCCCCCAGTAAACAGCGGCAGCTCCGAGCCCGCGGCGTCTTTGCGCAATGCCAGGAAGCAGCAAAGAATCAACAAACAGCGTTATGGCTTTGCATGCTCCAATTGCCGGAAGCGTAAGTCCAAATGCAACGGTGCATTTCCAGCCTGCGAGAAATGTCTGTCCAGTCAACATGACTGCCACTACGACAAGTAAGAAAAAGTCCCACACGCGTTGGCGTCCACTTTAGGTTGCCCTGACAATGTATCAGAGGTCCATCGGTGGCTTATGCTGCCCATCTTCAACATCAGCTTGGCGTGTACCGGACTCAATTCGAGCTACTGCAGCAAGCGACTGAGAGCGAACGAGATAACATCTTGCAAGAAGCCATAGCTTCCGAAGCATTCACGGCCAAGAAGCATAGGTTTATCGATGCCGAACAGGTCCGTAGGACTGAGACGAGTCCGCCAGACACCCCGGTCCACGAAGGTCACGATGAGAGATCCAATTTCCAGCAAGATGAGACCATGGACGAGACTTCGCTGGGGGCCGATGGTGGAGTCGTCTTCTACGGAGAGACGAGCCTCTATCACATCGAGCCCCGAGGCGATGGCACCGAAGACCAGGGAGAGACGATGCCAAACAGGTCTGATCAAGGGGAAGTATTAGAGCAGCAAGCCTCGACGACCGCCACCACCTACTCAATGCCCGAGAGCATCCTCAGTGACCAACAAGAGAGTCTCAGTTCCTTTCTGGCCGATATCCCACCAGATCTGTTGACCGAATTGCTGAATGTGTACTGGTGCTGGCCCCATCATTTACACTGCGTTCTTTGCAAAAAGCTCTTTCTTCGTATGATCCAAGAACCCTCCCAACCCAGAGCGTCGCTGACTAGATTAGGGGACTTGCAATCATCCGGTCCATGTATATCGCCATTTCTGTTGAGTGCCGTTCTGGCCCAGGCGGCGAGATACTCCACCAGGGCAGATGTCACAGAGGTAGGAGACCGGTTTGCCAAAAAAGCACTGCAACTCCTGGTGACAGAAATCGATCGCGGAAGCTCCATTCCAACCATCCAGGGTCTCTTGATCTACTCTGCACGCGAATGTGCCTGTGGAAGGACCTCGCAGGGCTGGTTATACAGTGGCATGGCTTTTCGAATGATGCGAGATCTTGGTCTTCACATCCCTCCACAGCGACTGGGGTCTCTTGCCCGACACTTCACGGAGGAGGATCTCGCTCTTCGACAGCAGGTCTTCTGGAGCTGCTACACCTGGGACAAGACAATGAGTCTATGCCTTGGACGTGCCCCAATCATCCATGATATCATGAAACTCCCAACTCCCGACACGCTCCTTGATGGAAACGATGCCGACGAAGAGATTTGGCGGCCAGTCATCAGACAGGAGTGCCCATCCGACAGCCTTTTCCGGCAGAAGGCCTTGAGCTGTACACGTTTCTCTGCGTATTGCGAGCTTTGCATGATCATCGACGGCATCCTCGGAGAGCTGTACTCGAAACCGCGGCGAAGTCGCCATGTTCACCTTCTCACATACCTGGATGACACCCTCTTGAAGCTCGAGGGGTGGTCCTCGCACCTGGCCCCCGAGCTTTTTGTGGCGAGCAGTGCCAGAGCGACTCTTTGCCCGCCAGTGCACATCCTCTTACTCAACCTTCTTTACTATGCGACCGCAATCCTCCTCTGTCGCCCTTATCGAAGCATCTCATCCAAGGCGAAACGGAAGTGCACCGAAGCAGCCTGTATGATTGATACTTTGTTTACTCTGCACATTCGGCGCTTTGGCTTCCGTTCCATCACCTATCTTCAGACATATACCATGTTTGTTGCCTGCACCGTCAACATCTTGGATTTCAGAGAGAATCAGCCGCTCCCCGATGCCAACGAAGTGGACCTGAACCTGGCACAGGAATCTAGTGCACGCCTGGACTTTGGCTTGGAGGTCCTCAAGCAGGCGGTCAGCACACCGTCCGCGGCTCGCTGCGCAGCCATCGTGATGCAACTACTGGAGAGGCCGAATGCCACGAAACCACGACAGCAGAGTCTTGTGGGGCAGACCCTACTCACGTCGGAGACAGGACATGGAAGCCACGGCATGTCGCACGATCATCACCTTGGCAGTGGTGGGCCTGGAAATACGGACAAGAGCTGCGACGGTGACGGCGACGTGAACGCAAATCCAGTCTTTGTCACCAGTTGGGGACGCAACTATCGACCGTCTGCGGATGGACCTCAAGGTGGTGGTTCTCAGGATGATCAAACATCGGAAATGCCCTTTGACATGGGGACCGGCGGTGGCCAGTCTTTGCTGCCTCAGCATCAACAGAACGCGGCATCCAAAAGTTCCGCCCCATATGCCAACAACGTGTTTGCCACGAATGACGAGCTTGGATATAGTAGTATTGACACGCCTCTACGCTGGCTGGGGGACAATCTACGAGATGATGGAAGTTGGATGTTGATGGACATCAATCTCGACTACCTCCCCATGTCCTTTCTCCAGCCCTGAGGATGTGATGAATAAATATAATACCTTCTTGACCTTAGGAGCGAAATTGGCCATGCAAGTCCGGCCCAGTTCAGAACGTTTCTAGTTGACATGACCAACCGGATTCCCAATCGTGACGAAGACCGAAGAAAATTGGTAAGATGAAGAATTAAGGAGTCTCTCCAACCAATAGAATCATTATATACTCTCTTTCTTCCTTTCTTCGTATCCTAGATAGCTACAGCTTGGACTGTTCCCATGGAGCCCAGGACTCACCGCTTGGGACCTCTTCTGCTACCATCATCACAGACGATTACATCGTTTGGGTACCTCCTACCATTCGGGAACTTCCACTTTGTGCTAACCTCTTCAGTTGCTGTTCCTTCAAAGCAATCGGCAATGTACCGCCCTAGAATTGGTAGAAACTTGAACGCACTAGACGGAATATAATGACTAGAGACTCCTGGCGTCATCTGTTATCGAAGGGTAAGACTTACTGTCCAGAACCACCGGTTGCAATGAATAGGCCATCTATGGAAGGATGCGTGTCAACCACAAAATCACCTTGTGGTGTGTCGGTATACCAGCACTGACGACCCTTCTGCCATTTTCGACGACTGAATTGCGGAACTATTTGGCGCAGTCCTTCTCGTAAGGCTTCATCGGCGTCTTGGGGGAGAAAAGAGGAAGGTTGATTGTTGGCATCGCGTTTCGGCCCAGATATATCGGCATTCGTGAGGTCTAACAGCGATCTGGTCGCGTAGCCATGACTGTGTCGGCCGACCTTGAGCCCATTGATACAGCAAGCGCTAACAACCCGCAAATGTTACGGTCAGGTCCATATCAATCCACAAGATTTATGTCATTGCCGCTCTCATCAATACGTGCAGAATCGGAGTTATCTCGGAGTGTCCCGTTTGAGACCTTGTGCGTGAGGCCGTTGGTCTTATCACTTGAGGAGCCGTTTGCATTCTCGCTCGACGAAGCGTCCTTGCCCAGAACGGATTTCTTCCACGAATCAGGATCGATCTCGTCTCCAAAATCGAAAAGGCGGTTCTTCGATACGATGCGCATGAGACAGCCAAACGTTGTGTCGCGAAACTGGGTGGCCATCTTGGGAATTGGTGACGAGACAGGAGCGGAGATATAGTACAACAAGAAGGACATGACTACTTGTGCTGCGGTGCTCAAATCGGTCGAGACATAAGATATCAGGCACGATCTTGAAAGACAAGATTCCTGGGTCACCTTGGCTCAGTGGTCGTCTTTGACAATGGGGAAGAATTGCCCGGGGCTGTTGCTGATATTTGTTTATTCGCTAGATGGTGTCAAGGCTGTGCAATTAACACAAGGCTCGGTTTATTAAAATGGTCACGTCCGGTCAAAACCAACACCTATCGCTTTTATTTCAGGTACTGAAATCAGCTCAGCTATTCCATACCACTGAGAAGCTTTATGCAACTGATTGTACCCACCAGGGATTTCATGACATTTACTATACACTTTGAAAGGGACTGATCTTTCAGACTGGGACACAGTCAACATGATCAGAAGAAACTGTTAACTCTAGTTAGCAGGTGGCTCAATTCACTTTGGGTATGTGAGCTTTCGAACCTTGATGACTCCAATCGATCCATGTGGTACCAGGAGAATTATCCCTGATGGCCCAGACATGTCGCAAACTCGATACCAGCTTCGTTTCTTGATTGAACCAGTATCCCGTGGCAGGAAGGCGGCTGAGGCGATTTGCAATCTGCTCTCTTTTTCCTACATCAACGGCTTCGCATCCAGCCACGTAAAGGGGAAACAAGATGTTGTTCGAACTTTGTGACTCTGGACTGATCTGTTCAGTCTGATCACAAATAATGTCAACATGACGCCGAACGAATGGAGTTGACCAAGGGAGGTCGCGGAGTCTGGTGTAAAAGAGCAAAACGGTGGCTGAATGCATGGCCTCATTCAGTAGCAGAAGGTCGGGCAAGTCGTTCCACAGAGATGAGCATGCTTTGAGGTCTTCGTTTCGGGCAAGCAGTAGCTCTTCTTCAAGCTCGTCGATCTGTTTTTCCAGATATTCATCCGGGGTTGAAAATCCTAGCTTTTTGGCAGTCTGTCGGAGTCTGGTGAGTCTGCCTAGCCTCAACATTGGGTTGATCCACCGTGTTGAAAAAGTGTATAAGGGATTGATGATCCATGATTTGAAGGTGCGAGAAATGGATGCTTGTTGTTCCCGCTCTTGAAATTCGATTGACCGATGTATGTAGTCGTCAGACATCTCCACAGATTGCAGCAGGGAGAAGTGTGCACAAATATCACACCATCGCAGCAATGCCATTACAACCTCAAAGTACTCGTCCTCGATGACATTGTTTCGAGTCTCTTGGCCAAGCATATAAGCTGCTGTGCTTCGGGCGAGTTGAAGCATACTTGTTGACCATTGTGGGTCGGAGAGGAACAGGAGAATGGCAGTAGCGATTATTTGCAGCAAGCTGTGAGTATTTGTCGGTAGCACTCTGTGTTCCGAGCAAAGAGCCTGAGATGCCAAGCGACCAAGGTTCGATGAAACCACACGCAAAGCAGGCGTTTGTGTCTTTGTTCCCTGCAAGAATGCCGACAAACCCATGGCAGCAAGCCTCAAAGGTTTAGACTGAAAGGCCATGGAACCGAACACCTTTGTAAAGGGTTCAGGAGGTGCGCCGTCAATGTCAACCTTGTGGGGATCCCAGCACAAAAACATTTTGATGCCATGCGCAACAAAATATGACCATAGAAACTTGTTCCTATGTGAATCCAGAATATCATTGGGTAGAGGAGGAGGGTTGGCTACCAGCGACGTTCGGAACTCTGGGAAAAATTTGTCGGAATGAGCCTGCTCGAAGGTGGTGACCTGAGATGTTGGAGATTCTTGCTGATAATCTTGATCATTTTCAAGATCTTCGACAATTCCTATTGGCTGTTTTTGAGCCTCGACTCCGAAGATTGGTTCAGTCACCGGATCGTACGAAGGCCAGCTGCCATATTCATGGCTCCCCGAGGAGGCTTCCAACACGACATCAGGAACAAAGACTGGTGTGTAAGATGTGGCAGAGCTTAATGATGGAGACAACTGAGGGTTGACAAGATCGGTCAGGTTGCTTTCGGATTTCGGAGAGAACGAGAGTACTGAAGTCGTCGCGAAGTCTTCGAGTTTAATCAAGCCTTGTAGATTGTTGTTTGGGCTTTTGGACCGGCGCCCGGAGAGGCCTTTCCATTGTTTGAATATACGTGGTTGACAAACACGGTTATGCTGTCGACAAAGAGAACAAGCTGGCCGCTTCTCATCGCACTGAAAAGTCAGTCCACGATGCGGATTTGTCGGTTCCGGAACCTCCTCACCTTCCGCTTTCTCCGTACGCACTCAGTACAAGCGCCTTGACCACGATGATGTTTGCCAGCGGGTGGCATATTAGATTTGGGGCGTAACAAGAAACATACCCTGTCTAACAAGATGTCGAGCCTGATGATGAGGAGATGAAAAACACATCTAAGCACACTGATAAGAACTAGCCAGGCTGACCAATCAGACGTCACCTGGAGATAGTGCAGGCAATTTGCCACCGTTATCCGGCGAGACCGGATAGCGTTTATCTGTTGGGGACCCATCGTATTGCGAATACCACGATCACATTCCTGACTACACGCGCTGGATAGCATCCGACTTACCCCTATTTCAAGACATACATTTCCTACAAGCCAACATTTGATCTAGACCTTAACTGTCAAAAACTATTCTGGGCCCGGCATAATGCTTGCCGGCATAAATCAACCAGTTTACCCCGGCCAATATGGCTGTTCCACCCAGGACAGCAACGGCATAGTCTGTATATCGTTAGAGATGACAAACCAAAGTCGGGAAATCAACTTACTCATGCTTGAGCCAGTGACAGGAAGCGCTGGGGGAAAGTCATAAAATATGATCTCCACAATGGCAGTCACAACTGTCAAGATGTTGACAGTATAACCCAGCCAGGTTGGAAGCTTGAAGGCTCGTTGAGGAGGAAGGACGGCGGAGGATCGTCGTCGGAAGAGTAGGAGCGCAGCTGGCATTGCGAAAGAAAAGACCTGAAGGATGATGCTTGTGCCGATGATCGCGTTAAACGCGATGACGGAGCCCAGGTAGATGCATCCGACCACGAGCACCACAAATGCATTGGCAAGAAGTGCCCATACAGGGACCTCCAAAGTCGGATGGATTCTGGACAGATATTTCGAGAAAACGATGCCTTTATCATTTGCCAATGCCCAAGTCATCCTTGATGCAGTCTGCTGTATGGCATTGATGGCGAAGAGCAACACCCCTAATGTGGCAACCAGGAATATGGTCGCGGCGGTGTCGTTCTTGATCGCTTGTCGCCAAAGGGGATATATAGGCAGACTGTAGAAAGTCAGCCTTGCCTATCACCAAGTTTGAATATATGGCAACCTTACCTATCGTTTATCAATACGTCAAAGTCCGTGATCCCATAGCACATTGCAATGGCGAAGACAAATCCTGTGACAAATCCAATGACGGTTGTTGTGATCAACGCCTTTGGCACTGTCCGTTCTGGCTGGAGGCATTCATCGGCGAGATGCAACGCACCGTCGAGACCGAGAAACATGGAAGCTGGAGTGACGAGGCCAGTGAGAAATGCGACGCCACCATCCCATCCAGTGTTGTTTTCAAAATTGTCCCAAACAAACGACGATGAGGCTTTGGTGGATCGGGCGAGGCAGGTGATGGATACCGTGATGAAAGTCAACAGCGTCAGGAAGACTATATCGGTTAGCTGATGACAACTCAGGAGAAGAGGTCGAACGTACAGCCGATTTCGTGTGTCCATGTGGCACGTTTCAATGCCAACAGGTTGTACAGGAGTACGACAAAGTTGAGGGCTTGATAGACCAAGAAGGTGTGCCAGGCTTTGGACACATAGCTTTCGATATAAAATTGCGGGAAAGCTATGAGGACCTCCGCGGCGAATAGCGTGATTGCGGCAGACATGAAGACCCAAGAGTATGTGGCGGTAATACCACAAATGTAGGAGAGCGCTCGACTGGATCGTTCTGGAGCAAGGATCGAAGTGAAATGATATTGACCTCCAGCCGTCGGATAGACACTGGCCAACTCCGCAAGAGTCAATGCGACGCCCGCATAAGCCACGGTCACAATCAGAATTCCGTAGATGAGGTTGAACGTCCCAGCGGCGGAAATGGCGATGGCGAACGCGGTGGCGATGGCTGTCCAACTGTTACAAATGTTGAATCCCAAGGCAACCATACTCAGTGGGCTGATGTCGCGCCTGACTGGCTTTCCAGAGGTCGTTCGCGCCTCAGCCAGGCCAGCCACATATACATCATTCTGGTTGACCGCCTCATCGGCGAAATGCTCTTTGCGAGGTGTTGAGATTTGCTCCTCCATGATCAATGAGAGCAAAGGATCGTGGTGAATGAGCGGGGGAAAGAGACTTTGTCTTCTTTTGCGTACTTTTGGGCGATCTTGAGGGAACGTCCTGGATGAAGGACTAAGAGGGAGGCAGAGCCATGTTTTAAGTCGATATCAGTCTCGCGCTTGTCGGGCATCCTCATCCAGGTCAACACGAACAATCAAGCTTGAACAATCATTCACGAAGATCAGAACCACCATATCGGAACACGGGTCGAGATAGCAGTGGACCTAATCATCTTCAGCACGTCCCACTTTTGCGGAAGAAATGCCCAGAGAGGTATAGTTCTTCCACTCCTGAGTCGTTGATAACAGGAACTAGCGCGGGCCTCGATATGACTAATTCCAATATCGAAGCGCCCAACGTCTAGCGCTATCCTGGACCCTGGGTTTATCTTCCCTTCCCACACTTGCGGATGAATTCCCCGAAAGATGGTTTCGGGCTTTAATCTCTGGTTGTAAGGGAATGTGAGTGCGGAGTGGCGACACTCCCAAAACAGTTTGTATATTAACTAGGGAACGCCATCCTCTCTATAGGAACGACATCTCTCTCGACAACCCATCAATCAACATGGCTACGGCACCCATTCCAGCTTTGTCTCCATTGACATCTGCCGAAATCTCAACATGTTCGTCAATCATAGAGGCCGCGTTCCCCCCAGGAACAAAGTTTCACTTCAAATTCATAATGCTTCAAGAGCCACCCAAAGAAACAGTCGTGGCCTTCATCAATGCGAACAAGGAGGGAAAACCACGTCCTTCTATTGAAAGGCTAGCATTTGTGGCCTACTACATCAAAGACACAGTAAGAGGACAAGAACTTGAGTCGATCGGTCTCACTAATCCCAATCCAGCCATTGTTCCATGAGGCCATTGTGAGCCTCTCACAACGGAAAATACTCAAAAATGTTCGTTTGCCCGATGACGTCCATGGTTGTTTGGATGGACCAGAACAAGAGGAGATTGAAAGAATTTGTCTCTCCCATCCGGACGTTCAGGCTGCTTTGGCCGAGCTACAACTTCCACCTGGGGCTTTTGTTGTTGGAGAGGCTTGGATGTACGGTGAGTAAACTTCTGGAGTGATGATTCTGGTCTGCAACTGATCCAAAATAGGTTCTGATGGAATAAACGATACGACAAGGCAATATCAAATGTATCTTTACATGCGTGATCCAGACAACTCCACCGAGCCAGACTCCAATCATTACGCTTTTCCCTTGCCGGTCTCACCCGTATTTGACGCAACGACCAAAAAGCTCATTCGAATCGACACTTTACCGACCGGCACGGAATTTGAGGCAACAGGGGTCAAGCCATGGAAGCCCAAACCCGCAAATGAGTACCTTCCGGAATGTCAAGAAAGCCTTCGCACTGATATCAAGCCTCTCCGAGTCATCCAACCAGAAGGGGCCAGTTTCAAAATCAGCAAGGTCGGTGAAAGAGGAACGACGGTTGAATGGCAGAAGTGGTCATTCCAAACCGGATTCAATCAGCGAGAAGGACTCATCCTTTACAATGTAAGAGCAACAGCTGAAGCCTTTACAACAACTAACATCCCCAGGTCCATTATGACGGTCGTAGTCTCTTCTATCGCATGTCTCTCTCAGAGATGTCGGTGCCTTATGGAGATCCGAGAATGCCTTATCACCGTAAGGCTGCGTTCGATCTCGGAGACGCGGGCGCCGGTGCAACCGCCAACAACTTGCAACTGGGATGTGACTGTCTTGGCTTGATTCAATACCTAGATGGAGTGGTCTGTGACGCAGATGGAAAGCCCGAGGCACGAAACAATTGTGTCTGCATTCACGAACAAGATTCAGGAATTGGCTGGAAACATACCAATTTCCGCACCAACCGAGCTGTGGTCACCCGGGGTCGGGAATTGGTGCTTCAAACCATTCTGACGCTTGCAAACTACGAGTATATCCTGGCCTTTGTCTTCAACCAGGCCGGAGAGATCCATTACGAAGTCCGCGCCACTGGCATTCTCAACACTCAACCAATCGATGATGATCTGTTCGAATCAGCCTTCGGGACGGTGGTACATCCCGGCGTGTTGGCTGCCGTCCATCAGCATCTGTTTTCTCTGAGAGTCGATCCCGCCATTGAAGGACATGCCAATCGCCTTGTATATGACGAGGCTTGTACACTCCCACGAGACCCTGCAACCAATCCTCATGGCATGGGATATATGGTCAAAGAAACCGTGGTCGACAAATCCGGTGGCTACGACTTGGATTTGGCAAACAGCCGGACTTACAAGATTCAGAATGCCGCTGTCAAGAATCCTATCAACAAGAAGAGTGTGGCTTATAAAATCCAGGTACCACCTGTTCAGCTTCTGATTGCCGACCCGGAAAGCTATCACCACAAAAGAGCCGAATTTGCCGACCATCATATTTACGTGACAAAATACCAAGATGATGAGTTATATGCTGGAGGAAAATATACCAACCAGTCTCGGGGAGGTACTGGAGTACGGTCATGGGCAGCAAGGAAAGACAATATCGTAGATGAAGATCTTGTCGTCTTCGTCCAGTTTGGATTGAATCACGTATGTCCCCCTCAACATTTTTCGTGGAAAGATGCTTACTTTTGGATGACAGATCCCCAGGATTGAAGACTTCCCGGTATGATTGATCTTCCGAAGCCGTTCGTATCTGGTACGTTGACTGACTTTTGATGATTTAGGTGATGCCTGTCGAGATCATCCGTGTTGCCTTCAAGCCCGCCAACTTCTTCACCAAGAATCCGGCAATTGATGTTCCGCCATCAACTCAAAATTTCAATCAATCGAGACTGGCCCAGAGTTTGGAAGGTGATTGTTGTGCTCCAAGGTTGTGAGCGGAAGAAAAAAATGGAGCTTCTTCTTTGACGATGAAGTCATTGGAGATGGGATTGAACATACAATGTTATAGGATTGAAACATCACATTGGGGCTACCTGTCCAGATACAGCTTTCAGCGAAAATTCACTCGATGTGTAGACTCTTGTTGAACCTGTCGAAGTCCATATAAAACGACCTAGTTAGAGGCGCTGCAGGACACTTAGTAATTTTCTGTAGAGATATCCCGTTTGTCTGGAGCCGGCTTTGACATTTTTGATCTCTCCCCGCTATCATGCTTGGTTCTGATGCCCATTGCCTACCTTGTCACATAAATGCATTGGAATTGCTCAGTCTTTCAAGAGATGAATTGAATGGCGCAACAATGGAGATGAAGGGCTAGCCCGATTGTGGCAAAAGAGGGCCAGGAGAGATCTTCGTTTCAGTGGACAATGGAGTCATATTTGCCAACGACTGCTTTGCAAGCTCAAGTCGACGATGTTGCGGAGTGCCATGTTTGAGCTGGGGCATTGCTGGACTCGTGGCTCTGCTGCGAGACAACTAGACGCAAGTTGATTGGATTGAAAATAAAAGGAAAGAAACTGAACCAACATCAATGTCAGACTAGAAAAGCACGACACTTGCTAGGATGGACCACAGATTAAGAGTCATCCACCCAAGCATAGCACAATACCACAGCGTTGGTGCTCGGAGGATGTGGTATTCCTTGTTGCCTCTCAGTAACCTCCTGATGCTCAGAAGACGCTGTACATGTCCCCAGTAGGCCAAGCGATGAGCCGTGAGGAATCGGGACGATCGCGCTGCCAGAACTGTGCTTGGAAAGGCTTCGACATGGTCGTTTGCAGCAATCAAGGCGTTTTTGGTCTCCAAATGCGAGAGAGACTCCAGCATCTTCGCTCCCAGCTCTGTGTTACCGTGCACCCAAACAGCCTACTTTCACATGGGAAAATTCCATCAACACCATCTTCTCAGAATGCCCCCAAGGCTATACCAATATCAGATGACATTGCTGGGAACAGGATGCTGTCTCCCCCGCTCGTATAAGGTGTTGGGCGAATGTGGGCGGTCGCCAGGTTTGTGGTTCTTGTGCTTCGAGAGCATCTGAGGCATGCGAGTGCGATCTGGGGCTTTCGATTTGCCTTGTCGAATGAGACGTTGAGCTCCTCTATCCTGACCGGATCTCGACACTCTTATCGCTCTGTGTTGGGACACGATGTCCCCATTGCTGACTCGTTTCTTTCGACAGGTATCGCGGCGGCTTCGACAGCAAGCTGATGATCCTCATGATCCCCTGGGAACGCATTTTGTAACGCGTCAATCGTTCGAATGTTGTCTGTCACCTTCGCGGCTGAGTGCCGGCGATCGAGATGGATGCTGGTGCCTTGGTCTCTTGAACGCGTAGACTGGAAAACAGCGAAGGACTCCCAATGTCGCAGTGTCAACGCCGCCTTCCGCAGCAAAGCCGATGTAGTTCGTTGTCTGCTTCCATTCAGACTGTAGCTCTCTGACTGCACATCGAAAAAAGGCGAAGTGGCAACCATTCTCTCGAACCCTTGTCCAATGTTGCATGTTCTGCTTTTTCGGGCAACGTGGATTGTTTGGACCGCACCAGCGACGTTGATTGAGGTTAACGGAGGTTCCGTCGTGTTCGGTGCCAGCTCGAGTCCGGGGTCATGACAACACCCTTGTGGCTCCGACGTGTGAGCTTCCAGAGTGTAATCCTCATCGCGATATAGTGCTTCCTCCTCTAAACATTGTCATATTTCCAGTGTTCTCAGAGCCCCCGATTATAGTCCAGCTCTTCCGCCATAGTTCTTTCAAGAGCTTCAAGTAGCCGCTCGTTCGCATTACTTCTCTTCGCCCTGAACTGAGAATTTGGAGGGCATTGTCGGCGTGGAGGTATCAGGAGGTAGACTCTCGAGCGGTAGGACCGGCGCGTGGTTCAGAAGGTGATCCGTGGAACGAATCCTGTTCATTTCCTGCGTGAGGTAGTCATCTTGATTTCGACACACAGCTGAAATGGTTCAATGAGGCTGGGATTGAATCAGAAAATCTGCCGAAAACAGTGTTTGAACTCTCAAGAAATGCTCGCTGAAACAGGTCCGAAAGTAGGAGCTCGAACTACGCTGTTCGAACCCTTGGCCGCTGCGCTGAAGAGGCTGCAACAAGATAGAAATGCGGTCAGCGCCAACGGATCAGCCCACCTGGGATGCCCGAGAACAGGTTCTCGGGTCGTAGCGAGCATTATGGCGAATGGCGCGTCATTGAAAGCGATGGGACTAGGAACAATGCCATCAAAACATGGGATCAACGCCTGCATGAAGGTGTTGTTCCTCGTGGTTGATCCAGTCGTACTCCCCATTCAGGGATCAGACGTGAAGTTCCGTCGGGGAAATTCTGCGGACGGAAACTTGGAAGCTCTGAAAATCAACATTGAAGGCGCGACAACAGCCGTGAAATTACGCGTGCTGAACCGAGGATGATTTTGGGCGTGACCACCACAATGATTTGCTGTACTGAAATGACGTCTGACGACTTGCAACGGACACAGCAGGCGCAACTTTTACCCACACATCAAGCCCTCGTCGACCACTCTTTCAATCGACCATGTTTTAGACAACTGGATGCGATATCACGAAACAAACTGTGAGTAACAACGACTTCAATCATCAGGTTCATCACCTCAAGCTTCAAAAGGATCTTTTACAAAGTGGAGAGCGTTAGGACAGACGAGGTCCGCACCCGTCAGCTTTGTCGTTGCCAGCGAGTAGCAGCTTATGTTCTTACGACCCTGGATCGAGCTCTACCTGTTGGCCTATCTCACGCGGTCAAAAGCACATCTATTGTCGTTCCGGAGGATTCATAAATCAAAGTCGAAACTCGGGATCACAGCTTCACGAGTCCGAAGAGTACCCCATTGTGACATCTATCGACATTTTGAGGGGGCAGGACTATGAATCGAATCTGCCCGGGTTTCTCGAACCCCAAAGAGGTTCTTCGCGGATGGCTCTTCTAGCGACGAATGGATCTGAATGTGGTGAAAGTCCCATGGATTGTCTGGTCTGATCTGCCAAGGGAGCCTTGATCGGACTCGAGACAATTTCCGGATCTTCATCTGCGATTTCTCTTTCGGTCGTACGCTGTCGAGACCAAGATGGGTGTCGCAGCTATTGTGGCCATGAATGTTGCAGACCTTGTCGTGCTGCCCGGTAGAGCTGAACTGTGGTCCTGCTGTCAATCCTTCAGTGTCTTTGTAGCTGCCTGATACTAAGCAGGCTCTGCTCTACTTTGGAGCTTGGCAGACCGCGTTGGCAGATTGCTCGAGAGTCTTGAGTGGCCTCCGAACTTCGTTTTGAGGGTAAACTCGACAGCTTCGGTGGCCATAGCCGAGTGTAGATGCTCAACCTCAGAGTCCTTTGGGATTGCCTCACCGTGAATGGCTGCGGAGCATGACTTGTATGTAAGGAAACGGGAATTGGAACATGGAATGCCGCTTGATGTATACGTCCCAAACGACTTTAGACAGATCTAGACACGAGTCAGGGCTAGAATCTAGCATGGACTCGTGGAATTGCATATAATCAAACCACACTTTGAGTATGCTGCCTTGGCGCGCCTGAAACAGGGGGAGCGGAGGCCGGTCGCCAAGCCTCCACCGGCGCCAGCGGGCACAATGCACTTACTTCTATTGAGCCTGCGCTTCCACGGCCTCTCTCATCTCCTCTCTTCTCTCCTTCAGCTACGGCATCAACATTTGTTCTGTCCCTAGCCTTCACAATGATCATCGTCGTCTGTGATCATTGCTCCTACCAAAATCATAATAACCCGCGATACTGCGGCAATTGTACCCGGCCCTTGAATCAGCCGGGAAATTCTGGTGCGTCCTCCTATCGGGGCCCTAATGCAAATCAACCATATGATCAGCCACACGGCTACCAATCCGAATACTCAAGAACTAGGCAATTCTCCGAGGTGCCTCACTATGAGGCACACTCGCGACGAAATGACCACTTTGAAGATCCTCGGCATGATCCTCAATCTCAGTACTCGCAACAACGTGAGCCATCAGTTGGTCCTTCTGGCGGAGCTCACTATCCAGTGAGACAACCCGGAGAATCAACAGCGCCAATTTACCAAGGTGGCTTCCATCAGAGTCACAACCCCCCGAGAGCCCAATGACACGGCCATGGGTATTCCCATCACAATCCTGATGCACCACAATCACATTCTGGAAATTTCTACCCGGGCGGCTTTTCTCAAGGGGCTCACCAAGAGAATAGTCAATCACAGCCGGCCACTTACCGGTCTACCATCCCAATCCCCCAAGAATCGCGTCGTCAAAATCCTTTTGACGTCGACATGGAGGTTCATACCTCAACAACCAATGCCCAAACCAGTGACCCTCTTGACATGAAAGAACTGCGTGGTTCTGTCGAGGAAATACTCAGAGCCCTCGGAAGAGAGAAAATGCAGCTCTTGGCTACAGTGAACACAAATGTTCCTGAGCAGACCCCAGTGGTGCCAGCGCAGTCCCTTCCACAGGCACTCCTGGTAGAGCCGATCAAACACAGTGTTGATCAGGAGACCAACTACCCACTGTTACCTTCTGGTGTGCCACCAACACTTTACCCTTCCCCTGTTATCCCATATTCTGCGATGCTCGGAACAAAAGTACCCCCCTCCGATCCAGGCGTTCCTTTCCTTCCACCAGTCCCCTGCGCCCCCAATCGCCCCAATGTCTGGCCCTTTGATTTCTCTCCAGTCAAGGTTCACGAGAGGGGTTCATATCGTCTGAAGCATTTCCCCAACTGTGTTTGTGGTATATGCCGTGAACCACATCCTACGGCAATCCACGATCTTGCAATTCATATGTACGAAGGTTGGAGAGACAAAACTTCTGACGCGACAAACCCTTGTTCAAAATGCTCCAAGAAAGGACACACCGCAGCAGGCTGTGGCTTCGGCGAATTCCGCGACTGGCCCGACAATCCAGATATGCCAGAAGCATATAAGGCATTCGCGCGATCATGGTCACGTAGAACTGTCTGGGTTCCTTTTCCTCAGCATTACTATATGCCATCGAAGTATCCGCTCCCTAGTGACGGGTACCCCCCACTTCCTTCCTTCTTTCCCGATGGAATTCCTCGTTCTCTTGTATCTCAGTCAAAGGGCCTGCATTGGTCTCTTCAACATCTGGTGGCGTACTACAGCCAAAAGAACAAACCCCCATATGATCCAGCAAGACACCATCCTTGGGATCCATGGAGAGGCTTTGGTTCCTGCAAGCCTGCCGCCAATAATCCTCCTTCGGCTACTGGGCAAACCGGGCTCCGAGGAGGACCCAGCAAGGAGACTGCCGGCCAGAAGAGAAGACAAAATTCTGAAACCAATCCCTTGACATCAAATATGAACAAGTATTCTACTGGTGCACCAGCCCGGAAAGATTCTCACGCACCTACAGCCAAGTACGATACATACTGCTTGCATTGCCATACATTTGGCCACTACCATGATGCCCAATGTGCTCCAACAACAGAGCCTCCACAAGAATTCCAGACTCTTTGGAGTCGATATTTCGATAAGGGCCGGATGCGCAAAACCAACCGCCCGGAGACGCTGGTTGACGTCAAAGACGAGTTCCATGTATCGATGCAGTGGCCAAACCCAACCACGAAAGCATACATTGAAGAGCGTGACGACCAGCTCAACAAGGTTGATGCATATCTCCGCGATCAACTATCCCAGGATGTCTACAACGCTTGGAGACGATTCATGCCCCAATGTGCTGGATCGACTAGGCTGTTTCTCAAAGCCTTTCGTGATATCATCCATGAGTACAACACGATAAGCTTCTGCAAACCGATAGCAAAGCTCATGAGTGATGACCGCATCAGCTCAACTGATCCCTCAAAAGTCATGTTCGACCGAGAAGAGTATCTGCACTCGATCTCCAATGACAAAAACAAAATCCGCATTCTCGACTTTGCCCCTGTCGATAATACTTTCAAACGACTGAGTACTCTGCTGCGAGATTTTCTTGCTCATCAAGAAGTCCTTGCCGCATTACTGGGCAGACTTATGAAGGCTAACGTGGAAGCCCGGAGGACCCAAGCAATCAGAAAAAGCTTCATGAGCCCAGGTTACTTCATGATTATTCGACGGGGATCCAAAGAATTTCAACTTTGACATGGAATGTCTCAAGCTACCTCCAGTCTCCAAATCCTCAATGCCACTAGAGGGTTCTTCTCGAGGAAGTCTAAGATGTCAGGGCCTTGCGGAATAATTCTGGTGGTCGGCATTTGAGGTAAGGCAAGCGTGGCGCCAGTCCCCGAGAGATCCCATTGAGGCTGACAACGGATAGGAAGATCTAAAACGGCCTCCTTTGTAGGACACAGTTCGGCAAGCATGTTAGAAATCTCTTTCATTCCATCTCGGAACTTAGCCATTGATCTGTCAAATCCGTTCTCCGAGATATAATAGTGCTGATGAATTTCTTGCAACATTGGGAAGAGGAATTGTCCCAGCCAGCGCACAACGTCTTCTGCGGTGGCAACGGTGCATGGGTCCAGTTTCAAAAAGTGCTGTGGCACCGTGTCGAAAAGGCCTCGAATAGAGTCGAACATCTGCACGAACATGCGTTCGAAGTTTTTCGAGTGATGAGCCCAGGCGTAAATTGCACTTATCATATATTGGATCTTTTGCATGTCTTCCTTGCTATTGTCGTAAACGAGTTTCGCTGTAAGCTTCAAATGTACTCTGGTGTAGACATATCCCAGGAATTGCCTCCTTGCAGGGACAAAGTTGGACTTCAATTCATCAATAGCAAGCTCGCCTGACATGGTGTCAAGGAGCCGGCGAAGGATTCGACAACGGTCATGGGATAGCCCCTGCACATTGTCAGCTTTCCGAGTTGATATATCGTTAGGCACATCAGATCCTTCATTGATCTTCTCGACCAATTGAAGCTCAACTGGGTCGATCGGCACACCGCCGTCAGACTGCGACGATTCTGACGCCGACATGGAGAGAAGCCATTGATTGAGATCCATTGAGTATGAGCGTTTCCGTGATTGTACACTTATATTGGAGAAATCCTGGCTGGAATTGGAATGTGCAGAAAGCTCTGGACATTTTTGTTCCTTGGTTTCAAGTTCGCCGCACTGGTTAGGGGCTGCATTTTGCACCCCACCACCTGGTTGGAGTTCTTCACTCGCCTTCTCGGGCATTGCAGCCTCGATCGGAACTGAGTCAACTGGTGCTTCAGTGTCACCTGTGATATCTCTCTCAGATGGAGCAGTTGGGTGGCCATGGTTATCCAGAGTGTTTGGGGCTGTTTGGGTGTCCTCTGTCACAACAGTTCTGACATCTTCAGGCACTGCTTGGAAAGGGATTACAGCCATCCATCGCGTGACCCTCTCAGCCGCGTACAGTCGAGGGGACTCAATGGGTGGTTGTGCGTGATAAGGTGGGTTTAAAGGGCGTTGGTCCTGTTGACCCGTACACATGGGATTGAAAGGCTGCGCTCCACGAAATCCCTGCCGGATATAGTCAGGAGGTGGCGGCGCATCACCGGCATGAGTACCAGGATAATTGACAAATGGACGGTAACCATAGCGGTCGTCATAAAATCGATGTTCTCTTTCTGCAGATCGAGCCCATTGTTGGGGTCTGTAATCTCTGCTAGGTATTGGGCTCCATTGTGGCACCGGTCCATTGGGAATTTGCTGCAAATTCAGGCATTGATAGCACTGGCAATGTGAAGTCTGGTTAGGAGGGGGAAACGACATCTTGGACGAAGCTTGTCGGTGGGGTGGTGGGATCGAGATGAAGGGGTTGATGAAAGAGTGAGAAAATGATGACTTGAAGAGATGGTACTACTTAGGCAGTATTCCGCTCCGTGTCTTGGCGCCTGCGCAGGTCAATTCGAATACCATTCGGACTACTGACTCCTCCTGGTCTCTCTTTTCTTTCCTTCGTGAAAAACATTCGTGATCAACAGACTCGTACACTTACGAGACTGCCTCCCTCCCAATTTTCACATCTAGCCATGGCTAGTCATCATCCCAAACCCTCTTCTCAATCCCCTTCTCCCAAGAAGACAGAATCTACCGAATCACCATTTCCAAAACTTGAATTGCCTGCCAAAAGCGCAGGAGACAATGACTGGCACCTCTGGACCGTGGCTAGTCGAGTGAAGTACGCAAACATCTTAATCAAAGAAATTTTACCAGATTATACTGGCAGAGTTTGGAATCAGAAGCCTGTTGCGGCAGCCATTCATGAAGGAAGAGCCATTCCCCAGGCACAAGGTTTCTTCACTGATGGAGAAACTGACCTTGAACACCTTGGGTTCATGTCATGAACCTGGATGTGCTGGAAGCTGCACTTGTCGCCCACAAATGGGATGACCATGGTCGGATTGCCATTCTTTTCAGTGCAAATGCTGATGAACCCGGTGGTGGCTTTCTCCAGGGCTCAACTAGCCAAGAAGCAAGTCTCTGTATGTGGACTACGCTCTACAGGAGTCTGGATGTCAGGAAATACCCCCTAGGACCCGAACAATTGGTTTATTGCCGAGATGTTTTCTGTTTCGGACTGCAACCTGCTTCTTTTGGAGAAGATCTGTACCAAGCCAACCTGGGCTTGATCGGTTGCGCTCCGCTGCTGAATCGAGCACGCCAAATTAGATGGTTGATGGCCACGAATCCACCGAGTATGCACTCCAGGTTGACCGGGAATTGCTCATCTGCAAGTTGACATGGGTGATGCGTTTGGCGCTGTCAAAGAAAGCTACTACGGTCGTTCTTGGACCGTTTTGCTGCGAGCCAAGGGGTATCTCCTCGCGCTATGTTGCTGAAACAATGAAGAAAGTTCTCCTATGATGTTCTGCATAAACTACATTCCCTACCCGTCATCCTTGTCACTGATGACAAGGCTGAATTGCAGCCGCCTCCGCCTTTGGACCCGGCGACACAGTCCCAAGTCCCCAATGACCCGTCATATCACTTGCTGTGGATGACACCTCGGCACCAAATGCTGACGAACCCACTGCAAGGACCTCGGTTTCTGCAAAGGTACCAGACGAGACTGCGCCCGAAAATCCGGAGAATACCTCAGCCGAAAAAGATGGTGGAGCAGCCAACAATGACATTGACTTGAATGAAGATGACCTCATCAATTTCTCTGACGAAGAAATTGAACGATATGGACAATTTGATGACCCAGTCCAATCAAAAGATTCCAATCCTGTCGGAACGAATGAAGAAGTCCCTGAATAAGTGGAGGACGAAAATGCATGATCACCCAGGAGACTATGGACCACTCGGACGGACCATATTAAGGGTCGTTGGCTTCTGCCACGTTTGCCCAAAACTCGGCTATTTCAACCACACCGCAAGAACATGCTGACACAGCACATATGGCTGTCGTATCAAGGAAAGGATAGCTGTCCCAGCCTTCAAGTTGCAAGCAAATTCACATCAGATGGTGCACGAATCACACCGCCATACGGAGGACAATCTACCGAAGTACCCAATATCAGCGATTCGCCAAAAGGAGGGTTCAGAATTAATTCAATTTGAAAATCAACTCAGGTGCCCCTAGATTGACGGGTTCACTTTACCCAAATCACTCTCGATATGTCCATCTCGGTAGCTCGTTCTACACGAGCTTGGAACCCTAATGTCGTATGTGTCCTTACATGGGAAAAAATGATTACTGAATCAGCCAGACAAGGAATGACCTGGGTAGATCATTTAAGAACAAAGATTCAAAAGCCTCTGCGGGCAATACTCCTCGTAAATGTTTTCTACCTCATACTTCGCGCTTGACTATCTCGTAGTGGAATCTAGATATTCTCATACCTAGGTATGGTCTGGTTATGTCTGCAAACCAAATTGTAAGTGCATGTGATCCTTATGGTCCGATGTCTCGTTTACTAAGGGGCATGAAGCAGGCAGGAGCGCGCCATCACGTGCCAAGGTGTACTGCCTGCGATGAAATCTTTGCCTGCGGTCCCGAAGCCTCACTTCTGGCAGCACCATACGCATCGTGTTGCAGTAACCATTCACCAGGATGGCAGATGAAGACACGAGCCCTTCCCCACATTACCCCAGGAATTTCTCAAATGACCAATGCAATCAATTAAACGATCTGTGGGAGGCCTTCCGCGGAGATTCAGATCAGCCAGGCCTGCTTCAAGCCATGGAGGAACACGCTGGACTCGACCCAAAAGGCCGACAGGCAATCAACGAAATGGTTCAGGAATACAGCAGTATCAGTAACAATATGGAGAATGCTGAAGAGCTCCGGCAGCGGGCGTCCAGGAAACTTGACGAAATCATGTCACATCTCCCAACCAGGGAAAACTTGGATCGAATGAAACAATCAATCGGCATCAGACCCTCTAGTGGGACTGACATCAAGACCAAAACGATGGACATGATTATGTCCTTCGTCAAAAAGCATCCCGAGCTCAAACATGATCTCAGAGTTTTGCTGGAAGACGATACACCGGCACTTGCCGATGTAGTGGCAAATACCAAGGAATACTGCGACAAACTGGATCAGTCTTGGCTCAGGTACGAAGAAGAAAAGCAAATGCTGGGCAAAACCATAGGAGATTACAACAAGGTCCGCGAGATCATCACCAAAGAAGACCAAGTCCTGGAAGGATATCCGGCAGAGAGCAACTCTGCTCCTGGAATCGCTGGAGGCCAAGACTACAGATGAAACAACTACAACACAAGCACTGGGACACAGCCAGCAAGAGATCCGTGATCTTGAGACCAAGCTGACTCACACAAATGTGGAGTGCAGCTCTCTTAAACAGGCCTTACAGAAGAGCACACAAGAGATCCGGGACCTGGAAACCAAGCTGAACCACGGCATCGTGGAAGGCAGCTCTCTTGAACAGGCTTCGCAAGATAGCATTTATAATGTTGAGACGCTCCAGGAACTCGTGGATACTGGTAACGCCAAAGCAGTTGAGCTTGGGCAAACGTTGTCTTCCATGAATACAGAATTGGCAAAGCTACAGACACAGTTCAAGGACCTCCAGGACCGACTTGAAGCCAAAGAAGCAGAACTTGACTCTATGGCGAAGCAAATCGGAGAAGTCGGGCTTCCCCAAAATGCACAGATGAATGAGATGACATCCATTCAAACCCACATAAAGTGGTGACGCCCAAGTTGGTGGAGAAAGTGTACAAAGCTAAGCCGTTTCTAGTGAATCATAATCCCCTTTGCCCCTTTTGGAATGCCTTCTATCTTTGGTTAAGCGTGGTCCTGTACACCTTGCGAGTGAGAAGCGTCTCGGTTTGGTTGCAAATTGCCGACGACGCCGGAGACAATAACGCGTATCTTGACAAGTATTAAGCCCTAGACCTACCAGTTGATACCCTGCTATGAGTGCAAGGACATGGATCCCTTGCAGTAATCACAACGGTCCAGACGCGGGCATTGATGGCTAATACAAATGCAGAACACTTCCCCAGGGCCAAGGTTGAGCCTGGACCACCGATGAAATGCGCATGCCTCGCAACAGCAGCCGCTGTGACAAGCTGCATGCACTATTCCTGTAAAGACTGTCTCTTAGATGATCACTACCGTAATCTTGCTGTTGCAAGTGCGTGATCCACGTCCGTCAAAAACTGTGCGTTGGACTTATCGACGGGAAAGGTTACCGACCCAGCAGTCCGGACCAAGGGATCGGCAATGAAGTCGAGACGGGCATTGTCAAGTATGATGTGGAAAGAAAAGTCTGGCTTGAACGCCACACCAATGCAGCCATCTGGATTGATGACGATCAGTTTCGAACCATCGATCACGAAGCCCCGTTCTTCCACTTCAAGTGAAACATGGCACTCCTTGCCGATAGCGAGCAACACGTCGGCTGGGGAGGTCAATTGCACGTCCCCGATGCATCGAACAAGCCCCTCGAGAAGGATACTGCCATCCTAGAATATGGGCTTGACTCTGGTGAACATATCTTGAATTCTACAAAGAGCTGGACTGTTGGAAAGACATGTCAGAAGGGCGTGGAAACACTGCAGGCACAACAGTTTTCCAACCAGGCAAGTGGGTGGATAGCTGGCCAAGTGCACCACCGCCGCGCATAACAAGGGGACAATTCTTCGAAAGGTCCCAATATCACAGCCACGCAGAGCAGCAAGTCTGACAACGTCGCCGAGATGGAGATCCTGTTCTTGCCGCTGTATTTTCAGGACGAGAGCTAGCAGCTGCACCGTGTCTAAGTGGCTCCACTGCGACGGGACAGCCAGGTCACAAAGAAGGAGCATAGGTGTGACGGTTCCGTGGGGAATGACCAGGTTCCCGCTGAAGAGATCCACCGCTTCTGCGATGGATGCCCCAATGGTCTCGCAGGTCTCAGCGGGGATATTCAGTGCGCAGCTCAGAAGTGTCTGGTACAGAGCCAAACGGTCGTCAGCCTGCCGAAGCTGCTGTTTCTGGTTTTGAATATCGCGATCGCGGGAAGCCTGGATGGCGTCCCTGTCCGTTTTGAGCTGCTGGTATCGGACGACAGCAGCATTTATCTCCTCTTGGAGTTCTCCGAGCTTTGGTTGCACCTCGCAGACTTCGCGATCTTCGTCGGCCCGAAGGACATCTCTGTCAAGTTCGACCTGGTGACGCTGAGCAACAGCCGCTCTCACGTCCTCTTCGAGCTTCTGCAATTTTTGCTGCATCTGTTGGACTTCACTGTCCCGAGATGAACGAATGGAGTCCCTCTCCAATTCGACATCTCGGCGCTGGTCATTGCTGACTCGGATGCTTTCGCCACGGTTTTCAAAATGACGGGCCTGTTCGGTGTTCTCTTCTTGGACATTGTAGTTCATGTCAGATCCAAGCGTGTCGTATTCCGGAAGAAGTCTCTTCTCCTCCCGCAAACGAGTTATATCCGACGATATGTGGCTCAACTCTGGGGACAGCTTGTCCTGTGCAGATCTGCATTCTTCGAGTTGTGTTCGAACCGATGCATTAGCCTGCAACCAACCTCTTCAAGATCTGAGATCCATTCGGGATTCAAAGCTATGGCGTTCTTGACAATGTTGAAGGCCTTGCGCTTGACGTCAGACGCAGACATGTTTTCAAACCTGGACAAGTTCCCGGCTGACTGGGCCAATCGAGCTTTTGCGGCTTGCAGTTTGGCTTCGGCGGTGTCGAGGGTCTGGTTAATACAACTCGAGAGTGATCCAGGCGGGCCTGACCGTGTATCATTGCACACCTTGCAACTTGTAATGCACCATGGCTGTAGCATTCATTCGTATTCTCAGCATCAGCAGGATGATCTATGGCTAGCAGAAAGAACACATTGAGAGTAGCACTGTTGCTCTGAAACGCCGTCTGAATTGCTACCGATGCTCCAACTGTAGACTCCATCATTCAAAGCCCGCTCCACCAAGTCCGATTATTTGTCTCTTGATCGGTATCATAAACCAACAAACTGCTCGAATTTCTCGGTCGATGAGGCCACACATTTCTCAACCCGTCCCATATTCGAATTGGGCCAGAATACGTGACATTGACACCCGGCGCAGCGTAAATGCCTAACCCGGAACTATCAAGCCGACTGGGGTAGATCCTGCTGGTCAAGGCGAAGCGATCGTTGACAAAGATTTCAACCAGAGATCCATCAACAAATACTGTGAACCGGACAGACTCTGACTTTCCTGAGATATTGTAGGGTTCGAAAAACCCAACATAAGTTGTATTCAGGAACTCCTTGATGGTGGAGGAATTGGTACGATCACAAGCAATAGTCGAAGTTGCAGGATCGTAGTAGATAGAAGTGAATTCCTGGAAATCAGGCGAAGCACCGATTGTGAGACCGGTGCGGCCTCTCGTAGAATCAATGGTCATCGACACCTCGTACGAAGTGTTCATTGCCTTCATCAACATATTCGATCCATACCCGTTCCCTTTGCCGACAAAACTGTGAACAGTACAATTGAAGACATTCGACCCATTCCGCAAACCCAAGACGATGTCTTGAGCAGGACGAGCACCCATAGTCCGGGCTGTATAGGTTCCATTGGATTGCCGTGTATAGACAGAGCTCGTATTGCGCATCGGTAGAATGATACTGGGGGTGTTCATGACAAACAACTCTCGAGGGATTGACAAAGCTCCTTGGTATCCTTGTTGAACGATGCCGAAACCATTCATATCTTCACGTGCCCACCCGATCTGAACACGGCGATTGTTCTTGGTATCGTTGAACGAGGTAATCTGAACCCAAATCAGCATAGTCTATATTGTCCAGAGTCGAATTACCGCATAAAGCAAGCCCCAATCTGAAGCACCCATGGAAATAGGTTGGAAAGCGACACTGCCATTCAGTCGAGCAGAGACAATTCCTTCATTCCATACAACCCAATTCTGTTCATGATAATCGGTACTTCCACCCTCTACTCCCGAGCTGAAGAACCAGTGCTCTCCTAGCTTGAAAAGATTGGGCAATTCAAAGTTCCAACCCCATGTACCAGTTTCGTAAGTTTGTCCCAATGATGTGTTTCCATTGGGCTCCCACAGAGCACCCAAGTAACTCCAAGTAGTCAAATTCGAAGCCGGTGCAGTATAGAGAGGGATCCGGGGGCCAACATCCCCAATACCAGAGCCGAAGATTGCATAGTAATGTGGCTCGGAATAATTCAGCATTGTATCAAGCTCCGGCGAATCGTGAAAGAAGGGATCTCGGAAACCGGTGATGTTCCAATCCACTGGCAGGTGGTTGATCACCGGGTTGCCATCATAATCCGTCCAAGTGACACCTTGATCGGTTGAGTATGTCAAACTCTGACTTTCTGCATCTGCAGGATATGGTTGATCCCAACTGAGGGGCCCACGCGAAACAGACGTGTAGAATGTGAGAAGAGTGCCGTCCACTCCACCAGTAAGGTTCACAGGCTGAGCAGTGCCTGAGAAGATGCCCAAGATGTTGTATTTCTGAGGAACATGCTTGTTGCTCGTCAAATTGGAAGTTCCGATGGATTGGGCTTGATGGCCAGACCAAGCTTGAATATGATTCCCGGGGAAATGATTAATATCAGTCCAAGTGACCATGTCATCGGAGGTTGCATGGCCCCAGGAGATGTTTCCCCATTCGACATGATCCGGGTGCCATTGATAATGCATGTGATACGTTTTGCCGATAGGATCGTACAAAGGTCCGCACGGATCCTGTTGATAGTGAGTACGACACAAGACATCAATCAGAAACCCACATTCATCCAGCCAGCAGGAGCCGAGAAGTGAGAATAAGGTCGCCAGCGTTCGAACAGGCTATTGTTAGCCATCTTCTGGATCATAGTTGATGTTAGCATTTCGCCATATGCTGTCATTACAAAGCCAAGGACCGCCAATAAACTCAACACAGACATCCCCATGATTGCAAAGCCAGAGGTATGCCAAACCTGTAAGGGATGAGAAGCGGCGGGTGGGTAGATATGTTTGAGAGTATTCGGGCCGTTTGGACAATATCCATGCATGATGATGTTATTGTATTGACCAGACTAAACTGGGATCAGACGGATGCGGGGAGAAGCAGTCTGACGATCTCGCGGCTCGACGATAGGATATGCACGTCCGTTTTCTGTCCCTGATAGTAGATCTGCTGCAAATCGGTCTGTGTCTGGGATGTATGACTTCCCTGGACTTCTTGCATGCTGTGACAGTACGTTGTGGGCTGTCGCGTGCAAGTCAAAGTTGCGGTCGTGTATTTAGCTTCAATCACAAAGGGCCTGATCTGTCGACATCGACACGACAATTTTGGTCGAGTCTAACCGCCGTGATAGTCGACAGATCCAGCACGTCGCATCTGCAGACGATCATCAGCTCGATTCTCGCCATATTCCCTGCTGCGCATGTGCCGGTCTGGAAAGTGTCACACGACGGCGGAATTTGAGATCGAATCACGGAGGATCGCTGTTTTGGCTTGAAGGTATACCGGTCTGGATATTCTAGCCGGCTGATCCACCGTGAAAAGTAACAAGGCTTTGGACCGATGTAGTGGGCTGGACTGGCAAACCAGATTGCGAAAGACGTGGCCTTCTCGAGGGGAGTTCGCTTCCACTCAATCGGACAGTATTTCGTCAATCCTCAGTAATCCTTCCGCCGTGACGTTCATCACAGATATTGTAGTAGGCTGTCTTCGAATTCCGGTTCATGGCAGGAAAGATCAGTGGCGGCCAAAAAACGTAATCAACACCACATGGCCGCTGTTTACGCTCGAAGCGGTGTCTTCTGGTTCAGTGAGCACTACCCACGATTGGATGATGGCCGGAGAACGGTGACACGGCAAGAGGAACACGTATTCTTTACCTCATAGCCTACCACACGATTGTTTCACGTTTCCTGTGAAAGTCGCACCTCTCGGGGTCATGTCTCCTATCTGCTGATCTCTGAGGAGTATGGCATGTCTCGGTCCGATGCTTGCTGAAGGCCGGGAAGAGTGAATGTAGGGGTAGGTGGATCGCTATCCCATTCAATATGACCATTTCTACATTGACGTCGATGTTTTGTTGCTTCGAATGTCCTTCCATGCACATCTGATCCACTCTCCTGACGCGTTTCATCTTCGGAGCATCTTATATCACTTCCAGGTATATTCTTCAAGGTCTGTCGTCGGGTCGGGAATCGCGTGACCGGAGAGATACGGAGATCACGAAGCGGAATGACAAGAAGGTATACACCAGTCAACGGTGACGACCAGTGACCCTTGCCTTGAGCGGCCGTCGTGTCGGGACCGCGTCGCGATCTGCTTTCATCAAACACGCGCCAGGACTCGTTTTCGGATGCAGGGGTATTGCTGGAGGAAGGACAATTTTGAATGCGGCTCAGGTCCTATCCTGGTCAGCATATTGTTAGTCGTAATACCGCAAAGTGCTCGAAGCAGCTTGAAGGAAGTCATGGCGATGGCGATGATAGTCAATATCTGTGAGGATTGTATCAACGCGCATCTGCTCGGCCGTTCCTTCCATGATACTGTGGGACTTGTGAGCTCCAACTGCAGTTACGACAGAGTCCTGAGATAAGTCAACACAGAGGCATGTTTAGCCTAGAACTCAGCGAGCCAGCTATCACGCAGCTATTTCGCCGGAGACATATACAAACTACATTGGCTCTCTACAACGAGCCACTGAGCAATCCAGGATGTGGGCTCCTCCGTGCTCTGGGGGAACATGAGACAATCCCAGCAACTGCAGGCCGACTACAGTCTCTCTCACCGACAATTCGCCTATCACGGTCTGAACCATCGAGAGATGCAGAGCGAAGATCAGGATCTCCGTTCTCGTTCTTGAGCCGTCCTGACTCTTGTTGAAATATTCGAACTGTTACAAATGGCTCAGCAAACGGATCCCAAGGAGAGGTCAGATCACGGAGATGAGAACTACATTCGGGTACCCTCGCCTGGAAGTGGACAGGACGAAGTTCCAGAGGTCTTTCGCTTGCCATCCTGCCACGGCTACGATCTATACGAGGTAACGGTGGACGATTTACAGTATTTGTTCTCGTCGGGTGGCCTGAATTCGGAGCAATATGTTCAATTCTGCCTAGACAGAGTTCAGAAAGTAACCAGACCTCTGACTGGCTTTGTTCTCGAGGAATCAATCAGCGCTGAACGTCTGTCAGATCAATCCGTACCTTGAATGCGTGATCGAGACGAACCCCGAGGCACTGAGCCACGCCAGAGCACTGGACGTTGAGAGGAAGCAAGGCAAGATCAGAGGTCCACTGCACGGAATCCCAGTCTTTGTCAAGGATGTAAGTACTGTTGATTGAGATCAGGCGCAGACTCATAACCCCCGTGCAGAACATGGCTACGGCCGACAGGATGCAAACCACCGCGGGATCATGGGTGCTCCTCGGTTGCATTGTGCCCAAGGATGCACATATCATCAGTCTACTACGTAAGGCAGGGGCCGTTATCCTGGGCAAAACGAATCTGGATGAATGGGCTGGGATGAGAGGCAGCAGCTACTCGCTGGGATATTCTGCCCGTGGTGGCCAATGCCGAAATCCCTACCTATTGAATCGTTCTGCAAGTATGACTCCCCAAGCACCAAACCAGACCTACGGGGCTAATCATGTAGCAGATGGCAGCAGCTCCGGCAGCGCCGTTTCAATATCGGCGAATATTGTCCCTCTTGCCTTCGGGACAGAAACCGACTGCAGCGTCATCAGCCCCGGCATGGTAAACGGCGTGGTTGCCATCAAGCCCACCGTCGGGCTGACTTCACGGGCGGGCATCATTCCGATATCAGAAACTCAAGACTCGATCGGTGTGTACGGACGATGCGTGGCAGATGCTGCCAGAGCTCTTGATGTCATTGCTGGCCCCGATCCCGAGGACAAATTCTCGACGCAGCCTGAGAGACGACAACCGAAGAGTTACTGCGACTTTCTCACCGATCGACAAGCGCTCAAAGGAGCCAGGTTTGGCCTTCCGATCAAAAGATTTTGGGATGTTGCTCCATTTCCTCAACGAGCAGTGGCTGAAAAGGTCTTGCACCTGATCAAAGAGGCGGGGGCGGACATCATTCCGGTAGACATGCCGTGCGCGGAGGAGAGATTGGAAAAGGACGGAGTCTGGGATTGGTATGGTCTCGTCCAGTCCACCAAGGCACTTCTCTAACCCCGTGCAGGGAACGTTACGGAGACGAACGGCCGGAAATTGCGGAAATCACAGTGAGCAAAGTGCAGACATACTACCTGATGAACGAGTACCTGGCCAAGTTGAAGAACACTCCCATCAAGACGCTTGAGGATGTGGTCCGATTCAACGACGAAAACAGGGGATCCGAGGGAGGGCATAGAGGAGATTTGCCTGCGTTTCCTGACGGTCAACGACTCTTCCGCAAATGTGTCGAGACCAAAGGTATTCGAGACGAGACATACTATGCTGCCTTGAAGCACATCCAATTCCAATGCCGTGAAAATGGGATCGACGCCGCTCTGCGCTGTCCTCCTGAACACCGACAAGCTACAATTCTCGGATGCGAAGATCAGACCGAGGAAGAGCTCCTGGACGCCCTGTTGTTCTGCGACGTCAAAGCCGGAGGGATTCAAATTGCCGCTCAGGCCGGCTATCCTGTCATGACGATTCCCATTGGCCTTGATCCGGACGGCATGCCATTGCCACTCACGTTGCAACATACAGCATGGCAGGAGGACAAATTGGTCAAATGGGCCAGCGCCATCGAGGATTTGTTGAGAGCACATGATGAAGAATGCTCATCGGTTCGCAACAAGAGATTGGGCAGGATTCCGCCGACTTATATGAACCATCTGAGGAAGAACATTCCGGTCGATCAAGACTACCGATGGCCTGGAAGGCATCGTGACCGATACCAGTGAGCAGCAGTTCCTATATAAAGTTGATGCATTCGAGTTTCACTGCGAGAATACGACATTGACCAAGACAGTAGATAGATGTCTGTCTCACGGCTTGATCCATCTCAAAGCCACCGTCTCGGCATTCACCATTTTCAAAGAGACCTCGAGTTTGGCAGAATTCACAACACCCAGAGCTCTTGTCCTGGCTTCTTCGTCGCTCTCGCCGCATTGTTTGACGAGCTCGACTCTGCTTCCATTGGCAAACAAGCCAAAAATGACCCGCGTGAATTCGACCTGAGAGAATTTCTTGCCCGGACAAACTCGCGGTCCCATGTTCCAAGGCACATATGACCCTGAAACCGGCTGCAAAAAATCATCCCCCTTCTCATCCCCTGACGGAATCCATCTACTCGGACGGAATGAAAGAGGGTCCGGACCCCAGTAGTCAGGATGGGTATGCAATGCTGCAAAATTGAGTGTGACGGTTGTCTTGGGCGGTATAACATGTTCTCTGTCATCGATCCGCAGTCGTTGCGCCGAGTCCCCAGTATATCGAGGCATCATGACCACTGGGCCATAGAGTCGTAGCGTTTCATACTATTCAAGTCAGTAATGTCGTAATATGATGTCCTCAAAACTCACCATAAGTGCCAAGCATCTCCGCAGCTTTGGAAATGTTTGTTCGTAATAGTACAAACCAGTTGACTCGGCCTTTCGTACTTGATCGATCTCTTCTGCTACCCAGGCTTGCCACTCCGGATAACTAGCCAACAAGGTGATGGCAAAGTGTAGCGTGCTGGCCGTGGTATCATGTCCTGCAAGATTGTAGATGAACAAGTTTCCGTAGACTTCATCATCCGACAACCCGGTCGCAAACGCCGGCGTTGTGACTGTTCCCTTCTCACTGTCGGACGCTTGTTTAGACAACTCCAATGCTCTGACCAGCTCGCTCATCAGGTTATGTCTGGAGAAATCACCCTGTTCGAATGCCGTCTTCTCTCGTGCCAGCATCTCGGCCATGTAACTCTTGAATTCATCGTACGCCACTGACAATTTGCGCATGCCGCCAAACCATATCCAATTGGGCACACCAGCTCTCTTCAAAAGCCCCAGGATAACAAGCTGAACGATATTTGCTAGCAATGTTCGCAAACTTTCGCGATACCCCAAATGCTCCTTGACAGAGCCGTTGTTATCTGGCGGCAGTTTCGAATCGACAAAACTGCTGTGCATGCCAAATCCGGCTCCGCAGAGGACGTTGAGTGCCACGGCATGAACGTCAGGCTGGGTGGAGGTGACCTGTGCTTTGCCAGCCCAAATGTCCAACACTTCCTCGATCTGTTCGCCAGTTTCTCGCCAGACTAAAGCACTATTCTGTTCATTGAAGGGCGGAACGGTAACCTTGCGGTGCCGGTCCCAATCCTTTCCATTGACCGTGTCGAGATTGGGCCCATAGATGTCCAGCATCCCGTACATGGCAGGGTTCTTGATAAAGTCATTGCGGCGACGCATCACTTCTTCGGTAGCGGCGGGGTTTGCGAGGACGACATCGTTCTCACCCGGTGAGACGATGATGAAGGCCTCGCCATATTTGGCATGGATGGCGAACCTCTCTTTGAACGTCCAGCCGACTTCTGCCCTGCCGGCCCACTCGCCGAGACCGAAAGGTAGACGGAGGAATATGGGGATGAGCGAGTCTTTCGTCAGCATCCATAGAGGGCCAGCAGGATTGACCGGGCAGAAAAGAATCGGCAGCCCAATCGTTCTAGCTTCAACATAATTGACGGCAAGCCGAACAAGGGTCCAGAGGAAATAAGCCAACACCAGGGAGAAAAGAACAAGGAGGAACATGACGCCACCAACTTGATGTCAATCAAAGACGCGAAATGACATCTGCCCAGGCTTTCTACCGCAGGTGCGTGAGATATAGCTATATGTTGAAAGAGGGATATAATCTATTCCACCTCGAATTGTAACGTTTCTCATTCCGCCAATCAGATCGTAGGGATTTGTCTACAGGTCCGACCAGATCAACAATATCTACAACTATCTCAAGCTTGTCGTCCTTTTACAGCAGGTAATCGCTCCCTTGAACAATCTCCACATGCCTCGTGAATCTCAGGACGTGCCGGTTTTGAACAGCTAATCCAGTCAATTGCCATAGATTTGCGTATACCAGCCACTAAACATCTGGCGCCTTGATACCGTCAATCTCCTCCAGCTGTTTGACCAACTTATCCTGGATAGCCACATCATTCGCCTCTTTCATGGGTGACCGAAGCCGAGATTGATACCAGTATTTGCCGGAGACATCTTCGGCCGGACCCTTCCCTTCGGCAAGCAGGACATATGTATCAACGGCAGCGTCGATATCACCTGAAGCCGACCTGCCTCCCATTTTGGTCGGCACCCAACCAGGATCCAAAGAATTGCTCTTGACGGTCGGCCACTTCCTCGCGAATGCAGAGGCCAGTAGGATATTGTGCAGCTTGGTGTCCGCATATGCCTGCGAGTCTCGAGACCCTTGTTCGCCGCGTGCGGTCCAAGCCAGGTCTTCCAGCGAAGAGTCGCCACCGTGATGAAGGCCCGAGGAGACAAAGACAAGACGTTTTGGGGTTGGGTGGATTAGACATGTAAGCACGTACGGGGCAACTGTATTGACGGCGAAGATGCTGGGCCAACCTTCCTTCGTCTTGCGGTAGGGGCCACGGTACAAGCCCGCGTTGTGTATCACGGCATCGAAAGAGCCTATCTTATTCACATCCTCCGCAAATTTCTTGGTCTCAGATAGATCGGAGAGGTCCGCAACGAGGCAGGTTTCGGCATCGGGGCAGGCCGTTCGAGCATCCTGAGCACGCTGGTCGTTTCTCGCATGGAGAACGACTGAATGGCCTCGCTTGACCAACGCGCGAGCGGTCAACGAGCCGAGACCATCAGAGGAACCTGTAATCAGTATCCGAGCCATAATGTGATTGAAGAGTCGATTGGCGCGACATAAAAGACGAATGCATACAAGACTGAATTCTTGGAATCATTCTTGTGATTCCGCAGGCGGTGATGAAATCATATGTCGCACCGTAGAAATAACTTAGGTACCTAGTACTACTACAGCTACACTGCAGTGCATTATTTTCATCGACAAATGCGAGAGGCGATAATAGCATCGTACCTGAGCCTTATTCAGCATCGGACAGTGCTCCCTGTTCCTACTCGAGCCTTATCTGGGTGGCCTGTCTTCGAAGGAAAGAATTTCTGACATCTCTCCCTCGATTCGGCTGCTTGGTTCGCCTAGGAACTGCAACAAGCTCTCCCATCATGTCGGACAACTCACCCACCCTGCACCCTGCATTGTTCTTGTTTGGAATTGTGAATCTCAAGAGACGGATACACCCTTGCCGTCGGGCTTGGGAGAACGCGTCGTCCCGCGGGCATACCCTCGACCTAGATCGCCCCGCTGCGGATACAAAGCGCGACATGTTGTTCAAGACGAACCACGACCGTGGACCTCTTTGCAGCTCCACGGCCGGTCCAGCCTGTGAACACGAATCCCAAATGGAAACGGTTCAAAAAGAAACGGACATGGCTTCCCAAATCCGGCATTGGACCGGGATAGTTTTTGCACAACGTTGGTGCACCGAGGGTCAAAGACGAAGCTAACAGGTTGACGTGCAGAACGCTTGCCCAGTCTCAGTCTCTGCGAAAGTGGGATCCTTTCAACTTGTGGAATGTGCTCCTGGTCTCGACTATGCGGTGCAGTGGTATGATGCATCCACAACAACATGCAGGATGCAGATACTAAACGGGGAGGTTGGTATTGCTTCAAATTGGCGAACAACAACTGCCGTTTGACATATATCGTCGTCACCCTCATCTTCGGGATCGTGTTCGCCCCGCAGGTTCATGCATGCTGGATGGGACTCTCCGAGAGCAACCTTTCGTTCAAGCCACCACCAATCCAAAGACTTGGATACGAGAACCCCCCTGGTCGGCTGGCCGAGACTTGTAGCCATGCAGGGTCTCACGTCCTGGCTCTGCACAATTCATAGTACTCTGTAGTGCGTACCATTGATGAATATCATTGCTTACAGGACGAGACCGACCCATCTATGTCACTACAGAGGAAAAGGGTTCCGAATGTCTGGTATCTCGAGCACACAGAGTCAGTCACACATGTCTCTTCAAATCCCCTGTGACCATACAGACCATACGCGAGAACATACCCGCTTTTGAGGCACGACTAGAAAGGTCAAGCCGACAAGAAGTGAAATATGCACAAATCTACCCCTGGACTACCGCCACGTCAGTCTTGGAACACTATCACCTGTGCGAGCAGTCATGTAGCTTCCAGCTGAGTTCTGCAGGCCAAGTTGTGCATGAGGCTGGGATGACCAGGTTCAAGTTATCGCGGAAGATGGAATTCCTGTTCAGACTTCGGAACAGAGCTCCTTTCCACTCCCACAAGAGGAAAAGGCTGAGACGCTTTCTAGTCAAGTTCATGGCGTACGCGGGGTCTTAGGTTTGTCGGTGGTACAGTTGACGTTTTTGACTCAGGGAGTGAAAAGTCACGAAAATTCGAATCATACTCGCCATCTTCGTCGTGTTCGAGATGAACCTGCGAAGCGTGATGTCCATCGTCCTCACTCGAACAGATGACACTCCTGGAGCACAGCTTACAATCACAAGTGTACAAGAAAAGGTGTGTGAAAGTCATCAAGACTGATAAAATACTTCGATATACCCATCCCATGACCATAGATCTGTACCGCCAGATCATCCGGGATTTTCCATTTGCCTTGTATCTTTCCATTCCAGGTCATGCATGCCCTTGGTATCAAATACCAGTCGTTGATCGTAAAACTCCAAAATGATCATAATCCTGTATCTTCATATCCATCATAACATTTCAAAACTCGTATCAATAAGAATGAATTCATTCCCGTAAAATCATGACAATATCTTATCAAATCCACAGCTGAACGCTGGGCTTTCGGGGACGTCGACGTGCAATGTCGGTGCTGTTTCGCATTTGGCCGTGAAGGCCGCAACACGATCGGATTGCAACCAGGTCGTGATATGACGCACAGATGCCACCGAGGAGACTGAGGAGACATTTCTCTTGTGTGCCGTAGCAGGCTGGGATTGAGCTGTCTTCAGAGCGACAGGATCAGTAGATGGTAGCCAGGGACCGGCCGACTCGGCTTTTGTGTGCTTCAACTGAGGTCTTGGAGGCATGCCGCAAGAGACTGAGCTTAGCTTGGCCTTTTGAATTGGAAAACATGCCTCTTTTGGCAGCGCAGGAAGAGGCCCGGTGGGAGGAGGCCCTGAGGGAGGCATCGTACGATGTACAAGAGATGGCATACTCTTTTGCCCTTTGACATGACGATGCTTGCGGGGTGGGTTGGCCAAGTGCACGACCTGGGACGAGACTCCTGTCGAAGCGTCGACGGTGGTTGTTGTGATGGTCGAGAAGGAAGACTTGGAGCATGACTTTCTTCTTGGGGCATCTGGATGTGCTCCAAAACAAGTTTCCAAATGTGCGGCAGTAACGGCAGGCGATCTTTGAGACTGCACGATAAGCCCAGTGGCAGCTTCGGTTTTCTTGGTATCGATAGATAGGGCCTTTCCCAATCTTTTGGACGCTCGTTGACTACCTTGGGATGAAGGCCTTGACCCCGAAAGCGGCTCAGAAGATTCCGGCACATCGCACATGCTTGCCAGCACACTGCCGGGCGTGGTGACTGGAGGCGACGGCAACCCAGTCTGCTGGGCGAGTTGAGACTGGTCATATGAGGGTGTTTTCGGGAACAAGCTATATGAAGCAGTTCGCTTCTGAACACCATCCGGTGAATCTTGTGTGTAAGAAGAGCTTCGACTTCGCAAACTTCCTGGTCTTGATACCGGAGTCATCGGTTGGGCAGGCAACACTTGTGGTTCGTACCGATAACGAGCAGAGATCTTTCTGATGTGGCCTGGTTCTGGAAGAGGTGCGATGGTGGAAATCGGTCTCGACCTTGACTCCCACGCAACAGCTGCCTGGTGGTTCGACTCACGGGTTGGTACGAAGAGGTCGTGGTTGATGGCATCGGTCTGAGCATCCATTGAAGTCGTCCGTGGTGGAACACTCCGCGTAGGATTTCTCTTCGGTGTTGCCATGTACATTGACAGCTCTCCCAGATCTTCCTGAGTAGGGGTAGACACTCGTGATTGGGCGTCTCTCGTTGTGGGTGGTTCATACTCGACGCTGGAGAATGATTCAACCAGACGTGAGGTGGAAGTGGTGCTCGTGAAGCTGGTATGGGCTGTAGAGATGGAGCGGTCGTCAGAGAAGGATGCATCCCGGATATTGTCGAGATCCGTCAAGGTATGAATCGAGGAGTCTGTGGTCGACCTTGAGATCTTACGGGAAGCAGGTCGTTGGGGCATTGGTGGCAAAAGTACCGCAGAGGTAGACTCGTTGCCGGAGACCTTGTCTTCGGATCGAGAGAAAACTGGGAGACTTCTTCGAGTCCGGAGTGGGCGCACCGCTTTCGATTTTGCCTCGTCTTCGGCGGGACCTCTTGAATCAGGACGATACCGTAGACCACCGAGCATTTCAATCTCTTTACGAATGGCCGTGAGCCACAGTCCGAGTGATACAGCGTTGTCAAAGACAAGAAGGAGGTCCTTGACAAGCTTCTTGTCTTCGGCATGTTTGAAAGCCAACTTCGACCAAGTATTCCTGGAGTTGTGCGATGCAGATCGATCCGAGACGCCATCGTATAAAACTCGCAAGACCCAATGCTTACCAGGAATGTCGTCGCTCGCAAAGGCCACAGAGTCAGGTCCTAGTTCAAGCATCTTCTCCGGTAGACGATCGTTGAGTCCATCGGCGCTATACTGCAAAATGCAGCCGGATTGGCCGAGTATGAACAGCTTCTGACTAAGAGAACAAACGCTTGCTCCCGAGCAATTCCGTTTATGGTTCAGACCCGGGTCGTCCGCCGAGAGATGGTCCTCCAGACTAGGTCGTGAAGAAGACTCGCCGGAGATGCTGTTTCTTCGTTGGTTGCTTCCGAAAATAGTCTCTGTCAAGGTAGATGGAATGTCCAAGATAGCATGCATCTTTGCTTGCGTATATGCCTGGATCAGGGGAGGAGGATCCCATGAAGTCATATTCTTAGGTCGTTGAGGCTTCCCACCTTGTTGCGAATCTCGCATTCGGTTCGACCATGTCGTACTACGACCACGTTTCGCGACGGTGAGCGTAGAAGGCGGACATGGCCTGGGTTCGGGATGCTGAGGTACAATCCTCTCAGATTTTGAACGCGTGAAGAAGGCTTTGAACCGAGCCTTAGCGCCCCGTTCGGCGTGAAACCATCCGGACTGGTCACCAAGCGACGGTGAAGGTAAGACAGACATGGTGAGGGGTGGATGTGAGATGGAAGACGAGTCCAGCCTGATGGTGTGAGGGCGTGATATAATGTAATTAGTGAAGAACAGACATTCCTCGGCAAGCCTCGCGGTTATGCCCAAGAGATAAATGCTCTTTCAGCACGGCGGGTGACAAAATGTGTACGTGAACGAAGGAACCGGTCAGGAGGGTCGAATCGAGCACTGAGCAGGTACCCTGACGATCTTTGTTTGTTTTGAAAATGACTGCTGCGATGGTGGGATGATTTTGACAGATGAAAGATCCGAGCTTCTTGTCCCGTAGGTAAGCTGTTCTGATAGAGGTCAAAGCACATCAACTTCAAGGCGCTCAATGATAATAATCCAGACGACAGCGGATATGCGAGAATCACGAGTTGAGAAACGAAATCAGCCAGATCTCACCTGCGTCTGCATGAGGCGGACAACGGACATTCTTAAGGATGGAACAGGGGACGCGGCAAACCCAGATGGCATGAGCGTCCAGAAGACTGCACGGACTCGACCAAGGAGGGTATGTTGCTGCAAAGACACTCCATAACATCTCGAGCGCTCTGGGCTAGGCATGGCAGCTATGGCAGTGGCAGGGATGGCGTCAGAAGTGACAGGGCGAGAGATTAAGACAATTCGGAAACCATCACGAACGTCTCCTTCTGACAAGATATTGACAGCACTTATCGGACAACACACACGTTCGCTCCAAGAACGGCGTAAGTGTATAGACGAATGTGCTGGACCACCACGTCAGGAAAGGACAGAACTGCGAGACGATTGGACATGAGAATGTCTGATATGCGTCTTCAAACGAACCCGAGGCAAGTATAGCCCGTCGGCGAACCCACGAATGGTGGCGAGAGCCAGCACCTTCGACCCGAGTGACCGTTTCGTTGAAGAGCAAGGGACCAAGCCGTGGCCCCTAAAAGGTGGGAGGCCAAGGGTGACATACTCAAATCAGTCTAGCGACGTGGACCGTAGAGGCAAACAACTGCAAATATGGGCCGAAAACAGACAAAGTCGAGCCGGTATAGTGTTTGTGGCGAAGGCGCGGATGCCGGTGTTGACAATTGGACTTGTACAGCAAATTTTTCCCCACCGACAAGCGAGGAACGCCATGCAGAAGACGCGCCAAAGGCCTGTGTAGGCTGGTCCCTGGCATTGTTTCGCGCGATCGAAGGATCTTGGGAGTAGAGCGGGGCAAGCTGGAAGGAATGTAGGACAGACGTCAAGGAGGTAGTGTCGAGCCCGGCGGAGGAGGAGGGACCAAGGCGCGTCTCGAGAGCTGTCAACTCACGTAAATGGCTTCGTCAACTGGAACCCTTTGGGAGGGGCCCGAAGAAGGAGGTGGGAGCGAGAGACAACGCCAGAATGAACGACAAAAGAATGCCGACATCAACGCAGCTTGAATTCAGCAATGTTGGTAAAACAAAAGCAAGGAGAGTAACACAATATTAGAAGATGCGATATCCGAAGGTGGGATGAAGGTGTGGTAAGAGTTCGAGTTGTCTGCACCAAAAGGGCGACGCCGAGTCTTCCCCTTGCTCAGCCCACTGCACTGCACCACTGCACTGCATCCCAACCATCCAATGGACCATCCAATGGACCATCCAATCGAGTTCGTCCATCTCTTTGGTTTCCATCTTTTTTGGATCCGAAAAAACCTTCTTGTCTTCGGATCCCTTCTAGGGAGTAGAAGACGTCGTGTTCGGCCAGTCCTATCCGTCCAGGCTTGTTTTTCAGGGCCCTTTTCCCCAGTTTTTGTCCCAACTGGACCCTACGCTTCTCACATGTTTTCGACGGAAGCGCGTTCTCTCCCTCCCGAAATCCACCTTCTCCCGCGTCGAGCGACAAGCTCTACCTGTCAATGACTGTCTACATTGGAGGCTGTCCTAGCCAAGGGAGGAAACAAGAAAGCAGGGGGTCGACACGGTTGAAGCCATATGTGGAATCATGAGACACCTCACCTGTTCGGATTGGAACCCACGAGATACCTTTTCGGCTTGTTCGAACCCTTCCGATCTCTCGCTTACGATCGGCACTGTGCCTTGCACTTATGATCTAATGCAGGGAAGAGATGATGCACTTGACACAAATAAAGAGGTTGCATTGGCACCGTTCAAAGCCGAATCTGCCACAGTCCAACCCCTCTGTGAGGGGACGAAGACAGTTTTTGTTCATGTCATTGCGTTCTGTTTCTGAACGCGTCTGGTATCTCGAATTACGTTGAGCCCGTCACAAACCCATTCCATGCAATGAAGTTTTGGTACCCCACAAGCAACGCCATAGCAAATGTGCCTCCCTGGCATCCCTTTGACTCCTTACTCCTCGCTTTGAAGTATGGCAAGTAGGTCATCAAGCCTGATCGTTCAACGGCAAGTCTTTGAGATATGGCCAACCGGTTTCCTCTTGCGGCTTCTCAGCTTCCATTCCCAGACAACGTCGAAGGCATCTGACCTCAGCCTGAAGACCCGAAATGATCGTGTACTCTTCACACCATTCGTCCGTTCGCAGGTGATGAGCAGTGCGGACCATTTCGCAGACCCTCATTGTCTTAGCATGCCAAGTGTCGCGGTCCAACCGGCTCTCCAAGTGCTCATCCTTTTCCTGCTGCAGAAGATTGTTGTAGTGTTTGCGCTGAGCCAGAAAACGACCTTCGATGCCGCCGGCATAATTGCGAATCTGTTCGGTGGCGGTTCCCAAGGCGTCTTCATACATGGCGATCAGGTGGGTGTTTTCCTTCTGTTCGTGCTTGTAGAGCTCAATGATATGGTTTGCCTTTGCCAATTCGCGTTCGAGGTCGTGGATCCGTGCTTCTGGACAAGTTAGTACAGCTTCAACCCTCCACGATGGAACTCAACTCACTGTCACTTTCCTGGCCACTTTCACCTTCTGGCAATGTTCCATTGCTGCGTCTCTATGAACAAGTCAGCTTCGGGAATGCATAGCGGCATTGTAGAGAGACAAACCGCAACTTCTTCGGCCGCTCGCGTAATGAAATTGACCTTCTCTCGATTGGATTTGAGAATTCCTCCTAGCTCTTGAACCTGCGCATAGAGATAGTTCAGATCTTGCTGGTGTCCAACGGGCAGAGGTGCCATGAAACTCGCAGCTGCGCCAACTCCGTTATTGCCATTGACCGATCCGCCAGGTTGCATGGTAGTAGGAGAAGCACTAGCACGGTTCCCACCCATGGAGGTGTCGAGGGGAGGAAAAGCATTGTTTGCCATGTCGCTGTCACGTTCCTTTCTCTTCTCAGTGAATTCTTTGATTTCGTCGGCAAGTTGCGCCCGCAGGAGACGTCTCGCTTGGATGGAGAGATTGGAGCCCGCACGGATCTGTTCAAGGAAGGCTAGCTCTTCTGGAGAAGGAAGCGCTGGAGTAAGGGGTCGATCGATGGCAATGGACTCTTCAGCGGAGGTAGTAGAGCCAGAGCTGATGGCGCCTTGACGTTGTCGGCTTCCATGCGGGGGAGGTTGTGGTTGACGAGTAGGTTCATCTTGTTCAAGGTCAGTTTCAACTTGACTTCACAGCTTCGGTGCCGGCGAAACAAAAAGCCGAGATAGATGCTAGCAGCGGCACGGGCCGCTCTTAGCGTTCTCGCCAAACTTACCAGATCCGTGATCCTGAGGAGACTCCATCTTTATCAGATCTTCTACAGTTTGTGAAGTTTGGTGGTAGATGGTGATTGGGGATGAATGAGAAGACACTCAAAGTGAGAGATGAATGAGACGAGCCTAATGATGCGTGGATGGAGCCTATTTTGGGAGGCACGATAAAGATGTATTGACCCGCGTATTTCTTCATGGAACTCTCCCCAGAATCAACTGTCCAACAGTATATCGACCACAGTCAAAGAACGCTCAGAACGCTGCTAATCACTACAAGCATCATCTCGATCCCACATATATACTATTGATATGCATGGTCCCCATCCAAATTAATGAGGCCGGCATTGATTTGTGCCGCCATCTGGGACTCCTTGAAAGCCTCAAATCCTTCTGGGTCATTTTCCCGCATACTGAGTAGCTCATGAGCACTCAGACCAAGCTGTCGGATAACATTGTCGGCCCCATCCCTTTCCACTTTGGCCCGAATATCTTCACCCTTAAATTCTTCCAATTTGGCCCGAAGAGCGGCAAGATGTGGCGCTTCCGCGGGGTCATTATGGCTCGTGCCATGTAGATTATCGTCCATCCCTACCGGCTTTAGTACTTCTCGACGCATACTTTGACCAAAACGATGCATCCGTCCTTCTTCGTCAGTGAAGGCTTTAGCGGCAAGAGATGTGGTTGAGGGCCTGCGGGGCAAGTCGGAAAACGACGCGTTCTTTGAGGCGTCAGGATCGACAGGAAAGTAATCCTCGGAAGATTTCAGACTCGTCAAACCGGTCGAGTCCATTGAAGCCGAGAGAAGTGAGGCGTCCATGGATAGATCGGGAGAAGGTAGGCCGTTCGCCATCGGCGTTGACGAGGGTAGATGTTTTGCCTCAGGATATTCGTCCTCAAAACGCTGAATCATACGTTGCAGGGTTTGGTCCAAGAAGAAGAGACGCCCTATGATATTGAGTTAGCAGTGCCAAAACAGCCGGTAGAGCTTGACTTACGGTAATTGGCATCATTACCAGCACGATCCTCTTTGATCAACGCAGGCCTTAATCTTGCTCTTATCTTTCTGGCACTTTCACAAAGCTCCAGACTGACATCTCGTGGTTTTGAGATGCTTGGTTGACGAATATCCTGCCTTGGAGTTGCCGTGCCACTGGCAGAAGGGCTAATGTTCCTCGAATGTTGTCGGCTGCTGCCGTCTCTGCTTCCCAAGAACACATCGAGACATTTGACGATCCCCGTGGAAGCAATCATATAATCTTCATCGGGGGCTGGCTCGTCCTTGTCAATACTCGTCGAATAGCCTTCCATATGACCAACAAGGTGGAGCAGGACTTCAGGTGCATCTTTGCCGGCAAGACCAGAAGGCTTGACACCGACTTCGTCAAGAGTGGTGCGCTCCATATTTCGAAGACTGTAGGCCACGACCTGGGACGCCAGTGCCTTGACCACCTCACTACTGTCGGCACTAGGGACCTCGACTTCAACCGCGACGATGGTCTCCGAGACCCTGACTGCAGTCATCAGAGAAGCAAAGAATGCACAAGCTTCTTCTTGGGCACCTTCTTCCTTGGAATTCATGGCATGGATCAGAGGTCCATTGTCCAGGATGCTGATGTGGGCCAATGACGGACAATCCGGTAGTATTTCGGCCAGGGCTATAACATGATCCGGGGTCAGGCCGACATCTACCAAGTGTATTCTCCTCAGGGGTGTCATTTTGGGGAGGAATTTGCGGAATATCGAGACGGCATTGGGATTGCTGTCGAACAAAGCTCTGTTCCGTGAGAAATCGACGAATTTGAGATTGGTGAGTCTGGTAAATGGTGACAAAATCGAATCCATGTCGGTTGGCGTTAAATTGCAGTCAGATAGGCTGATGGCGAAAAGGGGGCTGTCTTCGTTGGGCGCCTCGGCAAGAATGTGCACAATGCCATGCAGATTGTTGCTGCCCAGATCAAGGCCCTCACAAGCACCAGATTTGATATATCGAACGACATGCCTCACTGCTTCTTCGTCCAGACAGTTATCGGCGAGACCTAGACGGTGAATCCTGCGTTTGATGGCACAGTCCACAATGTCTCCGACATGAGCTGTGGAAAGCCCGCAGCCACTCAAAATCAGTTCCTCCATTCTGTCGCCCAATCGTTCTGACAGAGCACGGATGACCAAAGATGCAAGATCGGTAGAATTTGCGCTTGGTTCACTCGCAGTGGATCTGCTGGTCAATGAAATGTAGGACTTGTCGTCAGAATCCGGGAATTTGATGCCCGACAGATCAATTGCCTTCAGTGACTTGGACATGTGCATGAAAAGTCCAATGTGTCTCCATCCAACGTTAGTTATGGCTGGATTGTCTTTCAGTATTAGTTTTTCAATGACTCCCATCTGCTCCAAGCCACGGCTGCCAGAATGCCTTTTGGGAAGTTTTCGGTTGTGTCTTGCTTGTTCGGCAGATTTGCAGCTTGACAAACCCGAAAGTATCACACGCAGGCCCTCGTCCGTGAGACCACAATTGTCCAATATCAGTTTTCGCACAGGTACAATGGCCAGCCAGTCGCCAAGCGTCATGATGTCGGGGAGCTGCATCTGCAGACCAGTCAAGTCTATGACAGCGACAGTGCCAGGGGCTTCCGACAAGGTTGCTGAAGGCTTCGTAATCTGCTCTTTCATTCGAGTGAGAACTGTGGTTTCACGAAGTTGGCAACATCGCTTGTAGATGCGCAGTGGATCAGTCGTCGGCCCGTCCGGGGATCGTTTGGGCGTGGACGAACCAGGAGGAGTGGTGCTTGGGCTGGAGTCGGAATCATCGTCGTCTCGAGTCAACTCAAGAGGAACAAGACCATTGGCCTCGGCGTGCCTCCTTTTCTTCTCTTTTCTTTCTTTCCGTTCTGCCTCGGACCGTTTCTTTTTCTCCTTTTTGCGGGTGGTAGGTATAGGCTGAGGATCCGATGCCGGAGCTTCAGTCTCAACGGATGTTTTCGGAGTGATCAGCGGTTGCTCGGGTGGCGCTTTTCCTTCAAGGACAGCTTGGGGGCTTTTGAGCGCGGCGCCTTCACCTTTGTCGATCTCCCTGGCGTCTTTGGTGTCCTTGTCGCCGTGGAGGTGCTGCTCAGAAGTCGGAAGCTTTTGCTTGTTGCTACCTTGACGAGCAAGGCGGGCTGGCTCTTCATCTGCCTGGGACGCAAATCCAGCGATCTCGACGTCGACGCAGAAGGCAACTCTTTTGAGTTTGTTCTGGTCAAACTCGGTGATCTTTATCCGTTCCCTGTTCGGATCGAGGTTCATGACTTTCCGAGGACAAATCGCACCTGAACCGGCACCTTTCCCTAGAGTGACGTTCGAAGATGAAGACAGTCGGCGCAAGGCACTCGATAAGAATCCCGGATGGTCGATCTTTGTCTCTTTACCAGCAGCAACTAGCACTGACGGTCGCCGCGGGGGTGTGTGGGCGGTAGGCGCCGCCTTGTTCTCTTCCTTTCTGGCATCCGGCTGGGTGTGATGCGTCAACTCTTTCTTGTTGAAAGGATTTGAAACTTCGTTCGCCGGGCTGGGCTGAGGAGATGCCACAGGAGTAGTAGACTGCGATTGACTCTCGCCATTCGAGTTACGTGTAGGCGTAGGCGATGCAAACTTGGAGCTGAAACTGGCGATCCAGGAACTCCTCCTCCCGTCTTTCTTGTTTGCGACATCGCTCTTGAAGCCCTTCTTCTCTTCAGTACTCCGGCCTCTCACCAACGACGGTCGCTGACTGCGTGGCTGGGAGCCTGGTCCCTTCTCGGTGGCGGCTTGTACATTGTCCCTTTTTCCATTGACCGCGAATGCCTGTTGGTGCTCCTTTGCAGGCGTGGATTGGGTCTGGTTCTGTCGAGGTTCAGGGTCGCTGGGCTTGATAAGAGGAGGGGAGTATGACGGCGTATCCTGTTTCTGTCTGCTTCTGCCTGCAACGGAATGTGTAGGGTCTGGCGATAGCATCAGTACCATTCATGATCAAACCGGCCAGAGAGCTCGGCAAAAGCAATGGGATCATCGCCCAGTGGCGCACACGCACCTTTCTTCGTGTGTAGCAGCCAATCTACGTCGAGTATTCCAGCGCTCGCCATAGTATCTGCTTGATGCTGCAATCGCCGCGATGAACGAGATGAGATTCCTCTCTATAATGACTCCATGTAGACCCGGCCGCGGGGATCTTGTGAGGGAAAGACGATTCAAAGCTGATGCCGTCGATGTGATTCTGGGTTGCCTCGGCGGGGTCTCCCTAGTCCTCCACAGTCGAGCGTAGCGAGTCGCCGTTGGTTGAGAACAGTCGATCGCCCTCTTCTACCTAGTAGGGCCTGGTCTGGGCTGGTTGGTGAGCCCGGGCCTTTGCAGAGAGCTAGGCTGTGTGTGGTACAGACGCACAATTGTATCTTTGCGTCTGTGGGTTTCCATGAGGAATTGCTCCCGGAGACCCGGCTATGTAGTCATCGTTGGAACCTATCTAGTATCCACGGATGCTGATTGCGTGACCGTTCAGGAACGCAGATTTTGCTTTTTGTGTCTTTCTGCCACCAAGTCCACGTTCAGCTTCTTACGTTCAATATCAGGCGATTGAGATATGTGTAAGGCCTTGAACCTTGGCCCCGTGCTGAGTCAACTACCAAGCCTATACCGCGTGTCGCAGAATGATTGCAGTACGGCGAGTGGCAAGTCAGCATCTTATGTCAGAGTGGTGATTATTCGAAGGATCAACATAGAAGAATTCATTTCACTCTTTTAACGTTCAATCAATTTTGGTAGCTCGCATTTCATGCACCCACGGATTTATCCTTGGGGACCGGGCATGAGTGCTCTACTAAAGACTCGACCACTGTCATGCTTCATGCAAAACAGGCATCAAATCAGTTTGACCTCCCCAGAAACTCCCCAGGCAATGCGAAAACGAGTCTAAGAAGCAAGAGCGGCAATCTTCTCCTCGATTCTCTTGGTCTTCTCCTCCTTGGACAGCTTGTGGACCTTGTACTTCTTGCCCTCGGCCTTCCATTCATCTTTGCTCTTCTTGTCGCCTTCATCCTCGTCCTTCTTGAAAGGATCCTCTCGGATGGCGGCATGAGCTTCCGTGTAGACTTCTTCAAGACCGTCAGCTTCGATGTCGTTCTCGATGTACTTGGCGAACTGGGACTTGTAGCGTTCCTCATCATCGTCGGCCAAGGTTTCCATGTACTCTGCGACGTGGCCACCGAAGATGTACTTGCGGAGGAGCTCGGCATCAAGTTCCTTGCCTTCTGGGTCGTAGCCAGGGAAACGCTTCTCATTGTGAGGGATGTACAGACCACCATCAGAGGCACCCTTCATTGCGCCGAAGACACGAGCGCCAGTGGAGGTTCGGTGAAGACCGACATCGAGGAAGCACTTGAATGGGCGACGCTCCTCACCATCCTCACCCTCGGCGGCTTCGGTCAGCTTGTATTCACCATCAGCCTCCTCGACGCCGGTGAATTGCTCATCCAAGCCGAGCTTCTTGAGAGCACGTCGGGCGAGCAGAAGACCCGTTGCGTATGCGGCAGACCAGTTGGTCAGACCGTTCTTGATACCGTATTTCTTGAGTTCATGAGCGTAGGCCGCAACGAAGACCTTGTCGCCAGTGAGTTCGGCGGTGACCAGTTGGCAGATGATGTCGCGGTTGGTGAAGCGGACGACGAGTCGGTACTTTGGCGCATTGTACTTGTTCTTGGCCTGGGTGACCAATCGCTTTCGGGCGTAGTAGTCGGTCTGTAGATGGTGAGTGTGCGAACTCCATCGGCCTCGATCATTCTTACCTTTCCGGTTCTTCTGCGCTTGTACTTGGTTTGGTATCTGGAGAAGTAGGGGGAATTCTTGACGCTGCGGATGTTGTTAGACACGACTGATAGTCCGCCATCTATCAAAGGTGAACTCACAGCTTGGTGAAAGGCATGGTGCCGGTTTCGACTTCTCAAGTCGTCAAGTTTGACCTGGTTGTCTGCAAAATCCTCGAATCAGCATTTTGCGCTGCAGACCAAACTCCGCAGCAACATGCAAGGACTCTCTCGTACATCTTTTCCTAGGGATCAGAGACACGCAGTCTCAGTGTAGTATTCAGGTTCCGAGCGATTGGGATCGACTCGATTTGACAATTGACCTGTGGGAGAAGAGACAATCGTTGTGAGGGTTGGAAGTTCAACGGTGGTGGCAGATGTGTGCGCGCCAAGATTTCTCAAGCGAGCGTCGAAGAAGTGGGTGGGTGAAGCCTTGATTCCCCTCAAGGCTTGAGCTCTCCAACATCAGGTCATAATCGGCAATTCAGTCATTTATCAGAAGAAATCTAGCCATTTGCCAATATCTACCTATAATACGGGCGTGCTTTTCATGCGTATCTCATCCTCATAACCTCATGAGTCGTCATCACATGTCGTTAGTCGTCAAGCAGTCCCGGTCAGAGCAACAACAGGCATCTGACGGAGGCTCTTGTAAGATCGTGCCTATGCGCCTCCCGACATACACCATCGTCCCTCATCTTTTCTGGAATTTGTCTGTCGTCGTCCGAAGCAGCGTGGAAAGGGCATTCCTACTATCCCAATTCCGGATTGTCCAAACTTCCACTTGCTTTCCATCTTCCGTCCTCTTGCTTACCTTCATGGGCTCTCCTAGGGCGGCTTCTTCTGCCTCATTGAGCCAGTCGTTCCAAGCAGGAGTCTTGGGTGCCCAGCCGGCTTCCTTTACCCAGTTGCTGGTCCCCGTAACAGCAATGGCCTTCCACAGAGCTTCGGTATAAGTTGGAGAATAGTTATCGATCTGTGCGTTGCGAGGTGGGGTTCCTCCAGCTATCTCGATATGTTCCACCTCCAGACGAGACAGATCCCAGTGTTGAGCAGGGGGCAAAGCAGCCCCAATCCAGTAGAAAATGTTGATCAACATGTATGATCCGGCGAAAGCTGTCTGTGTCTCGATCCTCGCGTTGGCGAGGGAGATGACTCCACCCATGAGTAGGAGAGTCGAAATCAAGGATAGTCCTCTATAGATTGCCGTACTCTTGACGGCGTAAATGCAGCGCTCGCTGGGGTTGAAATACAGATACCGAGCCGTACGTTCCTCACAACTCACAACGATAAACGCCCCTTGCGGATACTTAATCACAACATCCCCAGGAGGCGAATGCGGGTCAGGTTTGGGATCGTTGGGTGTGGGTTTCCATTTGTTGGCGATTCCAGTTACCGAGCTCAAGGTGGAAAGAAGAAGTGTTGCCAGCAACGACATGCTGATGGAAGCATTTCAGCACCAGTCCCAGTAGGAACAGGTTCTTCACTCACCCGTCCTCATAATATATGGAGAGCCCCAGAAGAGCAGCACTCATGATGAACCCAGCGAATGCCAACAAGGCCAACGGCCCAAACCTCTTGATGGATGGACGAGGCTTACTATTTTCCTTGACTCGTACGCAACTGACGGTATTGGGGGCCAGTTTGTCCCCGCGATGCAAAGCATGCGCAACATGGTGTATGTCTTCGCCGGTGTTGCCTGAATATACCCCAATCACCTTGGCGTTGGCGGTTGTCTCGAGTTTCTCCGGTCGGGACGGTTTGATGAAGCTCTGGGGAGCAGGAAGGAGGCGAGGAAGGTATATGAGATGACTCAAAGTCGCAACTTGTGCAATTGTCTCAACGGAACCTTCTCCAAGGATGGCTAGGAAACCTACGACGGAGAGAATAGTCAGCGGTCTGCCTTGGGCGGTGCAGCCTGATCCTGCGGAGATTCTACCTACCAACGATGTCAAGTTGGAAGCCTTGATTGTTGGATATGTACGTCTCGATGAACTGCATCGTGTATCAGTTGCCGTGGGCGGCGCAGAACACCAGAGCTTCAACAACGTCGACAGCAAGTACAATGGAATGGACATCACAAGGTGGGAAACAGAAGCGTCCGCATTGTGGTCAAGAAAGCCCTAATGTTCAACTAAGCGATCAACACAGCCACTCCAAGGAAGCCCGCAGTCTGTCATGCAGGACGGTGGTTAGAATGCTGGGTGGATTGCTATAGTTTGCGTAGTTAACCTGTAGTTCGAATGTGTATCCATCGTGCTGCAGCCAAGGAGCTGACCGTCGAGGCGGTGGATTGGGAGAGTACTGAGTAGCAGGGATCTTTACCTCTCGTATATAATCACAGATTGACCTCCGGGTGACACAGCAGGCACCTACTACTAGTCATAGGTAGGAGTGTGGTCTCAGTGATATCCTGCCTGACCAAACAGCATTTGAATTTCATCATACAGTCACCCCGGCTTTGTAGTACATGAAACTCATGAGCGGTAAGATAGACAGAAAATGGTGGTGATTGGTATTCCAACGTACACAGCTTAACTCTAGATATTGGTACATATGAAAGAATAGTATGTGGTGATGACAAACTCCCACTCCTTTCCCACTCCACATATTGGTAGCAACAAAGCAGAACATTGTCCTTTGCCAGACAGCAAGTCTACTCAGATGTCATCAGGTCATATAGGTAGGTATGCTTTTCGGGTATCTCGTTGAAAATCAAACGCCCACACCCAATGTTTGATACAATCCAATCATGCCTATCGTCTGGCAACTCTCTCCTCAATCTCGATGTTCAGCTTGGCCTGCCGAGCTGTCCGCTGCTCCTCGACACTGGAATTCGAACCACGATCCCTGCTACGATCACCTGAAAGGCCACGAGACAGAATCCCCCGGAACATGTTAGCTCTCGAGGACCTTTCGTTGACATCTTGCAAGGACCATGGCATGAGCTTGGGGGCTTGTTTGACGATTTTGCAGAACAGAGTGGAGAAGATGAATTCTTCGCCGTAGCCATTGTACAGAGGTAGATGTCGATACCCTTTTTGTAAGCTGTCGAGTTTGGCGGTGAAGGCAGCCAGTTGTCGGACTCCCTTGCCGTTCGGTCTGCCGTCATCGGAATTGAAAACAATGAAGCGGACGAAGACCAGTTCGGGATATTTGGTTTCCAACGATAGCTCGATGGTTTCCCCGAATTGGGGGTTGTAGCCATTGCCAAATCGGATCTGCGTCTGACGACGGTACGGAGAACCGATGCCATGATAACCGTTTGAATAAGTTTCTTTCCCCCCTCTGCCGTTCGCAATGCCACGTGCTCTATCCTCGGCACTGAACATTTGTACCTCGATGAATGGGTTCAGGGGGGTGTCTTTACTCATATTGGCTGCCCGGGGTAGCTGCTGGGCTGAGATGATTTGAACGGAGAACTTCGTCTTGTATCGTGGCAGCTTCACTCGATGTTCGAAATCCCCCGGTTTGGTCCGTGGTTTTCGAAGATAGTCGGGTTTCAAGACATATCCATAGGCGTCTGTGCCGGCCGCAAACATGGCCTGATTCATCTGCATATGAGCATCAAAAGTTTGCCAATTCAGAGCCACCATCTGCACCCCTCGCCTCCAGAATGTATTCGGATCGAAATTTGAGGACTGGAAACGCAGGTTCTTGGGATAGACCCGACACATGTAGTTCAGGTTGTGATCTTCGAAAAGGGCTTTGTCCTCGGCAGAATGACAGAGCTCCATTGCTCGATTTTCATTGAGGGAGAAGATGTGATTATACTGCTGGAATTTCAAATCCTTTGCCTCACGCAGAGTATAGCCTTTCATGTACACACCGAGCTCGGACAGGTAAGACCCCACCTTGCTCAATTTTGGCGGACGGCGATGATTATCGGTGGGTGACAGTGAACCGGCGGGGACATCACTCTCATCGTCACCACTGCTTGCGCTTGTGGCCGTCACGGATCGATCGGTTGGAGAATAAATGGTCTCTGGGGGCGTAATGAGAGCAGGACTGCTGACGGAGGTCGAGCTGGGTGCACTGTATGTTGTCGATGGCAAGAACCCTCGGTGAGGAGAACTGGCACTGCGATCTCGCTGGCCAAATCCGCCCGGGTGAGAAGCCTCGAGATCCGCGTGCAACTCGGTTGACTTGACCTTGATCAGGATCTTGTGCTTGAGTTGTTCCGGTGATGGTAACTTCGTCGTGGAGCCAGGCAAAGGGTGCAATAGAAGCCGATCTCCAAAGACATCCATCATTGTCTGGACCATTTTAGCTTGCTGGTCTGGATCACAGTGGACTTCCAGGGAGATGATCAAAGGATAAGGTGAGACATCAAAGGCACATCGCTGGATGGCGTTGATGCAGTCGGAAAACAGAACAGCGGTTGTCCTTGTGCGGCCATGTGTCACCCTGGGATTTCCATCCTGGCCATTCCAGCAGTCAATTTCAATACACCGGCAGCCATGACGTAGGGCAGTGATGTAAGCCTCTGCAGATGATGTACCTCCGACTTGCCATCCGGTCAAATATGTGTTGTGAGAGCTGGAGATGAAGTACTCGTTAAGAGGGCGATCAAAAACCGGCTTTGGTTCTTCGGGTAGCGCATAAATGTGACAGTCCTTCGACATGATGAAAGAAGCAAACGCGTTGGAATCGATCAACCCAAACAAAGACGGATCTGAAGAAAAAGATGTCTCTACTAGATGATTGATCTTCTCTTCCCAGACACTTGGATCGGACAGTCGCGTGAGATTGACGCCTTGAACCTTTTCCAGGAACGAGACGAACTGTGACCTCGTCAGCCCTTTGGAATCGGGATCTTTCAAGGAGTTGAAGATGTTCTTGATGTCGACGCGTTCACGGAGACGTCGAAGAAACCCCTTGAACTGGTCATACGAAAGAAGCCCCGACCTGTCGACATCCGCGGAGTTGAAGTGTTCTTGTAGCTCCCTTTCAGGCGCGTGGATGTGGAGCTTCCGACATAAGGACTGAATGGCGGGCAGGTCAAGGCCATCGGACTTGGCAATGTCCTGCCTGGTTGGACGCTTTGCCATCTCGCTAGCCCAGTGGGCTCGCATCACGGATTCCCGCTCCGTGAAGCCGACCATACTGGTCATCAACTCTTCGCGATGTTTGGACAGGCTTTCCAAAGTGTCAACCCACAACTTGAAGTCGACGTGAGTGTGGGCCACTAGATGCAAGGTCTTGACTGACTTTGAAGAGTCCGAGGGCGTATAGTTGATCGTGAAACAAAGATCGGGGTCGACAGCTTCGCCACGGAGTTCTTGCTGGTAACTGGCTGCCTCCTCCCCAATGCGGATGCTCTTGATATTGTCTATGTGGAAAGTTTTGGTAGTGACCGCACCTTTCCATGATACGCGGGAACCCTCGACGTCCAGAAAGAACAGCTTTTCTTGCTTTTTGTTCTTGGTGATCTTGGTCAAGAGACAGCCTGCGACCATACGCTCCGGGACGCATGGAGCCTGGCCTTCAGGACTCGTCTCAAGGAACGTGGTTGGTTCGCTGGAAATGCTCATGGTGTCATAGAGACCCAGGCCCGATTGCAGTTCCAGCGGGAGAGTGTCAAAAGAAGGAGACTCCAAGGCAGGGTTGGAGACTGCAGTCTTGCTGTCGCTCCGCCGTCTGGTGATAGGACCAGTACTCTCATCACGGCGATTTTGGGCCGAGGAAGAGGCTTTCCTTCGCAATATTTGTCGGGTGGAAGAGACACCGTCTTTAGCACTTTGGGACAGCTTCCGCATTAGCCCGACCGATTTGGCCCCCGTGGACGATTCCCTTGGCGGAGGGGAGGCATGGGAGGTTGAGACGATAGACTCGGGCAGCTCGAAAGGAGCAGGATTCCCGAGTTGAGAGGACTGGTTGACTGTCTGATGGACCAGTGGTGAAGATTGGAGGGAAGTTATGTACGGGCTCGGAAACACCGACATAGACGAGGCGCTATTGGCGGAGGCCGGTGTGACCGAGACCGCTTGAGGAATGGTGGTGTTGACCCGTTGTATGGAAGACATGCGAGCAAGCGGACGCTGACGGGGAGAAGGCGAACTGTCGCGGCTCTGCAAAGCCCTGGTGGAGGGCGACGCTGAAGCGGATATCATGGCGACGGCGGCACCAGAGGGTTCTTGTGGCCTCGGTTGTCTTGTCCACAGTTTGCCTTATGGTCGGGGTTGGCGAGAGAAGTGAGTCCAGCTCTGTGAAGGGGGATTTGACGGCTTCATTATGGAATCCCTTCGAGGGAGTTCTGATGCCACGGCGGGTCGATCTTGTACAGAGGTGTCCCAAAACACCTTCAGCAGCTCCGGAGACCAGCCATGCTGGAGCGCCTGATGGGAGTGAAGCCTGGATTGGTTCTCGTGCAGCTGCAATGCAGACAGGGGAGGATATGTTGGAAGTACAACGCGTGGGTTGGCGATATGTAGGGCGTTCGGCCTTGCAGACACGGCGACGTGCAGACTCGCGTGATGGAGGATATGCAACCGGTCAGAGGTCAAGACCATACAGTCAGACGACAGGCGATCGAGTTGGAATCGAGTACGAAACAAGCGGACAATGTGGTGGTGGTCGTGATAGTTGGGAGTTTAGTGAGAAAATGGTCGCTTGGTGTATTCTGTACGTTCGCAGGGGTTTGTTTAAGGCGACCTTGGACAAAGGAAGGGACGAGACAGTAGCAATCCAGCTGTCTGCTTAAAGGTCGGAGAGTCTGATAGAAGCGTGTGCACAGCACAACCTGGTACGAAAAGCAATGACAGAAATAGTTGAGGTCGTGGTCGTTGGTCGTGGTCGTGGCGGAGGTGAGAGAGCGAATGGTGCGCTGCAATGCAGGTCGCAAGAGTGGGAAAGGTCTGGAGAGGATGGAGAGGATGAGGATGCGAAGATGGAATGGAATGGAAGTGGAAATAATGGGCGGATTTCTGAAAATTAAAATGGTCGGTACAAGAGGGACGTGTATGGCGATGGTATTTTCAGGAGAATGACGAGAGATGCGATTCAGCCAGGGGAGACGGATTTGATCGTTCAACCCGGCCTGGGATCGAGGGACGTACTAGTACTACGCGGACTGACTGCGACGGCCGCGAATCAAAAATACTAGGTACTGTACGCGAGGATACTCACGAGGAACAGTCGAGTACAGAATAAGGTACCTGGGAGCATTTATTATTCCAGGTGTCCCTAGGTCAGGTAGTATTATCCGCAAGGTAGACAGGCAGACAATCAACGATTCTACCCGGGACAGGAGGGAAAACAATGCATTCGTTCACTCCTTGTTCCTTGTCGGAGCTCTTTCTTTTCCTCCTACTTTGCCTCCACTCTCGGTTGAAAATCAAACCAAGGAGTAAGCTAGAGAGATGGCAGACCAAGAGCCGATTTTGACGGGCGATGACGTTGAAAGTTCCCAGGCCTCCTCCGTAGGGAGAGTGTGCTCGGATGTTGCGGTTGCTGAGAGGCTAGGGAGGCCCTAAGCCCCCTCACCGTACCTAGGCATGATGGCCTAGAGGTAGGCATTATTCGTGGACAACTTTCACTTGAATGGGGCACCGGCAACGATGAAAGCAAGATCCGGTGCTACAGTTAGGCAGTTATAGGTAAAGAGCCTCTCTAGTCGCGGCTCACCCGGTGCCTGACACCTCGCATACGATACGTATCTTACCCTTAGGAGGTTCTGTCTGGCACCACCGATATGTCTACTACTGCAGTGCTAGGCTCCCTAGGCTTCGTTTTTCTTGCCCACATGGATCTTCAAGTGATGGGACCTGGGATATTCTTAGAACGCCTAAAAGCTGGCAAAGGGAGGAAAATGGTGAAAAGGATCGAGGAAGATGCTCCCGTACAAACTTTTGATGTGCGAAATCAATACCCACAGGCGCAATATACACGTATGATCTTCAGGCTACCTTACGGTACCTACCATCGACATCTCCCTGCAGATTGTTATCTTTTTTCTCCTTGCGATTTCCAGGTCAGAAATGAAAGGACTCCATCTCCTAGGTCTCCTTCCGCTCTCTTCCAGCTGCAATTAAACTTGATCCTCTCCTCGCTTCCACTCTATGGATTCGCCATTTTGATCCCCGTCGAATCATTCTCCCTCTTGGGCTTCTATCTCTGTCTAGGGTGGCTAGGAGTGCTCGAATGGTTGGAATCATGCCTTCCCTTCAACACTCGCCAATCCGAAACCCGCCCTTGTCCTTGACGATGCCATCGACCTTGTCCCGCTCGCCATCCGTCTGCCGCTCTGCCGAACTTCCTCTGTAGTCGACGTCGTACCGCTACCTCCACGGTCGAACGCTGATCGTATTCGTCGTGATGCTGTATGCGAGAAGCTTGGATCATCACACTGCGATTAGTATTCCATGTATCCAAGGCACACGCAGGCTCCTGGCAAGCGAGAGGTTATTGTGAACGGATTATGCCGGATATCCAGTTGATACCGTGGGTCTAGGTCACTGGTTTCAGCTGACAGCATGGAAGATCTTCGCAAAATATCCTTACTCATCGGCTCGCGCTCGGTCTCGAGAGAAGCTATCCATGATAGCCTCTGGTTGCTCTGGCGGCCAGCTCGAGGCACTGCACAATGCCGATTTAGTCGCTCGTATTGGCATGTCTGCTGACAATCGCAACATCCCGACCGCGCAAGTTGCAGATAGGCGTCAGCAAGGACAAGCAAGGCTTGCGCACGAGGAGGACGCATCTGCACGCTGCCTGTCGCGTCGTGCCGTCCAGCTGCATCTCTGTATCGACCTGCAGTCGTACGACGAGTCAATCGAGAGATGCATGGCAAGGCACGAGTCCTGCAAAGCATACGTGGCCAGCACCGTAACCAGTCTTCCATCTTTGATATACCTAGGTCCATGTCCGCTGCACGCTGCAAGTCAACACCATCAAAAACCCCCACACGAGTGACGACAGCTAGCCTCACCAGTCGGTCCAGACGGCAATCTTGTGCCACCTTCGGCCGAGCGTCTGGAAGACCGGGGACAGCTTCATAGCAGATGTGCAGATGCTGCGCGCACTGTGCTTTAGCAAGACACAACCACCAATCCCAGACTGCGTCAAGCCAGTGAAGGGCGAGGTGTTCAGGTCAGACGGCGCCCTAGGAACAAGAACAAAACAGCAGTGGAATGACGTGAAATGACCTGTACACTGTATTGCGTTTCAAGACCCAGCCCGCCGGGCCCACGCTATGTCTTCAGGCGGCCGAACCTCCCTGGCCTCCTTGAAGACTCAACTCTGGTCGCGAGATGGTACCGCTTTCGATCACTTTGCCTTTTTCCAAGAAATCCTTCAGGCACACCCGAGGATCCGTGCGCAGTTGACAGCTGGCGGGCGACACTGAAAGATTCCCTCTTCCGGCACTTCGAGCCATCATGCCGCTGCTATCCCCCACGATTGTTGAGCAAAATCTTGGAAGAAGAGTTCAACCTTGGATCCGCCGCATGCGATATCTCAACATTGCCTGACCTAGTGCAAGAGATCATGTCCTGACGGAGCGGTTCTCATACCACTCTTGCTCCCTGTCGATCTTGGCCCTCTGGCCGCCACCGGGAAAAAACTGACAGCGTTGTACCTGTTTCAGGAGCTAAACGGCTCCAGGGCGATAACCGGATCGCCGTGGAGACTAATTGACGTTGACCCCTTCGCTTGCGAGGACGTTGGCCAATCTGCGATGGGGACGAGACGAACAAAGGGAAAAAAGCTGCACCCCGGATTTGGTTATGCATCAACCAAGACCACTTGCTGCTGAGACCAAATTGATAAGCCTCGGCTAACAAGGACGCCGTCGCGTCTGACGTGGCAAGCCGTGCGGTGCCAGTGGGACACGATAGCGCCTCTCCTGCTCATTGGCTTTCCAAAGTGCCCGCGTACCATCCCGTACAATCTGATGAGTGGTAAGCCCCCTTGTCTGTACTAGGGAGGCAAGGGACGCGAATACGAGGTTCCGCGCACACGATTTCGACCGGAATCTGTTCACTTGCCTTGGATGGCATAGGGTGACAGCGCTGATGAACCTGAACTCGGGCGTCCCTTCAGCTGGATCCTTGGTGACATTTTCAGCGGTGACATTATTACCCAGACCTGCAAGGATGCCAATACGAAGGTGAGTTCCCGTCTGGAGCATTCTTCATCCCGATCCGGTTTGTGTTGGCTTACGACTTGATCACACCGCCATCAAGGACGCTTTCCTGGATATTGATAACTAGGTATGGTCACGCCCTGCTATTCGTGGACCCGAGCGTATATGGCGGCCAGTGAACAATGGTACGGGCTGGATATTCTGGGATGGTCCCGAGTCCCACGCAAGCCGAACACATCCTTGCTACTGCAGCGTATGCACCATTTCATGCAGAGTTCGTGATCTCATGTGTTGGCAGGCAGCGACTCGTCACCAGGCTCACAAGCGTCTAGACGTGGACAACCCCGTTGCAGCTCAATACAGGGCACCCGGCTTCATGAAGCACCAGCAAGTACGACAATCAACTGGATGGACGTCGACTCCTCACTTTCGGATATGCATTGGAGCGTGATGCTGACCACTTTGATTGACAAACAGGACAACTCTGATATTCAGGTTGATAGGCTTCATCCCACTTAGTCTGTCCAATACTTTTGCTGCGTCTTGTAACATATGAGAGCCGGCCTGGCTAAGGGGTACGTATCATTTATTGATCTGCAATTTCGACTCACGTGGGATGAGCAAGTTGGCACCTGGCTTTGGTTTGGACGTTGTCAAGGCCTCGCCCAGCTGAACCTTTTGCTCTCTTTCGCTCAAGGAGTTTCGCAAGGCAACTTCGCAAGACGGCAGACGGCAGACGACCCTGTTAATGGTTCCGACCCATGCTGGGACCGCAAACCGGACACTGGCGACAATCTGTCCACGGGTGGGTTGAGGGGATCGAGAGAACTCACTGCGTATGTTGTCGTCGACATCGCACATCATGCGGACAAACTATCCGTTGCATATGGATGCTGTCCCAGTGTCCATCTTCCAGCACCTGGAAAGGACGATCCTGTTTTCGTTTAGAATGTGGCGGGTACCCAGAGTGAGCTTTCTCCTGTGAACACAACCCCGCCGGTTGCTGGTAGCCCATTCCTTGACACTGCTTGTCTCTATCCACGACGACGATGCTGCTGATGGTGGTCCAATTTGAGGGTCAAGATGCGGGCAATTGAATCATGACTCGCATCATCTGGCCCAGGCAAATGTCCCATACAGACAGCGGCGCCATCCACTACTATCTCTTCACTTCGACAAGGAAACCACAGATTCACTCGTTCAAATCCAACAGGTCGAAGGACTCATGCGAACATCAGGATACGCCCTCCATACGAACCCGACACTGTGGATCTTGTCAGTCCATGCGTACTCTACTAGCAAGCAAAATTTCTTCTTTGCCAAGTACCAATTGGTGAGCTATCGAATCCCTTGTGACTGATATTGACCCTAGGGAGGTCTTGCAAAGGTGAAGCACGCCAGACTTGGGTGTCATCGATCAACTTACTATTCTTGGAACGAAAGCACATCAGGATTTGCTGTTGTCTGCAAGGCGACCCTCAGTTCAGTTTCCAAGCATTGACGAGGCCCTAAAGATGGTGGAGATAGAAGTGGGTTGCACTGTCGAAATGTCCACCGCAGGCTTCTATGAATAGCCCGCGCAGCCGAGCCGAAGCACACTATAAGGTACGTGCCGGTACTGTAGGTATGCGGTGTGTTGTGTACTGCGTCCTTTCGTCGAGAAACCTCCCGTCTCGCCCACTTTCCAACCACAGAACTTGTTGTGGCAGACGTGCAAGACATCAGCAGTAGGGCAAGGGGTGGCCAGGAGACCACACCCTGAAATGACAATGCTCGAGACTAGACTGGCAGGATAGCTAGCATCCATAGAGATAGAGAACTTCATACACAACACTCTCTTCTCTTCGCATTACATTGGCCCATATAAGGGGAATAGCGGATTTTGATCACTTGGAGAGGAACCTGTCCGTGGGAGTCAGAGATAATATCTCTCCTCTATAGCGAACTGATGGATTTGACGAATATAATCCATCATAATTGTATATTATATTCGTGCTTTCAGGTTGGTACATAGGTAAATTATCTTCACCCATCACCCATATCATCATGACATCCTTGCTCGTAAACAATGATGTCGTGACTTCCCGCTCTCCTTACGCCATGGGTTATATGATACAAGAATAGAATCTCTTACACATATGATAGATACTGGGTAGTGGACGTTGATTGTCTAGCCTATACTATTCCCCCATTCCGGGTTGAGATGACCCTACGAGAGCTTCGTCCGATCCAGACTCCTTTTGAGTCGACGGGACAAACGAGTCGAGATGTCCAGAGATTCAAGTCTCTGCGATCCGCCTTCGCTTTCTAGCCGTTCCTGTTGTCGGAACAGGCGTCGAAACCTCTGCGGTTGTCTCCTCCTCGTTCAAAGCCGATCCGACGCTAGAGTGCCTGACACTAGCACTCGCACTGCCATGTTGTTGGGCGCCAAACGAGCCGGAAGACTGCAAGAGCTTGGAGCCCGCGCCGCCGGCACCACCCCCTCCACCAGCAACAGTATCGTCGGCGCCCAGCCTCTCGACATCTTCGCGCCATTTGCGGATTTGGGCGAGGACATCGTCGAACATTTCTCGGGTGTCCGAGATGATGCCGCCTTCCTCGGCCGCATGTCCTTGTTCGCTGGATGCAGTGTCGTCGCTGGTGTCTTCGTCCGAGTCCAGGTCTGCCTGATCCTTCCTCAGTCGAAGAGACCGGCCGAATCCCCGTTCCGAGGTGGGGAGAGGGTTGAACATAATCGCGTTGGCGAACATCCTCACCAACTCCATCTCGAGCTGTGACGAGTTGACGATGCCTCGCGGCGGGACCAAGTCTTCCGATACTTTCACTTGGTAGAGCCCATTGCCGATGTGGCCTTCCCGAGCATCCGGCGCCGAGGCCGGTGTGATCTTCGCGTCGCTGTCCTCGCCACTCTCCCCGTCACTTTCCAAAGCCTCAATTGCGGCCAAAGCAGCCTTCCCGCCTCTGGAGATGGCAGCTTTGATGCTCTTGAGATCCTGGGGACGAAGGACCAGACTCTTGTAGCCTGGCGCATCGCGCTCCGACAAAGGTTTGGCAAATATCCCCGCCAGCTTATGCGAGAGAATCTCGTTGAGGAGCAGTTGAGAAGTTTTCGCAAAGTTCTTGGAGACAGTAACCAGTGAAGAATCACGTGGGGTACTGTGCGGTATCGCAGTGGGGGCTGGGGACGGTAAAGGAGGAGTCGCAGACTCTCTTTCCGGAGAGCGTTTGCGCTTGGTGGTCCTAGTCGGCTCGTTCGTCAATGTGGCAGCGCCAGACTGAGATTTGGCGATTCGCCCAGATGTTTGTTGAGTCTGTTCGTTGTCCGATGGCATAGGAGCAGGTGTACTCGGAGGTTCGGCCTTGATTTTCTGAGGCGGACGTCCCCTCTTCCGCTTCTCTGTAGGAACATCAGATGTAAAAGATGCCATTGATTCAGACCTGGACTGAGCAATCGCGGATGAAGTGGCACTGGTCGCCTGTCTGCCTCTTGCTGAGGGGACCTCGGGGGCTGATAATAGTGTTGGGCCTGTCCTCTGCCCCTTTCTCTCGGGCGATTTCCTGACTTTTGTATTTGAAGGAGTTTCTGTATCTGTGAGAGGGCTGACATCTCTCTCTGGTCGAACAGGACTAGGCTGACGAGCGCGTGTTGACAAATCTGCACGTCTCTTCCACGGTGTGGAAGATCTGCCTCGCGACAACTGCCGCCTAGAGTCGCTTCGAGGAACGGGCGTGACATTTGCAGATCCATGATAGCTGTAATATGGTTGTCCGGACTGCGGATGCCAACCGTGAGGCGGGGGCGGCTGACCCTGATAGTGAATCGGGGCACTCTGGGGATATTGTTGGTATGCGGGATGATGTGGTGTTTGATATGGGATTCCAGGTCTTCCGGGCGGCGATGGCATATAATATTGTGGATTCCCGTACGGCGATTGAGGATATTGATGCTGTGGAGGAATGTGATGCGGCCACGGAGGCGGTGGGTAGCCCGCATATGGTGGATATGGCTGTTGAGGCGGCATAGGTATCGGTGATCCTCTACCCTGACCAGACGAAGAGCTCGCCCGTTTTTGGCCTGGATATTCTGCCGGTGGAGGCATATGAGGGATTCCTTGCATGCCGGGTTGCACTGGTACTGGATGACCTTGCGGCCCAGGTTGGAAATGTTGTGGATTGATCGAGGCATAGTTGGGTCGTTGAGGGGATGGAGTGGGAAGAGCAGGATGGAACGATGATGGCGAGCGATGCTGAGGATGTCCTGAATGCTGCGAGGGTCTGACTTGAGCAGACTCCACCGGCTGTGCGGCTGAGGAGACACTGGGGGTGGGCGGTGCTGGAGAAGCCGAAGTTACCACAGGATGTTGCTGTAGACCACTTCGAGTAGAAGAAGGTGATGCTCTGGTATTTGGCGGAGACACCTCGACTTTCGGCGCAACCTGTTCGGCTCGACTTGCATCGAGGCTGGCATGTAGCTGAGCCGCAGCTGCATCAGGGCTCGGCCGGGGCTCTGGCTCCGTCGGCGCACTGTCTTCATCGACGAGTTCCTTGACCTGCGGTTGGACTTCGACTTTGGCGGCTTCGGCCTTGCTCTGCGCTTGCTGTTCATCCTCAACCTCTTTCTCCAGCTGGGCAATCTCCGCCTTGATTTCAGCGTAAGCCTCCTCTTCCGCGCGGATTTCTCTTATGGTTTGCTCCTTGAAGCGAGCATAAAGCTTGTCTACCAGGGATTGCAGTATTTTCTCTTCGGACGGCTCATCCTTTTCAGATCGAGGGGACGCCGACAGCTTTCGTTTGCGCGGATTGACATTGTCACCATTGACCGTAGGGACCCCGGCGACATTTTCCTCCACCAGCAAATCCTGGTATAGTCCTTGAAGTGCGGACGCCGTCAGTCGCGTCTGATCGTAGGTCTGATTCTCGCGAATGAGTTCATTGGCATTTAGTGTATTTGCGATGTTCTCAAAGGCTTCTGAGTCCGAGCCATGGCGGGCGACGGAGTGACAAAACACAAGCGTCTCGTATGGAGTGTAGGCTGTTAACGAAGGCATCCCATCGTCGCAAAGATGGTAGAGGATGAATGTCGCCCGCCCGGAGATGCGACAAGGTCTCTACGCTGTGACGGCGCGAATCAAGGCAGTCCGCGGACAGGATGGCCAGAGACGCGCGGGTGATTGCCTTTAGGCGAACGATGGGGAAGGCAGCGAGCGGGTTGGTGGAGGAGATGGAAACTAGATGATGAAAATTGTGGTTGTGGTTCAATTGTGGTTGACGCGAAATGATGGTGGAAAAATTGCTGGCTGCTTCAAGATCCGCGGTTGATCGATGGCTGGAACCACAGGAACTACCACTACAGAGTACGTACCTATAGACGACACCACACCAATTGAGCAAAATGATTGAACGGACCAGGGTGCTGTCTAGTGGTGCTATACTAGATGATAGGCGAGATTTCCCGGCAAAGGACTGAGGTTGGCGGTCGTTTCGCTTTTCGAGTTTGACAGTGTCAGGCTTAGGGGCCCCAGGGGCCTAAAGGAGCCGAAGGAACCCAAGAAGTGCCTAATAATATTGTCGCCCCTACGCCCATCGACGCCTGACAGGTCCATTTCAACCACTGCATGGGCATCAGCGGAAATGACCCTTGCACATTACATCGTTGACATTGAGATCACGATCGGCACCCCTAAACCCCCTACAGCCCCCCAATGCTTTGGTTCGCGCCCTTACTGTGGGATGCAGTTGTTGCTCTCTCGTTCCAGGGGGAGCGTGACCTCCTTTTGCCTGATCGCAGGCATTCGCTCTACAGTAAGGTTTCTTGTAGAAGGCATCAGTGCCACGGACAGGACAAGCCTACAGGGCAGCCACTACTACCAGCTGCCTGCCTCAGTGGTTCAGAACCTACGAAGTCCGAGTCGTTCGGGGGCTCAGTGTTGAGCGTTTGACTCTATGTGACTCCTCGACAGCTGCTTCTATTGTCACTTGACATCATTTGGGGGACTATTGTCCTGCCTGATTCTTGAATCCATATAACTAGTCCTCTGCTCTACTCTGCACTGCATTGCACTGTTATATTTGCTCTGAGTTGCGACCTCTCAAACCGACTGCATCGAACAACATGGCCAACGACGCTAGATGGAAGGCAAATGGCAGACCACAATCGTAAGCGCTGGTCATGGACAGACCACATGGTATCATCACTGACGGCGAAATAGGACTATTGCTCGCGACTTCTCCGCTGCCTTGGATGATTTATTCAAACTGAACGATGTTGGAGCATTGGAGGAGTCGGTCGAACAGAAGTAAGACGCGGACCTCTCCGTCAACACCGGTTCGCTGACAAGATGGGGTACAGGAAGGACACCCTCCAGTCGCAGCGACATCAACTCGAAGACCTCGATGCCAAGTTGCGCGAGACCGACGAAAAGCTGAAGCAACTCGAGGCGACGCGCCACCGCCACGACCAAACGTCGACCATGCCGCCCAGAAAACCCGTGTCGTCCCTCATTCCTGGCGACAGTGACGCCGATTACAGCAGCGGAGACAGCGATGGTCAGGGCAAATCATCACCGCCACGGGAAGCACATTCGAGATGAACATGAGGCTGGCCTTTAACATCTCTTGGACGCGTATTCTTGCGCAAGACCCGCACATGTGGTTATTTGGTTCGCATTCCCTGCGTTAGTAGGCGTTGGGAGGGAGGCTTGCTCGTGGGTTCGACTGGGTAGGAAGACTTTGGCTATACCACAGGACTGGTCAGGCAGCGTGCTGGAGAGCACTCGGAGGCCTCAAGACCCAGATTGGTTATTTTCGAACTCGTGTATACCTAATAGATGGCCAATACACCGTTTGCAATCTGTCATATGGACAGTATTGCTTCCCACTTCTTTTGCTGACAGTGTTGCATGAGAGCTGCCTCCATGCCCGAACTCATCTGCAGCAGTACATGGACATGTGCTACTCTCCTAGGATCAAACTGGGGAAAAGCTTATGGAATCAAGCATCAGCGCCCATACATCTACCTCTTGAACTTATGCCAGGGCTGTCAGGCCCCCAAACCACGACTGGCAAACATTGTTCGTACAGAATGTATTCTGTTGACGTGGTTTCATTATCCCCTTTTGTGCTCTTGTAAGTCCGAAGATTGTGTCATAGGAGAGACAGACAGTGGCAGCTCGGGCTTATCGGATATAGGCGGAACGCAGGATCATCGTCGAAGAGTCTCGAAGGGGCAGCAACCGGAGAGTTCAGGTCGTCCTGTGAGTTATGCAGCAGCTGTACCGCCCGAATAGGAAAGCTGATTGTTGAAGGAACGCGTAAAGCTGAGTCAAGACCTGGATTGGGATTGAGATTGTTGGGTGGTACACAACAACTTCAACGGCTGGCACCGGAGGGAGAATATATTGATCTATTTGGCATGATTCCCAGACGGTCTTACGGTCTTGTATAATCAACAGATGAACAGCATCCGGCATTGGACTACCAGTATCCTCTCACTAACACAGAAGTTGTCACCCGCAACTACTACTACTAGTATCACAAAGACATACACCACGCGCACCATGGCAACCATGAAAGCTGCGGTGATTCATGAACCGGGCGGCCCCGAAGTCCTCAAACTCGAAAACATCCCCATCCCAACCCCAAAGGACGATGAAGTTCTCATCCATGTCAAAGCATTCGGCCTCAATCGGTCGGAGCTCTTCACCCGTCAAGGCCACAGTCCCGGAGTCAAGTTTCCTCGCGTCCTAGGGATCGAGGCCTCCGGGGTGGTGGACAAGTGTCCCGGCGGCCAGTTTGAGCCTGGCCAGAAGGTCGCCACGGCCATGGGAGGCATGGGGCGAGCGTTCGACGGCGGATACGCCGAGTACACGTGCGTCAAGGCGAGCAATGTGCAAGCCCTCGATACCAATCTGGACTGGACCATCATCGGCGCCGTGCCCGAAATGCTACAGACGGCGTACGGCTCTCTGTTCAAGGCGTTGCATTTGACCCCGAAGGACCGGCTCCTGGTGCGTGGAGGCACGACATCCGTGGGCCTTGCGGCGGCCGCCATTGCCAAAAACCATGGCTGTTTCGTGGCCTCCACCAGTCGGAACTCCTCTCAGGCCACGGCCGACCTGTTGAAGAAGTCCGGAGTGGACCAGGTCATCGTCGACGATGGAAAGGTCGCGGCGCAGGTCAAGGATCACAAGTTTGACAAGGTCTTGGAATTGATCGGCACAGTCACTCTGGAAGACTCCCTGCAATGCGCAGTTGGAGGGGGGATTGTTTGCATGACTGGAATTGTTGGTAAGTCCTGGACTGACTGATGGCTCTATCTCTGTCTCCGTCTCCAATGGTCACTAATTCTTTCTCCCCAGGCAACAAATGGACGTTCGATAGTTTCGCTCCCATGGATGTCATTCCAAACACGGTCTGCCTTACGGTCTACTCAGGTGGCCCAGATGAATTCAAGGAGACCCCACTGAATGACCTGCTCAAGCAGATCGAGGACGGCACGTTGCCGGTGCAGGTCGGCAAGGTCTTCAAGTTGGACCAGATTGTCGAGGCACATGACACCATGGAAAAGAACCTCGCTCGCGGGAAGATCGTTGTTCTAACGGAATGAAAGGGTTGGCGTAGCAATGACCATCACCGAGATCTGGAAGCTGAAGGTATAATCCTAGGACAAAGGACTCGGTGGGTATCTGAGATATCTAATCAATGACTTGTGACAAATCCTGCCTGAATCTTAATGATACAAGGCTCCCGATCTTGGGAATGCCGTCCGAAACCGTCAGCATCGTGTAAGGTTGCAAGGACAGTTGAATCAACCATATCGCATCTCTCCCTATATCGACAGTTCTCTCCCATTGTGTTCACGGGTCAGACACCGCACGACGCAATTTCTTTCCTTGCTTTTTCGCCCCACTCATCGCCCTTCGTGGACGAGCAGTCCGAATTTGACTCCGGGGCTTGCCGCTATTCCATATGTCCCATACCTCCAGAGACGGCCGTTGACCGACAAACCTGCCCGTTGGAGTGAAGATTTCCACTTGCGGAAAATCCTGGGTTTCAACCTCAGTGACCGCAGTTGATGTGGTGAAAGGGACGAATCCGGTGGTATCAATAGACACCGCTTCTGCAGTAGGGACAGCTGATGTGTTTGAGTCTTGTTCTCCAACAGGCTCAGCTTCCACAGGAGCAGCCTGAGTTGTGTGTCGGTACTTTCTCACCTGACAGACAAGCTCGACCCAGCCCACCCCTTCGATGAGAATGTCTGTGGCATAGACCTTGAATGGCAACTTCGCTGCGTCAACCCCTGCCCTGATCACGGACCCTGCTCGGGACTTTGTAACATCCGTCTGAAGGGAGAACTTGCCAGCCGGAGCCATGGCCTGCTGTGCGTCCTCCGCGAGGATCGAGTCCACACCACTTGCACGTTGCTCTTCTTGTGCGCTGACGGCTTTTTCCGTTGATGTGACGTGGGATTTCAGGGGTACAAACGGGTAAGCCAGCATTATCGTACTGGGATCCTGCTCATCCAACTTGGGTGTGATCCGAATAAGTCCACCTCCGAGAAGCAGAGATTGGCCTGGTTTGATCTTGAACTGCAGGACCTTCGGACGGTGCTCCATGACCAGGTCAAGTCTATCCTCCGGCCGCACAAATCGATCAAGCCCACCACGCTCCAAGCCAGGCAGGTCGACGAGTTCTCCTCTGTTATTACCAAAAGGAAGCCTGATAGGCGAAGCGGTGGTTCCAGGCAGATTTGACACCAACGGCATGGTGGGAAATGGAACCTCGGGCTGAGGTGGCGGGAGTAGACTGTTTTCTGAGAGGAAGTTGCTCGATGTTGCATCGTCGACGGTGTCCGTTTCTTGCTGATGCTGTTGTAGTTCTGCGTATACCGGAGCCCTTTCACCGGAGCCTTTGGGAAATAGCACTTCGAAAAGACTGGATTTCCCTACATTGAACTTGCCAACCAACCAATTGCCCCCTCCTCGCTCCCAGATACTCTCCTTGATGTCCTTTGTCCACCACCCTCTTTTCGAGGAAACCAGATGGACATTCCCCAGTCTGATATTCTGATATCTGCGCCCTAGAGCCGTTCTCAGAATGGAGACCAACTTCGGCATCATTTTGTCAACCATGTCCTTGGTGGGTCCGAGTAAATCCGACCGCGTGATTATGAACGAAAGCGACGGCTTTGAGGAGAATGAGTGTTGTGAACGACGGTTTTGGCTCCGTGGCTTCGCTAGAGACAAGCTCTTGAAAATCGAAGGTACTAAAGACATGGGGAAGTCTGCAGCATCGAGGACGTGATATACATGGTTCTTGGAGAATGGTGATTCTGCAATCGAGTCTGCAATGTCCTCGATAGAAGGATGTGCGATAGGAACACCGCGAGAGTCATGGATTAGATGGTGACAGCGATCACAGACCGGAGGACGAATAGGTGTATTAGGTATAGACATATTGCCCTCAATCTGTTCACCGTCTTCCTCTAGGGAGGTAGTCTGCTTTGGGACGCCATCTTCCTCGACCGCACCCTCCTGCTGGCTTGCCAGGCGGGATTCATACTCAACAGCCTTCAGGTATTTCTTCACCGTGTTCCTCGACTTTGTGTAAAATCCCGCCTCACCAGGCTCAACATCCTGCGTGAGGGCGCCACAGCCTGGGCATGAGGTTGGAAGTCTTCCTGCATCCCGATGTTGCCTGTCAGCAGGACTCCGGAGGGTTGATGTCGCTGTCGGTGCCTTGAAAGGTCTCTGGCTGTGATCCAACAGAGTCTGGGCCTCTGGAGGAGACGCCTGTTCCGGGGAAGCGTCAGTTGACAGACAAGAACGATGTGATCGCAGACCAGCGACTGGACTAAGCCCGTTAGCAGCGGCGAACCAGCGCGGCGAGATTTTCCTCAGGCGAGAAGATCTGCACACCCGACACGCAATGTCCATGTGTTGCTGGTTGAATATTCGTAGGCCAGGGTTGGATTCGTGAAGATTCAGAAGGGACTCTTGATATGACCGATGGAGATGAAATCTGAATTTCCAACCGAACAGGAATGAAATGCATGCGCTGCTTTTGCGGCCGAGCCAGCTAACAAAAAAAAGTGGCACCGCAGAAATGATATAAGCAGCCTGGGGCTTTCGATACAATAGGCGCTCCTCTTATCAACTTTTAGGTATGCCGACCGCCTATAAACGGTTAAAGGGGCGCGCCTAAATGGATTTGGCGGTGCCGCTTTTTTGGTTCCCTGTCTCGCCGTGTTTGAATCTCTGCCAGTGGGTTCTGTCCTTGCAGGCTTTGAAAGAAGAACGTTATAACGGTGTAAGATTGGCCAGATTCGTTCTGAATAGTGGAAAAGTAGGTGAAATGTCACATATAGTAATTTGGGGTGTCCGTACTACGGCTCTTGCTCTCTTGATGGGCGGGCGATCTTGCTCTGTCCGCCTCAAGCATTTCGCGTCACGCAGTTCAACCTTGTAACCTTGCGCTCTTTGTCTTTTTGCTTTCTGTGGATGGGTCTGATAGGGTCATCATCCTTACACTCACCCTCGCCGTGACAAAATCATGAGCAACGTGCCTGCTGCGAGGTGGCAACCTTGAATGGTCTCCTCGGTCTGGCTGACATTTAGCGGTTTGACTCCTCCCGCGTTTCACGGACTGTCGATGGATTCTCAATCTACGTTTCCAGACAACCACTGTGTGACTAGATGGCATAGGTGAAAGCCGGGGTTGAGGGTACAATTCCCAAGCAACACTACCCAGCAAGAGCAATGACAGCAATGTTTGGTCTGTACTAGATTAGCCTCGTTGGTGACTGTCCTCTGCTTCCCTTTCCTTATAAGAGGTCTTCTGTCTGCTGGGCATGGCGCTCAGCTTCATGTCTACCTAACTTGGAACAGTCGCGTTTCAACCCCTGAGAGATGCCGGAGACGTACGAATTCATCGTGGTGGGCGCTGGCGCTGCTGGTGCTGTCCTTGCGGCGCACCTTGCACATAGCAAGAAGGCACCTTCTGTCCTTCTCATAGAAGCCGGGGGAAAGAATGATTCGAAAGCGAATCGTGTCGATGCAGAAAGGTGGCTTCACCGGATGATTCCAGCGCAAAATTGGGGGTACAAGACTGTTCCTATCAAAGGCTTCGACGGGAGTGTCATCGAGTATGACCGTGGTAAAGGGCTCGGAGGCAGTACCTCTATCAACTTCAGCGTCTGGACAATTGGACCTCGGGATGACCATGACGAGATTGCACATCTGGTTGGCGACGATGAATGGGCCTGGGAAAACGCGAAACAACGATACAAGAGACTGGAGAGCTACCACGCCTCGTCGCCGGATATTCCCGATGACTGCAAAAAGTACCTAGACCCCAAGCCTGAAGACCACGGCTTCAATGGCCCGATCCACGTCGGCTTCCCCAGAATATGGGAACGAACTTTCCATTCTCTGATGGAACTATGGCTTGCACATGGCACGGAGCCCAATCTAGATCACAATTCTGGTGACCCTATTGGTCTTTCCATCTGTGCTTCGACGGCATACAAAGGAGTCCGTTCCACCTCGGCCGATGCTTTGATAGGAGCCCCTTCCAATCTGGAGATTCTTGTCGATACTGAGGTGTGTCGTGTTTTGTTCGATGGCAGCAAAGCCGTTGGAGTTGAGACCTTTGATGGCCGTAAGTTCTATGCCAGTAAAGAAATCATCCTCTCCGCCGGCGCTCAGGACACTCCACGGATTCTCATGCACTCGGGTATAGGGCCGGCGGACCAGCTTGGCAGCTTCAATATCCCTGTTGTGAAGGCCAACTCGAACGTGGGACAGCACATGAAAGACCACCATCATGTCATGCTGAGTTTTGAGAGGGCTGATCACACTACAGACCGACACAGATTCTACAAGAGCAAAGAGCTTCAGGCAGACGCGAGAGCGCAGTGGGAAAGAGACGGCACGGGGCCTCTGTCAGAATATGGCTGTGCTCTTGGGCTGGCATATCTCAAGCTTGACGGCATCTACGCGACTGAGGAGTTTCAGAAACTGCCAGAGAGTCAGAAACAGTTCCTGCAAAAGCCAACCATTCCCCATTACGAGGTGCTCTTGAACGTGGCCCATACCCCTTACTTCCTCGACCCAGAGAATGCGGCCGCAGGCACAACGGTGTTTCTGTTTCTCCTCAACCAACAATCCACTGGCACTGTGACTTTACGATCCTCCGATCCCAAGGTGCCTCTGGTCTTCGACCCCAACTATTTCTCTCACCCTTTTGATCGAAGACTTGCAGTTGAACTCACACGAGAGGTGTGTAAGGTTTTCAAGAACCCCAAGTTCACCGAGCATACGACTGCCCATCTACTTACTCCGAAGAGCGAGTCGGAAGAGGACATTATCGACTTCTGGAAAAGGAACTCGTCGAGCACGTGGCACATGATGGGAACAGCCCGAATGGGTCGGGACGAGAAGGATTCAGTAGTGGACAGAGACTTCAAGGTCTTTGGCGTCGAAAAGCTGCGCGTGGCAGACATGAGTGTGATTCCAATTGTTGCTAAGTAAATGGTCCATTCGTTTCTGTTCTGGGAAGATTTGCTAACAACCATGTGCAGCAACCACATTCAGAGCACGGCCTATCTCACAGGTCTCACTGCGGCCGATAAACTGGTTGCCGAGTACAGGCTGGACGTGTTGTAGACAGATCTCCTTTCATCTCTTCACGCTTCGGAGCTCTTCGCGGCGTGCCTTGTGTGCCCAATGTATCCTGGAAGCCAAAGGTCCTGATTGTTGAAGGGTTGCAGATCGACTCTCGCAATTGGGAAGGACATGGACGAGAAGAGTAGTACTACTGTATATGCAGAGTGTGAAAAAGTCTTCGCAAGTCAGAGGTAGTTACGTCGGAGGGGGCCACCGTGATCCATGATCGCCTAGTTTCATGTGTCGGTCACAAGAGGCTGAATGGATACATGGAGTCTTACTCTAAGTATAGCACAGGACATGTACCTCTGTAGAGAGGTAGTTCGGTTCTATTCGGCGAGGGTCTTGGATTCGGCGAGTCGCTCGCTCTTCTCCAGCCTTGGCACGTCATCCCCTGGGTCCGTGACTTTGTCCGTTGAGAACTAACTGTCCGCGTATCCAGCGCAGCGCAGGACAGCCAACGACCACTCGTTACAGGTGTTTGACGTTACTGAGGACCACTGCACTACGAGGTCCTATGTTTGTTCCAGTCTACAAACCATACGGAGTAGACACCAAGATCCTGAAGTCGTACTACCCTCGGCCCTTGCTCGAACCTGCCCACCTACCTCACCTCACTCTCCTGTCACGAATGACAAGGGATGCTCTGGCTTCCTTTTCGCCCCTTCGTTGTCTCTGGCAATTAGTAGTAGTATTACTATGACATGCTACTGTTGCTAAGGTCTGCCTACCTCGCGCCTGCCCGCCTCCGGCAACACGCTGCCTCCTCTCTTTGACGGAAGAACAACATGCTGAGGCTCCCATGCCACACGGGCTGCGACACTATCCCAGGAGATTGACTTCCTTTATTCGTTTGAGCGTGGCTCGGTCTAAATAGGAAACAGTTCTCGTCGCAACATCAACACAGTCAACGGAACCCTTCGCAGGTTTGCTACTTGACCCGCGGTTCCGAGATATCCACACATCGACCACGCCGTTCGCGTAGATTCTCTGAATAACCTGCCTACCTTCCTTGCAATATCTTGTCTCATCGCCCGGTGTCGAGGCGTGGTCCTGGCTTTGTATCACAACAATGGCGCCGATGCCGCCCTCGCATCCCCTAACTTCTCGGCCAGTACCTCGCAGGATACAGACTGCTCGAAACACAACCCATGAATGGTCGACAAATGCAGACCTGAATCGACCGTTGCCCCCGCCTCCTGCATCGGCCTCAGCAGAAAGCTACGAGATTCCCTCTCTCCGTCGAAAGCCCCTCCCCGACTCACCTGAATCGAGTTCGACCAAAAACAACCACACTCGCTCGTTCAGCCACCCGTTCCCCTCGTTGTTTGGCTCGAAGAAACCCGAGAAGAAACAACACACCCATCCCGAGGGGGATTTCAGTGGTCGTGGGCGACGTGAAGTACGTCAAGAAGAAAACATTACGAAGAGCGGCCCCGTGGAGAACCCTTCGAATCGTTCCGATCGTCAGTTTCTTACCGGCAAATGCATGACTTGCGACTCGACCGTACGATGGCCGCAGGGACTAAAGGTATTCCGGTGCACCACCTGCCTCACCATCAACGATCTTGAAGACAACACCGAGACCAGAGGAGGCCTCAAGACCCCGGCAGTTGGAGCATCACCTCCACGCAATGTCGTGCCCGTCACGCTCGAAAGGACAACGGCTCTGATAGATCGCTGTTTGAGGCAGTATTTGGAATCCTACCTTCCACAGAGCGACTCACAGTCCCAAGCCATCAATGTTCAGAGTACGTCTCCGAAAGATGAGGCCTTTTTGCTCCAGGGATCGCCCGGGGAGGGCCTTCTGCACAATGAGATCCACGACGAGCACGAATCCCCACCGCCGTCGCCACGTCCGGCGCTTAAATCACGAATCCCTTCAAATACTCCCTTGACGATACCCCCTTCGTCTGCACAAAGTGCAAATTCTTCTTTTGTTCAGGGGAGTTCGACAGATCCTTTCTCAGCCTCTGCTTCAATGCAGACTAGACCATCAGACCGCAGGGAACGAGACGCCCCTGATACTGGATCGGGATCTGTATTCTCCTCTAATGTTAGGACTGATATATTTCGTGCAGTTGAGAACTACATTTCTGGAGCTTTCATCGGCTGTGCAACGCTCAACCATTCTTTTCTTCTCCCAAAGCCACCATCACAAGCTCCGAAGCCAAGGTCTGCTTCGGCAACACAGCAGAGGCGTCAGTTGTCCGAGCCCACACCAACCCCTGCGGGTGCAACCGACGTCTTCTTATCGGGACTAGATGCCAAAACCTTACTGCTTGGCGATGTCGCCGAGAATGGTTCATGGTGGTTAGGCGCTACGGGCGGAAAAGCAGCTGTGACTGGTAAAGACGGGCACCATCATCGAGACAGGTCGCCAGACAAGGGGCGTGGTTCGGTCAGTGCAAGAAATCCCAGAATCAATTGGGCCGAGCTTGCCGAGTGGTATAGAAGTGTAATCTATGCAGGTGACCTATGGGAGCAGAGATGGCAAGAGATCAAATCGAAATCGACAGATCCGATTACACAACAACGGAGTCCTCGGGAGAGAATCAAACAGGATGTCGTCGAGTCTCGAACCCATCTTCAACGTTGCTTGCTCAAGATGTCAGAGAATCTCCTGAAGCGACCCCGGCAACCTTTGAAGTATCCCGAAGACTGTCGGTTTCTGCTGATACTGTTGTCCAACCCGTTACTGACGCCAACGCGACTAGAGGCCGGCAAGATGTTTGGCACCTCAATGTCACACCCGCCCTCAACGGCTGGGAGACAGGTGGACGACAGCCATCCCAGTTCGCCTTCGAAACGTGCTCAGAGTTCTGGTAGACGACCCGGAAGTCTGGGACACCACTCAGGCATAGTCAAACGGATCTTGGGTCTCATGGCCAACCTTCCCAATGATATCCACCACTGTCTCGTGTCATGGTTTGCTAGGTACTCATACGGACACTTTCAGCGGACGGTGGAGATGGTGGGAAGCTTTGTAACTTATCGACTGGCACGGCAGCAAAAACGTCCGGTCAACGAACCGATCAATCCCACAGAAGGTCTTGTGCCCAGCTTTGCGGACGCTGGAATGCACCATGCCTCCCAGATTCACGCCGCTTTGGGAGGTCGACCTTCTTCGACCTCCGCCGGCAAGTCCGACGGCAAGCCCAAGCTGTCGTCGTACGGTGAAGATTGGCAGATCCGGGCCGCCGCAAGGGTTATGGCAATACTCTTCCAAGCAAACATCGGTCACACAGGGAGGAAAAGAGACGGTTCTAGTCACCATGAGCAGCGATTTCACAGTCCGGGGCACCACGCAAAATGCCAGGGAGCCTCTCATGGCCAGATCATTCCCATCAGCAATTTCTACAACACAATGTTGGACTACGCAGACCTGGTCGCAGACTTTGAAACCTGGGAGACTACAAAGACAAAGTTTACTTTCTGTCAGTATCCATTCTTCCTCAGCATCTACGCAAAAATCCATATCCTGGAGCATGACGCGCGACGCCAGATGGAGGTCAAAGCCAGGGAAGCCTTCTTCGACAGCATACTCAGTAGGAAAGCCGTGAGCCAGTACCTGGTACTTAAAGTCCGACGCGATTGTCTTGTGGAAGACAGCCTCCGGAGTGTATCTGAAGTCGTGGGGTCTGGAGGAAGTGACATCAAGAAAGGATTGCGGATCGATTTCCAAGGAGAAGAAGGCATCGACGCTGGTGGGATTCGCAAAGAATGGTTTTTGCTTCTGGTCCGAGAAATCTTCGACCCCAACCATGGGTTGTTTGTTTACGATGACGACTCTCAATACTGCTATTTCAATCCATACTGCTTCGAGTCTTCGGAGCAATTCTTTCTGGTGGGGGTCTTGTTGGGACTCGCAATCTACAACTCGACAATCTTGGATGTGGCGTTTCCGCCTTTTGTCTTCAAGAAGTTGCTGGCCTCGGCTCCGGCGACCGGCGACAAGCTGACATCGACACCCAAAGTGAGCCATGCATGTAGCCTGGACGACCTGGCCGAGTTCCGCCCTGCACTTGCACGTGGTTTCAGACAGCTACTGGACTTCGAAGGTGATGTTGAGGAGACGTTCTGTCGAGATTTCGTGGCAGAAATGGACCGCTACGGTGAGATCGTGCAGGTGCCGCTATGTCCTGGTGGGGAGAAACGGGCAGTGACGAACGCGAACCGACGAGATTTCGTGGATCTCTACACCCACTATCTTCTCGAGACGGCGGTTGCGCGCCAATATGAGCCATTCAAACGGGGCTTCTTCACGGTGTGCGGCGGCAACGCGCTGTCGCTGTTCCGCCCTGAAGAGATTGAACTTCTCGTCCGCGGCTCGGATGAACCCCTCGACATTGCAAGTCTCCGAGCGGTGGCAACCTACGAAGGGTGGCCCAAGACCGAAGGGCCACCAGAACAGCAGCCGCAGGTGGTTTGGTTTTGGGATTTCTTTGCCAGAGCCTCGGCCGAGGACCAGAGAAAGATTCTCGGCTTCATCACGGGTAGCGACCGGATTCCTGCCATGGGGGCCACGAATCTCATCATTCGCATTCAACTACTTCGAAGCAAAGACGAGATGGATGGATTTGGTCGGCCCATCAATAAGCCGATTGAACGATTTCCTATCGCCAGGACATGTTTCAACACCCTCAGCCTGTACCGATATAGCAGTCGAGAAAAGCTTGAGCACAAGCTCTGGATGGCAGTTACGGGTAGCGAGGGTTTTGGATTGAAATAAAGCGATGATAGAGGAAGCTTATAGGCGCCAAAACCACGATGAGTGCTTTTCGAAGCAGTGAACTTGGGCTTGGGCTGGGTTTGTCGTATCCGCATGGGCACCGGCGTCGGTTGGGTTCGGGTTGACGGGATGAAGTGGTTGGACCAAGGCAAGGCTTCATACCCATCATGGATTGCCCGGAGTGCATGACACGAATGGGCTTACGATGTTGGACCGACCATGATTGGATCGCATTGCAATGGGAAATGGAAGAGGCGAAGGAGGATGAGACAGGTATTCCCCAGACAGCACCATCATCATCGGTACTACATCGGCATAGCATTGGGACACGCAATGATTGGTATAGACATGAGCTGTGGCTTGATACAAAAGAAGCATGAGCATACAGCCAGCAATGGCTCTTGAGAACAGCAGATTAAGCCAACACTCTCCTAGATGCCCTGGCTGTGTTCGAACATGCCATTTGTTTCTTTTCTGAGAAAGAATTTCAGGAACTGACGATAATGATGCTGACGGGGTTTGACGCCGAGATAATATTTTCAATAGCAGGTGTAACTTGCGGACGTGCAAAGGACAGTAATGGTGACTACCAACATTGTGGCTGGGGTTCACTTGGGCTCAATATCATCTTTTGTCCATCACCCGCAATAAGGCCCGCGGTCATATGGTCTGTCATGAGATGGGATTGGTTGCAGAGAAAGTCGGTCAATGGCGTATCGTTACCGGAGGACGGAAACGGACGCCCACAACAAAAGAAACCTTTAGCGTTGGCCATAGGAGTTTGGGGGAGGTCCTACTCCAGACCGTCGGGGCCATTTTGTCTACTAGTATATCATTTATTGTGGGATGGTGGTTGATAGCCGTGGTGGATACGTCCGAGGTGGGACAGACCGTCGAAACTTCTGAACTTTGCTGCAGACTGGGACCGTAAGTTAGTCAGTCAGTCTCGTTGACATGGTGGCAAGATCGTGTCGACGGGGACGGTGGACGAGAAGGGTGAATTGTTTCGGTGCGCAGGCTGCATACATCCTCACCAACTCGTGCGAAACAATCGACAGGAAGGTGTTAAGTGAGGAGAAGCTGCATACAGAGTAGACGGATCAACTTAATGAACACAGCTGGCGCCGGGGAGCTGTGTTAGTATCGACGCTGGTGCGCTTCCACGACAGTCGATATGGCCCGACGATGCCTATCTCGGAGAGCTGGTCGATCTTGACTGGCGGATCTTGTTGGCGCATCGGAGAGACGGTCGAGAATCGTATCTTCAAATTGTCCGCTTCGAAGCAACGAGAATCGCCGCCGCCCCGCACTCGGCCACGGTGAGCCCTGGAGACCCCTCAACATTTATTTTCCCATATATTTCTCCCAACCGACCGTCTGGTTGATTCTCCTGCCGTGGTCCAAGCTGATTGCTCTTCTCCCTACACTGCTCTCACTTCTGTCGTTGATTGAATCGTCCATATATCGTCACATACACGTCAAGATGGGTGCTTCAGATCTTCCTACCACGATGAAGGCGCTGAGTATGCCCCACTAGTCGACCCTGCGGCCTTGGAGAGAGCATTCTCGGTCGTGTCCTGGAAATATGGTAACTGACGCATGTCACAGGGTATAGCGAGCCCGAGAAATTCAATGTTGTCGAATTGCCCCTTCCGAAACTGCGTGAACATGATGTGTTGGTACGCTCGAGACAGCCCTCTGGAAAGAATTGACGATGCTGATGGTCGGCTACAGATCCAAGTCAAGGCCTGTGGTGTGTGCGGCACAGATCTGCACATCCATGAAGGAGAATTCCTGGCCAAGGTAAGTCGAACCGTTGATGCGCGTCAGAAGCTATGCACCTGACTCGGGGCGCAGTTCCCTTTAGTTCCTGGCCACGAAACAGTTGGTGTCGTCGCTGCTGTTGGGCCCAAGGTGAAGGGCTTCAACATCGGCGACCGTGTAGTCGCCGACAACTCCGAACTCTGCGGGGAATGCTTCTACTGCCGTCGAGGAGAGGAGCTGCTCTGTGAGGACTTCCAGGCCCACGGGGTCACCATGGATGGTGGCTTTGCCGAGTACTGTGCCTACCCGGCCAAGCGAGTATTCCACATCCAGAATCTCTCTGATGTCGATGCCACTCTGCTTGAGCCTGCCTCCTGCGCCGCCCACGGACTGGACAAGATCGCTCCCAAGATGGGCTCCAGTGTGCTCATGTTTGGGGCGGGACCTACGGGGTTGGTCTTGGCGCAGATGCTTCGTCAGAACGGTGGTTGCAAGGTGGTGATTGCGGCGCCAGAGGGTCTGAAGATGGATCTTGCCAAATCATTGGATGCTGCGGATGAATACGTGGCACTGTCTCGCAAGGACCCTGCTGCACAGTTTGAGAAGCTCAAGGCAGAGAACCCATACGGATTCGACATTGTTGTTGAAGCCACGGGTAGTGTCAAGATCCTCGAAGATGCGATCAACTATGTCCGAAGAGGCGGCAAGCTCGTGGTGTACGGTGTGTATGGCAGCAAGGATCGTGTGACATGGCCACCCAGCAAGATCTTCGGCGATGAAATCACCATCCTCGGATCGTTCAGTGAGACATACAAGTTCCCTGCTGCCATTGACTACCTTGGTATGTATTCTGCCATTCCAGCTCTTGTAGGCAAACACATGACTGACACTGATCGTGAACAGACAGTGGCAAGGTCAAAGTCAAGGGCATTGTCAATAAGACGTTCAAGTTGGAGCAGTGGGCGGAGTGTCTTGAGTCGTTGAAAAATAAGAGTGCCATCAAGGCCGCCATCGTCTTCGATTAGAGAATTGTAGGCTGCCACCAATGTGAGGCTTCTGTTGGGTGTCGGGTGTTGGCTGTGATCAAGGGTGAAAAGTGAATTGTAGGAGCAGTGCTCGCGTATGGAAATGCATTTCCGGTCGAGGTATCCCTCCCGTGTCAATTTGATAGATTCCCCAATCTTGACGACGTACCGAGAATGAAAGGTTGTCACCGAACGGTGAAGATGAAACGAAGAGGAGGGGGTTTGACGGAGAATGAGGGAGTATTCGCTTCCTGCTACTCGTGACGCATAGGATCGTATTGTCGTATTGTCTGTGCCTGCGCCTGCGCCCAATCCACCGTCGGCCTGAATAGTCATTGTTCCACAGCTCATTTAGAGCCTTGTCTCTCTATCGTACATAATCAATATCAATCTCTCTTCTCCTCCTGTCTCATTTCTGATATTGCAGCTGTTTCCACCCGGTCGGCGCTTTGAGAGAATGAAGTGTCTCCGGCATGGTGTGTCTTCGCGGCCATGTCGAGGACTTTGTAGGCATTCTTGTCCCTAGGCTCCAACGCCTTCGACGTGACGGTATGCTTGATTAGCGGATCAGCGGATCAGCGTGATGTCTCACTCTCTTGATAAGGATGACCTTGAAGGAGACGTGTATTCGTTTCGGGTCCTTGGACGAGGTCCGTGGATTGGCAGACACCTTCGCATGTTCGTCAGCCGGTCACCCTGAAGGTAGGGCTGGCAGGCATACGCTGGTGCTGAAATGAACCGCAAGAACCGCACTGGACCGGCACCCATTCCTACGGGAGCAGGACGGCACCATGGCCATGGTGATGAGTGGAAACAGTATACATACAAACATGAAACGCATACTGGGTAGAGGTGAGTTCAAGCAGGCCACTGCTGCAGCAAGAAATGAAGCATCAGAAGGAGAGGCTATTCATTTTGATATCCTTGCCGATGTCAGTCTGAAAGAAATTTTGCGAAGATGATTCGAGATTGCAAGCGTCTGAGGCAGTGGTCATGGCGATGAAGAAGTCGAGGGCGCCCGCTATCAGCGGCCGCAACTCTGTGACGGAGATGATGCTCAGGGAGGACTTCAACATGGGCAACGCGTCGCAAGTCTCAACACCACGAGCGTCAACACAGGCAGTGAAAGAAACCCCAACCACCTCTACCCAAGACGCAAAGTCCATCCTGCGTTACGGCGCAGAATCTCACTTCAGTTCCAATCTTCTCACATTCTCAAGCTTCTTCTCACATCTACTCATCCTTCAGACTCTCAATTCCACCATCTCAACGTTCAGCTTGTCTCTACAAATCGAGAAGACAGATTCAGGACGCTTGTACAACCCTCATCCTCCATATCCTCCTCCTCCTTGACCTCAATTGACCTCAGAGAGGCCAATCCTCATCCACCATGGCATTCAGTCTTCCAGTCAGAATTGCCACACCACCAAGTCTCATCCTTGATCCCATCTTCTCTCTCCTGTACGAAGACAATGAGGCCAGCTTGACCCATTTCATCACCAACAAGTCTCCTCTCCCTCTCGGAGGTGTCATCAACGATCCAGCTGTCATGGACTATCTTTTGAGTCGAGAACCCGGGCCGAAGGTCGAGTACAAGAATCTCCGTCCAGCACTGGCTGTTTTGCGCCCGTTCTTGTCCGTCTCTCTCTATGGAAAGAAGCTCATGGCCTTTTACAAACAACTCCTCCAACTTCAAGGCCGCTGGGCTATTGCAGCTGCTGAAATGGTCACCTTCGACGTATATGTCAAATTCTACATAACCCTCTTCATCGACCACAGTGACAAGAAGCTCGCAGACCACGTCTTCAAGGTCGTCCCCGGTGCCGCCTACAGCATTGCAACCTACACTGCTGGCAGCCGGGAACAATTCAACCTTATGGTCAAGGCCGAAAAAGAGCGTCTCATCAAGAATACCCGTGCCGCCGCCGCAAAGCTCTTCGACTTCAAGGTCTCCAAGGACTTCTTCCAGCAACACGGCAAACTGGTCGCCGCCATTGAGCACTCGGAGAAGAAACTCAAGGATTGTCGGGAGAAGACAATTCGTCGCAAGCGTGAGGCCGCCCACAGAAGAGCAGCTATGGTCGCAGCCGCCCAAGAGCGCAACGAAGCTGCCCTCCATAGACAGATGGGCATGAGTGGCTTGACGGCACATGTTCCGCATGTCGAGGATTCGGTGGTTGACTGGACTGAAGAAATCACCAAGGAATGTTTTTCGTCAAAGGAGAAGCCCGTCTCGGCCTGAAAAATGTATGTGCATTCGCTCAGATCCACTCCACCTTGCTAACCTGAGACTATAGGACGTACAGAAGCCAGAGGAAAGCTATTACGAGGGAACCAATCTCGTTGGCGCCGCTGCAAATACAACGAAGAAAGCACGGGAAAGAGATACCACCATCCGCACCGGAACAGATGGGCAAGTCCACATTCAGGTCATCAGCGGACTGCAAACACACAGTGGGAGAAAAGAGACCAGCGGGTAGTGGTCGACATACAAGACGCAGATTTGAATTGGCGGAAGCATGTGCTCTACGAGACCACGCTTGGGGACTGCGTGAGGGCACAGTATGGAAGCAACCAGATGGAATATGCGCAGCCTCGCCATCTCGGATCGAGGATGCAACAACAGGACTGGGTATGAGAGCACATTGCTGCATAAATACCCCTTTGAAAACACAAATATCACAGTCAATTGAGACGAAAACTTTCTAGCCTTGTGGAAATGGGTTTTTGCTCTTCTGTGTCATTTTCTGTCGACTGTTTCTGCTTGAAACCAGTGCGCCTCTTTTATGATCATGCCCGTAAATCATGACGCCCCCAAGGCTAGAAGTGTGAAGAGGTCGAGCAATGACCGGTTCAACTCATCATGGCTGCACTCACACTCCCCATAACGAGTCCATGCTCAGTAGCAGTTTCAAGGCCGCACCCATCGGACCATGACGTTCATCAACCCCAGACCATTCCATGGATAGCCACGCACTAGGACGCACAACCCAGAAAAATCCGCATTTGCACGACAGCTCCTCTACTTCCTAATGGCTCTCTGGTAGAAAGCCAACTCATCGCCCTCGAGGATGTAACCGTCAACACGACCGCTCTGGCCGGGTCTCGAGCTGACAACAGCGAAGAGTCTTCCGGCCTCGAATTGACGTTCCAACGAAGGCTCGATCTTGCCGGACTTCTTCAGGCGAGCTTCCCGCTTGGCCTCGACGCTGTGGCTGACCTTGGTCTCCTCGGTCTCGGCGGCGCCCTTTTGGCCCTGGCGTCTGCGACCAATGGTGGTGCCGTAGTGAGCTTCGTACCAGGTACGGAAAGGGGTCGCATCGATTTGCACGACGGCGGACTTGGTCAGGGTGTTTGTGCGGACGAATTCGTTGTTGGATGGATGGTAGGCGACGACGATCACACGGACCTTGCGGGCAATACCCTCACTTCCCCATGAGAAGTTGCCGGTTTCCAGGCGCAGGGCTCGGTATTTTGTGTTACCACCTCGGGTGCGCACAAGATGGATTCGCTTGTTGCCGATACGGGTGTTGGCTGGCTGACGGCCCTTCTCGAAAGCTCTGTATGAGGAGAACAAAACATGTTAGAAATCTTTACTCCTGTCCAATTTGCCTCTTCGTTTCGTCTGTTCGATATAGCATTGGGAGAGGGTCATAGTGTACCTCTTCTTTCGGTAGGAGGCGCGCTTCGCACCAGTGGCGGACCGCTTGTGGCGGCTGTCTCGTGAGATACCCATAATTGCGAAACCGAAGAGGACTGTGAGAGATGATATTGTTAGCTTTGAGATTCCTTGCGAGGTGTGGTTGCGGGCGTGTGTGGGTGGTTGAAGATGCAATTGGCGCTCGTGCAAGTCCTGGTAATGAGGCCGATCGAGCTCTCGTGGATGTTGAATGCGACAGAGGAGAACTGACCTGATAGTGACCAGCTCTTCAGCGAGCAACGAGAGTATGCTTTCGAGGAATTGGCGTGGGTGGAAAGGTGGAAAATGAATGTCGTCTCGCAAAAGCGACTTTGATCGGTGCAGTGGTTGTCTCGACGCTCCAAAACCTGCGGCGGATGTGCGGCGCCAAGACTTTGCCCGCCAAGACAATTTTTCCACACACGCACGCAGGCCCGCTCGCTCACTGCAGTGACAGTCGGCCACGCAGGTGAACTTGAAGAAAGATCGCATAATTGTTCTGCTCACACTTTCACCACCTCAAACTTTCCCACCACAACCGACATCTTTCCTGCATTGTGTGCGATTCCCCGAAGAGCGCCAGGAACTCGCAACAATGTACGTACCTCGCTCTGGAACCAATAGACAAAAACCAAAACTGACACGATGCAGGCTTATCCCCAAGGCAGACCGCAAGAAGATCCACGAGTACCTCTTCCGAGAGGGTGTGCTCGTGGCCAAGAAGGACTACAACCTTCCTCAGCACCAGGACATTGAGACTAAGAACCTCTATGTTCGTGAACCCCTGGTCTCCTCGCAGGTGTCGTATCCATGCTAATAGCGGTCATCGTCTAGGTCATCAAGGCTTGCCAATCGCTCACCTCGCGCGGCTACCTCAAGACCCAGTTCTCATGGCAATACTACTACTACACCCTGACCCCCGAGGGACTTGACTATCTCCGCGAATGGCTACATCTGCCTGCCGAGATCGTCCCCGCGACGCACATTAAGCAGCAACGTACGCACGCTCCTCCTCGTGGCATGATGGGTGGTGACGACCGTGAGCGCCGCGGCGGTGGCCGTGGTGGCCCAAGAGGTGACCGTGAGGGAGGATACCGTCGCCGTGATGCCGGTGAGGGCAAGGAAGGCGGTGCGCCGGGCGAGTTTGCTCCTACTTTCCGTGGTGGATTCGGCCGTGGTCGTGGTGCTGCTCCTCCCAGCTAGATGGTTTGACCCTGCAAGCATGTGGTCGAGCCTCGTCTGGTGATGTGTCTTTCGCAGACAGCAAGCATCAGCTGTTGGTGGGCAATACTAGGTTGGGAGTGTCGGTACAAGCAGAACCTTGCGGTGCTGGGAGTCTGCGCGTCTCGAAATCAATACGAGTGCTCCATCAATCGATCTTCTCTGCTTCATTTTCCATGCGATCCTCTTTCTGTGCTACTCAGTACTGTTTTGATTATGTGCAATTACTTCCGGTATTGCTATTCGAACTCGCCCCTTTCCTTCCGCAGCCTGTCCATCCTCAAGACCGAATGCAACAGAACGTTGGCACCGATGGCACAATCTTCCTTCTCGCACCACTCGCTTGGGTTGTGGCTGATTCCATCCTTACACGGAATGAATATCATGGCTGTAGGGCAATGCATGCTGGTACAGACACTATCATGGCCAGCACCACTGGTCATTCTCTGGAATTTCGTTGCCTCGCCCAGCAAATCCGTGGCAGATTGCTCCACGCATCGGATGGCTTCGGGGCTGAATTTGACGGCGTTGCTGGCAAAGTCTTCCTTCATGTCGATGGTGATCCTTGTGAGGTGGGTTCTTCCACCGGAGGTGTTTTCGGCGTTGGACTCTATCTGCCGACAAATGCCTTGGATCGTCTTTAGCATCTCATTTAGAGCCTTGTCTGAAGGATGCCGGATATCGAGACTCAACCGGACCTCGCCAGGCACAGTATTTACACTGCTGGGAGACACGGCGAGCATTCCGACAGAAGCAAGGCCGCCGAGCGACCGAGCCACCTCTCTCACCATAGTGATGAACGTTGCTGCCGAGTACAAAGCATCCGCGCGATTGGCAAAATCCGTCGTCCCAGCATGGGATTCTCGTCCTTTGATCGTCACCGTGAACCATTTGTAGGCCTGAACACCCTCCACCACACCGATTGCTTGTCGTGCGACCTCCAGCTTGGGCCCTTGTTCGAGGTGAAGCTCGAAATGCGCACCTATCCGAACACCGTTCTTGTGACTGGCCGGTATGCTGCCCAAGTACCCTATGCTTTCCAGCTCCTGTTTGACTGTAGTCACTTCCGAGACGGGATGGACGCTTTTCAAGTTCCATGCATCTTCCAAGGATACGCGACCAGCCCAGACTCCGCTGCCCATCATGCTGATGGGATATTTGGCCCCTTCTTCGTTCGTCCAATTGACCACGCCCACAGGGCCCTCAGTCTCGATCCAATTGTCGTTGAGAACTCTCAACATCTCGACCCCCGCGGCGACACCCAGCACTCCATCAAACCGGCCCCCGCTGGGCTGAGAGTCGAGGTGACTTCCCGCAAATGTGGCCGGAACACGACCGTTGTCGTCACTGTTTAGTCCTGGCCGAATGGCGAAGATGTTGCCGATTTGATCGACGTATGTCTTGCACCCTAGAGACTCGGTCGTCTGTACGAACCAGTCTCTGGCTTGTCTGTCCTCTTTGCCCAAAGTCAGTCGCGAGAGGCCGGCCGTTCTGATGTCCTCTTTGATCGAAGGGGAGCTTTTCGGCTCCGTCCATTTCGCCGTGGAATGGATCGTGTCCCAGAGTCTATCCGGGTCCACTTTTATGCTCTTGAGGCTGGTGTCCGCCAGCTCACTCGTGCGCAGTTGCAGACATGCTGACGAGGAAAACGTCCGTTTCCACAGAGCTATTGGCAAACGTGTTGCGGGTCTCGTCGCATGGCTCAAGCTCTGCAGGACTGACCACGGCGTCGCCCTCATAGTCAAACCCGCCTCGAACAAGGACATGGATAGATATGAGGGAAGTTCCGATGCTCGCGCTGGTTAAAACGACACTTGCCCGGCCATCTGTATGTCTCTTACCGCTCTCCGCAGACCTGATTGCGATGAGAGTACTGCTCACGCCACCTAATGGTGGAGATGTCGGGGCTGCCTGAGACTTCGTACTCGAGAGTTCAGAGTGCATGAGAACGTTCGGCACTTCGGCGGAGAAATGCGCAATTGTGTTTTCATGATCAACCGCACATACAAATGGAAGAATCTGACCAGCAGAGCTCGCAAAGGAGACCTAACATTGGCTAGTCCAGCTGAAAGGCCCAAGAGAAGTAGTCTACAGGAACATGAAGACAGGCGAACAGTTGCAGTATTTAGTAGTGACAGGCAATAGAACTATCATGATTTAGAAGGCCGAGTGCCAGCAGGCTTCAGACTCGGATTGCATGCTTCCTCACATATTGCTCACGTACTGTTTCATTCTGTACTTGCTTGGCCTGTCGCTATAGTTGGTTTCTCTTGTTGTTATGCTTTTGCTCCATCCATGAAAGCCGTAACCGCCACACTGGCCCTTCTCCGGTGGACGAAAGCTTTCACGTCGCGGGCTTGAGAGAAAGATGCGTTATAGCGTTGGCTACACCTCAAGCGTGCCCTCATATCTGAGACTCATGCCCAGGGTCTTGAGCATGGCGGCGATTGCTCGAACAGCTTCAACAAATAAGTCTCTTGATCTTCCAGTATGTGTGGATGTAGGATATCGATGATGGAGTGATCGCTCGAACTGGGCTAATGCGAGTTTCGGGGGGTTCGAAGAGGCCATACTCAAAATGACACATTGCTGACCCGGGAGAGAGTGACTATCTCAGATAAATCTCTTCCGCTAGGCTCCCGCTGAAAGGTTGGCCGTATAAAGACGACACTGCCGCGATGAACAGCCGTCCGCAATGTTGAAAGCCGCGTCGGTTAGTCTATCATGCCCTCGGGAAGCAACTGGGACTATCTGGTCTTCGTGAAACTGGATTAGGGTGCCACTCTATGCTGACCAGGGCCTCGATGGGAGCACCTTATTGTTTCGTCTCTCGCTCGACACTGTACACCTTGAGGAGCTTTGTCTGATCATCCGGAGGCGGCGTCAGTCCCAAGGCTCCTTCGATCTGATCAGAAAACATGAGCATTGCCGAGGCATTGACCATCAGTCCAATGCCGATGAGTGCTCGCGTCTTTGGGGCAAGCGCTTTGTAGGAACTGCCATGATGGTGAGTGAGATTTCTGAAAGTTGTGTATCAGAACCTGAGCCAGCTTACGACCAGAGCGACATCTCGCAAGTCCCCCCAAGGGAAGAGATACCGCTGTGCCAAGCGATACAAACCGGTCAAGACTGCTGTTGAGTTCGGCTCCTCGGCTCCTTACGAGACACCAGCCTCGATCGACTTGACGTGCAATAGCCTCGAACGATAGCTTCGTGAATTGATGCGATGGCTGAAAAGAGAGGCTCCCAGCAAGGCAGGTCTGGCGAGGAACGAGATGACCCGCTTTAAGGCGACCATGATTGGCCATTCAGCAACACCCACATACTGCGGAGCATACATAGAGAGTAGGCAGTGTTTTCGGCTTTCTCGACAGATGTCTCTTGAGTATCATCACGTCTGGAAGCTGACTTGGAATCCTTTGCAGGTTGTTATTACCCTTCAGACAAAACACTTGCAGACATCTGTTGGTCGTTGCAAACTCATAACCACAATAGAAGCAGCCAGAAAATCCATTGTTGTGGACGTTCTCTAACCACTCTAGGTAGATACCGAGGTACCTAGTATCAGTCCTACGGCACGTCATGGATTCTCAACCGCAAAATGGCGTGATCCATGAATGCGTATGGATCTCGTCTCTGACTGGTCAGTTTCCATCCTCTATTGGGGCTCCGTGGCCCCTGAATTCCTGTCAATAACGTGTAGCGGACAGCGATCCTGATATGCTCAGCCTTGTGAGAGAGATAACAGCCGCTTTTGGACATATCGCTGGTGGTGGCATTCAGAGTCCTTATCAATGGTGAAGTGAACGACGTGCAGAATAGGCGTACAAAGATGCCCCGCACTTGCCTTCAGCCAGTGGTATGGTCAGAACGTCCTCCACGTCGTGTTTCAGCGGAGAGCGCGGGTTGGGCAGTCATGAGGGCGGTGGAAGGGCCAACGTGTTGCGCTCTCTCTTTCCCACGCTCTCTCACGCCCTCAATCGTGTATATCGGACATTGAAGAGAACGCGGTCATTTCTTCAAGCGGTTCGAGTGTTCTTCTTTGCGGACCACACTCCACGTTGTCACATATAACCTTTGACTAACAGATGCTTCAAGATGCCTATTGTAGGGAACCTCGCTCCTTGTTGTTTGTTCGAGATTAACCGGTAAGATAGGCAAAGGCCTGTCCGTTCGATGATGGGACAGTTGAAACCCCTATTAACCGGGAATCGTGCATGATCGACTTGGTCTCCAGGTAAGAGATAGTGCTGAGAATAAAAGGCAACTATCTCACTTCAGCAAACAGCTTCATCACCAAGAGCGACAACTATGACCGCAATCACGGACCGATTCAGCGAAGAAACGGATGCGACCACCGCGTTGAGGTCAACGGATTCGTCTCTAACCCGCTGAACCTGACTATCGAACAACTGGTCAATGACTTTCCACAGCACTCCGTCACATGCACCCTGCAATGTGCTGGAAATCGTCGCCATACCATGCGCACCCGCATCAAGGAGGTCCTCGGCGTCGATTGGTTTGACGGAGCTGTGATGAATTGTACGTGGGAAGGCCCTCGAGTTCGAGACATCCTACTCGCGGCCGGAGTCGACGTGTATCAAGCCATGCATACCGATGTAACACCTCGGCATGTCCATTTTGCCAATTATGGTGGCAAGACCCAGCAAGATGAATGGTATGGAGGCAGCATTCCCTTCGACAGGGTCATGTGTCCCGACATGGATGTGATCCTGGCAGTCAAGGTAGGGATGAGAAATAGTCTGCGCAACCCCAACTCAGTTGTCGTGCCCGCTGACGCTCGGTGTTTATGGTGCAGATGAACGGTCTACCTTTGCCTGATCGTCACGGCTTCCCCGTCCGTGCTATTGTGCCCGGCGTACTTGGGGCGCGCTCTGTGAAATGGCTAGAGCGCATCACTGTCGCCGACAGGGAGTCACCCTGTTTCTATCAGCAGCGTGACTACAAAGTCTTACCACAAGATGCAGTTGATGCCGCAACCGCAGCCAAATATTGGGCCCAGTGTCCGGCAATGCTCGACATGCCCATCAACTCTTGTGTCGCCTGGCCGACTTCAGAGTCAACCATCACGTTGCCGGCCTCGGGTGAAATTGAGGTGTATGGCTACGCCGTTCCACACGGTCATCAAGGTCCCGTCGTCAGGGTACAAGTCTCTGGAGACGAGGGCCGGACTTGGACTGATGCGCATCTTGAGTACGGTGGCAAAGACGCAAGTAAATGGACCTGGGTGCTGTGGAACGCAAGGATCAAGATGGAGAGAGGTCAAGGCAAAAAGATATTTGCCAAAGCCAGTGATGCTGGCGGCAATCAGCAAGAACACGAAAGATCCCCCTGGAATTTGAGAGGAGTCGCTTATAATGGGTATGAAGCTGCCTTCAACCTGACGATTGACTAGAGACACCGATTGACGGTTGATCCGGTCAGTCTTGGACCACACGGCGTATGGATGTTCGTGCAGTTCTTCTTGAGGGGTTGGGATGTCGATATCACCATTGATTTCGCGGGACGGCCGTGTCGGATTGGGCATCAGGATCAACAGTTCCACGGAGCGAACAAGCTGTAGGCGTTTTCGGAAGGTGCATTGTTATGCCACATGTGCAGAATACAACTTGGGCCACCATCATTTTTCGTTGCGAATTGACCCACGTATATTAACACGGTGTATTGCTTCACCTGTTGAGTTTCCGAATAGGACATTGGCATCTCCGAGTAGAGTGCAGCTCGCCTCGTGAAGGATTTTGTGGTATGAAAGGAAGTCGGCTGCTAGCGAAGCAAGTTGCCGATTGGTAGTCACCCTAGCAGGCATTACCGCAGAACGGCGTGTGGCGGGCTCCTTAGGCTTCGTATGAGGCGCAGCAGGCTCTTGTAGCCTAATCATTCCACCCCCTGTGCCCTTGCCTGGGCTGTCAGACTGGGATCGCCCACGGAAGTCGGGAGTAGGCGTTGTAGCGCTCAAGAATCGGGGAGATGACCATCCCTGCACCCATCATTTGGTCTATTGGGGATCAGTCCTCTGCGGTAGGCTAGGATGGGAAGAACTGGAGACGGTTGGCTATAGGCTGCAATGGCGATGATATACTTCTTTGCCACAAAGCCGCATGGCATGACAGACATGACAGAGGGGAATGGCGTGACCCCCAGGTGTCAATCTGCGTCAACCTGTGCGAGGGGCACCGTAACAGAAGTGCATTTCGTGTTGTGGTACCGTTATCCATCAGTGTCTCTCTTTTCCCGAGCTTTTGACTGTGATGGGGCTACCGCTCGACCGTTCGGTCCCCGTAAGAGTGCCGACCACTGCAAGCAGCAGGGGTGGCTACATGACAGGTATTCGAGGGTTTGCTTCGACAAAATGTATACGTCGAAAGCGCACTTATCAATGGTGATGGTCACAGCTCCCTCCTGAGCTCTGGGCAAGTTCCACGTTTCCGGTTTGCCAGAGCGTCCGCCACGAGCTGGGTACTGGTGCTCCACAGGCGGTCGGGTTCTTCAAGGCTAAGGGGTCTGAAACAAGCCACTGGTCAGCGAGTAGAGAATAATGGGGATTTTGACATCTTCCTTTGTACGAGTTCCGTCCGCGGTTACCTGCACAAGAAGGAATATGTCAACGCTGCAGACAGCCAGAGCAACAATGTAAAAAGGGACGTCGCCTCAAGAGGTAGAATAGTGTGCCTGAGGAAAAGCCAGGTTGCTTCTCTTTGCTGGCTCGACCGAACGTGTAGTAGTACGGCATGGAGAACGAAAGCCACGGTACCCTCGTCCCGGCCGTCTCCAACCCCCCGAAAGTAGTGACGAAGACAGGCGGAAGGGTTGGTAAGGTAGTAGGTAGTGCCAGTGCAGTGTGTCCTGCAAGCTGCGTGTACGAGAGCCAAGTGACAGCAACACCCGCCACAGGATGTGCACCGATTTGCATGGCAGCTGAGATGCAACGATGGGCAGTAGCATAGCTATCAATGAGAACATGGGTAGGCAGGATGCTTAACAGATGAGCAGCAAATGATACAACATAGGTACTGATCTGACAGATCAGACAGATCAGACAGAGGCAGCCATAACCGCAGCTCCCGCCGAGGCGAAACGAGGCGAGGTGATAAGTGATGGCCTGCAAATGCCGGGGTACGTCTTCGGCGCAGTCAGTGCTCCAGCGCTGCGCTTTGGGGCCCTAAGAAGCCTAAGACCTAGGAAATAATTGAGTAAGCCAGAAAAAATCCGATTCCGCTTCAAGCAACTGGCAGGCCGGTCGGGCAGTTCGGTCGGCTCCAAATTTGCCTCGAACAACTTGAACTTGAATCCATCTTGCTTCCACTCCTCATCTCTCTTGTTCGCAGTCAATAGCACCTCCTATTGCATCCTGTGACCACTGCCTCTCTTTCATCTGTATCTTATATTTGCAGGGATTGATTGACCGAGAGAAAGCTGTCGTCGTGTCTTTGAGCTTTCTGCATCATCCCCCGATCTGCTGGAGTTGGTCGGGTTTCTGCTGTTTCTGACTCGACTTGGGAGCTCTTCTTGTTCCGGGCACGCTTCTCTGGTGAACTATTCTCACAATTGCGGGATGCCTCCGACCGTCTTTGCTGACCAGACTACAGCACATTCACTTTCCTGCTTTGATCCATATCCGGTCCACTGCCGTTCCCGTTCCCGTGCTCTTCACTGATCTATCCGGGCCGAAATACGCGGAATTCCAATCGATCCAACATGGCTGCCGCTACCTCCCCCATTCCCAAGCTCGACCGTTATGTGGTCATCCACGTGGCGACCACATGCGATGAACATGGTGTCTATGTGACGAAGGATTCTGCTGAAGTGATTGAACTGGGCTGGATTCTTCTTGATAGCAAGACGTGTGACGAGGTATGTGTCTGGGGATGATCTCAAAAGGGCGAATCCAGAAGAGGCCCGGCAAAGGAGTACAGACTATTGACACTTTGATTCAGCTCTATCGAGAAAGTGTGCTCGTCAAACCTGTGAACACCCCTATCACACCGCTTTGCAGTGAGTCCTGTGTCGGGATATCGGAGATTTGCATCGACTGATTTTGCAATCACAGCAAGCCTCACGACTTTGACCTGGGAGCATGTTCGCAACGCCGGCTCCTTCCGGGATGCCATCACACGATTCGACCATTTTGCTCAGGAGCACCTTATATCCAAGAACCTGGAATTCTCTTTTGTCACACTAGACGCCTGGGACTTGCGGGTCCAGTTGCCGCGAGAGGCTCGAGACAAAGCAGTCGTCCTACCGGCTTACCTGCAACACTCCCGAACCTTCGACTTGCGCTCAGAATACGCCCGGTGGCAACAGCACCATCCAGAGTCCCTGCCATTTGGGCCCAGCTCTTTAGCAAACATCTGTGCTGCTCTGGAGGTGGAGCCTGTGCAATCATCGGCCCCAATCAAGCATAACCTGCCCTTCCATCTGCAGGCCCTGGCGCCTGCCTCCCCTCGCCGCGCCATGGAAGAGGCGGTCACCCTTGCCAGGGTTCTGCGAGGGCTAATTCGGAAGTCTCAGCCCGCGCATGAACATCCAGAGGTTCTCACTCGCCCCATGGACGCGAGAGCCGATGTCAATGCCTTTTTGAAAGAACGTAGCAAGGTCCTCCACATGAACGGCCTGCCGCACGACACCACCCAGTCAGAACTCGAAAGCTGGTTTACTCAGTTTGGAGGCAGGCCAATCGCCTTCTGGACTTTTCGTACTCCTGATCAGCATAAGCCAACGGGTTCAGGTTTCGCCGTGTTCTCTTCCCATGAAGAGGTATGTCTCACTTTAGGCACTCTCCCTCCCGCCGCCTCCTTATTAGTATTGCCTTCCCTCGTTCTTACTTCACTGTCGAACATCTGCACCATCTCTCTAACATCTCTTCGTTCCAGGCCGCGGAAAGTCTCTGTATGAACGGACGCGCCCTCAATGAGAAGGCCATCGAGGTCTCGCCTTCATCAAGCCGAGTCCTTGATCGTGCCGCCGACATTCTCACTCCCTTCCCTCCAAGCAAGAATCGCCCGCGCCCAGGTGACTGGAACTGTCCTTCCTGTGGCTTTTCCAACTTCCAACGCCGTACCGCTTGCTTCAGGTGTTCCTTCCCAGCTGCGGGCTCCGGAGGCGGCGATCCTTTCGGCTACAATGCTTACGGTTATGGTCCCGGTCCCCATATGATGGGCCATCCTCCTCACATGGGACATCACGGGCATGGTATGGGCCATCACGGGCGAGGCGGAGCTGGCGTCGTCCCTTTCCGTGCTGGCGACTGGCGCTGCGGCGCAGAAGGATGCTCATACCACAATTTCGCCAAAAACGTCAACTGCCTGCGTTGCGGTGCTCCTCGTTCTGGCGCTGCCGTCGTGGTCGACTCGTCTTATCCGTCTCCGATGGGCCCTCCTTCTGAATTTGGTGGAATGGCCAACAACCCTGGCCCGGCTCCTTACGGTGCGGGTGCTCCTGCCTTTGGGTCTGCTGCTGCCTTCGCTCAACCTGCACCAAGTCAGTACGGAATGCCCACCGGATTGGGCGGTCCTGGAGCAGCGTTCCCCCAGATGGGCGGTATGACTCCCAGCTATGCGTCCAGCAATATGTCACATTCGTCTTTCGGACCTGCAGCTCAGGCTGCTTTCAGTGGCGCGGCTGACACCACTGCCCACGGCAACATGCCACAGAATGGCTTCTACGGCAATGAATCCAACAACGACCCATTCGCATTCCTCTCCGCCGGTCTCGGCAATCTTAGTGTAGGAGACGAAAACCAACCCCCTCGTCGCAATGGCGGCCCCCAGAGTGCCAAAAGTCCGGCTTAGATCGGACCCCGACCCCGACCATCGAGCGGTCCACTCAACATCCTTGGAGTTCCAGTTCCCGCCGCATTAACGACTTCGATGACATATTCATGTTGAGCAAATGTGTTTGCTTCTTCTACTTCTTCATTCCATGTACTTGACTCCCGCAGCTTATGCACATCTCTTTCCTGGTTTGTATCGCGGATAATGGCGGGTGGTGCTGGAGGTTGGCTGGCTGCTTGAAGTTCTTGCTCGACGGCGATGGGACGATCTTTGCATATGAGGGATGACCTAGACCCTTGGCTTTGCTCTCTATCGCGGCCCGTGGGCTTGAGAACTCGACATGGCGTCGTAGGTATTGAGAAATTCGGGGAGCAATGACGGGAAACAGGAGCATCAAGGTCTAGAAAAGTGACTGGTACTGTAAGGTTCTGGGAAGATTGTGCGTTTGAGCGGTTGCCGGCATGGCGAAGAAGCGTGACAATACTGGACTGTGGAGCGATTACGCAAAATGTCCACTTGTGGGAAAGAGAACACTGGGAAACCGAATGCCTTCTCGCTTCCCAGTACTCACGGCCGCCCAAGGACGAGATGTCGGAGGCCGTCTACGGCACTTGAACATGACGACGGACTTATATTCAACGGTTGGAGCGTGGAACAAGCGACAATGACGAGGAGATGGCGAATGCAAACAGAAGGGAAATCTCAAAAGTGGCTACTATTCTACTTTAGCGGTCGAGACCGTATCAAGAAATATCATTTCTATTTTCTCATGTCATCTTTCTGGCAAGTAGGCTTTGACACTTTCTTCCAGGCAACGCACTGATCGAGTCGAAAGGAATTCAATCGGACAGGAATGAATAAGAGGGTATTGCTTTGGGTACCTGCAGAGGTATAGTGTGGGAGACGATCTACTTAACTATTTAGGGGAGCGATATAAAGAACAAATCGTGACGCTTGGCCTCCACGTCTTTCTTCACGTCCTCGCTCTTGTTACATCCGTTAGAGGGGCTGGGATATCCTGTAGCATCAGCGATCTAAAAGCTTGTTGAACGGGCTCAGACCAGATGCTTCGGCCCGCGCATCAGTCCCGTCCAAAGCCTGGGTTCCGTGGAAAGAGGATGGCGTCCTCAATCCTCCTCTCAGGACATTCGCTAGGTTTGGTCTAAAAGATAGAAAACCGTCGGACGACCTCGATCGGGCGGTCAATCAGAGCGAGAACAAGACCAGATGTGGCACATGGTCGCCAGCTGGGGGCTAGTACAGACTTCTGGTAACGTACGCCGGCAGCCTTGATTGACACGGCGAACCCCTCAGCCCAGGGGCGGCCATCAGACGTGCCACAGGCCCGCTTCCAATTGTGTCCACCTGCAACTTTGCGTTCCTTTCCTCCATCACACGCGACTACATGGCGATGCCTTCGGCCATGCGTCCATAAACCTTCGAGCATAATGCCGCTACTGCAGGCATGATCGGTTTCTCGCCTACACGTGCGGTTGAGCCTGAAGCTGGGCAGCGTGGTTGACGACACTCTGGAGCACGTCGCGGTCGGCAGGGTCCAACGTCGAGGTCAGATTCAGGTACAGCTGAGGCTGCTCGGCCTGGAGTTTGCCCAGGGACTCTCTGAACGTGGCGTACGGGTCGAACCTGTCGAGCGGGCTTTCAAGAAGACTGTCTTCATCGAGGATACTATCTTCGTCGTCGTCATCGGCTAGGGCGCCGAACTTCTTGGCCTCCTCGCTAAGGAAGTCCAGATAGGCCTGGGACTCGTCCTTGATGTCGCCCTTGGTGTCGGGCAGAGAAGCCGCGTTGACATTGCCCCATTCTTGGCCTCCTGCGGCCTCGCCCGCCGGCTCGTCGGCCCAGTCGTCGGCTTCGTCATCGGAAGCATACTCGGAGAGAGTGTCCGAGACGCCGTCTGAAGCTCTGACTGCTTCTTCACGCTGCTTCATGGCCGCGGGGAGGGTGCGGAACAAATACGTGGCGCCAGAGAGCAGGCGTGGCCATCCAGTCTGGACGGACTGCGGCACTTGCTCGGCCCTGATGGTGAGCAGGGCCGAGATCGCGGCGATGCAGAGTTTCTTGTCGTGCACGCGGCGGAACGAATCGATACTGCCGAACCAGATCGAAAAGAACTTGTTTGTCCAACCGTGCGCCTCGAGCACCCGCATTGCTAGGTTGGGGTTGTAGTAGATCGCGTTGATCACCATTTCCACCAGGTGGATCTTATAGCTCTTCATGATTGTCTTCTGCTGCGGTCCTATCAGGACTTCCATGGGAAGGGTCACAAATGTTGGAATGTAGCTATCCATCGGTCCACCTCTGAGGTTGAGCATCAGCGCCTCGGCAAGCTTGCATCCACAAATGCGATCGACACCGCCGACCTTAGGGTCCGTGAAAATATCGCGGACCATGCCTGCAATAGCTGCAAGGTAAGGAGGATGGTTGATTAGCCTTTGCTGCCCGTAGGCAACAAAGTTGTCCAGCGCGGGAAGCATGTCTTCCAAGTACAATTCTGCGCCATCCTTGAACGTCTTGTGCATCAGCTCAAATGCCTGCCACATCGTGTCCGAGATGGATTTGGAAGCAAAGGTACATGAGTCGATGATCTCGAAGACTTCGTTGTACAGATCGTACAGTTTGTTCTCCAAAGTGATGGTGATGACTGGCATGAGGATGTTTTCTAGAAGGAGAAGCACGTCTGGCGTCGCTTCGAGCGTGAGGATCAAGGTGCCAATAGTCTGCAAGACACCCAGAGCCGCGATGGCCTTGTCATCAAGATAGTCCCCATATCCGGGCCCATCGCCACTTTCAGCTGCCTTGGCCTCATTCCGCTCCAGGATTTCTTTGATGATCCGAAGATAAGTGTCCCTCAAGTTTTCACTCAAGGCCACCGCAAAAGGTGTGAGCTGTTCGGCGAAGACTTCGACGAAATCCTCCATCACGTTGGACAGGGCATCGACATCCACTTCGTTCATCAACTTCAGGAGTTGGTGCATGATCTGAGGGATGTTGGCCTGCATCGCTAAGCGAACGGCATCATGCCTAATCAGCGGCTGCAAAGCCAACGCAGCCATGACCCTGACTGGCAGCTCCGGGTCAGCCATTGATTCGAGAATGTTTCGGTAGATGATCATGAGGTTGTTCTCGTCTTTGAAGTCGAGTTGTTCGAACTTTTCCATAGTCTCACAAGCCCTGGCTCGGAGGAAACCATGCGGAGACCGGAATTCGGGCAATACATGTCGTACGAAAAAGTACTCGACCTGGTCGGCGATTGGACTCTTTTTGCCCAAGATGACCGACGCGAGCGACCCAATCATCCGCAGGGCGCCCTCTTTCTCTCGAGGGTTCTTCTGGTCGTCGGGCGCGGCTTCGTAACGTGTGACCACTTCATTGACATAGGAAAGGATCACATATGTCTGTTGTTTACGATTCTTGGTCAGTGCAATCAAGAAATTGGTGGCGGCCATGTCTGGCGCAGACACCTCCTCATAAAGATTGAGTTTCCGGTGCAGGTAATCCGGAGGGTTCTCAGTGAACAGTTCCATGTCTTCGTCCGATTGACAGAGGACAGGAAAGACCAAATGCTTGATCAGACTGTCCATGTGTGGCTTCAATTTGTCCCACATTGCTTTCGGTTTGACACACTCTTCCAAGAAAATCAGTGTATAAGATAGGGACGCCTTGCTTAACCAGTGGTTTCCGCCGACCCATTTCTCGATTTCACCCAAATAACCTTTGAGAATCTCAGGTGCGAAATTCGTAATGAAATTCCGGGCGAAATCCCCGTACTCTCTGTCCTGGCTGGTGGAGATCCCTGAGGGGTTCCCGTATCTGACGTACAGCCTGTTCAGGTTGGCATACGACCACTTCCTTGCCTTCCACCAGTGGTTCCGCTCCCGATCTTCAGGATCCTCCGGCATTGCATACTCAGGAGGCTCCGTAGAGATGATGGTTAAAAACAACGTGCACCAGTCCACTGTTGCCTGGTGAGTCTGAAGAGGCTGTGGGAGACCATAGTATACGGCGTGCTTGTAGCACTTGACGCATATTCGCAGCATCTCACCCGCCTCCGGGCTGGTCTCACGGACCAGCTTGTTTCCGATATTCAACAACACGGGAAAAGCCACGTTGACCACCTTGTCCAGGTTTGCCCTCTCTTCGCCCGCACGGAAACGGTAAGTGCGACAAATGGCCAATAAACATTGCAGGCCTGCATATACTGAATTGGCATCTTGAGTATTCATCAACTGGAGGGTGATGTCCATCAACTCGGGCCATTTCGCAGGGAAGTCATACTGCAAGATGGTCTGCAGGATCGGGATCAACTGAGCCCGAATCAGAGGAGGAGATGTGGATAGGATGGGGAGAAGGCGGTCTCTGAAGGGCTTCCGTTCGGGTTCGGAGACGGGTTGATGAGGAGTGTTCTCGATCGGCCATCCTCGCGATATTCGATTTTTGAGATAGACGGCGGCCGAGAGCCGGATGCCAGGATCTTGCTCCGTCTGGAGGATGTCTAGCAGTGCTCCAATGAAGCCAGGATGCTGTTCGGCCGCCTTGAGGGCAGTCTCAGCCTGGGAGCGGAGGGCGGCCTCGGGGGACAAAGTGGACTGGATGGTGGTGCGCAAATCCATGTTGTCTATGTCGACTTCTGCCCTCGGAAGGGCCAATGCGTGGACACCTCAAAACAGCGTAGGAAATACAGGGAGCCGATAGTGAGTAAATGTCGGTTGGCTCTCCAGGGAGAAGTGAAGTGGCATCACCTTAGTACTACTCTTTCAAATTTACCTGAGGACCTTGAGCGCACCAGGCTCAACTTGAAGTTGATCCAAAACACGCAGGTTCAAGTTCCAGTTTACCGCGAATAATAAATGCCAAGAGGAGGTAAATTCGAAGCCACCTCGCTCTCCTTTGGGAAGAGGTTGACGCCGCCCTAGTCTCATCCATTTTACCCGCCTCATCCAAGACTGGTACCTTATTTAGTATTGACTGACCAACACGAGTATCCCGGGCAGCTATGACCTTCCCAATCGCCTTGGAAATGGTCGATTGTATGTGCTGTCTACGCCTGATGACACTTTTGAATGGGAACCCCGCAATGAATTTCCTCACACGACCGATTCTCGAACTCGCAACGGGTGAGCCTGCGAATTGAACACCCATTTGTTCCTCCCGTCCGCCTGCATATGCCACTCGCCCTCCTCCACGTGGATCAAATACGCGTATTTGATCGTCTCGGCCATGAAGAAGCCATACATCATATCCAACCTGCCTCCTGGTCCATCGTTTTCGGGCATGACATTGACGTCTGCGACTTGGCTGAATCCACCACTGGACACCCGCGTCGCTCGAATCATGGCCTGGAAGATCTCCCATGACATGTCCTGATACTTGCGATTCCCAGTGGCGCGGTATGCATAGTACAAGCTCTCCAGCACTTCAGGACGAAGCATATTCTTGGGCTCAACCACACAGTAGCCGGCTGTGGCGTAGAAATCGGTCTGATTGGCACATTCAGGCGGCAGCTGGCAGGCATGGGGGTTGGCTTTAAGTTTGGCCTTTGACGGGTGTTTGTTGCACCAGGCTGGCAGCCAGGCATACCGGTCCGGGCCAAGTCCGGTGGCTGTGGAGCGGTAGAGCTCGACTTGACTTTCGACCAGGGTCAGGCCAAAATCCACGTATCGCGGTTTGTGCAGGACCGTCCCTCCCAGGATGAAGTTTCCCGCGGCGAAGAAAGCCGAGTGGTCTGACGAGTAGAGCACGTCAGTGCAATTGATGGATGCCAAAAATGTAAGGTCTGGTCGACTTGATGGGTGCGAGGCCAGGCGTTTCATCGTCGCGTCGACGGCACGGGTCCAGCGATGGCGGTAGAAGGAGTACTCTGTCGGTGAGTAGATGTACATTTTCATCAGATATTCGTAAAAGGATCCGGCACCGCCCACATAGACCCCCTCGTAACTGACATAGTTTCCCGACTTGAGAGAGAGGACGTTGCCTGGGAAATCGGGGAAGGCCTTTTCACATTGCCCACCCTTCTTACTGTTCCAAAGACGACCCATGGCGCGCCCGACGAGATCGGCATAGGATTGGTGCTGGCTCAAGGTGGTGAGATGGGTCCATTCCAGGGCGATGGTGCCTATAGAGGTGATGCCGGTGGTGGCAACACGGCGATGTTTCGGCCTGGGTTTGAGCAGGAGGTTGTTCTGCGGAAGGTGAGAAGGCGTGTCGAAGGCAAACGAAAGGCTGTCTGCCAGAGTCTGGGCCTGGGTCAGAAGTGCCGCGACCGCCGACTTGTTGGAAGCCAGATGGGACAAGGGACCGGTCAGCAGTTCGTGCGCCGAGAGCAGTCCGCCCATATATGTCTTGCTGGCTTGGGAGAGCGAGATCTTGAGTTCAGTTGCCGGGAAGTCAATGGAACTAATGTGCTGGAGAATGGTGTCCACGACATCAGGGAGTTCCATCAGGAGCGCCGTGCTCAGCGAAGCTACGGCCGTTGCTCCCCATGCACACCTGTGCCTTTCGTTCAGCCGGGTTCACGACATACATACTTACATCAGCTTGGCGATATATTTACCTCGTGTCTACCCAGGACCTGGACAACGGAAGAAGCTCGTTATGTGGGAACGCGTGCTTCATATATCCCATCCACGCGTGCCGAAATGCCTCCTTGACGGCCTGCGCTCTTTGCGGATTCCCTGATCGCCCGTCATGCGCTCCAGCCGTGTGTGGAGAGCGGGATGAGGATGGGGCTCGGATCCCGCCGTGGAAACTCAAAAGATAGACGAACGCGGCTCCTAGGAGCAATACGAGATAGCGGACGCGAAGGCAGATCATTGCCGGGTTAAGATGACGGATGGACGAATACCTGGATGTGCTGGTTTGTCGCTCCCTCCCATTGTTGACAATTGTCCGGTCTCTCACCTAGGGAAATCGAGCTACATATCAGCCTACATGCTCCGAGCGACGCACCCAAGGATCACGAGAGCTCAGATGAAATCCTCCTTCGGTTTCCTGTCATTGTGGTCGCCATTCGAGTCCGTTGCCTGTCAGATGCCTGCTATCTAGCCGAAAGCGAACAAGAAGCGGAATTTCCCATCTCGTTTGGAGATATAATTCAGCCTCATTATCTAACGACTCGCCAAATATCTCGGCTGATTGGCCAGATGTTAGCCTTAAGGCTCAAGTTTGACGTCTAGACCAATCCCTCCGGCGTGCACAGTCGTTCTGAAATGCCTTGAAGTCAGAAGACATCGCAGACCCAGCGAACGGTAGCGAGAATGTCCTTAAAGGACGTGGAATTCTGCTCTGGACTCGCTACACTCTCTTCTTCCTACGAGACTATGGACTTTCGTTCTTTCACCTTGGGCTTTGTCGACGGCTTAACAGACAGCAACGAGCCTTCGGAAAAGGACGGATGCTACACGGTCGAGCCCCGTGTCAACACACATGGAGTCCTAGTCCTATTGGAGTCTTAAGCCTCCACGCCCCCGTCCAATTGCTTCAAGGTTGCCAGATGCACGACATACCCCGAACAGGAACGTAGACCCGCAGATATCTTCTCGTCTGGAACGCGCCATACATCGAAATGTCTCAGCAATGTGCTCAAGAACAACTCGCACGTGGATTCGGATCGAAGTTGCTGAGCAACGAGGAGAACTGTGGTCTTCCCGCTTGAGGACCCCAGACGACAGATATCGACACAAGTCTGAACGAGTGGCGATATGAGAAACTCGTTATAGACACAATCACATAGAAGTAAAAGGTCAATTGACTCTTCCGGGGCTATGGCGGCCCTCAAGACTCCCACATCGTCGGTTTCCCAATCAAGAGGTATCAGTTTGAGGTTCCCTTCGGGCCTACGCCGCTGCTGGTGACCTCTCTTTTTCGATCCCTTCAAGTTCGCGTCCGAGTCCGGGCTTGGTAAGTGGTTGGAGATGTTCTCTTTCAAGAACTTCATCACGTAGTCCTGGTCTGTAAGAACATAACACCGCACGACGCGAGACAACACCAAGCCCATCAAGCCTGCCAGTCCACATCCTAACTCGACAACAGTGGCATTTGTGCCTAGGACGCCAACATCGCAAAGGAGCGGAGGCAATGATGCTAGCCAGGTGGCCAATAGGGGCGTGATTTTCCACAAGACTGCGCCAGTGGTGCCTCCGCCTCTGTTGGAATTCAATAAGCCAGGGGATTGCCGCAGTACATAGTCATGCCCTGCGACCTCGATTTCAAGAGTTTCGGCTCTGGAATCGATGAAGCCGAGATTGTTGCTTGGGATGTCTTGACTGAACAAGAGAAAGGTTTCTACGTGGCTAGTCAGGGCGGAGGCCTTGAATAGGAGTCAGCCTTGGTGATGGGGGATGTAGCGATACCTTCATCAGCGTCCTGGAGAGGAGCACCCAAGAGGGTATGAAGCTTGCGTGATGCCATTGCAGCTTGTTATCTCCGGGGGCACCGCATATGAAAACGACAGTCTGAGCAGCTGCGCCGAACGCAAGTTGATGCTGACTTCAAGCCGTCAGCGTGTTCTCTCACCCGCCCAAACAGGGGGAGAGTCAGCTGGACATTGTTCGAGTCTTGGACATGGTGGCGGCAGCTGCAGGAATAGCGAAGGTTGAGTAATCGGCATAAGCATGGAGAAGCGCAGACAGAGTTGATATTGGTTGACGGTGCCTAGAACAGGTGCCTAAGGTGGCTAGATAGGTATGTAGGTGTATATGCCTCAGTCAAATGTCCGGAGGCTGGGTTTCTAGAATGTAAAACAGACATCGCAGGTGGTGGACATACTGCGATATACTGTTCGGCAAGCCCGGCGCAGGCAACACCAGACCTGGAGATCATACCACAGATACTAGGTACGCACCTAGTACCTCACTACCTGCGCCGTAGCATCTTATTAAGTAATCACCATAATACGTAGTGCTAGGGATCCCAACCAACGGTGTCTCCCTAGACTAACTCGCGCCTAGCACCCCAACTGATCCCCGTAGTGAGCGACTAGCCCACTGATGCCGTCTTCTCATTGGGTCATGGGGTCTTAGGCCGTTAGCAACCCCGACAGGAAGAACCTGGCGCACTGGCATTTCGCCCAACCAACTCCAACTTGAAACTGCCCTTTGTCGCCTGGGGCCAAAGTCTTTAGCCACCGTGACGTACTCTGTACTCTGCCCTGGTACTTCCCAAAAGATCGCCCCAACCCCAGAAAGCTGCGAGAAGAAATCATCTTTAGCTTGGTCACTGGCACTGCAGGCAACTTGAACGCGCTCTTCTAAGCACTCCTACTCTTCTCTACCTGGGTTCTTGTTATTCACGCTCTCGTCAGACGCAAAGCCCTGCGCCATCAATATTTTGCCCTTGTCATCGCCGCGCAGACAACATAGACATTGGTCTTGTTGCTGCCAACCTACAAGTCACTCGCCAACTTGCCCAGCGAGAGCCCCCTCACCAAAGGCCGACCAACCTCTCATTGTCACAATTCCCCCTAACCCACGTTCTCTCTAACCCAAATCGCATCCCTTCATTCTCCTACACGTCTTCAACATGTCACTCAGTAATGACAACCGTCCGAGGATGGACGGGTGGGTGCAAGCTCAGATGGTCAAGAAGCCACCCTTCTCTGTCGAAGTACCTGGCTATCAGAAGAAAGAGGGCGAAACAATCCCAAGGCGGCATCCTTTGGCCAAGGACAAGCTGATCACACTCCCGTCAGACGATGTGAAGACAGTCTACGACAACCTCAAACGTGCTTCGGCCAAATTTGGAAATGCCAAAGCCGTGGGCACGAGGAAGATTATCAAGACTCACGTCGAGAACAAAAAGGTGAAGAAGATCGTGGACGGCCAGGAGGTGGAGGTGGACAAGCAGTGGACGTACTATGAACTCAGTGGCTACAGCTATATGTCCTTCATCGAATACGACAAGCTCGCCCATGACCTTGGTTCTGGCCTGCGCCACTTGGGAATCACAAAAGAAAAGAAGATGCACCTCTACGGTGCCACCAGGTACGTAGGACCCCGGTATAAAAGCTTTCCTCTCTAACTTGTGCAGCGCCCATTGGCTCGCCATGTCCCATGCCGCAGCCTCTCAGTCTATCCCCATCGTCACGGCCTACGATTCCCTAGGTGAGGACGGGTTGAGACATTCACTCGTGCAGACAAACTCGGCGGCCATCTTTCTCGACCCGAATCTGATTCCAGTCGTGATCAAGGTGCTCAAGGATGCCACACATGTCAAGTCAATCATCTACAATACGGATCCTGAGGTGAAACCAGGGGACCTGGAGAAGCTGAAATCCACTTTCCCGGATATGAAAGTCCTCAGCCTCGATGAACTGCGCAAATCAGGCGCCGAGAATCCGGTCGAGCCTGTGCCACCCGGCGCCGAAGACCTGGCCTGCATCATGTATACCTCTGGCTCCACAGGTCCTCCGAAGGGTGTGACCATCAAACACAAAGCGGTGGTGGCTGCTATGGCAGGTGTGCAAACAATAGTCGCGCCCTACATCTCGCCTGCGGATGCGCTTTTGACTTACCTACCTCAGTCGCACATCTTTGAGTACATGTTCGAAAATCTTTGCATGTTCTGGGGTGGTACTATGGGTTATGGCAACCCCAAGACGTTGTCTGACGCATCTGTACGCAACTGCAAAGGCGATATCCGTGAATTCCGACCCACCATCTTGATCGGCGTCCCTGCGGTTTGGGAGAGCGTGAAGAAAGGCATCCTTGCAAAGATCAACAGCGGCTCATTCATTGTTAAGAATATGTTTTGGGGTGCCATGTCTCTGAAGCAAATGCTCCTCGGGTCGAAAATACCGGGCGCTGGCTTGCTTGATGCCATCGTTTTCAAGAAATTGAAAGACGCCACCGGCGGCCGTCTCCGCATTGCTTTCAACGGTGGAGGCCCGATTTCCCAAGACACCATCAAGTTTATCAGCTACGCGATCACTCCCATGATCTCGGGTTACGGGCTCACCGAGACTACCGCTATGGGTGCTATTCAGGATCCTCTGGCATGGGACCCTCATGCCTTGGGTGATATTCCCGGCTGTATCGAGATCAAGTTGGTTGATTTCCCTGACGCTGGCTACTACTCAACCAACAAGCCCCCTCAGGGCGAAATCTGGATCCGAGGCCCTTCTGTCACAGAAGGATACTGGCAGAATGAGCAGGAAACAAGGGAGGCGATCACGGACGACGGATGGTTCAAAACAGGCGATATCGGAGAATTCAATGCCAATGGTCACTTGCGAATCATTGATCGAAAGAAGAATTTGGTCAAGACGTTGAATGGCGAGTACATTGCGTTGGAGAAGCTGGAGTCCGCATACCGTACATCTCCCATAGTAGGGAACATTTGCGTCTTTGCGGCCGAGGACAAGGCCAGACCTATTGCGATCATTGTACCTGTCGAAGCCCAATTGAAGAAGATTGCGGCTGCGAACGGCATCAAAGGGGATCACCTGGAAGAAATCGTCCACGACAAGAAACTCAATTCCATCGTCCTGAAAGAGATCCAGAAGGCCGGGCGGGAGGTTGGCCTTGCAGGCATCGAAATCATTGACGGCGTGGTCCTGGTGGATGAGGAATGGACTCCACAGAATGTAAGATTTTGCACGCTCCTGTTCTGACAATACTGACTGTGGTAGGGTTTCATCTCACCTGCACAAAAGCTGCAAAGGAAGAAAATCCAAGGGCGATACGAAAAGGAAATTCACAAGGCATACGGCAACTGAAATATTGGGAGCTTGTAGCACGGCACTCTTCACGCGTTCCAGCTTTCGGCATTGCTGCGACAGGCTACGGCTCATAAGCTTGCTACGAGAGGGCAGCTTGCCATTTCCACGGGTGTGCTGGGTGTCCGGAGTCAGTCTTTGGCGATGCATCCCTCAAAATGTAGTATAATGATTTGCTTTGCCACTCTATGGTCATGTCCGATGTCTCCCTCTCATCTGAGACTTTCTTATTCTTCGTGGTGCGTTTCTATTGCTCTGACATGACACAGCAACCTCTCCATCGATCTGCTGGCAACAGCCCCCTCCATCACTCCTTCACGGCTGGATGGTATATCCTTCGACCAGGTCAAGGACTGTTTGTTGCTCCACGACGCCAGACAGGATCCGCCTTGACCAGCCTTTACATTGGTTGCTGCTGTATCAATCATCACTTCCCACCGCCTGTTATTTTGACACCGTTGATTGTCCAGCCCCCATTTTCCATGGCGATTTTCGGGCACATGCCGCTTTGACACTCGACGGCACAGCAGATACCAGGGTCTTTCAGACATTCGTTGCAGGTTGCACTTCCGCCATCATCGTATACTCCGTCGACACTGGCAGTGACAATTCCATCAGCTCCGCTGCTTTCAGCGGGCTCCTCGGCCGCGACACTGAGCGAACTGGAGCTGGGTTAGATCCAATCCTCTCATCACAGAGATTTCCGTGCTCGCACCTGTCGCCTTTCCTGACAAACCTGAGGGCGGATGCGCCATTGATGACTACGCCAATGGCAAGAAGGATTGTGATCTTCATGGCTGAGGATGGCTGGCGTTGAGTATGGCGTCCGTGAAGCTGTGTACTGACATACAGCAGTTCCGGCAAAGATTTCTAGCTGGGAAGCATGGCTGACAGGTAATTTCTATTCCAAGGAGACTGAGTCGGTGGTGTCTCACCTCACATTCTTGCCAATGCGCATTCCTGAATGATGAAGCGCGGTATGCAGCGCGTAACAGGCCATGCTCGGTCCGAGACGCGACTCAAATACTCCTTATATCACGCCTCTGTCTGACTATGGGAACGAGTACCTTTCTCAGAGCATAACAGTGTCGGTGACTTCAGGCCTTTTCGACGGCAAAGATGTGGTTTGCATATACAACATCACTGCTGGTCCTCATCCAACTCGGGCTCTTTACAGCATGCTCATCGGCTCAGTCCACGTACTGGCTCGCAAACAAGCCCAACGTCGGAAAAGTCGTGTTCCAAGATCCTAGCTATCCAGTCTTTCGAAACGTGAAAGACTATGGCGCAACAGGTGAGCCGTTCATGTCCCAGACACTGTCCACATTTTTAACATTGCCTCAGGCGGAGGTGTGCTCGACGACAGTGATGCCATCAACCGCGCCATTGCGACCCCTGGCAACCGATGTGGCGGTGGAAACTCAACCTACGGCTCATTCTGCCAATCTTCAACAGTGACACCGGCATTGGTCTATTTTCCCCCCGGAACGTACCTCGTCTCCAAACCGCTTGTCATGTACTATTTCACGCAGATGGTGGGAGACGCAGTCAACCCACCAACCATCAAGGTCCAGTCGAACTTTACCAACATTGTTGGTCTCGCTGTCATGGACGCGGATATATACATTCCAAGTGGTAGCGGCGCAGAATGGTATGCCAACCAGAACAATTTCTACCGTCAAATCCGAAATTTCATCATCGACATGACAACGGCGCCTCTGGAGACAGCCGGAATCCACTGGCAGGTGGCTCAAGCAACCAGCTTGCAGAATATTGTGATAAACATGGTAGCCAAAGATGTAGTCAACAACCAACAACAAGGCATCTACATGGAAAATGGCTCAGGCGGGTTCTTCTCTGATATGGTCATCACCGGTGGTGCTATAGGGATGTACCTGGGCAATCAACAGTTCACGACGCGCAAAATACAGCTGGATGGTTGCTTGACCGCCATCAAGATGAATTTTGACTGGCTCTGGACATTCACACAGATCACGATCACGAATTCCGACGTCGGAATTGACATGACAAACGGAGGCTTTTCGAACCAGGCTATAGGTTCATTGGTGTTGCTGGACAGCACCATCTCAGCCACTCAGGGCATCCTCACTCCCTATACTCCTGGGTATAGCTCGCCCCAAGCCGCGGGAACCTTGATACTGGAGAATGTCGACTTCACCGGTAGTCCTGCGGCAATCTCGGCGGCGGGTGGAACGCAAGCAAGAACCGTTCTCGCTGGCGGACAGTTCATCCCGTTGTTTGCTCAAGGTAATGCTTGGACTACAGCTGGGCAGACACTGAACGGACAGAGCTTCAATGGGACGACATGTACCTATCAGAACTCCAGCCAAACCGCATACTCGGCTCAGGAGACCACCATCCAGCGACAACTGGCCCCGATCCCTCGACCATCCAATCTCGTGGATAGCAATGGCCAGTATGTCTATCGCGTCAAACCTCAGTATGAGACTCTGCCATGGAGTCAGTTTTTGAGCGCGAAAGCACACGGGCTGCTTGGAGATGGCACCACAGGTAAGAAGAAGCGGAACCGACTGTATCTTCATACTAATGCATTGTTGCAGACGATACTGTGGCCATGCAAGCTCTGTTTAATGTGGCGGCCAATACAGGCCAGGTGGTCTATTTCGACCGAGGAGCGTACATTGTCAGCAGCACTGTGACTGTGCCTCCCAATGTGAAGATCACCGGAGAGCTGCTCAGCATTGTCATGGCCACGGGATCTTTCTTTGGTTCCGAGCTCAACCCCAAACCCATGTGGAAGATAGGGAATCCAGGCGATGTGGGCACGGTGGAAATCTCCGACCTGATGTTCGAAACGAAGGGACCCTGTCCTGGTGCCATCATCATCGAGTGGAATATCAAAGCGGCAGGGCCAGCTCTTGCCGGCATGTGGGACGCGCATTGGCGTATAGGCGGATCAGCTGGCACTCAATTGCAACAGGACACGTGCATCAAGACCCCCGGCACTCCCATCGCACCGGGGAACTCGAAGTTGACCAATTGCATCGGGGCGTTTTTGCTGTTACATGTGACTTCGCAAGCTGACGGCTACTTCGAAAACACCTGGGGCTGGGTGGCTGATCACGAATTGGACATGGGGACGCGCGACCAGATCTACATCTTTAACAAAGCGTAAGCCGCACTGATATCCCTAGCTATAACTCACGTCAACTGGGGGACTCGTATGCTGACATGGGAGCTCCAGGGGATTCCTGATCGAAAGCCAGAACGGTCCAGTGTGGATGTATGGCACCGCGGCCGAACACTCTGTCTTTTACGACTATCAATTCGTCAACGCGAAGAACGTCTTCATGGGCCATATCCAGCACGAGACAGCGTATTATCAGGGCAACCCGGACGCGCGGTTGCCCTTCACGGCCCAGCCATCGTGGCATGACCCGACGTTTGAGGACTGCGTCCAGCTAAACTGCGCGAGGACATGGGGACTTCGGTTTGTCAACAGCTCGTCCATTTTCATGTATGGAGGCGGCCTGTACAACTTCTTCGAGAACTGGAACACCCAAGCATGTCTGGGCACGGAAAGTTGCCAGGAACGGATGGTGGACATACGGAACTCGACGGACATATATCTGTGGGCGCTGAGCACGAAAGGCTCACAGTTCATGATCAGCTACGAAGGCACCGATGTAGTGCCCTACTCGGTCAATAGGGCAAACTTTTGCGATACCATTGCCCTGTTTGAATTGGCGGCCGATCAATGAAGGAGCGAGTCGCCTGAGGTGTGATGATCCGACGGGATGGACGAGAAGGAGATAAGCAGAGGTGGTTTGGGTACTAGGTCATGTCAAGATAGATAGTCTTTTCTTTATGGGAAGGAGATTGGAATGGACTTCTGTTGTAGAAATTCCCCCCTGACTGGGTTCAGCCTTGCGAGGAACACGTGAGCTGTGTTCTGTGCACCGAATAGTTCCGCCCACGACAACATAAGGGCCTATCCACCGTTTCTCTAGAGTATTAAACGAACTTGATCATATTCAATATCTGAATGATGGCACAATTCGAGCGAAGGGAGAGGAAGTGGTGGTGAGCTTTGATAGTATGGCTGGACGATTCGGGGGTTGATTCTCGTCACGTACGAGGCTTGTGATTTCTGTTGATATATTTATTCCTGGATGGTAGCAGGATTCAATTCATCGTTCTCATCACAACTTCTACAGTCCTGCTTGTGTCTACAGCTTCATCCCGATCTCTAAAAGAGACCTGCGCCTGTATTCTAATGGAGTCAACATGTCAACTTGGAGCTGAAGGGGTCAAAACAGGTAGGAGAAAAGACACGCCCACAGCATTCCATTCCTACTACTTCGGTCTGTGCATATCACAACGCGACGAGACGAACGAGTCTGGGCGAAATGCTGCAGTTTTATCATCCTCTCACCCTCTACGAGGCCGGGCTTGAGCTATTGTTTCTTTGCATCCGTCAAGATGTCTGTCCTTCGTTCCCTGCTTCTGGTCACGGCCACTTTGTGCCCTATTACATATGCATTTGTTGATCTGGGATATTCCACCCTCCCCTATGAACCGCTACATGTCCCTACTCCGCGGCCACATCAGCTGCCTAGTGGGACGGACCTGCGTTATGAGTTACTCCCGTCGATGATCACGGCCGTGGCGCCTTCGATCACCATTTCGTCCAATGGCACCCGGGAAACACTGTACAGTCTGCACTATCACCACTATTTCAGCAAGACACGCCAGGGCAAGGGACTGTTCAAGAGAGGTGTCTTCGCCAGTGACCCTCCCATTGCGACCTGCACACCTTGCGACGGATCGGGCTCCAGTATCACGGCGAGTTCGACCACGGCTTCAACCACGGCGTCGTGTACAACCCACCAATACCATGTAAGAACGCCTCACCTCACAGTCTGGCTCGTCGAGGACACTACTGACACGCATTCATAGGGCGTCTTTCAATTCCCGGACCCTGCGCTGACCACCTCATACTGCTATAATTCAAACTACACCGGTGTCTTTGAACCGAGCACCACATCGTCGAGCGGCTTGCCATGTTGCTTCACGATCCCGGCCTCGTGTCGTCTCAACAGCACGACCAGCAGTTCGGTCACGTATAGTAGTGGCGTCTTCCGCTCGACCACAACAACCTCATTCTTCAGCAACATGAGCACCACGACCAGGAGCTCGGCAACTCCATCGTCAACAGCGTCCTTGACTACCGCCACGAGCACCTCGTTGACATCCCGGTCGTCTTCGTCTTCGTCTTCAACCTCGACCACATCGTCCTCACTTTCGGGGAGTGTGTCACCAAATCTCTATAGCAGAAGTCTATCTACATCCACAAGCACAGGTACGATGAGCACCATAACCATAATCAGCGGGACCACGGTCTTTCTGACAACAACGACCTCGGCCTCAACCATGTCAGGAACGACTCCTGGCTCAAGTACGACTTCCACTGTTCTTTCAAGCGTGCCGTACACGTCGGGGACGTCATCGCAGACATCTTCGACGACAAGCGCGTCCGGATCGATATCTTCGAGTGTTTCCATCATCGTCGTGGCGAGCACCACCATCACATTCACGAATAGTGGTGAAGACGGTCCAGGTTCAACATCTGGCCCTGGAACATCGTCGACTCGGTCTACTTTGACCGTGATCACTGCGACACCAGTCACCTCCACGACTTCAATCACTTATATCACAACGACGGTGCCAAACATCATCGAAGGGTGTGGAACCGCTTCGGGAAGCGGTGTAGTGGGTCAGTTTCCATTCTACATCGTATCTGCTAGGAAGAATTCACTAATCTCTGCTTATTGGAACGTGCAGAAGGCACAGGAACCGTCTTGATCGATGACACATCTATCGTCGCATCCGGCACTGCAAGCGGTATGTTTCTGGACCTCTCTCTCTCCAAGTGTCTTTCTATTATCAACCAACCTCGGGTATTGACTTGCGCGAACAGGCTCGGCATCACAAGTAGTCGGATGTGGAACAGTGATAGCCACGACAGGCACATTCACCGGCTCAGCAACCATCACTGGATGTAAGTTTTCTGATCGGTTCTCTTCATTCTCCGTCTCGATCTCTCCAAGAGGGTAGATAGCTAACAAAGCATCATCATCAGGTGGATCTGGTTCCGGAACGGGCACGCTCACTGGTACAGGCACGATATGGCCACCCTTAGGAGGCGGCATCGTGTCGATAGTATCGTCCGGCATCGTCTCTGGAAGTGGCAGATTCGAAGGTTGTGGAACGCTGGTATGTCACTTTCTCATGTTCCTATTTGTCGACACGCCGCGTGTTCGAAACGAGTTGTGTCGTGCCATCGTCATGTCATGGCTTGACCACCTCCCCCTTACTCTACTCTACTCTACTCTGTACAGACAGACGGAAAGACTGACATGGACCTCTCACCTGTCTAGACCGGTTCAGGCACCTTCGTCGCAACAGGCCCATATAACACAACCATTGCTGCCCCAATCACCACCGCCTCCTCCTCTGGCACACGCGCCGTCACCACCGTCGAAGTCTACGTCTCGTACTGTCCTGGGCCGATGGACAACGCTCTCCTGCGCCTCGGAACGAACTTTACAGGATATACTGCAGCAGATGGCAATGGCAATGGCAATGGCAGTAACATGACAAGCCCTGCACTGTCTCCCGACAACGACGACGTCAACTCGCGCTTCATCGTGCCCACCACCCACTCCAGTTCTAATTCAACTTCCAACAACTCCACAAGCCTCGGAATCGACAACGCGCTGTGCAACACCTGTCCCAACAGCGTGGGCATCTGCTGTCCACCCACCGTCGACTGTGACGGCGCGGACGGCAAGTGTCCGCTCTACGCGCTGGAGAACTCGCACAACACGCTCAACGGGTATCTAATCGCGCAGGTCCTGAATAGCTCGGCTCCCGTGGCCGGGAGGAAGAAGGTGCGTGCTCTACCAAAGCCGAAGAGAAACATAGACAAGGAAATGGCGGTGGCGGAATACGACATGGCACATAATGAAGCAAGAGAAGTTGGGGGAGCGATGAAGAAGAGAGACAAGAAGCATCAGTTGCCCAAGAAGGCTCATAGGAGACAGTTTTAGCTGCTCGACGTTGCTGCAAGACGGACTTGAGACTCGAGAGTATGGGGTGCAACACTGTTGATTCGTTCCGAGTCTCGAGACCCGAGGCTGATCCAGCGGGTGGTGTCTGTTGCTCGTCAATTACCATTCATTCTATTCCATTCCATGCTTGGATCACAAGCAAAGTTTTTTTGATCCATTCCCCAACCAGACATCCGAGTTCTATGCTCTGATAACCGTTGCTGGCACCCAAGCACCAAGATGCTGAAAGTCACACGCTAGAACGCTTAGACAAACCCCGCCCGTCGAATCCGACAAAAGTCTATCATTATAACATGTCATGTCGCATATCCGTCAAAAGCCCGGCCCTGTTGAGAGAGGCCGGTCATGCTTGAAGTCCAATCGAGGTTAACAGCCGAAATCCCACAACTCCAACAATGTATTCGTCTCATCATGATTTTCCGTCTCGACATCGACATGCCCCGCGGAGAAGATCCTCTTGGGAATCTTGTATTCCACCACCGGCGGCTTCTTGTCCTTCTTCTTCAGGTCACTCTCCAGTAAACTGGCGTATCCATGATCCAAGAAGTCCTCGAGATTGTATTGCTGCTTGGTGAACTGTTCCGAGATGATGCGCGCAATGGACGCCACAGTCGGGTGATAATGCGAGCGCAAGGTCTCGAGTTCCCACAACGAGCTGTCGATGGCATTGGTGAGTTGCGGGTTCGGCTCGGCTGGGTTGAAGGGGTCGTTGCCTAGGTTATGTTTGAATTTCGTGTACGGCGGGTGCGGCGGGCGGTGGATCATGAACGTCGTGGTCGGATATGTCTTGAGCAGATTGTAGATGAAAGGCACGATGGCCACGATGGCCGAGGGCGGCGCGAACAGACACAGCCGCGACAGACGTTTGATGAAGCTCGCGATCGTGGCAGCAGGGAGATGGTTCTGCGGCGCAAGAAAGATGTCGAGGTGTCGCAGCACACGTGACCGGTATTTGCTGTGCAGGAGGTCTTTGTCGAGCAGCGCGTACAGTCGCGCGTAGAAGGCAGGGTAGTCGAGGTTGCGTGTGGTGATGAGATGGAACAGCCCCTGCAGAGCAGGTACCGCGAGACCCAGGTCGCCCATGTCCAGACTGTCGGTGAAGAAGTCCATCAAGATCTCGGGCCGGCGTAGTTTAGAGATGGTCTCGGGCGACTGGAGTTGTTTGAGGAGGTGTTTGCGCTGCGCGACCGTCATGGGCGCCGCGATCAGCGAGTCATATGAGTCCATGGTGTCAGGAGGCACTCCAGCCTTTTAGAAGGCGAGTATGACACCGTGAGAAAGAAGGGGGCGGTCAAGTCAGGGCCAACTACGACTTGAACCTGTTGTGGTGTCTTTGTTCCCGTGTCTGCACCATCTTTGGAACTTTTTTTGGATTGCAAAAGAGTCGACGTCTGCCAAGGACACTAGTCCCGATTTGTGCTTAGCGTGCAGGTTCCTCTGGAAGCTCTCTCCCTCGCCGACCTCGACAGCAGACAGACAGCAAGGTGAACGAACTCAACGGAACACTCAAGCACATCTGCCCCCAGTTCACCACTGCAGTCCTGTCTGTTGTTGTTGTGCAGGCAATTATAACACACGACTACCATGGCGTCCAGACTGGCGAGGAGTGCGGCTGGTAAGCTTCTCCGCGACCGCGAACGCAGCTCAATCGAATCTAGCACCTCCATTTAAACAGCGCAACCAACTAACGAACATGACCTTGTCACAGGAGCCAGCAAACTCCGCCCAACAACCTCGCTCTCCCTCCGATCCTTTCCCGCGCTCAGCTCGACCTCGGTACGATATGCGTCCAACGTGCCCACCGAAGACCCGAAGAAGAAGGCTCAGTCGATCATCGACGCTCTGCCCGGAAACAGCATCGCCAGCAAGACGGCCATCCTGTCCGCCGGAGCCGGCGCGTCGGTCTGGGCCATCAGCAACGAGCTGTATGTGCTTAACGAGGAATCCGTCGTCGCCTTCTGTCTGTTGTCCGTCTTCTGGAGCATTTTCAAGTACGGCGGGCCCATGTACAAGGACTGGGCGGACGGCCAGGTCCAGAAGATCAAGGACATCCTCAACGAGGCCAGAGTCAACCACGCCAGCTCGGTCAAGGAACGCATTGAGGACGTCAAGCCGCTGAGCAACGTCGTGGAGATCACCAAGCAGTTGTTCGAGGTTTCAAAGGTACATAAATCATGATGCTACTAAAAGCCGAGACCGGGATCGGCGGATCTTACTCGGATGTGTGGGAACAGGTGCTGACAGTCGCAAACAGGAGACCGCCAAACTTGAATCCCAAGCCTTCGAACTGGAGCAGAAGACCGCCTTGGCCGCCGAGGCGAAGGCCGTCCTTGACTCTTGGGTCCGCTACGAAGGCCAGGTCAAGCAGCGCCAGCAGAAAGAATTGGCCGACAGCATCATTGCCAAGGTCACCAAGGAGCTCGAGAACCCCAAGGTTCTGCAACAGATCCTCCAGCAGAGCGTGGCCGACGTGGAGAAGTTGGTGGTCAGCAAGGCGCAATAAATTCGGTGAAGATGTGAGTGTGGGAGGTATAGGTGAGGGCCAAAAAGACTTAGAGAGGAAGCCTACGCAGTATTTGCAAGACTGCAGCAGGGGACGATGACTTGGTCCATTGTTGTACATAAAAATCGGCTCACAAGCAAGTTCCAAACTGAGCACAATCGATTTCGTTTATTCAAATGCCCCTGTTCTACCGTCTATCTACCCCGATATGCCATCATATCACGAGATATTTCTCGGTGATGTCGCGGGCCATGATCGGATTCCCACTCAACGCATACAATGTCTGGAGAGCATACGCCGCGTCCATGGTGTAGTCCGTATACGTCGGCTCATCTTCTGTCTGCGCACTAGGCGTCGCAAGGGAGAGGACTTTCGCATATGCTCTGACCGCCAGATCCGACAAGCCCAACATATGCCAACATCTGGCACGGTTGAACTCGATCTCGCGCTGAACGAGAAGGACGGTATCGAGGTCACCCCGGGCGGTCGCCCACTCGCGCCTCGCATCGGCGTATTCCTCGAAGGAGGCCCAGCCTTGCAGAAAATACATGTGTCGGTTCTCGTTCTGCCGCTTCAGCATCTCATGCATGTAAGACAGAGCGATGCTCAGCAAGACCACAGGGTTCTTTGGATCTAGCGACCGAGCGCGGTAGAAATAGGACAGGGCATTGGGAAAGCTCCCGCCAGCGTAGAGAACGTGGCCGTAAAGAGTGAGCAGCACGGCATCCATCTCCTTGGGCGCAATGGCATCCCCGTTGGCGTTGGAAAACACACCACCGTCTTCACCGTCTCCCTTGGGGAACTGCTCTCCGCTGTGACGCATGGATTCCGGGAGAGGGCCATAGTCGTCTGCAGTGTAATCCGGCGGCAGACTTGAGTCCAAGGCCATGACATGTCGGAAGATGAACTTCTGCGACGGGCCAGATCGGAAGGGTGCATTGGCCATCTGAGCATCCTTGCCTCCTTTGTCATCGGCATAGGGGTAGAAGAAATTCAAGGCGGCAAAGAGTCGATATGCATCCGTGCGGAACTGGAACCGGCGAATGAACCAGCGCAGAACGACATTGAACAGCGTCTGTCCATCTCGAAGCGCGAACGCGCAGGTGAAGTAGGTCACATAGATCCGGAGAATGGCCTCGGGATCATGGTAGAAGACTGCACAATCCAGGGCCGCCGTTATGATGGTGTAGCATCGTTGCTGAGCATCAGGTTCGGGAGTATTGGCCAGGAGTAAAGCATACTCCAGAAACACGTCCAGCCACTCCGTGAAGGCAATCTCGCGGTACTCGGTCGGGACGGCGGACTCGACAGTAGGGATTGGGATATCCTGGTCCAGACCACCGCTCGCATTCTGATCCACACTTTGCTCCTTTTCCGATTTCTTGCGGTACATCGCACTGCGCGCTTCGCGGTCGTATCCCATGAACATCATGTGTCGCTCCGCAGGGTAGAAGACACGATTACTCCGGAAGTCTGTGATGAGAGACTCGGCGCAGTCCATCCATGTGTTCCGTGCAATCTCGTCGCCATGCCTCATGGCCTCTGTGCTGTCAACCAAGTCCCTGTAGAGTCGGTTGATGTTCTCGGTTTGATGCGCTTCTCTCTCTTCTGCTGTCATGCGTTTCGGCTTGGGCTTGGGTCCTGGTATGTTTCTGGCTTTTGCAACTCGACGTTCTTTTTTCTTCGGTGCTTTTGTAACCATGTCAGTCTCCTCGACATCCCTTCCACCATGCTCATTTCCGCCGTCTCCAGCCTGTTCTCCGTCCTTGTCTTCCAACCCCCCCTCAAGTTCCGCATTCGCCTGTTCTTGCCCTTCCATCTCCTTGCGCTTCTTCCCCTTCCCGCGCCTTCTCGAGAGACGTGCCTCGATCCTCCAGATTGGACTGCCAGCATCGGCAGCACCCGGGAGCTTGTGTGCTTCCCTGAGCGCCTTTTCTGCCTCTTCTCGAGCAAGGCGTTGCTCCCTACGTTCATATTTTCGCCGTTCCGTTTTGCGGATTGAGTTGTCGGCAATCCGCACAGCTTCCCGCGCATTTTCCAGGGCCTTCTCTTTTTCCCCAAGGTCGGTATACAATTTCGAAAGTTGAGTCCTTGCTTCAATACAATTTGGATCTGACGCGCTGGCTTCCTCATAGCATTCGATAGCTTGTTCTTTGTTTCCACAAATGTAAGAACTGGCAGCAACAGATAGCCAGAAGTCCGTGTCAGAATATGCATTGGTATCTTTGAGAGCCTCAAAGTAGCGGAGTGCCTGCTCATGCTCCGTGGCTTCGTGTAGGGCCTGCGCGGCTTCCAGAAACAGATCAGGATATTCGCCAACGTTTGCGTCCTCATCTCTGGCTTCCGGTTCAAGCCACTCAAAGTGTGCCAGTGCTTCTTCCAACATGTCGGGACCCTGCCTCAGACGGAAGACACCTAGTCGGACACGAAGCTCCAACGGTAACCCAGGACCGTAGGTGTCGTGCGGATATTTCCCAGGAACAAATTGTTCCACCATGATTCTTCGCGGATCATCTTCGAAATCCCATTCCCTGTCATCGTCAGAGAATTCGTCCCAGTAGGTCTCTTCTTCTCGGCCAAGAAGCCACCGGGACAGTTGCTTCAAAGTACTGATAGCATTTGACAAGGCCACCTCGGGAGGGTCTTCTTGAGCAAGAAGTTGGGAATAAACTAGAACATCAGCCCAAGTGAAGGCCTCTTCGTCATTCATTCCGGTCTCTCGGTAGTACGAGAGGGTTTCTTCGTATAGCGACTTCGCTCTTTCAAGATCTCGAGTTTCGATACAGACCTCAGCAATTTGCCTCAAGACGTTGGAATTCCGCGGAAGGTATTCTCGGATGAATTCCAGATCCTTCATGGCCTTGGTATAATTTCCAAGCTCTCTTTGTATGGCCGCCCTTTGGAGACGAGCATCGAAATCTTTGGGGTCGTTGTGTATCATCCTGGCATAACAGTAGCTTGCTTGCTGGAGAGCAGTCTGATGGTCTCCCGTCGACCGCTGCAGACACGCACTTGCCACTTGTTGCCACACTTCGGGATCTCGAGGAGCGCTATGAGCGCCGCTGAAAAGAGCGGCAATTGCTTTCTCATTTTCGTCTCTGGCGAAATAGATCTCGGAGAGGAAAGCATGGGCGGCATAGACTTCCGGATTGATTGCAATCGCCTGTAGGATCAGTTCGAGCGCCTTTTCCGTGTCTTGCTCGTCAATGAAGGCGTTCATGGCTTTCCTGTGAAGCTCGTTGAATTCAGCGCCAGGGTCGATGGCCCGCCGTGGACCAATCTTTAGGCCTTTGCTCCAACCGCCACGAGTGCCTGTGCCCTTTTTACGGCGTTTCCTGGCAGGCTTTTCTCCTGTGGACGGCCACGCTGCAGCGCGTTTCCGACGCCTAGTACCTGTGGGCGTAGCATCTGCAGCTGCGTCTGGAAGTCGCCCAGTGTCTTCGGCCTCATCCATAGATGTGTCATCCTCGTCCGCAGAAGTCTCCACCTCTTTCTGGCGAGAAGAGGTCTTGCGGCTGGCTTCAACAGCCAGGCGATCTTCACGCTCGACACGGAGCTGATCTAACTTTTCAGATGGGAAGGGGATGCGGTGAAATTCCGGTTCTGGCTGTGGTGGAGGCCGCCAGGTCAATTGGTCCAAAGCCTGGACAGACTGTAGAGCCGGGTGATGAGGCTGCGTGGATGATAGCTGTGTCGCCTGTTGAAGCGAGGAATGCATGTAATTCTGCTGCGCGGCTGGCTGGTGTATTGGCGGGAGTCGATGGGACTGGTCTGGCACAAAAGGAATGTAGTTCGACTGAAGAGTGGGATGTTGTCCAGGGGACGAGAATGGAGCGTAGTTGAAATGTGTATTCGTGCCCTGCGCCGGTGGCACGTATGGAGGGGCATATTGAGGCCGGTAGTGATTGTCCTGAGAAGACTGCACATAGTGGTGCAGATCGGCCAGCAGCGCTGGTTGCGCAGGGTATGCATGGTAGTATGACCCTCCTGGCTGGGATGCCGGCTGTGCTGGAAATGCATGATATTGCTGTCCTCCAGTTTGTGCTATTGGTTGCGTTGGGACAGGAGGAACAGAACTGGGTATGTAGCCTTCAAACACGAGCGGCTCTGATGGTCGAAGGAAGTTGTCATGAGTGACTGGTGGATTCTGGGGCATCCAAGCATCGGACGACGCGCTGAAAGCGGGATCATCGTTCTTCGAGGCAGAGTGCGAGGTGAAGGGGTTCTGGTCACTCATGGTGAGTATTCCTTTGGCCTTCAGCCTCATGATCATTTTCGACGCAGCAATCTGTGACTGTTTCTGTTTCATGCCAGCCCCAAGGCTGCAGCCTGTTCTGACGTACTCCTCAACAACGCAATCTCTGAATCGTAGACCGCTCTTCCGGCATGCTATAAAGAGATAGGATGGCCGCACGCAAATGAGTGCTGTAGGTTGTTCGAAGGCACAAGGCTTGTGAGATGGCGAAGAGCGAAGCAGCCACAACGCCACAGTGAGGCGCAAGCGGGTTGTCTATTGAGTTGGACCCGTCGACCCGTCAAGCGTGAGAGGGAAGCGAAATGACAGCGGCTGAGAGGAGACGGCGTCGATGGATGTCAGTGATGGATACGAAAGAACGAGATGAGATGTCGAATCTGGCCGGGGTGTGACATTTAGTGAAGCTCAGGCCATTCATTGAGTTGTTCTGGGGGTTGGCTGCGATGTGGCAGTTCAAATTCAAGTTCGACTATACGCATATACAAGCTATGGCGGGTGAGGAGAAGAGGATCTCAGATATCTACGGGTACAGAGAGAGTACCTGGGGTGCCTATAGGGCCCTAACACCATAGCTATGTTTCAGCTCGCCTGTCACTGCGCGAGGCAGGATTTTAGGTGGTCTAGGGGCCCTCTTTAACTAGTGCCTTAACCGGTTGTTAGTGACCTTTAGGTATAAACCTCTCCCACTCAGGTGCCATGATATTATTAGATACCTATCACATCACTATAGGATCGTGGCCTTGTTTCAAGCTACTGGCGAACTTTTTCCTTCCTTTCATCATTTCTCCCATCTCTCCCATTTCTCCCACCAGGTCCAATTTCCACCCATCTCTTGTCTCCGTCTTCTTCATCTTCATACTTCTGTCCTTGTTCATCTCGCCGGCTTGCCAAATCTCAGCCTTGCCCATTGCCGCCTGTTTGTTGCGCTTGGCAGCGTCTCCTAATTCTAGTCGGGGCCTCTACAGGTGTCTGAGACATCTGGCGAACAGCCTTCCTCCCCGCTTACTATTGCTGCCTCACAATCTGCTTCAACATCGCTTCGCCAGCTTTGACAACTCGAAACGCGTTCTCGAATTCCCTCAATCTCCCAACTGCATTTGGACTGGCTCCAATACGACCTAACGGACCCCCAATCGTGTCCGCACTCGAATACGACTCCATGACCTGCTAGATCTGTTTGTGCGACCAGACTACGTCTCGAACCACCCTTGTCCCTTGGTTCGGATCTTAGCCCATTGTCTCCCTCGTCATGGCCAGCAATATCATCGGCAACAGAAACAGCACTCCCGAGGCTTCGAAAACCTCACTTCGGCCACCCAGTTCGCGTACGATAGGTACCTCTGGCACGCATACCCAGACAGTCCGTTCCTCGGCCGACATGTCCTTCGCTTCTCCCCTCTCGGCGCGATCTATCCGTCCAGCCTCGGAGGTCCTCTATAATCAGCAATCTCAGCAAGGTAGTCTGGACGACTCTAGCAGGCTGGGCGAGCAATGGATACAAGACATCGAGCAATATGAGACAATGTTGGAGGAGATGGCAGCCGCGACATTGGATCAAGATTTTAAGGATGAGTTAAGTGCCATCGAACAGTGGTTTCGGGTGTTGAGCGAGGCTGAGCGGACTGCGGCCACCTACGCGTTGATCCAACAGACCACTCAGATGCAGCAGCGCTTCTTTGCGCAGGTCCTCAACCAGATGTCCAAGAGTCATCCCATCTCGGGTGTCTTGTCTCCCGCCAATTTCGGCGAGAAGGATGCCATGTCGAGTCGGTTGAACGACGCCATGTCGAAATTGAACGTGGATGACCGGCGAACGTCACTCGGCCGTCCTCCCCTCTCTCCTGCCGGGAACAAACGTAATTCAGGCCTGGATCAGTCGACCATCCATGCCATGTTTCCGGATGCCGTGGCTGCCATTCAACAACAGAAAGCAGAATATGCCCAGCAAACTGGCAACCCACCGCCCTCCAATCGAAACAGCACTGTCATGGGAGATCGTAGCTCGCTCATTGCGCCGACTATATCTGCGCCTCGAGAATCCAAGAGTGATGTGATGAGTTGGCGTCAAGGGGGTGACCACCAACAGCCTCCCATTTCTCGTCCCAAGTCGTCGTCTGGGCAGCAACAACCGCCAGCGATGGGACATTTTGCGCAACCTCCATTGTCGGGTGGGCTTCGATCTCCCCGACCTATGGGAGGGCAGTCTGGGAACATTCAGAGCACGACTTTGACGGCAACAGATCCTGTGGCGGGTGATATTCCCCTTCTGTCGCCGTACAATGTGGGCAACCAGAGCTGGGCCTCGATGAGTAACACTCCAATGGTTCCAAACTTCAGTCAAGCTGCCACCCACAGTGACATGGTCGCCAATGCTACCGCCATGAAACTGGCCGCACTCTCAACGGTCAACAACCGCATTGCTTTGGACGACGCTAGGAAATATCGACGTGCAAGATCCATCGAGCCTCAACCCCAGAGCCATTCAGCAATGGCCCCAGGCTTGACGGCGTCCGGTATCCCTGGGATCAACACAATCATGGTCAATGATCATGGTCAAATCTTGAATGCTCAACAAGTGGCAGCGATCCAAGCACAACAATTTGCCGCCGCACAAGGTCGACGGTCCCGTCCCAGTTCCCCCGGCCTTTCACTACAGACCCCCATTGGCCAGACCAGTTTTGCGTCTCCCCAGCACAATGGCTTCTTGGCAGCGTATGAGGGCGCCCCGATTATGATGGGAGCAGGGATGGCAGGCCTCATTCCTCAGCTAGGATCTCTGGGCGAAGGGTACCTGTCGGATCATTCTGAAATCACTCGCGGCCGCTCTCCTCGAGGCCGACGTGGCAGCTCCAAGCCTCCAGAAGACCCGACTGATCCCAGCTTGCTCCAGGACATCCCTGCATGGTTGCGATCTCTGAGGCTGCACAAGTACACGGACAATCTGAAGGATCTGAAATGGGATGACCTGGTTCAGCTGGACGAAAAGGGACTAGAGGCTCGCGGAGTGAATGCGCTCGGTGCCCGCAACAAGATGCTCAAGGTTTGTATTTGGAGTATCACCTTTACAGACACGTGCTGATGAAGATTAGGTTTTTGAACAAGTCCGAGAAGCCCAGGCTGAAGGCAAGCTTTGAGTGGTCTACAACGAAGTGCTCTGGATGGGAATGGCCAATGACACCCAACTTCGAAACGACAGTCCGGTCTGTTTCATCTCTGCTGCATGCCAGGGAGCGACGTCGGAGCGATTGTAACTTCGAAGATCTTCTCCTGATTGAAATGGTCGAAGCTGGGCTTTCTTCGTTCGCGACCGCGACGACAACAAACAAAAACATTTTTCGACTACCTTTCTGCTTCAAAGCTGGTATTTTGGCAGATTGCGAATCCCACCACCATTACTACGATCGACACAGCAGTCTTTCGCCTCGACCCCAAAATTGGGTTGCTGAGACTAACGGCCTGCCCCTTCCATCTCCACTAATTGTTGTTGTTGTTGACCGCGCGGGTCTACATGAATGCCTCCATGAGCTCGACGGGTTATATAGCACGAGGAGATATTCCGCCGACGATTTTCCTATGTGAACGATCGAAAAGAATATTTGATAATGATTGATTGATTCTGCTTGCCTCGAGGCTGTTGACTCTATCGTGGGTGTAGTAGAGAGTGTCGGACTGTAATGTATGACGGTGTCTCTGTAATTTGAAGTAGGTACTATGCGTAAGGTAGGTACTACAAATATCACTGCAGTGTAGGTATATGTAGGTATGTATAGAATGAAGTCAAGCAAGGCTGCAAGGCTGAGGTGGATCCACGACTGTGTCCGTCGACCAATCTCCTGCCAAGCCTTTTTCGGACCTCACTGCATTTCAACTCGGTCGAAAGTCGCAGCCCAACACGCTGTGTAGTACTGCCAGTGTATGATACCAGCAACTCTTCTCTATACAGAGTACCTACAGATCAGAATCGACACCACCAAGTAACCGATTGGCACTTTCACCCTCTACAACCTCCTGCTCTCTTCCACCGACGGTGGCCCTACAAGACCCCCAACAACCAACACTGGATCAGAAGACCTTCATCCCTCCGATCCGAATCTCTTTCCATCACTGCACCATGGCGCCGTCGCCTTACGAGCTCTCTCTCCTCCTCAACCCCCTCGTCCCGGACTCGTTAACACACAACACTAGGGTGCGTTCACCGTTTACCAAATCTCTTCCATCCAGTCTCTCCTTTCCCCATCTCTTCTCTCCACGGCGAGCGTAACCCTTTCTTCTGCCTGAAACCACGACAGGACAGGACAGGCCTGGCTTTCAATCTGTCTTTATTTCTCTATCCACCAATTCCTTCTCCGCTGCTGCTACTCCTACTGTTTCTTCTCCGCTGCTTCTTCTTCTTCCACAGCGACCCTAACCACACCAAAACCTATGAAAGAACGCTGTGCTAACATAGTTACTATATCGCATTGCGAACAGACTCTCTCCAACATCCGCTCCATCTCAGGCCTATTTCTCGGCATCGCCGCGGGGATCCTCGGGCTCGAATCGCTGTGGGGATTCGGATTCTACCTGCTGTCGAACATGCTGATTTCCGCGCTATTCTACTTCCTCTTGGCGGGTGCGAAGCCGCAGAAATACTTTGCCGGCGCGGCCGGGACGAGGGGACTGAACGACAAACAGCCCGGGCGGAACCCAGGATCTGGCGCGTGGAGGGAGCTCTGGTTCGGCGGAGGTTTGTTCACGGAGGCGCTGAGTGGGTTTGTGCTGGGATGGGCTGGAGTGGGAGGTGTGATTCGATGAAAGAGGAAAGAGGAAAGTAAACAAGAAAAGAAATGGAAACCAGGCCAAGAGAACAGACGCACCTGGATCAACCCCTTCGCCATGGGGTGGAATGAGGACACTATTGGATTCTAGTTCAAGAAATATCAAGACAGAGAAGAGGAACGCAATGCTGAGAATGCGAATGCGATGTGAATCCGAATACAAATGTCTATTCCGCTGCTGGGCAGTTTGGACGATATCCAGAACACCGGATGGGATGGGACGGGACATCAAGCAAGCTGCCTGGTGGTCTTGTAGGCGACGTCGCATTTGAGATTTGACATCGACTGTCAAAGAGGACCGATTTCCTTTGACTACCTACCTACCTAACCTGTTCAACAAGCCATTTTGCTGCAAGGTACACCTAACCTGCTGTTGACGTTTCATTCATGTTCCCAATGTCAATACCAATGCCAATCAATATCAATGCCAATCAATACTATCAATGCCAATTCCAAGCCAGTGAACTACTGCAGTGAATCATAATGGTCTCTTCGATAACTCATCAGCAACCACTACAACCAACCGTCTACACCAGCGCCATTCTTCCACTTCTTTTCCAGCACTGACACTGACTGGATCCCTTGTGAGCTGCAAATCCATTTCATTTCCCAGCTGAGTCTTCAGCCCTGACTTTCAGCGAGCGAGCGTCTTGGATGGACAGAGCAGAGTCTTCCAGCTTGGTTGAGAGAATATCCCCATTCAAGTTTTGGAAGGCGGAATACATCAAACTCGGGACATACGGCAGCAGATGCCAGACAAATGTTTCGATCTTTTGTGTCAAGCACGAGTGATACTCTACACCTAAGATACGCGAATCTCCTTTTCCTTTTCCTTTTCCTTCGCCTTCTCCTTTCCTTCTCCGGACGATACGATATGCATTCTCGCTATTGACGTTGTTGCTTCTCCTCGCTCGGAAGAAGGTGAAGGTGAAAATGAGGCTGATGAAGGTCGTGTTTCTTCATGAAGAGGATGCCCTTCTCGTCACATTGGACTGTCCTACAGGAGCAGAAGGAGGAGGCAGAAGCACCAGGATCCCGCTCGCAAGCTGTTATACAACTGGTCACCACCATTTAATTGTCTATCTGACTCAACTCACGCATTAAACCCCCGTTCCATGTTGTTCTGTGGTTGCTGATACCTAACAAATCGCATCGCTTGCATATGGGCGGCCCGCTGTGTCCACGCCTACAAAAGTGCCCAGAGTACTTCGAATACACAAAAAGTGGACAAGTCTTTCCACCAGCCTCGCTCCTGATCTCACCAGCACGCCCGGAAATTACACCCATAACCCATCCCCAGAAACAGAACCGCATGCTAGTAATACATCTGTTGTCGCCGATCGAGGACGGGGAAAAGAGAGGGACCAGAAAAGACACAAGCACTCCATCTGTGAACCAAAACCTGCTGGAAAGCCGCGATGTTCACCATGTGGGTGAAAAAGCACCAAGCACAAAATGCAACTCATTCCCCAAATTCCCTCCCGCCTCTGATCTGAAGTAGCGTAGTGAGACTCTGTAGCTGCCCCCTGAAAGCAGATGGAAGGTTTAAATATCCTAAACCCTGCCTCGTCGAAGGATCCGTCCATTGAGCGACCGTCGTGGTTCGGGTTTTGCAACATCCTTGTCCTCCTTGGCCTCTTTATCGTCTTTATCCTCCTCGACATTAGTTGCCAATTTGCCGTCCTTGGTGTATCCTCCATCCCCCTCAATCTCCACCGAGCGCCTCGCTGCGCTCGATCGTCGACTGGGGCGTTTCGCGCTGGTCGGCGTGATGGCTGAAAGGGTCTTTGCCGTCATGCTGGGTGACTGGGGCGGCTTTTTCTTCATGCCGGTATCCTCTCCCGCATCCCCATCGACGACAATGGTCTCGGAATGATCAGAAGAGTCTTCTCCCTGTGCTGCTCCCTCCAACCCGGTCTTTTCCTCCGATTTGGGATCTTCATTCTTCTCGCTCGTGGTTGCATGATTCACTTTGTCGCCCTTCTCGCTTTCGCCATTGTCCTCGCCGGTTCCAGTCATGTGCACATCCTCATCTTTGCTTTGCGAGGGTTGAGCATCCTCCTGCATCGGTATGGTTGTGTTGTCGGCAGCCTCAGACTTTTCATGACCGGGCTCAGTCTCGACAGCCTCTGCGACTGGTTCAGTCGAAAAGGACGTCACTGCCGCGGCAGCCGGTGGACTTGCCGTGCGTGATGGTGGCTTACTCCCGTTGGTCGCCGCCTTGTTAGGAGTCTCCATTGTACTTATTCCCAAAAACCCTGCCCTTGGTGGCTCTGTCTTGCTCACCGGCGGCTGGGCAGCTTGAGGTTGGCCATTCAGAGCCCCAGCTACAGCACGAGCTGTAGCAGGTTCATCTTTACCTTGCGTCTCACCCATCCCAAAATCACCTTGCAGCTTCTTCGGTTCAAAATCCATTTTTCGTGGAGACATGTACGAACTCAGCCAACTCGCAGCCGAGAACGACGGGGTAGGAGCAGTCTGTGCCAGCGGAGCCTCGGCCTTTCTTGCTACAGCATCAGCTGCGGTGCCATCCTTCTGACTGCCAATTTGCGTTGCCGTCTTTGGACTTTTCCTCACCTCCTCCGTCGCAGGAGGACTGCTCACTGTTGAAGTTGAACTTGGTCGGTAACCAGCAGGTCTAGTTTCCGGATCAATGACATACGAACCCGGCGCCCGATCTCCAGTGTATCCCGGGGATCCTGAAGCCTCCTGGGTCTTGATTTTGATTTTGTGGTTCTTCGGGTCGGCCATGGTCCCGGCACTACCTCTTCCGTGGATGCGTTCATAGTCCTCGACCTCCTTGACCGGAACGCCATACTTTTCCAAAGCTTTGTCAAGACTCCCGATGGTCCCTTTCGGTTGAACATGATTCTTCACAATATGGCATTGCAAGCCATGCACGGTCCGCCAGTCAATGCGGGAACACCCGTCATGGTTGCACCGAAGATACATTTCAACAGGTGGACCGGTTGGATTGTCCTTTGATCCGCCGACCCCGTAAGACGTCCAGATACCACGATTTAAGCTGTCGACTCGTTCACAATGGTGATGTCGGTTGGCAAAGGCCTCGGACATTTGGTACGGGTGGGTGGTGGAAGGCGTCCGTTTGTTAGGGCCGCCGGTGGAAGGGGTTGAAACACTGCTAGGCGCAGCATACGAATGGAAGCGAGTACTATCCACGCCGCCACTGAGGATTTGGTGACTGGGGGTTTTATTCACATCAGTGGTCGTCGACGGCCTCGGCAAACCAACATTAGGAAGGGGTGACGTTGAAGTCGTTCTGGGGTTGATGGTGGCGAATCCAGAGGTGGACAGCGTATTGATTGGAGCAAATGCCGTACTGGTGGTCGGTGGTGGCCGGGTGTCATAATTGGATGAAGTCTGTCGCGGTGCATTCGCAGGCGTCGCCGGCGTCACCGGTGTCGCGGGGGATCGAAAACTAGCAGTTAAGCCAGGTCTCGAAAGTGGCGAACCTGGTCGTCCCAAGTGACTCAGATGTGATCGCTCGGTCGACGGTTGCGATGGGTTGGCCAGGGCATTCGTGTGAGTGGTGGACGAAGTGGTATTTGGCGTTGTGGAATACGGCGAAGTATGATGGAACGGTCGGGGATATGCGGAGCTCGAGTCCCGAAAGAAGGAATATGGAGATGCACTGAAAGAAGTCTTCGAAGGGGCCGCAAGGTTGGACTGTGGTGACGGTCTTGACTGTGCAGGGTTGGCCGAATCTGCTTGCCCTGGAGGACCAACTTGATGACGTTTTGGCGGTGGTGGAAGGGTCGAAAGCGTCGAGGCCAACGGTGACATGGAGGTGGAGGAAATGTTAGCAGCGCCTGGCTTGGGGGATTCCTCCGGAGGCAGCCCTCGTTTGAGCCGCTTCAATCTGCGACGAAGACTCTATGGCTTTGGTCAAAAGGGTGGTCAATGTAGAAGCTTACCCACGGGGCCACTTACGTTCTCCTCTTCCTCCAACTCCTGATCGAAGAACTGAGAAAAGGCCGCATCTTCACGCTTGCGCCGAGCTTCGATTCTACCGTCTCGACGTTGCCGAGCCTCCAGGATCGCCGCCCACTTCTTGTCTTGAAGCTCACGCTTGCGACGGATCTTGTCGTCCTTTCGAGCACGTTTCGATTTGAGCAGCTCATACTTCTTGATGTTGTGCTCTTCGACACGTTGCAGCTCGTCAAGGCGGCCTTGGACGGCGTCGGAAGATTCCAAGGCATGCTTGGATGGGGGTGGTGGAAGCGGGATTGGCGCCGTCAGTGGACTCGCGAATCGGTATTCATCGCCGCCACCGACTGAGACATCACTATCGGAAGACTCTGGGTCCATCAGATCAGTCGTAGGAGATGGACGCTGGGCGGGCTGTTGAAACGCCCGAAGGGGTGAATGATAGGAAGACTCCCATGACGAACGAGGACGCTAAAGAAAACATGATTAGCGACAAATTTCCCAAGGGGAACGAATCGTGCAGACGAGCGAAGGGTCACGGCCGAGGCAAGCGAGAGCTGGACCAGTTTGGGTAAGCGATGACGGAAAAGAGAGGTTCCGTCAAAGCGATTGGGTGGCCATGGCCCGAAGTCCCATTGTCCCTGGGAGGAGTAATGATAGCAGCTCCCAGATAGACGTGATGGCCTCGTGGGTTGATGATGCTATGGCATTCCGACCGGGTGGATTTGATAACAGGACTTGTAGTGTGGAGTTCCGACCACGATAGACCCAGGTCCAGATAGACGGGAGTGACCGGAAAGGGTAAGGTGATGGTGCAATCAATGACAGTAGTGGTGTGCCCATGCGCTGGAGGAGTAGGGGAGCGACGATATGGTATGGTTAGCGCGGGTGGTATTGGTATGGATTCGTGGATGGTGTGTATGGTGGAAGATGGCGATTGGAGTGGGAGCATTGTTTTGTGGTGCGCAGTTTTGACGGGCGAGGGTGCAAATCGTGACCAAACCGGCGCCAAGATAAGAGAGAACGCTGGCACCACAAGCGCAGTCTTGAGCTGTCATGGTGGAGGCTGTCTTCTCCCAACCAACCAGCTCTGTCCGTCGTGGCTAATGCAAGCCTAAGATCGAAGCCAATGCCGTCAAGTCCCAGTGGGAGCACGCGGACAAGCGAGAATGCTCGTCTGGACGGCCGGGGTCAGTCCAGCTTGGTGAGTGCCCAGTCGCCATGGTTGGGATTTCGTAGACGGTTGTGGGAGTGCTGACTGCTGCAGATGGCCACAGTGCAGGGCAGAAATTGCTGGCGCACACAGAGGCGGTCGCTGGGGATTTCCCCAGATAAAAGCCGTAGGGAGAGGAAGCCGCTGGACGTCCGCCGATGCGAACAAAACACCGTCGAGCCATCTCGTGTCTGATGCTCTCGCCCAGCGGTCGTCGATTTGTATCAAGGCTCTCCTCCACGACGCGCGATATAGATGTAACAGAGAGGCATAGAAGAAGGAACTGTCATACACGTACCTCGGAGGTTAGGTCAGACGCCTTCCGTGAATGGGACGGTGGCCGCGGATACATCTTGAAGCGGTCGAGTCGAGTTCCAGAGCGGTGGCCGACTTCCTGCGCTCTCGACCCTGCAAGGCCGAGATACCAGACGATGGGACGGTCGGCGTTGGCGTATTATGTTGAAGCGACCAAGGTCCAGTGCCACTGCAAATGGGAAATGCAAATGCAAATGCGCATGGGGGTGGAAGATGGATTGAGGACAGGTGGTGATACAAGGTCAACGATCCGGTGGCACAGGTGAGATGGAAGACGGCACTCTGAATGGGTGGAACGAGAGTCTGCGCGCGACCAGCAGAATGCGTTTAGAAGATTAATAACTTAAAGAGTGAAAGCACGGCCGGGCCGAAGAAGAAAAAGACGGGGAATGGGGAGCAAAGGACAAGACAACAGAGACTGCGTATGCAGTGCAGGTGGTACGCGAGTCCAAAAGCTGCTGGATGAGATGGGGAACCAGCCGAAGCCAAAAAGGCCAAATACTAGCAGCCAAATGGACAAATGATCACAATTGTTGTGTCAATTACGGTGATGGTACTGTGTAAGAAAAACACCTTATGTTTACGGGTGAGGCGCATGTTCTGGGGGGAGCGACCCTCTCTTTACTGGGCACCTACTAGGTACCTACCTAGGCTGATCATGATAGAAAGGGTAAAGGGTTCGGGTGCGTGAGAAGGATAGTGGCACAGTGGTGGGTTTGGGGGTCAAGCCACCCATGCTGCAGGGCAGTCGATTCGGGTAGCGATAGGGTATACTAGTAGTACATCAGGGTCAATAGGGAGTGTGCAGTATGCAGTGAATAATAATAATAATCAGAATAAGAGGAATGGCGCAGGCGATGGATCACGATGATATGATACTACTACCGCTACCGCTACTGCTACCGCTGACACGAACTGTTCACGGTGTGCAGTGGGTACTCGCTTGATTGTGGCACCGGCGACGGGGTGAAGCTCCAATGGTGAATAGGGCACGTTCGGGAAAAATAACACCTCTATAAGATTGAGTTGTGGTTAAGCTGGGGGTGGATGCGTCAATCCTCTGGACACCTAGGTACCTAGTACCTAGACATAGAATATACCTGAGTTGATGATCCTACGAGGTGATGTCGCATCTACCTCGGCTGCATACTAGGTGCCTATAGCCTGGAACCTCAAGCTCGAAGGCAAGGTGGTCTTCCTCCTGAGCAATCCTCTTTACCTAGTATTATTACCTATTGCGTACTACTAATCTACTTCAGCCACCGGCGCAGAAGAAAAGAAGCAGGGCTAGAGGCATAAAGTACGTGGCTATCCGAGCGGCGGAAGTCGTCTTACGTACATTTGCGCCAAAGGGTGAGACTTCAAGATGAGAGTGGAGCGCCGCCGCCGCTGCTGCTGCTAGCCATGCTTTCGGTACTACCTACTAGTTATCTCATTAACCCTCGGGTAGGTGTCGAGGATTACTTACTAGGTATCCCTTACTGTGTGGTGGCAGTGGCACATCACTCCAACGCTTGCTACCCACTGGCAGGTCAAGTTCAAGTATCCACGGTCAGGCACGTCTATCATCTACTTATCACAGACACTTTTCTTATTCGGGCGCTAACAAATCTAGTCCGGAGTATAGGAACTGCTTCCTGGAATGCAGCTGCAGTCAGTGGCCATCTGAAAACTGTGTCGGACAAGGATGTTACATTTTTCACTGCATACAATACTCCCCCTCGCCCCCTAACCCCCAGTTGAGGTACTTAATCGATGATAATCAGGGGCGATGACTAGGCGGATACCACCTCAGATCCCCGGGCGCCCTAGGCCTCCGTAGCCTTCCTGGGCATCCGGAGTTTACACCGTGACTCAGCGGCAGGCGATGACAATAATGCAAGATAGGTGGCTAGACTGCCCTACTAATCTCGGCCATGCCGACTTATTTACAGTATCTACTACGACATCCTTCGACAATCACCAGAGGAATTGTGTGGTTGCTTATAAGGAGGGTTGAAGCATTGTAGATGACTCTCCCAATCTCGATCCTTACCTGTACCTATTCCTCGCCGTGTTCTGGTTGGTATACGACCAGCATCAGGTGGCCATATTGTCAGCGCAACCCCTATTATCATGATTGGTCGTGGTAGTGTACTGCACCTATCCTTGGTCTTCTCCTTGATACGGGACTGTGATCATAGATCGTGAACAATTTGAACCACTCTCCACACGCAACCAATCGCAACCATTGCTGCTTCTGGGGGGTGTTTTGCTTTTTCTTCTCCTGTCAGTTGCCACGCGCTTCCCTCGCTACAAAATGCAACATGGGGGATGTTATCGGCATGCCTGGTATTCTTCTCCCCATTTCGTATGCATCTCCGAGCCTCAACGTTGCAGCTGTCAGGCCGCAACTCCACATTGCACAAGGGCTAGGGAGCCCCGGGCCTCGAGAAAATCGCAGCTTAACTAAAAATGGCTCATCGAGACTACGGTCGTAGTAGTGACTTCCGGAGGGCGCTACACATGCGACATGAACTGAACGCTACTATGGTAGGCTAAGGTTCTCTAGGTCCCTAACATGTACTAGTTCACAGCCCAGTCTGATCGCTTCTTCAGGTTATCTAGGTATGTAGGTATCAGGCGTCTGATGCTTATAGCGGTTCATAGTGGACGTGCCTGTGGATAGATACCTACCTATCTACGGTACTACTTCTACTTAGGGGCGGACATGCATCTACCCTATTTAGGCACATACCTACCTAGGTATGTACTACCTCTTCTTTAACTGTGTATACCTTTATGCTCACTCCTCAGTACCCACTACCTTAGTACCTATGCCACAATCCTGTTGCTTTACCACAAAAGCCCTCATCTCACGTCAACGACAGCCACTCCAGACTCCACCACCGTTCGTTTTTCTATCCTACTACGTCCTACTACGTACTACGTAGCCTTCATCTTCCTCCATTCTATCATCTGTAGACGTAACCGCCTTCACTCCGCCGCTTTTCCCTACTGGTACGGCAGTGGTTTTATTACTGCCATCATCGTCATCGTCATCCCCACCCATCCATCCCCTTTATTCCTATACTAGTATTACGTATAGCTCAGACTTATTTAAAATACCAGGTGCTTAGTGAAATCATCAAGAGCGGAGATTCTTCTATTCTGGTTCAAGTAGTACACGACACTCGTCTTGAACCCCAAAGCCGAATATGCCAACCTTCCCAGAACTAAGGTAAGTAATTCAGGTATACAAGCTCGCTCGCCGACCTCCAACAATGTCAACAGATTCCAGCTTTGCTTTTGTTCCACCGTTACATCCCATGCTCCTTGAACCCCCGGCATGTAAATCACAATGTTTCATGATCTCTCATCGTTTCATGATCACAGTGAGCTGCCCACTCGACACGCCCTCACATGTAGGCCATGATCCTCCTGCCTTACTTCGAGCCAATTCAAGTTGGGATGCTCGGTCGAATCATAGGTCGTGATGAAGAGCAGGTGTGCCATACGGGACCACAAGTAAAATATGTTGAGTGGCCGACCAGGACCGAAGGCGATTAGAAAGTCGAGTACAGGGATATCACTAAAATACACTTGGCTGCTTTTGCCGTGCGCCATCCTTCAAGTTGTAGTTATTCACATCCACGTTTTTAAGGCTTCTGCTCGCCACCTTGCGAACCGGCTTCACCACCCGGCGGTGTTTGCGCCTGCTCGCGGGCCTTGTGCATCTTGTCGAACAGCGTGAGGGCAGTAGTCTGAAGCTCATCGATCTTGGCCTTCATCTCTTCCGCAGTCGCGTTGCCTTCACCAGTCTGGTTCTTGGCAACGTATTCGCGGAGCGATGCAATCTTCTCCTTGATAGCATCAGCTTCAGTCTTGTCGAGCTTGTCTTCGAACTCGTTGAGCGCCTTCTCGGTGTCGTTCAAGACGCTGTCAGCTCGGTTGGCGGCCTCGATGGCAGCCTTGCGCTCCTTGTCTTGGTCCGAGTACTTCTCGGCGTCGCTAACCATGTTCTCGATCTCCGAGTCAGACAGACCAGAGCCAGAAGCAATCGTGATGGATTGATCCTTGCCGGTCGACTTGTCCTTGGCACTCACGTGCACAATCGAGTCGGCATCAATATCAAAGGTGACCTCGATTTGGGGGACACCTCGGTGGGCCGGAGGGATGCCGACCAGCTGGAAGTTGCCCAACAGCTTGTTGTCACGGACAAGCTCACGCTCACCCTGGTAGACCTTGATCTCTACAGCCGTCTGGAAGTCGGCGGCAGTCGAGAAGATCTGCGACTTCTTGGTTGGGATGGTGGTGTTTCGGTTGATCAAGCGGGTAAAGACACCACCAAGGGTCTCGATACCGAGAGACAGGGGCGTAACGTCCAACAACAAAACATCTGTCACCTCACCAGCCAGGACAGCTCCCTGGATAGCAGCACCGATAGCGACAGCCTCATCCGGGTTCACAGATTTGGCAGGGTCACGGCCGAAGATGCTCTTGACCGATTCCATGACCTTGGGCATACGGGTCATACCACCGACCAGGATAACCTCCTGGATGTCCTTGGCCTGGAGGTTGGCATCCTTCAAAGCCTTCCGGACAGGTTCAATCGTCCGTGAGATGAGTGGCTCCACCAGCTTCTCGAGCTGAGCACGAGTCATCTTCTGGTTGATATGCTTTGGACCTGAGGCGTCGGCGGTGATGAAGGGCAGGTTGATGTCGGTCTGGAGCGAGGAAGACAGCTCAATCTTGGCCTTCTCGGCGGCCTCACGGATACGTTGGATGGCCATACGGTCGTTGGACAGGTCGATACCAGACTCCTTCTTGAATTGTTGGACAAGGTGGCGAACAAGCGAGATATCGAAGTCCTCACCACCCAAGTGGGTATCACCGTTGGTTGACTTGACCTCGAAGACACCCTTTTGGATCTCAAGGACAGAGATATCGAAAGTACCACCACCGAGATCGTAGACTGCAATCACGCGGTCCTCTTCCTTCTCGAGACCGTAGGCGAGAGCTGCCGCAGTAGGTTCGTTGACCACTCGCAGGACGTTCAGACCTGCGATCTGACCAGCGTCCTTGGTGGCCTGTCGCTGCATATCGTTGAAATACGCGGGCACAGTGACGACACCGTTCTTAACAGGCTTGCCCAGATAGGCTTCCGCGGTCTCCTTCATCTTGGCCAAGATCATACCACCGATTTGCGATGGCGAGTATCGCTGACCACGAGCCTCCAACCAAGCATCACCGTTGGTATGCTGGACAATCTTGTATGGAACCTCTTTGAGGTCACGTTGGCATTCAGGGTCTGTGAATTTTCGGCCGATAAGTCGCTTCGTAGCGAACAGGGTGTTTTCGGGGTTGACGACAGCTTGTCGTTTGGCGGCAATACCGACCAGACGCTCGCCGCTCTCGGTGAAAGCAACGACGGACGGTGTAGTTCGGGTACCTTCGGCGTTTTCAATTATGCGAGGTTGTTTGCCTTCCATCACGGCGACGGCGGAGTTTGTCGTGCCCAAGTCAATACCAATGACTTGGCCCTTGACCTTTTCGGAACTCTCAGAAGCATCGGAAGAGGCATATCTGGAGAGTATTGACGAACGGGGTGCTCGGATCTGGGAGATGCGGGAGATGGGAGTCGAGCGTGGGAGCTAGGAAAATTGCTCGTTAGATAATGAGGCGAGGACGAGTGATGATGAAGCGGGAGGCGACATGGCAACTTACAGCTCTGGACAATCTGGAGGCAATCATGATTGCTCTAGTAAAACAACACAGACGAGAAGAGAAGCAGGAATGATCTCGCAGAACCGCGGCGACGACAGGCGGTAGAGAAGAGGATGAAGGAATGCGAATGGATGGCGATGATGAGCTCAAAGGATGTAGAGCATGTATAGAGTAGATGGATGTAGCAGTAATGGAAAAATCCTCACAGAGGCGGAACTTAGCGGTCGCGACCCTGGAGGCTTGGCAGACGCTTCGAGGTCGGAAGAAGTTCTGCGAGATTCTGTCTGCGGCGCCAGTTCCAGCCGCAGTGCCGCAGGTCCTATGTATAGGTGGTGAGGTAGGTGATTGTTGGTACCTCATAACTCTGTGCTTTGGGAGAGATATAGCAGTGCCGTGCTGACTGCTATAGCTGTGAATCTACTATAGCATACTACGTACCTAGGTATATACCTATACCTTACTATGCCTCAGTACTACCGCCACAGATCAGAAGCCATCATGATACCCACAGAGACTAGTCATCATCGTACCTACAGAGTACTACCACAGTACATTAGTTAGGGAGTACTATAGAGGGTAGATAGGTGCTCTCGTGCTGAAGTGCTAATCAAAGTACCTTACCTTAGGTAACCTTCAAAAGGATCACCGGTACACAGTACTTAGTAACAGCCTCCAATGCTACCTTGAGGTATACAAGTGTAGAGTGGTCACTAATTGCATCACCTACAACTCTCGTGTCCCACATCTCCAACCACACTGCACTCACCAACTGCCCGTTGGCTACCTACCTAGGTATTCATCCATATATTGACTGCAACACCTGGCTATCACTACTATATAGGCTGGTGCAAACCGATCACTGTCGCTTCACACCAACCAGATCCTTCGATACCGCCTTCCTCCTCTCCCATGCTCCCTTCGCCTCCCTCATAGCGCGTTCCCGCCTGATCGATCTTCAAGCCTGTTGAGACATGCGACTCCCATCCTAGAGCCTCAGCTCTCTACGAAATGACGGTGTCCGATCGTGAAATATGCCTCACACCGACCAACGGGCTTGCAACTCCTCATAAATTCTACCCGACCAAGATCTCCGTTCCGCACCATCAGCTCCGGCATTTCATTAGCACGTCCGAGGCCAATCTCATCTACTACGTAACCGGTTACGATGTTTTTGTGCTCGACCTCGAAACCCATGAAAACTCCCTCCTAGCCACTATCCCGTTCGAAGCGCGATGTCTGGCAGCGGACCTGGGCTGGGTATGTGTCGGCGGGGAGGTCAATGGAGACTGCGCATTCATCAAGGTGGAGAAAGACCAACATGGACATCCGACTTGCTTCGGGCATGACTTGCTGGTTGACCTGTTGGGTGGTGAAATAGTGAACTCCATGAACGTGTACAACATGGTCAATGAAGGCAATGGTCCCGACGAACTCATCGTCTTGATTAGCAACAACGACAAGACTGTCAAGCTCTACTCACTCGCCCAGCGGCAAGTCTTGACAACTCTATCGCATCCCGTGCCTATGAACTTTGCCGCCATGTCACCGGATTGCAAGTTCATCGCGGCAGTCGGAGACTCGGACAAGGTCTACTTCTACCGCCGTCGTCTTGATGACGCTTCTGATCCCATCGATGGACCCTCCACCAGGTATGCCAAATATGAGTGGGAAATCTTTGCCGAGCCTGTAGTGCCTACGGGAGACCATGTCTATGATGACTATAGCTTTGCCGTGGCTTTCTCCCCTTCGGGACATATGTGCGCTGCCTCGTCGCAAGGCGGTGCCATCAGTGTCTTCGATATGCGCCAGCTTGTGGATTCCGACGAAGCCCCCGAGAAATCCATTTTATGCACATTCAAGTCTTCCCGGCGTACACTGTGGGGCTGTGTAAGGGCAATGGCCTTCTCTCCAGCCCCCTGGGACATATTGGCTTGGGCGGAGGACCACGGAAGGATAGGATTGGCAGACATGAGAAGGGCCTTTGTCAGACGGCAGATACTGGACCTGGATCGGAAACAGATGGACACGGTCAAACTGGGTGATGGAACACCTGTGGCGTACCGAAGCCTTGGTGTCAAGGAGCGTCTGAAGCAACAGCATCTTGCAAGACTTAGGGCGATGCGAGCCTTGTCTTCTCGAGGTGAAGACGACGAAGTAGGCATTGATGACCCGCCCACCGACGCCAGCCGACGTCCTGCCCGGCAAGATCTGTTAAGCTATCACCAAGGCTTGGATCTCGATGCACGCGAGAGATCCGTGATCGAGGCACTTGAAACAACAATGGACAGCGTCGCACACGTCCCCACTCGCCCTTACAGTATAAATTATTCTTCTCCGCCTCGGATAAGGGACTCTCTGGCATCTACCGACTCCAGAAGAGAGTACGAGGTACAATTGCTGAACCCAGGGGCACGTCGATTGACCACATTCCAAACCCATCAGCCCAGAAGGAGAACGTCAGTCGTACTGTCCGAGCCAACTTTGACCGATGGAAATACCAACCAAGGTGGATATCTTGACCCTACTGACGGGACGAGGATTAGACTCTCAGCTTCTCCCGGTCGGATAGACGATGAAGAACATGTGCCTTCCCGGCCAGTCCATGGACTCGGTTCCAGAACCACTCCTGCTGGCAATTCCGGTGCCCGGCGAGCCTCCAGCCGTATACCTACCTCCGATCCCTGGCATGTCATCCAAACAGCTCTGGAATCGGCAAGAGAATCGGACAATAGTAACCAAGTGAACCTGATGTACATCGAAACCGTGTTGGAGGCTGAAAGACAATTGGCCAATCAGATCGAGAGTCGATTGGCCGACGAACGCAGGCTGTCGATTCTTCTCCAAGGGCAGATCGATGCCCAACAGCGGCTCCTCGGTGAACACTCGGTACAATTAGATCATTGGCGCGCAGCTGCGAGCCAGTGGAATGGTCGTGTCGAGGCCACTCTTGAGCGCGTTTTGCAACGACAACTAACGGATGAACAACGCTTCAGCCAGCAACGGTCTCAGGAGCTGCAGGGCGAGTTGAGTGCGGGAATGTACTATTCCAGACGGCTGGAACGAGAGCGAGCGCGGTTGGGGGGCAGAGATGCCGGAGCAACATCAACGTCTACGCGGAGCGCAACCACACCGAGTACAGAGTCGGCTTCCGCTCAAACCTCGGCTCTTCCTACGACGAATGTGCTGGCGTCTGCAGACTCGGACAATCTCTCGCACATCTTGACTGATTACCGAGAATCTAGTCGGCAGCGGCTTGCTCATGTCGAGAATCTGGAGCGGCAAGTCCGTCGAGCCGAAGCACGCGTGGCGCAGGCGACAACAGACATCGAGGCATTAGAGGGTATCGTTCGCACCCGCGGAGTTTGGGGGTCTGAAGAGAGTGATAACAGACGCAACGATGATGCCACTCATCCGGGCACGGCATCAACGGCATCAACAAGTGCCACCGATGCGACCACCAGACCAGTATCAACCCAGCCTGAAAGCCCTCGTGTTACCACTCGTCGTGTCGGTGTGCCGATGAACCGGCCTCATCTAGCGACTATTGACCGCCTTTCGGAACTCGCCGGCCGTGTTCCAGAAGCGGACATGCGCCTGGCACGAATGATGTTTCTCTCGGGTATGTCTGGAAATCGAGCTCTCGATGCCAATGGAAACTGGTTGCCTGGATCTGGTTTACATCGAGTTCTGGCAGGCGCGTCGTCTTTGGCAGCCTTGAACGGAAGCTCAGGTGAATCCGACGCTACAGTGGCGGCGGCAGACGTTGTCAGAGAGATGGGACCTGGGACTGCTGGCATTGGCTTCAGTCCCGATGGGCAGTATTTGTGAGTCCTTGCCAACCACCATGATATTCCATTTGTTTGCTAACTGACTATGTAGATATGCCGGCTCAGAGGAAGGCGTTTACGAGTTCAAGGTCAACCTCCGCGATCGCATGACGTTCCCTGCCATTCAAATGAGGTGAATTGTGAAATGACGAGATGAGGCTGGAGGAGCAGGCGATCCAACAACTCGGCCGTTCAAACCATAACTCCCTTCTTTTTTGGAAACCCCTTATGGCTGACTGCCTACGGGTCAAGAGGGCTCTGGCTCCCATGGGGCATGCTGGAGCCCTGGTTTGATGTACTTTTACGAAAGCTGATGACCTTGATGCAATCTTTGCCGGGAGCCGATGAAGGAATGCGTAAAAGCGGCGTTCAATTGTGCTTGTTGGTCTCGAGGCCTCCTAAGAGGCTGAGGCACGACTTGTATCGTTTATGCGGCCTATATCTAGCACGCATACCCAACCAATATTGTTAATATCCCATGCCAATGACCCTGTCTCAATGCCAGCGTCGAAGTTACTGGAGAGTCATGCATTGGCACACGTCTCTTTTGTACATGCTCGCTCATCTTTCTATTGAGCCTGTCCGCCCAGGACCTCCTGCGCCTCGAACAGCAGCGTGCCCTTCTCCTGGTTCAGCTCTTCCAAAGTCTTGATCTTTATCTGCATCACCCGCAGCACGGTATACTTGTGTTTGCTGTGGACGACCTTGCGATGCCTGTTCCTCCGCTTCTTCTTCTCCTTGTCCATCATCGGACCCGTCTCAAGCCCGACCACACGCATGCGGCACTCGAACAGCCGCTCGTCCAGGTAATTGGGCTCGGCGGTACGTTTGGCGTCGTAGGACTCGGTATTGCTGGTGCCGGCTTTGAGAGTATAGTCGCGCGAGCCGAGGATGCTGGCGCGGTTGAAGCGCAGAATGTCGCCCGGCGACACGCCTTTCATGTGGAAGGGCAGACGGAGCGTGTCGCCTTCGGTCAGCAGGTAGGGAAACCGATGGACATGGGCGACGATGTAGTGCGGTTTCTGCACGCACAGTTTCGGGAGCAGCTCCTGCAGAGATCGAGATATCACCAGCGGCCGCGACAGCGACTGGGTCGTGGACGGCTCGGTGACTGTCGCCGTCGTCGTGGTGATGGACGAGGAGGCCGTCGTCGTCGCAGTTGCGTCCGTCGTCTGCAGAAGCGTGGGTGGGATATCGGGCTGGGTGTTGTGGAATTGCGAGGTTGGGCTGGCGGCTTGCTGCGTCGAGGCTTGGTGCAGCTTTGCGCGGAAGGGGAGGAGGAACGTGGGCGGTTGGGATGTAATGGGCGTGCGTGGTGACATGTCTAGAGCACTGCGGACCAGCGTTCGTGACGAGACATGGTGCGATCGGCGCTGGACTTGGAGAGGCTGCTGTAGAACCCTTCGTAGGTCAGTGATTTTGATCACAGCACTTCCGAGCTGAATCACCTTGGAAAGGATATGAAGACGTACTTTGTCGAAGCTGGAGAGGCCACCCTCGATGGCATTGAATCAAAGATGCATTTTACCATGCGCCCGCAGATGCGACACATGGTGGGCAACGTTGCCGGGGCGTCCCTCCTCGCTTTACTAATGCCACAAGCAGATACTGGAGCAAACTCCGGTTCTGTGGACGTAGCAATGGACGTCGCTCCAGAGATTGGGTGTTGAGTAGCGAAGAGTTACGAGTTACAGTTCTCGATGTCGGGATCTCGAACTTGAAGATTGAAGTCGAGATGCCGAATGCTTGGCAGTACTATAAGCGTTCTCACGGCACCAGACGCCGCCGCTTTTAGACCGACTCACCCTCGCCCTCACCTGCGCGCTCACCTCGCTCACCTTCCTCACGCTCTCGCTCACCCTTCATGCTGAACCCGGTGCACCGCAGGCGGCGCCGGCCGTTCCCTCTTGGACGCCTCGTCGACGTGCGACCCCCGTCTCGTCCCCTCATTGGGACCGACCCGAAGGAGATGACTAGGCGGGTCGAAGAAGAAACTAACATTGTCACTGTAGCTCTACGATACAGTATCATACGCTGCCTACGAGCCAAATGCAGTCTCAAGTGACATTTGATGGGTACCTTAGCTCGCCTCCCGCTGCAAACGCCGCGCCCCTTAGGTAAGCACACCACGTCTCGGTGACTGGTCATTTGATTGCGGCTCCCTGGTGATACGGATTTGATGAACAATGCTGGAGCAACCATTTCACGTTGGTTGCATGGAAAGTTTGCCAGATCCCATTCAGCCAACTTGAACGTCACTGCACAGTCCCACGACTTGTGACGTACCCGCTGCTCTTCTTCCCGGCGACATTGTTCCGAAATGGCACGATCTTCTGCGACTTCACGGCGGCGTCGCTCTTCTCCAAGTTGCTGTCACAATCGATCAATTTTGGACAGAATGAATGAGGCTCAGCCCATTGAGCAACGCACTGTGCTGGCTAGGCTGTACGGTGAAAAGGACTGGCAGCACAAATATGCTAACAATCGCGGTCTTCCTCAGGCCGATAGGGTCGCACTCGCCAAATTGATGGCTCTAGCATTTCCGGACGTGAGCCTCGAAAGTGCAGAATTTACAGAAAAGAAGATGCTCAAAGAAACGCAGACCTCGGCCGGGTTTGGTTCACTACTCACACACTGCCCCAGTGGGTTGTGGATGTTTCCACCCAACATGTCGGCGAGAGAAGGCCCCTATATTGTCATATTGTCAGTGGCCTACTAGTGATACCTGGTGCTAGACTCGGGATTCGGGTAATAAACGTTGCTCGGCTTCGTGGACGGGCCAAGTATATACGGGCCAAGTATATTCCGGATTGGTCATCAATCTCAAGCTCCCAATCGTTACTACTTGTACCAACTAAACGACGGTATAAGAGTCCAGCCCCCTCCCCGGTATGTATACCTGATCGCGAACCTTTTGAACCTCGTGCTCTTTAGAGATTGTGGAATACGTGAAAATATGGCAAATATTATAGCAGTCTTCGGTGCAACTGGAGCTCAAGGTATGGCTTGGTTAGCTAGAAATTGATGGCAAACCGGACTGACTGACACAATTACCAGGTGGTGGGGTCGTTACTGAGTTACTCAAGGACAAAGGCTGGAGCGTACGAGCTTTAACGCGGAACGTGAACAGCCCGAGAGCCAGAGCCCTCCGATCTCAAGGTGCAGAGGTAGCTTTTGCAGATCTTGAGGATCCCAGCACTCTTCCAAAGGCCATCGAGGTTCGTAAGTCCTGCAGTGCGACTTTGAAAAGGTGCTTGGAGCAAAACTAGGTCATCTCACATGGTCTCACAGGGGTCGCATGCGGTATTCGGAGTTACTGATTATTGGCAATATGTCGCAAACCACGGCAACGTGGAAGCAGGGAACATCGAAACAAGACAAGGTATCGGCTTGTTAGGTGCTCTAGCTCGGTCGCCAACTCTTCAACACTTTATTTGGAGCACACTTCCTGGAGCAATCGCAACGTCACCGAACGATATACAAGTCCCACACATGGATAGCAAAAACAGAGTGGACAAATACCTGGAGCAACACTATCCCGACCTGCTAGCCAAGACAACCTTTCTTCGAGTGGCATGGTATGCGGAAAACCTGGCATGGCACGACTTCTTCAAGCCTCAAAAATATGTGAGTAAGACGACGCGGGATCCTTACACCGCGAATAACACTTTCCTATATCTCTTCAGAATCCAGGCGGACAATATATCTTTGTACAACCATGTGCACCAACGACTGTAATCCCCATGGCTGGACACGTCCGAAAGAATACAGGTACTTTCGTGAAGGCGGTATTGTCACATCCAGAGAAGTCCTTGCCAGCAAAGACTGCAGTTGTATCTCTAGGGTTTGCTTTGAGCTACCCGCAACTACTCGAGATTTGGAAGAAGGTAACTGGCAAGAAGGTTACGTTTCTGAGCTGTACTAAGGAGGCATTTGCCTCTCTCTACGGAGATGCAGGATTGGAGCTAGCCTTACAATACGAATTCATGGAGAAAATGGGGGAGAAGATGATGGATCATCCCGATATTGTCGAGCCCTCGGATTTAGGGATTACACAACTAGTGGGAATTGAGGAGACATTGAAAGAGTTGGAAGGCAGTTGGGATTGAATTAGGCCACTGTTACTATTCTCAAGCTCATAGACTGATATGGTCCTTTTCCCAAGCAGCAAATGGTTCTGCGACAAATGTTTTCCTCTTGTGGTCTTGAGCCTACTGACTCTGGACATGAATCCACACCATCCCTGGCAATCCTATACCACTGACAGCTCGTTACCAGTATGGGAGAATAGAAACCGACCTCCATCAGAGTCGATTATGCTGCCTGTGACGAAGTGACCTTTCATGCAATACTAGTAGGTATATGCTTCAGCAATCTCTTCAGGTTGTCCGACCACTCCCACCGTGGTATCTTTGACTAGGATTGCTCTCGTGGCAGCTCTCGCTTCGCCATGCTGGGCATCCCGTATCTCCGTATTGATGGCGCCAGAACATATCACGTACCGGCTTGAGATCCAGAACCAAACTTCTGGTCATGCCGTGAAGTCCACTTAACCAAGCACTCGTTGCTGTGTACCTCTCGATCGGCTTCTCACTTGTACCGCCCAATGTCAGTTTTATAGAACTTTTCGGGTTTTTCACAAGATTCTTGTAGCCATGATGAGCGACGGGTATGGGTCCTAGAAGCGAATATATCCCCTTTCTTTGATGTCGACAAAGTCGGATTCCAAGAATGGTTTGCTCATAGGTGCGTCGCTAGCGAGGTAGATAATGTGGTCGAGCTCGCCGACCCTATTGGAAGGTTAAGAGAGGTAGGGAAGAGAACATGCAGTGCCAGGAAGATGATGTATACAAAAGGGGAGCCCTGAAGTATTCTAGATCTAAGTCCTAAAAGGTCGGTATAATCTATAAAAAAAGATATGGTCTTGTATATCACTGTGGGCGAGCTTCAGAAAGGTAGCTACTATTTGGATAGGGTGAAAGCCGCCGCGTTTGCAGGGAGGAATATATTTTCAAAAGGTCAAAAACAAAACAAGTAAAGGTCGTACCCGGGTTCGAACCGGGGTTGCCGGAATATTTTGATCTCAAAATCCGCTACTTATCGTTAACACGAATGTTGAATAAGGGCGAAATGAAATGGCAACTTACGAGTGATCACCACTACACTATACAACCCAGAAAGGCTCGACGGCCATTTCATCGAAAAAATTGGGGAGAGCCCTTCATATACATAAGTAGCCCACATGCACTTTAAGTGCCTATTAGTGGCTGGCACAAATTCCGGCCCCACACCTGTGAGTCAAAGGGTGCAAGGGCGGCATCACCTTGACTGAAAGGTTCACTGGTCATGCCGCTTTAAACTACCCCATCAGGCTAGTACCTTGATATAGGAAAAAGTAGGCACTACGTAGTAGTACGTCCTTTGTACCCCATGTATACTTCGGTACTAGATTCGGTTGACAGGGGTTTTTGGTAAGCTACTGTCCAGGGTCGTCAACTTCTAGATGGCGCCGGGCGAGTATGCCTCGGTAGGGTCGGGCAAGCTCAAGCTCAAGGGCGTCAAGGACTCCAAAGTGGACAAGAAGAAGAAAAAGAAGTCCAAGCCCAAGGACGAAACGGAGGGCAGCAATGGCGAGAAAGGCACTTTTCATGACAACTCGGTCATGCTGAAAAACTTGCAAGACGAAGACGCGGAGTTTGCCAAAGAAGAACGACCAAGGATAGGCCTCGACGAGGGCAAGGAAGTTGGACCGGCCACAGGCTCGGACGGCGACGAGGCGACGACGATTGTCAAGACGGAGGCGGAGAGACGGTACGAAGAACAGAGACGCAAGAGGGTACGTTGGCCGTGATTCGTCACAATTCTGCTTGCTTGATAAGTGTCAGAGCTGACCCGGCGGTGATTGTTTAGTTGGAGGAACGACTCAAGCGAGAAGGCATTAAGACACATAAGGAGCGAGTGGAGGAGTTGAATCGCTATCTCAGCAGCCTCAGCGAACATCATGATATGCCGCGCATCGGGCCTGGGTAACGACAATGGATGCAAATCGTCTTCTTTGTATTCTCTACAATTCGACTTTACGCGCGTGGCATTGCTGGCCGTCTCGATCGGCATGTTCGATATAAGTTCCAGCAAGGTCTACTGAACTCTCTGATGGCACACGATTCGAGTCGGGTGGATAAGAAACCGGCTAGCACCACAAATAAGGCATCTGGAATGAAATCGCCCTCAAACGAATGTCTCCATTCTACCAGACTTCTTTTGACGGCCGAAGAATGAATGAACCGTCTCAAGTTTCGCTGTGTTATCGCTTATTGACTTATATACAATATTCGTCTTCAAGAACTCCTCCACCCACAACTCTATGCCTCCTCCTCCGCAGCTTCGGCTCGCCCGGGTTTCGAGTTGAGATATTCGTTTCTGTCCAAACTGTCAGTTCTCGCCCATCAGAATGGAGTCTTGGGCTTCCCCGTTCCATCCTTACCTCTCAATAGCCCATTGCATCAGGAAGTACCCCAAAACCATAGGAGGCAGCCAGTAGAGAATTTGGTGGTATGTGCGGCGGTAGGTGTTAAAGATGGCATTCTTTACAGCTCCGGCCATCGGGTCATATCTGTTCGGCGAAAGTGTGTAGGACACAACACCTTTCTGTGGTGGCGAGCCTGTTCAAGAAGTAGTGTTAGTTGAATGTTTGTAGCGGAGCTTCTCGGACTCGTCGCCGGGGGCTTGAAGCTCTTTAGGTTCGGAGATGAGGCAGTCTGTCGTACCGAAATCTCCCCACCATCCCATGTAACTGTGCAATAAGGGTCAGCATCAGAGTAGCATCGGACATCGATATTGGGAGGCTTGTAGGCGGTGCTCAACATACACTCCATTCTTCGGATCGGGGTGACCACCACTTTGCAAGGGCTTAGTTGCTTGTAGTCGCAGGGGCTTGGTTGCTTGCAGTCGCAGAGACCGCGTCGCTTGCAATCTCAGAGCTGGAGTTGGACGCATCGCGAAGGATTCGTTCTGTGAGTAGAGACTCGGTCGTGGTCTGGTTGAAGGTGTCTATCGTCACGGAGACTGGGAGAAATCAATGATCGCAGTTCGTAGAAGCTGCTGGCGGAGCTGCACTTGGGGAAGGCTTGGCAGCTTATTACGGCAGAAAATCTAGCCCTCCTCATTGGTCGATGGCCGGGGGATGGTGCTAGTACGTACCTACATACATCTACATGTACTGGTAGATATCTCGACGTCTTCAAATTGAAGACGAAGTCGCTCGTCCTGCCGTCTAGCTTTCTTATCATCATCCTGAGCAAAATACGAAACGGTGCCACCCGCGCTGAGACCGAATGCCCGGGCCATGATTGTCCTGTGGAAATGCGTAGCAGTGGCTAGCTCTGGCACCGCATCGCGCGATCGCTCACTCTACAATGCAGCCTCCCCTCATGACCTTAATAGACTCTGTATCTGAATTCCTTTCTCCCTAAGGGTCCATACGTGCCGCCAGTACGGTTGGGCGGTTGAAGGTCACAAGGCTGAGTGCTCAACCGGAGGTGTGCTTGACCCTGCACGCACTCGCCCGTAGAGTATTGCAAAGATCCAATACGGCAGATCACGCGCATGCTGCGCAGATTAAAGCTTGGCGCTGCTCGTCGAGCGGCAAGTCGTGTTCAAGCTGCGGAGGCACCTAAAATGTAGAACCAGTCCATGACATCCGCGATCATACTCTACGCCTCCGGAGCTACCATCAAACAGCAGAGGCATTAACCACCAGATCCCGCTCGCCTCGCTGCTAAACTGATCCTCAACCCCTACTCTGCTCACCATGTCGGCGCCTAACGTACTCAACGCCATCTCCAGATATGCCGTCCCCGTCTTCATCGCCGTATCGCTGGGCCAGGCGGCACTGTACGACGTCAAGGGCGGAACACGAGCGGTCATCTTCGATCGAATCAGTGGTGTAAAAGATCAGGTGGTCAATGAAGGCACACACTTCCTGGTCCCGTGGTTGCAGAAGGCCATCATCTACGACGTGCGGACGAAGCCGAGGAATATCAGCACCACCACCGGAAGTAAGGACTTGCAGATGGTCAGCCTGACGCTGAGAGTGTTGCATCGACCGGAGGTGCAGAAATTGCCGAAAATCTACCAGGTAAGCCCACCATCGATTGGAATGCGGTTGAGAATCGCACGATTGGCCGATTGTGATGCTGAACTCTTGTAGGCGCTTGGTCAAGATTACGATGAGAGGGTCCTTCCGTCCATCGGCAACGAAGTCCTGAAAGCCATTGTGGCCCAATTCGACGCCGCAGAGTTGATCACTCAGAGGGAAGCGGTCTCGCAGAGGATCCGGAACGATCTGATGCTCCGGGCGGCAGAATTCAACATCGCCTTGGAGGACGTCTCGATCACACATATGACCTTCGGCCGCGAGTTTACCCGAGCGGTCGAACAGAAACAGATCGCGCAGCAGGACGCAGAGCGGGCGAGATTTGTCGTGGAAAAGGCCGAGCAAGAGAGACAAGCCAACGTCATCCGCGCCGAGGGTGAAGCCGAGGCCGCCGACATCATCAGCAAGGCCGTGGCCAAGGCTGGAGACGGTCTGATCCAAATCCGAAGAATCGAGGCCAGCAAAGACATTGCGCAGACTTTGTCGGGCAATCCAAATGTCACATATTTGCCTGGTGGCGGAGACGGAGAAGGTGGAAAGGGAAAGAGTACGAGTCTGTTACTGGGACTACGATCATGATCTGCAGGTCGACCGAACAGAAACGAACCTTAACCAGGTTGATCGCGCGGTGCGAGTTGCCCGATGATATGCTCCGCTAATGAGACACCGGAGATGTCTACCGTTACTGCTGGCGACCGGCGTGGACCTTGATGCCGACACGGACGATCGACAGAACTCTCTTCATGTTTTGGCTTGGCCATTCCACTGTAGCATTATATAGCGACCGGGGAAAACGGGACCGGAGAATTCTCACCTTTTTATCATCCTTCACAGTCACGGAACACGCAGAGACTGGCCGGCCCCAAGTCCCCCTCTGCGTTCGCTATGCATAGCCGCTCCAGTCGACAACATGTGCCACATCAGAATCCGGTTCGCGTCAAGTCGAGCTTTCGAACGAGGTAAGATGTGCTCTTGCTGCTGCCAGCCCCTGGCGAGTTGATAGCGTGCTTTCCCTTTATCACTTCGTGCAATACTGGTTCTGCATGTTCTTTCTTTCCGCTGTCTTTACTTGTCCTGCATCCCGTCCGTTCGCTCCACGCGAAGCGCACATTTCCCTTTGACAGGCTCCTCGGAGGCATCATCAACCCCCAGGGTTTTCCACGCCCTCCTTTGCTTGACCCGTCGCCGCCCGACGCAGTATTAGGGCCTGACCTGGCCTCTCAAAACCAACGATGCCACGATGCCTCAGCCACCAGTGTCGTTACGAACAGTGCCAACCCTCTTCCAGCCGTCGACCTGACCCCTTGACGGCCGGACACCTCACACGTATTGGCAAGCAGTTGATCCGCTGGAAGCTGCTTACCTTCTACGGCTTTTTCTTCGAACCGGACGAAGCGGCAAGTGTACGGGCTAGTATCAATACCTGTACGTTGGCGATCCGCGCCGAACTCAAGCGGGTCGATGTGGTCAAGACATGGCAGCAATACGAGGATGAAAGAGCGCGCGGCAGGTTCTGTTACCACGGAGACGGTGTCGAGATGGAACTGTACAAGGCTGGGGCCTTCAAACGGTTAAAAGACAACCTTTTGCGCCGGACAAAGGTCCAAGTTGTCAGACCTAGAGACCATATCACGAGGCAAGGGGAGGACTCCCCTGCTATCTGTGCGAAACATGCCAACGGACGGTTACGCGACGTGTTTCGGGATGCAGCGCGGGACTTAGGCGTACCTTGCATGCAGTTTGAGGCCGCGGTGCAGATGTATGCGCAGCATATACAGAACACAGAGGCTGCAAAACATGACGAAGGGAGATGCTCGGGCCTGAAGTCGAGGCAGAAACCAAAGCAGAATATGGGCAACGCCGAGAGCATTGCCCGTGATGGGAACTGGGGTCTCCTGGCGCGTATCCTACTCGCGGATATAGAGGATCTGGCGCCCTCCTCCCGCGAAGGGTTGATGAGGACCATAGTAGGCAGGAGGGTGCCGTCGACACCCGATCGTCTACCTAGTTCTGAGGCCAGGTCGCCTACCAGGCTTGACGGGCCATTGGCTACAGCGCCTGCCCGGACGAGCGGGCCTTCGTTTGTTACTAGTGCTTTCGCCAAAGCCGGCGAAGTGTTCAACGCATCATCAACGAGCTTTACGAACAACGGGCCAGCGCTGCTGCCATCGAGGTCTTCTTCAGAGACATCATCCTTGTCCTCCTCGTGCTCCTCCTCCTCAACGACACCGCGGGTAGCTTCTTGCTTGCTCGTCATCGAAGGCCCTGAACTTCGTGACATCCTTTCCGCCATCTGGGCCTGCAAGGAGAAATACTTCATCCAGCTCAAATTCGACGGCCCCAGACGGAACGCTTGTCCATGCGGTGTGAACGAGTACTGTCGCACCTGTGGGCCTTTCAGCGTGAAAGCCGAACCTCGAGCTTCGACGCCGTGTCGCAGAGTTTGGGCGAGACTAGGGAGTAGTGCTACTAGCTCCGGTAGCACTACTCCTCCTCCTCCCTCTGTAAAGGGCAAGGAAAAGGAGAGAGACCGGGATGAGGAGGAGGAGAGAGCCGGTAGACATAGACATAGCCCGGAAGGCAGCAGGAGCAGAAAGCACGTTGACGACCTGGAGCAAGGAGACGTGGAGAGGAGGATCAAGTTCACTTTGAGAACAGGGAGGAGTAATAGGAGGAAGAGAAGGCAGTGGCCCTCTGTAGATGGCGAGCGTACGTAAGGTAGATAGATTATCTAGGAATATTAGATACCTTCAAGTTGGAGACTTCCCAGAGTGTAATGTACACAATAGGTATTCTACTCTGTGACGTGCCGTTCCCAGAATGAGGCTGGTTCCTCTGATAACCTCCTCAAGGGAATCCTTATTCAAGCCCTCCAATATGTTTAGGGCTGCTCATCAGACGGAAACCACCTGGTACCCAATAGGACCCCTCCCTCTTAGCTCTTGCTGCTGTTGAAGAAGTAAATGAAGGTAAAGATCTCACCTACAATAAGTAGTTCCAGGATAACGAAAGAGCACAAGATAACAAAAGAATAGAACCGCACCGGAAGCGGCGACTGCTACTAGCTGAGGTACTCTCGAGAACAATGAAAGTGGAAAGGGGTGAAATATACAGGATGGTTGATGCCTTTGTTGTTTTTGGTTCTTCTCGCGGCAGAATCGAACATAAAAAATCAAAGGATATAAAAATACCTACCTACCAGGAACCTGTCAGGCATAACCATATTTCGAGATTTCAAGCTCAATCAATACCCATATATTTATACCCAGAGTGGTCTTATATACTCGATGCAAATGCGCGAGAAAACCGATCTCAAGGGATGCTTATATGCACAAGGTACATTAATACTTATCAATAATAACGTCAAGAATTGAAATAAAGTCAGGTTCCCTATAGTGGGTGGCCTGGTCTATCCATGAACCAGAAACCATCAACTAGTCCCTCATGGCTGGCCGAACCATCCTCTTCCCATGTCCGCCTAGATAGTTGAAGCGTCTCTTGACCATCATCAACTTGCCGCTGTCGGTGTTGCTTGTCGTTGTTGAGGACGAGGCTCCCCCTTTCGCCCAGACACTCAAAGCTCCGGATCCGCCGCACATTTCACCCCCGGCTCCTGTGCAGGGCATATCACACTGTGATTCGTCTAGTTGAGATGCCATTGCCGGGAAGTCGGCGTCGGTGCCGCAGAAACACTGGCCGGCGTATTCGGTGCCGGCGACAGCAAAGCCGCGAGAGTCGCAGAACGAAACACACGCGCCGTTGGTCATGGTGTCGCCGTTGAAATTGGACCATTGTGGCAACGTGCGTGGAGTAAGTGTGTCGACGAAGCAGCCGGAGTAGGTCCAATTGGGGTTCACCGAAGATGTTGACGACGATGGCTAGAAACATGACATGTTAGATGTTTTCGTTAGAGTAGAATTTCCTCTTTTGGTTTCTTTTCTTCTCGCGTGGTGCTTTTATGTCATTGGCTTTTCTGGGGGCGTTGGTTCCGGAAACAGATAAGAGGCAACAAGAAAAAGGGGGATCAGGGAAACAAAGGGATTTTATGTCATGTAGGGGGTGATTGAGAGCGAAAAAATCAAGACGACAGGGTTGTGGGGATGACTTCGTTGGAGAAGGAAGGATAGAGGAAACGGAGAGATTCGCTGCTTGAGGCTGGAGGGAGGCTGGACGCTCTCGCGGTGTCTGCATCACCTGAGTCTGGACTTTCAGATGAAGCAGCACCGGGATATGAGTACGATGAGTATGGATTTGCGGCTCCATCTCCATCTGAATCGGGGTCGGTGGAAGAAGATGGTGATTCGGGTTGAGAAGTAGACTTGGTATTTACCGAAACAGTGGTGACTGGTTGGACCTGTGGCTCGGACGGAGTTATTGTGCTCGCCGCCGCCACCGCCGCCTTAGACGTCGTCACCGTGGCAAGTGTGGTGGGAGACTCGGCGGCCGGAGCTGACGAAGGAGCCCCAGCAGATACAACCGCCGCGCCAGATGATGAGGCCGGAGCAGACGCCGCAGAGGCCGTGGCTGAAGGAGCAGGAGGGTTGGCAGCTTGAACAGGCGCTGAAGAGCCGCCGAACTGAGCATTCGTGCATGAATCTCCCGTACACTTCTGATATAGCGAGATGACGCCACTGCCGCCACAGAACTCAGAGCTCTTTCCTTTACACGGCATCTCGCAGTTTCCGACAACCCCTGGAACGGGCGCACCGCTTGAAGGGATCGAGTTGCCACCTTGAGACACGTTAGCAATGAATCTCCTAACCCAACAGGGTTTGCATTACAAAGGGGGTCATCAACTTACAGTAGCATTCGGTAGAATATTCAGTGCCTGCAACAGAGAATCCTGTGCTCTCGCAAAAGGCAATGCAATTCTCGTTGGTCATTTGATCATTGGCTTGCGTAGCTCCGGTGAGGATGCGGTTGTAGTAATTGTCAGTGCCACATCCAGCGTAAGCCCAGCCTTTGCTGGTGAGATCGGTGAAAAAGGTGGCATTGGAAGGGGTGATGGCAGTGGTAGCACCACACCCGCTCTGAGGTGTCGCTGTAGGACCAGGTTGGACCGGGTTGCAGCCGGGCAAGGCAGACAGAAGACCACTGACGGGTTCGTCCACCTCCGGTTCGATCTTACAGCCTTCGGCTTGGGAATCTGGGATGAGATCGAAAACAGGACAGTCCTCAACTCGACCACTCTCGTTGGTGCATTGGTCGACAGCGTTCTGGAGGAGCTCTGGGTCCCAGCCCATAACAAAGTCACCGTGCCCACCATACCCAGTAGGATCGCCCATCGACCAAACGAAGGGCTGATTGTCTCCATACCACTGGTCGCTGAATTTGCCTGTATCCCAGATGATCTCGTAGAAGATAGAAACAAGATGGACAGGGAATTCAGGAGGACATGAACCACCATTGTAGGATTGTATGGGGTAAGACATATGGGACATGTGGTCTGCAGTGTCAAGGTCCTTGCCATTCCAGCAGGAAGGAAAGAACACTTGGGCTCGAAGGCCATCGGGACAGCCGTAGTTGGGAAACATGGGGGTTTCGGCCTTCGCAGGGCCGTTATAGTTGAGACAAGCGTAGCTGACGGCTTGACTGGCGAAGTCGTCGCCAGCAGTTCGCTTGAAAGGATTGCCCGCAACCATACGGAAACCGGGTGGGAAAGCCTTCAGGGTCTCGCCGTCACCCTTTCGTTGCAGATAGTAGACAGTAGCACCCCCGATCTGGTTGACACTCTCAAAGGTGCCATTCTGGTGCTGGAAGAACAACGTCGGCGTCCAGTAGTTGCTGTTATCTCCAGTCACAGTGCAAGATGAACAGGTGGATTTTTGGGTTGAGTTGTAGTCCATCGTAAAGTCAAACCCGTTGCCTCCCATGATGGTGTGCAGATGATTCGAAACTTTACCAGGACTGATGATGGGATCGGCCCGCTCGACCACGATGGGAGATTTGCAAGGCAGTCGCCAGAACGCCGACACGGGCGACGCAGCAAGGGCGGCCAGAAGGCCAGTGGCCAGGAGAACTGACATTTCGGTATGTTCAAAGGACTGCAGAATCGAATTCAGGCAAGAAGCGAACTCCCGGGAACGAACGACGAAAGTTATAAAGGAGGGTCTGACAAAGGACTGGATGTACGATACAATCGCACAGCAAATAAAGAACGAACGGCGAGGTCACCGACCTCTAGCCAATGAACGAATGTGAGCTGGGACAAAAAGAGCGTCGACGATCAACAATGAAAAGCCATGTAGAAGGAATACTTGCCGGAACGGAAAATTATATACAGACCAGAGGTGCGTTGGTGGCCCCCATTTCAGACAGCCTGCCAACCCGACAGGATGAAATTGCAGGGTAAGTGTTCTTTTGAAGAGCAATGTCAGAGAGCAGTCGGCCTTGCATGACAGAAGCTTGAGAATGCTCTAAAGCCGTGTGGCGTAGGTACGTTCCATTCTGACCCAGAGGCGACTGATTGATCAAGTCTAGCCAGGCTTTCTTGGTAGGAGGATTGAGCAGGCTCATGGAGACCACCGTTTATGGGGGCCATGCCATATTCGGATCCAGATGAGAAGGACGGTACGAGAGTGGGGGCATATGGGTCTTCGTAGCCTTGGATTGTTGAGAGCAGATTGACGATGTAGCCTCATCCTCCTAGCTGGCCAGCCGGCGAGTCCAAGAATCCCGTGCGTCAGTAATGGCGTGTGATGGAGGATGAAGGATCGGGAGACTAGGAGGGGCTAGCAGCTGCAAGCAAGATCGACCACCTGTTTCAGACGGATCGAAGTAGCCAGGAGTCAGTCGACGTGATCTTAAGAAGGGGACAGATTCGTGTTTCAAGATTGAGCCACTGGAGCCAACGCGTTGACAGGGAGGAGGCAGTCAGGATATTTCAGAACTGGTGCGCGCCCGACGTTGGTGGGATTAAAGGATTCTCGAGTGAACGGACTTGCGAAGAATGCCGGATGGAATGTTTGTAGACTCGAAGGACTTTGCTCTTATCTGGACTGATGGATGAGATGAGTTTCCGCCCCTTGCACAACCCCGCGAAAGCCGTAGCGACGAGGTCTTTAGCGTGGGAAATCATCAAAACATCGAGGGTGATCCGTGGACCGCTTCTGCCTCTTCACCTTGGCAACATCTCAACGTCGAACTGTATCTGGTGTCACTCTGAATCACACCGTGCATCTGGATCCTCCCTCACTAGCTCTTACAACTTGTCACAGCCTTGACCGGCAGTCTCTTTCATCAGACATCAGCCAGCCGTGCGTGGAGTAAAGCATGTCCGTCGATTGGACGGCTGGTCAAGCCCTTGTTCCCTGTCGCCCCTTACAGCTGTACCCGAGTTGTCTCTCAATCCGACTCTTCGGCCTTCAGAGGAACTTCAAGGCTGAATTCCCCGGAGTCCCTGTCGATTTCCCCCCTCAGAGCCCCCATCGTCAAGATGTCTTTACTGAACAGCTTATGCCCTAGGCGTCCGACATGAGCGCCTTGAGGATCGTGCGGTGCTCCTATGATGAGAAGTTCATTGCCTTGATAATTTCCTTTGTCCTTGAGCGCAGGCAATCGGTGCTTTACCGCCTCTGCTCCCAGAATAGTCGCAACCTGGGATAGTTCTCGCTCAAGGCTCTTTCCGAGATCCGTTTTGAGCTGTCTGGTGAATATGACAGTGGTGCCGGCAAGTAAGTGGGTGAGACCTTGTTTACCCTGTGCGATCGCTTGCTCTAAACCGAACCCCCATTCTCGCTCCCGGGAGGGATCATTAGGGATGAATTCACGAATATCTTGGAACTGCCGTTTCTCAATTGATGTCAAGATCCATTGTTTTGTGACCACTTGGAGGCCCATCGCGACCGCCATGATGAACTTTCCGGTCTTTTTCAGAGGCCCATCTCCTATAACAAGTACAGTGGCCTTGTTAATCGAGGTTGTAATGTGACCTCCAATCGAGATGAAAGACCGCATTACCGTCTTTTTCTCGTGGATATTAGTGTTGCTGAAGATAACAACTGGCCCCTTGTCGATATCTACGCCAGACGGAGAGCTCTCCACTGGCTGTGCCTGTGGATCCTCCAACAATTGTTGCCGATTCGAAATATTCTCTCCCGAAACCCGGCGTTGAGGCCTCAAAGAAGTGCTACGAGATCTCAAATCCTTAGGTGTCAGCACGATGTCCTCTGGCCTCGAATGGGGCGTCACGACAATCGTGCCATGGAGCTCGTCCTCATGTGTGCTGGCAGATTGAGCGAGCATGCTGTCCAAGTCAAGGTCAGTCTCTTCCATCTCTATGAGCTTTCTCTTCTTTGTGCGCTCTTCCGAGATGTCTGAAGCCAAGTCAAGGCTGCTGTCAGGTGTGTCAACTGCCGGAACTGTTGACGATGTAGGTGAGGGCGTATCACCCGCTGGACACGCGTTCTCTTCGGGGATGTTGCGTTCTCTCGGACTTGCCACGCTCAAGCCGGGGCTTCCCACCTTGTCAAGATGCGTTGAATACTCCAGCTCCGGGCTCTTCTCTGCGCCATCAGGTTGGCTGTCCTCTTGCGACTTAATCATATCATTCTTGTCTCTAGAAATGATCGCTTCCTCAGTGGCATCCGCAGATGGTGACCTGCTTGGCGGTTCCTTGCTCGGCTTAGAGCTCTCTGTACAGATACCAGACTGATCCCCAGGCTTAGTTGACGAAGGAGATGAACCAAAGGCCGGGGTTGCAGCTGGGCTGGGGCTAGCGGTACTAGAGTTTCCCTTCTCTTCGTGCATGAAACCTGGTGAATCACCCTCTTCAGGTTCATCTGCTCCAAAGCCACTGACAAGAGGAAGGGGTGGCGGCCGCATAGAATTCGATATCGTTCCCTGCTCATCATCCCATCGGATTGCCCAGCGCCCAGCAGGACTGAGGAATTGATCGTCGCTTCGAAGAATGAAAGACTTGTGGTGAGTCGACGTTGACAACGGTATGGCAATTTCTGTACCATTTTCACCGAGCACTGAACAAGGACCATCAGTCTTGCCGATCGCACGGAGGAGAACAAAGTCGGAGTGAATCTCTGTTCAAGTCATCAGTGGCTGACCCAAGTGGCAGCATATGACCGCAGACCAAGACAGAGGAGACAATGATGCTCATCAGGACCTGCAGCTACGTCGATACCGCTGTCTTGTGGGTCGTTCGGCAGGTAATAAATGACCGAATTCTCTTCCAGTGGCATTTCAGCGAAGACTTCACATCCTGCGGCGGTAGTGTAAACGAGAAAGACGGCCACCATCTTGAGACCTATGGCGAATTCCAACTCAAACAACTTGAGCGACAAACAGAGAGATATCAAGTGGAAGGCAAACAAAGTCAGAGACAGAGAAATGTTTGATTGAGATTGGAAGACGATTGTGCTGCTGCCTGTCCTTTAATACAACTTTGGGCATTAGTAGTACTACTAGTAATAGTACTACATGTATGGTGCCTGCCATCTTGAGCCTTATGCAGCTGGCATCATCTAGTTTCAGCCTTGTTACGAGAGTGGGAGTGTCACAACTATCTGTCAGTATCAGTTTGGGTTCTTATGTCGAAGGCATAGACTCACTTCACCCATGCTGGATAACATCTACCAAAGATGGATGTCCAGGCAAGTCTTGCAACAACAGGCCTACCAGAGGGAAACGGTCTCGGGCTTCCAACTGCCCATTGCCCTCAACGAAACCCTGATCGCTGTAAACAGGAGCGTGCCACCGAGGGCACCTTTGATGCTTGGAAGGTCCAGCGAAACTGCGATAAGTAAAAGGTAGGTAGGAGTCAGGCTGGTACATCTCAGTTTGTGACAAAAGACCCGTCCTCTGGCCACCTTCAATGCGTCAAGCTTGTCATCCGGAAGACGAGCACGGGAGTTAATCGATCAGGAAGCAGGTGCATCTAACGCCCGCAGGAAGGGTGGCGCATTCTCAATGGACCAGTACGGCTTGAACATCGAGGGACTATCGGTCATTACTAAGGTAAGGGTACTCACCTCCAAGCTGTTCATGACCGACACGGCCTGCAGGACATTGTGCTGCACTGCGAGAAGATCCGCAATACATCATGGGACCGCCTTCACAGTGCAGAGCCAGCGGCGTTTGAACTGCCACAGGAAGTGAAATTGTCTTAGCCATCTGAGCCACTGCCACAGGGAGCGTTCTGAAGTCTAACAGAGGGCTTTCGGATAGGTCGAGGCCTGCTCTTCTCTTATGGTGAAGGATTGACGCAGAAGCGGTAGATCTTTGACGTCGAGACATGTTGTCAAGGCTGGCCGCTTGGCAAGAATACTGGAATGATCCCCCGTACTAAAGGATTTATGATACGGTGAAGTATCGGGGCCTGCGCTGTGCAGAAGCAGCATTCAGCAACATTCATGATTGTTGCTCTTCCCACTCTCTTCAAGGCTGTCCACACTTCCCGCAGCCTCCGAGAAGGAAGCAATTGACTGTAGGTGAGATGAATTCGTTGGCTGAGTAGGTCTATCTTAGATCTGGTAAGTCTCTGCGGTTGGTGGTTGTGGTAGATCTGGAGGACAATATTAAGGACTGTTGATATTGTTCTCGATGTCTCTGATGTCAACCCATCTCGTTCTTCACCGTGGCGGCGATGATATGGCGGCTGAGACAGGATGTGGATGTGATGAGCTTCATAAGCAGCGAGGGAGAGGACAGGGAGGAGGAAGAGAGACTGTATTGAGCGTGGTTGTGAGTGTGAGTTGTGACTGGTGATGATGACAGTGGGGAGGTTGAGAGCGCAGGCAGACTGAACATCGTGCCGGCGACCTTGCTGCCTGCGTTCAGCCTCATGTTTGCACGCAGTGAGGTTGAAGTGAAATGAGAATCAGTTACAACACAAGGACGTCAACGAAATCTCTGTCGTTGTCTGTGTTTACAGTGAATCTTCTCCATCAACCTGCGTCGCCCACTCTATCACTCTCCCAGTCTCTCTCACCTTACACCCTCTTCTTCACTCATACCACAATCTCATCCTCCAACTATTTATCCTCTGCCTATCCTTCGAGAGCATCTCCAGGAGCGTCAGCTACGTGCTCTACTCCTCTCCTCATCGACGACGACCTCGTCTTCCTCTCGAGACCACTTCCCCCCCATCTCCAGCAGTCATGGCTGCACGCATCATCCCAGCACTGACGCTTACCGCTCCGACCAGCTATCCTACGGCCGGAGTTGGCGGCTACTACTACGATACGGCCTTCGGCGTCCCAACCTACAGCAGCGCTGCTTTCAATCAAACCACCTGGCGTCTCCTCGACAATTGGGATCACATCAATGTCAACTATGCCTCGAGCGAAGGACTGGCGGCTGGCTTGGGCTGGGCGACCTTGATCTACCTCCTTGCTCTCACCCCGAGCCACAAGAGAACCACACCTTTCCACTGCTTCCTCCTCGTCGGTCTGATCTTCTTGCTCGGCCATCTCATGGTGAACATCATTGCGGCTCTGACTCCCGGTCTGAACACTACCTCTGCTTACACCTACGTTACGCTCGACACCAGCTCCAGTGTCTGGCCGCGAAAGTACATCGCAGTCTATGCCGTCAACGCAGTTGCATCCTGGTTTGCTTTCATTTTCGCAACCATTTGCCTCTGGTTGCAGGCCAAGGGCTTGATGACCGGCATCCGGGTTCGATTCATCATCGTCTACAAGATCATTCTCATGTATCTCATCGTGGCAGCCGTCATTGCTCTCGCAATCTGCATGGCCTTCAACATCCAGCAGATCTTGTACATTGGCAAACCCGTTGAGCTGGCCGATGGCACGGCCTTGCTTCGTCTTCGGAACGCATACCTGATCACCTATGCAATCAGCATTGGCAGCTTTTCGTTGGTCTCGATCTGCTCGATCATGGACATCATCTGGCGCCGCCCTTCCAGAGTCATTAAGGGTCACAACATCTTTGCTTCAGCACTGAATCTGGTCGGTCTGCTGTGTGCACAGTCTTTTGTCGTGCCATGTGAGTACAAGCGAGCCCTGGGCCAGGTTCCTGATTGCACGACTTTTGCTGATCACATCTTCCACACAGTCATCTTCTGCATCTTGCAGGTCATTCCCAACAGCAGCGGAGTGATGCTCCCGGAGATCATGCTCTTGCCTTCTGTCTATGTTATTCTCCCACTTGGCTCGCTGTTCATGACAGTCAACTCTCCTGAGTCCGACGTCAACAAGACCTCATTTCCCCCAAAGTCCAGTCCCGGCCCGTTCGACCGCTCCCCAACCCTCACTAGTGGTACCCTCCCTGGCTCTCGCCCGGAGTCCTATGTCCTTGACATGGCCTCGGACAAGAACAGTGGCAACCGCAAGTCAGTTTGTAGCCAATTCGATCGTGAGCTCAACCTCATCGACTCTCTGGATACTCTCTCCGGACGTGAGGGGGACTCCATGCTACATGCACAGAGCAACAACAACAACCAGACTCGCGAGCAGGACAAGCAGCCCCGTGCAGACACCACTCATGTCGGTTCCGAGAATATGGTCTAAGCGTGCCTGAATGGACTCGGGATCGCGCACAATCTCGACTGCCGACTTTGTGGATCCGATAGCGCTAGCCGAATGGAATGAGGAGTAAGAAGACAGACGGTCAACCACTGACTGTTCATGGTGACAAATTCGGAGCCAAAGACTCTAAGCAATGTGTAATGTGAGCTGAAAAAGCACGCAGGCTGGATGTGCTTGTGCTAGAGGATATGAACAGAGGTCACGGAGCTAGCTGTGCCCACGGTCGAGGGAGCATCTGTGGTCATTGCAGATGATTTCTCCGGGAAGTTGATCTGGCCACACTGATACAGATACAAGTCAACGCCACCGATATGACGGGCAGAGATCACAGAAAACTACTTGCTTGGGCTAGGTGACACATCAGATCCAAAGGCATGGTACGACCCTGCATCGCAGTGTACTGTAGTTACCTTCCAGAGACAGCACAGCATAAAAAATGACAATGTCTGAAAATGAGCTTTCGACTCCAGGAGCCCGATTGTAGGCTTCTTCACCGTCTCAAGCTTTGTAACACAATGGCATATCTGTCAATACCTATTCGGGCTGATAACGAGTAGTACAATAAGGCAAAGCTGCATTGTGGTATTGTGTTTGCATAGGTAGTCTCATCGTCAAACATACAGTCATACAATGAAGAAACTTCATATCATGTCGTCCCTTCCACAGTCTTCCTCTTGACCAGCCTCACCCATCTCCTGCGTCGCCACTCGCCCGTACGGCCGCGACTATCCAGCCTCGTGGCCTCCTCCCAGTCCTTGACCTGGTTGGCCTTGCGGGCTTTATCTTTCTCCTTCCCCTTCCTCGTCTTCTCGTCGTCGCGACTCGTGGAGGGAATACTGTAGTCACCGTACGCCAGCCACAGGTCGTCATCGCGATTCACCCCGCTTCCCGGCGCCGGGGGTAAGTCCCATACCCAGCCACCAAAGTCAAGGTTCACGCTGCCGCGGCGGTCCGTGTCAATGCTAATACCGGAGGTGGTACCTTGGTCTGATACGTCGCCGTCCTGCTGTAGCACGTCATACTCGACACCAACAATCAGTCGCTCGTCCACCCACTCGCCGGGTTGGAGGTCGAGTTCCCACTTCTTGCTAGCCCATTCCCATCCCTCAGGCGGCACGACGTCTTCGAAGAATCGTGTGCCCCGCGGCCGATCGCCTGCGATACGGGCCGGCGAAAGCGGATCATATGGCGATGCAGTGAACATGTGTGGCTGCCATTCTGCGGCAGCCCCAGAGCTGCCGCTCGTGCTCGATTGCAGTGGACGGTGCTGCAGCTCGAAGATCTCGACCTCACGCGTCTCCGGCGTGCTCGACAGCGTGATCTGCGACAAGGCCGCGAATGCCGATTGAAGGGCAGCTGGGGTCGCGGGCAATGGAACTCCGTTGATATACTGCTGTTGTTGGAGCTTGTCGTCATTCGGAGCCTGCGGTGGTTGCTTTTCAGCCTGCTGTTGCATTTTCGTTAACCACTCCTGCGCTGTGGGATGGCTGGAGATTGTGAAGCCCCAACCGCCAACCAGAAAAATGAGGCGCCACGGGAGAAGATGCGCCGTGATGAACGACAGAGTCGTCAAGATGGTGAGAAAGAGGAAGAGCTGGGATGAAAATGTCTCATTGCTGAAGTTCGTGGCAGGGGCCAAATTCTTCACCATTGTGTCGTGCACGGTGGTGAAGTCCGCCATACTGTTCTGCAGATCGCGCATGTTGCGGAAAAAGTCTTTGGACGTCTCGCTGGCGGGTTTGATGGTCGGGGCTGGAGCGATCGCCGGGCCCGTATAAGCTTGCTGGTAGTACGGCGTTGTGCTGGACACGGTCTTCTGCGCCGGGGGAGGAGGATGCCGCGATACGAATGCTGGGACCATGACGAAAAGCAAGGCTACGGCAAGAGGTACGACCGCAAGGATGTAGGGGTCGAGGCAAACGAAAGTATACGTGGCGAGAAAAGATAGAGTGTGGGTGGGTGTACGCCATGTGAAGAGGCGGATGAGTCGGTTCTGAAAGACGAAGACAATACCGATACGCGCATTGAAGCGACGGAAATTGTTTGTCATCACAGGAAGGCTGAAGGCAGGCCGGGCGACATATTTCGACGAGCGTCGGTCCACGGGTGAGGCATTGTCCGATTCGTCCACCTCTTCAGTAGGGATTACTTGTTGCAGGAGCCTAGATGACGGTCAGATCCGGATGAGACCAAAGAAGACAGCTATAAACCGCAGAAACAAAAGGCCTATGGAAGCCATACTTGGAAAAGAGCATATCCTGGAGCGGCAACTTCGCTCCTGTACTTGGTCCATGTTTTTCGACCTGAGCCGCGACAAATTCTTGTCCCCTTGCTCTCAAACCACTAGTAGACGAAGAAAATGCACTTCTGAATCTCCCTTTCTGCTTCGCAGTGTCCGCATCTGATGACGATGCACCGAGGTCGTTCTGCGAAACTGTGATGAGAGGAACCGGTTCGTCTCGATTGGCGAAGGCATCGGCAGTGTATTCATCCATATTGGACGTCCTCTGCACAGGCTATCTTGTGACCATCTTAGCGAAGCGCAGGCGGGATGGCGGCAGTGGAACCTCTCCAACGTATGTGATGCTGGAAGGCGGGCGATGATGCCTTCAAGTTGGGCAACGGAAATGGTGATGTAGGCATGTCGTTGAGATTGAGATGGTGGAAGACACACGTGATGTGCTGGCTGATGTGATTGCCTACACGTGACGCTCTCACCGCCTCTCGCCGCTCAGGGGTTCCAGCTTCCAGCTCCGCAAGCTTCCTATCAAATTGGCGACCTCCCTATCCAACTAGTACCTCCTGAAGGAAATCTCTCCACGAAGCGATTGCTGCTCTAGGGTGGCGAATGTGCGAATGTCTACGTCTCGGAGTTTGCCAGTTGACTCGTGTCGCCATCGAGTTGAGGTTGATCTGTTCACGAGGAGCAATCGACCACAACGCAGGAAGGAGTTGGCGTGTTTAGATTTACCAGTGGGCGATTCGACAAGTGGCCGCAGGTTATAGGTAGGTGCTTAGGTAGCTAAATAGTTTAGGTACTTTAGGTGGCATCCAGCGTCCAGCAACAGGCCCAATTGAGAACAGCCACCGCTGCAGCCAGGCCCTAACGGTCGATCGTTTTGGCTGGAGCGTTGGCGTTAATGCACTCCTGGCCTGCAATCCCCGCCCGTACGATCACCTAGCCTTACCTATTAGAGTCGTTGCCTATGCAAACTCAGGTAGTAGACAGGTACCCGGGGCGACGCCCCTGTTCCTTGTCCCCTGACTGACTCCCTGTTCGTCCGCTGCATTAATTAATCAACTACCTTACCTACTTTGCCCATCCACCCACTATTTCTTCCCGTACCAAAATACGAGTAGTCCAGACCCCGGGCGCACCCTGACATTCGGCTGCGCTGCGCTGCACTGTACACAGAACTGCATTGCACTTATTAGTACGCAGTTACATGGCAATTGATGATGGTCACCACAGCGTTCACTCCCTTACTACCACGACGCCATCAACAATATTTCCTCAACATTCTCGTATAAACTCGTCTTGAGCGGCTCGTCGATGAGAGCCCTGCGCTGCTCCTCCCTCCTTGCCCCTGTTCGCCGGAAGATCGGATCTCCCTGACGGCATTCCTGCGCAACGCGTCGTCTCTCTTGTCCTCCCCTTCCGCTCTGTCAGCCACGACATACCCTGGTCCGTTCGTCTGTGGTCGCGACAGGGCCGACTGACCTTCCTCTACTCGCGGGAAGTCTACTCTTTCAATGGATTGACCACCGCAGGGTGTCCAATGTCGACGCATTGGGGCCGTATGTGAAAGAGATTGGGATATAAGAGCCCGACCTGAGCGGGTTGGAGGGAGAAGCTGTTACCATGCCTTACCGACAACATGCTCCTGGCTCCAACACGAACACCGGCAGTCAGCCAAAACATACAACTTCTGGCCGAGCCGATGACTCGGACCGTGGTAGTACGGGCTTGATGCAAAGGATATCTGCAGCGAACCAATCCCAACCGACACTGTCACACAATGTAGGAGACAATCTCGCATCGAAGAAACCGCCGTCTTCCTTCCCGGCCGCCTCGATGAACACCGTTTCGAAGGCTACTCCTGGTGAAAATGTGTCTTCCAACTCAGCCTCTACCGCACGGCGAAGACAGTCGTCCATTCCCAGCGCCAGAGCCCCCATGGGTCCTCGACCCCTGGATCACGGAACGGGCAAAAGGTTCGTGATGGCTGATGGCCGCGGCTTCCATACTTGTGTCTGCAATGCTAACTCCTGCTTCCTTGTTGCCAGGACTGCCAGTAATCCCATGACTCCGCAGTTCAACTCTCTCCGAGGTCCCTCTGCCGTCACTTCCCAAAATCCTTACGCCTACGAGTTATCTATCAACGACCTTTCACGATTCAGTTTCGCATCAATACAAGCCAAACAACTGTCGGAAGGTGGAGGACATGGATTGCTGGATTTCGGCAACTTCGTGGAGCCAACGTTCAACTTTGACGATTTTCAAGATACGATTGTTGGCACAGAGCCGAGCTTAAATCATTTCCCTCTGCCTGGCCGGGGAACCAACGTTAAAGCTCCCCCTTCGGCTGATACACCCAGCACCGACCACAAGAAGTCCCAGGCCCAGCCTGCAATCCCCGTGCCTGCTCGCAGAGGCTCGGGCATGACACCACTAACTCGCAAAAGTTCCACTGCCTCCAACACGTCCCGAAATTCGATTAGGTCGGACCCCATTACTGCAACGTCGATACTTCGAGGCAGGAGACAAAGTCATTTCCCGCCGAACTCGTTCAACAACCCCAATAGTGGTGCCACAGCTCCGAGGAAATCCGTGGGTCCTGGAACTTTCATTCCCCCGGACCCACCAGGCAAGTCGACGGTGAGAAGGCGACCCAGTGCCGGCGGGAGGAAATCAAGCGCGGAAAGTGCAAAAGCATTGTCATTGAGGAGTCTCGGCTGCTCAGCAGAAGAAAACGGTGCGGAAGATTGCAAGACACCTGGGACGGTGAGGTCAAGAGCATCATTGGCCCCGAAAAGGCAGGCATCCAAAGACCTGCTTACGCCGTCAAGAACACCGGACATCTCGAAGTCTACTTCCAGTAGCGCCCACCATACCCCGACGCGTGGGAGCGGAACGCCGGGGATGATAACCACGCCAGGGGCAAATGGTGATCGAAATCGACGGATATCTGCCATGCCCCATCATGCCACAGGGCTGGGAGCGCGAACTGTAAGCCCGACCGACGCACGCCGCATGAAACGAATGTCGATGGTTCCTCCAGCACCACCAATACCTCAGAGCAGGATTTCTCAAGCTCCTCCGACTCCGCAGCCGGAACCGGTACCACAGTTGCCTCAGCCTGATCTACAGTCGCCCCTTGCCTCGACTCGCAAAAGCCTAACGCCGTCATCTTCCAGGACCACACCCGATCCTTACCGGAAATCATACAGTTCGGGTCAGTCCTTGTCGTCGAATACTAGTTATAGTTCGGTTCGCAACCTTGTCAACAACGCCGCAAGACTATCCCAGACGACGAACTCTTCAAGGTTACCAGCGCCTAAGCCCCGGCTTGAGACCTCTACCACTACTACTCAGGGATTGGAAGTTCCTCCAGTTCCGGCGATACCCAAGGCGTACGAGTCGCCAGGGAGTGAACTAGATCAACCCTTCTTCTCGGCCCGGTCCTCCAGTCTTCCACCCTTTGACGAGGCCATTGCCACCAGTCCCGGAGTCTCAGCATTGGGCGATGCGATGAACGCACTGGAACTCCCTCAAGCCCCTAGTACGTCCACGCATACCCCTGGGCCGAGCCCCCATATGGAAACAGAACCCAAAGGCCCACCACAGCGCAAAGCCAGTAAAAGGAGCATCCATACGCTGCGATTACCACCTCTGAACCTGTTGCCGCTGAGTACCCCTACCTCTGCAAAGATCAGGTCGTTGAACGCAAGAACTGAGTCCAATGAAAGACCAGGAACGCCCCCGGGGTCTCGTGGTGCCTTGAAGACCCCTAGTACGCCGATGACAGCGTCTAAAGCAACCTTTTTCTCCCGCGGACACAAAGCTACCGAAGAGAGCTTAGCTCTTCGAAGTAGCACTTCACATCATGCTCTTCGGTCGGACGGCTTGCGAGCTCCCAGCGACAGCAGTCCCAGCCTACCTCCTTTTACCTTTGAATCGGACAAAGCGAGCCATCGCAATATTTCACCCTTTGTCTCGTCCTCTTTACCCAAGGGCAATGATGACTTTTCGACATACATGCGACCAAACTTTGCTTCAGAACAAAGTAGGAATGCAAGTGCTGCACGACCAAATGGGCCTCGGGTGCCCAGCTCCTCTGTCACGCCAAAGGCTGACGTCTCTCCGAGCTCTGTCCAGAACCAACCGGAGAAGCACTCAGAAAGCGAGACGGGGTTCTCTACGTCACTCAGGAGGAGACTCAGTCGTAAACGAAGTGAACAGAAGGTCCCAGAGCCGGCTCAACAGAGCAAAGATCCTGCCAAATATGACAACATGCCACCTCCAAAACTGCCGGCCTCCGCGAGTTGGACTAATCCTCAAACCGCCAACGGTAGTCCGTCTCAAAGACCATCATACATCAGATCAAGGAGACAAACCTCCACTTCAAGTATGAACAATGGCCCGGAGCGTCAGGGTAGTCATGATAGTTCCATGTCACATTCTTCCAGCACCCGACCTCCAACAGAGCCAAACCGGACCTCAACGACGCATGCAAACCGGTCAGGATCTCTGTCTGCAAGCACACATAGTCTTCTTGCTGCCAAACCTGCCGGCCAGCGCCAGCAGGAACCTGCTCTTGATCGTGACGATATGGTTGCCGAGGAAGAGATGAAGAAGCTTGCCTCCAAGAGAAAAGACTTTGAATCGGCTGCTCGCGAACTCGACGCTCTCCAAGCAAGAGCCCGACCGGCTCGTCGCCTGTCGGCCGACACGGCTGCCAGGTCATTCGACTTGAACATTTTCGAACGGGGCGAAATCGTGGATTACGCCGACATTTATTTCGCCGGAGCTAGCAATACGCGAAAAATCGTTGGCGACTTGAGTTCGGCGGCGTCAAACTTCGGATACGATGATGACCGAGGCGACTATAACATTGTCGAAGGCGACCATCTCGCATATCGATATGAAGTCGTGGATCTCCTGGGAAAAGGCAGTTTTGGCCAAGTCGTACGCTGTGTGGACCATAAGACAGGAATCCTTGTTGCCGTCAAGATCATTCGCAACAAGAAGAGATTTCACCAACAGGCGCTGGTGGAGGTCAACATTCTCCAAAAGCTGAAAGAATGGGTAAGTGAAAATGGGAAAGATGAAATTCAACATCTAACACGACGACAGGACCCCCATAAAAAGCACAGCGTCGTCAATTTCGATCAAAGTTTCTACTTTCGAGGTCACCTCTGCATCTCCACAGACCTCCTAGGCATGAATCTTTATGAATTCATCAAGGCCCACGATTTCCGAGGATTCTCCTTGAAGCTGATTCGACGATTCACTAAACAATTGCTCCAGAGTCTGGTCTTGCTGCATCAGCACAAGGTGATTCATTGCGATTTGAAACCCGAAAATATACTTCTCGCCCACCCTGTGCATTCTGAGATCAAGGTCATCGATTTCGGATCAAGCTGTTTCGAAAATGAAAAGGTTTACACCTACATCCAATCACGGTTCTATCGTTCACCCGAAGTGATCCTTGGAATGTCTTACGGCATGCCGATCGACATGTGGAGTCTCGGATGCATCCTGGCAGAGCTGTATACAGGGTACCCAATCTTCCCTGGCGAGAATGAGCAGGAACAGTTGGCCTGTATCATGGAGGTGTTTGGGCCGCCGGAAAAGCATCTGATCGAGAAAAGTAGTCGAAAGAAACTGTTTTTCGATTCAATGGGCAAGCCTCGACTGACAGTTTCCTCGAAAGGGAAGAGAAGACGGCCCAGCTCCAAGGATCTACGACAAGTCTTGAAATGTGACGACGACGCATTCTTGGATTTCATTGCGAGGTGTCTGAAATGGGACCCATCACGACGCATGAGCCCTCACGAAGCGAACAAGCACGAATTTATTACCGGCATCAAATTGAGCTCGGCCAATGCCAGGAGGCAGGTCGCTACAACCGTGAACTCTCCGATCAAAAGGATGAACTCTACGACCACTTCTGGTGGCGCCAGGCCCTTGCCACAACCTCCAATGGCCAGTTTAAAGGCTCCAGTCGGCAGTCGGCAGGAGACGTCGCCCAGCAAACCTGGGGCAAGACGGCAATCGACAATTGCTGGCACAGCCGCCACTGTGGCCCACTCGCAGGCCAAAAGGGCTTCACACACAGCCATGACATCTTCGGCATCGAACCCCAGCTTGACGAAATTGACTGTCGGTCAACGGAGTATGAGCGGAAGGTCTGACTTGGCTGCCGCGGCGGCTGCGGCTAGTCTAGTCAAGTAGGCTGTTGCACAGCCAGACATGAGTTACAGGAGGGGTCTCCAATGTTGACGTTGACGTTGACGTTGACGGGAACGAATCTCCGACTATCAGTAATGAAGATATAAAAAGGAGTGTGGCAAGACCTAAGTGGACAGGCAGGCACAGGAGAAAGGAGAACAAGGCTAACAGGGGTAAGGCTTGGGCCGGTGGCGTGGGTGCCATTGCGAGAATCAGTTCTATATACCCATTTGATGGCGGTCTGCTTGCTCTTTGGAGGGACCATTGCAAGAAGCGCCAAAACCAGCAGTTTTGGTCTTTGTTTTGAACATAAGGATGAGAAAAGGAGAAGCACTTAGCACTACCACGCACTGCACTGTACAAATACCTAGGCAACGATGTCGGGTCTGGCTTCCACAGTTGTTTGATCTCCGCCTCAGGGACAACGAAGAGTCGTTAAATGATACAACACGACAATGGGATTCCCGGAGTCGATTTTCTCCTCATAGATTGGGGCGCCTCGCCGGCTTACCACAGACCATTTTTTAAAGCAGCATTCGTGTCCATGCTGTCGACTGTCTTTCCACTATAATCTGTGGCAGTTTCGCCGAGGGAGAAGAGTTGCAGGGAATATGCTCAGAGGTTGTGAATAGAAATATCGTATTGTTAAGCAAGTACTGAACGTAATCCATGGTAGCAGCCAGCCTTCCGCCCTGTCGAGGACTGCCAGGCCGCACGCTGCACCGGTCGGCCAGCCGGACAGATCAAAACACCACAACTATAGCGCACAACGGGCCGGCACCAAAATGTGCAGTTCGGAGATGGACTCAGCATGCCTTTTGTGTATTCGGACCCAAATCGAAGACGACGATGGATTGACTGGCCAGAGATCTGTCCCCAATGCGAGGCCGGGCAAGAAAAAGCGTCGCGTCTCTGGGTGTGGTGAGGAAAACACACCAGAATCCCCCAGACAGACTGGCAAGACATTCCTTCATTCTTCCCCTGCTTCGTATGACTGACCTCGACTCTTCTCATGTCACAGTCTATTTTATTTCCCCGTCATCTTCTTTGGAGAGGAGATTTCAGTTCATTAACAGCACATTTCGGCGCATTCGCAGCAGTCGGCACAACATTCGCACCCTTCCTCGGCGACAAAGCAACAGCACAGGGCGGCAAGACTGTGTGTGAAAAGAGAAGGTCAGCGTCAGCCCCATCAGGGGTTGCTTGTTCCATTGGCGGTTCGACAAAAGGGTAGTATGCGAGAGTAAGGGAGAGAGATCGAGATCCGTAGAGGGAGAGAGGCAGGGTTGTATTTGTATCTGTAGGTGTATGTGTATTGCTCTTACTCACCATGCGCTCAGACATCCTTGATCACCACCGCCTCTTCGTTCCTGAACGTAGACTGGTTGCGGCTGTGCTTGCATCGGCGGAGGACCTTGTGGTTGGTACGCTGGTTGGTACCCAGGTTGGTACCCAGGAGCGCCGTAGCCGGGTTGGGGTCCGTAGCCGGGCTGTGGAGGAGCGCCGTAGCCGGGTTGGTAACTGCGAGACAAGAGAGGAATATGTTAGCTGGAAGGCCGATTTGCAGACGAGGATGATACAGGGGACTCTCGCATGTATAGACAAGACGATCAATATGGAAATTTCAGGCCGACGGGTATGGGAGGTAAGGAAAGGAACAGATAAATCGAGAACAGAGATCAGGACTAGAAACCAGGCTCAACTGCGGAACTTACGTTGGACCAGGTTGTTGAGGGTAGCCGCCCTGATGGCCGTAGTAGTCTTGACTCGCCATCGCGGTTGTTCAGTTGGGTAGGGAGGCAGACAAGTAGGTAGTGAGGGTCGAGAGACAAGAGTGCGAGTGAGTGGTTCAAGTTGTGTGTCGGTGGTTGATCTTGGTGACTGAATGGATCGAAGAGTAGTGAGGTGACGGATGATGGATGACTGTCTTGGATGAAAGAACAGATGGTCACAAGTGTCAGAGAGTAACGGTGAGAGAGGACGTTGACCGCTGTCGCAGGCGCAGGCGTAGTACTATAGTACTATAGTACGTAGCAGTAGTAGTGGTGAGTGGTGAGTGGTGAGTGGTAGTAATTATTGAGGTGATGATGATTTGGAGGCACGGATCCCGGAGCCCGATACGAACCCGAGAGGCTTAATATCTTTAATATCTTTAACTGCGCTTGGCGCCCGGGGAACTGGCAGTGGCAGTGGCAGTGGTTGGAAGAACCTGGAAGAAAAGAGTTCCAGGTAAAGAGGGTCCCGGGAAGAGTCGTCCGTCTCCCCCTGTACGTACGAGAGTACTATACTCTGTGAATCATGCCCCTGTAGATGAGGCTTAGGCGGTTCAACTTATGCTCAGTCAGAATGACCTCAGCCACTTTCCTTCTGTTTTGCAAGTCTCAGCTGACCACTCTAAAGGGGTGTGGTGCGCTTTTGTTCCAGGTTTGTTTGAGATCTGATTCCGATCAATCACTTCTCTTCGCTACGGTTAAGCAGTGCTGTGTTCTTTACTATGGGCCTGTCTATCGACCGTTGAGACTCTCCCTCCTCTTAGCAGCTGCTATGCATAAGGCAAATACTCAGAGTTATACCTACATGTAGGTACTATCCAAGGCATAATCACGACGAAATACTGACGCGTCACCATACTACTAGTACGTACTAAGGTAGTATACTGCAATCGCGCAGCGCACATTCGATGTCGACTCCAGCCTCGGGTCCCACCTCTGTATCGACCGTCTCCCTGCGCAACGGGTTCCAGGCGAGGCGCCTAGCGGGCGCAGATGCAGTAAGAGAAGTGTTCAATCTGTTAGCACAGACTCGGAGTGCACACTACGTACCGACATCCGGTTTGGCTGCTGAGCCACACCCCCGTTAAGCGACCGCCACTTCTTGAGGCCAATCATTCTCAATACAGGATTCGCCTCGAGTCATGACAGTCGAGGAGAACGCGCATTTGCGTTTCATGCATGCTCCCAGTCCCTCATCTCATATTTTCCTCCCGGCATTAATTGGCCACAAACCGCTCAGCCACTCCTCCGAGCCACGATCTCCTCTCACGAATCAGCCCGATCTGTTTGGCGCCCGATCCATCGTCGACAAAGTAAGGGAACCAACAGAATGGGTATAGACCACTACACCGATATGGTCACTGGTCAGGACGCGCGTCACTGTGTGGAAAAATTTACTGGGGACAACTGGTTCCTATTCTTCAATTCACGTCGTGAACCTATCGCATAAACCTTTGGGCTGACCCATTCAAAGGCGCCCTCATTAAGCAGAAATGGACCGAAATACAATGTAGTCGCTGAGCGACTAACCCGTCAACGCCCTCAAGGTAAATTCTCCCATACAATCAACAAAGAAGGCAACCTGGTGTTGCAACATGCCTGTCCACTGGGACGGCCTTGGTGGTTCCGAAACCCGACACTTGTCTAGCTGAAGATCTGTATCTGTATACCACAACCACAACAAAACCATCGAAAAGATCCCATGACCTGAACATCAAACAAGAACCAATCCAACACAGGAAAAGGGTCGACTGCTCTATAATCATGTCCAATTGTCGTCAATCATGTCGAAATTTGATAGGAAAGGGCGGTGCCATCAGGCACGCCGAAGCGAGAATAGTCGTAGCCAGCATTCAATGGCGCCGAGTGGCTGAGGTAAGCCTGGGTGGGCATAACGTTGGCGAAATAGAGTGGATCGGAAGTCAGGCCCGCCATGGACATGTCCTCTTGTGACATGTTGCAGCCCATCTCAAAGTCGGAGGTGTCCATGTCGTTGGAATTGGAGTTGGCGTTGACAAACTCCTCGACCGCCGCGGTGGAGAATGTGGTCGTAGTCTCAGGATGCAGATTTTGAACCACCACGCGGCCGTTCACGTTCAACTCGAGTTCCTCGTACATCCAACTCTTGAGCACTTCCATGGAGGGAGAGTTTCCTCCTCCCATTCCACCGCGATGTTCACTCTTCTTGCCACGACCCCCACGGCGGTTCTTGCACGGGTTGAAGTGGGCACGACGGAGGTGGGCGGCAGCGTTGTAGTTGGCGCCGTAGGTCTTGTGGTTGCGGCAGGCCTTGCAGTTGGACAGGAAGTTGCCTTCCTTCGAGGCGTCTTTGCAGACCCAGACTCGGCGGACTTGGCTGTGGTGACGTTCAATGTGTCGACGTAGCTCATGATCGCCGTGAAAGCCCTGAGGTTGGTCATTGCAGAACTGACAAAAGGTCGTCTTACGCGGAGGCTGCTGTCGGACAGTGCGAGTGATTTCGGCTTTGTGCTTTACTGTGCCGTCTTCGGCCTGGACGGCCACGAGCTTGGGCTCGGGAAACTCCAAGCCTGACGACGAAGCGTTTCTGGAACGCTCCATCTTCGGGGCGAGAGGTCGTGACAGTGAGACTGTGTTAGTCTGGCGAGCGACCTCCTGCTGTAGAGGCTCGCGAGTGGACAAACGAGACGCAAGAGAAACAGAAACAGATGAAGTATTGCTTCCAGTGGAAAGCGAATCCTTCATCTCAGTACTAGAAGGAGACGATGATGAGTGAAGCTCATCATCGGGAAAGCACAACTGCGTAACAGGGTTGTAACCAGAGTCGGTTCCAACGGAAGAAAAGGAAAACGAGTGCGTGGAATCCGGGTCGGGAACGATAGGAAAAGACGAAGCAAGCATGTAAGAGGCTTTGGGTCCTTTCGACACGGAGACCGAGTCCATGCGAAACATGCCAAAGCCTTCGCAGAGCACATCATTTGTGTTGGTTCGAGTCATCGGCTCCGACGCGACAGTCGTACCGGCCATGAGACTCGAATCGCTGGTGGCAGTCATCGGAGTGTACACCTCCGGCGACTCTAATGCCACAGCGGCATACGGTGATATGAGCTGAGAGATGTTTTGGTTGGTCAGCAACTCACCCCGCTTACCAATGGTGGGTGGTGGTGTCAACGCCATGGTCTGTGGGTGGTAGTCGTCGGAGGATTTGGCGAGGAAGTCGGAAGGCGACATGTCTTGAACTTCTTCGATGAAGTTCAGGTTGGGCCCGTTATACCGATGTGGGTAGGATGCAGCCGTGGAAGTTCGCCGTTGCCCATTGTTGTGACGACGAGGAATGGGCATGGGTCCGATGGTTGCCGACGTCGGCGCTGGGACGGAAGCGGAGGGACGCATGGACAGTTGTCCTGGTTGATGCCTCGAGGCGGTAGGACCAACAGGTGCTGAGATGCGGCGCTCAAGGATGGGTGCTGAAGGGGCCGATGAGGCCATGGAAGAAGCCTTTTACGCCTCATCTGTCAAACCAAGAAAGGAGCACAGACAACAGGAGGACATACAGGGTCAGTCCGTTTGGATGCAGGTTCCATACCACCAACCATCGCGCGGGACGCAGATCGTTTCTGGGCCACCGATACACCATGTTGGGTGGTCGACGACGGTGAGTCCTTGAGGGCGTTACTGATGGAATCCCAGTATTGACACCAGCCCTTTTCACGCTCGGCGGCGGATAGATGTTGATGGTCCTGGTGGTAGACGGCTCGACACGACCGAAGGACTTCGATGAGGGCGCCAGAATCCATGTTGTCGGGAGGTCAAACAAGACCGAGTAAGGGACAGGACCAAGAGTGGATGTGTGAAAGACAAAGGTAATGTGAGGATCAAAGGTGGTGGTGGTGGTGGTGGTGGTGGTGGTGGTGGGGTGGTATGACCAGTCTAGACAGCGCAGCAAGTTAGCAGCTGAGACCCGGGAAATGTCAGTAGTATCTCCCCGTCAAATCCAATGCTCACATTTTAGTGTCACTTTTGACTATCGAAGTAGTCGAAGCCTTACAGCAAGGCGTAACAGTGCAACTGAATGGTAGAGATAAGCAAAGTCAAAAGAAGAGGATCGGGAAGAATGAAGTCAAGCGGTAAGAAGCAATTGGGGGGAATTATGGGTAAGGAGAAGGCTGATGGGAGGGAAAAGTAGCGGGGTTGCAGGATGATATAGAGGCAGCAGCTAGCTACCACCATACTTACCGCAGCACAATACAAGCGACTGCAGACGCTTGGCTAGGGATCCCGCTACTCACTGCTCACTGCTCACTGTTTTCTGCCCTGTCGGGCCCCTGGATGTTCTCTTCTTTCCGGAAAAGGCGATCATCTGAGATGCCCGTGCCGTGTGTTGCATGGGGGAGGCTTGGAAGGGGAGAAGGCATGGGGATGTTGGTGATGATGGTGATGATGATGACCAAAGCCAGTTCGGAGATCAGAGATGCAGACACTGCACTGCATGCGGTGACAAGAGAAGAGGTCAAGCATCAATCAGCCAGCCAGCCGTTCAGGTTCCCGGAAGCCCGTCTCTCTGGCTCTATCTTCATCAAATCATGCAGTACAGTGGGCAGCAAGAGAAGGAGAAGCACAAGGTGGAAGCTGGAAGCACAAACGTCGGAGGCTTTGCGGATCGTGGAGCTGGTGACGCCGGTGACACTTTGCATCATGCTATGGCCTCCTAAGCCGCGTTTCGATTCCTCATGGGCTGCAGAAAGTCCCGTCATTGTGATGGTGGTGGATTGGTTTGTGATTGAGGAATGGGAGGGTGTGGCCTCGTTGGTGGTCACAAGGGTCAAAGGGCCAGGGAGGCTTGGTAGAGGTCCGGCCAGGGATGCAGCATCCTAGTCGGGGTCTAGAGAGCCCAGGGAGCCCAGGGAGCCTGTAGAGCCTGTATCCTTACCAGGTTGGCTGTAGGCTTTGGGCGGTACATTGACTAACAGACTCTAGCGACACGGCTCCATGGTAGCTGCAGGTGGACATCACGTACCCAGTACCTAAGGAACCTAGGTACCTTAGGTAGCGAGCTAGGTCGTGGATAATTTCCAGGGTGGCAGAAATGATGTATTCTAGGCCTCCTTTGAGCCTAATCAGCCCCCGAGGCACCACTTTTCCGGGCGTTCCACACCTATATCCTGCCTACCCAAGTTCCTTCGCCATGGGTGTTCCCGGACCCCAGTTGCGGTGGCGCGGCTCGACCCTGGTGGCCTCAACGGCCAACTTGAACGGCCTGGAAATCCATCGCTTAGGAGGCTTGATGGGCACCACCGGGTTCGGGAAGAGTGGAAACTGTCAAGTTCCTCTTATCCTGTCACTGCATCTCTTGAATACAGAGGACTGTGAACGCACAATCACGCCCCTTTTAAGCCTGTTACCCCCTGTCAGCGTTTGTCAAGCATAAAATGGGCTCAAGAATCCAATCGACCATCTGTCACACGCTCTAACACTCTGTACTGCGTGTGCGTTCTCCCTATCCCTCCGACCCTGCAGGTGGCTTGTCGATCGCCATCATTGGCTGCCTGCGGAATGGAGAACCGTCGAAGCGAAGACTAGCCTAGGCGGACGAGTTGCAGTGACTGTTCAGGGGGCATCTCGGTGGCCGATTGGCGTCAAGCATCACAACAGGCACGTTTGCTGGCCGCCTCACTTTTCCTGCCCATGGCTGCTCGTTTCTCGTTCTCACGGCTCGTTTGCGTGCTTTTTTGCCGGGCCACTCACCGCCCTTGGTCTCACTTGGATTCCTGCCCAACTGCTAACCGAGTTACGGCTGGCCTTTTGGAGTCACGCTGCTTATTTCTGTTCTCTGTCCAGCCCTGAGTAGGGACTCGAAGCCGGATTTGTAATAATGCCGTGCACAAGCACCGCGCTCCAAGCACACGAGTAGGTGGGCAGCTAGGTGTGACCCATCACCTTCTGATCATGCGTGCCGAGATGAACTGCGGTGGACTGCCGGTGGTTCGAAGAAGACTATGCCCTCAGGTTGATTGACGTGCTCCGGGTTGACGAGCTTCGATTCTGCATCGGGACATGAATATGTGCTGGTCATGGTCGACACTGCATGAACACGCGATTGAGTGATTGATTGTCAGTACGAGGGCAAAGGTGGTACGAGGAGACGCCCCCATCGCCGCCCACCGCCGCCCACAATGACTTGCATTGTGTCAACAACTTGAAACTCGAATACTACCAAGTGCGCAATATGCGACCGGAAAAACGCTGCTTGAGATTGTGGAACGTGGAGCCGCAGAGACCGGATTCCAGATGTTCGTGTAACATGACCACTGCAAGCCCGAAGTGTCTTCTGGCTTTCTGACAGCGAGAAAATCCAGGGAAGAGCGAGAAGAGAGTAGATAAGTTCTCCGTGTTCGGCAAATCCGACCGGAGGTATCTTCATTCTTCTCGCCCTTGACATGCCGAATGTGTCGTTAGATACCTAGCTGTTGCTCGAGCCCGTCGACCTTCACCAGAGTGTTGAACTGGCAGGTTCGGTTGCTCGTGGTCTTTGTGCCCAACTACGTAGCGTGCCTTTACCAAACTGCAGCGGATGGGAGACAAGATGAGACCCGCATGGGCAGATGGACTAGCCAGTACGCACGAGATCCTGAGGGCCGCGGATGTGGGATAGAAAGATAGGTACCCAAGGTGAGTTCTTCTGCCTGGACTTGAGTCAACGAGTTGGTGCTCTTTCTCATGGCTGCGTGGTGTGATTGTTGCAGACGGTTGAACAAGCAAGGTCCTTTCTTCGCAGTCAGTACTGTACAGCCCATTGCAGCCCGACGAAGATACCGTGCTAACGAGTCATCAGAACTGGATGAATTCAACGTCTACGATGGTGATGATGTCGTTGGTACCCGACTCAATGGGGAGCCCCGTCAGAGCATGCTGGAAACTTGTCTCCCAACATCAGACTGATGAGGTGAAGGCATTTTCGATATGGTAAGGATCGAGCCTTTCCTGTCTCTCGCTACCCGCCTTGTGACAAGATGGAGAGATAATTGATTCATAATCCTCGGCATGATGAAGGAGCCTCACTGTGCTGTCCATGTACAAGGGTTGCGGCGTTCTGGGTTTCAATCATACCTGGACAGACGTCCATCAGGAAGATTCGAGACCAAGCTGTGTGGGAGAGAGGTATCGTCCAATTTTCCCACGGACGTTCCTAACGTCGTTGATCACTGGGCTTGTCAAGCCGGAGCTCCCATCACTGTTGTTCATGGCGATCGTCTCGTGGCCACGAGATGATCCTTGTATGGTACCCATGGTCGGAAGAGGCCGGGCCGGTCTGGTGGTCTGGTCATCACAGACCCTGGATCGAACGTTAAGACTAGCGATCAAAGAGATCAGCTATCAAACGGATGAAAAATGGGATTCGGTTTCCGACGTTGCTGATCATGGCACTCATTAACTATGGGCGGCGAAATGATCATCACGAGTACCTGGGGTGCCTGTAGATCAAACATCACGATCGTCAGAGTTGCTGTTGCAGGGTAGCGGTAGTCGATCAGCTGTGATTGTCAAGCGAATTGCGCCTCTACTGAGTACCTACGTAGGTAGCGTAGTACTAGTATAGCAGGGGAGATCCTGATACCATGCCAGTCAGTGGGTTGAAGGTGATGGCGATGGAAGTTGGCAGCTTCGGATTCTGGAAGAACAGATTATCCGGTGCTGCCATTTCAGGACTAGCTTTGTTTATCTGCTCTCAGCCAATCCAATTGCGTTGCATCACAATGTAAACATAAGATATTGTACTCTGCTGTGTCTGTATCTACCGACTGCGCTGCACCGCATCTCAAGAACTCTGCCTCTAGAACGACTCTTTTGCCGGCGCATCTCGCTGGCTGTCGCACTCAAGATGTCGATGTCGGTAGCAGAGATCTTTTCCGACGCCCAGCGATCGACCATCAGCCATAAAATCCTCGCAAAACGTCTGCGCCTACTGAAAGACACGCCCGACTTTGAAGCGCACATCAAGCAATGCATCTTTCGTCTGCTAGATATCAGCAAATCCGAAATTGCCGGAAATCGAGTCATCAAGTTTCTTACCGTCTACTTTGAAAACGCCGACGGGTCGAAACAACCTACATCCTCCATTCTACTGGGGCTTCTCCCGTATTTATGCGCCAAAGACAAAACAGTGCGGTACAGAGCGACGCAAATCATTTCCCAGATTTTCGGAGTGCTGGAGACCATTGACGACGATCTGTACAAAGTCATCAGACATGAGTTGACCAAACGACTGCGAGATAAAGTGCCTGCCATTCGCTTGGAGGCGGTCTTGGCTCTCGGGCGGTTCGTGGAGGATGAGATGAACAATGAAGAGGAAGAGCAGGCTTCGGAGGAAGATATTGCTCCCGGCCTACTGGACAAGTTGCTCGATGTGCTGCAGAACGATACGAATGCCGACGTGAGAAGAGCACTCCTGAAACTGCGCGCCACCCCGAAAACCCTCCCCTATCTCCTTGAGCGGGCCCGAGATCGCGACGCCCCGACAAGACGGACGGTGTATTCGAAAGTCTTGCCGTTGCTCGGTGACTTTCGACATTTGTCCTTGTCAATGCGAGAAAAGTTGTTGAGGTGGGGTTTAAGGGACCGCGATGACAAGGTGCGCAATGCCGCTGCCCGCCTCTTCCGAGAGCACTGGATAGAGGACTGCGCTGGGTCGGGAATCGAAAAGGCTGAGCAAGATCAGGAGACTGATGCATCACCAAGGACAGAGAAGACCGGCTTCTACAAACCCAGTATTCCGGCATTGGTCGAATTGTTGGAACGGATTGATACGCTGAACACCGGCCACGAGGATGGCGTTGCTCGTGAAGCGATGAGGGAATTTTGGGCAGGTCGACGTGACTACCGCGAGACTATCACACTCGACGACGAATTCTGGGATACCCTGACCGTCGAGTCGGCCTTTATGGCTCGCACCTTCAACGACTATTGTCTCCAGGATCCCACATGCCACGAAATGCTTGAGGACAAGATGCCAGAAGTAACACGGCTGGGGTTTCATCTGCAAAGGCATATCAACGACCTTCTAGTCAAGGTCCAAAGTGCCAACGAATCTGACTCGGACGAGAAGGTCGCGGAACAGGCCGAACAAGAATTCATCGTCGAACAACTACTTCACATTGCCCAGACGCTCGACTACACCGACGAGGTCGGGCGAAGGAAAATGTTCTCTCTTCTCCGCCACGCTCTATCCATGGCCGATCTACCAGAAGAGTGTACCCGGCTTACAGTGGAAGCCTTGCGACTGGTCTGTAACCCAGACGCTGCAGGCGAAAGGGAATTTACTTCGGTCGTGCTCGAAGCCATCGCGGAAGTGCACGATAACATCGCGTCTTCCGACATCGAGGAGGCCGAGGAGAACGAGGAAGACAGTTTCGTTTCGGCACGCAGCGAAGTCAGCGGCGACTCGTCCGACTCGACGCCGAAGAATGCTGCCAGCAGAGCGAACAAGCGGCACAAACACCTCTCTGAGGAAGAACAGGAAGCTCAAGCCGTCAAGGAGATTGTCATCAACATGAAGTGTCTGCACATCGCTCAATGCATGCTGCAGAACGTGACGGGCAACCTCCAATCCAACGTGCACCTGCGCAGCATGTTCGACAACCTCGTCATCCCCGCCGTGCGGTCCCACGAGATCCTCATCCGCGAGCGCGGCGTGCAATGTCTCGGACTATGCTGTCTTCTCGAACCCAAGCTGGCGGACGAGAACATGCGGCTATTCACGCACTTGCTCAAAAAGGGCCACGACACGCTCCAGGTCATGGCGCTGCAGATCCTGTGCGACATCCTGCTGGCCCGAGGGCCGACGGCCTTCCAACCACAGCCTGCTCGAGATGGGTCTGCTTCTCCGAATGGCAATGCCAATACCACCACCGGTGCTGAGGCTGATGTCAACAATACTTCCGCCGCGAACACCAGCAATGCTCACAACAACAATATGACCTCTCTTCTGTCGCCGTTTATCAAGGCCCTCTCGCCCACTTTCCCGCATGAAGTGCAGGCCACCGCCACGACCAGTCTGTGCAAGCTCATGCTGTGCGGCTTCTACAAGGACAACGAGGAGCTGTTCGATCAGATCGTCGAACGGGCCATCCAGGTCGTGGCCAAGGGGTGGGAATTGTTGGAAAAGGTCAAGAATGCGGTCATGGTCGATCGGCAGAAAAATAAGATTGGCGAGAAAGAGAGGGATGGCGGTGTCATGATGCCCGCCATCACGACTACGAGGATCAGTAAGGGCAGCGCTGGTGATGGAGGGAGGCTCAGTAGCGAAGGCGTTGATGGCTGAATTTGATGTTGATTGTTGCGATTGAATGATGATATGTTAATCGGTTCTGGTTCTGGTTCTGGGTCCAAGTCACACACAGTGTTTTTTTGTCCTCAGTGGAGGATGTGTCGGCCTCTTGCTGGATGCTGCGGTAGAGATCAGACAGTGTATACTTCTTGGAGCGGTAGATGACGGTGAGGAGTCGGATTCCGAACCACTGTAATCAGTACTATCGGCGTGTGTTTATTCAGCACATGCACGCTCTACAACGATGAAGATTGCTACCAAAAGGAGGCCGGTTAGAAAGTGACGAGCTTCATTAATGTCGGGAAATGGATGCTTCTGATGGCTATCTCGTATCCCACGTCTCGAGTGTCTCCGTCCGACATTAACGTATCGTTCCCCATGTTACAGAATACCCTGCTTCTGCAAATCGAGATAGATCCTCTCCGGCATGACGTTGCCCTCGCCGTCCTCCATCTGGACAATACTGTCCTCCTGGCTCTCCTTCTGGCGTTTCTCACGCTTGATCTTCTCCCACAGGGCCAAGGCGTCCTGAATGGCCGTGATCTCGCGGAAAAGACTCAGGCCGCCGGCCGCGGAGCCCGTGATGCCCAAACACTTGAGGCCGTAGATGTGGCGGGCCTCGCTGAAGTGCTTGTCGAAGGCGCGGCGGCCCATGTAGACGAAGTTGCCGCAGATCTCGCACGGGAACTCGACGCCCAGGCCGTGCAGCTTGTACAGCCAGTAAGGGATGGGTTTGCCGTCCCACGCCAGCGGCAGTTTCAGCGGGTTGTAGATTTTTTCGTCGCCGTCAGATTCCGAACCTGACTCGTCGCCGCCGTGTCCGTGGCCGCCTGCGCGCCGCTCCGACGCCGCCACGGCCGCGTTGTCTTCGGCGAAGAGAGCTTCCAGTTCCGCCTGCCGCTCGCGTTCGGTCATGCCTTGTTTGCGTTCCACGTTGACACGCGTGTTGCTGCGCTCGTTAGACAACAGGTCGGCCAGGGCGCGGATCCGGAACTCGTGCGATGCAATCACCCGTTCCCTCAGACGCGCGCTGGCGAAGGACGACAGTGGCGTTGACGTCGGTTTCGACCCGTCGGCTGTGGTTCCTCCGTTGGCCAAAGACTTTTTGGCCTCTGCGTTGCGCAGATGCTTTTTGCCCGTCAAATGGGCCTTGTAGACGTTGTGGTTGTTGAATTCCTTTTCACATTCCGGACACCAGATCCCGGAACCGGTTCCTTCGGTTCGTGGCCCGGACGCTGCTGTTGTGGAGTGGTCTGTCGAGTGGTCTTTCTCTTTCGTCCATCCAGGCACAGTGCCTGCTTCCCAGCTCGTCTCGAAATCTCGGTCGATCCTCAAGAACGTCTTATCGAGGTCGTCGAGCGGCCTCGTCCTCCGCACAAAGCTCTCCAGGTACCCGTCCAAATCAGTCACGTATTTCAGATATGTGTCGTTCAGCTTGTTCTGGCGTTTAAGCGGCAGCCGCGGCGGTTCAAAGGCGTCGAAATTGTCCAGGTATTGTAGATATGTGAGGCGCTTGACCCCCGGCAAGTTGAGATAGTCTTCGTGCAAGGTTGTCAGGTCCAAGAACCGGCCGTTAGACTCTTCACCAGTGAACATGTTGTCGACTTCCGTGACGAGGGTTTCGCCTTCTTCCGGCCGGCGGCGCTTGTACGCACGCTCGAGGTTCTCGACCGGTTCATTGGGATAGCGCCGGTGGAAATCCTTGACTTCATCTAACTGTTTGTAGAATTCTTCGAAGGGGTCGCCTGTCGACAGACTCTGGACTTCTTTGGCGCGCAGTCCTTCCGTGTCTTTGTAGATGTCCAGTAATCGTTTGGATTGCTCTTGTATCCGTGTCAGGAAACCGTTGATCTGGTGGTCGCGAATTAATCTTTCTTTGATCTGCGCGCCAGTTAGCCAGTCCGCCACAGTTAGTTGCCTGGGAAGTTGTTCATAGACGGCGAACTTACATTTTTGGGGTCTTCCGCCACGCGCTCGGTGATGGCTTGCTCTAACCGCTCCAGGTCCTCATGGAGAAACCGTTGTTCTTCTAGAATCATTTTGGGCGCTGGCGGGTATGATCAAGTGCTGAGACAGGGCGGAGAGAGACGGTATGCGATTTGAAGAACATTCCTCCGCCGCTGCGCTTCATGTTCCAGTTTGACGCCTGAGACTCGAAAAGTCCGCCGCCAAGACTTTATATACGGTGGAGCTTTTCGGCGCTGCCGACAACATATCAAGCGGAGAGGAAACAGCAAACAATGGACAACTAGATGCTGTAGGTATCACTCGCTCTGGATGGGAGACGCCTTCCTCTTGGGTATCTCAACATATAGATATCACACCTACTACTATGGCACCACCTCAAAGCACATTGGCAGCCAGCTTGACTCTGTCCGTGACTGAATATTTGAACAGGCTTGTCACAACATCGACCACGAGGCATCAGAAGATTCCTTCACCAGCCCTGCACTGGACGCCCGGTGGTCATGACAGATTGGCGGATTGCCTCATTATATTACGGCTTGGATAGGCACGTTCCATTAGCTCTCACTAAAGCCTTCTTTGAATGGACAGTGTGGACGAGAGCTGATCAGCGATAGGACAATCCCGATCTATAACGAGCCCATGGAAGGGTTCTCCCTCTCTTCAAATTGCATGTGCAGATAGGGCAGACCATTCAAGTCTGGTCTTTCGGTCGAAACTCCTCAATCACACTTCGGGGTTTGGTGTATCTGAGGGTCGAGCTATACTCGTACGGTAAGTTGAAGGCGCTGGGCCCGCCGACCTCCAAACCACGCTTCGTAGTCCAGATTGGATGCGGTGCCATGATCATGACTGTCACTTTCAGGCCATACCTTGGGTGTTTGGTCAGCTCTGTTTGCCTCTATCTCCGTGGATCTAACTCACCTGTATTCTTGGACACCAATATTCTCTCCTGTCGAGACATCCAGCAGGAAGATCAGATCAGGCACTGTTGCAAGGACCTTGGATATGTCAGATGATAAATTCAACTTGACTGAGCAGACCGATGTACTTACAGTCTCTTCTCCTTTAGCATCCTTACCCACCACGGCAAGGTTTTCGTTCATGAAGGGAATCACAACCTCTGTCCAATCTCCTGCTTTGTCTGCATCGCCCTCCATCTCGCCTTCACTAAGGGACTCGATGGTCACCTTTCCGAGGTTATGGGCTGTTGTGGTGAGGGCACTTTCAACGCTTCGGATCTTGCCCTGAAACAACCGTCGGGCTGTCTGGTCTCCTCCACATTCTTCGATGATGGCTTCCGGAATTGTGGAGAGTGATGCTGACTGCTGTGCACGGCACACGACCCTACCTAGCCGCCATGCAAGAGAATGGGTGTTCGGGATGCCCATTGTTCGCATTTGCTTGCCACTTAAGGGAACTCCAGCCGCTCCACAAGCGGACCTTGATCTCATCAGTACTCGATGAACACTTCATCCAGCAACCCCAATGGACTCACCCCATAGCAACGCATGCATCCCTGATCATTCTCCCAGGCGCTGTCTCATCGGCTTGGTTCGCCGGGACGAGAACTCTCTGACCAGTACCACTGCAAAGTGTGACTGGAAGGAGAGCGTTGATCGAGTCCGACATCACGTATGTTGAGACGTTCTCAAACCCTGGGTACGCTCGACCTGCATCCGACAATCAGTCACTATTCCACGGGACAATGTCTTCTCAGCCTTACCCATGAGATCGCCATCGACAGTAGGCAGGTTATAATATTTGGAAGACCCACAAATCAGTGGCTGCAGACCGTTGCCTCCGCCTATCTCAGCCGTCATCAGCTGAGTGAACTTGGTGTTGAGTTCTTCGGACAGCATCTTGACCGCGTGGATGATACCGTCACCACCGGGTCTTTCGATGCTTACTGCCGGGCTTCCAACTCCAGCGACGGTGGGAATCTGGTCATTGTCTTTCAGATCGTCGCAGCTCATAATGGTGAGAGTTTCGCCTTCAGCGAGCAGCTGTTTCAACTGCAGATAGACAGCATACGGAGATCCTCCGCCTCCGACTCCCAGAATATAACAGCCGACGGACAAAAACCTGAGGTCGATTTCAGACAAGACCCAGATGCCATTCTCGGTTACCCGAGGCCAGTAGGTCCCAAAGTCAATCTTCTTGTCGAGGGCCGAATCATTACCGTTTGGCGACACCTCATGTGTCTTTGTCTCCTCGAACAACTCGGCAACATTGTTATTGAAGGCCATCCCGGCCAGCTGGGACATTTCCTCGCGCACCTTTTCATGGTCTGCTGGCAATGCCACCTCGACTTTAATGCGAGTTTGATCCTGTACATATGGCACTCCGACAACCTCCTCGTTTAGAACCGTGACCGAGGTCGGATTGCCTCCTTTTAGTACTGCATCCTGTATCGCCTGCGACTTGACCTTTGCAATGCCGCCCTGAATATCTGAGCCTTGGACAATCATTTCTGCGGAGCCCGATATCTTGGCCATTGCTGCCCCAATTGCGTTCGCAACCTCGGCGTGCTCGGGTAGGATGATCTTCTCGACCCCCTGAAGTTCCTTGGGACAAAGGATGGAACCACCTCCGACCAGAATGACTGTACATGGATCCGGAGATGATTTCGAACGATCGATACATGCCTCGAGCATCTTCTTCATCCGGTCCTTTGTTTTGACGATGATGCTGCCCGGTATGCTTACTGGCTTTGTGCCTATAGCCACTTCTCCAGATGCGACGATAATGTCCGTTGTGGTCAACTCGCTTCCACCGAAACAGAGGGCCCTTGTCGAGAGATCATGACCCACGCTGTCTGGGCCGATAAGTACTTTTTGTTGGTCTCCGCTCAAATGGACAATTGATCCACCCCCTAGGCCAACACTTTCCACCGAGGGCATCTCCAGATTGACCTTGACGCCGGCAAGGTCAGTGTAACTCTTGGCCAGACGAGGATACCCGTTCTGGAGCAGATATCCGACATCTGTCGTTGTGCCTCCGATGTCAACAACCACACAGCCGGACTGGCCAATTTGCGAGCCGACCAGGAAGGCCGCACCACGGATGGAATTAGTGGCGCCCGAAGAAAATATCCTTATGGGAAACTGCATGGCCTCAGAGAAGGTCAAGAGATGGCCCGTATTAGAGGTCAGGTAAAGGGGACATTGGAGGCCAACATGGCTCATCGCAGCAACAAAGGAGCGGACTGCCCTACGCGCGAAATTGAGGATCGAGGCATTGAGGATGGATGCATTCTCTCGCGCGAGCAGGCCATTGCCGGCGACGTCTCGAGAACAGATAATGTTGACTTCAGCCCCGAAGGATTCTCTGAGGATGTCGCGGACCCTTTGCTCCTGGTGATATTGGCCATCAGTGGGCGAGCCAATGCCGACTATGACGATATTCTTCAACCCTTTCGCTTTGATGGTCTCCGCTTGAGCTCTCACCACGGCCTCGTCAATTTCGGCGATCAGACTTCCATCGATATTGCATCCTCCCGAGATGATGGCCGAGTAACCGTGAATGATGTTCTTCAGTCCCAAAGGCCAATCCACAAAAGGAGGAGTGCCGGCGGAGAAGTTGTAGGAAGCCAGCCGCAAGACCGCGACCGCCTCGACGCGGGACGAGTCGCGCTCGATGATGGCATTGATGAAGTGAGTAGTCCCAATGGCGATGGCCGAGACCTGTTTCCTATCTACCGGCGACTTGGCCAGTAAGACCTTCAGAGTCTCGCGTACACTCAGCGTGACATTGGACGTAGTCGCAGCCTTGTGGGACGAGACGATGGCCGCCGACCCTGTCTTGGAGACATCCACCAGAACGGAGTCGGTGTTGGTACCTGGTCAGCCCATGTCAGCGCAGGATAGAAGGAAAACCGAGCGGCAGTCGACTCTTGTTTGTTTCCTACCTCCGACGTCCACTCCAACCACATAGGACCCCTTTTCAGACATGCCGAAATCCCTGAGCCCCCAGGCTGGGAAAGATCGATCTACAGGGTTCGTGCCAGTCTTTTGACCTGGACGCGCCGATCTGACCGCAGCGACCAGATAGGATAACGATGGAGGATCAACACAGTACTCACCCTCTCGTCTTCAGGTACAATTCCAGAAACAAACGTGTCATTGCAGTGAACACAGATCCCCTACAACGGACGTTGTGAGCCAAGCTCTCAGATCCAGGCCGAAACCGGGGCGAGCGGGCCCTCTTATATAAGGGACTTCTGGTACCCTGTACAGTACCTACTGTACCTCATCGTGACCTTCTGACAATGGGTGGCCCTCGTCTGCAACTGTGCAATCCAGCAGAGCCGGTATGAGAAAATCAGCGCTTCATTGGCAGTGCTCAGCAGCCGATAGCATGGGTTGTAAGTCTGTAGAGAGTACATAGGTACCTAAAAGACTCAAGCGCCTCCCCACTTTAGGCGGCACTTCTTCTGGTATTGGCAGCCTGATGAGCTACAGATAGGGGCATTCATGCCCCCCAGTGCCCCATACCTACTAGAATAGGGACAACTAACAGCGCCTTGCTATCTCCAAGCTATCACAATGATACCTTCAACCCGCCATTCTCGTGATGCCACTTCAGGCACTACAGAGGAGGACAAACTCTCCATTCTTCTCTAAAGCTTATGCCTGAACACCTCCGTTCCTTCGATTTATGAAAACTGGCGAATTCCCCAAGGAAACTCATATTCCTACTTTACACGTGACTGGCTTGCAATAATAGGGTACTTTGGCGTAGAATACGTCAATACCACATCAGGTAAGATCCGGGTTATTAATAGTAAGTGTTCGCAACCTTCAGTACTGCCAAGAGGTGAGTGCTTAGTCACCACAAGGCTGAATCGACGTCGTGGCTGTGCCAGTCAGTCCTTGATCTCGTGTTCGTATTCGTGTCGAGCAAGAGCGGGTTGTGAGGGCTGTGAACTAGACATTCAGGATGGTGAGGGTGACGATGGCACTCCGAGAACGGAAGGAACCCAGCGATATATTTGGAGGGTATATCCAGCGGACACACCCCAGAACGACATTGACTTAGATGTATGCTTCAAACCGACCATATCACCAATACAAACCATTGAGCAGGTTGTCCCGAGTATCTTGGACCGACCGCTGGACCATCCAACATGGGTCTCACCAAACCTTGCAACTCAACCGGGCTTTCACTCGAGTTCGACGAGGCTCGCCATCACCATTCGCCCGGCGACGTGATCAGCGGACGAGTCAACCTCTCAACGGCGAGCGAGACAGCCATCGGCAATGTGGCCGTCTCCTTCTGGGGCCGGGCCAAGTCTCGCATCATCCAACAACACGGACAGTCGGCTACCACGCACCGCGGGCGGACCCAGTACTTCCACCAGCAGAAGACGCTTTATGAAGGGCAGTATACTCACAAAGCGGGGTTCTTCAGCTGGCCGTTTGAATTCGTGGTCCCCGATCGCGCCGACCCGGTCTGTATCCGCTGCAGTGACAAATGGAAGCCCAAAGAGCATTACCGGTCGACGCAGGACCTGGATCTCAACCTGACGCTGCCCGCGACCATGTTCCATAAGAGGTACACGTTCGGTCGCCAAGCCGATTGTTTCATCGAATACGTTCTCGAAGCCGTCGTCACGGAACCTGAGGGCCTGCATACCATCCGCAAACCTCAGACGAAAGTCTCCAAGTATCCCGTCGTCTTCCATCCGCTGTCCACGCCCAAACCCATCCAAGACTACAGATTCACAGAGGAGACTCGATACCTCACCATCTCTACATTGAAACTGCTCCCCGAGTACAAGGAAACCGGTCTGGGAATGCGAGATCTCGCACGGTCCATTTTCCAGAAGGACTCCCTCCCACGCTTCTCGTTCTGGGTGATGGTCGAGGCACCGACTCTGATCCAACTGTTCCATCCCGAGAACATTCCTTTCCGAATCAGAGCAACACCGGACACCAAGCCTGGGCGGACAACCGTCGACCATTCAACTGGGTTTCCCGAGGTCGTCTTGAAATCGGCCAAGATCGAACTTAAGGCTTTCGTCCGCTGCCGCGCCCCCGGAACATACTCAGACAACAAGACCTACGACATTCCCCTACTGGCCCATCGCGTACTCAATGAACCGCTGCAGCTGACACACGGATCCACAACTGCGGCAGAAGCAACAGTCGACCTAGGCCGGCTGTGCAACCTACGCCTTGGCAACGCGAAACTCGGCTCCCGTCTAGAAGGACCATTGTGTCCCAGTTTCACCGGGTACAATGTGTCGCGCACGTACTTGCTGACATGGGAACTGGAGGTTGAATGTGCCGACAAGACGGAAAAGATATATTCCTCGTACAACACGCCTGAATGTACGGTCATCATGCAACCCGCTACTACCCATCTATCTTACTCAGGCTTCGATCAGGCCGAAGGTACAGAGATGACACGCGTGACGTCGGGCCAAAGTACCGGGTCAGGGTCGAGACTGGGGTGGTGGTCCTCGCGCAGACGGTCTGGCGAGCCCACCACGAACGGCGCCAACGTAGAAATGAAGAAGGAAAAACCGACGTTTGGTGCTTTTGACAGAACACCTGGAACGAAAGATTCTCAGCAAAAGAAGAACAAGCAAGAGAAGGTCTTGACGAAGGAGGAAGAAGCTGCTCAAGACCGCGCATGCCGGATCAAGGAACAGGAGTCTGATGAAGAGGTGGAAAATGATGGACAGGAACAGCAACAGCAACAGTTCTATCCTGACACTGACACTGACACCGGCACCGACGTGGAGGATTGCATCTTCACTGACGCTACCACCCTTGGGCTTCACGGAGAGCAGGCGCCTCAGCCACCACCTTCATCATCGCCGCCACACACGACGATCATCACGGACATTGAGGCCGATCTTCCACCGCCGAGATACGTCCCTTGAACTCATGTCTACTGTACCTTATGGCGTCTTGCACCCCCCTACCGATCGGCAGGGCCAGTCAGGTCTGGCCTGCTTGGGACCAGTCTCATTTCCTGTCACTCGAAGAGCACATCACAGGAAACCAGGAAAGGCTATCATGGAGTTTGAAAGCTGTTGCATTGACTACTAACACTACTATAACACGGGCTCACCGGGATGGGATGGTCAATATCGTTCCTGGTATCTGCTGATGGCGCACGCATTGATTCCCTTGTTGCTTAGCAGACTTGTCTATATTTGTACAATATCAATCTTTGTTCCGTATCGTGAACATCAGGTTTGTACTCAACCCCTGTTTGACTTGGATGAAATACAGTGATATTTGCCCGTTTTCACCATATGCGTATGATTTTCTAGCCTGGATATGTATACATTGTTGCTTCATCTCCTCGAAGCAGCTCATCTGTCGATATCCCTCGGTAGGGGTAGTGTGAACAAAGTCAGCTCCTCGTCAAAGAGAGTTATGCTAGAAGCTTTTATGTCTTCACCTCCTCCTCCACGCAGCACGCATGTCAGCTAGTTGAAAGAAAGGAAGCATTATTGCCGGTCCAGCTCAATGTGCATCCGGCCGGACCTGGGAAACTTGAAGGGGAGCCGCATTTCAAACTTTACCCTTTCCCTTCCTCCCGCCTCGACCACCACCTGCGCCTTTCTTCTTCGGCGGTTCTTCACTCTCGTCGCCGTTTTCATCCTCATCGGCCTTCTTTCTCTTGCCCTTCCCCTTGGCTGCTGCTGCGGCGGTCTTCTTCTTGGGCGCCTTGATATACTTGTCTTTCTTCAAGTCCAGTTCTGCATCTTCCTCCTCCGCAGGCTCGACATCGGGTCCAAGAACCTCGTCCGGCTCGGATTCGTCGACCGCCTCCTCCAGATCCGGTTTGTCTTTCTTCGCCGCCGCTCCTTTTGCCACGCCCAGAACGTTGCTGGACTTGACAAATGGCATAGGGTGGCTCTGGGAGTTGTACAGCCGGGTGAAGGTGGCCTTCGTCGCCGTGTCTATCTTGACCTTCTCTTGATCCTTCGGCCCCACGCCCAATTCAAGCATGGCATCGAAATCATCTTTGGTCAGATAGTATGAATCCATGAAATCGATCACGTCTTGCACCGCTTCCTTACCCTCTTCCTGGAGCGTCCCAATTGTCTTGTCCCAGAGTGCAGGAAGATATTGTTGCCGGACTTCATTCCGATCGGCATTCGCACGGAGACGCATATGACCCTGGATTTCTTTGACGAAGCGAGAAAGTTTGCCTGGACGGAATTAGTACTCGAATCACTTGGCTGCCTGACCAACTCACCTTGTTTGCTATTTTGCCCAAGCCAGCCAGCAAAGCCGACTTGATTATGAAAATTGCCATAGACAAAGCTGGCGGGCCGCACAAAGCTGAAGATTGCATGCAGCGGCATCAGACTCCATTGCTGCTGTGAACCATGGATCATCCTATCGACCAGGTCACCATCACTGATACTCGAAGCAGCATTGTCAACCAGTTCCAACAACTTCATGTCGCGTTCTCTGCCATGGTAGGAGGAGGCAAGACTGGGTTGAGTTTTGAGGTAGTTCTCCTGCAGCATCAAGTAGCTGAACTCATGGTCGTTGAAGTATAACTCGCTTTTGTCGTTCAAGGTAGCCGTGGAGCTAGGAGCAAACATCTGTGGTCGAAGGATCTTGCTCACAATATCCCATGGTTTCAGAATAACGTGTTTCTCCCAGGCTTTGGCCATAGCCTTGGTATCGTTGAAATCCAGATCCTTGTTATCAAGCTTGATGGTCGAGATCATGTTGATGATTTGACGGATGTCCCCGTTACATCCTTCAATCAAAGCATTCATGATCGGAGGTGGCAGTCTCATGCCTTCGCGGAATAGGATCGTGGCAATTCGACCCCGAATCATGTCAGTTGTGGGTCGTCGAAACTGGAACTCGGCGGTGACTAGGTAGAAGGGCCTCATCTTGGGCAAGTTGCGTTCATTGCAGATCAGGATCATGGGCACATGGGTCTTTTTGGCTACAGCAGCCAAGGCACCCACGCCACCACGGTCACCAGCCGACATACCATCAACCTCGTCCATGATCAGAACGATTTTCTTCTTTGAGGGGTCAACCTTCTTCCCATCTGCAGCAAAATAACCCAGTAGGGATGTCGTGTCCAGAACCCCAGTCAAGCCTTGCTCCAGCAACTTTTTGTTTCGCGTGTCGCTCGCATTGCTTTCAACGATATCATAGCCCTCAAGTTTGGCCACCAAGTGAGCAGCGGTCGTCTTTCCGACTCCTGGAGGTCCATGAAGCAATGCTGCACGGAAGACGCCTTTTCCATCCGCACCGGCCTTCTTGAAGTTGGACTTTGCACTATTTTGCCAGTTGCGCAGCCACCGCTGTAGTCCTTCCACGGCAGACTTGTTGCCACAAACACTGCTGATAGAGTCGGGAGCGTATCTGTCCACCCACAGACGGTCGTCAGCCTTTGGTTTGGTTGGTTTGCTTGTCGGGACTGAAGCACCAGTTCGGGCAGCAGTGGCTTTGGCAGCTTTGGCGGCCTCTTGCCGTTTCTCCTTTTCTCGTCGTTCCATCTCCTCTGCTTCTTTGCGAATCTTGGCTTCTTCTTTGGCCTGTTTCTCCGCATAGGCTTCAGCGGCTTTCCCATCTCCCCCATTGGCAGGTAGACGTCTGATCAGCTCAAAGAGGCCCTCCTCGTTAATGGTCTTGATGCCCAATTTCTGTATAGTTTCAAGCTTCTTTGGTCCTGCATCGCTGCCGAGGACAACGTAGCTGGTCTTCTTGGACGGGGCGCCCGTAACCTTACCACCATATTGCTTCACGAGATTCTGCCCTTCGTCCCTGCCCAAGGTATTTAAGACGCCGGTAAAGACGAAAGTCAGGCCAGCCAAACAGTTCTCTGCTCCCACAGGGATTTCTGCGGTACCTGCGGCTGGCGGTGCAGCGCTAGCATTACCACCACCAGGGTGGAACGTAAACTTCTTGTTCTCGTCTCTGGGAGGTGGTGTGGGAGGTCGAACGGTCGGAATGCTGGAAAGAATATTTTGAATCTCCTTGCTCTCCTCCCGCTCCTCCTTTTTGGCGGATGCACGTGGTTTTGATGCTGGTGTCGCGGTCGTCTTTTTCGGTTTCTTCTTGGGAGTAGCATCATCGTCATCAAGGAAATCATCTTCATCATCCTCCAGGTCTTTCGACTTCCGCTTGCGACTAGATGGTGCCGCAGCCGCCCTCTTTTTCCTATCGCCAGGCCCGTCATATGCAGGTATCGCGGCCATTTCCACGCCGTCGCTATCGTCCTCGTCTACTAAGGGTTTCTTGGAATGTCCGTTGACGGCCTTGTTCTCTTTTTTCTTGGGGACCACTTCATCTGGATCTGAGCCTTCTTCGTAATCATCATCGATTTTCCGGCTCTTGAAGTCGCCAAAGATATCATCGTGGCCCTCATCATCATCTTGTAGCAGTGTGGCCGAGATGTCTGCATCATCTGTGGCATAACTCTTTGCCGCAGTCTTCCTGGCCGACCTTCGACTGGTAGGTGTTCCGCTAGCAGTTGGTTTGGAGGGAGTCTTAGCGGTTCCGTTGGTGTCCGAGGTCTTTAGTTTGGTCGGCGTGGACTTGCCGCGCTTGGCCTTCGAGGATGCAAAGTAAGCTGAGCTTGTAATCTCCTCTTCTACCGGTTCCTTGACGACTTTCTTTGCTTTGGGCGTTGAAGATGTCTTGGGCTTGATCTCGACAACCTCATCCTCATCTTCATCATCGGAGACGACTTTGCGTGGTCTTCCACGTTGTTTAGAAGTTTTGTTCGATGCCGCCTGTTGTAAGTCAGCCCTGCAGGATCTCATGAGCAAACAACAGTCATGGACATACAGTATCCTTCTTAGGTGGCCCCGAGTCGACGCCCTTCGCTGCGGGCTTGCCTCCTGCGCCGCCTCCACCAAAGAAACTTCTAATGTCGGGCATTGTTTCGGAGAAGAGAGCAATTGAGCTTATCAGGTGAGGTTGAGACCATGCATAGGCAGGGGAAGCGAGAAGCAGACAGCCCCTTGGGCAGAAAAGGACGTTTGCGGATAGGGCAATCAATCTACAGATCCATGACTGCAGTCGGCATCGGATACGTATAGTGCCCTGCCCTGCCAGTAACTGCTGTTAGCACTGCCCGCGACTAATATGACGCGTGCCGCGTCATCCAGACTAGGACTAGTGTAATGCCGCTGTAAGGCCTTGGCGCCCAGGCATCTAGTATCTGCCAGTGTGTACCATGCATGGCACCTCTTTCAAGTTCTCAGCTTCTGCCAGTAGGTACCTGTAGGTAGACACCACCTAGGTACTCCTAGGCAGCATCTACACGATCACGACCTCCACTCTCAAGAGGTACTTCGAGTATTAAATGTCAGGGGCGATTCACTGAACCGGCAAGATCAAGTGACAATGGGACTCGAGTGTACTGTGGAGTGTAGGAATGGCCCTTGACCAGCGATTACTTGACGACAGGGCAAACGTTGGACAACGTATACACATTCATTCATATCGGTACCTTAGTTAGCTGGGCATGTACATACAATAGGACGGGAGTCCAGCTTTCACTCCTGCTTGATGAACTCCAGACGTCTGGCCAGCCAACAGCCGATAGTCAGCCCGGCCACCTTTCCCTTGTCATTTCGACGAACGATGATGGTCCAGTCCCCCGGCGGCGTGGCATCCATCGCCCTAGGGCATGCAAGAGCCCATAAATCGTCCCCGAGTTGACGCATCAAGTGTACAGGTCCATGGCCCAGAAAGCCATCGAACATGCCATATACCATGTCGCCCGAACCGCTGCAGCGGAAGACGGAACCTATCTCAGCGCAGTGGTAATCACCTTGAAGCCCGGAAGAGTCAGAAGAAGCAGGCTTCCCGCTGCTGGCAACACGCTGGGCATGAAGAGTCCGGTTGTCTTGAGGAACATAGAGATGTAGGCAAGACCCGTCCAGAGTGGCCACCATGCTATTTGACTCGGCTCGACACGCTTCAACCACTCGCAGCTTTTCAGGGTTGCCGTGGTACTTGACGAGGAGCTCCCCTGGGCCGCCTGGACTCACGACGATCGCCAATCCGGTGTCGGAGTCCAGATAGGTTCCGGTCCAGTCTGGGTCGGGACTGGCAATCTCATCTTTGGCCTCGGGGACCCCCATGATTCGTTTCAAGATGTATTCGCTGACTCCCACCGCATCGCCATGCTCTTGGTTAAGTAAGACCACAATGGAAATTCGTGGCTCCGGTGCATAGGATCGGGAGAGCCGGTATCCACGCAGCGCGCCGGCGTGGCCAACAGTAAGGACGCCTCCAACCTGTTTTCGGACCAGCCCGAACCCGTAGTCGGCCGGTGAGCCATCGTTGTATGTCTGCTGTTCGGAATTGATCCCATACCAGCTTTGCGAATCGTGGCTGTGGCTGCTGCGATCCACAAACTGCTCGTAGGCGACCATGTCGGCCAGAGAGGCCACGATGCCGGCATCGCCGGCCCATTCGATGCAGTTGACACCGGGATAGAACCCCGACGCCTCGTCACCCTCGTAGCCGACGCATGGCGGCGGGTGCTCCGCAGTGTGTGCGCACAGCCTCGCCGTCTGCATGCCGGCGGGTGCGAAGATGCGCTGCGCGAGCAGTTCGCCCAACGGCTGCGCTGTGACGCGCTCGATACAGCGAGCGACAACAAAGAAATTGGTGTTCGCGTATGAGTACTCGGTCCCAGGCTGGAAATGGAAAGACTTCAGCGAGGCCAGCATCTTGGGGCCGTGGTCAGCGACGGAGAAGTGGCCCTCGGGCTTTGCGCCCCAGAGGACGGTCAAGGCCCAGTAGTCGCGAAGGCCTGACTGGTTGTTGCAGAGATGGCGAAGCGTCAAGCCAGTGTCTTGCAGCAGGTTGGGATGGAGCAGTTGGCCGAGCTGGTCCGACAGCTGCTTGGCCGGCTCCTCGCCGCGCGCACTCATGGCGGGCGTTGGGCTACGTTGCAGGTCCGTCAATAGTCCGCACAGCATTTGTTTCGTGATGGAGCAGATGGGCAGCAGCGTGTCAGAAGCCATCGGGATTCGACCCTGCAGGTCCGCATATCCCCAAAGCTGTTGGCCGACCAGTTCGCCATCTTTTAAGACGGCGACTGCACCCCCTGGGCCCCGAAACCGAGACGGAACATCTGCAAGAACCTGGGGGATCACAGCTGCAAGGGTTGTCATTTTTGCTTCCTGTTTTCAATCAGGGCAGGCCGACAAAGGATCGGTGTACAGGAATCTGGCCATCTATTGAGGACATTCGTTGGTCATCACCATTTCGCCCGCCCTCTTTTCGGTCCTCCCGATACCAGCCTTAGGAGCCATGGGTCCCACCGACCGGCTTATCACAATCACAACCCCCACTTCCTCGGAAACTGCTGTGATTGGTAGAGCAATAACTTCATGGTACGTACTGTGTACAGTGAGTGTCCGGGGCTTTTCGAGTTCGAAAGAAGCAGACTGTGAATTTGTTGGCTGAGAGAGTCAAGCATAATTCCACTGCAGACGCTTCAGCCATCGGCCTAATCGCGAGAGTGAGTAGAATGATGGGAGAAGAGAGCGCGAGGTGAACAGGTCGCGACCACGTTCCAAGTTCGGCTTAGTGCTCCTGATTGTGAACTTCCCTTTTGAGATGGGAGTGACGCCGCCCTATTATCTCAAATTACTAACCCAATTCAGAGCCTCGATATATTGCAGTTCAGCCTTGTCACATCACGCAGCCAGTTTTTCGGTGCGCTCACACCTCCCGTTGAAAGGATAGGGTGAAGGGTGGGTTCTACAAGTTGAGCATTGACTCCAGGGTCTCTTACAACTAATACCCGTTCTGAGACCATAGGGCTCTCAGTCACTGACAGGCTCACGACGTTGACGTTGAAGTTGTTGCCCAAGTTGGTGCCCTGAGGCATTCCCCTGAAGTTGAAGTTTGTTGCCGACTGACCCCTTCGCCATATGAGGTCGATCCTGCCCCTTGTCCCCAACCTCTATTGACATATCTATCACCTTGGCCGGAACTCCTCGGTGACCCGCTTGGGCTCGTAGTACGGGGAGCCCAGCGGAATAAAGTCGAGGCCATCGTACCCGAATTCCTTGGGTCCACCGGTGGTGATTCCCTGAGGAGTATACCTAGTGATGTAATGCGTCAGCGCGAAGAAGAAGCAGTACGGATGCCTAAGGCACACACTCACCAATGCGGATGCGCGACAAACGCGACGACGCTGACCCTGACGCCGTATCTCAGGTCCTGCGTCCCGAGAGCATACCCGTCCGTGCCAACCAGGGAGATCAGGTCTGGAACGGTGCACAGGATCTCGCCTCTGCTTCCCTTTTCTGCGTCGGGCGCGACCAACTCTGCGTACAGATACTCGTTCTGGAAGGGGAGGATCATGTCGCGCGTCTCCGTCATCGTCGTGGCGGCGTCGCCGTATTCCTGTTCCTCGCTGCTGATGGGCTTCAGCCTGACCGTGCCCTCCGTGTACCCGGCCGCCGAGATGTAGCGGTGCACCGACACGATCTTGCCCGTGTATAAGACGCGGCCTGATGGATTCGCTTCGACCTGGGAAGTGGGAGCGTTGACATGTCAGTGGCTGAGCTGATTTCTCTTTCTTCTCGTTTTCTTCCGTCTCATGCCCTCAAAAACAACCACATCTTCACTTACAATGGCTTTCATGATGTCCGTCTTCTCCTGCCGGGCCAGGTACACGGCACGACCAATGTACCATGCCAGAGAAGTGGTTCCGAGAGTGCCGACCCGTTTGACGTCTTTGATGGTCATGGGAGGAATGACCATCTGGCTGAACAGCCCCAGTTCGTGGCCTGCCTTGCGGTGGATCTTTTCGAGTTTGCGGAAGTCCGCCGCCTTGTGCACCGTCACCACGTTGCCGTTGCCGTCGGCCTGCGTGCACGGCGTAAGGGCGATGCCGAAAACTGTTGCGCACTGCATGTCAGATTGTCTTCTGTCTGGTTGACGCTCCTGTCCAAACACTCACGGTACGGAGTCATGATGTACAGCCGCGGGTATGCTCGGCCCATGTAGTCGCCGTCGATGGTCGGGACGTTGTAGTCCTTGCCCACCAGCAGTGGGCGGATACCGTTCATACCGCCGATCTCAATCTGTCGTTGTTCGTCAACATGTTTGCCCGCTAAGCAGGAGGAAGGGACAGTCTATTCATACCGCGATCTGAGCGGCCATCTTGACGCCGGGATGGCACGAAAGTAGCGCATCCGTCGCATCGACTGACTCGGTGCCACTCGGGATGCGTTCGAGCGTCACCGTCGGGGCACTTTCAGCTGGTGAGCAAGCCAAAATTGCGCAAGAGACATGTCATGTGTGCTTACCCGTAGGAAATGCTGCCCAGAACATATCCGTCCTCGGGCAACGTCTCGATGTCGACAATGGGGAGACGGTGCCCGGCCTTGATCGCCGCCCTTGCTGCCATGTAGCACATGTACCCCGGGCCGCCTCCTCCACAGGCCAGAATACTGCAGCCCGTCGCCAGGAACTCGCAGTCGATCTCTGAGACCCACCAGGTGCCGTTCTTGTCCACTTCTGGCTTATAGTCACGGATGTCCACCGACGCCGACGGGCTGACGAGGAAGTCTCGAGGATCCTTTTCCGAATTCAAAGTCTTGGACACCACGTCCGGAGTTTCGCTACTTTCGTCAAGCTCTTCGGTGCTTTCAGACGGCGTGTGATGTAAGAGAGCTTGTTGGCTCAAGACACCAGCCTGTGCATTCATGATCAGCAATGTATCAGAACCACCGAACGCGGAAGGCGATCTTACAGCTCTGATGATAAGTCTCGTCGCTCGCATTTGAACATACTGTAGAGGCATGTTTTCGATGGTGACGATTTTGATAGACTCGGGATCCGCTCCGGCATCAATGGCAATCTTCTTCGCCTCAGCACACACTTCTTCAACCACCTTGTCCTCGTCGAGGCCTTCGAGCACCTTGACGACGTCGACCTGACCCGAGATTTTGGCAATGGCCGCTCCGACGGCATTGGCACAGTCGTGGAATCTGTAACCGTCAGTGATGTTGATTCAACCCATCATAGATCGCGTTGTCGTGCTCACGGTGGCCGAATGATCTGGCCCACTCCTTCCAGGTCGTCCATGTGCACAATGCTGCCTCCGCCGACCAGGATCAGCACAGCATCATCAGCACTCAACTTCATGGCGTCGACGGCGTTCTCCAGCAGCCGCTTCATCTGATATCTTGCTTTTGTAATCAACTCTTTGGGGACATCCTTGACTTTGGACACATCGCCAATGTCTGCGTGACCGCTGGCAACCACGACGTCTGGTGGGAAAGGTCGAACCGGTTAGATACAAGGGATGCTATGCAGCTTGGATGGTTGGTGGGATGACTTACCGGTGGTGGTGAGTGTGTTGCCACCAAAGACCAACGCTTCAGTGATGAGCCTGTGACCGACGGATTCCGGTCCTACGGCGACCTTTCCATCTCTCTCCTCCACCTTAGTGCCACCGCCCAGTGCGATGGAGAGAACTTCGGGCATAGGAAAGGCGCTGCGGACGCCTCCAATCTCGACCCATGTGCCTGCTTGACGAGGAAAGCCAGATGGTAGACTAGAACGTAGTTGTCAGCACCGCATCCAACCCATAAAGGGAGATCATGGCCGAGCGCGACCTACAGTGCGCAGACATCAGTAGTCGTCCCGCCCACATCAGCGACAATCACTTGAGCATTTGGAATGCGTCCTTTGGCGGTGTCCAGTCCCGCCAGGTACGCAGCACCGGACATGGAGTTCGTCGGTCCACTGGAAAAGGTCTTGATGGGACACTTTTCGGCCGAGTCGGCGTCGATGATGGTACCGTCGTTCTGCGTGAGGTACAGGGGACACGATAGGCCGAGGGACCGCATGGCCCGCTTGAAGCCCCGGATGGTTTTCCGCGCAAACTTGAGGATGGACGTGTTGAGGATGGTAGCGTTTTCGCGCTCGAGATATCCGAGTTGTCCGACTGCAAACGGAGTCAGGAGTCAGGCTTCATGTTCGTAAAGACATATCTCCGTGATATGGTGGCAGATAACTGACTTTCTCGAGACAAGACCACGTCTGCCCCCGGAATCTCTTCCAAGATGATCTGCTTCACTCTGGCTTCCTGTTTGCCGGCGAGATCCAGCGGCGAGAAGACGCCGACCACAGCTACGTCCGTGATGCCCTTCGCTTTCACAGCCTGGCACTCGCGACGGATCTGCGCTTCGTCCAGAGGCATGATCTCGCGCGTGTCGACTGTTGTTCGCTGGGTAAGCAAGACGATTGCGCTGCACCGGGAGGGGAGCCATGCTCACATTCTAGACCTCCGTCCAAATACGCGACATGGCCATTCATGATGCGCGCCAGGATGGGAGGGAAATCCATAAACGCCGGGTTTTCCTGCGTGTAAGGGCCGCACACTCGGAAGACGGCCACCTTTCTCAAGTTCCGGTCATCGGCTTGCACGACGGCGTTGATAAAGTGCTGGCTTGGGGTCAGCTTCGGGCTTCTCATTGCATCAAGCCACCACCTGGCGACGAGGTCAGTCCTACCGTGGTGCCAATCATGACGGCCGACACGGCGGCCAGCGAAATGCCGCATTGCGAGATGGCTCCCTGGACGGCTTTGGCAATGCCTTCGGTCACGTTGGGGGTCGTTGGGGTCTTGAAGGCGGTGCGAATGCCACGATCAGGCTGGTCAGCTTCGCCGGGGTCTATGTCGTGGTCAGCCTCGTGATCGGGTTGTCTCTGCGAGCGACTTACGAAGAATCACACAGTCAGTGTTAGTGCCGCCTGAGGAGGTCGTTGTCAGTATACTCTCCGTACTATATCACAATCTCAAGAAGGCTGAGCCCCTGATTGGCCCGCGGGTGACGGGCCCAGGCGAAGCGAGGCTGCTTACCGACGTCTACACCGATCCTGTAGACTCTTTGGATGGCCATGGCGAATGTATGCTGGCGTTTCTTGACTCTGCTCCTCCCTGGCCTGAATCTTGTTATCCTGACAGATGCAGCGTGACTGTATTATTTGAAGCCCAGCCAACCCACGCATCTCGGTGAGGCCTCAAGGGGCGACGAGGACGCTTGGCCGATAGCAAGCTATCTTCGAACCAGTATCCATGAGACCTGACTTTCACTCGGCCCTCGGCGAGGGTTTCCACTGCACGACGGGCCACTCGAAGACCAAGACTCTCTGGCGTCTGTTATCAACTCTGGAGTCTGTTCTCCAGGGCGGCAATCGGACAGGGAGGACCCGCCACAGTGCACATCTTCCTCGCAACAATCCCATTGATTGGAGGCGCAACCAGAGATGGAGAAGCGCGCCCTGTCGATATCAAGACCACTCTGGACACTATCATGGCTGGGATTGGCAAGAGAGATAGACCATCCACCCACAGTCGGCGAGGCATTCCCGTCACGACGACTCGATCTTCTGACCCTGCGAGATAACACGAACACACCACCATAGTCGAGGGCAACGGCTGCGGAGTAGTGGCAACATGTCGCTCTATCAGAGACGTCCCAGGCATACAAGAATGCGAGTGTGAGATCTGTTAAATCCTCCATCGGTATCACTCAAAGTCACTACCGTCTTCTTCTCCGTCCAGAGTCCTAGACAACAGGCCACAAGCCCCGTGGTTCGCAAGTGACTGGGCAGGCCGCAATGGCGACCATCATCAGGAAAGCCCTCCGTACGATCGAGTTGCCGGAGAAAGAGCAAGGCGGTCGCTGGAGGAATGAAGACATCAGCCCTGTCCCGCCCGAGCGCCAAACATGGGGTGAGTGAGCTTCCGCTGCCGATGGGACGTGGTTTGGAGCCGTGCCGCTGACCAGGCGGGTGTGTGTCTTGTTCTCAGGCCCGGTGCAGTTCGTCGAACTGTGGTTTCTCATCAACTTGAACATCAGCAGCTACCAGACCGGATCGTCGCTGCTGGCCTCGGGCATGACATACTGGCAAGCCATCATTGTCATCCTCGTCGGCAACGCGCTGGCCAGCACCTTTGCCGTGCTCAACTCGGTCTCGGGGGCCCAGAGCCACCTGGGGTTTCCCATTGTCTGCAGGAGTGTCTGGGGTGAGTTGAGCCGTCGCCCTTAGCAAAGACGATGCCATGCTGACCGTTTCCTTCTCTCCGTCAGGCATGTGGGGAGCCTATTTCCCCGTGCTGAACCGCATCCTGACCTCGGTGGTCTGGTACGGCGTGCAGGCGGTCATCGGAGGAAAGATGATCTATATCTGCCTCCGCTCCATCTGGATTGACCTGGACCAGAGGATTCCCAACACCCTGCCCGAGGGCATCGGCATCACCACCGCCCAGTTCATGGGCTATGTGCTGTTCAACCTGCTGTGCTGCATCTTCATCTGGTTCCGCCCCCAGCAACTCCGCCCTTACTTCCACGGGGCGTCGGTGGTCGTGGCCATCGCCCTGTTCGCCCTGTTGGGCTGGGCCGTCGGCACCAGCCAGGGGTACGGGTCCATCTTCAACGCAAAGTCCACCATCTCCTCGTCCGAGCTGGGGTGGCAGATGAGCGCCGGTGTCATGTCCGTCATTGGGAGTATCGCCTCCGGCATCCTCAACCAGAACGACTTCACCAGATTCGCAAAGCGGCCCAGCCATGTCACCTACACGCAAGCCATCTCCTTCATGACCAGCAGCTCTCTCATCGCCATCATCGGCGTCGTGGTCACCGCGGCCACTCAAGAGCGTAAGTCTTGTTGTTCCGCCCTTACCCTCTCCCCTGCCTCAAATCGAGCTGACGTGGGACATGGCGTAGAATATGGCCATGGTACGGCGCTCTGGGATCCCAGCACCCTTTTCGTGGCCATTCAAGATCAAAAGGGCTCCCGAGGCCGGGCGGCCGCCTTCTTCCTGGGCATCGTTTTCATCTTGTCGCAACTGTCCATCAATGTCATTGGAAACGTGTTGGCCGGCGGGCTCGACGTGGCCAGTGTCTTCCCCAAGTACATCAACCTCCGGCGAGGAGCCTATATACTCGCAGCCTTGAGCGTGGCTCCCAACCCGTGGCAGCAGCTATCGTCAGGATCCACGTAAGTGTCCTCTATCGGCGGCGTGCCTCTCTATTCCATCATCACCACTGACGCATCTGTTACCTATCCAGCTTCCTCTCCGTCCTGTCTGCGTATGCCGTGTTTCTGGGCCCCATGATCGGCCTGCTCTGCGTGCACTTCTACCTCATCCAAAAGAGAGTGTTCCACATCCCGGATCTGTACGAGGGCTCCAAGAAGTCAGTGTACTGGTATACCTACGGCATCAACTGGCGCACCATCGTGGCCTGGGTGTGTGCCGTGGTTCCCAGCATGCCCGGCTTCGTCCATTCCGTCAATCCTTCGTTGAAGGTTGGAGTCGGCGCCAGCCACATCTTCAGCCTGAGCTTCGTTCTCGGATTTCTTATAGGTGAGTTGAGATACCGGTCTCCCCTTGTGGCTCGTCGCAGCCACACAGTGCGCTCAGGACTGACCCTGCCTCCAACACAGCCGCCGTCATTTCGTTTGCCTTGCACTGGATCTTCCCTTACCGATACCCTGAGGTGTCGGCCATGGAGGGAGAGATTGACGGGGAAAGCTTCGCTGGCGAGTCCGATGGGGTGGTGGTGGAAGAGACCAAGATGGCGTCCAAAGAGGAGAGAGCCCTCTGAGCTCTGAGCTCTAGCAGATGTGGTGACGGAAGCAAGAATGATCGTGGGGAAATACAACGGCCTGTTCAATAGATCGATCGTCTCTTATGTCTAATGGCGTTTGCAAAGCTCCCAAATCCCGCGTCCAACTGCGTCTGATCAACTCTCCCCGTGCAGCCATATTCTGTCACAAGATTGTGCTAGACAGACTCCCTCCGTCCTTTAATGTCTGGATGATGATTTGAATCTGCATACCCAGGTGTCTGTGGAAAGAATGCATTTTAATGGGATGGCAAGATTACATATGCGGTCCCAGGTCCCAGGCCTCCCCTCTACATGAAGCCATTCGCCTGTAACCACTCGGCCAGCCCTGGGCCAGCACCTTCCCGGTACGCGGTGTTCCTCCTGATCCTTTCTCGTACGATGCTCACGGGCCGCTCGAGCTCAACGATGTTCTTCGCTTCGAAGAAGGCGGCCAAGGCTTGCTCAACGTCGAGGCTTGCAAAGGCGCCCAGGCCGTTCTCGACAAACCAAGTCAGAGCAACATCGTTGTGCCGCAGCGTCGTATACACCGTGTCCCACTCCTGCTGGACGAAGTCCCACAGCACGCGATTACAGGAGCCGTTGCCGCCCAGTGCCGCGGCCAGCATGTGCAGGTTCTGCACCGGCACCTCCCTGGCAGGCGAGAAGGCAAACTCCAGCAAGTCTCGCGCCAGGACAGGCACCGGCGTGCATCCGAGGGCGGTGAGGCATATCTCACGGCCATCGATCGTGTGATTTCGGATGTACTCCGCCTTGACGGTTTCATATTCGGCCTCGGCGCCTTGGGCGACTGCCACGCCGAAGATGACTGCTTGTAGGTTGCGGTTGATGGCAGCCGAGTCGCCCTGGGCCCAGCGTTGAAAGCGCTGTCGGATCTCCTGGAGCACGTCTTGCTGCTTTGCAATGACACACACTTGGATCACCATCTTTTCCAGCTCTCCCCTAACATAGCTGTCCGCGTGGCCCGTCCAGCTGATCTCGCCCTTGACCGGTCGCACCAGTGTCTGCGTGTATTTGGCAAAGCCGGCGGCGATCCTGTCATCCCCCGTCACTACGGCCGAGACCATGGCCAGAGACTTTTTGATTTGGGACCACACGAAACAGTCCCGCTGGGTGCTAAAGGCTTGCAGAAGGTTCAAGAGGTCTCCGGTCGGTCTGAGGCCGCCGAGGACCAACGCGGCCATGTCGCTGATGAGTCCAACCTGGTCTTCAGTCGAGAGGCCAAGGCTCGCGCACGATTGTGTCAGGGATGCGAGGTGGCCCGTCGAATACTCTGTCCGGAAGAAGCCCGTATGGTAGCGGTTCAGTTTGAACACCGAGTCGCTCTGAGCCATGACGGCCGATTCCGAGTCCAACATGGCTCGGTTCTGAGCAGAAGAGGCTCCCCAAACACCAAGAGGCACGTGCCACAGTGTTTTCCTGGTGTCGGCCTCATCTGAACATCTCGGGAAGGGACGTTGTTTCACCTTCGCATGAGGAGAGGCCGTCTCCACTGACACCATAGGGAAGCCGACTTCGAGAATCCACGCTTCCATCATTGCTTTGACGTCGACACCTGATGATTGAGCCAAGGCTTTCCACAGCTCTTCCGAGGTGGCGTTCGCATGGGCAGACGCTCGCAAGTACTCGGCAATCCCTTGCAGGAAGGCCCCTTCGCCAACGTAGGTGACGAGCATTCGAATGATCGAGCTGCCCTTGAAGTAGTTGATGCTGTCGAACATCTGGCGGACGTCCCGGTCGTTGCCAACCATTGTTTCAATGGCATGAGAAGCTGCCAGCGAGTCCAAGTCCAATGCTTCTTGCATGGCCTCATCCTAGAGCTGGGTCAGCGCGTTTCACCATGACACCGCCTGTGCCGCCCGAAAACATACCACGAATTGACCCCAGATATTCCACTCTGTAAGGGCATGTGAATATAACACGACATACCAACCTTGCTGGCCATTGCGGGGTCGGAGCACACTCACCTGGATGGAAATGGTTCATGGCCAGATATCCGGCCCAAGTCGCGAATCCCTCGTTGAGCCAGAGTTCTTTCCAACTGCTCATCGTCACGAGATTGCCAAACCATTGATGCGCCAACTCGTGGGCGATCACATACGATGCCTTGCTCATAAGCCTGTTGTCCGAAGTGTCGGCGTCAAACAAAATTTTGGTCGGCTTGTAGGTAATCAAACCCCAGTTTTCCATGGCCCCGGAGATGAATTCGTGCACAACAAGGTGGTCACACTTGGGCAAGGGGTAGTCGACGCCGAAGATGTCACTGAAATAGTCCAGGTAGCGAGAGGCCTCCTGGACTGCAAATTGCGCGTATTTTGTGAGGCCCTTAGTGGTATACACCCGAACGGGCAATCTCTTGCCGTCGTATATCCTCTTGGTCAACGCCTCGACATACTCAAAATCTCCTATCGCCCAAGCTGCGAGCTGGAGAGCGTCAGTGATTTCACCGGAAAGTATCACAACAGTCAATCGCTTACATAAGTGCTCATCACGGGGGTAGTCTCGAAGCAGACACGCTTTAATCCTTTCTTTTCCCCTGTCAATATTTGGACGGACTTCTGGGGCATATTGCTCAAGGCTGTCAGGTCCTCTGAAAGTTCCAGATCCAGGTCGAATGTCGCCTTCATATGAGGTTCGTCGAAGCAAGGAAAGGCTTCTCTGGCATAACACGGCTCAAAATGTGTGGTGAGCAACCAGTGCTTGTTTTCCACCACGACTGATGACGATGAAGAGGCAACATCAGGGGAATATGTCGCTCGGTAGAATCCGGTCATTGAATTGTCAATGTGGCCTTGGAATGCGATGACCAGCCGGACTCCGCCCGGTGCTATTGCTTCTGACAGCGAGACACAGATTTGTTTATCTGCCTCACGGCACACTGCTGTCGAGGCGGATATTTTCCCTAGAGAAAGATCGGTCAGTGTTGAAGGACCTTAAGGTTGATCTGTCCAAGCTGTTAAAGAGCAGCAAGACATACTTGGAGTTTGCTCCAGGCCAACGAATACCTCCGATGTGAGTATGTCTACCCGACCTGAGTTGAGAACAATCTGAGACACAGTCTCAGTTGCCTGAGCATCAATCTGGACAACACCATCATATTTCCAGGTCCCTCCAATCTGGATGTTGAAGATAGAGAGACGGTAATGGGAAGGTTTGATCCTGAACACGTCCTATGTTAGAATCATGGTACATCTTTTGAGTTGTTTTCGACGTACGCATACACTGCTGGGAGATGACTTGTTTCTTTGTGAGACGCCTGCTCCTGTAACATGGCTGCCCGAGGCTGAGAGTTCCGTGAAGCAGGAATATTCACCGGCACTGCTCCGGTGGTTGTCGGTCGACGGGATCGGTCAAGGCTGAGCAGTTATCACGAGCCTCGATAAATAGACAAATCAAGGAGAATATTTGCTCCAGCGCTTCGGAAAATGGTGGGCAGATCGAGTCCATCTCCTTAGTTCCACCGGCTTTCGGACAAGAAATCTCTCGAACCGTGACTCTGAGGCTATTACCCAGGGCCGACACTTCTGAGGCTCTTCATCCAGAAATGGAGACAGGCATGGAGTAGTACTCCACTGAGACGGATCTGGATCGGCTTTCCGATTCGGCGAGAGGAAGGTGGAGCGCCTTATCTCCTGAGTCCCGCCCAGTCCACACGTCGCCGATAAGGTCTGACAGTCCCGTCGGCGAGGCCTTCTCTTCCTTTCTCAATGGCCTCCTCTCCTGCTATTTTCTCAAAATCCCTGGTCATCCAATGTCCAAAAAGTGACAGCACCGAACACTGGCAATCAGGATCTCATGCCAGATGGTGGGCAGGCCACGGCGAAAGCGAGATCGAGGACCTTCACCGGCTGCCTGACGTGCCGGTCTCGAAAGGTAAAATGCGATCTCGCCAGGCCATCCTGTAGCAACTGTGGCCGGCTGGGTCTGCAATGCCACGGATATGGAGTTCAATTGCAGTGGCTGCCAGCCTGGGACCCAAAGAACCCGGATGGCATCCCCGCAAGAGGACCTGCCAGTCAAGCACACGACGTCGCAAGAGCGCGAACAGAGATCATCTCTGGTGCGATGTGAATCTTTCCGCAGGAAGTCCGTGTACTGATTGTCTGAACAGCCCGGGAGAGATATCAAATGTCTCAGGACTTAGTCCGCCAACTGTCCCCGATGACGCCGTCCAGTGGGCTCGAAACTGTTCTTCACCGATTAGAAGAGCAGGCTGTGGAATCCGAATTCAGCAACAGTGCGGACAAAGACACGAAGCCCTGGCATGTCAGGCAAGGGCCCTTTTCCATCTTCCCCCATGCCGCAAAGCTTGCAGAAGTGCGTCACCCAGAGCCAACATTGCTGTCTAGGCCTATGACGCCCTTCCCCAATCTTGACCTTGCTTCGGCTTCAGCATGGCTTGGTGGTGACCAAGCGAGCTGGGCCTCGACTGTAGGAGAGAATGTTCTTGGACATCAAGATCAACCGACTGCGACGATCGACGGCGACTTCTCTTTCGCCGATGTGACAGATAACTCCTGGTTTCTTGATAGTAAGAACAAGCCCTGCGACTTCGTGTCTTGGTCATACTGATAAATTCCAGCTTCGGACCTGCCGTTGGCGAATCCATCATATGCTCAGGATGTCCACCCGTTCCAATTTCCGAATACCCATGCTTTCGACTGTGGGCATCCTTCGGCATCATCCCTTCCAAACGGCTCACCATATCTGCCCCGGAACGTCCGTTTTCTGTTATCTCACTATACGACGCACGTGATTGACTCGCTGTCAGCGCTGCCCCAGACCAAAGCGCCATGGCGAGGCATCCACGTACCCTGTGCGTTGACAGCATACGGAGAGCTCGACGTACTGGGCCATTCAAGTTTTGCACGCGTCTCCCTCCTGTATAGTCTGCTTTCTTTGACGTGTTATCATCTGAGCTCGCTCTACGAGTCGGCCTCGCCGCAAGGCACGACAAACACTCCTTTGTTGGCATCTTCCCGCAAAGACTCCACAGCCTATCACTGGGAGAGTCAGGCACGGAAGTTCCGTGGGATAGCTCGGACCGCATTCCGCAAATGTCTTCAATCAATATCCACACAAACAGGGGACAAAGTCAAATACAAAGAGCTACTGATGAGCTCGATGACCCTAGTCTGTGCGGGGGTACGTTTCCCATGACATGTCCTTGAAAAGTCAGACAGCCACACGAAATGCTGACTGAAACGTATAGATTGTTGGTGGTGATCCCTGGGATGCAAGATTCTTCATCCTGCAATGCGAAGAGATTGTCAACAAGATCGGGCGGACCAAACGGCGCTTTTCAAAAAAGGCTCTTCAACTTCACCGGATATTCGCGTTTGTCAGGGTCATCGAGCAGACCACATTCTTTCAGACAAAAGACCAGTATCTGGACTCGCTCGACAAGATTGCCATGGGCCCGGACGAACTCGAACTTGTCAAGGCCGTTCCTGAGGATGGCTTTGTCCTGTCAGCAACCCTGGCGTCAAACCACGAATCGATGTCCGATTTGGGACTTGACGGGGAGGAGGAGGATGCGTTCTTCGAGTTATCCGGCTTTCCAGTCTCGTTGCTCAGACTCATGGCTAGAACCAACAGTCTGGTGGAGGAGCTTGGGGCATGCAAAGCCGGAGGGGCTCACCCATTCATGTCTGAAGACATCATCCCCAAGGCCGCGGCACTCGAGAAGGAGATCTGTGCTTGGAGAGCGAACCCGAGTGGCAGCAAGGCCGAGTCCGCTGACGCAAGTTCCGGTCATTTTCTTCCGTTCGTGGATCTGAATGGTGACATTAGCACCATGGCGGACGCACCATGCATCATGAAAACGAAACTTTCAACAGCTGTTCACCACGCCCTGTTGATCTACTTCTTTCGGTTTGTGCGAGCCACCAATCCAACCATTTTACAGCACTATGTCGCCAGCATCCTCACCAATCTCGAGCAGTTCCAACAGGCCAAGACGCAGTACTATCCGGGATCGAGAATAGGCACCATGGTCTGGCCGAGCTTCATTGCGGCCTGTGAAGCCCTCGATCACGGTCTGCGAGGCAGAGCAATCGCGTGTATGAGGCACGCAGCGTGGGCAGGATTCAAGAACGCTCACAAGGCCGAGGACGTGGTTCGAGATGTCTGGCGGAGGCGTGATGCTGGCGAACACGATATCCTCTGGAGCACCGTGATTCGAGAGTCACGCACCATCTTGTTATTGACGTGATCTTGGGTTGGGGAACCGACGAGCTGTATACACTCCTGGTGCGCCGCTGTCATACCACTGAAATGAAATCAAGAACGCGAGATTAAACCTACATCGAATCGCACATCGGGCAGGCGTAACACAGGTATCTTCAGGAGGGTAGCCAATATATCGGACGATATAAAATGCAGGCGCGCTCCTGGACGAGGTCTTGTTCTTAAACGCGCTACGCCAATTACAGTAGGACGGAGTTACTCGACGAAAAGTTAGTAGCGGTATCTAGACGAATTAGGTATAGCCGAATCTAACAATCATTTGCCCCGAGACCTCTGTAAAAGCGGCATGGCCTCGACTGCTGGGGTACGTGGCACGTGACCTCGCCTTTTGTCGCCAAGAACCAATTCCGCATCCAGCTCCGTGCCAATTCAAGTTGCAGTGACTTGCAAGTGCCCGAGTAGCTTCAATCGAGATGTGAATTTCTGCCTGTCTCATTTCAATCCTCCTGATACACAAGCAGAGCAGCGCAGCTCGCGGGCTCACGGTCTAGAATCTCAAGGCTCGGTCAAGTTCTAGTTGTGCCGTTATAGCTACGCGCTTGTCAGGATGGCTGGCTCATCGACAAGACCGTCTGGTACAGTGTTACCCCCATTGTATACCCGATTATTTCGGACAACTAACTCTCAAATAGTGGCTTGTCTACGATACATGCGGTCAACCACAACCTTCTCTTCTATGCAGTCATTACACAAATTCGGCCCTGTCCGATCAACGTCGCTCATTAACTTCGCCGGTCAAGATTCGCCCAAATGTCGTCGCTCATTTTCTACCGCGCCAGCTCGGCAAGATTGGTTAACACCGAAGCGGCCGGAATCAAGGAAGTCTATGACCGGCAGGCCGCGCATGCCCACGGGAGGCTCCACACGCGGCACCACAGTAGTTTGGGGTGATTTCGGTCTGAGGATGAAAGATCATGACCGAAGAGTATCAGCCAAACAACTCAAGACCGGCGAAGAGACGATCCACAGACGACTGCGAGGAGAGCATTACAAGCTGTACAAAAGAGTGAGCGCCAACATCGGTGTCTACGTCAAGGGAAACGATGTGCGTATGGGCAAGGGAAAAGGTAAATTTGATCATTGGGCCGCCCGAATACCCGTCAGCAGAATCATCTTTGAAGTCAAGGGCAAGATTCACGAACAGGTGGTAAGAGATGCTTTCAGACTGGCTGGCAACAAACTGCCAGGACTGTATGAATTCGTGAAGAAAGGCGACCCGCCTGTGGTTGGCATCACGAAACTGGGTGACGGAGTAACCCTGGAGAAGCTGAAGGAGGCCAAACGAGAGGTGGAACCAAAGGACAAACCGGAACAGCCGCAACTCATCACTTCTTCTACGACGAATACGCCTCCCCAAACAGTTTCCACCCATCTGGACGAAGCTCCGAGAACTGTTCACGTCTCTCCATGAGACTAGTTTTGAGTAATCACAATCGCCTCGATCGGCGGCAAACTTTACTCTCATGCTCCGACTCCTGATCCTGATCCATATCCCTGCTGCGATCGGGTGTCTTCCTGACCTTCAGCTTTATCTGGAGTACCACCATATCCTTCTTGAGCTGCGACCCCAGATGAAGTGGTTGTTTTGCCTCCCATCCCGGATTCGGAGACGTTTTGGCCATATCTTATATTGTCTGCAGTCTGCTGTCCGCGGTCTTGGGACATCGAGGATGCTTCGGACGTATTTGGGCCGGCTAGGAGAGGGATTAGAACCACGAAATCAATATAGAGCTGGGTGATGGCATGAACGTACAACCCAGCTGTCCTCTCTGCTTCTCCGTGGGCACAGTGTGCGTCTTGATGGACTCGTATCTAAGCGCGTTCAGTAACGGCCCATCCGAGAAAGCAGGAGCGGAGGCAAATGATAGCAACATACTGAGTATTCTCGCCGCCAGGCTCTGTATCCATGAGTTTATCGTCGGACTTGTTGCTGTCCATCTTGAAGCTTTTGAAGGAATCGTACCAGTCACAGGTTAGAACAGAGTCAATGGTCTGGGTGACCGTCTGGAATAAGTCCATTTATACCAGGCCGCAAGCCAGCCATGCTCTGGGGGAAATGATGAGGTTTGGTTGAGTTGATGTCTGCGCTCCACTTTGGTGGATGGTTGGACTGCGAGCTGGGTTTGACGTCAGTACCTTTGGGTGAGGAGGCATGGAGGGAGTCTTGATCACGATCGATAACGTATATACAGGTACAATCTGATAATGCGATTGGACGACTCCAGGGGGCCGCCGCCAGCGTTGAGCAGCACAGCAAAACTGCGAAGCATAAGCCCAGATTAGATGTGCACGGTGGATCATAATAGCCGTCACTGCTAGCTACGCTTTAGTCGTCGTCGCTGTCGTTGCCGTCCTCTCACAACCTGAACCTCATTTCCTACCGTTTCTTGGTCTTCAAGTTGCTCCCCATCAGCAGAGCTCGCCGCACGCTCCTCTCCCGGCATGGCCGTCTCGGTCATCAAACCGATGCTGAAATGCTCAGCCTGCAGTTTTGCAGCTGGTTCCATCTCCTCCAAGCGTGTCACAATAGTTGCTCCGTGATGGACAGTCTTATCCGGGAACAGACCAGGTCGACGCCAGCATACCAGCATCACATTAATTCTAAGAGGGTAGCTATGATACTGGCCTTAAGGTTCTCGGTGAAGACGAACGAGTACCCTACGTTGGAGCGAGCAGATGAGCTAACAAGGTCTTTGGGATCTGTTGCACTTTTCATCGACAATCATGTCGTGTGTAATATGGCTACCATTTTCTTGGCTAGCGAAATCAAGTATCCCAAGTTCCTCTTCGGCAATATGATCAATTTTGGCGAGCACCCAACACTCTTCTTTCTGCCCTCGCATCCTCGTCTAGATAGACCAGGCAGCTCGACTACCGCAACGGCCCTACCAGGTATAATCCCCCTATTTCTCGGCCAACGGTCTCTGGGCAACACCATGGGCCAGCATATCTGCATCGACTTGACTGACGATGTGAGCGGCATTCTGGCTGGACGCCTCGAGTTTGCGAGCAGCATAGCGTCGGAGACCGGGGATTTTGCCGACGAAGGAAAAGAAGGATCTGTGGAAGGCTTTCTGGAAGGGCAGCGAACCCTTACGTTCCTCGTACAGCATGCCTGAGATGGCCAGCATGATGGCGATCCAGTAAACATTGTAGGAGATGACGGAGCCGTAGGTGGCGGAGTTTTGCCAGCCCAGCAACGAGTTGAAGACATCCCATCCATTGTCGATCTCCGGGTTGCAGCAGTTGACGTGCCAGACGGTCTCGCGGATGTTGTATGAGCCCGGGCCGTCGCCTGCCTCGGCCACGTCGGCGCCGACCTTCTCCTGGAACTGCCAGAACTGAAAGCTCCAGACTGCCTTGGAGAACATGCCCGCGGCGAGAAGATAGAGGATGCAGGTCGACGCGATAAGGAAGTACTGGATGGTCATGGCGTTGCCGCCGCGGTAGAGCACGTAGCCCACGAGGAGACCTGCGAGGAGACCGGTGACGACGGGGATTGGGAATGCGGTCGCGGGTAGCCCAAGAGAGACGCCACCAACGAAGACGACGGCCTCGAGTCCCTCACGCAGAGTGGTGATGAGAGGTAGAAGGAACATGGTATACCGGCGGCCCCAATCGCCGAGCCAGTTCCTGTTGCCCTCCTTCTTGCTCTTCGCAACCAAGGCCTGAGCGATCTTGATCCGCCACTTTTCCTTGGTCTTGTTGATGCGTAGAATGGCAAGGCCCATGATGGTAATGATGATGCTGGCAATCAGATAAAAGATCCCTTCCCAGAGATCCTCCGACTCGGACCAAAGATCATGGCCCAAGCCATAGAAGACGCCGATGAAGGCACCGCCGATAATGAGGGCTATGAGAACGCCTACTAAAGAGCCGGCCCATACTTGACGGACCAGCCGTTTGTATATAGCTTGGTCTTGATGAGGCTGGCCAAGGGACTGCTTCAGAAAGGAAAGCAGGACAGACACAACAATGACTGCTTCGAGACATTCTCGGAAAACAATGAAGAAAACTTGGACGCCAAAGACGTTGGGCATGGTGAAGGAGGTAGCTGGTAGAGCTGTAACAACGGTTGAATGCCAGAGAGGAGTGGGAGTTGAGAGTCGATGTCGAGACAAGCAAAAAGTCGGGAGGCCAAGTGGGAATGGTTGCAAGGTGAAGCTTTTAGTAGTTGCAACGGCCTTGTTCTTGTTCTTGTTCGGAGGGTGTCTGTCAGTACCCAGCTCGGCAAGCCACGTTTCTCAGAGTCCCGACTTCGGAAAGCAGCAAAAGGACGGCGCCCTGCTTAGCTTCTTCTGCTCCCTCGTCTCGTGTGTCTCTCGCTCTGGGTTGTCACAAAGCCTGCCTCGCGCTTTTCCTAGTTTTGATAGTGTAAGTGGAATGATCATCTGATAATCCCAACAAGATAAGATTATCGGGTGCGACGGATGAAGGAGAGAGTCATGGTTGGTGGACAATTTCCTGAAGCGAGCATCAGATAACTTTATTGCAAGGTGCTAGCCATGAGTTGCCAATCAAAGCACACTGGACCTCCTCTTTCCAGTCCAAGCGTTGTAAGACAGGAAGCAGTAGGGATTTGAGGACAGCGGCCGGAAGGGTCTCTGTCACCCAGCTCGCTAAATGATTGGTATCAAGGCCACCGCGGGTCCGACCTGGAGTGGGACTCGAGCAGGACAAACCGAGAGGGAAAATCTCTGCACAGGCTAAAGCCAGCCCGACAGGGCCCCGAGGATGGAGTGCTGGTTGCTGCGCAAGGGAATAGTTTCGGCGAGCTGGACGAAAAGGAAGTCATGCAGGCTGAAGATGCTAGCTGCGAGGCCGATTTCGACGCCGATGGAGGGGATGGAGGGTAATGGAGGGTTCCGCCTCGAGCAGGGACGAGGACAGCTCCGGTCGTGTGGTGTGTCCTCCTTTTTAGCCTCGTTTCGATCGCGTGCAATGTGCATAAGTATAGGAAGACGTGGGGATCCGGCAGGACGCCAGTTCAGCGATATCCTCTGTACTCTGTCCGTCCTGCCGACTCTGCTCTGACCGTGGCGTTGTGAGGACAAGAAACTGGAAGAAGAATACCAGACTTGAACGTGAACGACGACCAAGAACGAGCTCTTGCTCTTCGAAGTTGGCCGAGTGTCCTTTTGCATTGCACTGCTCTCCTCTCCACAGTTGCCTGCGCAAGCATTTGCTAAGCTTGCTCAAGCTCATTGCTGTCTCCACGATGTCGAAGCTTGGCTCGTCGTCGCTGCTTCAGCTGCTGCTGCTGCTCACCACCTTCCTCCTCGCCGTCGAGCAGGCTGCGGCCAAAACAGTCACCTACGACTTCAATGTGACTTGGGTCACCGCCAACCCTGATGGGATGACGGAGAGAAAGATCATTGGTGTCAACGGTCAATGGCCTCTGCCCGTCATCGAGGTCGACAAGGGCGACCGCCTCATCGTCAACATGTACAATGGCCTGGGGGACAAGAATGCCACCATCCATTTCCACGGCATGTTCCAGAACACCACCAGCAACATGGACGGCCCCTCGATGGTCACCCAATGTCCCATTCCTCCCGGCCAAAACTTCACCTACGACTTCACCGTCAATCAGAACGGGACCTATTGGTACCACTGTCACACCGACTTCTGCTACCCCGATGGCTACCGTCAGGCCTTGATTGTCCACGACAAGGACGCCTATTTCAACGACGAGTACGAGGAGGAGTTCACCGTGACTCTGAGCGACTGGTACCACGAGTTCGTCGAGGACATCCAGTTCCTGTCGTTGTACAATCCCACCGGTGCCGAACCTATCCCCGACTCCTTCCTCTTCAACGACACACAACGTTCGAGCCTCCCCGTCAAGCCGAACACCACCTATCTGATCCGACTGATCAACATTGGCGCGTTCGTGGCGCAGTACTTCTACATCGAGGACCACACCTTCAGGATCGTCGAGATAGACGGCGTCTATGTCGATGCTGCCGAAGCCGACACGTTGTACATTGCCGTCGCGCAACGATACTCGATCTTGGTCACAACGAAGAACAGCACCGACAAGAACTACCCTATCGTGACCGTGGCCGACTCGGACCTGCTCGATGTCATCCCAACCCATCTTCAGCTGAACAACACGAACTGGCTGGAGTACAATGCCGACCGTCCTCATCCGGACGCCGTCATGCACGTTGACCTCTCCGACGAGCTTGTGCCGTTCGACGACATTACCCTCGTTCCCCACGACCGCATGGAACTCCTGCCTGAGCCGGACTTCGAGATCAACGTCACCGTGTCAATGAACAATCTGGACAACGGATTTGGCTATGCATTCCTCAACGACATCTCCTACACCGCGCCTAAAGTGCCGACCATTTACACTGTCATGTCCGCCGGTGAGCTGGCCACCAACTCCGAGATCTATGGCGAGTTCACGCACCCGATGGTGCTGGAACACAACGATGTCGTGCAGCTGGTTCTCAACAACGGTGACTCAGGATCCCATCCCTTCCATCTGCACGGCCACAACTTCCAAGTCATTGACCGAGCCCCGCCCTTTGGACCACACTTCAACGATTACCTCAGTGGCGACCCAGTTCCTTTCAACCCTTCAAACCACAGCGCCTTCCCGGCCTTCCCCGCGCGAAGAGACGTCTTCGTCCTCCCACCCCAGGGGTACTTTGTCATTCGCTTCGTTGCCGACAACCCGGGCGTGTGGTTATTCCACTGCCATATTGACTGGCATCTGTCTCAGGGCCTGGCAATGGTGCTGATTGAGGCCCCGTTGAAGATTCAAGAAACCACTCACATCCCACAACAACATTACGATGTCTGCCAGGCCGGTGGCATCGCGTACAAGGGTAACGCCGCTGCCGACACCCAAGACTTCACGGATCTGGATGGGCAGAACAAGCAGGTTAAATCCCTCCCTTCGGGCTTCACGGCGCGTGGCATCGTGGCCTTGGTTTTCTCCTGCATCAGTGCGTTCCTTGGAATGGGATTTATCGTCGTCTATGGCCTCTCGACCCCGTTGGTCCCGCCGGAAAAGCAGGAAATCGACACGAGTGACGTCGCCTCCATCCACGACGGTCCTGTCCCGGTTACCGTTGGAGTGCAACACACTGTAGAACCTGCCTCGCCGTATCGGGATTGAGTTGGCGATTCATGTTGGATGTTGTAAATGTTTAGCCAGCACCAATTAAATCTATTAGTCATTTAGCATCCTGCAACCCATCTTGTGTGCGTGCCTTGTGTCTCCGTTCTCGGATCGGAGGGCCTACGGGGACTGCCCATGGGTTAGGTCTAGCTTAGTGCCTGAATCACCTAATTTCAGCTTCTGGGTACTGGGTACTGGGTATCTCTGTTCGTCTTGTGCTTACCGTCTGCAAGATGTTCTCTTGATCTTGCATGGGTTTTGGGTAGAGCATGGAAGGCATAACCGTGCACTCTTTACACGGCCCTCGGGGCATGTAAATTGTATGAAGACCCTCCCAGACTTTCCACGAGTGGAAGCGGCGAGAACTCCCTTCAATCACAGCCATTCAGCCGGACTAGTCTGACAGAGATAGAGTATAGAATATCTTGCATGGAGAAGGAAGTGAAGTCGACGAGGCTGCTCGAGAAACGAGAGTTGAGTGTTTGTGGTCCAAATACTCCTCTGTACAGCACGTGAGTGCGCTCCACTGCGCGTCTTCGTGCAAACACTGGCAGTCCACACCATCACCTGAGGCCGTCTTTCTAGTCTGCATTTTCGGATTCTGGATGAAGCTCTTTCCTGTCCACCTCTCCGCGGCTTCATTTGGAGAGCATTGAACAGCAATATGGCTTCCAAATGTTGTGCCTCTCGACTGAGGTTCTCGAATCTACTCAACACCCTAAGAAGCAGCCCTGGCCATGAGATACCCTCTCGAACATCTCGACAGAGAATGCAGACTCGAAGCATTGCGCAGTCTGCCCAAAACCCTCAACATGCCACACCTTGGGACGCCGCTCGAGCTGAAGCCAAGCAGAAGAATCGAACTACAATGTAGGAATACCCCGGAGATACCTGGGAACATAAGAGAAGCTCACAGTTGGTACTGCAGGTATTATGGCTTGAGTGTCGGCATAACCCTAATCGCCTTGTCCTATGCTTCCGTACCCTTATATAAAATGGTGAGGGAAACAACAATCGAGACAAAGCTTGTCCGGTCCACTGACAGAGGTCCAGATATGCCAACAGACCGGCTGGTCCGGTCAGCCCGTCAAAGCCCACGATTCCGACGGAGATCCCGCCCTGAGACTGAAGCCGGTCGAAGGCCACCGACGCCTGCGTATTACCTTCAACGGCTCGGTTTCCGACATCCTCCCCTGGAAATTCACGCCGCAGCAACGCGAGGTTCGTGTGCTACCGGGTGAAACAGCATTGGCATTTTATACCGCCACCAACAAAAGCGACGCAGATATCATTGGGGTGGCCACATATTCGGTGACACCGGCACAGGTGGCGCCCTACTTCAGCAAGATCCAGTGTTTTTGTTTTGAAGAGCAGCGTCTGAACGCCGGCGAGACGGTCGACATGCCAGTCTTCTTCTTCATCGACCCGGAATTCATCAAGGATCCGACCATGAAAGGCATCGACACCATTACGTTGAGTTATACCTTTTTCAAGGCAAAATATGATAAGAATGGGGTTTTGACCACAGTACCGATGGCCATGGCAGCGGCATGAGTGTGAAACAAAAAAGGATTGTAAAGCTATACACGAATTGAAGCGGCGCCGCCTTCGGCCGAGACTAATGGGATGGCTCTCAATTTTAGCGTCGTGGCACATCACCTCTCCTTCAACCAGGCAATGAGATCATCCACGCCACGATCTGGTGGGAAGACAGGGTACCACCACTTAGCCACCTTGCCGTCCTGGATGGCAATCATCGACCGCCTGAGAAGTTTCTGTCCATGCCAATCTAACGTCGGCAGATTCAGACCTTGCTGGAATTCCAACTTCTCATCACTAAGCAAGTCATACGGCAGATGCAGCCGGTCGTGCACCTCAGCCTGGTACGCTGGAGACTGTGTCGAGATGCCATAGATCTGGTCCACGCCCAGTGCGCGCAGTTGCGGCAGGTTATCTCGAAACGAGCAGGCCTGAGGCGTACATCCTCTGGCGCCGGGAATTGAGTTCCAGAAATCCGGAACAGTCTCGTTCGGCGCAGCTACATGGCTTGTAAGCATACGGTCTGTTTCTATGGCCTTGCCTTCCTTGACCCATGCCGGAGCCGTGGACGCAGGCAGGTACAAATCAAGAAAGAGGAATTAGAAAGATTGGAGCCTACCTGTTCTTGGGTAACAAAAGAGCACAGTCAGCCCCTTGAGGTCGGCAAGGCTGATACTTTCAGTCGTCCTCTGTGCAATAACGAGGCTAATATCGTGCGGGATCGTGAAACCGGTCAAGTGGTCGTACAGTCCGTCATCCTGGGGAACCGGCAAGTCGGACGGGAACGTTGTATCTACAGTCAGGTCGACATCAATCAGCTCGGCCATGAACGTAAGGTCAACCATAGGGGTACGCGCCAGGCAGGCATCGCTTCGCCATTTGCCCAACTTCGGGTTGACCCTTGTAGTATATACAGAGTTAGGTAGGGTCGGTGGATCTTACGAGCCATGGGATGTGACAGGAGACCACTGGATGTTGAGAACTCTTGGACGTCTCTCAAGGTGGGATTGCTCTCAAATATAATCAATCTAATTCAATTGACCTAGGAGGCCGCTGTATCGGATACTAGTATAGTGATAAGTGATGATGTGTACAGAGCAGACGCTGGGCCTGGTACAGCGAGCTCAGATCACCTTAGTACGTTAGTAGTACTAACTAGGTAGAGTACGTACCTTAGTACTATGATTCACTCCGGGCGGATTTCGGCGACTAGTCATGTATTGTCAAGGGACTTGCACGATGGCTGTGGGAAGTACTACGTATACTAATTAAGGTACCTAGTATGGGATGGTTCAACAGAACAGAAATAGGGAATCACAAATGGAAGGTTTGGTGGATCAATTATGTTTACATTAAGCATGTGCGCCACTGGGCGTATCTCACTGTGAGACGTCTAGCTCTGGCTTTTGTTGTTCGTTGTTCGAAACAGCCCCCGCTGTAGAGAGACGAAAAAGTGAAAAGGGAGCATAGAAGGACTGGGGTTTGGACCTTCGCCCAGCATGATACACCATGCTCATCCGTCAGAACCGTTGATTTGGCTTCCAGCTTGTTGATGGTAATCTGCTGCGTACTGGAACTCTGTTGATTCTGTACGAAGCCGGTAGGGTGGGGTATCTCAACCCCTTGTTTGCTTTGCGGGAAGCTGGTGATCTGGTGGATGGTCGAGAATGTGTGTTCTGGCTTGGAAGGCAGGAATCTTGCTTGACCTTGTCAGTGCTGTTGGACCAGCCAACGTTCCCAGGTCGACTTGACCCGTGCTTATTGAGGTCCGCTTGGACCCCAAATGTAACACTCCCTTGCTTTAGGAACTTCCACTTCCAACCGAGAGAATATCCAGGATCTTCTCAAAGTCTGGCGTGCCAAACCCACTGGCGACATCCCAGCCCTCAGCAGCAGTGAAGCCGGCACCGTTGCACCCGATACTGCTTCCATTCACAATATCGGTGAAAGCGGTGAAGCCTTGTTGGTAAAGCCACGGATTCAACCAGCCCATGGGTGGTTTGCCTTTGGCGATCAAAGCATCATTGACCAGGGAGAAAATGCTGGCCACCGTTGGGGTTGCACAACTCGTTCCATCCACACTTCGGACACCTGCGTCAACGAACACGAGATATCTGTAGCTCTGTGCTGCCAGATCAGGGTAAGCGCGGCCCACAGTGTTGTACATGCCCCGAAACTGGTCGCCGATTGTGTCCAGATATCTCTCGACAGCGACTGCTTGCCATGATGGTCGCGTGAAGTAATTGCTGAAACCGGACCCAGAAGCATAACCGTTCTGGACGTCGTAAGCTACCACCTCTGGATAGTCTCTGGTTCCACCGACAGTGGTGACATAGGGACAAGAGGCCGGGAAAGCTGGAAGGAAAGCGGTACGGTTTTGGCCATCGTTCGAAATGCAGCTATCATTGGCGCCGACACCGTAGTCCCCTGAACTAAAGAAGAGCGAGATGCCTTGGGCGCCAAGAGCGGCGAACTGGTTGCACACAGTTCTCGCGTACGGCTCCGGCACAGTCTGTTCGTCGTCGCCGTAGGAGGTGGAGATGACATTGGGGATGGTGTTGGAATCTTGCTCGCGCATGTACAGCACCCAGGTCAGATAGGGTTCGTTGGTATTTGTGGTGGTGAAGGTGTCCGGATCAAAGGGCGGTGTACCACCGGTCGAGTATAAGGTGACCGGAGTAGGAAAGACCATGCCGAGGATGGTTTCGAGGTCGAGGTTACCCTCAATACCGGCGCCAATAGTGGCATTGTCCAAAGGTCCGTTGTTAACAGAGATTTGATTGATTGCATAGGACGAATTGGCAGCTTGAGGGCGGAAGTTTTGGAGGTAAAGTTTTGCATCGGCACGACTGGAAACCTGGCCCAAGTAGTTCGTAAAGCCTATCTGGTTCTTGCTGGAGGATTGAACAGCGTAGTTGACGGTGTTGTACAGAGTACGTAGGCATGTGGTCGTCATGCCAGCAAAGTTGCAAACACGGTTCAACGAGCTGGAGTTTGCGGCGGCGGTCAGTTGGTCGAGGTCGACCTCGGTAGGGACAGTCAGGACAGTTTCTCCTTTTGGATTTGCTCGAAGGAATGCAGTGGTGGGTTGGATGGTGGTGACATGGTCATGGAGTGAACGTGGTAGAGACCATTGAGTGGTTCGAACGAGTTTGGTGCCGTCTTGATGTTGGTAAACTGAATACTTGGTGTGAAGGAGACGTTCGACTTGAGCAACGGGCAGGGTCAGAGTGATCCAGTCTCGGGCAGCATTGTACTGGCAATGAGACGGATCAATGTCGTTCTCGGACAGCCACTCTTCGATCAACTCGGTGGTGTCATCGGACGGACTGAGAAGGTCGTGGACTTCCTGTTGGGACAAGTGTTTGCCATAACGATGGTGGGATGGGTCCGAGACTGGGTGTTAAGTCAATGGGGGTTCGTTTGGCTATTGCCCCGATTCCAAGCTCACCTTGATGCAGATGTTGCTCGAGGAGTCCGAAATTGTTTGGTGTAAGGCCGATACTGAGCTTCAACAAGTGAAATGGGTGAGAGTTTCCCACTCTTGACCATTTCAGTGGGACATGGTGAGATTCCTTGATGGTGTACTCGAAGCCAGAGCGGACGGGGGAGGCAATGACAGACTGGACCGTGACCAGGGCGGCCAAGAGAAGAGACACGAGAAACATAACGAACGTAGAGAGAGACTGAATCAACGAAGAACTCGAAGGAGAGAAGAAGAGAATGGACTGCAAAAATTGGAAAGAAAAAACCCCGTACGTACCTGTTTACTTGAATGAATGCATGGAGGGAGGATGAGTGACTGCGCTGCGCTGCTGGCACCCGCAGTTTGACGGGCGCAGTTTGGATGTTGGATGTTGAATGTGGGGGAATGGCAAATGGCGCAGCCGTCATGTGGATCGCGTTGGTTGCTCTGTGGAACTGGATCGACAGGCGACTTTAGTTAAAGGTTAGGTGCCATCATGGAAAACGGCCCTTATTGGTGGCACCTGTAAGTAATGCCAAGGGGTCTAAGAAGCCTGAGGAGCCCTAGCCCCTAGCCTAAGGAGCCTCCCACTCTCCCTTCCGGGTACCTGTATGCTCGCTGTAGCTACCCGTTTTATAGGTGCTACCTCACCCCTGCAGCACTGCGCATAAGGCTCTCTCCGCTTAAATGCATACCTGTAGGTAGCCTTCCCGAGTTCATGGTAGGACAACCTCCCGCCTTCATTTCCGACATCTATACAACAACTGATTGATTGGACATGCTCACCGCGTTGATAACTTTCGAATCTTCTTGTTTATGGTCTGATTCAACCAGTTGTGTCGCTTGTCGATCGAATGTCTCCTTTCATTTTAATAACTGGGATCAACTGGAGTTCCGCTGCGTCATTAAACTGGAGAAGCATGAAGACATATTTCAGGGTCTGACACCAAATCCAAACCATCATTGCCACTCATTCCCCCTTCAAGTTGGGGATCGGGCATGAATGTTGGCTGTCATGACTGACATATCCTCCTCCATGACGGTTCTTGACATTGTTGACATTCTCTACTACTACACCTACTTTTTTGGTCTTCGCCTTCTTCTCCTCCACCAGCTGGATAAATGACCTGTTGCACCAAGGAACGACGTTGCAATGGCTTTCTTCGGTCTGATGGACACCGCTGGCATTACCTCGATCTCCTACATTTGTAGGTCAACCAACTTGCCGTGATTTATGTGTTAGTAGCATCTTAGATGTCTTCTCCATGTCATCTAACAAAAGTGCAGTCATCGATGTATGTAGTCTTCATATCTAGATGAATTGATTCACCTCTACTCGTATGCTTGCCCTTTGTGCGGCCACTGTCATGCGTTTCTCACAACAGAAATGTTCCTTTGTGCTTCTGGAGGCAACGCAACGCCGTTCGAATATTCACTGCTTCGCTGCCCCCTCCTTCTATTCACTGACTGCGCGGTCCCATATCCTTCGTCCACCACGACCACCTTGCTTGATCTGCCCATGATGAATCCATCAAATATGAGATGCCTACAAAGCACGAATGCAAATAGACGCCATCCTGTCCATCAACATGACCACTCTTCCCATCCGACCGAAGCGGCAATCACATGACCCTGTTCACGAGATCATTCAAGCTCACCGAGAACATGCAGCGGGGACGAAACCTGCCTGGTATTACCTTGCCAGATTGAGGATGCCAGAACTGAGTAGAGAAGCTGTTGACCTCTTGCAAGAGCAATATCGATTGGAGGTAGACTCGGAGTGCAAGACAACGACGGCGCAGAAATGGGCACAGATCGGGCGTCAACTGCGTGACAAAATTCCTTCTCACTTTGATACCCTCGACCACCTCCAGAAGCGCATTGACATGTGGACTGTGTGTGACAGAGAGGCAATCGCTCGGCTCTTCGAGGGCGCTGTTACGGAAACAGAACGCCTCAAAGTCCTCTTAGGTTCATCGATGGATGCTCCAAGCCCAGGCGATGCTTTCCTGCAACGTAAGCTGGCTCATGATAACGAAGCGGTCAAGGCGAATGTGACTAACGCAGCGACAGAGCAAAAGCATGCCTTAGATGATCCTGATGATGACGACCACGAAAGCGATACCAGCGTCGAAATCCGAGTAGAAGGTCTCCCAAGCAAGAAAGCCCGAAGAAACCGTCGGCAGAGGGAAAAGCGGAGAAACCGAGCTGCTGGAGCTGCTGCAGGATCTTCTGGCCTCACGGAAAGCTAGAATTCATCTGGACTGCTGGAGCCCTGAGGGATTGAACAGGGTCATGACATAATGAGTGTCGCCTTGACATATCTGCTCCAGGCTGTAGGGTGGGAATAGCAACCGACAACGCGACTTACAATAATGTGGTACGATTGAAGTGTGGCATGGTGACCAAAACGCTTCCCATAGCTAGATCCAAGATTATGTATAGATGGAATAGCAATATGAGGAGAGATGTAGCCTTGTGCCTCGTGTTCACATGTCAGCCCCTTTTCAAGGCTGCCTCGTTTGTGTCCACATTCTGCCGAGGCTCCCGCCAAGCACAGACACAGAACCGCATGCCAGTCTCAGGAACGACGAGATCAACTGCATCTACAGTACAACACGTCCATCTATCCTTCACCCCCATTTCATACTCGGTCGGGCCAACAACGGCACCCCTCGAAGTCCAGATTCATATTGTTCCTCTGAATGCCACGGCAAGACGCACTCATGAGGGCACCAGCCGGTGACAATGGAGACAACGCGCCGTGTTGACATCACTCCGCTCAAGCCGGTCCTCAGGGCATATACCCTAGCATATCTCTCAGTCACCGGCCCCAGGCTGTTGGATTTCCTGAGAACGCTACGAAAGCAAAAGCTGTCGGCGCAAGAGAAGTTGGGCCTCTTGTATAGCATCCTCAACACCTCGACCCAGGTCAACCGCTTTCCCACCGCCGCTGCAGTCATTGTCGGAGGCGCCACTATCCTGCCTCGTGTTGCTCGCACCCTTCTTCAATGGCTCTTCTCCTCTACTACTAAGACCAATTCCAGCCATCTTAGCGGCCGTATCAACGCTCGTCTCCACTTCCTCTGTTCGTTTCTCTCGGCCTGGGTGGCTTTTGGTCTCCTCAATCGGGACGAGGCATGGGTTCGTAAACGGGCAAAATCCCGCACCACGGCGACAGTCGACGCCAGCAATCTTGAATTGCCGAACCAACATCATCTGCCTCCACCGTCGTACCATCCCCATTACGCCGGAAAGACCATTGACTTCACACTGTTTGCTTTCTGTCGAGCTCTGGACGTCGCCGCCATCACAACTTGGACTCGTACACGTTCCAAGTCATGGCATCCGGAACACAAAACTCCAGCTCTGGCAAACCTCATCCGCAAAACTGCTGATCCCTGGATATTCGCAGCCTCGGCTGCCATCATCATGTGGTCGTGGTTCTACTCTCCGCATCGTTTGCCTCGGGCGTATAACCGCTGGATCTCCAATGTGGCTGATATAGATGGCCGTCTCATTCAGGCCCTTCGGCTAGCCCGACAGGGTGATTTTGTGTATGGACAAGATACCGGGCAGGCACCACTTTTAACGGGGCTGTGCCATGAACTTGGATTGCCGGAAGAATACGGGGATCCCGCGAAAACCGTTCCCATACCTTGTGAGTTGTACCATTGTGGCACCGGCAAGAGCTGTGAGGTCCATGCCATGTCACGGTTTTGGCGAAGCTGGAAATTCGCGATGGAGTTGTATGTACCGCTTCAGGTGCTTACCCGCCTTCGCTCTCCGAGCACGAAGTCACCGCTGGAAGGCATCAGATCTGCAGCGAGATCATCATCGTTCCTGGCCGCATTTGTCGCCATGTTTTACTATGGCGTGTGCCTCGCACGGAAACGCCTTGGACCAAGACTCTTTTCCAACAAGACTGTGTCGCCGCAAATGTGGGATTCTGGGTTGTGCGTTTTGGCTGGTTGTCTTGCGTGCGGATGGTCGATCCTTCTGGAGAAACCTAGTCGACGACAAGAGATTGCCTTCTTCGTCGCGCCGAGGGCGATAGCCACCATCCTGCCTCGTGTCTATGACAAGCGATACGTTCGTCGGGAACAAGCAGTATTTGCCACCAGCGTGGCCGTGGTTTTGACAACGTTGAAAACAGGCAATGATCGTAATGTGAGAGGTGTACTCGGGAGAGTGCTTGGAGGTATACTCAAAGAGTGAAGAAACAATCAGTGAAGTCCGGGAGGAGACCAAGTGAAGATGCTACTCGCATACAAGTATGAATACCTGCACCTGCATACCTTGTCTACTTCTTCTAATCCACCTGGTCGTCAACCACCCATCACACAAACTTCACCCACCTTTCCTCCGCCACTCATCGGCGTCCATAAATCCAGATTCTTTGCCGCCGCCGTCAGGGATAGAGTAAGAAGGTGTTTCAACGTACAACGTCTAACCTTCTCAATGGCGAAGACAAAACAAGTAGCTCGACCATGTGAGTCTGCTTTCGTTGTCTGCTCGCGTATCAGATCCGGTCCCTGCTGAAACTATGCCTGCAACCAGGCGAAAAGGCTTCTTTCACATGGGGACAAGTCTCTTTCATCAGCTGACTTGTTTTGTTCATAGCGACCGGAGGTCGTCCTGGATCGAACAAGGCTGCCGCGGCGCTATTCGAGATCGAGGCATACTACAACACCCTGACCGGGGAGCATCATACGGATCTCAAAGATGCCATCCTCAATGCCAAATATGCGCCTAAAATGCTCAGTGTGTCTCTCCCACTGTGACACCCAAGCAAGAAGTCATTTCCGTTCAGAGCATCGTCAATATAGCTTTTGACAACAAGAATGGCTTTGTGTGCATGTGGATTACGGGTGACGAGAGACAGAGAGCACACCAGGTTCTGTTGAAGATCAAACCAGCCGTTCAGGCAAAGTCGGCGGTCTTCGTTATCAGGGCCAAGGCCAGCTGGGTTTTGCTTGGTTCTACCTTTGGTTTGGGGTACAAGTCAGTTCCTCGCCGGATTGGATACAGTAACTAACGCATGTGGCAGGACCTCCAAGAACTGCTATCTCGCAACGCTGGCACAGGAAATCGAGCTGGACAGTAAACCCGCACAATCTACTACGAAGCTTGAGGACGATGGAGAGCAAGTGCTACAGCACAATGAGGAGACCACCCACTTGGCTGATGGGGACGGCGACAGCGCTTGTCAAGAAGCAGGCTGCGATGAGTCTATGGCGGAGGCTCTCGAGCACGTCTCGGATGCGGAGTCTGCGGACGAGGATGTCGTGAGATCTACCAAACGCCGCAAGTTGGGCAACACCGGATGTTCAGATCCATTCATGCGACTCATAGCGCAATTCGACAGCTTCCGCGACGGTCTAGTCAAAGTGCACAGTCAGACTCAGGCACAAGCCAGCGAGGTCGGCAGGCTTAAGAATGCCAACTCTCAACTGCGGACGGAGCTTGCGCACAAGCAAGAGCAGATCCGCAGCATGACCGAGGAGCGATTGTCAGAGCGGGCGTTGGTTACACTATCAAGGAGCAACAATCCAAGATCGATGGCTTGTCGCAAGAAGTATTCACGTTGAAGGCGCGAGTACTTTCCCAAGTGGCCGAGCAGCTTGAACTTCGCTCTGAAAAGGAGGACCTCCAAAAGATGCTTGACAATCTTGACGCTGAGCAGACCAAGGTGAATGTGGAACTCTCGATTCACAAAGCCAACGAAATCATGCTCAAGGACGACGCTGAGCACCTCAAGGATCTTATCGGCATGTGTGTCTCTGTCGTGGATCCAGACAAGTTCTTGGTGGAAATCAGGAATGGTAGCTCCATCTCGGACGCTCATGTTGCGTCTATCAAGAAGAAGTAAGCCTTCTGAGCAGTAGGAGACAGGACGCCAACTGCGCTGATTCTCACACGGTTGCTGTTTGAAGAGCGGTGGGTATCGGAGGGAATATGGGTTGAACCACAACACCAACACCATCCGTTGCGGACTGCGGTTGATCACATAGGACACGATGCTTCACCAAGGGCTTCTCACCCTTGTGCAGGGCGGAGAGTTGAGCGTCCTTCAATTGCAATGACTTCATGAGATGATTTGCTACATTGAGAAGAACATGCCGGCGAGCTTTAGCATCTCGCGCTGAGGAATGGTGTATCAACAAATCAGCTTCATCCGCTCTTTGAAGCTTTCCTTATCCACCTCCTGCGGCGTGTTCGTCAAGCTCGCAACAGCTTAATTCGCAATCTCAGACAAAAGTTCTTACGAGTCGCTTCAAGCCAGCTCGATCTCGGCTGTAACCTGCTGTGGGCAATAAGGGGGAAAGCACTGAATTGTACAAGTCCCGTTTCCTCTCTGTGTCTGGCACCTAAGCATTTCTTCTGTCTAATACAGGCCTCGACGCACAAACTGGTCCTCAGCGTTCACTCATCTTACTTGTTTTGCTCACTCCCCAACTCCTCACTTCAGTTCATCTTCACTTCACCACTCGATCTGGTATCACGTTTCGAATCTTCAAGTCCGAACCCCTTCGCTCAAAGACCCCCACCTGCACTTTGTCGATCTGACTTGATCTCCGGACTCAGGGTCACTCCTTCCCTCTACAATTAATACAGCATCCCACCAACAAGGTATCGACTGCTCCTTCTTCGGAGGTTAAGGTATTGCTCACTTGAAGCGAGTGAAAGTGCTGACTTCAAGACAGCCTACCGCTATTCCTGCTGATCTGTCCTCTCCTCTATCCTCCTCTCCGCCAACGTCGTACGTCGTCTACTACCTGAACCATGTCGAAGATCTCGGCGAGTGTGTCGTACTACGACACACACTCTCACAGGTTCAATCCTCCAGGCCATGTAACATACCACGAAGAGGACTGGCTTTTCACCCTCTACAGTCAAGTGTCGAAAACAGTGGTGTATACAGAAGAAATCGTCAAACTCCAGTACAACTTGGCACAACCAGGGATGGTAGCTTTATCCCTCACGCAGTCACAAGAGGAGCATGGCAATATAGCCGACGAGCAGCGCCGCCCAGGAGAGTACCAACTATTGCTCCATTTCGTGGATGTGAAGAAATACCGCGACTTTCTCAAAAGTATTACATATGGCACCCTATACCAAGGATTGAAAGTCAGGATCTATGCAATCTCCTTCTTAGGGACAGAAGTCAAGCCGAAGATTTCGTTGAAAGATCGGGGAGTTCTGAGCTGACGGCAAGCGATGAAGAGACATCCAGCGAGGATGACATCTGTCTGTTTGCCTCGAAGGGCATTGGCTTCGTACACTCGCTTGAAGTACATCTTCGCCGCAGTTTTGACGGGACCAGTGAGCTTGGCCTTCTCTCCCCAAGCCTCAACTTGCGCGTAGGCCGCTTGCAGAGCCTTGTCTGCTTTGTTTTCAAGTTGCAGAGCCTGCGCCTTCTTGAGCTTGCGGGTTTCCTTTGATACATTCGGCCCGCCACCACCGATCATTGTGCCCGCGTTGTTGGTGAGAAGAAGTTCGTTATCAACTTCACCCATCTTTTTCCAACTGAAAGTGCCCTTCTCGAGGGAACTGACGTTTCCTACAGCGATGACATGGAGAAAGTCTTAAGGTCAAGCTTGGCGGGAATCGACGAAGAGAAGAAAGAACCTGATCACAAGAGGAAAGCTGAGATAGACGATGGTGCTGGACAAGACGCCCACAAGAAGCAACGGACCTCCATCAATCCATCTGGCAGTTTCCAGCAACCTAGTCAAGGAGACCGTCGAGACGCTGCATCCTCCCACAACGGACATGGTCTTCACTTGCCATATGGAGCCGAAGGAGATGTGGCAGAAATCGGCGCTGTTCGCAAGCTGGAACCACCTGCAAACGATATCATGACCCGGAATGGTTTCGCGATAGCCAGTCAAGACACTACTGCCACGACTGCCGAAACTGAAGTGACCACTGCGGCTCCAGCAATGGATGTGAACTGCAGTAATAGCATGGCCGAAGTAGCAGGAGATGTTTCAGGGGTCAACTCGTCCGAGCCAAAACTGCCGAGACGGCACAAGATGTATACGACAAGATCCGAGCTTACGCACAGAAGATCCTCGAATGCTCCGATCTCCAGAAAGAAAGCATCAAGGAACAAGCTGACAGGATTCGCTCTCTAGAGCTCTTTGGCTCTCCTGGCCTCGCTGCAGAGAAGAGGGAGAAAGATAGGCTAGTTCAGGAAAAGCTGCTTCTCCACCAACAGCTTGAACACCTCCAAGAAAGCAGCAAGCATACAGTCGAGAGCATCACAGAAATGGGAGGCAAGATCAAGAGCTTGGAGAAGCAGAACGAGGATATGGGAGCGAGTCAGCAGATCTTGAAGAGCGTCCTCCAACATGTTTCTGGCCCAGTGCTGGGTCTGGATATCGACAAATGCATCGAGTTGATTCGCGACGGCGAGCCGCACCAGCAGGCGGTCATCCTGGCCAGTGCGGCATACAGCTCTTTCACAAAGAAAGAATGAACTCTCGAGAGTGGGTGATGTCTGCGATAGAGCTGGCGGGCAGATATCTAAGCCCAAAGTCCCAGGATTGTTGACAACTACGCGCTCTACGATCCCCAAGTCCACTCTGAGTCCCATGTCCCGTGTGTCTAGCAGTCCGACCCTCGGGCCAGCTAGGGAAAGGTTGATCCGGATGAAGGAGAGTGGCTGTGGCCATACGAAGTTCGAACCAGGCAGATGTACTTTGGTAGATGAACAAATGACGAGAGAACAAGTCGATCAGATGGTGTTGGCTATCGCTGTTTCCCCCATTAGATGTCTCTCAAGTATATTATGTTGCTGTCTCTGTAGAAGTGTGGTCATCTTGTACTTCTCGAATGCTTACTTCTTTCTTCTAGTATACTAGTACTACTCGGAAGATGCTTACCTAGGTAGTACTACGTAGTAGCACTCACTTTATCCATCAGGTATTGGTTCAGGGCGGTCCTAAATGATCGTGCAAGGCTGAGTCTTGGCAGGGGGGATAACCATCGTCACCACAAGGCCGGGTACTACCTTAGGTACTACGGACCAAGTACCAAGCATCAACGCTCATCCTGCTAGGACTGCATGCCTCCTGGACACTGGACTGGACTGGACAGTAGTATCCTCAAGCATCCAGGAATTGCTCGTTACTACTAGTACTAGTACTAGTACTGTATTTCATAGATGGTCTGGGAATCCGATCCACCCCTGCTAGAGTCTACCTCGTCCCATCCCGGATGCCGTGATGAACGAAACGCGACGACCGATCGTGGTCACACCGTGACAGCTCCAGATCAGATGGCAGGCCAGTCAATCAAAATTCGAATAGAACGGATCCTTGCATCGTACATGGCACACTGCAGATTGGCGCACAGCAGAGCACAATCAGGGCAGGCCGACGATTTGTGCAGCGAGAACGGAGAACGGAGGAAGCAATGTCGTCGAGAAGGAAAGCATGAGATAGTAGTAGTGGTAATTTTTATTTCGAGCGAACCGTATAATGACACTGTGAACATCAGAGAACAAACAGAATGATTGAGCACCTAGGTCGTGCCTTGCAAATCAGGTGGAACTAGCCAACTAAATACACAGACACCAAGTGGCCACTGGACGTCGGAGGCCCAACACCATCCATCCCCATTCCATCCAACGCACCAGGACTAGACCAGCTTTCCGAACCGTCTCTTGAGTAACCCTCCCTTCCCTGATCAAGATAGCTTGACCCCCGTCTACATGTCGCATTGAGAAAACCAAGTCTGTCGCCCTGAGATGTGCGTCGAGATCAAGAGACATCGGACTGCTGTTTATGTTCGTCTCCAATGCCCTTGATTATTGATCGAGTACAGGGACAATGATGATCGCGGTAGATCCCTAAGATCTTCGTTCCACATATCCAATATCCAACCAATTGTCAATCATTGTCGAGGCCATGAGTTCGCTCGTGCTCGGAAACAAAAAGGACAAAAGAAAAAATGATGCGGAGAAACCTGACGTCGACGCCGGCATGATATGCAACTCGAAAGGGCAACAAGATCGTGTTCATGTACAGTTGTTGTCCAACTAAGATTAGCTAGAGATGACATAGGTGGCCGTGCCAGAGATGACAGATACCTAGAGCATTGTTAGTGTATATTCCAAAAAAGGATCAGAACGGGGTGTACTCACAGTGCATCCGTTCGAATTGCATCCTGTAGAGCTACAGTATTGTCCGTTTTGATATTTGCAAGAGCCGGACAGATTGCCTTGAAGCTCCACAGTTCCTTCGTACTGGGCGCTGGTGGTAGGTGAGTTTTGGAAGATGGACAACCATGTCACACCTCCACTGGCACCAACGCCAAAGTTGATCGGAGCATAGTTGCCCAAGGGCGTACCAGGGCTACCCCATTGGCAAGCCTTTGACGCAGGGTATCCAATCGGGTTGAGGTAGTATTGGGCAGACGTTGACTTGCCTTCCCAAGTGTAGTAGGTGGCAGCGTCAGGCACAGCCAACGCCTCGGTCTCACCGGCTTGAAGCTCGACTGGAATGGTTTCGGATTCGGTACCAGGATAGTCGGTACGGCAGATCGCGACCACGCCACTAGCCTTGTTCGTGGCCTGGACACCTCCAACACCGGCTATGCAAAGGGTGGAGGAGAGGCTTGGGTTTGTCAAACGAAGCACTCCACCACTGCAAGAAAGACCTCCAACCGATTGGCCAGTGGAACCCTGAGTCGAAGGCCATTGAGCCTTCTGGTAGCCCGGCGGGCAAGCGTACGAACACATCATGCCCTCCCGGCAGGTATCACCTGAAACGCCAGTGACAATGTGGTTAACAAAGCCACCGGCGATCGTGACGGCTTGCAAGCCGGACCAGCCTCCCAACCCAAGGTAGTCCAGGGCGACAGCACCATAGTCAGAGGGGAACTGGGAGCATGAGAGTTGACCATCAGGGAAAGGTGCGCTGATGCCAGTTCCACTGGAAGAAACGGAGGCGGAGGCAGAGGCGGACGGCGCTGCGCTGGCGCTGGAGCTTGAGGGGGCCTCACTGGCACTAGCCGACGAGGACGAGGCTGGCGCTTGGTAAAATTCCGCGGGACCGCTGCTCGAGGCTGCAGCAGACGAAGTTGTCGGTGCCTCAGAGGTCGTAGTTGGCTCGGCAGCGGCCGTGGTCGGAACCGCAGGAGTGGTGGTCGGAACGGCAACGCTGATGCTGGTAGAGGCAGCTGCGCTGGAAGAGCAGACACCAGGATCAGAACCATCCACAAACTTCAATGCATTGTCCTGTAGTCCATCGCACACCTCCTCGGCCGAGATTTCCTGCCCATCAAGCAAGTAGACATAGGCAGTAGGGCTTGCAGCATAGGTGGTCATGGTAACAGCGCGTTGTTTGTGCTCGTGCAAGTGTCGATGAGCATGGTTATGCGGTTGAGCCACGGCGACAGTGGCAGCCGCCGCCGTCAAGGCGATGGAAGTGAGCTTCATATCGGCTAGATTGTAGGAATGATCGGACGCAACAGTCTCTCAAAGACCGGCAGATAGCTGTATCAACGAGTGTCGGTCACGTAGGACTGATGAATGCGAGGCTCGACGAGACTAGAGACACGTCCAGCGCGTTAGCGGTCTTCCTTTGTCGTCCAGTGTTTGCAGGAAACAAAGCAAAGCAAAGCAACCAGAGAGTGTGAGCAAGCAAGCAAGGAGTTTGAGGCCGTTCGCAGGGTCACAAGGACATACAAAGCCGAAAACTCATATGATCAATGCTGGAATGTTGAGGCGCAGAGGCTCGAGAACGAGGATGAGGGCCGGAGGGCGAGAAGTTGGCGCGTGAGTATAGCGTAGGCTTGTCTGTCTTCTGTTGAAAAGGAATGGAACGAGAGAAAAGTCTCTCTGGGTAATGAGCGTGAGCCAACTGAGGGCAAAGACGGCTGCTTGATTGCAGCTGAGATCTCTGGTGCAGTTGTGTTGACGATTGTACAATTGCAGTGGCAGGAGAGAAGTGGAAAGAGAGAGGAAGGACTTTCTGGGCGAAACTCTGGGCATTTGGGGGGCGCAGGGGGAGCGCAGGCGGGCAGGTGGCCAGTCGCAGTGCTGGCTTTGTCCCCCTTGTGCTCTGCCCGGCATCCATTCTTTCAGGAACAGGTAAAGTCTGCTTTCTGTCCTCCAACCCCCCTGCTCGCTCCTCGCCGCCCCCTGTTTATCACCCATGGTCCGCGCTTCACAACAAAGAAATTGCATCTCCACTCTCCATCATCGACTAGACAATGTCTAGAGACTAAACCCAAGCCTGACCCGCCGCCATTATTGGCCTTGATTTCCCTCCAAGACACTCCAGACATACCTGCGTGGGAACGAGAAAACTCCTGAATCTGGTCCATCGAAAACTTGCCCATAACCGCCGATGGGACTCCGGAGAAGAGCTTGCATCAAGCGAAAATGTTGTTCAAGGAGTCAAGAGACGCGTCTGTGATTGTGGAGGTGGGCACGCAGCTACTCAGCTCTCTGAATCAGTAACCAAAGGACACCTTCTAAAATCCTAGAGGAGACGAACAGGTATATTCTGGAGGCCACGCAAGCGATCCTCGTTGGTTTTATTGCATTTTGTCCATTCGATCGACATGAAACGAACATGGCATATCCCCAAAGACGATTGATGGTGTATCCAGTCTGTAGGTCAGCAGCCCATTCGCGGTTGTGACGACTATAGCAGGACGAGCAAGCATCCTACGCAGTCAGGCAGTCAGGACTACACAGGGTCGATCCGGTTCGACCTCGTGCAGAGCTTACGAGTACGGCTATCTTGGCCTTTCCTTGCAGCTATGCTGTGCCACCCTCCTCTTTACCAAGAGAAATGGTGACTTCTTGTCGATGGATACCTCAATATACAGATACTGGTCCGGCCAGCAAGGCAAGGAAAGGATGTAAAGGTCTCCTAGCAAATAACAATGGGCTCAACGTTTTGACAAACATGATCTCTCGATCCCGGCGCCCGTCCCGGCTGATTGATATACTAGCCACCTCTGATGGCAATGATCCCGAACGTGGACTTCGGTGATGCTTGCCATGATTCTACAGTTTCCAATCTACGACGAAAGCTGTTTTTGAAGCTACAGGATCTGGCTGGAATGTTTGTCATGGTCCATCAGAATTGATCTGTGTGATGCGAGATAGTATGCAAACCAACAACCAATGATGCCTCTAACACCACGACCCAAGGTCACACGCGGTCACAGACCACCGTTCGAGGCTGGCGGTATCATCATAGCTGTCAATGCACGGCAATCCGTGTTAACTGCGTACGACGCCGCACCATACGCGCGAGGATTTTCAGCACGCATCTGGTAACATGCGGAACCTTCATTTCCGGAATGTTGCTTCGAACGAAGATGAATGGACGTGACGGTGTTTGGTGATGTGTTCAACAATCAAGCCATCCAGTTACAACTACGTACATACTGCGTACATAAAACATTCATTATTCGGCCAACCACTCCATTGTCCAACATCTTTCAGAAGCTCATACCCTGCCAAATACGAGTCTCCAAGCCACTGTAGGTCAGTGGCTTTTCCATCCGAGAAGCAGAACAGGGGATAAAGCAGCTGACGACAAGTTGCTTGGGCTTTTGTCCAACGCCCTGATGGGGCCGGCGGACGTCAATCATGGCCTTAGCTGGTGACTTAGTGGAATGATTGGACCCAACCCCTGCATTGGGATCCTCGCCTGGCCCTGTTCCCCTTGTCGATATCGATTATCACCCACCTCAAAACAGATTGGCACAATCTCGAGCCAACGCGGCCACGGTGCGCGTTGACGGGCCCATCGGAGGGTGTTTCAGCTCACTTCACTCCTGCGACTTTGACCAGAATCTGTCCACCACTGACGCATCTTGTCTCAAGTCGACTACGTACACAGTATTCCAGCATCAGCTACAGGGGCGGATGTGGCTGGAAAGACTGCCAAGGGAGGCCACAGCGCGATGACTTGCATCGCAAAATCTTCCGAACCATGATCTCGGATTCTGTGTCTCTATACTCACCGAGCTTCAGAGACATCTGCGAATCTTCTCTGCCTCGAAGCCTTTCTCAACAACAGGTAGACACCACGTTACCTGCCCGAGTTCGGCATCTGTTTACTCTCTAGTATGTTGAAAACAAAATGGATCTCAATCTTACTCTGGACCCACCGAAAGAGTGGAGAGTACAAGAGCCGGCACGATCATGGAGATTTCCATGGTCTAGACAACGACATGTTGCTACGGCAGAAGAACTACTCATGGCTTGATCCTGAGGAATGATATGCTAAGGCTGAAGTCATTCAGTTGCTACTTGTCGTTGGCGAAGCTACATGGAAACTTCATCACGCCAACCTGGATGAGATGGATGGATGGATGGATGGATGGATGGAAAGACAACTGTGCTTCAGTCCTGATACCGCCATGATATAAAGTCAAGTCCAGGTGTTGCATGGTCAACTGGAGCAAGCGTCTTCCCAGAAACGCGATCTGCTTGTCGCAATCTACGGAGTCAATACCTCCATTTCATTGACGGCAACAGATCCCTTGACAAGGCAAGGCAGTAAACACATCCAGGCCCGATCGGCTGACATCGCTTGACCTAGTCTCCAAATCCCTTTGTTTTCGATCGGCATCTTTGTGACAGGGCCTCCTAGAGTCTCTTTGTCTGTTTTCACGGAAAGACGGTTCTCGAATGGCCCTCGAATGGTCCATCCCCTTCTGATTGGACTTTGGTCTGATGGGTTATGGGCGGCAGGGAGTCGTCCGGCAGTTAACAGCGAGATCACCTCAAAAGCAGTATGGCAGCAATGGAGTCCGTTCCAGTCATGCTGATCTGCTCTGACCTTTGCCTGTCCAGTCCCAGCCCTGAAGCCTCGTATGGGTGAGCAAAGAATGCGATGGAGGCCGTTCACTTGAGAGAAGGCTTCCAACGCCCGTCTCCCACCTCCACGTCGACTATATTGCTCGCCTACCACAACCTACTTCAATGCCGCCTTGCCAGCTTCCGGGTTCCTGGAGTGTCTTCCTCTTTATTTTTCACATGCCACTGATATCTTGGGCTCCCGGATACCCTCCCTCCAGCGGACGAGGATGCTCCACGGTGCGTCTCTTTCCATCAATGACGCTCGCTTTGGTGGAAATAGCGTAGACGCGCCGCCGGGTCAAGAACGTCGCGACTGCCAACGCGAACATGGGCAGAGGCTTGCTAAGACTTATCGGGTCGAGCAACCCTGAGGATGACCTTCTGGCCGAATCAGTACACGGGAGTGGCTAAGTACCTGTGCCGAGCTTTGAAGGGGCACAATGTTTGGTAGACAGATGTAAAGGCCACGCCACACCGAGCTGCTGGAAGTGCTGCTGTGCCTCGACCTGGTAACATCACTGTCACCAAATGCCATGTCAACCCCGTTCCAAGCCCTGTCTGATGATATCGGCTCATTTCATAAATCAGAATGAAGCCGCAAGCGATAGACATGACCAAGGAGAAGGGGATAACCCGCCAGCCAGATTTCCTTGCTTCCCTCGAGGGATGCAGCACTGTATATGTATGGACCGTCATGCCGATTTGAGCGCTCTTTCTCAACCAATGTAGCGCGGCGCTCAATAGGGACCGGCGGCGCGCAGGACGTCGTACAGGCGCCTATGACACATCCGTCGAAGGGATAGTAAGCCATGCCCAGCACTCACTCTCTTTCTTGCGCAGCTCCCTTGCTGCGTTTGGTTCGTGGCTCTCCGGGTCATTTGTCTCAGAGACATGATGTTATCCTATCGTGTATCATGGGCTCCCATTTTCTGAGGGCTGGCCACCGATATTGAAACTCTTACTGAACACAATTCATTCGTGTTCCTGTAACGCTGCAATCCATCACGCGATAGCTCATCCTCCAGCAGGCTGTCACCGTTTCTTCTCAAAACTGGTGGGCGCAATCGCCAGCACAACCGCAAGACTTGCAACGATCAGGGAGCCCGCGATGAACCCAACAATGAAAATGCTGCCACGACTGGCGGGGAACTTTCCCCGGATGATCCAGTGCTGGGCTTCGAAATAGCGGTGAAACCCAATGAACAAGACAATGATTGATATGCCGAGAAACGTGGCCCCGAGAGGCTTGCCCACATGTCTGAGCTTCGTGGCCGCCCTTTCGTCAATTGCAGAGGGGCCGATATCGTCGCGCCTAGGATACTGAAGTCCGGAGGCGTCAGGAGGTGGAAGAAGGAGGAGTTGGTCAAGCAATGTAGGCCCTAATGATGGGGAAGGAATGGTGGCGGATGCGACGAGTTGCTGTAGATATGGCACCAGTTCGGCGGGCACCGACTGTCCGACGAGAGGCGACAGAGGCATCTGGCCCAGGGCTCGGGCAACGCTGGAGATGGACTCGCTCCCTCGACTAGCTATCGTGGTGTTGAGTCGAAACAGCTGGGTGATGGCAATGCCGATGCTCGCAAAAGCGAGACTGGTGCGAAGCCAGGCCAGAAATGTCCTTTCCAATGCCAAATGATCCCTGGCCACGGACCCCTTGTTCTCCAACGACACTGAGCCGTACTTTTCAGCCAACCTCTTGAACCAGGCTGGTTTCTTCTCCTTCTTCGGCCCCTGGTCTTGCTGTTCTTCCTGTTCAGGTCCATCTGCTGCACCACTGCCCGGCAGGGTTGAGGCATCGTCCGCCGTGTTGTAACGACGTTCTGCGTTTCCGTCGGCCGCACGGATGGGAGTGATTTCATCCGAACTGCTGGGTGTTCGACGATAGTTGGACATTGGATTTCGCAAACTTGAATGGGTCTTGGTGCCCTCTGAAAATCGTATGCTGGGGACCTTACTGAGAGTGTCGGGAGGAAGCTCGGTAGAGGAGGGCCTGGGGGTCGCGGATTCGGAGCAGACAGACTGTTCTTCAGCAGGAGCGTTATGGTCTTGCTCATGAGAAGTCATGGCTACATATCCTCTCCTCTGGGCAATGGCCCTCTATTAGGGATGCCAATGCTGTTGGATGCGTATGTGTCTCCCGATCGTCACGATCAGTAACTTGATGGCATTTAGGCTTTGGGAGGTGCCCTGGCGGTCCAACGATATACGCCCCGGGGTTCCCAAGGAGGTCTAGCAGTGGGAATGGGCGTCAACCATGGGGAGCAGTGGAGGACGTTTAGACACCTCCGGTAGGATAGATCATGCCTGTAAAGCAAATGAGGAGCCGAGTTGTAGATATTGTTCATAAACCCAGGGAATTGCGTGATTTCATACCTACGTAGGTAGGTAGTATGATAAGAATAAAGTCGGGGACGTCGTTGGCTGCGTTTATTTGGGTAGGTAGCGAGATAGGTAGGCGCCTCAGGTATTGTTAGCGGCATCTGGACAGCCGAAAGCTGGAGAAGCACCGCTGGCTGTCGTGTGTAGTAGGATGCCCTGAGAGGAGCCATAGGCGGGGCAACTTGGTTAAGATCCAGGTCGTGACATGCCTAAGAAGCCCCGGATCACAATTCCAGGTGCCTGCTAATCATTGCCTACGGTGTTGAGGCACGCTGCAAGCCATGTGTCATGCCACTCCAGCGGCCGGTGACCTCATGCAGTCTGTTCGCGGACACAATTTCTACAGACTCTCAAGTTCATGACGGCAAGTCACTGAAACGGCCAAACATAACATTGTTGAATCATGGCTTCTCAAGACCCTGCGTCTAATGGCTCGACGCCTGCAACCTCGCCTGGCGTCGACAAGCCTCGTGCAATCCCAAAGCTCATACCGCGATTGCAGAGGAAGTCTTCCACTCCACCAACACCATCCTCCGACCCTGCTCCAGAAACGCCTCCGTTGCCAGATCCTCCTCAGCCTGACTCCATACATTTCACCGTTCCTGTCAAGCGCATCTTGTCTCCTTCCGACCATGAGAAGTTCCTCAAGTCCCCGACCTATACCTTGATCCAAGCATGGATATTCACGCTATCAGACTGCGTCCGAGGACGGCCGATCTCATCTCTCGACCGTCAGCATTTGTCAGACTCGATCCGGCGCCTCGATGCTGTGTTCGACGTTATCGAAGGTCTCATTGACCAGTACCCTCCTCTTGATACGGGATCGAGATTCGGAAACCCAGTCTTCCGCAGTCTGCATCAGGCTATCGTACGCAACGTTGAAAGAATCCATAAGGAGGTGCTAGGAATAGACAATGAGGCTGCCATACAGGAGATATCCATCTATGTGATCAATTCTTTTGGCTCGGAAGAGCGACTCGATTACGGCTCCGGGCATGAGTTGAATTTTATGATGTGGTTGTTGTGTCTGTATCGGCTTGGGCAGATCCCGCGAGAGGACTTTCCGGCTCTGGTCTTGCACACGTTCATGCGATATCTCACGCTGATGAGGAGGATACAGAGCACATACTATCTCGAGCCCGCTGGTAGCCACGGGGTATGGGGACTGGACGACTATCATTTCCTTCCCTTTTTGTTCGGAGCGAGTCAGCTCATCGGCCACTCCTACATCACGCCGCGATCCATCCACAACAATGTTGTCCTGGACGAGGAAGGGGACGACTACATCTACCTCAATCAAGTCCGATGGGTGGATAGCGTCAAGACGGTGAAAGGACTCCGCTGGCACAGTCCCATGCTCGACGATATCTCGGGTGCAAAGAATTGGCGCAAGATCGAGGAGGGTATGCGGAAGATGTTTGTCAAAGAAGTTCTCGGCAAACTGCCCATCATGCAGCACTTCCTCTTTGGCGGCCTGATACCCGGCACTGAAGATATGGGCCAGCTGGATCCCGAGACGGCTCGGTTGCAGCAGGAAAGGATGCAGCATGTGAAGGAAACCGGTCACGAACCTGACTACTGGGGCGATTGCTGCGGTATCAAAGTCCCGAGTACGGTGGCAGCGGGAGAGGAAATGCGAAAGCGAATGGGTACGTCGGGCGCTCTGCGGCCCATACCTTTCGACTAGAGAACGGCCGATGGTTGCAGCCCTCTTGACAGCAGCCCACGGCGGCCCCCGAGAACCAGCTGTTGTGCAGATGATGGCGGGCACGACTCCAACCAAACAGTCTGCTTCGTCCAACCTGGGCGTTGTGCGAGTCGTTGCCTTGGAACTGCACGGCCACGAAGACACCGGTGTGTGGTGGGACAACTGACGAATCAGACAGCGGCTGGGGCCTCCCTGGGCGGTACGCGCACCGGCGAGTGGATTGTGGGCAAAGAGGCAGAGACTAAGGTAGAGTGGAATCTTGAAGCTTCAACAACCGAGCTCGTTGAGGTCTTGTCTTGTCGAGACGACATATCGTGGGTTGACTGAGATCGGGGGTGTTGAGCCGGTGGAAAAGAACAGTGCATGTGAGAGAATGGAGCCATGGTAAGAGAAGAAGCAAGAGTCAAGACTCTTTGCCGTGGACATTCTACCATTCTGCCTTGTGGTCGCCTGGTCTCTGGGTCCTTGTGATTCACATTCACCATTGAGTTCTCATGTCCCGGTTGTAGCAAATGGTTGTGTGGTAGGCGATGTTCGACTCGGCTTCAGTCCATTCGATTGCCGCTCATGACCATGACTCTCATCACTAAGCGGATGAAGAGAAAGACGACCAAGAGATGATGGGCGATTGACAGCAACAGCAATTCAGCCTCGTGCGGTGTAATGAATCCTGTCGTCCCCTGTTGCCTTTCTGTGCCCCTCCATCCCACGCGACAGTCTTTGTCTCTATGTACCTGTGAAGTGTGAAGTGTGGACGTGACTCAACCGTGAGTCAATCATCACCAACACCAACACCAACTTTACAACTTCACTGCCTCTCGACTTCACCCTCTTTCTTCTCCCACTTCTCACTTCCCACTCTTCTCATCCTCAAAGGCATCCAGGCCAAGCAAGCAGTGGACTCTCCGGTTGGGCTGCGCCCTTGGGAGTCACTTGATCCCTTCCTTAAGTTCGGTATCACCTCACTGCAACCACTGACCACCGAGACATCTACATTCCACCCTTGTCCCTCCCTCCTTGATCCTACTGTTATTGATCCGATCTATAACCCTACCTTCGACCCCTCCCTCACACCAGACCTTACCGCCTCCTCCAATATCCTCGACACTCCAGCATCACCAGTGACTACCTAGGTATCGTTACCAGTCCAGTCGTCAACATGGGCAAGCTCTCCAAGAGAGAAGCCGTCGGCGTCACTTCTGGTCTGCCCCTGGCGCCAGTGGTGTATGTCAACGACCCCTTTGCCAACATGCCTCATACAATCCAGCTGTGTGACATGATCGCTTCCTCGACCATTGTCTACCTGGCCAAGGTCGACATGCCCAGAGGTTTCCCCGTCCAGGGTCGGGACAAGGTCGCATCCGAGATCCGCAACGGCGCCTTTGACAAGAACATCACCATCATCAATGAGAACTACATAGATTCACAGACCAAGGACAAGATCGACACAGTCAACCTACTCCGTGAAGAGGCGATCAAACATGGCTGCAACTTTGTCAGTGTCAATCTGTATGTCAACAAGGGCACTCAGAAGGAGGACATCAGCAAATGGGGCACCAACCACCTGGACTGCTGCATCGGCGACATGACCCCGAAGCAAGTTGCCGAGCGGATCCAGAAATTCCTTTGTACGTGGTGTTGCTTGATCTAACTCGTCCCATGATTGCTTCTGTTTCGCCAGACCTTCAAAAGACTGACTTGTTTGTGATGTGATGATATAGTCAAAGTCTTGACCGTCCAAGAGACCCTCCACCTGATGTCCGATAGCGAAATGCGCACTGACGAGGCCAAAACTTACCCCGACTATCAGTACCGTGCGATCAATGAGAGCAAACTGTGCTCCCAAGACGCAAAGGTCTACTTTGTCGCCCTCGTCGTCAGCAAGCCTGTCGTGGGACCAAACCAGAAGGTGACATGGACAGTTGCCGACAAAACCGGTCTTGTAAGTCTCGTCCTAGATATCCATCCACCACATATGATCAAACCGACTGACACTTCTTTTGCGGTGTTCAACAGGCCACCTTCTACTTCCATTACCGTGGACCGGCCTGTCAACATACATGGGACTGGGTGATGGGTCTGCAGCCGGGCGAACGTCGAACATTCCCACGCATGCCCATGGTGAAGGTCAAAGAACGAAAGACGGTGCGAGTCATGAAGGCACCTTTCCGCACCGTCGGCTTCGCCGTCCAGGGTGCAGGTCTGGCCGTCCGCGCCGTGGGCCATGGTGTCGCTAAGTTGGGCGAGTTGGGCAGACTGGGCAAGGGGTCGGAGTGGGTTCCAGAAGCAGACGTGGTTAATGGCAAGAAGGTCGACTGGCCCGCTGTGTTCAAGAAGGAAGGAGAAGCCAAGGACGCCAAACTCGCAAAGGCCATTGAGGCGCAGAAGAAAGCCGTGGACGAGGCCGAGGCCGACGAGATCTTCAACGAGAAGGCCGACAAGGTCTGGAAGGACGACGACAGCGCCGCCAGCACCACCGGCGGTGATTGCTTTGTTGACACCGACGAGAAGGTCCGAGAGTTCTGCTAGAAGGATGCAAAGACTCGGACACAATCCTGAGCTGAGCTCAACCCACTGCACTGCATTGCTTTGCTTGCAAGTGTCCAAGGGGTTAGCCTAGCTACGTTAGTACGTTTCGATCGAACGAAAGGTCAATCAGTCTTGTGGCGGCCTACATTGCCTTCCTCCAGATCATACGTCCTCATCCGTCTTTTTCAACAGCTCAACAAAGATCAACCGCCAACCCGACTTGTCAAACACGAAATGATTCATCAACCCCCCAATACAGACACGGAGGTTACACCAGACCTCGATCGTCATCATGTCCCGACCCTTCTGATCCTCCCGCGACCAGACAACAAGTGACGCTGACGCACAGGCAATCCGCAAATGGCTTCTCTTCCTTCTCTTGCTTCCCTTCATGTCTTGCTAGTACGATGGTGTGACCACGACGGTGGATTCTTCATGGCTAGCGCTGAGCTTCCCATGCATGACATACGGGGGAGATAGTGGTCGAGACTCAACCGGTACAGACCAATACTGCACGGCCGCAACAGGACTCAGGAGTTCCAGGCGGGTTGACTAGTACGTAGTTCAGCATTCAGTTCAGTTCAGTTTCTACAGCATTGTGATTCCCAAATTCCGGACTTGTTTTGTCTCCATCAGGAAGCCAGCCATGCCACGTTCAGGTTGAATCCTAGCCTAATGACTCGGACAAATACACGTTGATAAACTACCTAAGATACCTAAGATACTACGTAGTAGTACCTGCCCCTAGTAGCGAACTTCGATACAGACACGGATACGGATAATGCTTCGATGAGCGTGACCCCTGTACTAGTAGTGGACTGACCATCTTAGTATTCTAAGGCATCTATATAGTAGGTAGGTTGGTAAGTAAGGCACTGAACCTAATAATACCAAGCCAGCATCGTATCGTATGCATGTATGTATCTTCGAAGGCTGTGCGTTGAACCAGCACATCCATTTCGAGATCTCCCTACTACCTACCTACCTAGTCTTCTTACTACCTATCTACTAGGTAGATAGGTAATAGACACCGGTTTCGCATTCATGTCGTCAGTGTCAGTGTCAAAATGATCAGATCAGATCAGCTCAGCTATAAGATGAGGCTCAAGCTTCGGTTGGTCGCGCCCTGAGGGGGGATTCTTTCATCAGGCTGAAAAAGGCAACAACAAGAATGAATACTAGTGCCACTAATCACAGTCCAGTAACGATAGGTATGCTGTAGTATGTACTAGGTAGGTATCTATCTACTAGATACCTTAGGTACCTAGGTAGATGAAGAGTCATAAGAAAGGTTACCTACCTACATACCTATAGGTTACCTACCAGGTAGGAGTACGTAGTAGTAGTATTGCAACATCGACATTCCTACAGTAGGACCTCGGTTGGTCTCTGAGGTACTAGTACTAGTAGTACTACTGTACTAGTATTCGATTCATGATTTGCCCCGGTTTATTATTATCCTTCATGTTCACCGGTCAAGTCAGGTCAAGTCAAGTCTTCAGGTCAGTCTTCAGGTCTGGTCAGCCTTGCCCTTCCCCGTTGTTCTGTTGCCCTGTTGCCCTGCCTCAATCGGCCCCTTAGCCTAAGGTTAGTACCCACACCTTCTCAACTTGAACTGTAACACCAGGTTGCCTTGCAGTAGATCGATTCTCCCTCTACTCATCCCTGCGTCGCGGTAGGAGTGCCGCTGCGTTGATTGTGGGGAGGAAAGGTGTTTCTGTTGTTATTATCATGAAGAGGTAGATAGATGGTTCGTGGTAACGGAGGAAGAGAACAACTTGATGATGGAAAAATAGTATAGGTAGATAGTACATACAACATACATACATGACCAGACAAGTAACTTCCCTCCCTCCCTCACTCCATCCCCCTCGCAAGCCTTGCGCTGACCCAATAAATGAAGTGTTGCAAAGACAGGATGATCAGATACTCCCAGTGTCTATCACTGCAGCCAAGGGAAGCAGCCTCACCGCCCTTCCCCCCAACGATTGGAACATCGCGTTAGACCGTCAGACCGTCAGACCGCCAGATCTCTCGCCCTCAGCAACCCAGACCTCCGCTAACCACATACTTCATACTTCGTTCCCAGCCATTGGCTAAAAGATATGCTGGACTTCGACCACCAACTGTCCCCCATGTAGTCTACAGACTGAGACTGTCTTCCATATGGCATTCCTTCTGAGGCCTCATCAGTGTCTTGTAGGGTAAGCGACCTCTCCTGTGTCGTGTTGTATCATCAAGCAGAAGTAGTGCTGATACCATGCCTGCCATCACAGTATCGGGTACTTCTAGGCAACCAACCTCTGCTCTGGTCAATAGCCCCGCCCATTCAAAATAGAAAGGAAACTGGCAAATGTAACTTGATTGTAACTCCCGCTGGTGTGCTTCTTTCTGACATGAGCATTGCAGTGCGCTGAACTCGACGCCTGGATTCTGTATGTGGAGTCTTGACTGGGACAAGCGGATAATGTAGCAACCTGCTGGGTCCACGCCAAAGGCAACTGTGCTGATTAGAAAAAGCCAAAAAGACGCCTTCCGACATCCCCGGTACGAGTCTCGCCTTGCCCGAGTAGGCTCGCTACGCTGAACCCAGGTCTGGGCGATGATGGTCGTTGTTAGTGTCTTCGAGTGTTGTATGCATATAGCGGAGCTCGCGAGACGATGTCGATGCCTCCTACACCGAATGCGGTTGGGTAAATGCCGTACGATGCTGTGGAAGGCGATTCCATGCTCACGGTACGTGGGATCGGGGAGTAGGCGTAGGGTTCTGTCTTGGCCACTTCGTGCCCGTGTGAACCTCGAGATCCGTATGATCCATACCCGGAGTCGTAAGCCTCGAGATGGTCATAGGCGGTATATGCAGTCGGAGCAGGTTTGTATTTCCGAGAAGAGCGTGAGCTTCGAGCGCTTTCGAAGCTTTCCTGACTGTCATATCGATGTCGTCGGTGGACAGTACGACTGGTACTTCGATGCCTGTGTTCGGGAACACTCCGCATCTCAAGCTGGAGCGGCCTATCCGTCACCTCTCGTCGTCGCAAATGCCCAAAAGGTCCATCGCGCTCATGCTGCTGACGATTGTCATCATGTTCGTATATGTAGACACCTCGAGCTCGGTGGGTAGGCGAAGGTGTGGCAGTGGATGCGTGGTCGGAGATGGCATAAGCTGACAATGATTCTCGGATCGTCTGCAAGTCCGAATTCCTCTCCACATGCTCTTCCAGCCAGCAGTCATCGGCTTTCTTTCTGGACGGACTGTGCCATTCCTTCTCTCGCTTCAAGGGTGACGCCCACGGACTCACGCCGCCCCCAATGTCCAACGGAAAGGGAGCATGATCCTCTGAGGATTCGGTGAGATCCCTCGTCGGGACGCGTCTAGACATCTCTTGGGCATAACGACCTCTGCCTTCTCGGCCCCGAGACACTGCATCGCCACCCAGCTTACAGGAACGACAATCACCTTCTCGAGGGTAATGGTATCGCTCCAGGCCTTGACAGCGCGATGAGTGGCACTCGACGGTAGTCCTGAACTCACAACCACATCCGTACGAGGTTTTCGTACGTACACACATGGTTCTGACAGGAGAATTGTTGAGCACGGCAAAGCGAGGCTGAACGCTTTCCCTTGATTGACAGATGATGCTTGTGTCTGTGTCGCGCGGTGGAGAGTGCATTCAATTTCTTATGCCCTGCTCAAACATCTGGAAGGTTGTACAGATTGGACAACTTGATAGAGCAACAGGCACAAATGGTTTGATCAGGTACAGGCAAGGCGGTGAAGTTTGTGTCAGTTGTCCTAGGACACGACCGTGGTCATGTACACTGGAAGATGTAGAAGTTGTCGACAGGACATGCGCAGGTCACGCAGACAAAGGTCTCAAGAACTCTCAAGTGTGACGTCGAGGGTACATCCGAGACCCGGCCCGGTTTGTTACAGCGTCGACGTGCAAGTCATGGATGACAGTTTCTGTCTCACGTTGTCAAAGGAAACATGCATGGAAGCGGCAGATATGGATCAAAGACACTAGAAAGTAACGATCTGGCCTGGTAAAGTCGCTCGTAGACGGGCGTGGAGTGATGAAAATGTGACAATAAGGAGTATTTCGTGACGGCGTCGTTGGGATACTTGCCATATCAATACCAGAGGACGGACGAGGGACAGAGGTCCCAGGTGGCGGACTAGGTTGTTTACATTCAGTGAACCCCAAGCGGAACGTCCGTCCAGATGCATGTTGCAGACTCGTGCCCGTCTCGCCTCAGAATCAAGCTGGGAAAGAGGACCATGGGAAAGGAGAATGCATGGCTCGAATGAAAGGTTGTTGCAGCTCTAGCCAGAAAGCCGGGCTGTCGAGGTGCAGAGACGGCGCGGTACAGAAGCTCATCTTCGGCGTATCTGGACTGATGTTTGGGCCAATGTAGGCACCTCGTGCCACGGGAGGGCGGCCCTGAACGCCCGAGAAAGCAGGGGAAATGACCCAGTGTGAGAGATGGTCGGCTACAGGCCGCAGATGAGTGGCCAGGATGAAGGGAGTGTCGCCTGTCACAGGCGGTTTCACACTGTCAGTGGGCGCGTCCCCCGTTGCTTTGTGGCCTTGTAATCCTGCCCGCTTGATGCTTTTCTTGGGTGAGATGTGGCTAGCAGCTCTTTTGGCTTGGTCGATACGCTCTTCCCATGTTCTTGATGCGCAGTGCTCCCCACCGCCTCAGCAGACGACATTGGATGGCCATGCTGATCTTGGGGCTGCGAATTGGGACTGCATGCAGCAGAGAGAGCCCAGTTGTAACAGTTCTTGCCTGCTGGGCTTCGATAACTGGACCTTTGATCATTCGCGGTCTGTCGATTTCCACGTAGCACTGAGCCATTGGGTTGAGGTGTCGAGTTGTGTGAACGCTGACCGAGCCTTTTCCTCGCCATGATGCATTGGCGAAGCAGTCAGATCAGTGATCGGTGTGGTTTGGTTGCTCCGAAGACAGGATCGCCAAGGGAGGAGGTTCTAGAAGTGGTTGATCTTCGATACGAGTTGTCGTTCGGAGAGGACCGTAGGAGACTTTGAAGCCCCCAGCTCTTCGCTTCGGTCAAGCTGGAAGAATCAACAGAGTCGACTGACCACCACCACTGTCTACCTACCCGGAGTAAGCTGTAGCAGACGAGGACCTTGTTGGTCACGCCAACAAACAGCATCCCTCGCTCTTGCAGTGTACCCTCCGAGTCAGCCATGGGCCGCCGCGCAGAGCAGACGACTGACACCGAGTCGGTCAACCCACCCAGTAGATGTCAATAGGTTGAAGAGGCATATTTCCACGGATGCAACGGCCATCTGCCATCTGGGCAGAGAGTCTGAACTCTTTTTCAACCACTGGCGAGCTGATGAGGTCTGCGAAGACAGTGGAAGAGACGGCATGTTCCCGCAGATCAGCTGGCCTGGCTGTGGTTGGTTTCCTTCGAGGGGAGAGGCAGACAGGGAGAGGCAGACGGAGTGACTATCGAATGAAGTGCAGTTCTTTCTTCTGGGTGCGTTGGTGTGCATAGATGTCGAAGATGTGTTCTGTCCCTTGATTGAGGTCTGCAGTGTTGCTCAGGTCTATGTATGTATACACGCAAAGAGTATATCGAGAGCCTGCGCTGCGTTTCTCAACTGCAGCCTGCTGTTCTCTGTTCTCCTCGACTGCCTCCCGTCCTGTCATATATAATCTCAACCATCTCAGCCATCCGCACCAAAGTCGAGGCCCAGGTTATAGTCCTACGCGGCAAGTACAGTATACTCATCCCTCTGTCGTTCCGTCCGTACTTGATGCGAACCCCAAATGGTCGCAAGGAAGATGGGCCGGTCCCATACTCAGGTTGATTAACACAGGTAACATTGTCACACCTCCTAGTTCCATGAAGCCCGCAGATTACTGCATCTCGCTCACGTCATGGCCTCTTGTGACTCTGCTTATCGGCCGTACATGTTAGGACTCAACTCGACGATTACGAAGAAGGCGAAGACCGACCACGCATATACTCCACGATGAAAGAACATCTTGACCATCACCACACCACTAAAAGAAACAGAGGGCCCGGGAGTCTAATCAATAGCCACTATTGCAAAGAAAATGCGGAGGCTGTGCAGATCAAAGAGGAGTATGAACCCCGGCGGCAGGGGAGAATAAGGGCGGAAAGCCATGTCAATCAGTATCAAAGACAACTCTACGAAGTAGAAGCCTTGATCGATTTGCAGGGCAAACTGTTGTCCAGACTGGCGGTTTGCCAGAACCAAGGAATCGATCTCAACCCGGAAGACAAAGTTGCTCAACAGAAGGCTTGGGACGAGCTCATACAGCCGTCACAAGCAATACTTCGAGATATACGGGTAGAGATGTCCCGTTAGAATTCTTCCTCCTGATTCTCTTCCTCATCAAGGAAGGAGTTGGTGTGGCCAAACGCCGTGAAGCCATGATCCATTTTCCGTTGGCATTCGGCCAATACTTTTTCGATCGTGTTTTCATACATGTGTTCATAAATCCGAGCCTTTGTACGGCAGTTCCGCAAGAAGCTCATAAGTTGGCACTCCAAGAGCTTTGCCTTTGATGTCCCAGAGGGCAATGTCGATCGCTGAGATGGCAGCTTTGATAGCTACTTCTTGAAAGTAGCTTAAACGGTGCATGACATTCCAGTGATGCTCAATGTCCAATGCTTTCTTCCCAACCAGGAACTCTGCGGACCCGACGATTGCAGTTGTGGCTGTCGTAATATAGCCCGAAACGCCTGGCTCTCCAGACCCAAAAAGTTTTGGTGGGTGACGATTCGAACAGACATGAACTGACCAAAGTACGTATTATGGAGAGGCTTGACGCTTCTCATACAAATGTCACTTGGCGCCATATTGACTGACGGTCGAGTGGCTTTAGCTTTGCTTGTTGTTGTTGTTGTTGTTGTTGTTGTTGTCTGCACAAGATGATCGAGACATGAATTCCGGCTTTGCGTTGCGTGCGTGTTGACTGGGGTGTTTGAAGCAATCAGCATGCCTGCTTCAATAGTCCCGGACTTTGGCAATATACCATGCCATCAGATGATCCTCGTCCTTGTAGCAACACGTCATTTTCAGACCGGCAAGTCGGTGTCCGACAGCATCATATCCCATTGTGGCCAGTCCGCAACGGTGTTTGCGTCGAAGATGAACTCCGGATACATATATGTGATGTCGTCCGGAAGTGCCTGATCATTACTGAGGTTGAGGCCATTCACATGGGAGCCGGTCATATCCCGGGGGGTGGTGTATGAAGCCGTTGATACATGTCGGAAAGCTGGCCGTAGCTTTGTAAATTGTGCCAACACGATGTCCCCAAGCAAATGTGCTGCGTGGCAGGGCAAGCCAATTGACCTCAGCCAACCCACTAGTCGAAACACAAGCTCATCCAAGGCTGCAATATCGTGACCTGCCGCTCGAAGCTTCGACTCATAGGCATGAACGAGGCGACAGAGCGTGAGAGCAGAAAAGGTGATGATATGGTAGATGTGATCCGTCAGATGACGGGTACGTTCATCCGTCGTCTCCATCGCCAGATTGATGATGGCTTTCGACAGATTGACCATCTCCGTGAGGATGGAACCGCGTATGACCGCTCGAGCCGACTTTAGTGCTTGAGAGGAGGCAATGAGATGAGCAAAATGGAAGCCCATCTCCAAGAACTGAGCACGAGGTTGATCTGTCCAGAACAATAAGCACAAGACCCTCCTCGGAACTCGGTCTCCTTACCAAACAAGGCGGCCCACTCTTGGTGCCAAGATCGCAGAGCATTCTTCGTGCCCGCTATATCAAGTGGTGAAATGCAGCACTTCTCATAGATGATCCAATAAAGCTTGATCTCGGCGGCCATTCGTGCTTCAAAGTTTGTCATCTTATCGTTTTCGAGAAGGCGAACACATCGGCTGATCTGGGCTTGATTGAGAAGGGCTTGACGGCGTGTGCCAACACAATATCTAAAGAAAGTCAGCTTGTGAATAGGACAACGGCATCACCTTTGAAAAGGATAAAATCCTGCAATTTCGCTGCCGAAGGCTGCCAAGGATGGAGCTGGCGGACCGGCAAGCACGAGAGCCTTCGCGGCATCCTTTTGATATATCGAGAGAGTACTTACTGGAGATGTGCTATGCATATGTGATTCCAGAGGCACCATGCATCCAAATCGGCCGTGTTGTTGGGCTCCTTCTCAGGATGCAAAATTCCGCTGAAATGAGAACTGGCCAAGCCTTGTTGGAGAGCATAGCCGGTCAGGAGCCAGCTGTCGATACTCAAGGGCGTCTGCCCAATAGTTGTCGACCATAGGCTCAGCACAAGAGCGGCCTGGAAGAACTCGACCGGTTGAGGCGTATCGAGTAGTGCAGATGAGACAAGTCGTCTTGCCTCCTCAAACAGAAGAGGCGCGAGTTGATCGGCGAGTTCCTGGGTTGTATGCCGTACCGCGATCAAGAAGATGCTGCACAACAGCAGCGGCGACCTCCTCACCTGCACCAGTAGAGCTGGGGTCGACGTATCTTCGGCAAATCTGACCCAACGGCCATAATGGATATGAAACCTGGTATCTATCAGCCGAGCGTTCGACAAGAGGAATGCATGTGAAACAGATAATGGCATCATCTGACAACGTCATATGGACGCGCACTCCTGACAGTGGGGTTGGAGCCTGTTGATGTGCGTGCTAGCCATGTAGCCATATAATCAGGAAGGCTGAAGACGATTCTGACTGAAGGCATGCACTTCATCAGAGGCATTCTTTATCACCGCGTCATGGAGTGCTTGACAGATGCAACATCAGGGATCTTTAACTTGGCGTCGAAGGCTCCGAGTTCAGACGAGACCATTTCCTGTTCACAAGAAGGGTAGGACTGACAATGAGAGTAACCAGTGTGCCGTCGTCAGAGTAATCAGTCCGTTAGAAATGACATCCGAGTGATTTCCTGGAGTAGCTGACATCTCTGGTGATTGCACACTAGCATCCGTGGCAGCATCCCGAATTAAGAGCATCGGGGCTTGATCCTGGCCCGATGAGGATACCGCGTCAGCACCACGCGGTGGAGCATCCACGTCTGTGGAAGAAGCCCTGAACACATCTTCTTTGCCGTCCAGACGATTCGTCAGTGCCGCTAAAGTGCTCTCTATCTTTTCCAGCCTGAGAAATGGCAGTCAGCATTCAGTACAAATAAGACTCTAGTCACTCAAAGAGACGGCCTTATGTCCAAACGCTGAAGGGAGGGGAGGCCGGACCGTTCATCGACGGAGACATCACGCCTCGGTGGAGACGCAACGTCAATCTGTCTGCGATATCGTGGTGGTGCTGGGCGGGGAAGGCTGTCGAGGGAGCATGGTTGAGATAATGTCTCGCAGCGCAGGCAAATGCCTCTTGAATTGTCAGACGCATAGCATCTGGTCTTCTGCTTGCGGCACGAGTCGCATGCTTTCGAAGCTCGACCGCCTCGTAAAGGAGGCATTACAGCCTAACTTGGCACTCGATCGAGCACGAGTCAAGGCTCCATGCGAAGCTTCTTGCTGTAGCTGTCATTCATTCGGGCACGAAAGCGATATTGATCTCGGGAAGGGAACGAGCCATCAAACAAAGCTCTGCATGAAAGAGTAGCAGGTGATAGTTGAACCCGGGCCGGTCCGGTGTGATAGGCAGACCTCGACGTGATATTTGGTGAGTCCTGGTCAACAGTGGTAGCCCCGGCTTTCAGCTAAGTACGATGAGACTAATGACATTGGTGGACGACTCGATTGAAGGGCGACTGGCGGTCACGTCTGGGCTGAAGATACAAATCCGAGCCGTTATCACGACATTTGATAAGGCTGTTACGAAATCGATTTTGATTGGTCTGCTTACATAACATGTCTTGTCACCAGGGGTCTGCAGCCTTGCCGTTGTGTGTTATACTATCACAGTTGTGCGGCATGACCTCCATACTCTGATACACTCGTAGACAAGGCCTGGTGGATCTGTGCGACTATGACACTTCGCTGGATGACTTGAAGGAGATACTTGTTGCAAGCGTCTGAATTGCACTAGAATCTTTGGGAGTCCTCTCTCTAATCACGATTCACTATAATCAGCATAACTCTTGTCTTCCATTTTACTGGTCGGATGATCCTACACTGTCTACACCTCCGAAGCTCTTCGTTCCTCGGCTGCAGGGACGCCGAAAGTTGCCTCCACACCACTGTCTCCATGGTCGAACAAGCGGTAGAGGAGTTTCCACGCCAGGATCACAACTGTGCCAGCAATGACACATGCAGCAGCGATGATCAACCCATGTTTGTAGCGAGGAGCATCTATCACCAAGTCAGCTTCTGTTATGGGACGGTCGGATTGGTTGCCTTACCTTGCGTACGGAAAAGTTGATTTCCCGGGAATCCGGCCAGCTGAATGCTCATTACATATGCAGCCAAGGCAATAGGACGTTTGTGGTCGGGCATCTTGGACGTGAGCCAGGCAGCATTGATCGCTTGTGCTGATCCCATTCCCATTTGCGTCATGACAACACCGCCTGCCAGTGGTCAGTATGGAAACTCGCTGTGAACAGACGTCTCGACTCTCGACCTACCATATAGAACCCATTTTCCAACGCCACTTGGAGCTAGTGCTAGCCAAAGCAGACCAGCAGCTCCCCACAGATATCCGATGGCAACGTGGAAGCCTCGCTCATAAAATTTGTCGCTGCTATATGCAAGGGATACTGACCATACCAATGCGCAGACACTGCCGACTGAGTTAAGTCCATTTGCTTGCAAGCCACTGAAGCCAAGCGACTTGATGATAGAAGGCGCATATGTATTCATGGGCTGAATCATCACCATTGACAAGAAGGCCGCGACGAGATGTCCATAGAGTCGCCAATCCATGAAGGTTTCCAGAATGTGAGCTGGGAGTACCGGCTTCCCGTATCGGAGAGCCTTTGTGGGATCGTTGCGTATGACACGAGTGACAATGATGGATGCCTGTCGCGGTGTGAAGATGTTCCAGGATTTGCCAAAGAAAACCTTGGGCTTTGCTGGACCGTGAGGTAGATAGAAATATGCTGCCACAGAAAGGCAGCAAGTCAGGACGCCCTCAAGAAGGAAGAGCCACTGCCATCCCTGCAGACCACCATTGCCACGAAGGGAAAGTAGGCCAATGGAGAGTGGTCCTCCAAGTGCGCCAGCGAAACTGTTTGAAGCCCAGAAAATGGCAAATCGCAAGGCTAGCTCTTGGTTTGTATAGTACCTGATCAAGTCAGTATGTTTCCATGAAGGAGGGCAACGCCAGTTGAGGCCTGGACGGGGACATACTTCGAGATATATAAAGCAAAGCCAGGAATATATCCTCCTTCGAGTGCACCTAGAAAGAAACGCGCTGCACATAGTCCGGCGGCGTCCTTGATGAACATTTGCGACCAGGTGACGGTGCCCCAGAGGAACATTGTGATTGGGAGAAATCTTTCAGGACCGATGTACTTGCTTATGATATTGAAAGGGATTTCCGTGATGACGAAGCCAACGATAAAGAGGGTTTGTGCCAGATTGATCTGAGTGTTTCCAACGTTGATATCCTTCCTCATCGTGTCGGTCAGGGCATTGCCAATATTGGTACGATCGAACTGCAGGAAGCAGAAGCAGAGCACGATGAAGGGTAGGACGAAGAGATCGGCCTTCAGGACGGCTTTTCTCGCCTCGGTGGACTCATATTGGATATCGGGATCGTATCCAGGAACTAGAAGAGCTTCAGCAGCGAGGATGTCGACGCCAGGGTCAGCATGCTGCGTCTCCGTCGGTGTCTTCTTCTCGGAGGCGTCCATGGTACGAAGCAATGCGATTTTGAGACGACTGGCTTTCTTGTGTTGCTAATTTTGATGAGACCTGGTGTTCTTGTTGGAGAGGGATGTGAATCTGATTTGCATCGTAACCCTCGTACCCATCGTAGCGACTTATATGCCTTCATGGTCGAGCTCTTATTGCAGCCATGCAGCCATGCATCTATGCTCGAGCTGCTCGTTTGATAAGGCCGATGAAGACACCATGCTAGGCAAGATGGTGTGTTGGCAGCATTCAGCCTATCCCGTGGCGGCTTTCCATCTCGTAACAGTGGTCCAGATTGTGGGCCTGCGGAACCTTTATCTAACCGGCGGCATACCGTGGTATCCCATTGGCCACTGAAGTCTGTGCCTACGGCATGCCGAAGGGTGACTGCGAACGCAAGGCTGCGCTCCACCACCGGCTTGCCGGCGGCTCTGGAGAAGACCACAAATGCTTCTCGCCTTGGATCTGGACGGGGCGCCAGAGATAAGAGGATCGATATAAAGTCGACACCACGACAGCAAAGCACCTCATAATAAAGAACTTCAAGAGTTGACAAGAATTGACAAGAATTGGCAAAGTTGTTTCGGTCAGCCAAGGAAGCACATTGGGGAACTCTACCGATAATGGAACAAAACACACTGAAGCGGAGAGGCATCGGTTTGACAGGAGTTGATAAGAAGCGGTCGTTTGGTGGCTATACACTCTTCTGTCCGCTCACCAGCGACACGGCACATCTGGTCGACATAGATGGCAAAGAAGTGCATTCGTGGAAACTGCCAGGGAGGATCGGGCGTCATGCCAGACTTTTACCGAATGGCAACTTGGCTGTCAACACGCTTCGACCAGCGCCAGAGCGCACGACGAACGATGGGGGCCCATATCCCTTTCCTTTCTTCAACAAATATGGTGGTGGCATCATGAGTGAGCTGGACCCCGAAGGCAAGGTAGTTCGACAATTCACCGATCCCCTTGGACATCACGATCAATATCATTTTGGCGATGGGCGCCTTTTGTACACCAGCCTTGAGGCTCTGTCACCTCAAGACTCCGCCAAAGTCATTGGGGGTGTCCCGGGCAGCGAGATCGATGGCATCACATATGCAGACATGATCAATGAGGTGGACGCAGAAGGCAAGCTTGTTTGGCAGTGGAAGGTATCTGAACGACTACCAAGAGCGGAATTCCCTCTGCAACCGCATTACACTCGCGAACACTACCCCCTCATCAATTCGGTGATGCCCCTGCGCGATGGCAAGCATATTTTGGCATCCATGCGATCGGTTTCGGCGATCGTGATCATCGAGAAGTCAACGGGTGATATTGTCTGGAAGCTGAAGTCGGATGTGATTGCTCAGCAACACAATGCTACCGAGCTGGAGAATGGAAATATCTTAATCTTCGACAACGGGGCCTTCCGAACGGGCCAATCCATCCAGTACACCCGAGCCATCGAGGTGGATCGAGCAACGAAAGAGATTGTGTGGGAGTATCATGACCGCTCGCAGATGGTATACTTCTTCACACCCTTCATGGGTAGCGCACAGAGATTGGCGAACGGCAATACCCTGCTGTGTGAAAGCGCTTTTGGGAGGGTCTTCGAAGTCACTCCAGACGGCTATGTCTGCTGGGAGTATGTCAACCCGCATTTTGCGCCATATCCGGATGCACCAACAGCAAAGCTGTTCCCCGGTGACTCTAATGCCCTGTTCAGGGCTTATCGATATTCGTTGGACGAAATCCCATGGCTGAAGAGGAAGTTGTCCGGTGGAGAAGGGGCGGGAGTTTGCAGGCAACAATGACGGTCTGAGAGAAGAGCATTAGGATGTGAATTGATACTGGTTTCGGTTAGCACAAAATATCATTGAACTGTAAAGTTAGACAGTGGAAACAGCCTCATGTGAATCCTGTCAAAACATGCTGTATCAAGCACTCGGGAAAGGAATGTGATAGTCGAGCCCAGCCTGGATGGGATTGGTATGCGGCGTTGCCTGTCGATGGTCTTGTGCTTACTGTGCGTAAGGGACGGGCTCAGGATGCTGTCGTATTGTGCCTGGTACACGAACTGACCAGGATGTCGCAAGGCTGAAGCAGACACGGGGTAATTGTGATTGTACCACAACCTCGGCGCGAATGTTGATATCAAGATAGGACATGTCCGCGTGCAAAGGATGTCAAACATACCGTGTCCACCAAGATGTCAAGGAACAAACCCTCATCACTTACGAACAAGCGGATGTGCGAAACCTGACCGATACGTAGCACGTATGCCGCCATCTTCTTACCTTTGAATGGGCCGAAATGACAATCCAATGCCGCAGCCTAGTCGCGGGCGCGGCCTCTGGAGATCTCCTTGTCTCGGACGTCGCGCTCAGCTTCTGGGGCGGCATTGACGCCGACACCGGCATCATTGTCGACCAGCACCACCCTCTCAAAGGCGAATGTATCGCAGGACGCGTATTCGGGATCCCTGCCGGTCGAGGATCGTGCACCGGCAGTGGAGTCCTGCTTGAGTTGTTGTTACGAAAACGAGGACCAGCGGCACTCGTCTTCCAGCATGTCGACCAAATCCTCACGCTCGGGGTCATAGTCGCGAAGGCCATGTTCGGAGTATCAATCCCGGTCGTGGTGATCTCTTCAGAAGACTTCAGGTTGTTAAGCAGTGGTAGGCATGTGGCGATTGTGGGCTCGGAGCTTTCATTTGATATTCCGGCCTTGGACACGGACAGGAGACATATGGCACGGCTTCCGACGACAATCTCCAGCAATATCAAGCTCAGTCTGAAGGATAGAGCCATGCTCGCCGGCGAAATCGGTTTGGCATCCAAGCTGGCCATGGAGATCCTTGTCAGCATGGCTGAGATGCAAGGGGCACGGAGCTTCCTGGACGTCTCACAAGCTCACATTGATGCATGCATCTACATTGGGCCCGCGAGTCTCGAGTTCGCAGAGCGCTTTCGGTCTTTGGATGCTAGGTTTGCGGTCCCCACGACGCTCAATTCGATTTCCATTGATCAGCGTCGTTGGCGCGAGATAGGTATGGACGCCACGCTCGCTGTTGAGGCTCAGAAGCTGGCACAGGCATATATGTCCATGGGCGCGGCCATGAGCTTTACCTGCGCACCTTATCTGCTTGACACGGCTCCGACTAGCGGTGAGAACATCGGCTGGGCAGAGTCAAATGCAGTGGTTTTTGCAAACAGCGTGCTGGGCGCCCGCACACAGAAATACCCAGACTTCCTGGATGTGTGCATTGCTTTGACGGGACGAGCGCCTGCCGCGGGGTGTCACCTGGATGAACATCGCTTGCCGAAGTTGAGAGTCGATGTAAGTTCGTTGTCCGGAATCGATGACGCCTTCTGGCCGCTGTTGGGCTATCATGTTGGAAAACTGACAGGCCCTGACATCCCGATGATATGCGGTCTGGAACATCTGGAGCCGCATGTGTCAGATTTGAAGGCGTTTGGAGCGGCGTTCGCAACTACAGGCTCGGCACCCATGTTCCACATCCTGGGTGTCACGCCAGAGGCAGACGAAGTCGCAAAGACGACCTCGAACTTGCCTTCCTACCAAGTCAACAGGGCCCAGCTGAGAGAGTGTTGGAAACAGCTTAACACTGCCAAGGAACCTTCACTCGGGCTGGTGTCCTTGGGAAATCCTCACTTTTCGCTAGAGGAGTTTGAGACGCTTGCAGCGCGTTGTTCTACTCGCCGAAAACATCCTGACGTAGCCGTCGTGGTGACAACAAGTCGAGCCGTCTGCGAACAAGCATTGACAGCTGGGTATCTTGACAGCATACAGGCATTTGGTGCTGGCCTGATCACTGATACCTGTTGGTGCATGCTTGGTGAGCCAGTGGTCCCTCTGCGAGCGAAGAACATCATGACCAATTCCGGTAAATATGCTCATTATGCTCCCGGTATGGTGATGAGAGGTGTGCACTTTGCGAGCCTTTCGAGCTGTATTGATGCCGCTTGCAGCGGGCAGGTCGACCAGGGTTTGCCAGCGTGGCTCTGTGACTAGGCCACATAGTGTACAAGGGTCTAGCATGTTTTGCTGGGTGCAAGCACGGTGAAGGTTACACAAGGCGGTGTGCCGCTACCCAGCGGTAATCTGGCCAGTCACTCTCCAAGGGCGATACAGGCGGTGAGGCGAGGGACGTTTCAACAGGTCTCCTCATCGTTGAAATGGCGCCTCCATCGTCATCCCACACAGCCTGATGCACATGCTCAGGAGCCAGAGATTGACACCATACCAGAACTGGACAAGCCACTACGAGCCGAGCCAACAAGCTTTGCGGGACAGTGCTAAGCTTCAAAGCTTGGAATGCTTGGAATGCTTGCTTTGACCGATCTGCAGGGGGTGCGATTTCCATTGAAACACCACTTACTAGTACAACCTACTGGCACGTCTCGTTGCAATTCGCAACCTGAGTCACGTCATGCGTGTGGCGAGTAGCAACCCGGCAGGCTGTGTGAACAACAAGGAGTTGGAAGATGGCATCCTCTGACGTGGTTGACGTAACTGGAACACCAGGCCCTCCATCACGCAGCCATATTAATACGGTGCTCCTTCAGTTCACTGCTTATCCTTCTGTCCATCAACGCAGACTACCCGCACATCAAACCGCTTACAATGGATAACATCGTCAGAGAAGGAGAGCAGTTCGTCGAGAACGAAGAAGGAGGCCAGGCCGGCACTTCAAATGCGGGCCAAGGCAACCTGCAAGATACCCAGCAGACCCAGCAGACCCAGCAAGGACAACAAGACCAGCAGGGAGGCGGTATGATGAAGAACTTTGAGCAAAACACAGGAGATGCATATGTCAACCAAGGTAGCATAACCCTCCTACAATGGCGCGAAGGTTGTCTGACGTGCTTACAGAAGTCAATCAATTCTTGAACAAAGAGGGCGTCCCAGCGGGCATGGACGGAGCAATTGACGGGGCTGTTGATACTGAAGCCAACAAATTTGAAAAGGACTTTTAGTGGATTCATTGCTTCGATCCACGACCATGGTCATTGTTGTTGATTTCTCATTCCATACTACTATGTGAGGATCCGGTCATTCTACAACAGTGCTGCTTGTTCAGAGTTTCCGCCGAAGAAAATGCTAAGATGCCGCTTGAATTGGCGGGGTTGGATTGTCCGAACTGATCCTCGATCTTGGGTTGAGAAAGCTCGCAAGGTGTCGCCAGGGGCTGTGAATGAAGGGAAGATGCGTGATGTCTGTTCGCACCGTTCGCTATCTGCCTTCAGACAGCCTGCGGTGGTGTCAGCATCACAGACAGACCTCTTTCTTGTGCAAACACCATAGAACTTCTGCGATTTCAAAGTTGCCTCGCAATGCAATTGAGCCGAGCAAGATCTAATCAGGGTAGAATGGACAACCCCTAATACAAATTGCAGCTTCCAGACAAGACTTAGGCGAATGTTAGACACAACATTATACTTGCCAAATCGTGACGGGCACCCAATATCCTGTACCGACGGCATAAAGCCTCGCTGTCGGACTTGTTTGCTTGCTGGATGCCTACGGTCTGGAGTCCAACCCCAGCCTCACGATTGTCTACTTCGTCAACACATTGGGAGCACTTGATCGAACGGGAATTTATCTCATCTTTTCCTATGCTATCCGAATCGTGTCGTCGAACAACAAACTTCCTCAAACTGGCCAATGTCTTCGCTCACCCGCTCCTATGCACACTCCTAATGAGTCTTAGAGTTATGGGCCCCTTACTAGGTTGTGTCGGCGATTTCAGTCATGAAACGTGAGCTACAGCTCTGTCCTGATGTTGACTCTCTGGGCTCACTCATTGACGAGCAGGGCACCACACAGTGACTCGGGAATGCCAGGCGCCTCAGCAGGACCTCCAGCCTTGCAGCTGCACCTCTAGGCCGTGCCGGTGTCCAGCTTTCACCCCATCTGCTTCTCCTGGGTGATGAGCGAAAGCCTCGAAGCGTTACTTGTGCGATCGTGTACGTTCGGAGTTGACTGTTGGATAGTTGGCTCCGACAACGGCTGCGAAATCTGACTGCACGCCGGCATTCATCGGGCCTGTCTACGAGTCCTACGAAGCCGGGACGGAGAGCCGCAGAACAGATGCCGGAATAAGATGGTGCTCATGCACATTTGGTCACTGACATGAAGAGGGATGGTTTGGAGGACTAGTCGACTGTCTGAGATTCTTGCTGCCGCCGTGCAGATATTTGGCCGACCAGAAGATACCATTCCAGCCACAGCATAAAAACACCCTTTCTGTGGCGACATTGATACAAATGCCCTGGTTGGGGAAGGCGGCGAGCATCAGTACCATTGAGCATAAAGGAGACGCACTTCTTTCCCCCTTCAACCTCGATTCGCTTTCTGAACCCCTGTACTGGACACGGTGCACTTTTGCAACTGCTTCCACTTTTGATGAAGTGGTTCTCCAGAGTTACACCAGCAAAAATGGCTCCACGACTTCCAGAAGTCCAAGAATGCAGCGCCGCCCTGCGTGAGGATGAAGGATGGGTATTTGTGTCGACGTCTCGAGGCTCCACTGACCTATTACGGCCTTGTGCGACTGGGTTGCCCACGCTCGCAGGAATGGAATCATGACTGAGGCAAAGGCTTTATTGGTGTCCTTCACTATCCAAGGTGCGTTGCAGTGTCTATGAACTGGGCCAACGCTCAATGGCGGTCGCAGAAGTTCGCTGCCTGGCGATCAAAACCCGTCATCGACGACGCCGTTCCTTTTTTCCTGCTGCAGTCTCTCATCGTTCATCTTCTGCCACCATCGATGTGTCTCGTCCTCGGTCTCTTCTGGCTTTTGGTCCCATGGCTTCGGACTCAGTATGTAATGGATATTCTTTACCTGGTCATCCCGCCATATGGCGTCGTGGACACCTTTCCACCGCATCGTCTTCAAAGCGTTATAGACGTATGGCAAACCAACCCAGCGCCCATGAAACTGGTCACCGAGCAGGCTTTGATCGGCGAAATCGTAACCAGAAGTTATAGCGCCATTTTGCATGGCGTCAAGGATCTTGTCATACGTCCCTTGACTCGGATTGCAGACAACCAAGCCCCCATTAGGACAAGCAATGCCTGCGGTGGGCGGCGGACCATTGCTTTGTGCGTCATCAGGAGTATCGTGCTGAGTCGTGAAGGCACAGTTCTCCGGGACCCAGTGTTCAGGGTAGTGTGGTTTCTTCAAGGGATTGCAAGCACAGGCATGACTGGCCGCATATACCCTGTGTCCATCGCCATTCAATTCGGGCGCATCCAACTCCATCTCCATCAACTCGTCCATGTTCTTCAGCACCATCATGTCACTGTCCAGTTGCACCACCCGATCATACTCGGTAAGGCTGAAGGGAGTAAGCTTGCTCCAACAGTCGTAGAATCGGGGGTCGTTGGCATAGTCCTTGGAGACTGACGGGAGAAGGTATGGAATCTTTTTGGCTGGAATGTTTCTTTTGCGGAGAGCTTCGAGTCCTTCGGGAGGGAACGTGTCGGTGTACAGCGCAATCAGAGGATACTTTGAGCCCGCCGTCTTTAAGGAATAGTCAAGCGTCAGGAGCCCAGAGAGATATTTGGTGTTGGTGATGAGTGTCGTCCAGACTCTCTTTGGCGCCGCATCTTTGGCGACGGCGGTTAGTTCGCTTGGGGCATCGCTTTGCTCTGGGGCTCTCTGCGCGTGCCCCTCGGCCGCGCTTTTCTGCTTCTGAGATCCCACCATCGTGCAGTTGATACAGTATCTTTGAGAAAAAGAGCTTCAGCAAAAAAACCCAGTCCTCGCTGTGCGGTGGACTACTACATGGCGCAAGCCGTTGGCACTGGCACCGGCACTGGCACAGACTAGATTAGTCGCCGTCATACTATGGTAGCCTAAAAGTTGCCTTCTTTGGAATTTGTGGCCCCAGACTTTCGACCCTGGGATCGCAGCAAATAATGCCCGAGAGAGACTCCAAGTTAGGTACCTTGCGCTTATCTGAATCGCCCAGAAAATCGGGGAAGCTAGCTGCATCCCGGGGATAACTAATACAGACCCTGCACGCATCATCGATCTACCCGAAGTCCAGTCCAGTGGGGGAATTCTTGAGGATTCGGGTACCCGGAGATATACCTTTGATTTCCGTTCTGATGTTACACAGATGTACTGAGGCCGCTTCGATGGCTTGAGGTCCATATGTACCTTGTTGTTGGGTTTGATACTGTCATAGCTGGTTCATCCGCCGCATGGCTAGAATATGTCGGCCAAGTTGAGGAGGCAAGTTGCTCTGCGGTCCCCTTGAGATCCGGCCGTCATGTGTTTCTTCGGCGCTGACCATTATTACACAGTCCTCAACATGATTCTACCACTAGTACCGAAGGCTTGTCCCCTGTCGGAGGCCAGCCGCACAGTGATGTTGCGCAGAAACCGGCAGCGAAGACGGCTGTGAGCAACTACAAAGGATTCGTGGCCGGAGTCTTCTCCGGTATTGCCAAACTCTCGGTCGGCCACCCATTCGATACGATCAAGGTTCGACTGCAGACCGCCGACAAGACAAGATTCGCAGGGCCTGTAGACTGCTTGCTGCAGACACTGAGAAAAGAAGGGGCTGCAGGACTTTACAAAGGAGCAACACCGCCGCTGTTAGGATGGATGGTCATGGATTCGGTCATGCTGGGAAGCTTGACGTTCTACCGACGGCTACTACATGACAATATTTTCTCCAACCCGGGGTTTCGACCGGGAAAAACCACAGCGGAACTGGCGGGACAGAGCCTGCCTGCGTTCGGTCATGGCATAGCCGGGATCATGGCAGGATCTACGGTGTCCTTCATCGCGGCGCCGGTCGAACATGTCAAGGCAAGATTACAAATCCAGTATGCCGCCCACAAGAAGGATAGGCTATATAGCGGCCCTGTCAACTGCACAAAGAAGATCTTGAAGACACACGGGGTCCGCGGCTTGTACCACGGTCTCTGCGCGACACTGATCTTTCGGTCGTTCTTCTTCTTCTGGTGGTCCAGTTACGATGTCATCACCAAGATGTTCCAGAAACACACTTCTCTGTCTGCTCCTTCAGTCAACTTCTGGGCTGGAGGCCTGTCGGCCCAAATCTTTTGGCTGACGTCTTACCCATCCGACGTCGTCAAGCAGAGGATCATGACGGATCCGCTGGGTGGCGCTCTGAATGATGGTACGCCTCGTTTCCGGCACTGGAGAGAAGCTGCTGCTACTGTGTTCAGAGAGGCTGGGTGGAGAGGATACTGGAGAGGCTTCTTGCCCTGTTTCTTGCGGGCGTTTCCGGCGAACGCAATGGCGTTGGTGGCTTTTGAAGGCGTGATGAGAGCCTTGCCTGACTAAGGCCAAAGGGCCGAATGATCTGATACCCCGAAGTCTTGTCTTTCGCGGAAATGGCAATATTCTCTGCTCATGCGTTTCTTTGGCTACTTAAGGTTCTATATATTGCAGACCCCAAGAGTCGTATTAACCGTCGCCAAGTTCCAGGACCGGTGCTACTTGAGATCTGCATTCACAGGCTTCCTCACATAGCCGAGCACGAGCGCCTGTTATGTGGTTCCGCCGTAAGATAGTTGTTCGTTAGTAAGAAAGTTACGGCGAGGCTGCTTTAGTAGGACTCACTGAACCGGCGATGCCCACGGCCAAGTTTCTCTCACGATACATACATCTACTCGTCTGCCTCGTCCTTCTCGGCTCTTTCCTCTTTCTCTCGAGGGAGTGCATCAAGTTGTAACTGCATTCATTCACCTTCGCTCCTCGAAATTCACAGCCTTGCCAAGCCACGCTAAAGTCTGCACTACAAATTCTCATTCTCCATCCTTGTCGCCATCACCATCGATACATGCAAATACTGTCAACTATGGCGCTGACGGAACCTCCAAAGGCCATCTTGCATACGCTACTTAAAGCAGACGGGTCTGCAACATATACCGCGCCCAAAAATGGCTACCAGGTCGTCGCTGGCGTCAACTATCCCGTCGAAGTGCCATATCGAAGTGATGAAATCCCGGAGTCGACATTCATTGAAGTCAATCTCAGACCGCATAATGGAGTTGGGATGGTGAAGGAGCGACATATGGAGGAGCTCGTTACGCGGACTCTCCAGACCATTGTTCTAGGCGATGAGACGCCCCGGACTATGCTTCAGATTACCCTTCAAGTGGTGAATGTCGAGAGCGACGAAAGCCTGCCCGGCGGGGTCAAAGGAGGTGGTCAAGGTGAGACATATCTCGACCTTCTCGCCTCAGCATTGAATGCCGCTGTTCTCGGTTGTGTCGATGCTGGCGTGCAAATGAAGGCAATTGCCGGAGCGGCACTCGTGGGGATATGCCCAGATGGACGAATGGTTGTTGGGCCTAGCGTCGTGCAACGAAAGAAATGCGCATCCTTGCATGTGTTTGCCTTCACCAGTGACAGTCAGACAGTGTTGATGGAAAGCGAAGGCAAATTCACCATGGACGATTGGAAACAAGCCGAACGGGCTGCCAGATCGGCGGTTCTGGGAAGCGTCAACAAACAAGACAACGGAGATGTTACCATGAATGGAACGAATATCACGTCTGGATCCTCGGGCAACTGCTTGCTTGATGTGATCAGACAGGCACTGGAAGCCCGGGTGATCAAGGGCGGAAACCGGTGACAGGAGTGAGGATGTTACAGTTTTGGGTGGAAGCTGAAACAAGTCACCAAAGTCACGAACATGGGCGCCTCACTGGCACCAAACAGTGGTGAGGTACCGCGGGTGGAGAGTCGAGTAACACTTTGTGCCCGGGGAATGCCAGTATCATGGCTAACGACAGGGGCCATGGCATGGTTAGGCGATATGGACATCTTGAAGCTCTCAGGGTGCTGCAGTGGGAGACGTTGCCTTGGGTGCCTTAGGGGCTCCTAAAGGCTCTTCGGGGACGGACAGGGGTATCTAGGCGGTGCTGGGGTTGGGGTGGTTGATTGACCCACGCCCACTGTATGTCCCCACGTGCCTGTCTCAGCATGCGCACACAAACCAGTCGGCCGTCGCCCCTTCACCAACTGACTCCTTCTCCTCCTTCGGGAGGAGTCAATAGTTGGATGTGCCTCCTGCGCATGCGAAATATGCACTGAGGAGCCGGCTAAGAAGTTTAAGGGAGTGTACTGTGACAGCGCAGTCCAGGTATTTAAAGACTGGCGATAATCCCGGTGCCCGTCAAGGGAAAATGGGAGGTACACAACACGGTATCATACTTCGCCGAGCACGGAGGACTGCTTATCTGGACATTCTGTTCCACGACATCTTCGATTCTCCGTCCACTTCAATCCAGCGGCAGGTCCGCCCTTGACGAAAAGTTCGCTTGCATTAATCTGAGGAGCAGAAGCAACAGTAATCGAAATCTACATCTGCACGAAGAGTGATAGTATTGGGTTGATCCCGTTAACTCCGGTTGCTCCGCGCCTAAAGCACCTGTGCTATCACCGTCTCCAGGCACCCTCAGGCACTGCATCTCAGGTCCTCATAGGGTCACTACGGGTGCCACAGGTACCCCAGGCACTACCTGAACTCTCTGTAGCGTGGTAGCCTACACCACAACAGGACTGTGCGGGATAAGAGCCCTAGGCTTCGGTTTGTCGCCTTTCTATCGTCCCACCAGCTTGCGGGTCAGATTCGCCGCCTCTCACCATGACGAGCACTATCACTGAAATGAACACCACCACTGCCACCATCACTCCCACTATCGCCGGCACTACCGCTTCCACTGCTGTCAACACCAATTCGAGCTTATCCTCTCCCACTACCTCCGAAGCCACTAGTTCCAGCAACGTCTCTCCGCCAACTCCTGCACTACTTGATCACCCTCATCCTCTCTTCTCCGATGGCATGGACAACGCCATTCCAAAGGCCACAGTAGGAGAGAGTCTCTTGCGCCAATATGCCCACCATCTAGACCCCCTACATACTGACGACCACACTCATGCCGTACACGATCTCTCAGATTCACACGCGGTCGCCACTATCGATGCGAGAGCCGTGACCTCCGTCGACGCCTCCGCCCTCAGTCCTGCGAATATCCCTCCCACCGATCGTTTGCGCGGCTCCTACATCGCCCATCATCCTACCGTCCCGGTACCCAAGCCATTGCAACTACCGAAGTCGGCCCTCTCGCATCGTAAGAACGCAAGATCAATAGACATATCTAGACAGACTATACTGAAGGCGTTGGTCTCTCGGCGACCTAGCATGGGTTCCATGACCGCAAACGCCTTCAAGACTGCTGCTAGCGGCGACGGAGACTCGGAACAGCAGGATGGACTCTCTGCGTCGACATGTCCGACGGCAACCTTCACAGCTTTGCAATCCAGCGTTCTCTCCGGCCAATCGCCGCTCTCAACCAGTTTCCTTCGTTCGCCTTGTTTCTTCCATCAGCGATTTGAGGGCGTTGTGGATGTCCAGAAGGTGTTAGAGGAGATTTCAGATGACGATTATTCGCATTCAAGATTGATGCAGACCGCAACTGGGGTTCGGGAAGTCTCCAAACAGTTGCAGCGCAAGCCACTCAAGCGCGCGGTGCGGAACGTTATGATCGTGACTAAGGCCCGCGATAACAGTCTGGTGTACCTAACCCGCGACCTAGCCGAATGGCTACTTTCCACACCTCGATATGGGAATGACCTGGGCGTGAATGTCTATGTTGATGCCAAGCTACGACATTCCAAAAGATTTGATGCCGCGGGGATCCTGAGAAAAGAGCCCCGATTCCAGCACATGCTGAAATATTGGACACCCGACTTGTGCTGGTCCTCGCCGGAGAAGTTCGACCTTGTGCTGACTCTGGGAGGAGATGGCACTGTTCTGTTCACCTCATGGCTCTTTCAAAGGGTTGTTCCGCCGGTACTGTCCTTCTCCCTCGGCAGCTTGGGCTTCTTGACGAACTTTGAGTTCGACAAATACAAAGAGCATCTTGATCGTGTGATGGGCGATACCGGCATGCGGGTGAATCTCCGAATGCGATTCACCTGCACTGTCTGGAGAATAGATCGCTCCCCCGGTGCCGCTAAGGGCGCAGTGGAGGAGGGAGAGCAGTTTGAAGTGCTGAATGAGTTGGTCATTGACCGCGGTCCTTCAGCCTTCGTTTCGAATTTGGAGCTCTACGGTGACGATGAGCTTCTCACGATCGTGCAGGCCGACGGGTGTATATTCTCCACCCCGACCGGATCTACGGCGTACTCCCTGTCAGCGGGAGGTTCTCTGATACACCCGTCCATCCCTGCAATCTTGTTGACACCTATCTGTCCTCACACCCTTTCATTCCGTCCTATGGTGCTCTCAGACACTCAGGCACTTCGCATAGCTGTGCCAAACAAGTCTCGTTCTTCGGCCTACTGTTCCTTCGACGGCAAAGGCCGCATTGAGCTCAAGAAGGGCGACTATGTGACACTGGAAGCATCTCAGTACCCCTTCCCTACCGTTATGACCGGTACCAATGAATGGGTGGAAAGTGTCCAAAGAGCCTTGAGGTGGAATGTCAGAGGAGCAGTCCAGAAAGGCTGGGACGACGCAGACGAAGAGGACGGTGATCCTGCTGAGGAGAAATGGGACATCGACATCGATGCTGGCCCGTTTGGGGGCACCGACAGCGGTATCGGTCCTAGTGAGGATGGAGACCATGTTGCAAGTCCCATGAGGCCGCAGATGAACATGTTGCATATGTGATGATAGATGGATTGCTTTTTGATACTGTATTTGGCGCCGTTGCTAGATGAATGTACATCATGACCACCGCTTGAGCCCTCAATTCTTCTTCTGGCAAGCCTTATGTATCGTCTCTATTCTCGCTCTGTCAATGCTGCCATAGAAGGCGATAGTAGTAAGTAGTAGTGTCCCATCAGTGATGGCAGTAACAACCATGACAAGGAGGGCGAGGCTGTGACCCATGCCTTGACCTCATTGGCTGGTGGCAAGTCTGCCAAGATTTCGACGTCAAAAGTTCTCAGCCTCAAGTCCAAGTTCGAGTTCGCCTGCGGCACTTCAGGGTAGAAAGACCATTTCTACATGCTATACCACTGATCTCCCTTGTCCCAATCCCCGTCGAAGGCGAATAAACCTACTTATTTGACACCTTTGAGAATTTGGAGTTCACGCGAACATGGCGGAAGGCGGCATCGATCGAAATGCCGAGGGTGAGTCCAGTCCAACCGCGCCGGACAAATCGAGACTCAGCTAACACAACCGCAGAGCGGATGGAGTTTTCGACCTCGAAAGAGGTGACAGTCGCGCCCACCTTTGAGGACATGCACCTCAAGGAAAACCTCCTTCGCGGAATCTATGCCTACGGTTACGAGTCACCGTCCGCGGTCCAGTCGCGAGCGATCGTCCAGATCTGTAAGGGAAGAGATACCATTGCGCAGGCGCAGTCGGGCACAGGCAAGACCGCGACGTTTGCCATCAGTATTCTGCAGATCATCGAGACCTCGGTCCGTGAGACACAAGGTACGTCAAAACCACAGCCATCGTTGTCAAAAGGAGCAGGAGATTGACTTATAACAGCACTCGTTCTGTCACCCACGCGCGAGTTGGCGACGCAAATTCAAAGCGTCATTATGGCCTTGGGAGACTATATGAACGTGCAATGTCATGCATGCATCGGCGGAACGAACGTGGGCGAAGATATCAGAAAACTCGACTACGGTCAACACGTTGTTTCGGGAACACCAGGTCGCGTGGCAGATATGATTCGACGACGAAACCTCCGCACTCGAAACATCAAGATGCTGGTCCTCGACGAGGCAGACGAGCTTCTCAACCGTGGCTTCAGAGAACAAATTTACGATGTCTACCGCTATCTCCCACCCGCCACGCAAGTCGTGGTCGTCTCTGCAACCCTCCCCTACGATGTCCTCGACATGACCACGAAATTCATGACCGACCCTGTCCGTATCCTTGTCAAGCGTGATGAATTGACCCTCGAGGGTCTCAAGCAGTACTTCATCGCTGTGGAAAAGGAGGAATGGAAATTCGACACCCTCTGCGATCTTTACGACACTCTTACAATCACCCAGGCTGTTATATTTTGCAACACCCGGCGCAAGGTCGATTGGTTGACAGATAAAATGCGCGAGGCCAACTTCACTGTCAGCAGCATGCACGGCGAGATGCCTCAAAAGGAGCGCGACAGTATCATGTCAGACTTCCGTCAAGGAAATAGTCGGGTCTTGATCAGTACGGACGTCTGGGCTCGAGGCATCGATGTTCAACAAGTCAGTCTGGTCATCAACTACGACTTGCCCAGCAACCGTGAGAACTATATCCATCGTATCGGCCGGAGCGGTCGGTTTGGTCGCAAGGGAGTCGCGATCAACTTTGTCACCAGCGAGGATGTCCGGATTCTTCGCGACATCGAACTCTACTATTCCACGCAGATCGACGAGATGCCGATGAACGTTGCTGATTTGTTGACCTGAGCTGACTTCACCACGTCAAACTACAATTCAACTCGCGAAGGCTCGATCGAATGGCGTACTTTGCTTGAGCTGTTGCCGACTGCCTCCCTTTCCGGCGCTCTGACATCATGGCTGCGTATGTCACTTTCGATGCCTTCTGGTTCGACAACAAGAACTAGCACCGGCGCTTCAACGTGTCCCATTATTTGGCTCGTATCTCCTCTGGGAGTGCTACTCAACGCTTGTGGCGGGCCCGGGAACTGCCATACACATTGCGATCCCACCAGGTCGCTTTCTCCGGCGTCCGACAGGGGAGACCTACGGCTGAGAGAGGATTAATCTCAACTGCGATGCTGTATTTGCGTCTCGGGACAAAAAGGATGGAAATGGGCTGAAATCCATAATTGTTGGTGGTTCCTCTCCTCATTGTGCCGAAATTGTCACGTCTAACAACCGTGCAGAATGCTCAATACCAATTTAATGACTTGTTACACTCACTTTCAGAACTTCCCATGATGTCCAGGTATTTTTAACTCCCACTCATGTCTCATCCGCCCCGAAACCAGGCCACGTGCCTGTCCATCTTCTGATCAAACCTGCCTCATCATGGAAAAAAGTGTCTTCAACAGTTAAATCTGGTTGGTGTCAACCATTATGAGCTTACTCTTCAGGACATTGAGCCATCCACCTAGGTCTTCCAAAGCATTTTGTATCGGCCGGAGACGAGACTCGCTTTGCAATGGTCATATCAGATGGAACAAACTGCCAAGAGCCGTGACGAGGATGAGCTCCAATTGTACTAATTTGATCCGGACAAGGTTGGTTGCGAATGCTGGTTTGAATTCATGATAATCAAGGTGCCACCTGTTCAATGGAGCACCGCATGCCGTGAAGCCTGCTCCGGCATTCATTGATGCAAAGACCAGATGGTGGGTTTAATACACGAAGTCTCGTGATTCATCGGTTCCTGCCTGTCTTTGAGGGGCGCCATCCCGTCCGCTGTTAAGACTCAGCTGTGATGGTACTCATGTCGCAGTGTTCGAGGATGCTAAGTTCCACCACAGCCTATCCGGGCAAGGACACCGTAGTTCATAGCCGCTACGGGGTTTGCTCTGGACCTCTCTCAGACCATCAATGGGTCTCTCTCCTACGCAACTTTGGCAAGTGTTTTGTTGACTCGGCATCGGACCATGTCATATCTCTTTCTGTGTCCCTTTCATCAACTGATATCATGCTGTTGATGATCATCGTCTTGGTGAATCCATCGCTCGTCCGCTTCCTTAGATTTGGAGGTCAGATTGCAGATGAGCGATATAGATGGAGCAGAGACAGGAGAGGCAGATAGTAGACCAGATGATGTCCGCAACCACGAACTCCTCTCCTTATCAGGAAAAATCAAGACTTGTGTCAGAGCGATCATAGACGGAGCTCACCTTTCAACTTTCTTCCACGGCTGTTGATGCGGTTTCCATACTTATACAAATCGTCCACCTTCTCTCGTTACACTCGACCTGGTCCTTGGACAGCGTCGACGGCCCACACGCGCCGGTCCCCACACCCGCAACATCCGCATCGAGACGCCAGAGGACACCGTCTCGCTTTCTTCCGAGCTCGAGCAGGTCACAGGGATGTTTTGCCTCTTCGAGCGTCGAAGCGTCGTGGAGCTGTGTGGAGAATTGGAAGTGGTTCTTGCCCAAGGTCGAAGTGGTGGCGGCAGAGAAGTGTTGGCCAGGCCTGTATGTTGCACGGAGAGATGGGAGAAGAATAGGTGGACCAGTGGATGCACCAGTAGGCGACGGCACTGAGACACGACACCATCTTGCGCCGCATCGATTGCCGTTCTCCTGTGGTACTTCGTAGTGTGTCGCCATGTCGTCGACACTGCGGTCCCAAATCCCCAGCTGCTGTGATCGGCATTTGTCGTTGTAGCTCTCCTCGGGCCCGGCTCCCAGCCATTTCACGTGCCGATACTCGGGCGAAAGCTGCACGTTGTGACCGACACGCGGCAGATTGGGTGGATGAGCACCGTGGGGAATAAGGTGCGTATGGATTTCCAGTGTGATACAGGACGACGGCAGAGCTGTGAGTACGTATGTCGTCTCGACGTCACAATGCCATGCAAGGCTGGGCGGTGCCAGCGCGTGGCGGGCCTTCAATCGTACCGAGCCGTTCACTAGCCATGATCCAAACTCGATACTGACCCGGTCCTGCTTCTCCAAGTAGAAGGATTTCAGTCGGCTGGTCATCATGTGCAGACCGTATCGCTTCCACTCGCCCGTCTGCCATGCAATGTCGTTGTCGGTGGGAGCACGCCAGAAATTGAGAGCGAGCAGAGGTGTCGAATCAGTATTGAAGAGAACGGGTGTTCCTTTGGATGTCCAGGAAGAAATCTGCCCGCGTACGCGATCGAACGTGATGGTTACTGCCGGGGTTGAAACTGTGTACTCGAGTCGTGTTGATGAAACGTCGAGTCTGAGTGAGGGAAAAGATGACCGATCAGCACCGGATCCATGCAGGATGCTGCTCGTCGTGGAGTCTTTCAGCTGGTGCTGGCTCCATGCAATCACATGTCCGGCTTTCGCCCATGGCGTGTCGTTTGTCAGTCGGAAAGTCACAGTCAGCCAGCACTCGAACGGGCTCTCCGAACGGCGGGCATTGTCTGGCAATAGGATCCTTGCTTCGGTGCCGGCCGTAATGACAGGCATCTGTAGTACACCTGAGCAGAGGATTTCGCTTCTTTAAGGGCATCAGCAGGTACATCATTTATGGAAAGGTGTGGTCGACGTACTCTTCACCCAAGGCCTCGACACAATAGTCTGCCACAACATGTTCCAATCCAACAAAGTCGTACCGATTGGCGACTACCAGATGCTGGCCGTCGACCCATGCCTTGATGGGCTCTATAGCCTTCTTCAATTCCATTAATCCTCTTGTCGGCGTGTGGTTGCTGTGGCACAGCCCATCCATTACAAAAGTCCCATCGTTCGGGACATCACCGAAATCTCCTCCGTAAGCATAGTATTTCTTCCCGTCACTGTCTTCCTTCCAGAGTCCATGGTTCGCCCATTCCCAGACGAAGCCACCCTGAAGACGTCGATGTGTGTGGAAAGCCGCTTGATACTCCTCCAGCAGGCCCGGTCCGTTGCCCATGGCGTGCGCGTATTCGCAGAGGATGATTGGCTTCGTGAAGGTGTCCCCTTCGGACTCGGCCTCGTTGACCAGATCCTGGGGTGATGTGTACATGTGAGATATCATGTCTGTACAGCTCGCTTGCCCGTCCGGTTCGTAGTGAATCAGACGTGTCGGGTCACGACGCTTGGCCCATTTGGACATGGCGACGTGGTTGCGACCAAAGAACGATTCGTTGCCCAGGGACCAGATGATGACACTGGGGTGGTTCTTGTCACGCTCGACCAGTTGCTGCATCCGATCGAGATACGCGGACTCCCATGCCTTATTGTCGGATGTGAAGTCTGCAGCATCATTGGCTGTTCTTGTGGCTTTCTCCTCATAACTCAATCCATCGAGGTCGATAGCTGCAGCTGCCGTGGTTGCAAAACCGTGGCATTCCAAGTCGGCTTCGTCAATGACCCACAGACCAAGCTCATCACATAGACCCACAAGGCCAGGGTGAGAAGGGTAATGCGAACATCGCACAGCATTGATATTGTGTTGCTTCATGAGCAGAAGATCATGCCGCACGAAATCTATGTCCACTGCTCGGCCTCGGTGTGGATGATTGTCGTGACGATTGGTGCCGTTGAAGGTCACGGCTTTACCATTCACGCATATGTTGCCGTTCTTGAGTTCGACTGACCGGAAGCCCACCCGCTGTGCTACCGTCTGGATTGGCGAGCAATGCGGGTCAGTTGGCCAGAGAGTGATGTCTAGGGTGTAGAGCCATGGAGTCTCTGCGGTCCATTTCTTGGGATCTGATACTTTGATGGTATGTGAGTACTGACAGGTCCGAGATTGGATTCTAGGAGTCTTCTCGTTGTGGAGCATGATGCCTTCGTCGTCCTTCAGGCTGAAACCAACCAGGCAATTGTGGTCAAGCTTCAAGTCCAATTCCACAATCAGTTCCGCATCTTTGTATTCCTTGTCAAGGATTGTTTTGATGAAGAAGTCGTTGATGTGGGCATGGTCTGGAAGCGATATAAGATGAACGTCACGAAAGATACCTGTGAAGAATGAGAAGAATCAAGGGTGAGGCGAGAAACACCAACCAGATAACCACCATTGATCTTGGTCCTCGATGTAACTCCCGGAACACCATTGAAGGACTTGCACCAGTAAACGATTCGGTCTGTCATGGACCACATGGTCGGTAACATCAAATTCGGCTGGATTTCTACTTCCTTGAGAATAACCCACCTGTTCGCCGTTGATCCATACGTAAAACGCACTGTCGACGCCGTCAAATCTCAGCCTGATCTTCCTCAAATCATTCCATGCGGCTGGGAGACTAAAATCCCGGCAGTAGGTCCCTATAGGATTTTCCGTTGGGGCGTGTGGCGGGCACGCAGGGAAAGGATAGACAATGTTGGTATATTGGGGCCTGCCGTAGCCTTGCAATTGCCAGTGACCAGGCACAGTGATTGGCGCCCATATATGCACGTCTCTTCTGCTGCTTCCAAACACTGATTGTCTGCTATGAGTCTCACTGTCGGGGGCCTCCTGAGGTGTTAGGGAGTAGTTGAACATCCATTGTCCATTCAAAGAAATGGCATCGCTCGGGATGTAGTAGGACCGTGGAGGAAGACGGTTCTTCTGGAAGATATTTTGATCACACCAATCTGGGACCTGCCCTCGTTGATCTGGGGAAGCCGTTCCCGCTTTGCCCTCCATCCAACGTGTCTCTCCAGCGTCGTAGGTCAACTGCATCTTTGTGGCCACAAGTTACAGGCTCCGCAGCCATGCAGCAAGGTGAAAGGGACAGCAGGGTATCCCGGGAGCTAGTAGGACATGAAGGGGACACGCAAGTGATAATGGCCACTGCAATCAAAGACAAAACGGACTTGAGCCACCTGGTTCAGCGAGATCTAAGGGCGATGCCATGCAATACAACTAGCCAGGTAGGATCTAGGTAAGGAACCTACATGTCGTGAAGTACAAAGTAAGGTACAGTACTACACAATTCGCGGAGACGCACAAGGCTGAGTTCGGCAGACCTTCCTCTCCCATAGTACTACCATTAGTACTACTAACTACTAGTAGTAGTAACTACTAGTACTGCGTGCCTCTACCAGTGTTTAGCGCAGCCTCCCCCCAAGTGCAGTTCTAGTAGTTGTCGACGATAAAAACATTGATTCCTACTTGAGAGTCGCGAGGTGCTGAAGAACGAGTCCATACTCTGACTTAGTAGTCAGATTCCTCGGAATATGAGGCAAGCTTCCTTGCCGGTCGAGAATTTACCCGCCTGGGCCCATTTCAACAACGTCCAGCTTTTCGACACTGCAATCGAAGCCCATATCTTTACTGACGAGGGCATCGACAAAGGAGGTGGCCTACGGGCAAAAGCCCACCATGAAGAAGTCGAGCCACTCGTCGCTGTACCCCTAGACCTTGTCCTGTCCAAAGAACAGGTGGCGCAATGTGCAAAGACAGACCGACAACTGAAAGAACTTGTCGAGGCCACGGCCTCTTTATTCCAGGTAGGTCAGGGCAATTGGAACGGTATGCCTGAGCCCTTCCACAAGGTAGGTTGGGTCTGTGCCGGACTAACCAACTCATTTTGCTCAGACTCCTCGCACTGCAGTTCTTCTCTTTCTCGTCTATCAAATGACCATCAACAGCCCCGACAATCAAGACCCTGACCTCAAATTCAGGAGCCCGTTCGCCGATTACGTCCAATGCCTCCCGAAAGAGATTTTACTCCCCACGTTCTATACCCCCGAGGAGAGGGAGTTACTTTCGGGCACCACCCTAGCCGACGCTTTGGGCCAGAAGCTACTCAGTCTTGAACGAGAATTCGATCGTCTGAAAGAAACGACAGAAGCCGTTCCCTGGTGTCAACGGGTGTGGTGGGACGAGCAATCCGGATGTCTGGATCTCGGAGATTGGAAGCTTGCAGATGCACTCTATCGGTCCAGGGCGATGGAGCTCCCGCGAGGAGCGGGTGTGGGCATGGTCCCTGTGGTTGACATGGCCAACCATGCCGCCGACGATCGATACAATGCGCGGTTCGAAGTGGACGATGCTGCAGGAACCTTCTTGCTTGTTGTGCGCGATGCCAAGTCTATTGACGATAGTGACGAGATCACAATCATGTACGGAGCGGGCGGCGCTTGTGAGATGGCCTTTTCCTACGGATTCATCGAGGAACACGCAATCAGCGCCAGGGAGATGTTCCTCAGTCTGTCCATTCCAGCCGATGATCCTTTGCGATTGGCCAAGGTCCGATATGCCCAAGAAGCGCCGGGTGTCCGTATCTACATCGACGAGTCAAACCAGGTCCGCTGGGATAGTACGTTCGTTTGGTGGGCATGCGTCAATCAAGAAGATGGCCTGGACTTTCGAGTGGAGAAGACAGTCGACGGCGAGACGGAGCTCAAGGCCTGCTGGAAGGAGGCCGACCTAAGCGCAGACGCGCTGCAGTCTACGCTGTCGCAGGATGAGCTCCGAGATATATTCGCTCTTCGTGCTGTTGTCATGATCCAACAACGAGTCGAAGACCAAGGCATGCAACTGGCGGCGAGTGACGAGGACTACGAAAGGACCCTGCCTGACGAGCACGTTGTCAGACGCTCGGTGTATGAGACGATCGGGAGACTTCGGAGGCTGGAGCTAGACCTGTTGACCAGGGCATACGAAACACTAGAGACAGAGGTGAGATGATCAACTCCTACCCGGATTCCATTTCCTTCTAACAAAGCGCAATAGAAGGGAAGACTCCTCGAGTCTGCAACTGTCCGCTTGTATCTGGAGCGCCAGGGGCGCGGCGGCACGGATACGACAGGGGAATCGCCAGACGATGACTTTTCATAGACTGTGAAAAAGACTATAATAATACTGATGCGTGCCACGTTTACAGAACGGTTGTCGCCAAAGAGAGCTGAAGTCCATTGCGGATCCGTTCGGAAGTCTGTTTTGCTTCAGGTGGTGTGAGCCCACAGTGAACTCGAACTGTTGTCACCAATGTCTCCCTACCGCTCATGGCGCCAATGCACTTACAGCCAACCATACCTTGTGCGAACGATTCAAGCCTTCCGGTATGCCAGATGTGCTTGTATCTAGGAATCCGCAACGTTCCTTTCGTCCATGTTCCTAATTTCCACTGGCCGAGAGGACGTGCGTCGTCGTAGGTAGGGGCAGCTACTGAACCTAATCGGGAGACTGGGTTGTCCATCAGCGTAGGTATGCATACTACTACGTATGCTCTGCTTTCTGGCCTTGCTGTCAGAATGATCCCAACAAGAGGCAGCAGGATAGAGCGATCCTGCCGTCCTGGGGCCATGGGCTCCTAACGACCAACATCAGACTCTTGGGCTTGTTATTCATCCTTCCTTGTATGAAGCCTTCATGCAGCGAGCAGGCAGGACGAGATCCGCCCGTGATGATGTAGCAGGTGTGACCTGGATGCAGTGGACGGTCGAAGCTCGGATTGATGGAGGCAATGTCGAAGCGTTGAAGCCTGGTGGAACTCGTTCATCAGCTGACGATAGGCTGGAGACTCACCAGAAGCACGTCGCCTTGCGTCAAGACAACTCGAATCGAATGGCACAAGCTGTCTGCAAGGGTTGACCACAGCCGATGGCGAGCCTGATTCGTGTGAGCGCTGCAGCTTTTGCGGGGAAATGGAACCCAGCTGGCCAGGGCTTGACGGCTGGAAGAAGAAAATTGTGAGGGCGAAGAGCAGAGAGATCCAAGAGGCGTCGTCTACCGCTTCACTAGCAACGTCTCTGGCGGGGGGCCAAGGTTGGAAGTGTCAAAATTACAGGTAGTGTACCGGGATGTCAAGGATGTTGGTAGGTAGAGAGAACTTGAAGCTGGGCTGAAGGTGCGGCTCCCGAGTGCGGTTCCAGTTTGTTGAGGAGCAACTTGATGATTGACTGATGAACAGATGCAGTGCAGTGCCATTTGATGGGATGATGACCTACTACTAGTAGTACTAGGAGGAAGCCCTGAGGCCATACAGGACCTGGACAGAAGAGCGACGCCGGGGGTCAAATAATGCCCCTCCACTCTAGCTGTGCTCCCCCGCCCAAGCCTAAGCCTCCCTAGCCTCGCTCCTCTGTTCCTCCACTGCATAACTGCCCCGAACTTGGCCTCCATCCCCTGATCCCCCGATCCCCCAGGCTCCCAACCCGCAATCACCCATCTTTCCCTCCCCGGCACCATCCACAAAACCTCTTCCCCAGACATACAGTCTTGCATCCTGCATTCTGCATATCTCAAGTCTCAGTCCCTCCTCGTCATACTTCGCCCTCGAACGTTCCCGCACGCTGATCAACACACCATCTGTCGCACTCTGGGCTCTCTAGAGAACAAATCCTCCGTCTATCGCCTCAAGTCGCATGGTTGTCATAATATACCTCCCATTCCATCGTCTCGAGACGCCATCCTTGATCTCCTTTCTGCCACATAGTTTGGACTTTGGATCCTCGCACAGCAAAATACTTACATCTGGGAGACATTTTCTTCCTCCTTGTTCCATCGCCGCCGCCGAACGGCTCACCCACATACCGTCCATGCTGCAGCTATAAGGACCTCGCCTGTTGCTCTCAGATCCATCCGCCATCATGCCTGGAATCCTGCCGATGAAAATGATCCGAGTGGGGAGCAATGCACAGAACAGGATTGCCCAAGCATGTGACAGGTGTCGTAGCAAGAAGATCAGGTGCGACGGTGTGCGACCTTGCTGCACTCAATGTGCCAATGTTGGCTTCGAGTGCAAGACCAGCGACAAATTAAGCCGCCGCGCCTTTCCCAGAGGTTATACAGAGTCCCTCGAAGACCGGGTCCGAGGGCTTGAAGCCGAAGTACGCGAACTCAAGGACTTACTGGATGAGAAGGATGAAAAGATCGATATGCTTTCTCGAATTCACAGTTTCTCCCCTCCATCACGGAAATGCTCATCCTCCTTGTCACCAGGAAATGCAGTCGACGTCAAGGCTGAAGTCGAGTCGATCAGGGAAGAAGTCTTACACGTCGAAATACCCGCGCCTGTACAGCCGAGAGCCACATCGACCGGCTCTTCCACAACACTTTCTCTCATAGAAGCCTTCGATCAAAAGGTGCAAGAGACTGGTCAACAGACCACCGGATTCTCTACGACCAACCTCCAGAAAACACTTCAAACGACACGCCAGACCTCGAATTCAGGACCCAAGATTCCTCCCAGAATCCTCACCGATCAGTACATCAACATCTTTTTCCAAGAATGGCAGCCTCTGTTACCAATTCTTCATCGACCCAGTTTCCTCCGCGTGTACGAACAGTACTTGACCAACCCAGAGTCAGCAAACTGGCAGGGCAACAAACAAGCACTGGCCCAGCTGTTTTTGATCTTCGAGATCTCGGCGCTGTCAAACATCACGACCCCGAAGAAGAATTCTCCCTCGTACGAGACTCAATGGCGCAAAGCCCTTTACTCAACATCATCTATCGCCTCGCTCTCGACGCTGCAATGCCATGTCCTTGCTCAGATCTGTTACCTGTTGCGGGCGGATTACACTCACCTCGCCCGTCACCGGGGCATCGCTGTGACGATGTGCCACGAGCTGGGTCTCCACCAGCTTCACAAGTATCAAAGTTTGTCGCCCCTAGAAGCCGAGACCAGAAAGAAGGTCTTTTGGTGCCAATACGTACTTGACAAGTACGATTCCTACCTTCCTTTACGCGCGTGCAGCAAGGCTGACACCCATCTAGGTTTACCTCTGCCACCACCGGCACTCCAATACTGCTCCGTGACACTGACATTACCGCCGAATTTCCCGCCGACGTCGACGACGAAAACCTCACTGCCCAGGGCTTCCACCCGACCCTGCCCGGCGAACTTACAAAGATTTCCAGTGCGCTAGCATTCTTCCGCTTGAGCAAGATCTTGTCCAAGACCCTCGATCTTCTTTACCCTTCCCAAGCAAGCTATCAGCTATCTCTAAATAAACTACATGCGCTCTCTGACGAGCTGGACCAATGGTCAGAAGAACTTCCTGAGCACCTCCGCTTACGATTCTGCAACGATAAGCCGGCTACACATATGATCAGCTGCAGGTCACCTCTACTAGTAAGTAGTCGTCGTCGTCGTTGTTGTTGAGTGCGAGCCCGTCTAACTGTGCACCAGTCTTTGGCATATTTCTACACAAGAACTCTGATCCACAGACCGTTGCTTTGCCATGGTTCCGGGAGTGCTGCATCCGCGGCCAATATTGTCCTGGCTGCCGCCGGCAAACACATATTACAGATTGTGGACCTTCTCCTGGAGCGCCGCATGAACTATACTTTCCCGCTCAACAAGGCGGATCTTCTGCTCATCTCCGGGATATCTATCCTCTGGCAGACGATCAATCTGGACGACGACAGCAAGCTTGTCAAGGACAATCAGAAGTCTTTGACTCTTTCGATGAACATGCTAAATAATGAACTTCCCGCCGCCGCGACGGAGTTCCAGAATGTGGCCGCCTATTTCGTTACATTGGAAGGACGACCAGCCTCGTCGCCAAAGCCTCTGGGTTTTGAGAACTCAAAACAACGACCAAATTCGTCCATGCCAGCCCCTTCAGATACCAAATCCAAGTCTACAAGGAGGCAGTTGCAAGCCCTTGCTTCTCGATGGTCAACTTTCGGTACCAAAGCGAAATCGGACGAGGCCGTTCGACTGGCATCTGGGCCTCAGAACGATCCTTCAAGTCTAAGCCCAGCCCACCGCGCTGCCAGCATTGTCAGTCTCTCATCAACGCGGTCCGCCCCAATCGTGCCAATGAACGCAGCATCGTCGAACCAATTGAGCGCCTCCAGAACCATGGATGCCGCAGCCATCAACCTGGATTTTCTCCCATTAGGTGACGAGTTCGGTGACTCTCAGACAAGAACGTCGTCTAGCACAATGTTACCACCAAGGAAACAGCAAATCTCGGGCCCTGTCATAACAGACGCAAGATGGGATCAACTTCTCACGAATTTCGACAACAACCCTTCCCTTTATGCGGACGTGGCAGCCGGTGGACATCCGCTCTATCAACCAACCAGCAACGAATGGACGCCGGATGCATGGCACCTGTCTGGACTGGACCTGACGGCAAAAGCCCCTGTGCCGCAGAGCCTGCTTAGCTTCTCCGAAGAATCCTTGACTAGTGGTGACGACTTCTTGTTCAGTGCTGCTGGAAGTCATAACGGTTCAACGGCAACTGGGGACAGTATGGACCCGATAGAAACCTACCGTGGCATCGCCATTCCGGTGGATGACGAATTCGATTTTCACGAGGTAGCGGCATGAACGGAGCTTTTGATGAGCTCCGTAGCGAAAGCTGTTGTTCTCTGGAGTCTCAGGATGGGCGAAATGCAAAGATATTGCCAGCGAGATATTCGATTTGCAGAAAAGATATTAAAGTGGGATGCCCTCGTGCTGCTGTTGCTAGTTGGCAAAAGTGCTCTGTGGTTCTTGGCTTTCCTTTGCTTCCTGTCAAGTTGTCAACAATCCAACGACGATGATACCATGACGAAAGCAGATGGCTGCAGATATTGAGGAAGAAATTCAAGACACAAGTTAGCGGGAGGGTGTTTGGAATCGATGGGTATGGTCGGGAGATGTACATGAGCATGTAGTGCGATCAAGATCGGACATTCTGCCAAAATTGGTCTTTGGGGGGAACGATTTCTGCATAATATAGTCTTTCAAGCTCAGTCTATACGTCGTGAGGTTATATGTCTTATCGTTAAACCCACTCGAATTCGTTGAGCTTCTACCGTCTTCACCCTTGTAAAGCAATCTACAGTGTGCTCCTTTACCGACCTGATCTCTGGGATTGCCATTCGACATATGTGTACTGCGCTGTTTGAGGATGAGATACGGACAGGAATGTCACGGCTCAGTCCAGTCTAGGCTCGTCACCCAGAGGCTCTTAGCCCTGCAACAGGCAAGAGTGTCCTGCACATAGGGGCTGGACAGCAAGTCTTCTAGGCTTTTCTTTGGAAGTCAGTCAACTTGCATGGACAGGGACAGCTCGCCCTGGGTTCTGAGACAACAGAACAGACTATGCTACAACCACACCCAGGTCTTCGCTTACAGAGATCAACTTCGAGACTGTTTGGGCATATCTCACAACCGGGAAGAAAGGAGGTCGGTGACCTTGGGCTGTTCAGTTCCTGCCGGCGCCTCAACAGGCGGCGGTGACATTGACACGCAGCGTTCGAGGGCACTGGCGATCTTGAGGATCCTCTCCTCCTGCAGCCGTCGGCCCACGATCTGGATGGCGACAGGGGCATTTCGATACCTCGACGCACCTTGACCGTCCGGAAACAGCCGTCGATATGAATCGTCGATTGGAGTCAAGGGGCTCGCGGAAGCCGGGGGGAAATTGGCCCAGGTATCTGACTCTTCCACCCTCCCAGCCGGGACTACGACGGCTGGGAAGTCGAGGGCGTTCCAGACACTGGTGTAGCCCCAATACCGACTTTCGTTGTGGACCGAAGCAACCGAAGCGCTGACGGGACAGATGATGGCATCGATCTGTGTGGCGTTCCACTGCTCGGCATACAAAGTGCGTAGGCGATCGATCTTTGCATTCAGCTATTCTCGACGTCAGATAACAGACAACAGATGACAGATAAGATAGAATGTAAGAATGAACAAACATACCTTCCAAGTTTCTTCGACAGTAGACGCTCGGCCGGCTTTTGTGTCAAGCAGCCATTTCAAGATCGGAACAGGCGGTTCCTGGCCCTCGGCCAGAATCTCCCGGTATTCTTTCCCGCCGTCGAGAAAATACGCTTCATCCGCCGCATCGATCAGGTGTCGATGCAGACCCGTGTCCCAATCCACCATCGTATGGCCCCGGGCTTGCAAGGCTGTCACTGCGACTTTCAGTGCACGCGTGACCGGCGGATGCGGCTGAACGACGCCATCGTGCCAGACGACGCCGATCCTCCAACGCGAAGGGATCAGGATTTGAACCTGGTCTTCGGTCTTCCACGGCATCTCGATCATAGAGGGCTCATGGTCCCAAGGCCGACAGGCCAGAGCCGCGGAACAGAACAACTCGATATCTTCCACGCACCGAGCCATGGGGCCGACAACACCGACAATGTTCTGCATTCCGTCATGAAGGCCACTGAGTCCACCGTGCGGCAGTCTCGCGACACTCGGCTTGAAGCCGTAGACCCCGCAGAAGGCGCTGGGCACGCGGATCGAGCCGCCTATATCGGTGCCGATCCCCAGAACACTTCCGCCCATTGCGATCAAGGCGCCTTCGCCCCCGGTGCTGCCGCCGCAGGTCAGACGCCGGTTGTGCGGGTTGAACGTGATGCCGAAGAGATTCGAGTCGGTTTCAACAGCCATCAAGGTCTGCGGATTGGTCGTTTTGACGTGGAACACGGCGCCCTGGGCTCTCAGAACCCGGACGATCAACGCATCTTTGGTACAGACCTGATCTGCCCAGGCGATCAGCGCGCACGTCGCCCGCGTGCCTCGCATGTGGATATGCTCTTTGACGGAGATCGGGAGACCGTGCAGCAGGCCCCTCGGCCGGCCATGGATCGCCATGTATTCGTCCAGTGCGGCGGCCTGTGCCAGAGCTTCTTCAAAGAGGATCTCGGCGACACAGTTCGTCTGATGGTGGCAATGCCGTCACTTCTCTGTCAGTAGATGTTGCTGCTGGAAACCCCTGAATGACCTGGGAGTGGGAACGGGAGAAAACTACCCACCGTTTGCTGCGCGATGGCAGCACGTTTGCAGAATGCCCGGGTCACGTCCACTGCTTTGAACTGGCGCGTTCGGAGCCCGCCCAGGATGTCGCCCGCTTTGCATTCGGTGATCATCAGTTCCCAGTTGTCCAGGATGCCCGACTGGCGGGCCAGATCCATGGGAGGGTCACTCTTCAATAAACCTTCGGGCAGTCGCCATTCGGGGGGGATCTTGCTTCTGATGCTGTTCTGGTGTCTCGCGGCAATGGCATGCCAGTCGGGGTTCTCGGCGGCCATTCTAGATTGCGACTGTATCTGTGACTTTCCGTCGCGGGACACGCACATTACCTAGCAATCGTTGGATTGAAGCATTGCTGCTTTCTGGCGCTGATGAAACTAGCAGGCCATCAACAGCCCTGGCTATCCAAGCTGTAGACCCAGAGCAGCAGTGCTGGGAAGGACGTCGTCACGTTCTTCATCCCATTGAACGATCTCCATGCCGAGCTGCGACATCGGCCGCCGAAGCCAAGGATCTTGTCGGATGGGAAAAAGAACTGCTGCTCTAGCCATATCGAGCGACGTGCGTTCAGCCCCAAGTCACCTACCTGGTCTTTACAAGGCGTGTAGAACGCCTTTGTTTCATTATACAGGATGCTGAAGTCTTTAGTCGGTCCCAAGTACTGTACCTTTGCGCATGAATCAGATTCGCGGCAGATGGCCACCTGCAGTGTGGGCTCCCCTGGACCAAACACGTACTATACCGGAATAGGGGAAAATGGCAGGCAAACATGCCAAGCGGAAGGATGAAGCGAGGCTCCCGGCTATTCTTAGTGATCCATTGGCCCGCTCTCCACCTTTAAATCCCTCGGTAACAACTTCAGCCGAGGAGATCTCAGCCTCGCGGTGGATATCAGTCATGGACCAGACGCCTGATAGCATACACGATAGGCACGCGGGGACAGCTTGTACTAGAATCTGGTACTGCTCTTCCATTGCAACACACTGCGTTTGATTGGATGGACGCACTCGTTTCAGGGTCTCCATCGCCATTCAAGTTGTCTTATAGTAAGTATCAGAGGCCCATTGTGTGGACGATCTCTAAAAGTTGTAACTCATGATCTAGTCATCCAAGGCACTTTCTGACCCTCCGTGCTTGTTTGTCTATATACAGCCTATCAGAGACATGAGGCAAAGATACTCTGTCTGATTGTTTACTGTCCGCCGCCGAACAGTTGTCAGTATAATCGAGCAACGAACAGCACATTCTAACTTCACCCTCAAATGGAAGATACAACCAATGGTGTGTCAAAGATGGAATATCCTCAGTCCAAACTCAACAAGATCAGGGTATACAAACATAGGGGTATGTACGTCTGGTTATAGACATGTTACAACTCCCGTGACTGGTCTTTCTGAGAACATGTCTACTCTGAACATGTATATGTGTGTGTGTGTGTGTTGTCTTTCTGACAATCACTCTGTCAAGGCCATTACGACTATCAAACCATCCACTCGATAACGGACTCGACGCTGGTATCGCAAGTCTCATTTATCACCCGAGACGAAGATGGCGACGCGATACCTTTGACCATGCCACTGACTGCAGTGCTCGGATCGTACGGTGACGGAAGCAACATTCCCTCAGAGACAGAAGTCAGCGACGCTGAGCTTGAACGGATCCGACAGGAACAGATGAAGCGAGGGCCGATGGATTTGTATCTGCACGGTAACGCTGCGGCGTTATTGTACAAGGCCATCAGGGAGAGTGAGTCAGGACAGGTGAGGGTGTGCATTTCATCGACTAAAGGTAAGAAGACATTTGTGATCTCATTCTTCGGCAAGAGGGCATCCCATGCCCACCTTCATATGTCCATTGCCTCTGGGCTCTTGACTGGCCAAATTGCTGATCCAGAGTCCCTCTCAAGTCGACGGCTTTGCGCTGTTTCCCACTCCCAACGGGCACAGTTTGAACTATCGATCGGCAACGATTCACGGCACGGCCTCTCTTGTGCCGGACACAGATAGACGCAAAAAGCGCTACGCCATGCGTCTGCTCACGAACCATATGTACCGCGGACGCTGGGAGACCACATACCCGGTCCTACATTCGGCAGTGGACAAGGTGAAGGTGATTGAAGTCAAGATCCTCAGCGCCAGCGCCAAGGTCCGAACGGGCAATATCGGTCCATTCGATCCGACGACGGTGACAGAGGAAGAAGTTCAGAAAAGGGAAGAGCAAGGGGAAGGGGTGTGGTCGGGCGTCGTGCCGGTATATGAAGTGTTAGGAGGGTCGGTGGCTAGCAGTGTCCAAGGACCAGGAGGGGATCAAAGAGGGTTGACGGCGGTGGAAGAGTGGAGGGACGAAAGGAATAGGAGAGAAAAGGAGTATGCTGAGACTGTTGCACAGTGAGGAAGATGGATCTCTCGCATCTTCAGTTCACTTATCGACCAGCCTTCAGCCTACCCTTTGCAAGTCATTGGAAGACTCGCAACTGAGGTACCAGTTCTGCAGTTGTACGCGTCTGTAGACTCGCAAGCGAAACTCACTATAGTGTTGTGTACTACTAGTATGCTCCGTGTCGACTGGGATGCAGTGCAGCGGTGGAAGACGAGGACGAAAGACGCAGCTGAAGAGGAGAGAGTTAGAGAGATAGCTTGACCCGATGTCGTCATAGTTGCAACATCATCTCCTCTGGCATCATCCGTGTCATCACCACCACCACCACCATCATCACCATTCATCACCGCACGTCAATGCCGTCCATCCACTCACGTCTGTTGGATTGTCGATTAATGACCGAATTCTTGAATTCCCTACTAGTACTGTCGTGCAGTGACCCGTTTCATTCCCTCATGAATACTGATATCAGTAAAGACGAGGCGAGTTCCGAACTATCTACTAACTTGACTGACTGATACTTATCCCACCGACGCTACACTCGCCTACTCGTACCCATCCCCCTTTGAACAGTCCACATTCTGCTTCTGTCTAATACTAGTCCAAGAGATCCTTCCTATCCTAGTGTACTCCATCACCATTACCCTGCACTCGATCACTACTCTGACCGCTCACCTACCACCCGAACCACAACCCAGTGCCAGATCCGAACTCGAGTCAAGAACTGCACAGATCGTGCCAACAAGGACGAACCAGTCTACAGAGTATCACCAACCCCATCGATCCCGTCCAAGATGCCTCGTCTACTCGCCCCTCTCCCCGTCCGCTCCTTGACGAGAATCTCCTCCCCAATGCTGCGCGGCGGTCTTCGTCATCCATCGTCCACCGCTCCTCTTTCCACCACTTCCGCATCACGGGCAGCAGATCCAAGCAGCACTCCCGGCTGGGGAGGTCGTGGGTCCGAAAGCCATGCCGTGAATCGGTCACAGCACGACCCTCAGTCCGAGGGCGCGCAGCAGGGCATCAAGGACCACGAGGAGGGCAAGGAGGGCAGCCAGGCCATCAGCCGCAAGGACGAGGGCAATGCGAACAAGAAAGCCGAGGAGGACCATCCTGAAGCGCCACAGCCAGTCATTGGCATGAATGACGAGAGAGGCCAGGTAAGTGATCTGCTATAGTCTCGAAGATGAAAGAGCCCATTTCCAGCCTGGTCCTCTATCTCCAACCTCGTTCACTTGCTGACTGTCTGCAAATAGAAACCTAATTAAACAACCCTCAGCGAATCCGAACGAAGAGGCCCCTAAAAGCGAACTGGGTGTACAGAAATCTGTATGGGCATTCCGCAGAGGTGTTGCAAAGGCGTTCATCTTATCATTTCGTTCCCTGAACTTGTAAATAACATGCCTTCCTGAATTATGATCCATTTGATATCCTGTTCATTCTTTTTGATGATTCATTGGTATCTGTTCGTCTCATGTCTTAAAACATGTTCCCGCCAACGGCTCAGTATGATCGCATGCAGAACCCTGAAAGGCCGTAGGTCACCGCCCAACGTGAAAAGACAGGATATCGTTCTTGCCCACACTTACGACCTGGTCTTCCGCCACTCGCCGTCCACCATCCCCTTCGATAAAGGCAATAGGAGCGTCGCCCATGACTTTCCTCGCCACGTCAGCCACCGTGCTGCCCTTCTTCACCAAGACGCAATCTCGGAACACCGCCGTGGAGCCGGACGCCCCAGAGCCGTAAGTGTGGATGTTCTTGACAGGAAACACAGGGACAAGGCCCAACATCTCTGCTGCGCGCGTCAAGACCTGGACCACCCCCGTACTTCCGAACCGGTATAAAACCATGTCCTTGAGGTTTTCAATACGTTGCTTCAACTTGTCGTCCATTTCCTTAAGGCCTCCTCCGTCCGGGTCTCCTTGTTCGATCAGATCCTCCCGCGTGTCCAAGTACTCCGAGCCTTCTTTGTATCTGATATACCCCTGTTTGGCGAGTCGACGGAGAAACACTTCTGATATGGCACTACACAGAACGATCTTGTCCGCCGGTTGTTGTTTGGCGATCTTGGCTATATTTCGATCCGCGTCCGGATGGTCGATCTTGTTGAGGGCGAGCACCGTGGGGAACTTCTCGTCGGTAAAAGTGTTGACGACTTTCAGGATGGTTTCGTTGCTCCAGTCCTCCAGCGGTTCCTTCAATTGTAGTTTGTCCAGACACCTTGCCACGATCGAGCTAGTACTGCCATACCCAGAGAACTGGCTTTGCAGTGTGTCCACTGGCGACGCCTTGACCGCGACATGTCGTCTCTTGATACTCCCCCATTTCTCCATGAGATTGCCCAAGATCCATCTCACAATCTCTCCGCGCAGCCATTCGACATCTACGCTGGGGTCGTAGCCACGTGTTGCTTTCCCCTCGGCATCGGTTGTTCCGCTCACATCGACCACGTGAATAAGAGCATCCGCATGGCGCAGGTCGTCCAGAAACTTGTTGCCCAACCCTTTGCCTTCGTGAGCGCCGGGTACTAACCCTGCAACATCGAGAAGTTCGATCGGGACCGATCTCTTGCCATTCACGCAGGCGCCATAGTTGGGCCTACACCTGTCCTCAAGTCCGTGTCGTACACAGGCGCAATCTATCTGGAGGTATCCGACGGCTCGCTGAGGATCTATTGTTGTAAAACTGGGTTCGGAGAAGGTATAAATTTAGTTCTGCGCACAGTCGAAGGAAGATGGGACGCTGTTGGGTTCATCTTACGGGAAGTTGCCTGCGCGATTTCATATCAGCCTAGTTCCGACCACCTCTTCGCCGTGGAAATATAGAAACAGCATCGTGGACAAGACGAAGACTGACCGACTTTCGAACTAGCATCTGTCAAGCTGTGGAAGAGTGTGAGCCAAGCGAAACCTGGTTATGTTCTGATTGGTATTGGTCGCACCTGTTTAATGTGGTGGATTTGCCAGAGGACGGTTTTCCCACCAGGCCGATCAGAGGGTCTCGAGGCATCGCTATGAAAGAGTAGGGGCTAGTTGGGACTGGTCGGAGATCAAGGAGACGTAGATGTACAGACACGCGGTTTGGCCGGCCCTGAGGCCCCTCTAGAAACAAATTCCCAAAGTATCGCGAGAAAAGTCGAAAGACCGGATAAGATGCGGAGCAGTTTGGCGACAAAGTCGGTCGATGGTGGGGTCGCAGCCTAGTAGCCATAGGGCAGAAAGCCGTTCAAATGACGTGCGGGTGTCATTCGCTTCCAGGTTCAAGATTCCAAACCTCCTCCTTTCCTGTGTATCCACACGACTGCTTTTGCTTGACGGATCTCTAAACCCGTCAAAATGCGTTGCCGCTTTCCTGAACGTGTCTAAAAGCCCATCTTGCAGCGTTGCACGGGTTCAGTTGCTCTGGATCCGCTATGCTCGAACACCGTTCGCGAAAGCCCGGTAAGTACAGGAAAGAGAAAGTACAGAGAAGGATACAGGTACACTCGAATTGAGCTGTGAAGGCTACGCGTGGAAGATGGGCGTACTCTACCACTTCTTTTACCGCATTGCATTTCTGGCCACGGCTCTGATCCATCTATGGTGGAATGACCTCTTTAAGGCGACCGCAATTGTTGCCACGGCCTGTTTATCAAGTCCCGGCCAGCCGCTCATTCGGAGCATTGTGAAACTCCACTCTCTGGTCTTGATGTGCTTTGTGCTTGGGTTTTGCTTCAAGAGTGTTTCTGCAGCTCCAGTCCAGGAGGTGCTACAACATGATCCCACCGTTCTCAGCGTGAGTCTACTCCTCCTTCTCTGACGGATGCTCAAATTGACGACGACCTTTGGCAGTTTGACGACATCAAGACACTCGATGGCTTCGGAGATATCCCAGCGCCATACCATAACCTCACATTCGAAGGCTTCTACGCGTTCGACCCTTCTGATCCGGCGCTGGAGGGGAAGATATCACCACAAGATGTGAATTGTGCGGCGTCAAAGCCCAACGCCCTTTACGGAACCAGGGATAACTTCGAATTGAAGCTTGTGGAACCTGAAAGGAAGCCATCTCTACAGCCTAGCAACTCCAACGACACCTTCACAATTCACCGCCTGAAGCTGAAACCTCTGAACATGCCGCTCGGCGCTGCCAAAGTCAATCTGCAAGGCGTGCGAAGATGCTCTGACGGTAGCGACGGGGAAGAGGTGCTAGATTGGAGCGTGGATTTTCCTGCCGGATACCACTATGCCCTTGACGTACCAGTCAAGGAGTTCAGCGGGAAAGTGTGGGATAAGCTCGAGACGTTGTATATGTGGGCAGACTTCCACTACAATGGTCTTGAGTTGGACTGGGAGTTCTGCGTGGATGACATGGAAGTCGAGATAGATTGATTGCCAGACGACTTGAACTTGGGCAACACCCGAAGGCGAGGGCGTCTCAGCTCGCACCTTGCCATAACTAGCATCACAGGCCTCTTCTACGTACCTAGGTATATCGATGAACCTGCAGACATCCATCGGCATGCCACTGGCACTGCAGTGCGATTTTGTCCGTCATACAGATCAGGTACATCTCTACGCTGATTGGATGCTGAACGTATTACATAATCTCGGCTCTCCCATCCAGAGGCTAAACCCTTTCCGTGGCAGATGATGCATTTTCTGCCCCTGTCGAATTCTACTCCATCATGACGTCGAAATTTCGCCGCATCCTTCATCCTTTCGCTGCTGCAATTCGAAGCATGCCATGGGTCTCCTGGAGAAACTTCGAGATCAACAGCAACGATGAGCATGTCTGTGGGTAGCCTGTCTGTTCTGTAGCCATCGATTGGCCGACAGCTACACTTGCAACATGAGGGCACCTCACGATCAGACTGCAGAAAGGAGAGATGACGTCGTCACACATCCACTGCCCAAGATGCCTTCAAATACCACAGTATAGAAGGCAATATTCCAATGAGTTTTCTCTCTTGTCAGCTTGTAAAACAATCACCAAAAATCACTCCAAAAGTTCCAATCGATCTCATAAGACTACTTTGCTAGTATTCAGAGAAAAAGCCAATCTCCTTGACTAGACTTGACTCCCAACCACTATACAGACCAGTTCAAATCTACCTCCTACATCAACGTACAATGTCGGATCAAACCTTCCACACCACCAGCGAAGACCTCCGCAAGCAAGAGGCCAGAGAATCCAAGTTCCACGACGGCAAGACGCCCAAGGACTCTGACACCTCAGCCATGAAGGTTTGTCGTTTACTTCTATGGTATACATCTACTTTACAGTATACTGACGTTTCCCCAGTCAATCCTGTCCGAGCAAGAATCCAAACAAGAACAGATTGACCGTGTAAAGGCCAACCTGCCTCTGCCAGACCAACCAGTTGGCGGAGCTAGTGCAGATCTGCAATCGGCAGACCAACGGACCGTCAATGTTGGCAGCGGCGGCGTCAATGTCAAGCTGGGCACAGAATCTTCCTCGGGCCTGAGAGAGCCGGCGACGGCTGAGAGCAGTGTCAGACTCGACGGCGAAGAATGGAAGAAGCCGACGGCGCCATAAAGGCGAACCGAGGCTACGTACGAATATTGGGGAGACCTTTGATGAGACATATGCTTGCTAGTGGCAGGCCACTTTTCTTGACGAAGGGTTGGTGCATTTCCATATGGGATTTCAAGGATCAAGGAGATCCTTCATGGATCATTCATGCAGCCTGAGAACATGCATTCAGGTAGAAGGGACATAAGCATCCCAATCCACATTATCTTCGTCATCTCTTTTCTCGATATTTCTTCCTGTGGATCGAATTTTCTTATCTCTTAGACCGTAGTCTTTCACAGGCTTCTCGTTAGCAGGCGTGCTGTCTGCAGGTTGGCTGGACCACAAGGCCAGAAGCCCAATCTCCCGCTTACTGCTTGAAGTTACCAGCCTGCTGGTGAAACGCGTTTCGGCCATATATTGCAGAACTTGCAGAGGTCAAGCCACCACTCAGCTGTAATATCTGCTGGTCGGACGCAGCTCTTCCTGTTTCTAGATCGTATCTGTCGGATGTACTGGGGTTTGCATTCCCATTTCCAGATCCCAACTTTTTCTCAACCCGTTTCGTTATTTTTGGGGATCAACCCACGTAGACTCAAATCGTAGACGACATCTTCGACTTTCTTGACACTATATTTGACCCCATCTGCTCGACGCCTCAGAATATCGTTCTTCAAGTTCAACAGTTGAAATCCGGCGTGGACGTCTTTGATGAATTTGGAGATCTGTAGCGGTCGCGCATAGTCGCCCAGCGTGACTGCATTAGGAGCCAGGCGCGCAAGCTCTTCGATCGTCGAGGTGAGCGCGAGTAGGTAGTCTTCGACGGTGATATGGAAGGCATCTTCGGATTTGAGGTTGACGGGGACTAAGCACGTAAAGGATAACCCATTAGCACAAAACCCAGTCTATAGCATTGAAAGAAGAAGCAGAAGTCTTGGGTTTCTTGCTTGATGTACTTTAACTGCTCTGTACTTACCATTTAATCTCTGCCCGACCTCTTCTAGCGTCAGGAGATTACCACTCTTGAGCCAGTCGCATAATTGCATGCTGCTGATCAGCGTCTGAATGTCGCGTTGCCAGATAGAGTTCCATTTGTAGAAGGGGTATTTGGACGCCGACTCGGCCAATTCTTTCACCGTCTTGGTCTGTTCCGAGAGGGCATCGTAGCAGGGCGTCAGGACATTGGCTTCTAGCTGGTCGGTCGGTGTGTTGTGGATGCGAGAGAGTATGGATTGTGTCAGGCGGCCTTGCTTCGATAGCACGTCGACATGCGTTCTTAGCTCGTCGCGAATTGCTTGTTCTTCGTCGATTTTGGTCTGGAGCGAGGAGAAGATGGCTGGGTCAACATGGGGAGAGGACGATGCGGTGGTTGTGGTTATGGGCGCAGGAGTTGTCATTGCTGTATCGTCCGACATTTGAGAGAAGTATCTTGCTGGTGAGAAGAGGAAGAAAGAACCAGTGAGAGAGGTTACTGCCTTGAAGAATATAACAGGCTGAAAATGCGATGGTTGTTTGATGTCTTGAATGTGAGCAGAACAGAGTCAGTTCTGCCGATCCATGGACAAACATATACATCAAATCTTTGGCAGGGAATTTACATCACACAACATCCAGCTACATTGCTACATTCTAGATGCTGTTTTGATATCATTCGACGGCGTAATCATGAGAAGGATTCCTCCTAGAGCAGTAGAAAGGTCCTGGCAGGCTCTTGCTTGTCGCCGCCTGACTTGGGATCATGCCGCTGCTCTCCAGCGACCACCGATCTTGTGTGCCTGTAAAATTTCCCACAATCCCCACGACCTTTCACGATGCCACATTTCAGGAGCGTCCAACTTCGGAGTATGTCTCGCATGCCTGTCTCAAATCCATTTCAGGCTCATCTCTTTCGTTCCATCTCCTTGCCATCAAAAGACATATCAAACCTCTTCTCCAAGACTTTGCTCAAGGCAAAAAGATGATGAAAAGGGTTTCGCGTCACAAGGCAGTAGTGTAAGGCCTCGGACACGGTGCCAGAAACCCATTGCGCAAGCACAGAGGGGTTTAACCGGCCATCTCCAAAAATGAGAATAATCAATGTATTCATCCCGTAGGATGATTTCAGAGATTAAACTGAAAAGAACAGATACTACACTTGATCTAAGCCAAAAGGCAACTGAGACAATTGTTAGCAAGGCATGTTTCCAAACGTAGGGGGTGATTTTGGTGTCTTACAGAGTACTAAAGAAAGAAAAGAAAAAAAGAGAGGGAGAGAATCAAGGGCAAGCGAGATACTTATAGACTGGGAGAAGCCCAAAACTCCGCCAAGAGAAAATTATCAAATGCGGTTAGTGCTGTATCGGTGAAGAGCCTTGGCTAAAACAGCTTTCTGATTGGACAGAGCAGAGTTGATCTGCCGGTCTGGAATACGGGGCGGTGAGATCAATTCTCACTTGATTCAGCTTTGATCTCCAATTGATGCTTGCAGCATCTATGGTATCTCTCTCACCGCCCTTGATTCTCTCCTCTCTTTTTTTCTTTTCTTTCTTTAGTACTTTGTAAGACACCAAAATCACGCCCTACGTTTGAAACATGCCTTACGGCATGTTTGCCGTGTTGGCAGGGAGAAAATGAGAGAGAGAGAAAGGGAATCAAGGACAATGAGCGGGATTTATAGATGCTGCAATTGAGATAGGTACTAGTGCTGGTATATCGATTACCGCTGTCCAATCAGGCTGTCTTAACCAAGGCTAGGTCAATAGGACATTCAGACTCAGGGGCATGGCCAACGTCCTTTGTCAAATTTGGTCACTACAATCTCTGAGGAGACCATTGGTGATTCGCTACTTTCTAGAACTACAGGTCTTTTCTTTCGTACTGCCTGAGGGGGAAGGCTACCATGGTAGCACACTACATACTTGCCCTGAGACATTCCCTGTTCGACCCTGCTGCTATGGACAAGGGCTAATTTGTCCCAACAACACAGTACAATGACCGTCGGCTCTCGATCCTCGAGGCTTTCTCGATGCTTTCGCTCCTAAAAGGCTGTCGCAGTACTCTCCATCCTAAAGGCTTGTCGGTGCTCTCAAGTTTACGAGTGTTGCCTCGCGAGTCCGTGCTCTCGATCCTACGGGGCTGTCGCGGTGCTATCGATCAGTACAATAACCGTCGGCTCTCAATCCTACGAGGCCGTACTCGGTGCTCTCGATCCTAGGGAATGTCGCGGTGCTCTCAATCTCATGGATGTTCTCTCGATCCTAGCGAGCCGTCGCGGTGCTCTCGATCCTACGAGGCCGTCCGCGGTGCTCTCAATCTCATAAATGTTGTCTCGATCCTAAAGGGTTATCTCGGTGCTCTAAAGTTTACGAGTGTTGTCTCAGGGATGCGTGCTCTCGATCCTACGCGGAGCGGGTTGGCCATTCCAAAAGGCTCGACAGATCCATAGTCGTCCTTCTGTCGCAATATTCCGACTTGGGCGTAAGGGATGGAATGGGTGTGGGTGTATTCATGAGTGCTTTGTGTGCTCTATGCATCATGTGTGCCACATTCGTGGCAATGTCAGTCCTGGATGCCGACCTGCTGGATTACTCAACGGCGATGGTTGATGAGACTATTGGCAATTCCGGTCATGGCACTGTTAGGATCATGCCGAATGATGGACGACGTCCAGCACATGCGCCGGCACAATGCCATATGCCTAACATTGAAGGAGGGCTGTCACCTCAATCATGTGGAAGACTGATTGTCACTAAAGCATGGTGAAGACTGGTTGTCACTGAAGCATGGTGAAGTACGGCCTCTTACTGCGATCTATTGCCTACGAATACCTGCGTTTCTCTCCCGTTTCTGCTTCCTATTCTCTTCGTCTCTTGCAGTCTTCCATCGCATCGTTGGCCACGTTTCCTCGACATCGCTGAATGTTGTCCTACAATCCCTTGCCCAAAAGAGCGCACCAAACTTGATCACAAGAAGCATCTGCAACCATGGCGCAGTCCGAACGCGAGTGGCCTCTCGACTTCCCATGCATCTCGAAGGCCGACTTCCACTATCAAACTAACAATGTGCCCAAAGGGGCCAAAGGGAAGGTAGTGGGCAGGAATGATGACTGGTTATTCATAACAATGCCATATGAGAAGCAGCAGCAATCTTCATGGATACCATTGAGCTACCTGGAGATCGGCAAAAACCGAAAATGTGGAGATCTTGCCATGAAAGTCAATCTGCCAGCGATACGCCCGTCTCAGCTGACCGTGCCATTGAACCAACAGAGTCGGCTGCGACGTGCCATTGAAGCTTTTCTGCTCGAGCTACGTGAGAATGCAGAATCGCTCCATTTCCTCCCTCCCTGGTTCTGTGAGCGACTCAGAAGTCTGGATCAATTGCGGACCATGATCAACACCATCATGCAAGGAATGCGACCTGCAGTGCTCCAGCTTCTCAATACTGGCAATTTCACCATTGAAAATCTGCGAGTTGTCCTGGAGCCGGTTGCGCCAAAGGACAATCGTGGAGGCATCTACAGCCGGATATACTTTGGCTTTCCTATGAATGCACAAGGAGTCCGACGTTAGCCATCTCAACACATTGGCAATTCTTTCTTGATTCAAGCTGCAAAATAATAGGAACAGCATCAATCTTGGTGCTCACGACGCTAGCCACGAGTCTTCCAAGAATGTGGAAACGAACAGCAACCACTACAGGACTTCCAGGAAAGCAGAGAGTCATGTCATGGGACCACTTTGCTATCTCGAAGATGATAACCTGCGGACAGTGGCAGAACAGTGCTTCGTGTCATTGTTCGAAACATATTGCGACGGTGTCACCGGGTTTGAACCCAGGGTGGTTGAACAGAGCACGGATGATACAGACAGTCTTGACACTGCAATCAAATATTTCCAGGACAAGGAAGCCTCGTCGCAGTTGATAACGATCGCCAAAACCTCTTTCCAGAGGTCGGGGTGGCCCGGTGGACGGTCAAGAGCCTCGTATGGCGCAAGCGAAGGCTGCAACTGGAACAGCCCCATAACAGAATGGGTGAAAGGTGAACGAAACATCTGGGTCAAGACAGAATTTCCCGAGGCAAATCTTCATGTTTACCGACGCACTCCTGTACAGGTATTGGACACCGGCAGTGGAAAGCGAGTCTGCATCACCGTGGAGCTGGACTCTACAAAGTCTTTGACCAACAGTGGAAACTTCTCCCCAGGTATCCCGATCACAGTCGACCTGCCTTTGGGAACGTGGGTTTGGCCCGTGATCGAAATTAATGCAGATGGTTCCCCACATCCTTTCAGCTGGTCAAGGTTGCCAACTCACGGCCCCTGGCATGATTGGGATTCTGCGAGGTCACGGACTTTGAAGCTTGAATGGCAGAGAGCCGCCGACAAATCCTGGACACACTCCTATATCAGCTGTGCATGTCTTCAGTCCCCGAACACCAGAGCTGCGGCAGCCTGGAGCTTTCAACTCATACGCCCAAGGAATCGCAATATTCCGGTTTTTGAAACAGGTGCAACTCGACCGTGTCGGCCGGCCACCGTGGATGTACGACTATTCAGTGGCGAGACTCAAGGAGCAGAAGTTAGATTGGCTAGAACAGACAATCAATATCGTGGATGTGATGCCACCGAATCAGGTGGTGAGGGCATCTCGCATGAAAACCGAATGGGAGCTACGGCAAGAGTTGGCACAGCTCGGTCTCCATGTCTCGGGCCCATACGGTCAGCTTGACAGACCATCAGCGAAACAGCGACGGCCAGTTGGTGCTTGCGACTCGTGCTATCTTCTCAACGTCGTCAGCCGTCGACAAGACATTTACGGTGTAAGTGCAGTGTCTCTCTCCCTTTCGAAGCTTATTCTAACCACAGTGCAGAGGATCATCGACGAGTACACTGCCAACGTTACTCCATGTGTACGCAAAGCTACCACCCTACCACCACAACGAGTCCGCGATATCTGTCAGCGATGCGCTCCCCCGGGGCGAGAATGCTCGTTCACACAAGCCATTGAGGACTGCTCACTTGAGGATCCGAGGGTGTTGGCTCTCGTTCCCAGACCAGGGCAAGCTCATGAACTGGAACAGATCCCGGACCCTGAGATCACTGTTTTCCAGCACAAGGGCTGAGCACGAGACAGAGGCAAAGGCCAATTGAGCCGCCCGCACATGTGTCCAGGACTCCGAATGGGATGGCTGAATGCAGAGTGGCTGGGAATGGAGCGAGGAAACATGCAGACAGTCCAGATCAATTTAATAGAGTCATCCAATGCCACGTACATGACGAGCACCCCTACAAAATAAGTGGCACCGCCAAAATGACATGGGTTCCTACCTAGTAGGGAAGCAGTCCATAAGGTCGATATAGTAGGCGTTCTCCTACAACGTAGATTGTCTACTACCTATTAAAGTTCTGGAGGGCGCCTCTATTAAGATCTAATAGTACTACGTATTTTATAGGGTGGCCTACTAGAAGATAGATAGTCTGTAAGGTCGATATAATAAGCGTTCTCCTTTTAACGTAGTAGGTATACCTAGCGCCTATTGAAATTTAGAAGGGCGCCCCTTCCAATATCTGGCGGTGCCACTTATTTTGTAAGGTGCCAGTGGCTTGATGCCATGCCCAAGACTAAATATAAGCCCTTTACATGCGACTCACACGTAAACACTGTTTCGCAAGCCTATTCATCCCTGCACAACGGGTGCACCGAGACAACCCGTCCCCATAAAAACAATCGATGGGCACGGGGCCGTCGGAGAGGGAGCGGATGCATCGCACGCACGGCAGTAACTCCTCCTCGGGGGAGGACGGTCCAGCCGGCGGCGAGTCAACACGAACTCGCTTGCGAGGCGCAGCCGACGAAGGGCTAGGGGACGACTTAATAGACCACGATCTGGCACGACCCTTGCCTTTATCGACTGTGCTGACTGGTTCATTCTCGGCTTGCTCATCTTCAGCGGGCACATCAGCGTGAGACTTTCCCTTCTTTCTCTTCTTCTGGACAGGCGTGGCCGGGGCATTCGTGTATCTCATTCCTCAAGATACAGCTAGATTGGCGCTTGGAGATGATCCGCCTATGCCTTCCATTGCGGTAACCCTTCTATCTGGGGCCATAACAAGAATGGTCCAAGATCAACAAGATGAATGTTGCGTATGTCGCGTGAAAAAGATGTAAATGGTGTAGATTATTAGTTGGAAATTTCATCCATTGTAGAACTTCGTCCATTGCGTCAGTATCATCCGTCGTGAGTATCATCTGTCGTAAATGGGGTCATATATCGTAACTGGGTATCATTCGTGGTATCGAGAGTAGTTGTACAACCCGTGGGATTAAGAGCACCGGCACAAACTCATAGGGTTGAGAGTACCGACTCCTGAGAGAAGCTGAAGAATCGAGAACACCGTCCCGGGCACAACGTCTAGGATCGAGAATATCGGGGTGGCCGTACAAGATCAAGAGCACCAAGCCACTCTTTCCTCAAGGGAACAGAAGAGACAGTAGGGTCGAGGGCACCGGACCCCCAGGCCAATCCCAAAAAAACCCCTCTAGGTATCCAGTGCTAAAACTGCTCGTAGACCTAGGGTAATGTGCTTTCACAAAAGGCATAAAAAAACTGTCACTCACATATTTTTTTGGGTTTCAATTTTTTTGGGGTTTTTTGGGCGTTTGCGAGCGCATAAATACGGGGCAAGCTTAGTTTTTATGGAAGATTGCGCCTCTATCTCCGGAGCGACCGGTACCAGTGTAGTTTTTTCAGAGGGTTTCGCCTCTCCTCTCACCGAAACTGGTGTTATAGTAGTTTTTATAGAGGATTTCACCTCTGCCCCTTTTTTGCGAGGCTGCCCCAAGGGCTCTTCTTCTTCGTCTTCCTCCTCTTCTTCGGTCTTCCTCTTCCTCTTCTTCTTCTTCTTCTCCCTCGGCGGAGTGGCCGGGAGGCCAGGGAGGGGAGGGGAGGGAGGGAGGATCCATGTCTGCCAAATTACATTAATTCTTGCCAATACCGAGGGTACTGAGAGGACCATGCCCATTTCGCCCGTCAGGGCCGCGGTTGCTTCAATCGGTGGAGGAGGGAGGGGAGGAGGCGGCGGCGGCGGCGGAAGTATGGCGGCCACCGGGCAAGGAATGAACGACGCAGGCACCCGCGGGCATTGGTTCATATTAACGAGCTCCTCGACCTCAACGGGCCGGAGAGACAGGGTCTCACGACTCTTTGCTGTGAGCCGGGAGTACACCAGGTAAGCAACCAGACTGCAGAAAATCAGCACGGCCCGCCTTTTGCCATGGTAGCAACCTTACCTTAGTGAGCATGAATGTGTATCTGGTGTTTTCTCCTTTCCCATCAGGAAGGAGAGGAAGGAGAGGTAATCTATCTCTCTAGCCCATGGTACCATGGCAGGTACCACCACAGCAACCCAGGAAAGTGGGGGAAGGTGGTAAGGTGGCAACAGGAAGGGCCGCGGTTGTTTCAAATTGAAGCGGGCCGAAATAACCAGGAGGCGAAGGAGGAGGAGAAGGAGGAGGCGGCTGAAGCATGGCGGCGACCGGGTAAGGAAAAATTGAGGCAAGGACGCGCGGGCATTAGCTCTTGTCAACGTCCTCCTCGACGGGTCGGAAAAACAGGGTCTCGCGACCCTTCGCTGTGGGCCTGGAGTACGCCAGAAGAGAAAGCAGACTGCGAATAGTCAGCAGAACCCGCCTTTGGTGCGGCATTCTTATTTGGCATTGTAGGATATGGCTAAACAGAGAAGCCTCCCGGTGCGAATATCCCGACATAAGAGCATTCGGAAAGATCCACGCAATCGAAGGCATGGCCTAGCAGAGGAGGATTCGCATGGATGGGCAAAAAATCCTCTGCCAGGCCCAGACGCGTCGAGCATAGTAAGCATTAAAGTTGAGAGCTTGCGGTATGGGCTTGTAAAGCTCGTGCAGGCAACACGAACCTTTCAACATCTTTCAATACCACACCGATGCTCCAGGAGACAACATCAAAGAAGAGCTCGCACCAAGTTCCAGAAAACCGGTTCCAAAAATGATCCGGACGACCTGATAATAACCAACAGCTGTTATTGAATGTCATGTTGGAACTTAGTACTCTGAATGGGCAGCCTGAACTTATCGAACACTATCTCAGCGATCACATGTAAACACTCACATGGACTGGTCACTTTCCACTTGCGTGAGGGAGAAGAGTGCCAGCATGCAAGGAAAGTGCTCCTTGTGACTGTACCTGACGACCATGATTGCGGATCAAGGAAGCCTTGTTACCCTCTTCCACTTGCGGCAACTCAAACTTCTGCAGACACTCGATGAGTCTTAAGGACCGAGGCCTGGAGCAGCACTAGCAGTGCAAGACAACAGCATCTTTGGGTGAGAGTATTACATACCTACTGCAAAATAGTAGTAGTAGGTGCCTTAGGTAGGTATGTATGTAGTAAACTTGAAGCACGGTTGAACGGGAAGCCTTTGAATTGATATACTGCAGCGTCTCGGCACGACCCCGACTTTAGTACTAGATGTGCTACTAGCTCACCCCTAGTACCAATATAGTGCTAGTTGCAAAAACATCACGTGACAGTAATTCTTGGCATCTTTGTGCCACGGCAGGTGTGCCGACAGATTTTGCACACAAACGGAGGCCGCAAAGACAATTTGATCATCGCCAAAGCGACAACATCAACCTCACACACCACCCTCTCTCTCACCGACCACAAGGCGCAGGATATTGATCTCTTTGCGACCGCACAATCTCAACCTTCAAAATGGCACCATCCGCATCCGCTCAGGTAAGACCGACCGAACCGCTTTGCTGTCCGCGCCCTTTCCAACCACTCCGCATGCAGCGGCCATGCGAAGTCGAGGGCCGTTGAGAACAGTAGGCTAAGGTTTTTTTCTTTGGTTCATGTAGGCTCGAAGCAAGCAGGCCAAGACCAAGGTCACCAAGAAGGTAAGCAGGGAACGCCTCCAGTATGTATGAAACATCCGAGATGCTAATTCAGTTTTGCGATTTCAGTACACCATCAACTGCAGCCAGCCTGTCAGCGATAAGATCTTCGACTTGTCTGCGTTCGAGAAGTTCCTGCACGATCGCATCAAGGTCGAAGGCCACACCGGCAACCTGGGCGATAACGTCGCCATCTCGCAAGTCGGTGGTGGAAAGATCGAGGTCGTCACACACATCCCGTTCTCTGGACGCTACTTGAAGTACTTGTGCGTGAATACTACATGATCTGCGATATTGTGGACATCTGCTGATAATCTGCAACAGGACAAAGAAGTTCCTCAAGAAGCAACAGCTCCGTGACTGGCTCCGTGTCGTGTCGACCAGCAAGGGTGTCTACGAGTTGAGATTCTTCAACGTGGTCAACGACGAGGGTGATGAGGATGAGGAATAGATGACGCCTCGGGAGGTGTCGGAAAAGTTCTTGATGACACAGAAAAATAGAGTGTCATGATACCTCTGCTATCCGTTGGTACAAATGGATCTGGTATCTCATGTTCTCCAGCTCTATGGGATACTTCAAAGACGGGCTCAATCGGAACCACCTTGAATCATCCGACACGTATTTCTTCCACTTACTGTTCTCTCCCCCAGCTGCCTCTAAAAGAGTATGATCAAGGAGCCATTTCATTGGGTATTGTTTCGTCCTTGTGTCCTGTCCCTGGCCTAACTTGACTTCCGAATAACTTCCGGGGCTGTCGACGACGAGGAGCCATGAGCCCACCTGCATCACATCGGTAAGCGCCAGCAGGAATCTAGTCGTCCTGGAAATCGACGTGGTGAATAGTTCGTTCAAGGTGAACATCATGGTGCATATACCAACGCCACCAAGCATATCACGGAGTGCTTTCTCGTCCACTGAGAGTATGTCGCGCTGAGAGAACCGAACTTCGAAATGATCAAGCATGATCAAGGGCTTATTCGCCACCTTCGCTCGCTCACTCGCGTAGGCCGACAGTTGGGGTGGAGTAGACATGGCGTTTTCTAGCTGCGTCAGACAACTGGACCAGTCTGCAATATCGATGGCGTGGACTACCACTTTGGATAGTGAATATAACCGTGCCGCAACCGCACATGCAGCCACCTCCGCGCCTCCACCCCCTCCAATGCAAGCGACCGTAGTAGCGCTGGGTGTAGATGGTTCATGGGAGGTCGTGTTGGACGTGGCCCCACCGAGCCATACCTCCTGCAGGTCGCCGTGAAGGAAGATATCGCTATACCCAAGGGCACGGCTGGCACTCCACCTCAACGCATATGCCTCGAGATATTCTTGCTTGGCAAAGGCGGCTGCAAAGTCGCGCAGAAACAGGTGACCTTTGACCTGTTGAATGGCTGCCTTGACATCGTAGCCGCCATCAGGGTGAAAGGCACGGCGGAACGTATCGAGAACCATCTGCTGCACTTCCGTCGGAAGAGCCACAGATTCGGGACTTTTCTGTGCAATGTTGGCAACTTTCCCGGCCACCTGGTTGGCGGTGGTCCTACTTGAGACCTTCGGTTTTCTTCCTGGTGCCATCGCATGGGTTCTCGTGTAATCATGTGGCTGTTGATCCGAATCTCACGCCGCTCACAAGCAGCCACAGTCTCAGCCTGATCTGAAAAGCCGTATCACAGAACTCGAGATGGCGGCACAGAGCGTGCAACCATCGGCAGGATAATCCGAGACTAGGGCAACTGTGCTCCCAGCTTGCGGACACAGAGATATGCAAGGGGGAAGCGGTTGCGCTGAAATGTTGCCGGCCTCTTTGTCGAGGCCCAACTGAACAACAACCGTCCTCAGACCCTGGGAAAGTCAACAGCGTCGTCACGTCCACAATGCCCGATGTGGAATGCCGGTCATACTGTGTATGTGGGGTGTCGCTCAGCTCGAAAGGACGCCGTCCAATCCTCGAGAATTGTTGAAGCGCGTTGTGTTGACCGGAAGGTTACACATGCAGGAGAATTTTTCGGTTGTGCGTTACAGCGCATTGCCTCGCAGTCGCTTCTGTAGCTAGAATAAAGACGCATGCGCTAGTCGTCAGTCGGCTGCAGGCGAGAACGTAACTATCCCTTCAACAAGTTGTCACCAGTTAGTTATTCCGCCTGCCAGTCATCTGTGGTCCTGCAATCCTCGATATGAGGAGTAAGTTAGTAATGCTGTATTGGCAAAAGTCCAATTCTAGCGGTGAGCGAGAGAACCCACCACTGGTTCGTGGATAGTTTGTCGGTGAGTGGTGCGGGAACTCCCCTACCAGTATGGCAGCATAGGGTTGGACGAGCTTTGCTGTGGCGGCCGCCCCATTGCCAACACGCCCGTTATCTCTGACCAGCATAACCGAGATTCAGAACGCAGTTTCTTCTACGTATGGAAGACGCCCGAGATGTTACTCGAGTCGGCAAGGTGGCGCACCTTTTTCAGGAGAATCATCAGCCAGCCGGTAGAGCCGAAATCACGGCTGTATCCGTGCAAGTCCGTAATCCTCGAGGGCTCATCGAAGATGGAAGATACTGTGTAGAGAGGAAGGATTTAGGCGGTGCAGTTTTGCCCCTGCAGTGATGACCAGCAAGCCGACGAGAGCGTCTGGACTTTGCGCCTCGTATTTCGGCGCTGCCAGTGGGATTGCCTGAAGCCCCAAGTTCCTGCATAAGCGCAGGGCTCTAGCTGCGCCATCCGAGGTGTACAACTCGAAGGGGACATTCTTTTTGTTCGTTGATCGTTTGTGTCAGCTGTACCACGAGCATGCCATCTTGATTCCGGACGGAAAACCCGATTGACAGCGTCCTTCAAGTTCAACAGGAGGAGAGGAGGATACGAGGATAGGGAGCCATGAGGGACATAGGACCGGAAATGACGCGTAGGCCACACTGGAAGAATCAGCACGGGCCGAGTTTGAGTCAAGGGGACCAATCCTTTCAAGATTGAGCTGGTTTGGCAGACTAGGATGTTGCCATCTCCTTTCCTAGCCGGCCCAGTCTACCTGCCAACGCATCAGACGGCCACTGGTGAGGTCGGGCTATCTATCAGTTTGACACTGTCAATCAGTCCGCACGGGCGAGATGGTGCATTGTGCGCGAGTTCAGGGTTCAGCTTGGGGCGGGCAGCCAGCCGTTTAGACAAGTAAGAAGTGCTGCATGTCCACGTCTGCACACACAGAAGAGAGAGGGCGCATGAGGGCGTTTTGTGATGACAATAGTATCCTCGTTGGCAGCAGCAGCAGCGTCAGGGATCAAGAATCAACAACTGCGGGTGTCTTTAGGCATGCGGCGGATACTAGGACATGAGTCCAAAGTTAGCGGGGAGAAACGTGTCGCGTTTGTACACCGTTCGTGTGATGAAGGTGCACTACAGTATGTCAACTAACCTTCAGTGTGCACTGGAGCTGGATACTACAGAGCAGTTATAGTGGGCACCCCCTCCCCAGGTCCAGTGTACACAGTAAGCTGCATGTCGCTAATGGGTTAAAGCGACACCTAGAGATCCCGCCTAACACAGATCGGGGCTTCTGGGGCCTGCCGCCTATTCACTACTAGGGAACCACCAGTAGTAAAATGCCCCAGTTCCCAGCTGACCTGCTTCAGGTTCTCGCTTCAGTGGCCTCAGGTGGCTTCAGGTGGCCTTAGTTTCCCAGTTGACCTGCCAGCCCTGGTCCAGTCTTAGACCAAGCCTGCGACTTGCTACTGCCACTGTACCTGACCTTCATCCACACCACTCTCCCGTCTCTCAAGTTCGACCACTACTGCACTCCAGTTCTTGAACTTCATTCTCCATCCACCTCAATTCCTCTCCTCCTCCTACTCTCCCGCCGCCTCTCTTCACTCACGCCCTCAGCAGGCCTCTGGCTCCTGATAGAAGAAAGATCCTTAGCAGGTCTTTCTTCCAGGTTGCCGTCCACTCCTTCAGCCACCTCCGATATCATCCCTCCGAACAATCCGAATTGAACCGCAACGCGACATCTCCTGTGCCAGATACTTGTTCTTCACGCACAATCAACGACAATAGCAAGCATCTTTACTTAGCACTCTAGTTAGGTCCCGAACACCTTGCACGAGACATTCCTTACCCGCCCGGGCAAGTAATATCGAATCGCAACACCTCTTCGAGACTCTGTAATGGTGGCGTTTGTTTCTTCGCGAAGGCAGGATACAATTATCATCAGGCTGCTGGATCACCTTTAACGCAGCCTCCTGTATCTGCCTGCTGGCCAGACTACCAACATTTCACGCTTTGGGTGGCTGCTTTATTAAAAACAATGACTTCGATCTCACTTCCCCCGGCGGTTTCTGTCTTGTCCCCATTCAACTCCATCTCCGTCACTCCTCCGCGATCCCCCCATGCTCATCGACGACGAGCTTCTCGAGATCCGAATGCTGCGCCGCCTGCAATGTCAACTGTCGACTTCACTACAGGCCAGGGTAACTCAGAAACAGGAGGATCAGACATGGCAACCCGAGGCATGTCTGCTGAAACTGGTCGTCGATCTACGAGGCCTGCCCTGCCCGACTTCAAGTTCAACCCTGGGGCCGATCTACCACCAGAAACAGGCGAGAGTCCGACACATCCAGTGCTGCAGGAGATGGCTCTGAATCAGCAACGTGCGGTCCGATCAGGAAGAGCAACTCCATTGCCTCCGTTCACATTTGCTCCTAGCGCGACCCCGACGCAAGTTCCTCCAAGTCCAACAAAATCCTCCCTTCATGACTCTGCCAACCCTGCACGAACGGGCCATCGGCGCCATGGAAGTGAGTTTGTGGGAGGAGGTAACGACGAGCCTCAGATGATCAGTAACAGCCCCGAGAAGTCAGAATACCGACCACCGCCGCCAGTTACCGGAGCATCGAGAGGACATGCACATCGTCGATCTCAAGCAATTTCCATCTCCGACATTGACACATCTGAGCTCATCAAGGTAAATGCCTTGGCCAAAGCGCGGGCTGGTTTCATACCAGGCACGCCTTCAGAAGGCGTACAGCCATTCTCTTTCTCTCGAGCGAGCCCTCAGATGCGCCAGTCCATGTCAAGTATTGTCAGAACCCCACCGTCTTCTCCCCGACGAAGGGGTAGTGCCCCAGGAGTTCGTCCTCGTGTCGGGTTTTCTGATCACATCGATGTTATTCCCAGACCACTATCGCTGATCTCATCCGAGACCGAGGGCAGCACGTCAACAATTCGTGGAGGTCATTCTCTGTCTGGAAGCATCAATTCCATAGCCAGTCCCACACCGCGTCCAACCATAGCTCTTAGCTTGTCGGTTGACCCAAGTACATCACCTGAGCGACCTCAGACTGCAGATGTACTATCCAGCCAGTCAGCAATCATGGCTGCAGACTCTGTGATCAACCTCCCCAAGCGTCCTCTTTCTGCTTCCGGTTCCCCGGGAACATTGACCTCAGGCAGTCCTCCGAACAAGAAGAAGTACTTCTGGTTCAGTCATTCCAACAGTGGCTCGCCATCCATTACTCCCAATGCCGAAGTAGATGATCCCGACGATGTGTTTACTACGACCACTTCTGCTCAACCTTCGACTCCGCCGGCAGTAGCGGAGCCAGCGCATCCAAGACCGTCCGCGGCACCGATTTCGACATTGAAGAAGCGCAAATATCACACTTGGACGTCAGGTATCTTCTCAAGAAAATCAGACAAGCGATTGGCTAAGACGAAACAACAAGGCGTTTCCACACCAACGCCATTGACAAGACAGTCCAACGACCGTCTCAGCGATGTCTTCGATGCCGATAACACAGTTGTTCTTCGCGACTCTTCTCCAGTCTCAACTCGACTTGGTGCTTCACCGCACAAAGTCACCGATGCACAGACATGGCCTGTGTCACAATCAGAAGAACAGATCAACATTCCTGTTCTTGACCTGGATGCCGCTCTAGGTCCGTTCGGAAGTGAAGAGAAGTTGGCGCACGAGGCCAAAACTGGTCAAACTTCTCGAATCGCCAAACTTCACAGCAGTGAGCGACGAGCCAACCTCGATGCCTTTGGAACAGTTCATAGGAGGACTGAGTCGGCTCCAACCATGACAGCTGTCAACCGGAGCACCTTTAGCATGCACCGTTTTGGTAGTAATACATCGCTTGCTGAGGATGTGTTTGATGAGGAGGAAGAAGACAACTTCCTTGCTGGAGGAAGTGTCAAATCCCAGAAACCGGGCAGTTCAACAGAGGAGCTGTCGCAGGACAGCGAGCTTGCCGCCTCTCTTCCTCGGCTGGCCTCTGCACCACCTCACCTTGTCTCCGCCGAAGGCTTGGGCCTCTCTGTCACCGAAGAACCAGGTGATGGGGTTATCATTGTTGATTCGGATGAAGAGATTGCTCGCATTGATGCAAGATCCTCCAATTCGACCATTGAGGCGCCAACCTTCCCAGACATGGAGACTCAAAAGCCTGCAGTGTCGTCTCCCATGCCTTTTGCATATCCTGCACCACAATCTCACTATGCCTCCTCCACCGAAGGTCGCACAACTTCGGCTTCGATGATGTCCTCTCCTGATGCCGACCACATCTCCTTTGACAACTTTTCTCGCCCGACTCGTTTTCTTGGCGAACCAAGTCCAGACTTCCTGCTGCGAACCTCCAACGATGACCTACCTTCGCTCAGCGATAGTATCTCTAGCGGGGCTCTTCCGAGGTTTTCCAGCAGTGCAGGGACAAGATCTTCTGTTGAGCAACGCTCAAACTCCATGTTTGTCCCTGGAACATCGAGGTCGAGCAACCAACCAGCGTGGAAGCGAACGAGTCTGGCCAGCCTGAACCGTCTCATTCCCGGATCATCCAATGGTAGCAAGTTAAAGTTCGAAACTATCCCAGACACTACTGCGACGGACGAAAAGAGCAGAAAGAAGACAAACAGAATCAGCAGACTCATGCATTTCTGGCGATCCAAAGAGAGGGCGGAATCCTAATGCAACAATTGCCTCTCTCACATGAAACATAACAAAACACATTCACGGCTTTATGAACACAGTTTAGGCGCTCGGGAGTTTGGACGACATCATGGGACTGGGCCTTTCAGCATGACTTTTTGATGGACAAACTCGACGATACTTTGACGAAAAGTGCGGTGGATACCCAGAAGGTCACAACATTGACCATAACCCTTCTCACCCTCAGTCCATCTTTGCAACCCAGTTTTTCTTTCACTTCGAACACAACCGATTACGAAACGAGTATTTTCCTTCTTAGCTTCGAGCTCATCCTCACACTGCCTGGTCGGGCATCTACTCGGTGCGATTCAATTGAATCCGTCGACTCTTTTTTCGAGATGGTCAAAGACAGAACATTTGCGACAAACAGCACACGTCACCCTGGCATATTCGATTTTTTCCCCCTTCACATGAACGCTTTTTGTCCAGCATGTCCTTCAGGTGGGGAAGATGCCTTCATTGGGCTGATTTGATTGATGGATGGAATGGAACTTGGCGACATTGATGCCTGGTATGGTACGGCACGGGAGGATATGAGATATTGCTGGGAAGCGTCAAACACGATGGAAGGTACAGTGGTGCTCAAGTTTGACGTGCACCTAAGAACACGATTGAGCTTGACCGCCCACTGATCTTTAGCTTAGTCTCCCAGGTCCTTCTCCAACACTTTGGTTTCGATCGACATCGATTGACCCTCCGGTTGGAGACAAATGAGGAAGACTTCTTCAATAAGTTCAAGTTCACCAATAGTAGAGTGATGCCTTGTTTCGTTTCCTCAACCGTGACGTGACAATGTCGCCCGAGTCCCTGAATTCCGAAACCCGTCTTTTCAAGGGATTCGAAAGCATTCGTTAGTGCTACCAAGCCCTTCAAGATATATATATCGACCAAGTTATGAAGACTCTTTCGGCTGCATGTCGATCCCACTCGTAGTACGTACCTTACAGTACATAGCTCGAACGTTATCTAGCATCTGAAACTATCTCGGCTCGGATCGACAGCGTGTTTCCGATCAGTTCTTAGCCTCCGTCGTCTGCGAACTGTGTTTGTTGCGCCGCGCGAATGAGGGTTGTATATAGAGAAGGCATTGTGTATACATAGCACGTGCCATCCAGATGTTCGTACTGTGTAAACCATAGAATAGATATGGACGTAATATTGTTGGGTATGGGCCCGTCCAATCAAGGTCTTGCTTTGAGCCAGCCTTGTCCCATCGCATCAACAGCCAGCCAGCCAGCCATAGTAAGTACACTTTTGTGGAATCAAAACGTGCACAGGATTGATTATCCAACCAATAGCGAAAAGATGTTTCTTCAAGGAGTCTCCCACAAAAGGGAGGAAACGGGATGGGAAGATGAAAGGAACTACCTAGGTGAGAGGTGAAGAGGTGAAGAGTGGTCAGGCCGGGTGCCAGAGAAATGCTAGACATTCTGCGGACATCATGAGTCCCAAAGACTCGACTTGGGACTCCGTCGACTTATTTGCTCGACCGACCTTGAACACATGAAGAAGAGCAGCTAATGCAAAGGAAAAACGATTGACATGTTACCCCAGGTAGAACACGTTGGTCCCAGGTAGCCAACGTGTTCTACCTGGGTAGGTACCTGGAAGTACTCTATTCTTCACACCAGTGCCAGAGCCTTGCAGAATGAACCACACCCACACAATAGCCGTTTTGCCCCAGTGTAACAAAGACACATGGAACTCAGCATCCGTTTGCCCTGATCGAATAACACACCGACATGGATTTTCAGCGCCTGACTCCTCTCCTCCAAGTTCAATTCAAGTCACATCAATACGCCTTCGCCAGAATGCCCGTCCATCGTAAGCGCCATGCACACCGTCGTCTCTCGACTCCATGCAGCATGCCAGCTGTGTATGCGGCCGTCAAACGTCGTACTCGTCGCTCAAAGTGCGAAGAGAACCGGTAGACCACGCCGGGCAAAAATCAAAGCCAGATCATTTTTCAAATGCTGTGACTGTTCATGCCAAATCCGTCGTCATCATGCTCATAATCGCGAATCGAAACATCAGCATCATCATCGCTTGACACCAATAGGCCCGTGGCCCGCGCTTCCAACCCGGCTACTGGTCTTTCGGACCTTGGTCTTGTCTTCTCCGCCGGAACGGCGTGGGGATTCCCGCAGCGATCTGGTCTTCGCAACACTCATGGCACCCATTCCGCTCGCTGACCTGGGAGTGGTTTTGGGTCGACCTCCTCCATTCGTGCTGTTCTTTTCGCTCTTGGTACTGAGCTTCAAGTTCTCCTGCTCCTGCGCAAGTTCATCCCAGATGGCATTCGTGTCCTCCAGTTGGAAATTGATGTCTGCCTCATCCTCGTAGATGTCCATGTTGTCACTGACGTCGATCGTCTTGGTCATGGTGGTCGTGGTGGTCGTGTACGACACGCTGCGGGCCTTGCCTTTGCTGCTTGGACTCTTGCTCTGACTGCGACGGGATGCGGCTCGCTGAAGGATCAACTCCTCTTCACTCTCTGCCCCGTTGACGCTCTGGCATTTTGTCTCAGTCATGTCGCCGTCGACCTTGTCACTCACACGCATGGCGCCAGATGTAGATCGTGAGTAAGGCTGGCTTCGTGGGTCCATACGAGCATATTTTCTTGGTTGACCTGGCGTCGGGGCCGGAAGATTCTCGTCTTGACAGGCACCAGACTTTGAAACATCATTGCCATCGATCTCGCCCAGGGCAGCTCTCTGTGCGCTGGACCGATTCGGTGTCGCTGTTTGCGCTCCACTGACGATGCGTGCTGGAGTCTTCGTAGACATCGCCCGAGGGGTGATGGGTCTGCTCAGCTCCAGCTTTGTCTTGCATTGATCTTGCCAGTACCATTCTCGGAACTGTCCCTGGTTCAGGTGCAGCCAGTGCTGTTGTGGGCCTACCACCATGCCGGGACGCATGAATCGCATGAAGGCAATGACTTCGTTGGCGGTGAAACCATGTCGGTAGATCAGATACGCGCCAATCAAACATCCAGTCCTACCAAGGCCAGCCTTGCAATGGACGGCAATGCTCTTGCGGTTTGCGATCATGCCATGTGCCAGTTTGATGAACTTGCGCACAATGGGGAGGGTTGGACAAGTACCATCCTCGAAAATCATATCAATGTGTTGGATGCCAAGGGCAGTAAAGTATGTTGGACAGTAAAGCTCCGAGTTCAACCGAACAACCAAGCCCACATCTCTCTGCACGAAATGGGTGAGGACGTTCTTGAACGGTTGTGATATTCTGGCGCCCTGGATCTCTGGGACACAAGATGGTAGCGTGGAATAGGCGGGAGATGAAACAGGTATCGGAGTAGTAGGTTCGGATTGAGGTGAGGCGAAAGCAACGAATTGTGGTGAGATCCAGTTGAAGTCTCCCATGTCGACTCTCTCGAATCGTTCGTATCTAGACAGGGTTAGCAAGAACTCAAGCGGGTGCAGTGATCAACATACTCTTCTAGATTGAATTCTTTCAGCTGACATAGATTTTCCTCTTTCGCCTTCCATACCCCATAGACAACGTCTTGAATGTTGAGGATAAAATCTGCTTGACTGTATCCTGCATCTCTAAACGGCATGTAGGGAGGGTCGGCCTGTGCGATGGGAGCGAGAGCAAGATGGGGTGGCCATGCTTGGATCAAGACCATGTAGCATGCGACAAGACACGCAGCATTCGCCCGACTTCTTGCGTCAGCTCTGCTCCAGAACACCACCGCTTTGTCATTGTTGGACGGGTCGCCCAGAATCTCGTGGAATTGTACTGCGAATCTGTACAAATGTCCAATATGCAGCGGGCCAAAGTCGGCATGGAAAGCGTTGTAGAGAAGTGTGTCATCGATGGTAAAGTACACTGGTGGTGGTCGGAGCACCGCAGGAGTTGGACCCGGTTGCGCTCTCGAGGACTTCTTGTGCGGCGATCTTCTGGCTTGCGCAGGATAGGGGAAGGGGGTGTGTTCGTCGGGAGCGTGGGTGTATGATGCTAGGTACAACCGATCTGGAGGGCACTTGTTAGTCTCGACCTGGATGCGGAAGGGGCAATGTTTTGTTTCATATAAACATGCCTTGAATGTACTCAATGACCTGGCCATAACTGGCAGGATGGACCACTTGAGGTCCCATCGCCCTTCAGACCAAGACAACTCGTGGACGGTCTCTCGACAGCAAGGCAGCGCACACAGGTTGTGGGTGAGAATGAACGAGAATGTGGTGGGGGTGGTTGTCGTCGTCGTTTGTTGGGGAGCTCGGGCGATGAATGACGGAGGGAGGATTGTGGTCAACAACAATAACAGTTGTGGCAACAGGACTGGCGGTAGGGGGCTATAATTGCAGCATGGCGCAGCGCATAACAGTGGGAGAGAGATATGTCTAATAGAAGTCCAGTGGTAGCATGGATGGACAGATGGACAGATGGATGGAGGAGTTGAGCAGCGGCAGGAAGAGAGTGAACTTGCAGATGCGGGAGTTGGGCGCTGCGGTGCTTTTCAAGTTGCAGTTACAGTTGTGGGCGAGCGGCGAGCTGCGAGCTGGAGTCGATGCCTAATAAATGGGAGCATCCGTGTTGTTTGGAGCCAAATCGTCCTAGTGTCGCCGTTCCCCAGCAACGGGCGATGACTCCAGGCTTTTTGAGGGTCTCGGGTCTCGACAAGATCTTTTGACCCTGGTAACCACCAACTAGGTACAAGAGTAAAGATACTCACTCACTCTCCTTACTTGCTGTCGTCGTCATATCGTCAATGCTACACGGGCACTGTCACAGGCAGTCTCCCCCCAGCTTTCAGACTCTACTTAACCCTGTTGCAGAGTGACGGAGAGCAACTCTCACTCCAAGATGGCCACTTCGCAACCAGAATTTCCCTGCTCATTGTACGTCTACCACCCACAGACCCCTCCTAGTACTTGCACAGGGCACTAAACGAGTCGCAGAGTAATTGATGTCCCCCTCCTTAACCATCGCCTCGCATCTTCCGCCTTGCACGCCCTCCAGGTCGACGCCGAGTTGTCTCCTCTCGTGCGCCGAAAGTTCTCCTTGGTAGCCTCAGACTCGTCGGGCGCTCAATCAACGAATGGTGGTGACAGTGAGAGTGGACTGGAAGACGAGCGGAATACCATCCTACGTACAGAGTACTCTGCAACGACGAACCGAATGCTTCGAGTGGCTGTCAATGGCTTCATGGAGTCTTTGGGGGTTGTCCTGCAAGTCATGGAAGAACTCGATGTAGATGTGCTAGAGCCACCGTCATGAGCAGACAGTCTCTAGCATTGTCCTGAAACAATCTGTCTGAGACATCCTTGGAGACGCTCAAATGCATCAAGCGAAGCTTCCTAGCCAGATCCGAGTCATGCTGGTGCCATGGCTGGGTCTCGAGATATGCAATGTCATCTCCAAGAGGGTCAGATGCATTGCGGCGAATATACCACGGAATCCTGCGTACAGCTTGCGCGAACAGCAGCCGCAGCACCAAACGAAGCAGCGATACTATCGATCGAAGCCACCAAGCCTCTCGCAGTCCGCATATGTCTGCCTAGAAGCAGCCGACGTTCGCGATCACTGAAGGATGGCTCCTTGAACCCACTTCGCAAAGTGGAGTTGAGCTCGTCGGCAACTGCTAGCCTCTTGAGTTCCCGGCGCAGTGCTGTAAGCAGAAGGCCGTCAAACCGGGGACTCCACGTCGGTGTATGTTGGCTCGTCTTTCCCTCTCCCGGCGTAATTGATTCGGCCCAGTCCTTCGAGGCAGTCAGCATAGCATCTAGTCCTGCTCATCCCCCGCACGAGACAGTGATGAGCCGGATTCCGGAAGTGCTCGAAGGACAAAACGGGAATCTGGCACGTCCAACCGGGTTCGGGAGCTGGTGAGGTGTTGCCCACCGGCTCGTTCTGGTACGGACACCTTGTCTGTGCGCAACGCAGCCCCTCCATACGAAGCCATACCGAAGAGATTTGGATAGAATGAACCACCCGACTTCTTTTCCTCAGTCGGAACAATGTCTGGGTATTCCTGAGTATCCGGATTAGAAGCCGTACCAAGGATGAAGGAAGTCTGTGAATTCTGTGTCCGCCCAGCAGGAGTCACCGCATCGTGACTAGACTTCCCAGATCGGATCCGGCGTTCCGCATCTTCTGTGTAGAGAAAGAATTGTACGGTTCCGTCCTGAGGAATCATGCCATGAGAGCCCATGTTATGTGACAGATCCAAGGCCGTTTCAAAGTCGGGAAAGCCCACGGTAGCCTCGTCCCGTCCAAAATCGACTGCCGTGTCCAAGGAGAGTAGGCCTTGCTTCTTGCCCCATCCTCCGCCGCCGCCAGTGACTTTGAAGAGTCTGGCGTCTTGCCACAATTCTGCCAAGATGCTTCCTGTGTGCTCCTCGTCTTTTCTGGTGTCATGACTCTCGCTGTGCGATGACCCCGGCGGCCGCACGAGGGCGAAAACCTGGATCGGTCCACGGTATGCGCGCGTGGGATGAGAACTGGTGTACTGTGTCACGGCTTTCTCCAGTTCGCGGGAGGCAGGCACTGGTTTGCCATCGACCTCTATCTGGGCCAAGACGTTGCCCATGGATCTCACCACTTTGCGCGGACCTGTCAGTGGTTTAAGGGGCACAGAGCCGCTGAGGAAGTCATTGGGTGAACAGTTCATGTCGATCTGAAAGCTTTTCAGCGGACGCCGGCCTTGGTGAGTAATGGTAGGTGCGGAATCGTGGAATTTGACCTCCCAGCTGTCTTCTAGTAGAGTGGTACGATTTCCGTTGACGAAGATGGTATTGGCAACCGGCAGGGTCACATGCCGGACGGTGCTTCTTGGGAACTTGGATTCAACGACGGGAGTCCTACTGGATGAGAACTCCAATGTGATAGCTTCGGACTCGTCAGGTGAAGTAAGATAGTTGGGTGTGCCATGGGAAGATGCCGAGCTGAAGAGCAATGCCAGCCCTTCAGAAGTCGCTGGATGGCCATTCGACTCCTCCTCAGCTGGAGGTTCCGGCAAGACATCAACCACTGCAGCGACAGATTTGACTCTGAGTTCTTGGGCCCCCGTCTTGGTCCTCAAATCACTGTATATGTAGTTCATTAAGGGTCTCATGAACACGTCAAGCTCCAAAAAGTGAGCTAGTGATGGGGTCGCCAGTAAGACAACACTCTGGACTCCAACGAGTTCTTGAAAACGGTCTGCCTGGATCATGGACAAGATAGACCCTGGGTTCTAATGAGAAGTCCCCAGTTAGCGGTGATGGTGGCTAGAAAGACCGGGGGCCATCCGAAGATTTGACGGTGTACTCACTATGGCATTTGGATCTCCAGTGAGCCATGTCAGGCCCCGACGAAACCGGAACTGATCCCTTGTCATTGCGGACCGAGGAGCGTCTGAAGCGTCCTTTGGGGCCAGCCCGGCAGCGTCATCTTGGGAAGAATGTCCTTTTCTCGAAAAGACTCGGATCTGCCTATGTCGGGAACAGACCCTGGGCAACCTCGTCTGGACTTGGCCAGCTCCATATAGACTGCTATTGAGAGACACCAGGGCACGGATTGGCCTGCTCATGATACTGGAAGGAGAGACGCCGGGCGTTCAGCCTGCCGCAAGCTATTCCACGATGTCAGAGCAGGCCGCATATCTAGAGTAGGGGTATTGACTGACCTCTCGACCACAGGCTGCTTCTTTCCGAACACTGTGATCAGCAGCGCACGTTGGTTCGTGGTAAAGGAAATGCTGTTGAGGTTCATTTACGAACTCTGAAGTGGCCAGAGAAAACGGGTTCGTCTGACGTCAATTTTAAAAGCAACTTATATGGATATTTATATGATGGTCCATGTCAGACAAGTTTCCCACTGCTGAGCACTTCCCCTTTTTTACAGAGTGAGAGACCAAAGTGGTAATCGACAGGCGATTGTTACGAACCTATGCCCCAGGTCCAAAGCAATTTCCCCTATATGGTTTTTGATAGAACCGCAAGCCTTTTTCTGTCTTCCTGAGTCGTCTCAATCCAAGCCTGCTCTTTCACATATAGTACATCAAGGGGCATCAACACATGAGATAGTTCGCAAGTCGCGTCAACCTAAAATACACATATTTGAAGGCCAAGTTACGGCATAAATGATGCGGCTTCCGGCGTCGTGGCTATATTTCAACCGTGAGGTAGAGGTCACCTCTGCTTGACTTATTTGGTGTCAATCGCGCTTTGGAAGAGGGCGAGCGTTGTGGTTCGGGGATCTTAACGCTCTTTGGCCTCAACACTTCGTTCAAGGACGGCCTGAACAGTGGAGAAGGCGGTCCCCTGTTGCCAGCGACAGCATAGTTTCTGAGCTTCGCCACCTCTGTATTGAGTATGTCCTGAGGTATACTCGTGCCTCTCCTCGAACCAGCCTCAGACAGCGGAGGTCGTGGCCAGTCGAGAGTCTCATCGGACAAATACCCGTCGGACGAAGTTGTATCTGTCTGCATGAAACTGGCGCCTGCACGAACGAGTTGATCTCTTGTGGGTCGAATGGCAGGACCTGCAGGTGTCGCAGCAGGACTCGCCAGAGGCTTTGCAAATGTTTTAGCTTGCCGTGACATCGCAGCAGACCGAGGAATCTGGGGATATCGTAAGTCCTTGATGGGACTACCTTGTGCTTGAAACAGAAGCTGGGATGCCTTAGTGCCCGTTGACGGGGTCTGGGGGGCTGCTCCGAGCTCCAATTGTCTGTCGGTCTCATCTGGAGGTGTGTCTTCTTCGATCTCCGTATATACAGACGTGATGGAGTCTTCTCGTTCAAGGCGTGGAGCCGCTGTCGTTGACGGCGGTGATCGTGTATCTAGAGGTCGTGTTACGTGCTCGACGGGTTGGTCGTCAAGAGCTCGAAGGAGAAGTCTGGAGGGAGGTTTCTTGCGTAGGACGTTTCTGCTGGCATACGATGAGGACGGAGCTAACTTGTGCTCTGCTACCGGGGCTGAAGATTGACTTGCTGTGGGCCGTACCTCACCTCTTTTGAGATCAGAAGGTGGAGAACCGAAGCCCCGTGGCGGCGACATGATGTTTACATTTCCGTTGTCGTAAGTGGGTGTGAGAGGTATCCGCGCTGCTTTCGAAACACGCCTAGCCGCAACCTCAGGCACGGCGGGTAATCTCAAGTGTGGTGGAGCTACTCGATCTCTCCTTCCAAGGGGTGGCTGTTCCAAGATGAATGGCTGGTTGTCGACATAGACTGGTTCTGAGTTGGCAAATCTCGTCTGTGGCTCATCATCAAAGACGGTGGCATCGCTCATTGGCCTTTGAGACAGTCTCTGGCGCTCTCGACTCCCTTGTACATTGAGAGGTGCAGGCCATAATGCTTTGGCGGGCACCGAAGATAGAAGACGGGATCCACTTTGTTGGGAGGAAATGCTGACAGGGGAGCTTTCTCCAGGCACTTTGGGGGAAACAGCTACGCCTATCTCCTCGGGTCTGATGCTCCTTCGCCAAAAGCTCCTCCGTTTCTCTTCCATAGGCTGTGCGGCAGAGTAAAAACGGCCCTGAGAGGTCGGGACTGCAAGCGACGAGTTGACATTCCCGAATGTTGGCGAAATGGGCTTGGGAGGGCTCTTGTAATTTGGAGGCGGAGTAGGTTCCACAAGGCGAGAACGTCTCTGGCTACGGCGTTGTGCCCGACGCCTCTTGCGGATACAGACTGCGAGCATGAGCATGCCCAATACGATAAGCACAGTTGCCGCCCCAGCGATTGCGATGCCCACAACTTGAGCGGTGCTCAAGCCCCCTTTTGAAGTTGATCGATCCGGCAGACCAACGGCGCCCGTGGTCCCCTGAGGGCCGCTGATTGTGCTGCTGCTCGAAGAACCAAGCTCTGTAGTCAAGGCACTTGAAGGTGAGGGAGTGGTAGCTGGTGAAGGTGGTATCGCCGAAGTAGGAGTATCAGTCGCCATGACAATGGTACTGATGTCCTCTGTAGAGGTCGGCACACCAATCATTGACGGAAGGCTACCCATTGTAGACGCCGCCGTGGAGGGTGCGATGATGGTTACCGTTATGGTGCTGGCGGTTTTTGGCTGAGCGCCAGCTATACCGTCACAAATGCTGTATACCCTCGTGTCCACCTGTTCTTGCCCTGTACAAAAGGACACCACACACTGCAATGAACCCTCTCCAATCGTAAGCCCGGATGTGTTCTCTTGCGTACACAGAAAGTTGAGATCAGAGGTATTTGGGCATGTGCTTCCTGAGTAGTTGGTGGTTGCGAAGGCCTGGATGCAGCTGACCGCACATTCAGGCACGATGGAGAGGATGGACTGAGGTAGGCAGGTATTTGTTTCTTCCGCTCGCAGCCGCAGAAAAGCGCGACGATCGAGAGTAGACGCTGGACTGGGTGAATCCATGGAGAATAATGCATATCGTACCGGCCGCCTTTGTCATGGTTGATGCTTCATAGCATCTACTGGCGTGACCGTTTGCGGAAGTAGATTCTGTGAACAGCAATGGCACTTCAGAAACTTCAGAAAGCGGTAGAATCAGGCAAAGGAAGTGTTGAGGGTTGTTTGCGACAAATATACGGCGCAAAAGGGCATCAGGATCTCAAGGCTGAGGCCTCCTAGATTTGAACCTACCTGAACCCTCGACGAGGGGGTCGTAGCAAAAATTTGGTCCTTGAGCAGCACATTGCGACGTGGAATGACGATGGCGGCTGGACTGTTGCCGTGCCATAGGACGCAGAGTCTGAAACTCACAAGGCATCATACTGAACGCGATCGAATGTGAAGCATTGGGAGAAGGGATCGCGCCCGCCGCGGCGGTTACAGAAGTTCCGGGGCATATCGCGGGCGTCTAGGGCCAAGTGGGCGCTTCACGTGACTGACTGGGACCGGGGTTCAAGTTGTTTTGCCTAGGACTCGAAGGACGTCAGACAACAACCCTGAGCCACCGAGTCTTGGTAGTAAATACGTGTAGTTGTGCCTGGAAATCCATCTTAATTGCATTCCCGGTCGCTCTCCCCCGGCGGCTGCTTCGATTGAAGCCATCGCCGCTGACCATTCATCTTTGCTGTTCGGATATGACCGGCGCCCTCCGGGGTGCTTGCAAACGCCTGACAATGTGAATCATCTGGCCAGCGCAAGACCTGCCAACGACCACATATCATACCATTACTAGTACTACAATGTCTCCTTTTCTTCGCGCAGGGGTAATCACAGACCTCAGTCCAAAATGCCTCGCTGACGGTCATCTTGTGCGTATCAGTGGCATGATAACATGCCTGGTAAATGCCTCTGTTTTTGTCATATCTGCCGCAGATTCCCCCTTGGCAACTGTGGATGGGGATGGACTGAATTCACACATACTAGTATGGCTCCTGGATATGTCGACCTCAGTTGTCTGCTTCGGGGAAGATGTCACAAAGAATCACCATTTAATGTTTAGGCTAGACCAGATGCACTGTTAACGATTACAAGGGCCCAAATCTGGGGTTTCGGGAGGGCACGTTCCGAAGTTCTCAACCTGTTTCACCAGTCTTGTGATGCAAACCATCGATCGGAATGAGTCGCATAGAAATTCATGCTGGGTCACCGCGGATTGAAAGAATGATCCACAATGAAAATGGAATTACAATAGTCTCATTATGCTGAATTACGCTGTTTGCGTCCAAGCCAGGAGCACCAGTTTGCGCCCTTGTGCGCTGAAGTTGGACGAAAACGCTGTTATCCGTCCAGCAAACAAGTCCTTCGGTGACCCGTGTGACACCATTTTTGCCAGTTCAATGTCGAATCATGCTAGATGAACACATTGCTTTGTCTCTTGTGGCGTTGACCGCCCTGGCATGAGGATGCGTTGTTGGCTGGCGGGCAAATGTGGTGTATCATGATTCAGCGATCAGGAAGCGTGGTGGGGATATCATGAGGAAGGATGAGGTTGGGACGGTCCTCGCCAGAAGGGTGGTGGAAGCGGATGTCCATCGGTGGGGAGGTTCGGTTGGTACAGCTTAGTACTTTAGGATGATGTAGCTGTTGTCGCTCGTGTTAGCTCTTATCGCTCGGCGGAGAAGGATGCGCTTCAACATACAGAGCGTGGATGATACCGGGAATGTAACCCAGAATGGTGAGCAGGATGTTGATGAAGAAATCCGCATTGCATCCTCGCTCCAGGAAGACACCCAGAGGAGGGAGGATGATGGCAAGGATGATCTTGCAGATATCGCTGCACAAGTCATGTCAGCTCTGGCGTGCGGAAGTAACGGAATTGCGACTTACGATGCGGTGAAAGGCATTTTGAGTGTGTTGAGGAAGGCCCACAGAGAAACTCTATTTGCAGGTGGTCTGATCAACGAAGTGACAAAGGGCAGGTGATTGTGTGTGTTGTGTTGTTTTGCGAGGATGCGATGTTGTATGGAAAATAGGGGAGAAGAGAGAAGGACTGGAAGAGAGCTGGTTGGAGTGTGCAGATTCAAGTAGGCTTTAAGACGTGAGCAATAATACTGCTACTAGTCGTTGAATTGGGTGGTCGTAGGAGGTAGACTTCCGTGGCTGGGAGAGCAGGGCAATTAGTGTACGAGCAACTCCGCTAGCTATCTCGCTACCCGTACCATCACTGCCAGCAATTGGTGTTTGGGTGAAGAAAAGGGCCCGCACAGCCTGCAACTGGGCACTTTCCAGGCCACATGACGTCGAGTTTTGCCCGGTTTCCGTCAGCCACCGCAGTGCAGCGCAGGCACAGCACTCACTTCCTCTTTTGGGGTAATGATTACTAATGTCTTGGCCAATCAATCTCCCTGCCTGCACGGCCTGTGAGCCAAAGTCTCTGCGTCGTCATTCGCACAGCCACAGCTTGGAGACCTGTGTGGCGGTGAACCTTGCCGTTCTTGCCTGTCACTTGTTCTTGCAGGAAGGTCTTTTTGAGCCTCTCTTTGACCAGGGACATCCTGATCTGTTTGTTGCTTTTATGATGGACGCGTATACGATGCCAGCATGCGATCATCCGAGAGTGTTAACGACTCAGAGCATGAACAAGCCACGAGGGAGACGAGCCCACTCGATCGTGCACCATCGATCCTTTCGCGACATCATGGACAAGACTGCGGGATAAAAATATACGAACCCTTCGTCATCGCTACGGGGCGTGGAGCCAGATGGATAGCCCTTTCCCAAGTCCTTAATACGACCTAGACTTTACTACTTCATGGTTGCCACCGGAACGACTCCATGCATCTTGGTGTCTCCGAGATATTGGTCATTTGCGCTGCTTCTCTGGATTTTCTACGGGGTTCCTCAGACCATCTCGGGGTATATATCCGGTGTCAACCAAGCGCTGCTCTCCGTAGTACCTGATAAGGAGAAGGAATAAGTCAGTGAACCACACACATCCCGTGCTTGGTGTTGGCCACTCCACATTTGCCTGCTGCCGACGCTTGGGTTCTCCCATAAGCAATTCAATACCGCATGCGGCTCTACTGTCGGACAGCAGGGACGGAGGGAAAATCCGTAAGACTCATAGGAGGATCTCTTCTCCGTAGTCGTGATCACCCAGGCACCTGGACCACAAATAGGCTATATGTGCTGAGTATTGCCTGCACACCCTCATCCAAGTCTCGGACTCCAATCATAAGGTGTTAAACCAGCTTGTACTCGACGAGGCTGTGGAGAGGTTGGCCGCGAATTCTTGTCACTGTCTGGCGCTTCAGCAACAGGATTTCTGTCTAAAGACAGCCATTAACAGAAACCTGGCATATTTGAAAGCAAACCTGCCGTATGCTCAAGGAGGGAAGTACGGTTATCAATCCGGTTTCCTAGCCATGTGGCTAGCTTTCGTCGCGATCCTCTTGAAGGTCCACCACAGGTATATGGTTGTAGTATGGTCTAGATATAGGTACGACGTACCATGTATCTTCACAATCCGCCGGTCAGCCTCCTGACTGGGACCCCTTGGAACATCAGCTTTAACTCCGAAACGCGTCCGAGACGGCAGGATGGTGTCTTGATCAGCCCGAGTGGCTGCTGATCGAAAGCACGGTAGCGGCGGCTGCGCTAATAACAATGAAGCTCCAGGCACTCTAGCCGCCTATTTGATGTCATTCCACCGGACGAGTGACCTGCCGAAAGGCGCGGTGGAACAAGCGGGCGCAAGTGTCCAACACCAGCGCTTCATCTCCCTCTATCCGTCCATCGCTTTCTATACGCGAAACACCTTGATCCGTACCTAACCATAACGTGGCTAATGACAGTTTGTTGTGTCGCAGACGGTGACCCGCCTGCCATCCTGGCGATTCGAAAGGGACAACCCATGACAGGCCGTTGATGCTGCTCACCGCATTGACACGCCTCTGGGGAACCAAATCGACGCCGCTGGCCAGGAGTCACTATTTTCCTGCACCTTCAAGTCCACTACTACTGCCCGCATGGCTATGTAGCACTTCCGTATCCCGCTTTGTTCTAACCGTGCCTTTCTTGTTACCTGTACTGGCCCTCGCCTCCTCTCACTCCATCCTAGACACGCCTCGACACGTCCGGAGACGAGTGCTCCGCTTGCATAGCCGGTGGCTCAAGATGCATCAAAAGCATCTAGACTTCCAAGAAACAGAACCCCTGCTCAACAAGAATGGCAGCTCGGGTTCCAACGATCGAATGACAGCTTGCGCCCAGACACCAACGACAGACCCAACATATGACTTTCCCATGCGTAGGTGGCCATTCATTTTTGCTGTTCACACAGTTAACCATCAAGTAGCAAGCTGGACCTGGGCTAGGGCAAAGGCTGACGGCGAAGGGAGAAAATTCCCTCAAACCATTGCCCATAGAGGGTACAAAGCACAACATCCGGAAAATACATTGAGTGCTTTCAAAGGCGCTGTCGAGGTGGGAACTCATGCCATCGAGACCGACATTCACCTGTCCAAAGACCATGTCGTCGTCTTGTCTCATGTGAGTTGGCTGTTGTTGAGCCGCCGCATCTTCGTTGACTGATTTCGATGACCAGGACACAGACCTCAAACGGTGTTTTGGGAAGAACGAAAAGATCATCGATTGCAACTGGGAGTATCTGAGTTCACTTCGTACTCTGAAAGTACCTCACGAGCCCATGCCGCGCCTCAGAGATCTGCTTGAATATGTCGCGCAACCGGGCCTGGAGCATATCTGGTTACTCCTGGACATCAAGCTGGACAATGACTCTGACGACGTGATGCGACTAATCGCGGAGACGCTGGCGTCTGTACCTGCGGGAGGACGAGCGTGGGAGAAACGGGTTGTTCTGGGAATCTGGGCCGTCAAATTTCTGCCTCTCTGCAGGCAATACTTGCCTGGGTTCCCTATCTCTCACATTGGCTTCTCAACTTGTTACGCCAGACAGTTTCTCAAAGTCCCAAACGTGTCTTTCAACATGTTGCAAAAGGTTCTCATGGGACCTATTGGAGCACGCTTCATGAGAGATGTCCGCAAAGCAGGCCGGCCACTCTACATCTGGACAGTGAACGAAACAAACCTGATGAAATGGTCGATCCAGCACGACGCCGATGGAGTCATCACAGACGATCCGAAAAGATTCAAGCGCATATGCGACGAGTGGGACGAGCGAGAGCCCAAAGCCAAAGCCACCTGGGCGCAGGTACTCTACACGCTCTGGCTCTGGACCTTGATTATCATCTTTTATATTCCTTTTAAGCGCAAGTTCCCGGAGTCTGTCGAGCAGTTCATAAAGGAGAACGAGCTCAGGGCAAAGGCGACTTCGACTCTCAGTCAGTTATAGCCATTGAATGAAGATCGAATATCTAGATAGATTTTGTACAAAATGCGAGCGTTGAAGGATGACGGACGGAGGCAATCGATCAAGGCATGCCGTATATAGCCTTGGACATAACCCTTGAAATCATGAGACCACCTACCTGCTACCTATCTACCGACCTATGAGGCTCTTGGGGAAGAAAAACGGGTGGATAGGAGTATGTATTGCGTGAACAATGCGTGTCAACATTGGACATGGCCAAACCCCCACACTTGCGGTGCCGCAGGCGGCAGACGCGTGAAATACACCAACGCGTCAACCTCCCCTCCACGACTGAGAGCCTTTTCCCAGACAACCACCTTCCAACCCGCCGTACTCGCTGCAAAAATGCCTCGCGAGATCATCACAATACAGGCGGGTCAGTGTGGGAATGCCATAGGCTCAAGGTTTTGGCAGCAATTATGCCAGGAGCATGGGATCAGCCGTGACGGCAACCTCGAAGACTTCGCAACCGAGGGCGGTGACCGCAAAGATGTCTTCTTCTACCAGAGCGACGACACTCGCTACATCCCCCGAGCCATCCTCATCGATCTCGAACCTCGAGTGATCAACAGCATCCAGACCGGACCGTACAAGAACATCTACAATCCGGAAAACTTCTTCATTGGAGAAAATGGGATGGGTGCAGGAAACAATTGGGCAGCCGGATACGCCGCGGGCGAGAGGGTGCAAGAAGAGATCTTCGACATGATCGATCGAGAAGCAGATGGCAGCGACTCACTGGAAGGATTCATGCTCCTACATTCCATCGCCGGTGGCACAGGGTCCGGTCTTGGATCGTATCTTCTGGAGCGGATGAACGATCGATTTCCCAAAAAGATCATCCAGACATACTCGGTGTTTCCGGACACAGCCATTGGAGATGTCGTCGTGAATCCATACAACAGTCTGCTCACGATGCGCCGATTGACGCAGAACGCCGATTCCGTGGTAGTCCTCGACAATGGCGCTCTATCCAGGATAGCATCCGAGAGATTGCACGTTCAAGAGCCGTCGTTCCAGCAGACGAACCAACTCGTCTCGACCGTCATGTCGGCTTCAACAACCACACTCCGATACCCGGGGTACATGCACAACGATCTGGTGGGCATCATTGCCTCGCTGATCCCCACGCCGCGATGCCATTTCTTGATGACGGCTTACACGCCTTTCACGGGTGACAATGTCGACCAGGCGAAGACAGTGCGGAAAACGACCGTCCTCGATGTGATGCGACGTCTACTGCAGCCAAAGAACCGGATGGTGTCTATCACGCCTCCCAAGTCATCATGCTACATCTCGATTCTGAACATTATCCAAGGAGAAGCCGATCCTACTGACGTGCATAAATCACTGCTGCGTATCCGAGAGCGGCGCATGGCAAATTTCATTCCGTGGGGTCCAGCTTCAATCCAAGTTGCCCTGACAAAGAAATCCCCGTACCTACAGAACACTCACCGTGTTTCGGGATTGATGCTGGCGAACCACACCAGTGTGTCGTCCCTGTTCAAGAGAATAGTCATGCAGTACGAAAAAATGAGGAAGCGAAACGCTTATCTGGAGCAGTACAAGAAGGAAGCACCGTTTGCAGAAGGCCTGGGCGAATTTGACGAAGCCAAGGAGGTGGTGATGGGACTTATCGGTGAATACGAGGCGGCTGAGAAGGACGACTATCTCGATCCTGATGCTGGGGACAAGAGAGTCGATGGTGCTTGAGCGGATGACATCAACGAAATGCTTGACGAATTTGATTCTACGAGACAACGATATGTTACGACCGACCAGTTTCATGCCAGAATGGCAGCATGATTCACCCTGCTCAGTCTGTTGGTTTGGGGAAGTCGCTGCACTCACACGGAAAACGGCTTGCTAGGCTGTAGAGACACGACAGAAGGCAACATTGAGGATGGTGCCCAGCCTGTGGTCGGGGCCGATGAGTGGCTCCAACCAGACTCCAGTTGGACAGATTCATGTCTGGCCCGAGCGACCACGGCCAGGTCGACGGGAACATGCATAGTGCAGCATGCAAGTGCAGATCCATCCCCTCGATCGAGCCCACGATTCCGAAACTTCCTGTCTGGTGCACCTGACCAACATGTTTTCAGGCACTGCATGTCAAAGGGAGACTTGAGATGGCTGGGTCCAGAACCAACCACATGGATGAAGCCGGACTCGATGCGTGTGCAACCGCGCATAAGCACTTGTTGTGACAGCAAAAGATGGGGCCGATTCAGCGAGAAGTTTGAGTTGTATGCAGGTCAGACAAAGGAAGGCCTTAGGGATGCTTGGAGGAAGTTGATGCATTCGGAAAGTGAATGGCGGTCACGGTGTTCGTTGAGATTCAGGGCGAACCGATAAAGGAGGGCCCTCGGAAGGACGGTGTGCAAGACCAAAACTAGTAGTGAGGCGGCTCGCCTGCCTACATTATCTGTTAGTTAGTCGTCGGGGGGAGTCGCTTGGATAGATCAACACAGCGTCACTAGGAGATGGCACTGTTAGCTGCAGCTGGCTACCGAAGGGCAGAACAGATACTGATGGTCGACAGCTTGTACTACTTACCAAGTAGATAGATTGACACTCACAATTTCCTACCAAAATCATGTTTCTAATGAGATCCAGATGCAGTGTACACAGTACCTACAGGTACCTAGTAGTACTCTGTAGTAACTTACCTTAGGTACTGTAAGTGACCCAGATATCTGGCATCACGCTGAGTTTGGGAAGAGGTCAAGCCACAACTGGGTCTGGAGGATACAGAGTTGCCGCCAGGTGCCGTCTCGGGGCACCCTAGGCCCCTAGGCTTAATCATGCCCATGTCCAGGGGTGCCACCGCCTATACCCACGATGTGCAGGGTCCTTGGAAACCCTGCAACAGGTTGTTAGTAATGCCTAGGTCGCTTCGTTCGCAGCGACCTTTCTCATGCTTGCGAAAGTCTTCCATTGGCATCCGCCGCCACCATGCCAATATTACTACAGAGTATATGCCTCACTAATAGTATCATCTACTAGGTACGTACTGCTGCTGAATAAACCACAGTCACAGTCTCCGACCCTTAAACTCTCACAACAACCCGCTGGGTCCTCATCTTGATCTTTTCCCCGTCATTCCCGTCCCACTACAGCCACCGACTGCCACTGCCACTGCCACTGGTATCTCTATCATTCCATCCTCGGGTCCCTCTCTTCGTGCTCCTCTTCCGGCCCTGGTCTCGGTCTCGGTCCCTTGTCCATCTGATCGGAAGGTTCATTCGCCTCAAGTGACCGCAGCCACCGCAGCCACCGTGTCACGCCCTATAGTACTACCGTGCACCAACTGCACCTCTGCGCCAGTTACGGAGTCCCAAGGTCCCTATTGCTGCTAGTCCTCCGACCCAACCAACCTACACAGAGTTAGTACCTCGCTGTACAGCGCCCTCTGACCATCTCTGACTCTCTCAGCCGGCGGGCCACACGGACTGCCACCTGCCATTCCCTTCTCATCCATTGCCTGCTACTACTAGTACTTCAATACATCTACATGACACATCTACCTGTACGCTTCTGAGATCTACTACTCTTCATTCTCCTTCATCTTCACTTCCGTGAATCGATTCACCCATAAGACAACACGCAAACATCAGTCGTTGTCGCAGTCAACTCAACTCCCTCCTCTCTACACTCCAACACACCTCCGTTCGCCTTCATCTCACCTCTCCGGACATCGGCATTCGTCATTCGTCATCCGTCACGAGCCTGTCGACCAGGACCTGTCTCTTATCGACCTCGCCATCCGTCCTCCTCATTCAACTGTCTCTAGAGACTCTCTCAAATCAAACCCTTCATCATGCGTTCTCGATCAGGTTCCGCAGCCTCCATCAGCTCCAAGGAGCTTGCTACTGACAGCGTCGCCATCCAAGTGACATCTGCCGGCGGCAAAGGTCAGTTCCGCCGCTGCACTGAAATCTCCTCAGATGCTAATGTTGATTCTGCAGTCATCAAATTAAACGTCCGACCTGTACATACCGTATCCAACGTCCTGGAATTCCTCTGCGCCCCAAAGAACATCCCATCGGATGCGAGACTCATGCTCAACGGAGAACCCCTTGAGGTGTCAACCACTGTTGGCGAGCTCAAGCTGGAAGAATCATCAATACTACAACTCCAGACTCCTTCACGGAGTACAACGCCCACTGATCACTCAGAACCTCAACCTACATTGAAAGAGTCGGCCAACGACAAACCAGCTTCAACATCCGCAGTTTCAACCCCGACCGCCTCGGGAACTGCCACCCCCACGAAGAGAAAATCCAACAAGCCCCGCTGCTCGAAAGATGGATGCAAGGCACCTGCACAGCCGATAGTTGGCGACTGCGGATTCTGCCAGAAACGATTTTGTGGCAAGCACCGGATGCTGGAATCTCACAACTGTGAAGGACTGGAGGATGCGCGACGAGCCGACAAGGACAGAAACACTGCCAAGTTGGAAGGCGAACGAACCGTCATGCTTCGGGGGTTGTAGAAAGGGCTACCCTGGACGTGCAATCCCCGCGACGGCTTGCATCCAGCCAAAACGTGCTTTCACAGAGCTGAATGGGATTCGCAGTCTCTACGTGGGCTTAGGGCTGTTCGCAGACTCGTACTGCACCTTTTGCATCTTTCTTTGCTGTTCAGTTTTGATCAATTTGGCTGCACATGGCGTTTACTCCAGCCTTGGGGCGGTAATGTCCGTCGTTTATTGTTGCTGGATGGAATTCGGGGGAAGGGGACAGCGTTTCTCTCAGATGCCACCAGGAGAGGCGAGGCTCGACGGTTACTAGCACGGCTACTGGGATTCGGAATAGTACCTGCAGTATAGCGGGGGTCGGTGTAATGGTATCAGGTTGTCCTGCCCTGCGAGGCGCAAGGCTTTTTGCTTTTCTCCCTGGACATGATATATGGGGTTCGGAGATCATCTATATAATCCAACGACAGACAAATGGAAGAACCCTTGAAACTTGCAATGATTGGTGTTGAAGGCGTGGGCTACGTTGGACTTTTGCTGCTGGAACCCAGGCCGACTTCGACTTCAGTCGGGTCGCGTGCTGCCGATTCTGATGAAAGAGGGAATCTCATCTCTTGTCTTTGGTTACTCAGGTACCTCATGGCGCGACTATCCGTACAGTCGTTGTCTACGCTTAAAGAACACTCCCGGTGTGATACTACGTACTAGTAGACGAGGAAAGAGACATGATGTCGGCTCTGGTCGTTCTATCGTCGGTTCATCTGGCTCGGAATATCGGGTGATATTTGTTTGTCTAGGACTCAGAGGTGTGTAGGTTAAATAAGCAGCCGTGTGATGAGCATTTCTTTGTCGAGTGTACAAGTGTATATATACGTATGCATAATGATGTACAAGGGTTTGAATATCTGTTACTGTCTTCCTAGAAATATATTCGTCGTGGTAGAACTCGGCGACGTACCTAGGGACTTTGTACTGGCATGATATATATACATATGCCTATATAACGTGTGTATGTCTCCATATATATCACCTACATATTCAATCTGCAGCATGCTACGCAACCAACGCTCACTATACCTTGTTTTGTAGTTTCAAAAGAGATTATATACTATATACAAAGTCTACACTGCTCGAAGATAGACCTCTTCACCCGCTCTTCTGCCTTACCTGACAAAGCCGTGGCTGCTGAGTCGAGCATATCTTGGGAATTTCCGCCTTGAGCCTCGCAGCCCACCGCCTGCGTACCTAGGTAAGCAGTAGGAGACTGGTGGACATCTCATGGCTCCCCGACGGTCGGATATTGTAGCTGAAATTTGGACTGAAGAATTGCCATCCACGATGGCTGTGGACCTGCAATAATGAAGCCGTATTCTCATAGACACCTGGGAGGAACAGCTGTTGATTGTAGTCATGACTAGTGGCGGTCATGACTGTCGTAGCCCTCATGTCGAAATGGTCGTGGTCCGCGTGGTTCGGAATAGGATAACAAGAGACATGTCGTGTCCATGTCAGAGTCTCACGCGAAGGGAGACATTTCCGAGCCCAGTCCAACCCAATCCCAGCACTGCATCACATCAAGAAGTAGTTTCTCGGTTCTCCCAGAAGTTGAAAGTGCTGATTTCATCCCATCTCCAAGCCGCCACCTCTGCAGCAGCACTGTCCTGAAACCGGCCGGCATCCCGCTTCCGCTTGCAGTAGGTCCTGGCGCACGTTTCGACGGTCTTCCAATCCTCCGAGTTGAGATAGCTTTTGATGGACCTGCCGTCGTCCATGAGTTTGGCGAAAGCCTCGCGCACCCACGTCAGACAGTTGAACGCCGAGTCGTCCTGGCGCACGGGGATCTCGCGCAGCAGAGCCTGCAGCCGACTCTCGTCCGTGACTTTGGCGACGGTGATGCGCACCAGACCGGTCTGGGCGGCCGCATGGGACGGGATGTCTTGTTCCTCGTAGCAATACTTGCCGGACACGTTGTCCAGGTGCGCAACGTGGTAGCGCGTGCCGCGGTCTCGTCGCAGAGCCGTCGGCGGAGCCACCACCAGGGACCAGTGGTACGAGTCACAGTTGAAGTCGTTGCGGAAGGACGACGTCGTCGATGACCCCCCGCGCGGGTACAGCACAATGTACAGGCGGTGCTTCTTCCGCGCTGGTCTCAACGAGGCCGAGGACAGAGATCGAAGGATCTGGCTCCGTGTCGATGTAGTAGGCATTGGAGCGTATTGACAATATATGCCTCAGCTGGGGACTGCAAGCCGAGGGTAGGGTTCGGTCCTCAGGGAGATGGCGCGCAACCAAGGGAGAAAAGGAGCGATCGAAACATGGTTGACGGATTGATCGGAGGATAGGTCAAGCGATCAGCCTGTCTGCAGTGGCCGTGGAGGGCGAGTGAGTTGAGAATCTGAAGCCAGAGAAGCCAGCTTGGAAGATTAGGTAGGTACCCGTAGGTAGTTTGGCAATCAAATGGAGAACAGCACCCACCAAATCGACCGTCGGCTGGCTAAAGGGCCTCAATTCCTTAGGCCTCCTGACGAAAAACCCTCACTGACGCAAGACATCTTCAACAATCTGCGAATCTACCTCAGATAACGGAAAGATGATCAGACGCCTCCACCGAGGTCTTTGAGGGCAACTTTGGAACCTATTTCCAAACTCCAAAGTCTGGGGATCGAAGTGAGCATGGTAGGCAGACTTCCAGTGCTAGTAGACACCCAACGGCTGAAGGGTTATTGATCTGGATTGAACACTCTTGCTACCACGTTCACAGCATCTACATCCTCAGTCCTCAGTCCTCAGTCCTCCACTCCGAGCGTGAGTCGCTACAAATTCACCTTTTAAGCGGAAGGGAGGATACTTGGGCGAAGTCGAGGGTCCTGCTAGCCTCGTGCAATGGGGTCTTCACATGGACTTCTACAGAGCGAGTGTGACGGCATCTCTACACCTTGTCACGGTCTTTTGGGATCAGAAATGGTTACACTATTTGCATTTAGACGTTGCCTTTTTCCACCTAGCAAACCCATCATAGATTCGATGAGAGGCCGCTCTCATAGTCTCGCTGTTGGTGGGGGACCCGAGTGTAGTCAATTTCCGACCTTCATGTCAACCACGCAGCGGATGCAGTCTCCAGCCTTCATGTCTTGGAAAGCGTCATTGATCTTCGTCAGAGGCTGGCGATGCGTGATAAACTCATCCACTGGCAGCCCGTTAGTACGAGCAATCACACGCACACGTTTGGAGCACGAACCTTTCAGCTTTCCGTCAAGATAATCCTGGACAAGTCCGGGGAGTTGCGTGCGACCCTTGACACCGCCGAAGGCACATCCTCGCCAGACACGGCCCGTGACCAGTTGGAAGGGTCTCGTGGAGATTTCGGCACCGGCAGGAGCTTTTTGGCAGTTAGTATATGAAACCGGAGTTCGTGCATGGATGAGATACTCACCAACACCGATAATGATGGATTGACCCCAACCCTTGTGGCATGCCTGTTCTCAGGGTTAGTCTCACCAACTTGCCAGAACATAAAGCCTCATCGTACCTCGAGCGCGGCTCTCATGACTTGCACATTACCGGTGCAATCAAAAGTGTAGTCGAGGCCACCATCCGTCATCTCAATTAGTTTCTCCTGGATGGTCTGACCACTGAGCTTGGTAGGGTTGACGAACTCGGTGGCGCCGAACTGCTCGGCCCACTGCTTCTTCTTGTCGTTGACGTCCACGACAATGACTCTACCGGCTCCGTTCTTAACCGCACCTTGGATGACAGACAGACCGACACAGCCCGCGCCAAAGACGGCCACGTTTGAGCCTTTCTCGACGTTGGCGGTGATGACGGCCGCGCCATATCCGGTGGTGATACCGCAACCCAAAAGACATGTCTTGTCCATCGGCGCTTTGTCTGTCAGAGCAACAACAGAGATGTCGGCGACGACCGTGTATTGGGAGAATGTGGATGTGCCCATGTAGTGCAGAAGGTCTTTGCCCTTGCACTTGAATCTGGATGTTCCGTCTGGCATGACACCTTTGCCCTGGGTTACCCGGATCTTTCCACACAGGTTGGTCTTGCCCGATAGGCAGAACTTGCATTCCTTGCATTCCGGAGTGCTAACTGGTCAGTTCAAGCTCAATTGGATGCAGGGAGTCACATACTAGAGAGCGACAACATGATCACCAGGCTTCACATTGGTCACACCTTCACCCACGGATTCAACCACACCGGCGCCCTCGTGTCCCAGGACGACGGGGAAAGCGCCCTCCGGGTCTTTGCCAGAGAGGGTGTAGGCATCTGTATTCCACGCTCAGCAACTGCTTGTGCCGTCTCGTACTGGTGCGGCTCACCCGTGTGGCACACGCCTGTGTAGTATATTTGAATGCGGACTTCGTGCGCCTTTGGGGGTGCAACTTCAATATCCTCAATCGAAAGGTCTTTACCAGCCTCCCAGGCGACGGCAGCCTACGCAATGTCAGAGGGGAACAGAGCCGGGTCAATCGGCGGATGCGCACCTTGCAGGTAATGGTCTAGGTTGTCGATCGTCAGTTACTGCTCAAGTGCGCTCTTGATCTGTACGTACCTTTCCAACGGTATCAGCGGGCATTTTGGTGGAGTCAATTTATCTGTCGGGAAATGGGAAATGGGATATGACGAGCGACAAGAGACGAGAACGATGAGCACCTAAGAGGATGTAGAAGAGGTCGACTTATACCCAAAACACCGCGGGCAGCAGCTGGGAGTGTCTACAGCTTGGCAGAACCTTGAAGTGGCGTTTTCATTGAGGGAAACGACGGATGTGGGGGAGGCATCACAGCTCGAGAACAATAATTGATGATGATGTCGAAGCTCGGATGATGGTAGAAGCGTTGTAGTACCTAGTGGAAGCACAGATGAGCGTTTCCCGGTACATCCATACAGAGTTACAACCCCCGCAGTCTGTTGTCATGAGAGGTGCCTAAACTTTAGCCCAGGCTGAGGAGCTGTGTCTGTTAGGCGGCTCTAGGCATCTCTACCAACTTACCACCTACTACTACTAGTAGTATCCCTCACTTTACTATACGATTCCGGATATCAGTACCACAGTTTTCAGTTGGGCGAGTTGAAAGGGTAACCCATCCCATGGAGATCTACAGCGTCCGCATATCCCACTGCACTGAGCAGTCCACCGCGAGCCCTGCGACTAGGTATTACTAACATCGACTCGCCCACAAGCCGCCTCTTTCGGCGCTCGAGGTGGCCTTTTTTCTTCAAGCCTGGTATATCTACGGAGGTAGGAATCCGTTGCCAAACCATCGGCTCCGCCCTGGAGAACATTCCCCCTTGAGGGATAATGGTATCGCATGAAGGTGGGACGCAGATTTGCCCGTTGAAATTGAGGCACTGCAAAGTGGACGTGGAACATCGTTTAGCCGGGTTGCAGCAAGTACACTTTTGCCCTACAGCGAGTTGTATTCACTCACTGTATCTACCGGTTGCCTTTTTCTGACAGACTTAGACTTCCTGTCCCATGTGATCTGAAGCCTCGTTTGATATACAGACAAGAACAACAGGAATAAGCAAACCAGAGTAGGATTAAACGCCATATCTTCGTCCTTCAAGCTGTCCCCCAAACTCATGGGTTTCAATGCCTCCTTCCCATACTAGTAGTATACAGTAGCTGTGCATCACCACGCCAACTCGGAATTTTGGTCAACCCTATCTGAGGCCCTGCTCTGCCTGCATTGCGGCGTTCTGCTCTTGAAATCGTTCTCCAAGTCGCTCGGTAGCTTTCATGTGCTTCTCGAAGCACCTCGACACACAACCCTGCTCCCGGGGAGTCGTGGCCTTCGATGTGAAGTCGTTGACACAGTCATCGAAGCAGGTCTGAACGAGGCCGCTGAATGTCTGGGACGCAACGACAAGTCAGCCCGGCAATCCAGACGGGGGAAATGGTGGCCACGTGGTCGTGGAAGGCTTACCGTCATGAATTCGGTCATCTGTCTTCGTTCGAGCCGAGATCCAAGCTCTCTCTGTTCTGCGGGGGTAAGACTGAATCTCAATCAGCTTGTGCGCATGCGAAGTAGCCGGAGAGACACATACGCGTCCATTGTGCTAAGAAGTCGTTTCTTGAGGTTCAGAACCGCAGAGAGATTTGTCCAAGATAGAAGAGCTGGATGCTCGTTCCGTGAATCCTGCAGTTGGAAATACTGTGGCTCGAGGACCGGGGCAGGGCAACAAGGAATTCTGAATGGCAATGTATCACAACTGCTGGCAACTTGTACTCTGAAACGCAGGCAGGGTCATAAGAAATCTGCGGTGACCTCGTTGAGCTGGCTGCGTCCTGGCCGGTCGGCAAACTTTCCCTCTCGTCCGCTTAGGGATTATCTGATTTTTCCCTCCCATGCTCTGTCGACGCTCATCCGTTCTTCCTTTCTACACGCGTCCTTCCCTTCTCCCACACTCTGAGCGCAAGCTCGGTCTGTGAGTTGTCATGCATCTGTTTTTGGTTCGGCATGGCGAGACGGAGCATAATGTTTCAGGAGTCCTGGCAGGCGTTTCTGACTCCAGGTTAACTAATCACGGCGTGCTGCAATGCCAACGCTTGGGTAAATACCTAACGTCACACCGCAACTTGCACTTCACGCATATCTTTTCCTCTGATCTTCAACGAGCCTATATGACGGCAGAGAAAATCCAGCGAAACCAAGTCGCTCAATGGTCCCGGCTACATAGGGTCCCCGAAGTGGTGAAGCTACCACTGCTGAGAGAACAAGACTTCGGTTCTTTCGAACTGGTGCCTTGGGCCTCGAAGCGGGCGCAGCAAAGATTCGACCATGGCACTCCCAACCCAGCAGATTCGAACTTTCGGCCACAGGAGACCCCAGAGTCTATGACAATGCGAGCAGAAGCATTCTTGGACAACTTCATTCTTCCGTTGCTCGCAACTGCCACGGACGATCCGCAAGATTCAACTAACTCTTCGACACAGGATTGCGTCGCAGTCGTCTCGCACGGGTTATTCCTTTCCTCTCTTTGGCAGTCGTTATTGCGCAGGTTCGCTACTGGTACTGTGAGTCTTGGTCCAAATATTGAGGTCGGAGGACACGTTCGACCCCTTGAATACCTTCCTTCCTGGGGCAATACTGCTTTTCTCGAATTGACTATTCAACGCCCTACCACCATTGTACCTGCGAATTTCTCGAACCTAGGACCGGCATTCGATGAAGCAGGGCGTCCAGTGCCTCTCAGCTGGCACTCGATGATGGTGCATGTGATAGACGGCCGTGATCACCTGGCCGATCTCAAACGAGCTCGGGGTGGTATAGGCTCGTCACCCTTCGATGCTCGCCAACAAACTCTTGTTGGATATTTCACACGGCCGTAAGAGACTGGGCCAGAGTCTCAGATTGTGAGATGAGCATGACTTCCACTGTGTTTAACGGACAATCGCACTTCAGAGTGCCCTTCCTCGCAATTAAAGTGGTGAGTCATTAGTCCTCCTCCGTCGCCACCCTTTTACAATATGATGAAGCACAATTCACACAGACCTGTTCTGAAACACGTTGTGGAAAACAAAATTGTACCAACTGCTGTCTGATTCTTCCCATCAACACCAACACGTTCTTGCTGTCTTACATCGTGATATTGACACCAAACTAACATCAACGAATCTGGCAGGACAATGCCTCTACTTTGCAACCGTTACCACGCCGCATCTCAGGGCCTAAATCATCCGCACCTACCTATGCCCTCTTCTTCATGGCGATACTTTGTAAGATTGGAGCAGCTGAATGGGAAGGGGGAGGGAAAATGAGGGGCAGAGAGAGGGATCCCAGTCTCGCTGATGTATTAATGAAAAGGGTGAGATTCGACATGCAGCACTGGCACAACTTGGGATGTCCTTGCAGTGCAGCCGGGCTATCTCATGATCTAGACTCCTAAGAGCTGGTTGGCGATGACTTTTACGACCAATAACAAAGACGATGAGATGGTGGGTGTGCGTCCAGCAGCCTCGTGTCGCCTGTTTTTGTAGGAGGGCTGTGATGGCCACGGCCACGGTGGCTGTGGCTGTGCAGCATCATGGCCACATTATGATCACTGGAACGATTCAACGATTGAACGATTGACCTATGAATAAATTAATGGGCGTTTTATGATTCTATTGTCCTCGTGACGTTTATTGGCCGAAGCGCACGCGTACTCGTAAATCTTGCTGGCAATCAGGGGAAATCAAACAACGACTCCTTCTTGACTTCCTCATCCCTCTTCTCCTGATCCTCTACTCATGACTGCTGTCCTCAACCGATGATAGAACTTCGTCTCTAGCGTCTGAGATTACAGAACGGCGGCTGGTTGCCACTTCCACCTGGAACGGCCCCTTGTATCTGGTCGCTAGGCAACTGTGATCCTTGTCGCGCTCCAAGGCGCGTTGCAAGGCAGCCATCGGGCTCGAAGAGGCAACAAAAGAGAGTTTATATGGACACGAGATTCGATCGAGCTTTCACCGCCTTTATTCACGTTTAAAAGAGGCTGACCGGTGTGTCCATAATATGGGATCCGTGAGAAGATTACCTTGCCAGCCTCATGGGCACTTGATCGAGCACTAAACGCCACAGTAACGACACCCATCCATATCCGACAAGAGCAAGGAGCAAAGTCAAGCCCTCCAGGCCGACCACCCTCATCCATGGCGGTATTAATCTTCGTGACTTATTGTGAAAGAAGAGGAATTGCGGAGTCTTGACTGACCGCCTCAAATATCATACTTCAGCCTTTCATTGCTTGCACAACATTGTGGTGAGTCCGCTGCGATCGCCTTGATACCCAGAATCCCTTAATACCGCTAGGAAACAGGCAACTGAACCAAAAGGCCAGGCTGTGTGAAAGGCAGCCGACAGCGACAAGCGTTGGCCATCGGTGAACACCTACCACGCCTAAACCGACAGTTCCAAAACATTGTCAAATATTACTTCGAGCTCGAACTGCAGTCCGAGTTGCGTCAAGCCGACGTCTTTCCGCCCTTCTCCCTGCTGTGACAGTGAAGGGCTCATTCTGATAACCGACGGATTGTGCCATGTGCGTCAAGATGGCGGCCGGTGGTGGCGCCGAGAGCGCCTGGGGCACTTCCACGATATCCAGGAGCTGTCTCCGAGCAGCTACAGGAAGCATGATTGGAAGAGGCACCATTTGCGTCCTTTTAAATTGCTGGTCACTGATGATACTCCTGCTGTACATCCATTTCATCAAGCTGAAGTCAGTTCTCACCGTCGCAAGCTGCTGGCCTTTCCGGAAGTGTTCATGCACCATGTGCGACAGCATGTTGTTCCATGCAAGAGCCGGGTCGTCATCAGGCTCCTGAACATACTGGTTGTCACACAAGAAGCAACTGGCAAAGGTTGGTAATTCGTGGCCTCGGAAGTGCGAAAAGACGTGCATCTTGAAGTGGATGATGTCTGCAAAAACCTGATCACAGTCCAGGATCTGGAACGGACACAACAGATCCGCATCCTCCTGATACCGGGACGGCAACGTCAACACTCCCTCTTGTGATTCAAGTATGTATCCTTTTCCGAGGATACTACTGGCCATGTCCGTCTCGACGGAAGATGTCAACGAGGTCGCAGTCGATGCAGCCCGGGTGAGTGGTGGCACTGCGTCTGTGGTGGTCGTTGAGGCGATGGACACGGTATCGTCGTCCATGACAACGTCCACCGCCCTGTGCGATTTAAGGAGACTGACTCGTGGATACAGCGGGCTGTTTGCGCGATCTCTTTGTGCCAACATAGTCGACCTGATTTAATTGCTGTACGATGCGTCAGCGCCAACGGCGTCGGGTTTTCGCCTCATCGGAGGCACCGCAAGGGATCGATGTGGATGCTGTCTGGCTTGGGTTGCCCCATCTACGGTCACATCAGAATCCTTTACGCAGCGCAGGATGATGGCCAGCAGAACGCTGGTAGAACTTACCACTCATTATGCCATTGCGTGAGGATCAAGGTCGAGCACAACGGACGCTATCGATTGGGCACGAAAGGGCGATATGCGGGGTTCGTTTTTCCTCTTCTTCCGGTCGGATGGTTCCTTTGCAAACGGCCGGCTAAGACGGGCGGTTAAGACAGTCCTTCACGATCTTGAAGCGCAGTTTCCGGCTTTAGATGCGGTTTGTCACAGGACGGTACGAATCAGCGCATCGTAGGGCAAAAGCTCGACAGCTGCATATCCAAATGCGCAGAATCTCCACAATTCATGGGAATTCTTTGTCTCTTGCAGTGGACACTCCCCGCCGCAATCATGCACCTGTCAGATGTTGCCAGCACATCGAGCTTGCATTGCCGATGACCTGGATTGATTGGTGCACACCGGTCTTCCAGCCGTGTCCGCAAATGATAATGTGAGTTACTATGAGAGCGACTGATTATGGAACCCGCAGACGCCTATCACTTTTGGCACATGGTCTATCATGTTCCTGATGGAACGCCGCAAAATTCGAATCTAGCGGAGTGGCGACAGCTTGAATATAGATCGAAGGGAGCGAAATGGAACATCTCAATACCAAGGTGAGCTTGCGTTCTGACTGGTAGCCTTGGACGAAAATCAACGGGGCACCTCTTCGAACTAAGTTCGTCTCTTATCCGATGTTGCTTGCTCTCCACTACATCATTCCTTGAGGTAGCTTGCCGCGCTGCTGGGGGCATGGTAACCTAACCGTGATCATTCTGTTGCTATGCAGATCGGCAGCACCAAAATATCTGTCGTATTGTCAAGTATTACTAACTGAAGCAGGCATGGAATATCAAGCACCACCGCTCCCTAGGAAAGAGAAGTACAATGTGCAAGTTTCAACCCAAGATTTGTTTGACACTAGAATCCGCCTTGATCACCGCTTGCAATACCTCAGTCCACACCCTGTCGCCGAACTCACGGCCTTCCTTAGTGGTGCACATTGGAGCAGGCTCATATACTCGATCGTCCTTCCACATTTGGCCATGTGTTTCGGGACCTTGCGTCAAAGCGGTCACATGACTGTTTGCTCCCTGTTCAGCGGTTCGGGCGAAGACGGTGTAGAGAAACCATGTGAGCATCTTCACCACGAAGCTGGTCATCATCTGTCGTCCAAGGTCGCTTTTGCACATCCCAGGGCAAACGGTATTGATGATGACTTTTGGCTGTCCGTCAGGGCCTCTTATCGCTGGCATGGCGGCAAGATGGCGCATCGCGTACTCCAGAATTAGCTTGGATCTTTCGTACTGAGTTGATCCGCCGAAAGCCCCTGGCGGGAAGTGCTTTTGTGCACTGAGATCCGCAAGCGGTGTTTCGCTGTCCATAAAGGCCTTCATCTGCTTTGGCGTGATCGCTGCCACCATACCGGAAGAGATGAATGTCAGATGCGGTGTGTAGTCCTTCTTGCCTTGGTCTGCTGCGGCCATCATGAGAGGCAGCAGCAGTACACCAAGCAGAATTTGACTGAGGGCGTTGACTTGAAGAGTTTCCTCCCAGCCGTCGACGGTCTGCACGTATTTTGCCTGCAAGGAGCCTGCATTAAGGATTGCGCCGTCCAGCGTTCGGACTTGCGACTTGAGGGCGGTGACAAACTGTTGCACCTTGTTGAAAGAGCTCATGTTGAGGACCATGGGAATGATCTCTGGGGGGCGGCTGGCGGTATCATTGCCCTTGGTATCCTGCAGGTACGCTTCGATTTCCTTCTTTGCGGCCTGGCCTTTTCCTTCCGATCGCGCCGTGATGATGAGTTTCGACACATTGAGCACAGCGAGCTTCTTGGCAGCTTCGAGGCCCAGCCCGCCAGTCGCCCCGGTCACGAGAATAGTCCTCCCAGCGAACGACTCTGTTGCCGGTTTGGGTGGGTTGTGCTTCTGGTCGAGCAGACGCATGAGGCCTGACATCTTGTGGGGGTGTATGGGAAAGGAAAGGATGACCTTTCAGCTTTTTTGGCTCAGATGAATACAAGGATGGGAGATAATGCTAGGTGACTACAGGGTGGCAGCCGGCACAGCAGTTATATACCTACCTACCTACCTTGGTAGATTCGACCGCTCGGCCCCAGTCCCACTTTGTTTGTTATCCTGTGCGCTGGAGCCAACTGTTTTAGTACTGATCGACTGCATTTGGTCATTCACAGACCGCCAGAGAACGAGATCTGTATACTGGGTTGGACAGTTACAAGAGTTGACGAGATATCGCTTTGAAATAGTTGATTTCGTCCTCTTGTCTCATTGGAAGGGCAGACTCGTGGTGGGGGCGGAAAGCCGGAGAGACGATGTTCCGGCGGGAGTCTCTCCATCCGAAACGAGGCTCGCGGCTGTCCTACTCCCGGATCTCAGCCTTGTCCCTGGTCCTCTAGGGCTTCAGCTCCAGCTCCGGAGTCCCTGACTGGTGTGAGTGAAGATTGATCCGTCCACACCCCCTCATATCGGTACTGCTATGCCGTTTTCAACCTGTCGAGAGTACTCTCCGGGAAAAAATTGTGCGGTTTGGAGGAGGCGGCCAGCAGTGGCCCTGCGTCCCTACGGGTTGACTAGACGCGATAGCCGCGCGGCCGGCGCTTATCTCAGCCCCCACTTTTAGATCTATCAGCCGCAGTCTTTCCATCACCTCATGACTCTCTGAACTTCAAAGAAAGCGGGCATTTACTCCCAGGCAAGCCAGATGAAGATTCTTGTTTCCCAGTGGCTGCAATGATCGAGAGTCTACAGAGTCAACCGTTTTCTACCGTCTTCATTCCACACCGATAACAAAAACAACAACAACAACAACCCTCTTCCAAATTAACTAGTCCTCCTCAGAATCTCGCAACAACTACAGCACGCACGATGGAGAACCTTACTCTCAACGACGCCCCTCCGCCTTCCTCTCCGCAGAGACAACCGAACCAGTCTAATGCCGTCCTACCAGGCGTCCCGCAGCAGCAAGGCCCGCCTCAGCTGCCGCCGCAGATGTTCACGACTGCGGCGCAGCTGCTAGATTTGACCGACAGTACGTACCCCCCTGAGCTGGCCTGTATAGCCCAAAATACAATACCAACAACACCCCCTGTTGCACGGATGTGCTTTTATCCAAAACCTGCGCTTCAAGAGGAGGCAAAAAAGTTCTATACTAAGCTTCCGCACACCTGGTGCTGGAGCTGCGTTCTTATATTATACGGAGGAGACGACCTTTCAATCTCGATATAACTAACCCAACGAATTAGAGAAACTCCTCCTCGTCCTCCGCGACGGCCGCAAGATCTTCGGCATCCTCCGCTCGTGGGACCAGTTCGCCAACCTCGTCCTGACCGACACGCGCGAACGCTACCTCGTCAGCATCCCCGCCGGGACCAGCCCGGACGCCATCTCCGCCACCGCTTCGAAAGACGCCCCCTCCTTGTCCGCCAACACGTCGCTAAGCACGTCCACCCTCCCGCGCAACCTGTACTGCGACATCCCGCGCGGCACGTATCTCGTCCGAGGCGAGAACGTGCTGTTGCTGGGCGAGGTGGATCTCGATAAAGATGACGACCCGCCGCCGGGGTACGAGCTGGGCGATGTCGAAGAAGTGTTCCGTCTGCAGCATGCCATTGATCTGGAGAAGAAGCGTAAAGATAAGATCAGGGCCAGGAAGGTCGGGCAGTTGTGGGGTGGTGAGCTGGAGGGGAGTGGGGAGGTGCTTTACTGAAGACTAAGACTAAGAAAAAGAAAAGACAGACGTCGATGCATTTCTTTGTCCATAATGGACGTCGTCGTGCAACCCGGCTTGCCTGTCTATACTTGATGAGGGAAAAGGACTAAGCCCGAGTTGTTGAGACTGGCTAGATTCTCATGGAGGTCATGATTGTGATCGACGCTGCCATGGTCATGATCATGGTCAGTCCATCCCTCTAACAACCGGGCCATCCATACTGGAGGAATGGTCGGTTGTGAGGCCCATTCATGGCCCCCAACTGAATGTCCCCTCATACCGTAGCAGGTAGCAGCGCAGACCACTACGGAGCACAGCGGTAGAACGGGTTCCAGAGCAGAATATTGTGAAATGCTCTGGAATCTCGCCGGGCCCAACTGATCGGTCTTTCATTTCTTTGGAATCGATCTTTTTACGGCTTTCTACCCTATGAGAAATCAGGATAGCATGGCACTGGAAAATCTACCTTACCGCTTGCATCACAATCCACTAGACTACCTTAGACTGTCTTTTTCCCGACCTAGAATCCCCTACGACTCCGAACACTCTAGTCTACAACAGATACAATGTATGTTGAACAATAGTGGTGGTCACAGTATACCACGATCAAGCTCTACGCGTCCCCCACTACATATCCTAGGTGGCCATGCACTGTCTCTCGAGCCGACGTCGTCGAGAACGCAGGGAAGGAGCAGTTAGTCTCGTGATCGTCGTCATGGTCATGTTCAAATGTCAGCCACTATCGCTGCCAAACGGCCTCTCCTGGCAACGCCAGTGCCGTAGCTGGTTGCCATCAAGCCAAACTGCTGATCCAATGATTCAAAGAAAGAATCATTCCTCCCCAAGCACACCAAGACAGCCCAGCCCAGCCCAGCCCAAAGCCACCTAACCCAACCCAGGACTTAGCGAGCCTCCAGCCAACTTAGCCAGTTGACGACCATCATGGCCTGCGTGATGGCCAGCTTTTCTTGAGACCGAGGCCCGTCCAAGCTCCAGGCATGAAAAGTGGCCTTCCACATCCCGAGCACGTCGACGCCAAACCGGGCAGCCGACAGGGCCATGTACTCGTCGAACGCCCGGATCTCGCGGTCGCGGTCGTCGTTGAGCGGCTCGCGCGTGCCCGTGGCACCGGGGCCGATCCAAAGCATGAGCGCGTTAGCGGTTAAGCTGGACGCCCGGTGCTTGAACTCGAACACCGATGCCGCGGCACGTTCGACCGGGAGGGAGTCGGGAGACAGGCCGTGGACGATGGCGACGGGCTTGCGTTGGGAGGCCGAAGGTCCAGGTCGAGTGATCAGAGAGTCCAATTTGTCCAAGACCGTGGTGGGGGCAGGCGAGTAGTTGACTTCGAGATATTCGTGGCGCGTGGACCGGTCACAATGGTATTTGTCTCGACGATCAGCTCTCCACGACTGTGGCGGCAGCTGTAGACTTGAATTGACAAAGTATTTGACACAAAAGGGCTCGGTGAACTGGTTCTCGCAGCGGCAATGCAATTGTGCGCCGTCAGGCATGTCCCAAGTCGCCAAACATCCGTTGACCAGGTCTTGTCGGAGCAGAATGTTGAAACCGTTGTAGATCGACTGCAGGCTGGAATCTCCCACGAAGATGATTGCGCTGAATCGTCCGATGATCGTGCAGATTTCGTCGATTGAATACCAGGGGTAACGGCATCCTGTGTAACCATGTTAGTGCTATCCAGAGGGCGATCTCCTTCGTGAGAACCAGCTTACCTTGCACCCAGTGTTGTATGTCAGGACTGCTGGTGTTTCCTTCAGATATGGCCGAGAGAAATCCCAGGCGTGTGGAACAGTAGGAACTACCGTTGAGGCTTGGAATCGCGTCGATGGCAGGAAGATAGAGATCGGGTGCTTGGAGGTGACATGCCGAGGAGACCTTGAAGACGTCGAAGTAGCTGTTTGGGTTAGCATTTCCAACCGATCTGGTCTTCAGTCTTGTACTCACTTGGTGTAATCCCGAGAGAAGATCGTGACGTTGTCTGGCTGTCCATCGGTGCTCCAATGTCCAGGAAGTGGCAAGATCATGTAGAATCCCCAGAGGATTGTCAGGACATAGGTGTATGCTACGGCCTTGTAGCAGAAATGAGGAAAGTTGATATCATCAACGAGATCTCGGAGTGGATTACCAGTCCGGCGATAGAAAGGGTGTCTGACCGGAACCAGCATACCATCTTCCATGCTCGTCTGATACTCGGGATTGATAGCCATCTTTGATGTCTTGTAGTCTTATAATCTGAGTTATGATGAGTTGTCAAGAGAGTATGAAAGAAAGAGAGAGGAGTGAGTGAAGAGTTAGCAACAGGTCTGGATGAAGAGGGTGTCGACATGCGCGGCATTGATTAGTCGTCGACGACATCATCCACGACAGCATGGTCAATTGCGCTCTTCTGGGACATCGCGATAACAGCATCGCTACAAAACATGCTCCAGCAGGATATCTTAGCTTCTTCACTCCATCGTGTGCATAGCCGCACTACATATGTTGCGAGAATCTTTCTTCTGCCTTCAGCATTGAAGGCGATATCAGTAAGCCGTTCGTCCAGTCAATCTTTCGTCAAGGTGAGTTTGGTAGACACGCCTGGCACTGGCATGCAAGATGGCAACGGAAAAGAAACAACGTAGCAAAACCATTGCGCAAAACAACCAAGAATCAAGAAGTGATTTCCAGCAGTGAGATGTACTCAGCCTTTGTCTTTTGAGAAGCTTCATCGTTTCCCACAGGTTTGTTCAAGGGTACATAATACATCTCAGCCTCGTCAGTCCACTGGTCCAGGGGGCAAGCAAACAAAGATCAACAAAGTCCAGCTCTTGCTCCTGCTCCACTTGTCTTTGCCAGCACGTCACAGGGCAGCCCTATAGACTTATTCTTTTTGGCAGACACAACATGATGATGGCTCGTGTGCGGCCATATTGACAGAATGAAGAAAGAATGGCCCCCAATCTGGAGTCCAAAGCTCATCACATATCTTGAACGGATATCCTTTCTGATAGCAGCATGGGCTCTGCGGAAGGAGAATAAATGGGGGCTCAGCCTCAGCCGAAAAAATCCCGATTTCCAAGGCGGTCGGAAAAAGCAGTTAGCTTCAGCCCGAGCATGTCCCGAAGCCATGAGATGTCTGGCCACAGGAAGTGCACCTGGGCTGATGAATCTTCAGTTCGGACACCAGAGGTGACTATAGGAATGGAACGTGACTGGAGGAGAATGTGAGAAAGAGTCCGGTCACCTCGAAGTCGATACTGTTGGAGGCAAGGAGGCTTTCCTAAGCATTGCAAGAGGACCTGTGGACCTTACGAGCCGAGGAGGATACGAGACGGCCAGGACATGTTAGGCTCTTCGCAGCGACGGAGGAACAGGGATTCGATGCCTGATGCCTTGATGGCTTGGAGAAAAAGGAATCCCTTATGGCCGAGGCCCAATGATGAAGCATGCTTCAAGAGCCCTCCGCAGCCATGTATGTTGATGGCAGTTGAGGTTGTCCCCCACAGCCGAGAGAGCTCCGGAGGGGAAGAGGAAGAGGAGAGGCTTCGCAGGCGAGATGGGACCTTAAGATGCGCTTAGAGGCTACTAAGGTCTCCTTAGTCCCCTAGATCTAACGTGGCTGGTGTTCAAGTTGGGGAATTGGGGGGTCGAGGGAGGCTAAGGGGCTTCTCAGGCGGCGCAGGGACTCGTTGGTATGCCTGGAGTAAACTGTGCCATCTTCCACTAACAGATGCAGGTAGCTGCCCTTGCTGCCTAGTGCCTAGTGCCGTCTAATGCTCAAGACACTGCTGCTAGCTGCCCGCTGTGCCCGCACTTTGTGTGCTGTGCTAATCTGCTGCGCGCCAGGCGTCGAGTCATCTTCGTCTCTAATCCTTATACTGCCGACCGGTGCAGCATTTGACCTGCGCCCACACAACCCAAGGCTCACTGACTCACTCAGCCTTCATTGCTTGTTGCGAAAGAGAGCCTCGTCTTCGATCCCTTCAGTTATACCTGGTTCATCTTGCTCAGCTCCCGGAACTGCCACATTCCCAGCAGAAGCACGCTCCGCCCCTCGCACTGCCGCCTCTGTGTCTGCGTCATCTCCTGCCTCGGCAACACACGCTGAAATAACAATAAAGAACTCGGAGAACATCGGACATCGCACGTGCCTATATTGAGTCTCATTCGAGTCACTGCCTGGCCTCCGTCTTTGTTACTCTTGCTCAAACCTACCGCTCGAATTGTCTCCCCCCAGTGACCCAGGCCGCAAGGCCTGAATTTCCCCGGTCAAGATGTCGTGGAAGCCATCGGAGAGGTTGATGCAAACCATCGCTCACTATGCCAGCTTTCCGCCCACTGGAGTCAGTCTTCGCCAAATGGTGCAGTTTGGCGAGAAGCCCTCTACTGGTAAGTCCTGTGCTTCAGTCGTCGATGTGGTTGTGCCTGATCTCCTTGCTAACGGCATGCCTAGGGACGCTCTTCCGCGCTTCGCAGTTTCTCTCCGAAGAGCTTCCAGTGCGCCTCGCCCACCGAGTTGAAGAGTTGACTAGATTACCAGATGGACTTAATGAGATGACTTCCATCAAAAAGGTCAGGGATTGGTATGCTCAGTCTTTCGAAGAGATCACAACCCTACCGCGACCCGAATTAGACTCCGACACCCGAAAACGCTTGCTCGGCCCTCCCAAAAAGCCGGCCAACAAACTATCCACTGCGACACGAAACCCGAGTTTGAAGCCCGATGACAGTGGCAATGGAAGTGGCAAGGCTGGGCTGAATACCCGTCGCTATTTTGCTCCCTTAGACGACGGCCAAGATTGGCCTCCGGTGCTCGCGGAGTACAACCGAAAGTTTTCTCGCATGCTGGAGATCATCAAGAGGAGACACGACCCAGTCGTAACCACTGTGGCTCAAGGAATCAACGAATGGAAGCGCAGACAACAACGCATGCAGATTGACTCGTCTATCCAGTCATTTCTCGATCGTTTCTACATGTCGCGTATCGGAATCCGTATGCTCATCGGTCAACATATTGCGCTGACAGAGCAGAGCTCACACCGACATCCCAATTACGTTGGCATAATATGCACCAAGACCAACGTCAAGGAACTTGCGGAAGAGGCCATAGAGAACGCGCGATTCGTGTGCGAGGACCATTACGGCTTGTTCGATGCTCCCAAAGTCCAATTGTTCTGTCCACCGAACTTGACGTTCATGTACGTCCCGGGCCATCTCTCGCACATGCTATTCGAGACTCTGAAGAATTCGCTTCGAGCCGTTGTCGAAACTCATGGAGCGGAAAAGGAGGAGTTTCCTGTGACGAAGGTGATTGTCGCGGAGGGGAAAGAAGACATCACCATCAAAATCAGCGACGAGGGAGGCGGCATTCCAAGATCCGCCATCCCGCTTGTTTGGACCTACATGTACACTACCGTCGACACCACACCGGAACTGGATCCGGGGTTCAACGCCAGTGATTTCAAGGCACCCATGGCTGGCTTTGGGTATGGATTGCCCATTTCACGATTATACGCACGCTACTTTGGAGGAGATCTCAAGTTGATCTCGATGGAAGGGTACGTCTTGTCTACGTTCCCCCCTGCTGTGCACTCCCCGCTAACCATTCTCGCCGCCACAGGTACGGAACGGATGTATACCTGCATCTCAACCGGCTCTCATCGTCCTCGGAACCTCTGCAATAACAATCAGCAGTCATGAGGGGTGGCAGCGGGCCCCAAGGATTGACGTCGGGTATTAGTGGAAACAGGAGCTTGGTCGCGAGCGCGAGCTTCAACAATGGACGCCTGGCCGCGGTGCGTTCACGATTACGGAATCGCGAGGTCTCCGAACGGAAACAGGTCGGCGACGCCGAAAGTATGATTAACGAGGAGCCCAACGTCATGCAACCGGGCGGGGCGAGCGAATGGCTCGAATGAGATCACCGGCCAGTTCGACAAGGAGCATATCGTGTAATTTATCTACGGATAACTTATATTTCTGAAACACAAAAAACTGGGAAGGCATGGCAACTCAAGGGAAAGGAACGAAAGAGAAGGTCAAGAAAGTATCGGGTTTTGTGATATCCTGTGACTACGGAAGAATGATTGAATGTATCGGTTGACAAGGCAATATCGAGAACAGAAACAAGATCACTCTCGTGCCATTCCCCCTATCTAAGCCAGACAGGCACTGCTGTAGCCGTCACCTTTCAAACTATCTCGCAGACCACCCTTGGAGCATCGCCATGTCTCGTTGTCGATCTATCCATTAGGACCATTAGGATTATGATTGGAAAGAGATACAGTGCAAAGGGAAGGAGGATGAAAACCCATCCAGCAAGCAACCTTTTATTGTGTGTACTCTAGAAGCCCGAAGGCCTCAATTGAACAGTGTCATCATCTCATGTCGTACGGCTGATCGAGGCGTTGCGTTACAATGCCTCCCTTATCTTTCCGTCAATCCTGAATAATACCCAGTCCAGCAAGCATCAACTTTTTTTTGGAACACCCTGTTCAACGTCTTCCACCTCGTCTCGACCCAAACTGCACGTTAGAGCCTCTCCCACCTCTCCCACCTCTCCCACCTCTCCCTCCACTTCCTCGTTTCGCGACACCGCTTCCACCACGGAACTTGGATCTCTGCGCCTGTTCGTGTCCCTGACCCTGGCTTTGACTCTGACCTCGGTCCCTATTCTTCTCGACGCCCAGACCCCGTCGTTGGGATCTGGCGTCGGTCTTCTTCGCGCCCACTCCTCCCGGTGATCTGGGACCGGGCGCGCCCTGCATGATGCGACGGGCAACTTCTCTGGCCTCTTCGACATCGAGGTCCATGCCGTCGTCATCTCGGTCGCGCTCTCGGGTATCTTGTCGCGCCTTCTTCTGCATGCCGGACTTCACCTTGAGTCTGCCCTTCTGGCCACGTCGGACGGCGTCCGCGCCCGAGACGGCGTCGAGGTACGCGTTGATGGAGCTGTCTTGTCCGCCGCGCTGGCCGGAGCCGGAGCCGGACATGTCCATGTCCACGTCGACACCGTCGTCCGGGCCGCCGAAAACCAGCTTGCCGTCCTCGTTGACCTTGGCTTTCGTCTTCCGGCCTGCCGCCTGGGAATCGCGCAGACGGCCGAGCTTCCTGGTTGAAATGCTTGCCAGACTTCTCGGGTCGAGCAGATCAAGTGGCTCGTCGTCCTCGTCTTCTTGGCGAATGTATTGCTCATTGCGTCTCTTCGCGCCGGCGGCGTTCTTGAAAGACACGCCGGACATGGTATCGTCGCCGTCCGAGTCAGACCCGTCGCCGCCGTCGATCTCCGAGTCTTCGTCTTCCGAACCGTAGACGGCCTCGTCGAATTCGTTGTCGTATCTCTTGGCCGCCGGCTCCTGCTCTGCATCTTCATCATCGTCATCTGCTTCAGTGCCCTTTCTCTTCCGCCTGGCTCGCTCCCGTCGTTTGCGGAGATTCACCACCATCTTTCGGTCATCGCCACCGACCCAGCTTTCCACCTTTGAGGCGTCGAACCGCCGCAAGCATCGATCCAAGATGCCCTTGACCTTGGCTCTCAACCGGCCTTTGTTCTCTTTACTCCAGACCATGAGTGCCGGCACTATCGATGGCATTCTCGGCTCCAACATCTCGTTGGAGAGAATGACCACCATGACCTTCACAAATCCGAGAACCGCACGCACGATCTCGCGGTTGTTCGATTGCAGAAACATGGTGACTGTATCGACAAGTTCTTCTTTGGTCTTGTCGGCCAACTGGCTGTGGTATTCGAATAGTAGTCGGCTGAGTGCTATAACGCTGGCGGCGACCATGTGCGGCGCCACACCTGCCAGCCCGGCACTGACCATCGTGAAGACCTCTTCAAGGTTGGCCGGCGCGTCAGGCGAGTCATCCGGCATGTGTGGTACCAGGCGGTTGCGGATCACCGTGCCCGGCGGGTTCGAGGGATCTGAAATCTTGTTTGTGACAGCAATGAGAAGGTCAAACCCTGCGGTCCGTGCCTTTTCGTTGCTGTCTTTACAAGCCAGCACGACTTCGCTCAGGATGCTGGGAATGAAGTGCAGATCTGTCAAGGGAAGGAAGGAGATGAGCGTCTCAATGGCCACAATGCGATCTCGGCGTGCTGGAACCGGTGTTGTTTCTGATGTCCGCAGAATCAATTGTTGCAATTCCTCATTCCGAGCGGTGAGTGCGTCAGTCCCGGTCTTCGATGTGGCGAGCCTAGGAATCAGCTTGTAGGCCTTCTTAATAAGCTGCGGGTCAGACTTCAAGATTGCAGGGTTGGTCAAAATGTTGGAGCAGATGGAGAACAGGTCGCCAAATGTTGATCGGGGAAGATGGACAGACAGTGCTATGACGAGATCAAGCAAAGTGTGGGAGGTCGGTGGTAGTTTGTTGGCGGGTGCCTGGTTCTGTTCTTTCTTTGGCGCTGGCTGGTCTGGCTTTGGCAGAGCGGCCTGTAACATGGTTGAGACTCTCTGAAAGGTGTCCACCAAGTCTTTCTCGGGGGTGACGCTCAGATAGCTGTTGATGCATTGAAGTATGTATGAGCGGGATTGAGGCAGTGTCTGACTATAGACATTGAAGAGGACAGCCAGGAGATTGTTGGCAAACTGAGCCAGATGCTGGATGTTCTTTTCTGCGTCCGACTTCTGAATCCGCCGTTCCAACAAGAGAACCTCATCAGGCAGATCTGATGCTAGGAGTGCCTGATTGGACTCAACCAAGTTCTGCAAGCCCCGGCAGAGATCGACACGCAGTTCTGTCTGCTTGTAGAGCAAGTTCGAGATGAGTTCGGCAAACGCTTGATCGAACGCCGTGGTCAAGTCGAGCGGTAAATCACAATAGCCCGGCAATGTAGCCCACACCTGTTGAACAACAGTCTCATAGACTTTGATGTCCATTGTCTTTTCGGCCTTGCCATGTTCGATGATGCGTTGGTACATGGCTTCGCTAAGAGGGACCAGCTCGGATTTGAAATGGCCCAAGTTGGTGTTAGACACATGGTCCCTCAATAGGGGGAGTAGCCAGGCCCTTCCAGGGTGACCTTTTTGTGGCTTGACAAGATTAAGAGGCAGCACGCCCAGGACTGCCCCTGGCCCAAGGTTGCGGATCGCATGGCCTAGAACCTCATCTGCTTCTTTCTTGCCTTGGAAACCTTGGTTGCTCCTGAGTTCGCCAATTGCCTTGACAATACCGAGTAAGAACGGATCGCCTCGCCACCGGAGAGCATCAAAGAGGGCCGAAAGAGCGCTAAAGACTTCCATCCAAGCGGTCTGGTATTTGACAGCCAGAAGTCCGAGAGCCTTACCAGAGATCTGCTCGAGTAGTTTCTCATCATATACTGATGGGTCTGCAATGACACTGTCTGGAATACAGTTGGCAAAAAATGAAATCAGGCATTCCGACGCTGAAACTCTGATGTTGTGGGATGGACTTGTCAGGAAAGATGCTACCAGGTCAAAAAGCTCTGGCAACTTTGCAAAGGTATCTTCGGGTTCGACCACTGCAGCTGTTCCATAACCGCGTGACAAAATTGCTATCCAGGGAGGAAGTAACTGGGAGTCGTTTTGAGCCGGTTTCAATTCGATGATAGCATCAAGCAGCCTTGGTAGCTTTGAGGACGAAACTTCGTCCTGCATTCCTTCGAAGATGACCTCGAACACTTCGAACGCACTCATAACCAGATAGTCGTTCTTTGAGCGAGAGATAGACAGCAACAGTTCACAGAGTGATTCGATCTTCTTGCTGGGCCATCCTCCAGATGCCACAGCAATGGTCTTTGTGAGCTGAAGAGCATGAATTACGGCCGGTTCATGGCTCTCATCCGACCGCCCTTTGAGTCGCCGTGCATTAGCCACCCTGTCAACGGCACCTTTTAGATTGTTCTGAGACGCCACTGCGCAAAGCTCCGCGGCTGGATGGTCGATTGCAGGACCTGGTGGAGGGTTCTTCAATATGTCTGTCAAAGCCACCTGGGCCCGTTTCCGTATCTTTGGTCTCGAGTCAATGGCCAACGCGAGAAGCGCTAGAATTGCCTGTCGAGGACTTGTTTGACCTTGCGAGAAATTCCATGCCGCTGAATCCTGGGCAATCAGCAACGACTCCAGACAGCCCACGGCCGACCGTATGAGAGGCGCATTGTTCGACGAAGTTTCCAGGTAGGGTGCGATGAGGGAGTAAATGGTACTGAACTGCGACCGAAGGAGGCCTGGAGAGACGTAGGACGTTACAATATCGAGCAGGTACACGGTGGACACGACAACTTCATTCTCGCTATCATCTTGATCCGCTGCGGAACACTGTTTGAGAAGGGCAAGGAGAGCCGCGAAATACGCAGTGGCACTGAATTTCGTGTTCTGTTCCCGGAGAGTCTCTTCGATCGAGGACAAAACGACCGCAGTCTGCAATGGTTAGAAGGATAGACCGCAGACAGAGGAGACACGTACATGTTGTTGGCTCTGTAGGTTTGGGGACTTTATCTTTGCCAACTTCTCCTCCAGCGACATCTTGAATTGACCGCTGCAGAGTGGCCTAGTGTGCTGTCGTTGACTCGGCCGTGTGTAGTCTACAAGTATCATCCGCAAAAGTTGAGAGCGGGTGCAAAGTATTTTTGTTCCGGCAGAACAAAATATCCTTCACCGCCTTTCTGCCCTCAGCCTCGTCACGTGCAAGGCTGATGGCAGTACAGCTCCAGCCAGAATATATCATCGCATCCCGCTCCCTGACCAGATTCCTAGGCCGTGTTGGGTGAGACTGCCCGGTCGCCCCTGTAGACTTGCAGGCTTGGGGTCTGTTTTCATGCCAACTATGAGGCAGAAACACTAGGACGCCGTCGCGGGCCATGCTTGAATGTCTCTTCTGACGCGAAGTCAAGCAAGATCGCCAAACCAGTTCTTGATAATCGGCTCTGTTGGGATGCCCAGCGCTACCTTACGAAAGTATGTGCGAGTCTGAGGTATGGTCTGGAGAAATCAGCAGGTCATTCGACCGTGACGGGGAGAGAAGCGCTACTTTCCCGTTCGCGACCGCATAGTCCATGAGGAGCTGATAGTTATCGAGTATCGCTTGCGCCCGTTCCCTTCTTTGCTTCTGAGAGTAATCTTCTCTTGAGGAGATATTCTTGACTTTGTCGCTCTGCGCTTTATGCTGAGGCGGTCTCTCCGGCGTCATGGACGCGGAATTTGTGGCCATAGTGACAGTGAACATGCGCGTGTGGTTCAGCAATGCCACCCCTGGCAATCTATAGATATATGGCTGTGGATATAGGAGGAACCTCGCTGTCGGTATTCACCTGGCGAAAAGGCTCTTTTAGCTCGTTGCGTAGTTCGCCCGGACGCGCCTCGTCTGATTGTAACAGGGCTGCGGATAGTAAGAGAGTACGCATCAGAAGATCTCGTATGTGTTTCTCGATGTCCAAGATGCAAAGCCCACACGTGATCACGCATACAAATCAAAGGTTCATGTCCGATTCGAGTCGGAACGAGAGGAGAAGCTGGAAGCCTACGAGATCACCCTGAGGGCAGTTTCGACTTTGTTTGCATTGGGAAGATATGCCTAGAAGCATCGATTCCATACGGATCGATCTGCAAAGCCCAGTTTAGACCGGCCCAACAATCCTGAAGCCGATGCTGACTTGATTTGTGTCACCTCCACGAGCTCTGTCGTCGTGCGATGCATTTAAATTCCAACTCCTGTTTTGTGCAACACCGACTTGTGATGTTGCTGATAAGTCCATCGCTGATCTAAGCCGCGAAACCGAGTTCTTCGCCGATATAGAGGGAAAATCGTGAGTCCCTCTTTGGTCATCATGTTGGGCAAAATTCGAAGACCATCCCACGACAAGTTACTCCGTGTTGCTTCAGATCTTCTTCCAAAATCAATCCCACAACGCCACTGTGCTGGTTGCCATGCCGCTAATCATCGAGAGGACGAAACAAACTTCTGTACACTCGAGACAATAGAACCTCGAGGCTGACCAGAAAGATTATTAAATTAGGTTTTGCAGCCATCGACCAGGCTGTTCTTGGGCCATGCATAGCCAGTGTCCGGCCTATCAAGTCATATTAGCGCGCCACAGTACGTCCAACAAGAGAGGACCGCTTACCAGCTGGTGATGTTTGGATTCTGATATGCACTGGAATGCTGTCGGATGTAGTCGGTGGTCGGGTAGCCCTCAGGATCGCAGGTCATCTCGCCGTCGTCGTCTTGGTATATACGGATGTAGTCGACCCTCATGGTGGCCGGCATCAATGGAGCCAGTCCAGTGAGGTTGAGAGCCGAGAAGCCAGGAGACATGCCGAAATTGACAACGACCGACATCGGCTCTTCCGGGATGAGTCTTTGGGCCACGTTCCCGTTGGGGCCAAGGGCTTGACCTTGAAGTCGCCAGACCGGATCTGAACCAACAAACCAGGTGATGTCTCCCTCGGCGCCGGGTGTGTATTCGAAGGCGTAGATTTGGTAGGCATTCCCATCATACCATTGGTTATTCAAATTCGACAACCCCGACACTGCTTGCTGGAAGGGACCACCTTTGTAGGTATTCATTTCCGTGATTGTGAAGTCCATGATCTCCACAAACTCATAATCTGGCTGATACCAGATATCGAATGGTGCTACCTGGAATGATTGCGAGGCCTTGCCGATCTGGTTTCCTTCTTCATCGAATGCGGCCACACTGGCTTCGATCGCATCGATCTCAGGTGCGGAGCGCGATTTCCCAGGTGTCGGATGGTCTTCTCCGGAACACGTACAGGCTGGGAGTCGCATACCAGGCAAGTAGTTGATGCCGTCTGGTGAACTCTGGTTGGCGGTAATGCCAGCGTCGCAGACATCGTCATAGGAATAGGGCCACAGCCCATCAGTAGTAGCAGCATAACCCGGTCTACCCAGGTTACCCATTGACCAAAATCCGGGCCAGAACCCGACGGTATCACCGCGACCAGGAAGGGATATGCTCGCCTCCAGTCTGCCACCTTTGAAGCACATTTGGTTCCAAGATTGTAGCATGCCGGACCGGTAATTCAGACCATGGTTTTGAAAAGCGTCAAATCGCAACTCCAGGACACCATCATTCGTGGTGGCGGCATCTGGATCGTACCATTCCAGATCCTTTGTCACGCCATACCAGATGTCCATCGCCGTCCAATATGGGTCGTCGCCATCATAAAATGTACGTCCGGGTGTTGTGAACTCATCAGAGAAGACGAGGTTCCAGGTGTTGCCATGGTAATCTTTCTTGGTTTTGGCCGACTCAGGCGTATGGGGGTCAATAAGACCAGTACGCACATTTTTAAGGAGATCGACTTTGCCGTTGTTGATGCAACCAATACTGTCTTTGCACGGGTCCGGTTTATTGGTGACCTTCTCCACAAAAGTCCTAACAAAAGGGTCAGCACGCGGTATAGTTGGGGGTGGGTGTCAACGAACAAGACAGGATAGCCTATGAATAGGACTAATATGCCTATTGTCATGATGGCAAGGCCGCCAATATTGACGATACCTCTTCTGTTGAAGACATCACAGTCGCGTGGTTCCCCATTTGGATCCGGGTTGTGCAGGTAATCGTCTTTCTCGACGTCTTCAGGGAAAAGAAGAAGTCCAGCCGATGGGAGAATATTATATTTCTCAGATACGGTCTGAGTGTTCACATCGTTGTCATCACTTCCAGCTCTTGATCCAGGCCTTGATTGACTTGAATCCCGGAAGGGATTTTCATACCCTCTGCTGTCTCTGCTCCGGTCCGACTCCCAACTTGACCGTCGTGAAGAGAAGCTGGAAAGGGCAGGCGATCTCAGAGGAGATGCATCGTCCCGGGACCTGTGAGGGCGGGTTTGCGAGGGAGGTAATAATCGTTCGGCAGCATCTTGCACGTTTTCTGATGAATAGGAGTTTGGATTTGGGGACTGTGGCTTCGAAGTGGTAGGTCTAGAGGATGTGGGAACAAGTGCTCGCAGAGAACCGTTTGGGTTGTTCAGGAGATCCTCCTGCCCCGAATTCAAGCGAATGTGTGGCGGGACTCGCGGCGGGGAGGAGTTGCTACTGTTGCTGTGAGACGACATTATGGTATGGCGACCGCCTCGTCATCTAAGGAGACCGATCGCCAAACTCAAAGACCGGCCGACGAACAGTCTTTGTTGGCTTCCAGGAGTAGAAGACGGTAGGGGTGGATGAAGATGGTTTCGGGTTGCTCAAGTTGACCAGGGAACCACAGAGGTGCAGCTTGAGGGACGGCAGAAGTCCACCGGCTGGCGGACGTAAGCAGCGTAGATTAGGCTGGAAAGATGAGTAGAACCAACGGAGGCTGAGCGTGATGGTGGACGTGAGACGGAAACGGACGATTTGATGTTGGGATGGGGAGGACTCGTAATGCGTGAGGCCGTGCAAAGTCGACCTGAACTCCTTTCTGGCCGGCAGGAAAGAGAGAGCTTTTTGCTGGTGAAAGAAGTCGGGTAGAGGCCGACTTGGTGAGGACGAGAGTGTCGTCTTAAAGAGTGATTGAACGAGTGGAAAGGCTCTCTGCCTTGAGGTGAGCCGGTCAATAAAGAATAAAGAATACAAATCAAAGTGTACGGGACATGGACGGATTGTGTTTGTTGGTGTTGAGAGATATGGAGGATAAGGATCAACTACAGGAGAGTTGACAACCGCAGGCAGTACTAACGGTGGTCCTATGGTAGTAGTTTGGTAGCCACGGGGGGCCGCGTACCTGAGTTAAGCCAGTTTTTGGTGGAGGACTAAGAGGTGGCTAGCCCTCGAGAGCCTGCAAATCCAGGAGTCCGCGGTGGACCTCCAGTCAGAAGGGGGCTTAGAGGGCTTGCCCGCTTGGCTCAAATTTCAGAACTACGGGCTTCGTCCGCAGTGCTAATAATGATTAGCCGTCAGATGCATGTGGGTTTCATTGAGCAGAAACCAGGATCCGCGATGAAACTCCGTGCAGAGTAAACCACGTACCTAATGGAATATGAGAAGAGCACTCGGAACTTCGACAGGCTTAGAAAGTAGGCCGCATGGAAGACCGGAAGAGCAGCATATTGTTATTATTGTAAGGTGTTACAGGTAGGCTCCCTTGGCTTTTGAAGCATGCCCGTGAATACTAGTATGAGGCTCGTGGGGGTCGATCAGGCCTAAGATCACCTGCGGTTTCCGGGCTGCAAGTGCCCTTTCTTGGTACCTTTAAGGTATGTACCTTAACCTTTGCCTGCGCCCCTAGCACTCCTGCCGCTGCCTGCGCTTGCCTGCACGGCACTGCATGCAGCAATAATAATAATACAATTATTGCCAGGCCTGCTGCGCCCGCTTTCGTGAAAACAACAACAAACTTGAACTGTCGCGTACTTTTCGCCTCTTTCACACCGGCCTACTATACTGCTAGTAATGCAAGTGGACGCCCCCCCAGTTCAACAGGAATCTTATTCTTGATCTTGCATAACAAGAGGTCAGGACGACGGCCTCCCTGGTGCCGGCAAGCCCATTTACCTGTTCTCGGCAGACACCTCGCACCTTCGATCGGAGCAGCAGCAGGATGCAGATCCCAGTTTCTATCAACTCTGTACTTTGTACATCCTGTTCCTCTTTCTCGGCAGCATCTGTCTTAGATGACTACGAACCTACTACGAACGACCTAGGATTTGCCTATCAGGTCCAGATTTTGTTCTTGAAAGACTGGAACCAGACATGGGCAATAAGCAATCCCAGTGTAAACCGGCGACCCAGGGGGTTGACGCGTCCACTGTCCAGTAGACTCAGGTGGCGGCCGTGGCACGGCAGTGCTTCGAAGACATCGAATCATCAATCGCTCACCGGGCGGAGAGCCCATCAGCTGGATACTGGGCGATCCTGCAGACCAAATCTGACACCCCCTTCCTCGCCCGCCTCCACCGCGTTCAAGCTAGAATATTGACGACCAATTGGCTCGATAGAAAAGGAACAGCCTCCGAACGGCCAGAAATCAACCTCCACCCTGTCAAGTTCCCCTGACACGCTGCTTGGCTGCTATTCTTAAATTGCGCCAGGAAGACGCCAATGGTTTTACAGGCCTCGTCCCAGACTGTGGGAAAGCACCACAAGAGGTACGAATATGCTCTCCACCAGGTAAGTGACGACGTTTTAGTATGTACGTACTATGATCGATCAGGAATGCCCTTTTCGGCAGCACGGAGGACGGCCAACGTACAACGCCGCTTCAACTGCAGTACGGACCTCCTTACAAATATCAGGTATGATCCCTCAAGATCGTCGCCTTGATCCTGGAAATCTTAGCCACCTGGATCACCCAGGTAGCTAGAGACTTTTGGCCAGAACCGTATCTGCCATTGGCGGCTATAATTGTTTCGAATGCCGGGAAGAGCAGCCTTCTCTCCTCTCGACCTCATGATTGTTGTTAAAGCAGTCGGCGGGCCAGTCACAACCCACACAATAACCGGCCACAATCGACATGCCGGCTTCATTTTGTCATGATTCTGCTGCGTGGGCTCATGAGGCACACAGATAAGCGAAAAGGGGGTTGACAGATGGCTGATCAAGTATTTTCTTTCCCCCTGTCTCCCTGCTGTCGACGGACTGCTTGATACACATCGGACATCCAAGGACGCCACCCCACTCATTTGAAATGATACTTCGTCCACCTCCACTGTGCCTGCAACCTACGTAGTACTTCCTCAGCCTGGAACATCTGTTCGATGGCGTGCTGATCACTACTTCTGTCCAACTGATGGTTGATAGTACGCGGAGTGGGAGCTTGGAACGTCAGCGTCGTTCCGAGACTATCTATAACGATTAGATTTTTCCCTTCTTCAGCCTGCCTGTCTGCAGAGGACAGAACTGAGATCGCGTACCAAGATGTATCGGAGATCATCAAAACTTAATGTCGCAGGAGCGACAGGCATGATCTTTCACTGGGTCCGCTTCGCACTTTGAGTTGTTGCTGCATACAACTTCGAATGCAAGATGTATGTGTTGACTTGGAGCATCGACTTGCGCCGTCGCAGCAACCTGACGTGAGTTCTACCTGGTTGTGCGTTCGAGTATACCGAACAACACTCTTTCTTCAAATACCAGGTATATCCCTGCCGTCGGACCTCAGATGGACTATGAACGGCATGCCGTGCAGTATGCAAGGATCATTTTACTTCTCGTCTGCTGCTGAAACTACGGTTATTGTCAGTCGACCATGGCATATGTTGCGGAAAAACGCCAAATGCAACCTTCCAGACGAGCCGTGGACTGCCACTTGCGGTTTCCAAAGCAATTCCTTCTTCCACGATACCGTTAAATGACAAACAGGTACGAGAGGAGCATATGATATCCGGACTAACAGCGACGTGAGGCGGCCTGGGTCATCCGTGATTCTCTGGAACGCCGAAGCTCTCAAGCCTCGTATGAGGTTCAATGTTGATACCGGTGTACTATGCCCACTGCTCGCCTTTGCGCAATATTGACGTCTTGCTGCAATATCACTTCTGCCATATGATCGTAGTCTATTTTTCTAGCACGACCTGCGCCAGTTCGAGGTGGTGGATGCAAAGGAGGCTCCTGCAGATCTTTCAAACAAGTCGCCTCTAAGACTCCATCCGGAGCCCTCTCCAGAAATATAATACTGCCCTGACCTAGTATTGATGCCATCCCAATATGCGAATGGGAGAGTTCAGCTGAACAAGACGCTCAATCGCAATGCAAGGCCACATGAGACGGTTTTAATACAAATTTCAGCATCTCATGTCCAACCGTCTGCTCTTGAGCCCATTAGCTCTCAACCGCCTTCACAACGACACCGACCAACATGCTCTCGCCAACCGTGAGAACGTAATACTCGACTCTCGTGCGCGTGATTTCCACTCTGAACACCTTGACACCGACATCCTTGATTTTCGCCGCCTGCGCCACCCTCTGGATGATTTCCTTATATTCCCCTCTCGGATCAAACTCGTCGGGCGTCAACTCTTCGACCCCGCGGACTGTTTTCCCCTTCGCACCAAGACACTTCTCGAATTCCGGGACACTAGGCAACGCGCTGCCCGCGTAGTTCAGGGCGATCGGCTCGAACGGCGCATCGGTGTCCGATGTATACGTCACGTCCGGTAGGGATTTCAGCGACGCCGGTAACGCCTCGAGTTGCGACTTGCTGCTGGTCGGATCGTATTTTGTGCGTGCCTGGGAGGTGGATTCGGATTCTTCGTGGCTCGTGCTGTTGCTGTAGCCGGCTTTGGGGTCGGCGTTGGCTTTTTCGAGAAACGCCGCGTACGAGGCGTCGTCGGCCATGGTGCGTTGAGGTGAGGTCTGTCGTGGAGGGGAGGTCTGGAAACGCAGTCCAATTCCAAGCAGGGAGATGGAGGCGGAGCGGTGCAGGATACTCAGATTTCGAATACTAGTATGTAGATATCTCTTGTTGATGCTCGGATGAGGTCTGAGGCGACAGGAAGACGTCGAAAGCGAGGGTCGAGGTGGTGTTATTGGTGCTGCTGCTGCTGTACTGATGGTAAAGGTGCTGCTGACGATCCGGAGCCGTTTTGACGACAGTCTCTGGAAACAAGGCCGGTTGAGGTTGGACGTGCAGATGAATGAATTTTTCGCGATGCTCGATTTATCCAATTGATGCTTTCTGGGAGCCGCGCTGGCAAGAGGTCGCTTTAGCATAAACTCTGGTGCCAGTGGTGAGAAGTGATGCAGGTTGTAGACCGACACTGGCATGGCATGGAAGTTTGAAGTTGAAGAGAACCCGATTTTGTGCTTGTAGAGGGTGACGTAGCACATGGGCAGCAGTTAATCAGATACCCAGCTCGCTAGGTAGCAAGGCACCTTACAAAATAAGTTGCACCGCATAGATGATATAGGTGCCTAGCAGTCCAGAAGATTAATACAATAGGCGTTCACCTTCAACGTAGGTGTACCTACCGCCTCTTGAATGTTCGACGGGGCCCCTACCAAGATCTGGCGGTGCCATCTATTTTGTGGGGTGGCTCGGTAGGTACTTCATAGTAGCCAGCATCAAGTAGTGCGCAAATCAGAGATGAACAGAAACACTGATCAGAGATCGCCATTCTGCAGCTCCCGTTCATATTTGCCCATTCGACCGCAAGTGTGGCAACAGGTTCAATAATGCTGATATGTACTTGGATACTCAGCACAGCCGTGGTCGCACAGGAATTTAGATTCCAAGCATGGCCACACACCTGAATATCTTCTTTAGAGTCCAAAGAGACTCTACTCGGCCGACCTGTTATGGATTTATGACTTCATTAAATGCTGCCATATGTCTCCAAGATGGCCTGGATGAGTCAAATTCATACACCCTCTAGCTGGGTCTGAATGTAACAGGCGACACTGCTGCCACAACGCGGGTAGTACGCACTGGAGCATATGGAACGTTGAATTGGGGTGAATAAACTGCCACCCAAGCAAAGAATACAAACAGAGAAGGACCAGGAGCTTTGTTGGATTTCGCTTTTAATCATTCCTGAAGCTGCCATTGCTATGCTACTTTAAGATCGTCTCGAAAAACCGAGTGACGACAATGGAAACACCATGGTATCTTTGAAGTCTTTTTCCGTGTCATTCCACGAGACGTTCACCATAGACATGTCTTAGCATTCCCAAGCAACATCATCCCACCAACATCCCCGACCCCATTTACGAAGAAGCAACAAGATCCTTCTTGAGAGTACCCAAGAACTGTCGCTTCTCCTGAGGAGTCTGGTAGGCACCGTGACCGAACTCGGACGAGGTGTCGATCCATTTGAGCTCGACCTTCTCGAGGGCCTTGCGGGAGGTGTGAGGGAACATGGATTTGCGGAGGGTGATGACTCGCTTCTTGACACCGGGAACGGAGCCCTTGACGAGGACGAAGTCGTTCTTGACCTCACCGTAGCGGACGAAGCCACCCATACTAGAGAGAGATTGTTAGTTTACCACTTCGAATGGAGAACAGTTGAACAGTCAACTTACGGTGTGATTTGCTTGCTGACAACGTCGAAGTCGGTGGCGGCGTTCTTCTCGTCCTTGCCCTTGCCAATACGGTAGACCTTGTGGTTGACAGAGGTACGGTGGTGGTAACCGTCTTGACCGGCACGGGCCACTGTCCATTGGACGTGCGACGGATGCCAGGCACCAATACAGGCGACCTTTCTCAGACCCTTGTGCGTCTTTCTGGGCAGCTTCTTGGTTCCCCATCTGCTGGTGACACCTGAGAAACCGTGACCCTTGGTGACGGCAATGCAGTCGATCATCTCGTCCTGCTCGAAGATGGTGTCGATCTCGACGGGCTTCTCGAACAGACCGTGGCCGAACTCAACCTTGTCTGCGGTGCTGCCACCGTTGATCTGGATTTCCATCAAGTGCGCCTTCTTCTGTTTGAGAGGGGTTTGACGGATCTGGGTGTGGGCGAGGACACGAACAACCGTGCAGTACTTCTTCATGCGCTCGAGCTCACGGGTGACCGAAGTGGCCTTGTTCTCCGAGTACTGCTTGGCGTACTTGGTGAAGGCCTTTTTCTTTGATCGGTACCAGTTCTTGTAGAATCTTCGCTTCAGTTCGTCACCGAGATGCTCTGCCCAGACGGTGGTAAGGGATCGAAGGCCGCGCGGGGTCTCGATGTAGCCGACGAGGCCAACAACGATCATCTAACCGTGGTCAGCCGGTGAATAGACCAGTGTTCAATCCGCAATTCTTACTGGAGGAGTCTCAATGACTGTAACCGCTTCGACGATCTCTTTCTTGTGCATCTTCGCACCAGGTCTATCCAAGTCCCGCACAATTGTGGTCATGCCGGCCTTGTATCCCATGGCTGCGGTGAGATGGACTGGTTTCTTTGGGTCATCCTTGGGAAAGCTGTGAAATGTTTCAGCTTCGACTCTAAAGGCGAGTCATGACTTCTAGAGAACCAACCTCTTGACCTTTCCTCTATGTCTTGCAGCCCGCTTTCGGGGAAGGAAAGCAAGCGAGCCTGCGCAAAACCGTCAGCAAAAGACTTTCAATGCGAACATCTTGCGAGGAGGAATTTACCATGTCGCGGCGCCTCGAATTTTCGGTGAGACCTGAAGAGATGATCAGCACACAGTTTGGTTTACAGAATACTGGTAGACTCACATCTTGTCGGATGTTGGGCGAGGCGGTCGAAGTTGTCGAAGCTGGAGAAACCAAGTCGTTCGATCTCGAAAAAGCCTGAAGTGCAGTGTTTCGTGCGGGAATGCCGATGCCAAGATTTGACTCTTGGCACTAGCAAATCACGTGCTGGCACTCCTGCATCTGGCGCTTGCCCACTACTGCTGCAATAATCCGCGTTCGGGACTTGACATTACTGGGCACGATGGAGAAAAAACGGATTGATGAGTCTGTTGACTTGGACATTGTAGTCATGATTTCATTTCTAAGCACAGTACAGAACCTTATATACAGGCAGATAATATCAAGGACCGCTTTTCCAATGCGAACCGACCCTTGCATCGCGCTGATACAGGTAAGCCCCGACTAGTACCACAACTATGTCACACAGGGATGAAAGAAGAGGAGCGTAAACGCAGATGATCATGCAGCTGGTTCCGGCTTTGGCGTTGCGGACGGAGGAGGAGGAGCCACTTGAGGACTGTCAAGGTTCGGTCCTGCGCCAGGTCTCTTGTCATCTTCGCTGTTGTTGTCATAGTCTTCGTCAACCTCTACTTTGCGGGCTGCCTGCTCAACGTGCTCTTGGGGCATTTCTTTCGGGCCGTCCAATATTGATTGCATCGAAGGGATTTGTTGCGGAGGAAGGCTAAAAGGATGATGAGCCGCCTCGGATGGATGATAGTTCTCGTTCGCGCGGCGCTCGTTCTCGCGACGAACTTCTGAAGAGCTTCGTCTGAAGTGCTCCTTTGTTGTTGACAGACGACCTGGGGGACTGTTTCGTCGGCTGGGATCATCGAGCCGAGCACGGGTTTCGTCGCTGGCAAGTTTCTTGGACGGTCCTTGCTCGCCCTCCCATTCGCGAGATCGCTTCATGGCTGACGCCGGCCGTTCGTCACGTTGGGGTCCATCTGCAGCTGGGAGCGGCGGAGCGGCTGAAGGCATACCATTCGCAATGCTGGGGAATGGTCCTCCAGAATGATACGGTGGTTGCCGGAAGGTAGATCCCGGTGACTGAGCAGGGTCGTCGCGTAAAGGCCTCAGCTCACCTGGTGGACTAAAAGGACGTCCATATGGTGGCAGTGTGGTCCCAGAACTATTACCATTGGTGTGAGGCGCGGGAGCTCCGTTCATGGTGGGAGATGGACGAACTCCACTGTTGAAGCCCGGGTTCCGATCTTGGAGATTGACCTGAGGTAGGGTTTGAGGGCCCGGAGGGTACATCCCTGGTACTGAGGACTGCATCTTGGGCGACGGGGACTGCATCTTCCTGCTCGGCGTCTGGCGAGCTGTATCATAGGGTCGAGGGGCTTCTTGTCTTGGGCTGGGTGCACGAGGCGGTGGAGCCCTCATAGTCTCCCGTCCTTCGAAGCCATTCGGTTGTGGCGGTGGTTGCTGTATGCCCGCAATGCCTCTTGTCCAGTCACTCACTCTGCCAGGATCAACTGGAGGCGGTTGGGATTGCTGATTGGAGGAAGAGGGCGCACCCCATTGAGGTCCTGGGGGAACGCCAACGCCATTTTGATATGCCTGCGGATGGACATCTTGAGGCACTGGAGCATTGTGCTGGTTGGGCCCAGTGGCTGCACCGCTTCTCAGAAGAGCGAGACGAGCTTTGATATGGGTGTTGGTAGGATCCAGCTCTGCAGCTCTGGCGTATGCGTCGAGGGCATCAGAGGTTTGGTTGTTGCACGACTCATACTGTATACCAAGTCAGTACTGGCCATTGAGGAAAGAGATGCTCTCCTTGTACTCACCAAAGTCCCAAGATCATACCAGACTTCGGAGATGTATGGGTTCAGTCGAATGGCGCGCGAATACGCATCAAGTGCATCCCGATATTGGTTGATCTGGTAGTACAGAACACCAATGGAACACCAAAACGTAGGGTTGCGTCCATCCCGGTACACAGCCTGTTGATAGGCTTCGTATGCTTTGGGGAATTTTTGTTGTGCCATGTAACATCTTCCCAAAAGGTACCAGCTCTGGGCATCTTGGTTGTCTAAAAGCGAATTAGTTGAAGCAAGGATAGAGCGTCCACGGAACACATACCTGAGCTGACCGACTGTTCAAGGTACTCGATGGCTTGCTCTTGGCTCTGATAGCTGTTGCTCTGTTGATGATGCAACCAACCAAGCTGTTGGAGGACCTTGGCGTGTTTCGGATCTCTTTCCAACACCCGGCGATATGCCGACTTTGCAGCTTCGAACTACAATACTCTGTCAGGGCGATCGGCTTATCCTCAGTGGTTAGGGACCTACGTCTTTCTGCTGCTCATAAACGTGTCCAATCTGAAACCAAATGTCTTCTTCATTTAACGGGCGTGGTGGATCATTGACGATGTACTTGAAGCACTGCAAAGGTGTCAGTACGTCCAGGACGGAATGAAGGAGTAACTGACCTCAAGACTCTGTTGGAACTTCTGTTGCTGCTTGTAGATTATCCCGAGTCTAAAGTAGATCTCATTGGCTTTCTCAAAGTCAGGCTGCATGCGCATGACTTGAGAGAAAGCTTCCTCTGCATGTTCCAAAGAACCGTATCGGTCATACAGTATGCCGATTCCATACCATAGCTTAGGCTCCTAGGCGAGGTCAGGCTTGATTGAACATGACAAGCGCGTCACAGTCCTTACCTTGGGATCTGGCAGATAGTACAAAGCCTGTTGGTAGGCAGTGTATGCTTCTTGTAAGTTGTCCATCATCAAGTAGCAATGTCCTGGCGATTGTTAGAGCATGTTCTCCTTGATAGAGTAATGAACGTACCCAAGTTCCCCCAGGCTTCACCGTTTGCGGGCTCTACTTTGAGTATGTTCTTAAGATACTCCATGGCCTCTGGATATTTCTCCTTGGTGCGCAGAATACAGGATATCGCATTCAGAGTCTGTGGTGACCATTGGTTGTGTCGGAGAGCTTGCTCATATGCAAATAAAGCCCCTTCATGGTCGCCAAGTAACTCATTCAGCGAGCCTACAGTTGCCAGTGGTTAGCAGAACCGTTCATGCAAGAGGTGACAGACATACGTACCAATGCGTTGCCATGTAGATTCGTTCAACTGCGCCAGAAGCCTCTGTCGCTGCATATGCGCATCCACAGGAGCAGCTCCATTCATTTGACCAAAATGAGGAGGATGCTGCAAGCCCAGGACACCAGGAGGAGAGGGGTGAGGTACCAAAGCCATTGTCGCGCCCAGACTGGTCTACGAGAAGACTGGATGAGTGGTTTGCAGACAGTCAGATCACTTGAGCGTCTACCAAGCCGTATCAAGACCTGGCGCCGCAGTCAAGGGACTTTTATTTGAGCCCCAGGCAGCTGCAGCTTCAGAATATCCAGCTCTTTGAGTCAACGCGGTCTTCCTGAGACTGAGAAAGTATCTTTGGCCGTGGAGAGCGTGGAGAGCGATATGTATCGAAAGGAAGGCGTTGTCTGGAAACAATTCCTCGCTTGTTAAGAGGCAGAATCAGGCTAGCCGGTCAGGGCGATCGGGTCTGGATCTGAAAAAGCACTACCAAGCAGAAAGGTGGGAACGCCGAAGGCAAGGTAGCAGAGCTGTAGTGTCGAGTAAGACACAACTTCGCACTGAGAAGTCAATGAAGAATATTGAGGATGGTGGGAAAGAATATTGGGCAACGCGGAGGATGAAGCCGGGAGAGAAGTTGGTGACGGGGGATGGGAGACGGGGTGTCAGATGGGAGGGAAAGTCGATGAGATGGAACAGGAAGAGCACGAAGCCACTAAGGGTAGGGTTTTGGCCTGGTAGATCTCAAGTCCTGGGTCACTTTGACATCGGGCTAGAGGGGTGGCACTGGCACACGCTACGTCGGCGACAAGTGGGACTTGGGCTGGGAGAAGCCATCCATGACTGCAGCGGTAGGTGGGCAGGTACCTGGGGCCATTATTTGGCGCCGGTGGATGCGCAACGGATGGATGTCGATGACTGTCATGGGTGATGATGGGATGGGTCATGGCTCATGCAGCCTGGCTCGGGCGCAGCCACCATCACCAACAGGCTGAGGTACTGCATCACTCACTAAGGTGCCCTGCCAGTGTACGACTTGGAGTGTACAGTACTAGGTACTACTGTCCTACAGTCGTCTGTGGACGCCACCGGGTGAATCCTCCAGGAGGCTGCAGCTGAGGTGCAGCTGCCATCGCACTGCTCAAAGGGCTAGGGTGGCTTGCCTGGCACCCTGCGGCTAAGGAGGCTGCCACGGTGCCACCTGGGATGCTTGGAACCACACTCCCACCATGCCTGTGACTTAACTGCCCGGAGTGGACCGGGGTGTTCCGTCTTGTTAGGTTTAGGTAGGTACCGGGTATGTGAGGATGTTTTGGCAGGGGGGGGCGGCAGCAACAGTGGGGATGAGTGTGTCCTGTCACTTGGTTCGCGGAGTTTGTCTACGCGCCTAATAAAATGACACCTACAGGTCCTTCCTTACCTACCTACCTTACCTACTAGGAGTACCTTAGGTAGCTTCCCCTGCTACCGGCCCTGTAAGATGTTCGTCGCATATGCATACTATCTCACCTTCCAGGTAGGTATTGATGGGTGCGAGCGTCACCGGAGGTATGCGTGAACACCCGTACCCGGTATCGCAGGGTGCACCTAGAAAGCATAGGTGCCCAGGGATACTCTCGTGGCATTTGGTGCCTCGAATATATACGGTCAATGTGGTGTGGTGTGCCTCAGGCTGAAGCTTCTCTTTATCTCATGCTCTCTCACCCAGATTTGCTAACACGTTACAACCCGCTCAGTTGATCTCAGAACACTCTCGTACGCGAGACAGGGCACCTCCACATCTATATCAGGAGGTTGACTTTTATGCGTCGCGTGTGAGCCGCACTGCTTCAAGTTCGTGAGGCCAACCAAGGCCAGGCCCCCCAGGCAGGGGTGGCCGAACCAACATCTCCCGACAAGCAACCAGCCACCCACCGAAGGGAGCGGCGTGGCACGGTCCACCACGTTCGTCTGTTCGCAATAATGACAAGAAGGAACAGGACATCGAATGAGATGGGGCCGTCAGTGACGAGATGGATATATCCACCTGTCCGCTTCTGACAGGGCGCCCCTGTTGTTGGAGAAGAAGGAGAACTTGAAGGCGCTTTCTCGCTTCCGACCACCGCGCGCTGGGATTCGTCCCCCTTCCCGACCGACTCCTGACCTTTTCTCCACTCCACTGCAGTCTCCACAGCCCATGGGCTTACGACTAGTAGCCGTCGCCTAGAGGCCTTAGCTCCCTGTCTTCTTCCACGAGCTCTGCCGCCAAATTTTCGCCTGTTTCCAGAACCTGGCGGTGCGCGATGAGCAAGCGACCGGCAGATGATCAGATCCCCAGCCCGTTGAACCACTCTTGGCTCACCAATGCAGGTAAGTACATAAATTTGGGGCGGCTACTTTCTTTCTATAGGTGCTATACACTAACCAAACTCTCAGCCCCAGGGCCTCCTTAGCTCTGATTACGTCCGATTTGGCTGTTTTCACGTCACCCGAGCATACACTGCCTAGGTGCTCTGCACGTCGATAAGTGCAGGTGGTTTTAGAGATACCTAGGTAGTAGTTTTCTTGCGCCGCTCAATACGTAGTACCGCATCAACATAGGTCATAGGTACGCAGCCTCCTGTCGCAAAGCATGATTCGGACGGATCTCACTTACGGGGTCTTTCAACACGAACCGAGTTTGACAAGCCCAACCAGGCTTCTCTTTCCGTGGCTACCAAATATTCCAGTGCGGCGACGACGGGCGTCAGTCATTTCGATTTAGGCGTGGTGTTGCCGCTAAAGTTCCGGGCGTCATTACGCTTAATCTGCTGCCTCCGCACCGCATGTTCGGAGCCGTGGCTTGGGGACCCTTTAGGCGTCTCATGGGTGAATTCCGAATCAAACGGCTAATAAAGCTCGTATTGCTTGGGCTCCACCGGTGATTCTGCCATCCATCACCCCTCGGACAATCCTTCTACTCTGTGTTACGAGTACCACGGCACCACGACACTGCATGACGTTCCCGGGCTGAAACTGTCGGTATTTGGTAGGTGTGCAGGCGTGAGTGCTTGTCCGGCTCAGCAACAGTCTTCATGTAAAACGAGGACGGACCGCCCTTGCAGGGAGCCTGGCATGTCTGGCAGGTCTGGCAACACTGCCAACACTTACAACGGGCCTAGACAGGATCGGCATGCAACTTGTCTTGGCCGCCTAATGATGCGTGTTCAGCCCTTCTATCGGATTCAACGCCAATTCGACATTTTCCTTCAGTTGCTCGAAAGTGCGCAGAGCGTTATTCCTCCAAGAAGTGAATTGAATACAGAGTCGGAGTTACAGCAGAAGGCAGGAGTAAACGCAACAGCAAGTGATGCTAATTTGAACCTGTTATTGACCACCGCAAGCACCCTAGGCCAGCTAGCTCCAGCAGAAGATGACAATGTCCATCCTCTTATGTCTATCTAACCTACCCCTAGTAAGTACTTGGGGCCGATGATAACAAGCACTACAGAACGTCACATCTTGATCGACTGATATGCTTGGTCACACTAGCAGGCGAAGCTTGACTGACGGGCCTTGACACCCATACTCCATCATTTGACCAGCTGTCTCCGTGCAGCTAGAGCATGGCAGGTAGCACATTTGACAGAGGAACGAGACACGGCGTCAACCCCTTGTGTCACCCACGCGGCCTTGGTACAGACACCGTCATCACACGGCTCCCAGCAAACAACACTTTGTGGTGTGCACGCTGTCATTCAATTGCGTCTATGATTCGCTTCTGCTACGGCGGATCTTGCATGAAGTGTCGTGTAGCTGTGAAAGGCTGCAGCTGAATATATGTACACTCCTAGATCCTAAACGCCCCCGTGCCATCGCCAACTTTCGGTTCAGGATCTGATCCAACGCCATGTTTCCGAATGGGAAAACAAGATCCGGGCAGGCGCAGCTGGACGGACTAGCGCAATCCAGATTTCCGAGCACTCGTTGCACAGCCTTCGGGCGGGTGGCTGCATTGCTACCAAACATGATTGTTCTACACCAGAGGAAGGTTCGTGATGGGGCATCCGAGAAAACAGAATGCGAGCAGACAGTTTCTCGCAATCTTACTCTATCGGCGACGCCGCGCTGGAGGAAGAGAAGGGATCGTCATGCTTAGCACGGATAGTGATTGCAGCCTCGGGGGTCTCACTAGGTAGGTAGGTATAGTGCATGGCTGAACCGTAAGACAGCTTTGGCCAGACATATATTTTGGGCATTCAATGTTGGCAGACTAATCTGCACCTGTTGAATATATGATCCTGTACTGGTGCTTCGTTCCACAAAGCAGCTAGAAAGAGCTTCAACCGACCCTTTTAGGATTGTGACCATCGGTCCAAGCAACCAGATGGCAAAAGCTCTGTCTCGACTATGATGCGCATACTCGGTTGTCATTGGAGACCCGCCATTTCCGGGGTTCATGGAGTGATGGAGAAAGGTCGTGCACTCCTAAGATTCAATAAAATCCCAAAAAAGAACCGTAGTGGTCAGGTGACTGTCATGTGATCTGTGCAATCGGGTTCTCGGGTCATTACTTGCTCTCCGAAGTCAGATCTCCGCCTCCTCACGTGACTGAGAGATGATATTTCCGCTTTTTGTTTGTGGGGAGAGCCTCCGCCCAGCCTGCCCAAAAATTGGCCCTGTCGTCGAGGTCGACTGGGAAAGTAACAGATAGGAAACTACCTGTAAGTAGCTGGGCATCAAAGAATGCAGCCAAGGGCTTGTAGTCTTATGCTATACCCGGATGATGCCCCTGACTGCTGCTGCTATCCACTGCCAATATCTTGGAGATGAAGAGAAATTTCATGGCAAGGCTCCTCACAGCCTTGGGTTACACATGTGATTTGCCAGCTGTGCCGGTAACCGTCGGTGCTGACAGCTTGGAAGTGGTTGAATCTTGGGCAGAGGCTTGGGCCTCTCCAAATCAGGAAGATCATCGGCCAGGCTGCCTTGGACCTGGTGCATCTCCTGTACCAGGCTGTGAGTAATCACTAGTACGGTGCATGCAACCTCCTGTGATCGGAAGCCGGGTGAAACTCAGCTATTCTCCCGGCCAGCAGCAGAGGTCTGGTGATACCTGGGTGATTAGCGGTAGTACGTAGTAAAAGAATTAACAGTACCTACCTAAACACAGGAAAGAGCATCAGTTATCTGCCAATAATAACCCAATAATAAATCTACATTATGTGCTTAGGTACTCTAGTACCTGGTAGCTTAAGTAAGTCAGATAGCTGTCAGCGGTCCCTGTGCAAGTGCTGCGTAGTATAAGGGAGCACGTACACCACCACGCGCTGCATCCTTACGAGTACAATATTTGCCAAGTCCTGGGCATCTGGGCTCAAAGTTCCATCTTGAACACGTCTCTCCCGCCAGAAACCACACGTCGATCCTCGCACCGATGAGCCTACTGGATATAGGGCAGCAATGCAGGCGCCCGTCGGCATCCGTATATCCGTGGCATCTTTCTCTGCAACAATGGTTTGTATCGCGGGCAGACTGCGTCGAGAACGAATCCATCGCCAAGTATTTGCCCAGTCGGCCAAGCATTGGCACCAGGAGCCCAGCGGCGCAGGAGCGCGAGATGGCGGAAGATGATCCCAAACGACAAGACGGTCGCGGCCCTGTTGCCAGTGCGGTCTCTCCCTTCTGTTAAACATGTTCCTATATCACTGTTGGTTCCCCGTGTCCCTCATGCCATCTCATCTTCGTGCTACAGGAAGTCCTCCTCCTCGACCAGGTCTTGCCGATCCCAGTTCAGCTCGTCAACCTCTGCTACCTTGGTGATGAGATGAGCTCTGCCTAGAAGAACCACCTCGTTCGTGCTTGCCCGTCTGCACACAGAATCATGGCATCAGACCGGTCGTGGCCGCCTATGAGACATTCTGCTGCGTATTACGAACGTCGAACCGGTCCTACATCTGCCACAGCTCAATACCAACAGCAATACCCGCCCCTCTCTTCACTGTCTCATCCTCCAGTGGCCCATGTCAATCCACATCCTCGAGTCTCCCTGCCGACTCCTCGGACAGACTCGACTCGGGCCCTGGGTTCAATATCTAGCGGCGAGTCGGGATCGTCCGCCAGTTCGGACTACAAGACCTATTTACAGAGCATACCATATCAGTACAGTCCCCACACAGAGAGGGGCTTGATGGATGACTTAGCCGCCAGAAATTCATACCAAGGTTCGCATGTGGGAAATGGCGCGCACAGAAACGGTCTGGGGCTACGGTCTGAAATGACAGAAGACAACTCGACCGTTTTTCGATATATACGAGAAGACCCAACGGAAGAGGACAAGGAGAATGACCATGCCTTATGGATTCTGGTGAGTGCCTTTACTACCTCAGAACGGACCTGGCCGACTTTTGTATACTGTTGTATACTGGATTCTGATGTTCAAGTTTTTCAGGTTTGGATGTCCATTCTCGACCCTTTCCATTGTCTCTTCAGCGCCATCTACACCGTATTCGCCGTCTTCGCCATTTGTCTCCTCCTTCCGCTACGGCTGTGTCGTCGAGAATGTTCTCCGGGTACATCACTCGTGCGCATGGTCGCCCCAGTATTTCGGAACCACCTCCAGATGATGTTCGCCAAGTCGCTGGACGATGCTCACACCTTCGAGTTCAGTCCTTTTTGCCTGTTCCTCATTCACCTGGTGTCTCCCATCCTAAGTATTCCGAATGCAGTTGCCGCCTGGGTGGTGGCGGTCTTTTGGGTCTTTGCCATCATCATGGGCAATCCCGACGGAACGGAAAAACGTGACGACGGAAGAGCCGCCGTGCTCATCTTGCGGGACTGGTGGGAAAAGGTTTTGCTGTACGCAATAAGGAAATAAAGATGTATTCTATTGATTAGCGTCACGAAGGGATGATTGGCTTATGTCTGGCATGCATTTGAGCGAGTGATATTCTTCAACTTGAGACCTATTTCTGGCAAATCTTGGTTTGACCTTTCTTTTCCGGAACCTTTCTTTCTTCCCACCCAATATCGATCTGACACAGTGCACAGCGCGTCGACTCCAGTGGCCATCTCTGCAGCGGCTCAAGAACCCAGAACTGAAGTACCTCGAAGTTGGGCCCCCATGCCTCAACCTCACGACGATGCCCCTGGGAGGGACCAGCTTCTCGTCTGTTACGTGAGACCATCGAGCCAGAATGGAATCGGGAATCTTTCATAGTGAGATGGTTTCTTGGGCTCCAGCACACCGGGCCCAAAAACCCAGGTGGGCAGAACTGCTCGGTTTGCGAGACTTGTACTACAGTAGAGAGATCTCAGAGACCAATCCTCCAGAAAACAATGGCTCTAATAACATCTTGGTTCCCTATGGAAGCGAGTGTCGTTGGCGGCTTCATTCCGCGCCCGCTGAAAACATCTTGAAGATAGACATCGATGGTCCAGGAGACGTCGTCATTAAAATCAAACAAGGTGACTGGTCAGGCTGGCCTCCAGCCCCAAATTACCTCACAGTGCACACGAGCCATTAGCAGTTCAAGAGACCTTATCACATTCCCTTCCCATGTATCATCTATATCAAACACAAAATAGCCTACGTAGGCGCCCATCCACTTACCTCCACCCGACACGCTCAAATCCAAAATGCCTTTACAATCAATGGTTAGACCAGACAACCTCTTCATAATATATTCATCCGGCCACTTTCATGACTTTTTCTTCATGAGTGATGGCCCTCGGCGGCTCCAAGTCACCACTATTCCTGCGCGACGTGCTCTCGACCAACTTCTTCAAGGCATCCGGAGCATCTTCGCGGGTCATGACGACCTCGACGATATTGAGGCCCTTGCCACGCCTCAACTGCGGGTTTGCAAGGACGTCATTCAAATCGCCCCAAGTGCCAGCTCGTTTGGTGAAGACGGGGTATTCAGGGTCGTCTTCCGGGGCGCCAAAGTAAGTAGGGGCCTCGAGATACCTCCAGGGTTGGATGTCGTTGTATGCGGCGCGCATGCCATGGATCCATCTCTCGATGGTGTAGCCGTCGTTGTTGATGACGAAGATGACGACGTCCAGGCGGTTGCGGATCATGTCGGAGAAGACCTGCGCCGTCATCTGCAGGCTGCCGTCGCCTTCGAAGAGGATGGTCCGGCCCTGCGCAGGCCGCGTGCCCTCGGCGATCATCTCGCGCTGCGCCAGCGCCGCCCCCGCACACGCGCCCAGCATGTATCCGATCGACAGCCAGATGGAGGAATTGACCAGCGTCGTGTGCGGCGGGAGCACGAAGTCTCGACCTCCGACGGAGGGCGTGCCCGTCTCGGTCAGCACGATGTCGCCGGTGTGGAAGAAGGTCGAAATCCGTTGCCAGAAGGTCGCTTGGTCGATCGGGTCGTCTTGGCCCGTGGGAGGGAGCGCTGCCAGCTGTGCTCGTAGGTCGCCCAGGTCCGGGTACGGATCGTACCGGGGCAGTTTGGCTTGATCCAGTCGGGACAAGATCTTGCGGAGAAGCGGTTTGACGTGTATCTTCTCGTGTCGGGTGCCTTTGATCTCCACGCTCTCGCCGTCGAATATGATCGTCGACTTGGGGTCCGGCGTCGTGCTGAAGCCGAATGTGTTCACGTCGCTGGGTAACGGGCCGAGTCGGATCACCACGTCGCAGCCGCGTGCCCACGGCATGTAGATCTGCTTGCCGGCCGTGCCTGCATAGATTCCGTGGAAGTTGGGATATGTTTCGTTGATGATGCCTTTGCCGAATGGGGTGGTCGATGTCGGGAACCCTGTCACCCGGACCAGTTCGTCGGCTTCTTCGCTGATCCCATATCGCGACGTGAAGCCGTCTACGATGATGAAGGGCTGTTTCGAGGCGTAGACTGTCTTGAGGATCAGGTCGGCCACGGCATTTTCCACTTCCTCGTCGTTGGGCGGTAGTGAAAGGTCGATGGGCTTCTCCAGACCCGCGGCCGACACTCTCGCCTTCACCATGTTGGTGGGTAGTTCGATGTACACTGGTCGACGCTGCAGGATACATTCTCGCAGACACCTGTCGATCTCGGCAGGTGCTGTACTGGGGTCGGTCAAGTTGGCTTGAGCCACTGTGATCTTGACCGACATGTCCGCGAAGACGCGGAAGTCACCATCTCCGAGGGAATGATGCAAGCATAGATGCTGTTGCTGGGCGTGCGTGGGTGCCGTACCCACGATATGGACCACCGCTGCCCTTTCCGCGTAGGCTCCAGCAATGGCGTTAATCGTGGAAAGCTCGCCCACGCCAAAGGCAGTCATTAGGGCTGATACGCCCTTGATCCTGGCATATCCGTCCGCTGCGTATCCGGCATTCAGCTCGTTGGCATTTCCGACCCAGTCAAGGCCGGCTGGTTCGATATAGTCGAGCGCGCTTAGATTGTAGTCTCCTGGGACACCATGGACGGCCCGAACGCCAATCTGATGGAGTCTTCTAAAGATGTAGTCAGCTAGATCGATGTGGCTGACCATCTTGGATGTATTTCTCGTTGAAAGATATTGACACTGTATTGTATTCCGCGGGTAATGGAGGATGGATGTGAATATTGGAGACAAATCCAGCTGCAAGCCTACCTCTGAGGAAACCGAGGGTGTCCTTATCTTATATGCTCGAGGTAACAGAGGGCATATGACATGCGCGGATAAGGCGCAAGGTGCAGGATCAAGGCCACCATCGCTAACTGAAGGTTACCTTAGTTAGTATGATGATGGATGGCGGTACTGATCGAGATCATGATGGGTGGTTGAAGGAGGTTGTCCGCGCATCTGACAGTAAGACAAACCACGGGCAACTGCGGCTGGTTGCGGTTGGCGACGGCAAGGGTTCAGACAGAAGAGGAATCGCGGCCACCGGATGTCGAAGGGAACGATACAAAAGACATCGAATGACTTGACTGGACTGGACTGGACTTGTTATCAGACCGACGAATGCCTGGTGTCTCATGAGGGAGATGGGGATACCACCGGCTACATATCGTTTGTTTTTTGCCTTTTGCCTTTTGCCTGCGTGAATTCCTGCTTTTGATCTATACATGTATCCTGCCGACTCAACGAATCTATATCATCCATACAATATTGCAACTGGCTCAGAATGAAGAGATCCAACGTTGCATTGCATTACCGTGCATGACACCTTTTCGTCCATCACAGCTTCGCCATTTCTCACTCCTCCCGTGCCCGAGCATCTTCAACCGCCTTCTCCCAGTCTGTAAAGCGCATGTATGCGGCCATCATAATAGACGCACCAGCCAGTCCCGAACATGGGCCAATCCACAGTCCTCCCAAGCCCATCTGAATGGGTCCGAATGTCAAGAAAAAGGATAACGGCAGTGCGAACAGGTAGTAGACCCCCAGATTGACCCAACCCCCGATCTTTTGTCTCCCCATCCCGCGCAGGAGCCCATTGGAAATGGCCAGCAGGGCGTCGAAAAACTGTGCAGCTGCCGCGATGGGAATGACAGCTGCAACTACTGCACGGACAGCATCGTCGCTTGTGAAGATGGCAGCGATCGCGTGTCGGCAGGATGTCAGCACCACCACGTCAAACGTACCGATGCAGATGAAAATGATGTAGTGCGTCCTCCATGCTGTTCGCGCGGCGTCCAATGCTCCATGGCCGATCAGATGGCCAAACCGTGTCGACGCTGCAATGGAAATGGGGAAAGGAATGTGATACATGGTCACCGCCACGGTCACCAGAACCGATTGAGCTGCAAGACTCGCCTCGCCAAGATGGCCAGCCGCAATGGTCAGAATATCAAAGGCCAGCCACTCTGATAATGTCATGAGGACTCCAGGGAGGGCGAGTTTGACCATCGGCCCCAAATTCTGGCATGCTCGACGAAGATCCAACCCCGGCCAGCATTGAAGGTTGGACCGTGCAAAGAACCTGATGTATAAGGCCAACATGATCGGTTGTAAGTTGTTGGAAATCACCACGGCCCATGCTGCACCCGCAAAGCCCAGTTTGAAATGGAACACCAAAAGCCAGTTCCAGAGAATGTTCAGAGGGGCGCAGATGGCAATCACAACGAATGAGGCAGTGAAGTCGCCTTGCGCCTGGCAAAGTCGCTTGCCGGCCTCGAAAATTGCCCAGGCGGGTGCTCCTAGCAAGTAGATCCTCATAAAAGTGCCCGCCAAAACAGCCTCATCCTTTTCGGGTACCAGAGCTGATAGAATCCACGGCGAACAAATCCAGATGGCGCCGATAGGAATCGTCACCACGCATACCAGCAAGCTCATCCGTTGGACATGGAGACCCACCAGATGTTTCTTGCCGTTCCCATATGCTTGAGAAGTGAGGGTGTCGAGGCTGGTTGCTAATCCCTCATAGACGCAGAGACCCGTGATATTGGCCGTCATGGTTGCCAGAGACGCTGCCCCGAGCTCCTTCGTGCCCAGTCGACCGGCGACAAAGACAGTCACCAGAGTGAAAGAGTATTGCAAAAGGTAAGTCAGTATGAGCGGGCCGGAGTATCTAGCTAATAGGCCGGTCTCGGCTTTCCAGGTTGTCTCGATGTCGATGTCTTTGTCAACAGCTGTCTCGTCTTCTCCGGTTGTCCCATAGAGTCTTTGGTCGATTTGCGCCATCGACCTTCGTACGTCGTCGATGCCATGGTCGCTGAGGAGAGCGCTAGTCTCGGAGGGACGGCGTGCAGCCATTACCGCGCAACGTCAAAGAGCGTAAAACCAAATGGTGCCTAATAGAACAAGTTGAACTCAGATATCAGTCACAGCTCATATAAGTTCGATCATAGCCGAGACGACCGGTTGTGGTGGACAAGAGGTTCTAGAATCCTGCAGGAGGTAGGTAGACGTTGTCACAGCTCTTGTCACACAGACTTTGAAGAGTGTCCAGGTTCAAGTTGGCGGTGTGTTCGTGGAGATGAGCGAGCGTTACTTAGTAGGTATGAGTGGATGGATGGATCCCTGAGGAGCCCGGCGAGGCCGGTTCGGGCAAATCTATTGCTCTCATCAGGTTATCCGGAAAGCGTAAGCCGAATACGTACCATAGTTCCGAAACCGCTCCTGGGGTCTATTCGCGCCCTCTATTCGCATCGCGCCATCGTCTCTGGGTCTCTGGCTTTGGCAAGCGAATGGCTGGGGAGATGACTATGCCACCACGATCTGTTGCGGGTGGTGTGCTGCAAGTAACCACGCATACTAGTAGGCGAGTTCAACGTCAAGTCAGGCGATTGTCTGCACACGGTGCCCCAGATCCAACCCCAGGGTCAACTCGAGGTCTTGTTGCTGTCGTCTGGCACAGCTAACCAAGTCGTCGAGGGCTAAATCAACCCATTGCAGTGCTTGATGAACCCTTACACCCATCCTTGTTCTGCCTGCGCTGGGAAAACAAAACGCGTGGGAGTCGCGTCACTTAGTAGAATTTCCAGGGCGCAGTTTGGCGGGGCATCGATCGGCCTTAGGAGCCCTGCAACCAGGGAAATCGTGGCTGGACTGTAACGCCCCCAAAACACACCAAAACACCATCTCTTCCAACCATCTCACTCGCTTGTCCAGATATAAAGTAAAATACCTTATACAACCAACCTCCGGCGCGCGCTCTTCCCTGTCTCCCTGCCGTCTTAAGTCTACTGCACTGCGGGCGACCTCCAGAAACATACCAAGATCCGCAGGTACCGCACCACTGCACACCATGACGGCGTCCGTCTCCCCACACAAGGTCGCCAGTCGACATGCTCTCCCTCCATCTCCCGACCCTCCCTCTCTCAGGCTTTCCGAGTCACCTGAAAAGAACTTGAACCACCCCCAAAACCTCACCTTCCTCGAGAAGAGTCGTGGTCTGCGCAGACTACAATCCCACAGCCAACTCTCCTACGCCGGAAACATGGGCACCCAGTCCTCCAATCTAAGATCTCGTGCCGGGGTGCCAACAAGGCCCTCGCGCGAGCAGTTACACCAACCACCACCGTCCCCCAATGCCGCTGCCGCTGCCGCTGCGTCGAATGTTTCCAGCACAAATGCCACGGCCGCCTCTCGAGCTCGTGCGAACAGCGATGCGCCTTTGCCGTATGTTCCGCCACGCAGCGCTCGCAGACAACCTCCTTCAACACCGTCTTCGAATCACATAGCGAGTCATGCTCGCAAGTCCAGCCTCGAAATGACCCTTCGTGACGGACCACCTCCAGGAACGACTCCATCCTCCGCCCTCTCGTTGCTGCGCCATTCCATCCTAACAAGCGGTGTTTCAGCGACCAAGGATGGCATGTCAGACTACCGAATCTACTTGTGGCTTACACTGTTGAACGTTGCGCCGCTGCCCACCGATACATACCTTGGTCTGATCCACCGCAGTCGCAGTCCTGCATACGAGAAGATCTCCAACGACGTGTTCCGCACACTGGCGACCGACACACTATTTAAGCGACGCGTGACAGATGCGAGTCTCACCAGACTGTTGAATGCCACGGCATGGCGTATCCATGACGAACAGTCTTCCGATCCCCCGTCCGAATTCGCACTGAGGTACCCTCAAGCGACTTATCTTCAAGGCATCAACGTCCTCTCAGCGCCCTTGCTGTACGCCTCGCGTTCCGAGTCCCAAGCTTACGCCCTCCTCACATGCCTCCTGTCCGAGCATATCCCATCCTACCTTTCCCCGACTATGTCCGGCGTCCACCGGGGGTTGGATCTGATTGACCGCATTTTGTCATACATCAATCCCACACTCTCATCCTTCTTGCTCAGCAAGTCATTACCCGCGAAGATCTACGCCTTCCCGTCGGTCTTGACGCTTTGTGCATGCACGCCGCCTCTCCCAGAAGTCCTAAAGCTCTGGGACTTTCTGTTCGCGTTTGGGGTTCACCTGAACGTTATATGTGTTGTGGCTCAGCTCTTGTTGCTCAAGGACAAGCTTTTGGGAGAACCCAGCCCTGCGAAGGTGTTGAGGAGTTTTCCGAATCTCAATGCCGAGGAGGTGATCAAGATGACGGTCCTGATCGTGAGAGAGCTTCCAGAGGATGTTTACCGAGATGTCGTGGCCCATGGCAGGGTGGCGGCTTAACCGAAGAAGCAGTGTCCAATCGGATCTGGATTGGCTTGCATCACTCCATCTTTGAGTCGGGGCTTCTAGTTGACTGTGCCAGCGGGTAGGGAGGCAGACTTCAGTCTCCAGTCGACACTGGCGGACAGGGATGCATACAGTTGCACATCAACACACACGCCGCCGGCTTCTCGACCAGGCGGGAAGTCGTCACCCATTCATGGCATCTCGGCCTCTTTGCCCTTTCACCACTGTACTTTTATGATGTTGGAAACGACGAAACGACCATGATATCACCACATTCACCTGCGTCATGTGGAAGATGAAATCACGAAGCATATGCAAAAGAAAAAGCAGAGACGGAAAAGCTAGCTAAAGATAGAGTCAATACCACTTTGTCTCCCTGGATTCAAAGCCACTGCTGCAGGACCTCTTAAGGGCAGTCATGCTCGCTGAACCACACAGTCTAGTAGTTTGTGTGTCAACGACCATCTGACAGGCAGACTTCACTACGATTCCTGCTGTGTTGCATCGTCCGCCGAATCGGAGGTCGTCTACAGTGGTACACATCCAATACCACTAGTCCTTCTGAACTCGTAGTCTGTTCCATCCGTTTCTATAGCCCAAGGCATTCGCTACGATGGCCATTCGCTGCCACTTTTGACGAACTCTGGTCATTGTGATGGACCGTCGCCAGTGACCATTCATTGCGTATTTCGCGAACAAAACATGACTTTTTCCGTATTCGGATCGGTCTTTTTTCTTCTGAACAGCATAGCATGTCAAGGATTCAACGCTTCAGATCCAGATCCCCGTGAATGTCGCCAGTGATGACCCCGAGCCCCGTATTGCTTCTCTGCCTCCGTCGGCCCCAGACGTCATAGGCCCATTCGGTGAGCTGGAACGTCCAGCCGCCAGCGACCAGCACGCCACTGATGACATTGACCAACCTGACAATCAAGCCCAGAAAGCTGGAGCGCTGCTCACTGACGATCAACAGGATGGGCTCGATGTCGTACTTGAAAAACACGCCGGGCACGGTGTTGGGCGGGACCTCGCGCGACTGCGACGTGGCGGCGTACTGGTTGGTGAAGACGGATTTTGAATCGCGGCCGGCGCGCGGGTTGGGGACGTGGCGCACGATGCCGTCCTTGTCGCGGCTCGAGTTGGGCGCCAGGTCCAGCGTCGGCGGCTGCGGGATGGCGGCCGGGTCGAGGGCGCCGGAGGAGGAGGCGACGCGGCGCTTGGTGAAGATGGTCGGCACGATGGACAGGTAGTACTGGTAGCGCATGAAGTGGGCGTCCTTGTTGGTGGCGACGGCGGACGTCTTGTCCAGTGGGTTGAGGAGGCCCGGGTAGTGCGGGCCGAAGGACAGCTCGTTGATGTGGTGCGAGAAGTTGAACCGGCCGTGGTCCAGGTGCTGCTGCATCCCGAACTCCATGTAGCCGTGGCCGCGCGCCGTGATGTGGAAGTCGCCCTGCACCTTGTTGCCCTCGAGCGAGCCGTAGATGCGGCACGCGTCCACGGGCATCCCGGCCCTCAGCCGCGGCGACTTGGCGAACTTGCGCCCCTGGTTCTCGCGCATGTGGCCCAGCACGTGGCCGACGTGCGAGTCCTCCTCCTCCTCTTTGGTGCGCTGCTCGTCGCCGCCGTGCAGGCCCTGGTATTGGGAGCGGCGCGACCGCTTTTTGCGCAGCAGCCATCGTTGCCGCGGGTCCGTCCAGATCCCAAAGTTCGTGTCTTCTTTCGTCAACAGGTCGCCCGCCATGATCCGGTCCATCGCCGCGTCTTGCACGTTGACGTGGAGGTCGCGGCACGGCATCGCCACCACGATGTCGAGGTTCAGCTGGAGTTCATGCCCGACTCCGCGCTCGACCGAGAAGTGGTGCGTTTCGCTCCCCGTCCACCATGTTCGTAGTTCGTTCAGCGTCAGGCACGTGCATAGGATGATGATCGCTAAGGTCCATTGGCCGCCGCGCGCTGTGGCAGATGTGTAGCTTGGTTTGGTTTTGGCTATGAAGCGAAAGGACGCACATGTCAGTTGACAAAGACGAAAACATGGACAAGAAGTCATAGAGTTCACGGTGCGCGGGTCCACATATGGACAAACATCTTGGAAGAGACTCTGTACTCACGGAAAGCGTCAAACGTCCGTAGTCCTGACAAGCCAGTGTCATCAAAGGCAGACTCGTCGAGACCATGTTTGTCGAAGGAGTCCATCTGGACGGGGGAGGGACTCGGTGGCTCTACTCTCCAAGCATGCAAACTGTATGTGAAGACATTGGGGACTGTTCTTTTCGACTCGAAACGGACGCAGTGGGATAGTGGCTCACGATTCTATAGCGCGCAGTTGCAGAAGGCGGGCATTCCAATGTTCGGGCTCTTTTGGCCAGATGTTATTTCATGCAGCGTTCAGCCTTGGCCTCGTCACGGCGTTAATAATCCCCGACGAGGCTGAACTCTGAAGTGTCCATGACATATAGGTGCCAGTCAAGATGGCGAAACAACAAGGCACCACTGCAATGTAATACAGGTTTAAAGACCTCTTGAAAACATAGTCACAGTTTCATATCATATTCGCATTTCTCATCAGGCATACATTGCAGCTATTGCTGGGACGCGTGACTGCTGGCTAATTCCAACTCCATCAACAAAAGCAAAACACAATGCCATCTGGGTATCTCTGTAGAACTGTGTCTCAGTCAATGCCCTGCTGCTCGCTTTGACGCCTATGACAAGACCTCTGTCATCCCAGAAGCCATGACCAAATAAAATGCAATGTTCACTCTGCGCAGTCGTGCATCCCTCATCCGCAAATGCTGAGTTCTAGCATCAACCGTCACCGCACCGTCATTCCTCGATAGGCTCCAAAGAAAAGTCGGCCCTTCTCTCCGCCCCACACACTGACCATCTTTTCCTCTCCTTGTTGCTCCGAAGGTTACTTGCCCGGCTGTCGAGAGAAGCTTTCCTCCGTAATTCGCCCAGATCGCCATCTTCACCTTTCATTTTTGCCTCTTCTCCTTCTTGAAGGAGGGCGGCCTCTTCAGCGTCCGGAGTGTCCTCAATTGTCTCCAGAGAGCTGATAGATGGTGACCGTGAACGGAGCGAGGTGGGAGTGCTGGGCATGCTGGATGTGGAGCTGACAGAATATGCCGGGTATGCCTCGTAGGTATATTTCTGCGATGTGAAGGACGGCGATGGCGAGGTTCTCCCCGACATGCTAGGACTCACAGCCCTTGCGTGCAGGGAGGGAGCACTTGCACTTTGATGCAAGGGAAACCGACGGCGGGATCTGGGAAACGTGTGCGAATATGAAGCACTGGGTGACTGATGGGGCGCCTCCACATCTCCTGACAATTCTAGTTCTGCATTTTCCGGAATGTTTGGCTCGATATTCAGACCGCTCCATGATGACATAGTGTAGTTTGGGTACGGCTCCTCCATCGCGGACCTCAGTGGGCTATGTCGCCTTCCTGAGTATAACGGCGAGGAAGGTCTTCTGCCCGTAGCGTAAGGAGTGATGTATCGACCCGACGAGTCTACTCCCGGAGACGAATGGGCTCGCTGCATCGGTGGTAGACTGGTGATTCCACCAGTTGACAGGGGTCTCATCTTTCGGGGAGGAGACTGGGCACGTGGTCTGGAAGGCGTAGTTGTCGGGAAGGGTTCGCCGCGGCTGGAATGCATTTCGTGACCGACCGTCGGAGAGGATGCCGGTGGAGGTGATGAGGGAGGATCGGAAGGCTCATACTGAGGAGAGGGAGGCAGCGCAATCTCCTCGGCGGATATCTGAAGCGAGGCTATGGACGAGGGAATAGGTAAGAAGGAGGAAGCAGTCTGTTTTGAAGGCAGTGTTGTCAGCGGCGCCATGCTGGTCCGTGTGTTTGTTGATAGTTGCGGCGGTGTATTTAAAACTCTGGACGAAGTAGAAACGTATCGGTGTTCATAGTGCTGCAGGTGGCGGTGTTGAAGATGCTGCTCGTGGAACGCTGGGACATCGGCCACAGGACAGGAGTGTAGCATTCCTGACCGATCCTGTCAATTGAGGAAGGTCCAACACTTGTGTCAATTCAATCTGCGATACTGCTCCAGGGCGGCGTTTGAGGTCAACCAGTCACTTCTCGCGTATCCCAGGCTCCCGCATCTGAAGATAAGATGCTGAATGGGAGGAGTGAGAGCCGCTGGGGGCTTTAGAAAGGATAGAGAGAGACGAAGAGGAAAGGATCGAGTCGAGACCGTTTAGGGACTGTAGTAGTAGGAGGTGCTGTGGATGCAGGTGGATAGGTGGGTAGGAGTGTAGGAGGGTATAGATGTGTCCAGCAGTTGTATCAGTCGTAGTGCTGCCAAATGGTGGAGATGCACTTGCACTGCCAGTGGTGAATTTAGGCTTGAACCCCCTGGAATGACTGGGGACGGGCAGCACGTTTAGTGGCTAGATGCCCGTAAAAAGGTGCCTGTAGGTGATGACTTCTGGGGCGCGTCAAGTTCCAGCGACTCATTTAGTGGCTCAGCAATAATTTAAACCAAAAATGACAGTAGTAAGCACTGTAGTAAGCCTGGTGGGATCTTAGTAATAACTAGTAGCCTGGGAGGCAATTCACTCCCCTGCGTATGACGGGCAGGCTGATTGTAGTAGCGAAAAGAAAAAGAACTGTACAATCAGTGCCAGAAAATCAGTTCCGCTCGTCTTATGAGGCTTTTGCATTTTTCCTAATACTACTAACACAGCTAACTCAACCTTGCTGACATATTTTTCACGTTTTCGACCTACCGCAGCCTCCTTAGCCTTCCGCCACGGCTTCTCCCTTGGCCTCTAGTTCATCGTCCTCTTTTTCTTCCACGCGGCAAGGAACCGCGTCCACGGGCTCGTTTGGTGAACCAACAGGTCCATCGCGGCTCCGGCGGTCCCGTTTATGCCTCGTGTCTCTGGCGGTTGAACGCCCGTGCACTCAATAGCCTCGTCGCCTACACCAGTTTCTGCAAGTCACCATGCCATTCCTAGACGCCCACGCCGTACTCCCGCTCTGATCTTCCAGCTCTTCCACAGCGTCGGGTCTCCCACGTGGAAGTTATTCGGTACGATGTCCACAAGCGGTTACTTGTTGCGGAAGAGTGCGAGTTTTTAGACTGGCGCATGGACCTGAAGTGAAGAGCACAGGCAAAGGGAAAATGACAAATCTGTGCTTAAACTCTGGGAGATGCCGTCTTCGCCCCAAGGCGTGCATTCTGCGACGGGAACATGGTTGCGATGAGGCGCACCTCCGAGAGGCGCTTCTGCTCTTGCAATAATGACCACTTCCAGCTTGGATGACTTCGGAGAACGCCACCTCTGACCTTGAATAACAGCAAAGACCGCGGATGATCTGAAGAGTCCATAGTGGGACACATCATCACGATCTTCCTACCTCAGGTGCGATACGACGGTGGGTACTCTAAGTCGAGGATACTTGTTACGAAGGTGAGCCAGTTGAAGTGCACTCATCATTCTTCCGCCGGGAATACCACTCCTTGCCTTATCTGCTATTGGAGTCTGGTTGACTGGGGTATGCGACAATAAGGCGGAAGTGTGCTCGAGCTGAACGGATACTGTCGAGAGTGATTATACCAGCCACGGCCGACTAAGAGTCCTCTCCAAACCATCACAACAATGACAAGCATCCTTGAATACTGCTTCTACTGCTGCCACAACCAAGATTCTGCCAACGGAGACAGGGCGAGACGGATGCGCAGTCTTCTTAATTGCAGAGAAGAAAAACTTCTGGACTGTCCACTCTCTCTTGTCCATCGAATAGCTCTACTCTTGACAACGAAGGTGGTATGAACTCCCTAAGGCTTGGTAAAGCAACAATGCTTCAGGGAAACTACCTACCCCTATGTCGTCTTAACGTGGCTGGCTAGAACATCAATATTACCCCAGCTTCTTCGCCGTGGTAAGAATAGCAATCCACTCCCAGCTGATCTCACCAGCCCCATACTTCTCTCTCATGAAACTCTCAACAACACTCTTTGCCCGCTCACCATGTTTGACCTGCTGCTCCTTGCTCCAAGCACCGCTTATCGCAAAGCCCACCGACCCTCTAATCATAGGCAAGAACTCATCCACACCCGCCCACACACTGGTATGGGGGACAACCTCGACAACGACATTTCCAAACCCAGCACCCTCCAGGATCTGCTTGACCCACCCTTCATCATCCCAGCATCCATCCGGAGACATGAACTTGCGCAACCCCTCTTCGGTGCCCATGGCCGGGAGGTCGGGGTCCGTCGCAAAGGCATCGCGCACGTCGGCATACCAACCGACCTTCTTCCACGAGGCAAGACCAAGTGTGCCGCCGGGGCGAAGCATGCGGTGCATCTCGCGCAGTCCGGCGCGCCAGTCCGGGAGCAGCATCGGACCGAAATTCATCAAGATATGTGTATACTCGGCGCTGGGGAGGTTGGTGTCCATGGCATCGGCTTTGATGGCTTTCGCATTCGGCCATCCGCAAGCCTCGATGCGGTGAGCGACGGCGTCGACCATGGCGTCGGCGAAGTCGGAGCAGGTTAGGCTCCGCAGTCTTGGACCGGACGATGTTGGTTTCTCTTCACCTTCACCATCGCCTTTGTCGCTACTATCGCTCTCACTCTGGCGCTGGCTGTGGCCTAGCATGTCCATCAACTTGGCAGCCACGACACCCGTCCCGCATGCTAGATCGAGCACGACCAAGTCATTGTCATTGTCGAGATCCGGGAGGATTGTACGAACGACTAGATCCTGTGCATAGGGCCCAGTAACTGTCTCTGCTGACGTGTATGTTTTGGCGAACTCGGACGAGTCCCACATCAGCGTGTCTCTTTGGGGGGCCGCAGACATGATTTGATCAAATTGTAACAGCTGTGGAAGGAAAAAAGAATGAAGCTCTATGAAGGCCGTACAGCTTTGCCGGTTGATGGGCTAGAATGAGAGCCTGTTGGAAGAGGGCTGCTCTTGGAGATGGAAGCACCGGGAATTCCTAGGTTGGTGAATGCACAGAAAGGAAGTGGCAGTAGCATGCATAGAGCGATTAATATACCTATATTCCGTCTCATATCTACTGGTCGTGTCCTCCTTCGTGCTGCCCCGCCGGAGACATATTGTTATCTTGCAGTATCGAATGTCTCCGAAGGACGTCTAGCCCGCTCACCATGCCAGTTCCTCAGATCATGAAACATCCCTGTCGGTCTTTTGTGCATCGTGTTCGGTTGTGACTGCGAGGACATTATGTCCCTGAGGTATCAGGTGAGAGCAAGTAAGCCCTGTGTGAAGATTTGACGGGCCCGGTACGAAGGCGCATTGTACTTTTGAGGATTCTTCGAAGAGGAAAAGGTGTTGGAAACGGACGAGCTGAGGCGAGGCGAGGCTGAACATGGGCCAATCGGAGACATTTGACAGTTGGTGCCGGCTAACTTGCCTGGCTGGGAACTTTGTTTACGGGCGATTTCACTAGTATCTGTTAGGACTAGTAGTACGTACCTACAGTGTCTTTACTGCCATGGTCAAAGATGCCTTATACCAGGTCTGGGCTTAAAGCAATTCCCTCAGACGAACCAAGCAGGGTTGCTAGTATTTGCAGATACTCCGTCATCTGATGTGCATGCCAAACCCGACCATCTGCGACGACCCACGTCTGAGCCTGTCACTCCGCAATCATGCCTCATGCCTATTCCCGTCAGAACACCAGTCCGATCTCCCTCGAAGGCAGATAAAGCCAGAGAGGGTCAATCCCTACAGCAAACTAGTCGTGGTCAAACGAGGTCCCTGACGAGGCTGACGAACAATGTCTCAAAGGCACCGTCACAGTTGAAAACAGATGTGGACTCTGCCACAACGATCACCAGCAGTGCGACACGACAAGCCCGGGAAATCCGTCCTGGCATTTCCCGGAGTGTCCCAGTTGCTACACCGGCAGCCGGGCATGGGCGAAGCCTGTCGGCCGTGAGTGCGAGGAACGCTTCTGCCAAAGATGATACCTCAGACAGGTCACGAGCTTCGTCGCAGAAGGCAGACACTACTGCGCCGGGCAAGTCGGTACATGGTCGAAATGTGAGCGTTGCCACAACCAGGCCAGGCACGACGCACAGTCGGACCATAAGTGCCTCTACAAGCGCAGATACGGGCACCCGGAATCTGCATGGAGCAATTCCGAAGCGGTCGGGATTGACTGACAAGCCGACTTTGAAGAAACCCGACTTCAACAACTACAAGCAGCATTACAGCCCTAAGAAGACAACTCAGGTTTCCGCAGCTGCGTCCGCACCTGTTCGATTGGGAGGCGGAGGAGCAAGTGTCGGTGAAACCTCTACTGAGACTCGTCGTTTGCAAGACGAGCTATTGCAACTGGCAGTGCTGTATGAGAAGTCGCAGAGTACGCTCCAATCATACGAAAGCAGCATCAAGACGCGCCTCGCAGCGTGTTCGGATGGCCTCAAACAACAAATCCAATCCCTCGAGTCTGTGGAAAGAGGACAGCTAACTAAAGTCAACGCGGATGCGGCGAAGACCTGGACTGAAGCTGGCTCAGCAGTATCTGCGGGATCGAACAGGTCGCTTATTCTGGCACACTCAGTGAGAGTTTTGAATGAGATTACCGCACGGGGCGGACCTTTGGACATTGTTATGTCGCAGTTCGATGAGTGGCAGGTATCCGCAGTTTCAAAAACTTCGAATCGCGCGAACCGCGATGCTCGAGATTCAACGGCACCAGGTCTACTTGCTCCGCTAGATCCGCAATGGTCAGCCTTGGTAGACAGCGTGCAGAATAGAGTCAGAACTTGCTCGGAGTCATTGGCGGATCTGCAAGGGCCATCCGACTCTTCGTCAATTGGCCTGTTGCTCAAAATGCTCTCTAGGCTTGCCGAGGAAATACTGCGGGAGATCGCGATTTGCAGGGACGTGGAAGCCTTTATTCTTCAACGAGAGCAGGAGTGGATGGAAGCTGCAATCAGCCGGGCTCTATTCGAAGCGGGTAGTCACAGCCCAGGACAGCTTGGACAGCTTGGACAGTCTGGACACCACCATGTGAGGAAGGGCATATGGGACACTCATGGGACCTGATCAGTATCCTGTCCAAGCTGTTCTTCCACTCATCATTGAAGACCATGGCCGCTTCTTCTTTACAGTTACCGTCCAGGGTATGGTAATAGCAGCACCAAGTGCCGGCATCCTGCATCGGCAATGCAGAGACACTGCTCTCTTTGCTGGCAGTGATGACATCAGAATATGATGTCTTTATGCTTATCAATTCAGTAGGTACTTGGGGAAAATCCTATCAATTGGGGAGGACTTGCGCAAATTGGAGTGAGCGGAGGGTTGCTATCTCTGCTGTAGAAAAGCATCCAGAAGATTCACAGGCAATGTGACTGTTCACAGCGTGTGATTGCCGCGGTTTGCAGCCGGAGGCTGACGGATCATCTTAGCCGGTCTGGTCAATCAGCGGCCTGTGGTCTCTTCTTTTTGTACGCCCGTAACCATAGCCAGATGATAGGCCCGATTATCATCCAGGTGGTCGAGGGCGTCGACGACACTCCTCATAGTTCTCACGATGGCATTCGTCAAAGATCAAAGAGTTGCAGAAGCCAATCTGAAGAAAGTGACCTGAAGCGAAACTCGCTCCCCCAACCCCAAAAAGCTGATGCGACCAGCCACTCAAAGTCGTCAGTCAGACAGAACAAACTCACCTTTCCCTGGTCGGCCTGGCACAATTCTGCAAGCATGGATGGTGACGGTCCGGCTGGTGGTAGAGTCAATGCTACGAGGCGCCACCAGGTAGGTACCTAGGTACTTGTAATAAAGTACACGAGGTCGTGGTAAAGCTCTCTACGCTGTATCCTGTTTCGGCCGAATTGCATGCTTTTCTGTCTTCCCTTGCCCTCCTGGAAAGGGTATCAAGATGCGACATGGTGAATTTAAGGTGGTTTCTAGCCATCTGCGAAGACCACCTCATTCATGTGGTGGACTGATCAACGTTTCTGGTATCTAAAGACAGATGCTATAGGTCGATGGGAAGGCAGAGGGTTACAGTAGGATGGTTCCCGCGTTGGCATTCATGACCCTTGCCGCACAAGTTGTGGCGGAAGCTGGAGTCGTTGAGAGCTGAAGAAGGAGGTGTCAGAAATCGTGGAAGTCGATGGACTGCGGGTACCACTGCAAAGGGAACCGGGAATTGTTGAGGAGGAGTGGTAGGTGATTGCCCTGAGATCTGTCCTGCCACTGTTTCGTTGATGAGGAAGGACGATCTCGACGAGCCTGAAGGAAGCACAGAAGCACTTCCGCGGGCTGTGGCCGGTGTGTGCCATGTGGCGGTAGGATCGCGTTACATAATCTGTGACAAAGCGGGAATCGGGGCTCCGAAGAGATAAAGTGCGGTCTTGGCGACTTCTAGTCTTAGTACTAAGGTACTAGTACTACTAACTACCTTAGCCTCAACAATACTAGTACTTCCTACCTCCTAGAAGTTGAGCATAACGCAAATCCTCATCTATGCTTCATGAACCATGCCACCTAATCATCGACATTGCAAAATGATGACTTGTCGTATGCTGACTTATACTGAACCTGCAGGATTTTCTCCGCAGTCACACTCAGTATTCCTTTGCTGACATGCTAGATACTCTTGAATTACAGCAAGATCAGAATGCTCTCTAGAGGAATCCCACCCGAAAACATACTGCCCGCCGGACTGCGAGTCTGTGTGTCCAATCATTCCCCGCGGCCCGCTGCTCCTCTCTCTATATGGCAGGAACACCTCGGTCCCCAGGTGGTGGAAGGGAAAATACTAGCAGAGGCAAACCCCGAAGAGGAAAGACATATGCCTGACTAATAAAAGCCACCTCCATCATTCTTCACAGGGATCAATATGATCCCTGCACCGCGTGAATGCATCATGATGGGCACGAAGAACAGAACAGAACAGATGGACTATCATGTCCCAGGCCACAACAGATGAGGCTGTCTACCATGGCAGTACGTAGTAGCAGTGGGAAGCGGGACACCCAAGGCCGTCGGATACTAACGCGGAATCCCGCTACTAATACTAAAAAACCACCGACCGCATCTCGTCCGCACCTCGTCCGCACGCTCACGCCCAACCGCAGCCCATTGTTTTCTGTCTGCTGACGCCCCTCATGCAACCCTCTTCCGACCTGCTTCCTGAACAGTGGCACTCTTTTGAAATGTTTAGCGAAATTCGCTGTAGCAGTACGTACTAGTATCCTTTCGAAATCCTCGCAGTCTCTTTCATCTCTTACCCCAGACGCGCCCTCTCGTTACAGGCCTCGTCCTTGTCCTTTGCCCCATCTGCCTCTAGCCACTGTGGACTCCTTGATACGCCATCCCGCCACGTCCGCTTAGGCATGCCCTCGCCCTGGCTTTCGTCGCACCTCGCGAGCATGCAGCCTTCGAAACTCGCCTTCTACGCCAGCCGTCAATAATAGACCCAGGGCAGAAAAGAGAAGGAGACCTTGCCATTGCCTCGTCTCGCCTCATCCATAGCGTAGGCTACTACTGCCTCGCCACCAGGAGCGTCTATTCTCCGACTGCGCATACATCAAATGCTGCTCTGCCGATTCCACTCCCCTACAAAAAGGATACGAAGCTGGGGGAAGGTTGCAGGGGGTGATGGAAGGTGATTCTCAGAGAGAGCGGGATGACGAGTGGAAACCTCCCTTTGGCATCATACTGTCACGTTTGAAAAGTGCACCGGAGCCGCGACGTTTAGATGGCCCAATCGACCAATCCTTCGATTCTATACCGCGCAAACGTGAGTCTCCTCTGGCTCTGTCGCGCCAGCGGTCAGTTGCGGAAGGGTTCTCTCCAAGCCGGCACATGTGGCAGTCCCTCGATTCTGGCGGCCACAGGGAGATGGCGCAGCCGCCAGACAAGAGGTTGCGCTTGGACTACACTCCCGTGAGTGTGGGAGCAGAGAAGGAATCTGCAAGCGGCAGAATTGACCCTCATGTATGTGCTGTTGCCCCTGTGTCATGCTACTCGCACAAGGTTTTCGACAAACCCCCGCTGATTGCACTTTTGGTTCCCAGGCCTGGCGCCATGTCTCCTCGCTTGAGCCTCGTTCTCCCGCACAATACCCGGAAGGCGACGCCCCGTATCGTTTGCCTCTCGGGTCCTGCGGGAATTGTACAGACACCGAGTCTTTGGTCTTGGAGTTGGTGACCGGGGTTCTGGATCTTCAGTCCCAGATTATCCAAGCTTTATCAAACCCCACTGCCCGCAAGAGTCACAGCATGGTAAGTAGTATTCGGCCGTAGTGTGGAGGAGAGCTAACCATGCGGATGGTAGTCTGTTGGGTCAGAGGTGACCAGGCTGGGCCTCAAGCAGTCTCTTGCCTGGACGATCAATGAGCTTCGCACGGCCGCTCGTCTGGTGCAGGAGAACGCGACTCCCAAGCCCGGATTACCATCTCTGGCCAACGTCGTCCGGCCGCCCTTTGGGACCGACGTACGTCGATTATCAATCTTTGGCCAGTCGCCGCCAGCTGCGTCCTATATAGACCCTTTCCGCCGCATGCCTCTTCATATAGACCCTCGTCGAGGTGACGATCTCCACGGCAGAGCCACCGATTCTCCTCCTGAACAAATGCCACCACATCCGGATCAACAATTGCCTCCCATTCAACGAAACGAGGAGATGCAGCGGACCCAAGCGCACGAGCAAATGCCGCCAGGTACAGGACACTCACCTCATCCAACATCCAGTACCTCCATTTTCAGCTCGACACATTCGCCCATCCAAACTCAATCATCCAGCCGGACCTTGCCTTCTCCGCCAGGCGCTCAATTTCCTTGGGTAGGCAGTTCAAGCTCCGCACCGTATTCGCCGACTCCTATGCAGACCGCTCAGAAGAGCCATCTTCAGGACCTCCAGCATCAGATATCGACCAAGACCTTGGCTCTACAGACCCTACAACGCGAACATGACCAGCTTCTGGCCGCATTTTCACGATCACATGTTCGGTGTACAGCTTTGGAGAAGAAGTCGCAAGTCTCAGATCACGAAATCAACACCTTGACTGAAGACAAGCTCCGGCTTCAGCAACAGGTTGACGCCCTAGAAGATCAGGTCGAAGAGTTGAGCAAAGCACGCGAGGAAATCCAAATGCAGTCCTCAGCTGACATGGCACAATGGCGGCAGATCATGGCCATGTCATCGCAGCTGCAGCTCAAAGGTTCAGAAGAGACGCGGCAGTACAAGGCCGACCGGGAGGCATGGGATCGAGAACGTATCTCGCTACAAAAACGGGTGGAGGCACTCGAATCCGCAAAGGGTGTCCTCCCCGACCGAACAGTGCTATCTGACTCGACAACCCCTGTGTCGAATGACGCAGTGCTGACCTCCGACTCTCTCGAGTTGCTTAGAGATGAAATTCTCAAAGTTAGGCGACGTTGTTTTGAACTGGAATCACTACTGCAGGAACTTGCTGGCGAGACTGACCAGATTGACACTGCCATCAGTACACTGGAGAGGTTTCGGAAGGCACTTGCTGGCAGAAAGCGGCGCCTCGAGGATAGCTAGGTGAGGCTGGAAACCTGATTGAGACACATCTCCCAGACTTTGAATGAGCAGACGCAGCATAAGGCAGGTCGTTGACTGAGCCGCTGTCTCGAGGTACGGCTCTTGCTCAACCGCATTGGCACCACCTCGCTCCGCCCGGGGACACGGTGAAACACTCCCACAGCACTCAGCGGTCTGGCCGAATGATTCGCCTTCCATATCATCTTGCGGCCGCCGAGGCACAGTCGCCCGATAGCGAGGTCAGCGTCGGGTGACGGCCCGACTAGTTTTGACCGTGCTAAATCCTATCCTGCGGAGCAAGGGGCAAATGCGTACCTTATGTTGCAGGTGGGTTGATATGAGCAGGGGGCAAGGCGCATGGATGACACACGGCCGTACCATCTACCTACGTCCGTAGGCATACCGAAGATTTGTCACCAAGGGAGGCGGTTATGGAAGCAGATACTGGGGCCATTCCGCGCACAACATATCGTCAGCGAAGCATCTCCGTGGTCACCGACCACTAGTTAGCACTGTGGGGAAGGAACAACGCGCTTACCAGTCCGGACATTGCGACTTCGACGAGACCTCGTTCCTTTGCGCCCTTTGCGCCCCACTGGCTTCGGCCAACATTGCATCGACAGCGTACCCAGTCACACTCTCAAGCTGGCTAAGGGACAGGCGGGGTGATGGTCGATGGTGGTGGCGGTACTTTCGCTCAGCCTGCAATGAATACCTATGCACACAAGAGACAAAGCTTGACTGTCCCGAGGGTATACTAGTATATCTTATGTCTTATATCTTGGTACCCCTGACAAATGCATACCACTCAAGATAAGCCCCAGCATTAGGTAGCACCGTTTGGAACGTGACCAAGCGCCAAAGTCAATTTGTCATTGCCTACTAGTAGGTGCTGTGTATACCAGGTATCAAGGTACTGAACACTACCTAGATATTATACCTTAACCCCGTAGTAGTAGCCGCCGGGACAAGTGGGAGCGCAGGCAAAACGCTATACAGAAAGTCTAGGGACTAAAAAGGAGTAATAAGAGGCAGGACAACAACGCGGGGTGACGGGCTGCAGTTAGTGATGAACAACTAATAATGATTCCACCTCATTGGCACCATAATGCATAATGTTACGACGGCTTGACTTCGCCGTCTGGTAAACACATCCAACCAGCCTCTTGAGCATTCATTTAACTCACTCCAGCATACTCCATTCACTCCTTCATCTTCCAGCTTCCATCTCACGTTAGGCACACATCAATCACGTCAAGGCGAGACCGTTTGAGTTGCCACGTTCGATCGAATCCTCCATTCCGTCTCCACATGCCACCACACAGTACATCACTGGATTGACCTCCGCACGCAATTGCAAGTCGAACTTGACTTCCTCGACGGATCTCTTCGAACTGCACTTTGATGCGCACCTCTCCTTGTGACGTTGAGCCGAGGTCAGATGTTTTCCTGACCCAGGCTGCATGACTCTGCATGCGTTCAACCCCTTCCTCCTGGCCGCGGGCTCGAAGACAACAATCCCCGGATGCTAATTCACCATGGGCGGGGACAACTTCGACGTGAGGTTATTGAAGCGGTCTTTGGGGGAGACAAGAACAGACCGGTCGGTGAAGACTCTGTACGGTGACAAAACATGGGTTCATGATCTGGATATTGTCAATGAACTGGGAGCTCATACGGGATGTGTCAATGCCCTCAGGTACGGCTTCCCGTCCCTCCTACGTCTGCCCAGTCCCCTGCGTTGACTGACTCTGGCAGCTGGTCTTCAAGTGGCAGCCTCCTCGCCTCCGGTTCTGACGACACCTTCCTCAACATCTGGGACTACAATCCTTCCGGTCTGGCCAAGACGTTCACGCTGAATACGAGTGTGAGCACCGGTCATCATGCCAACATCTTTTCGGTCAAATTCATGCCTCACTCGAACGATCGGACCGTGGTGACTTGCGCCGGGGACTCGGAGGTGCGTGTTTTTGATCTCGAATATGGAGGTGCGGCCAACAGCACGTCGGCCGATTCGACCTTTTCCACGAGCACAAGAAGTCGGAGGTTCAATAACTTTTTCCGTCACGCCAGATGGCTGAACGAAGGCAACACAAATGCTCGGGTATACCGGAGCCATGCCGACCGGGTCAAGCGCATTGTGACAGAGTCAAGCCCTTACCTCTTCTTGACTTGTTCGGAGGACGGAGAGGTCCGCCAGTGGGATCTCCGGCAGCCTTCATCTGTATATCCGCCTCCTCGTGGAGGGCGAGGCTATGCCAGATTCCATGCCAGTGCAGGAACCGAAACCGGGGACCCGCCTCCACCGCTCATTTCCTACCGGAGATATGGTCTCGATTTAAACACCATCTCCTGTGCACCCAGTCAGCCACAATACATTGCACTGGGTGGAGCACATCTTCATTGCTTCTTGCATGACAGACGCATGCTCGGTCGGGATCTGGATGCGGAGAAAGGTCGCCCTGCAGGGCGGAACCCAGTCGTTGGAACATATGAAGACGAGGCCATGGCCGGGGCTACACGATGCGTGCGACGCTTTGCACCCAACAACAAGCGCAAGATGGGTTCAAATGACCATGGGCATATTACAGCTTGCAAGATCAGTGATGCCAACCCCAACGAGATGATCGCTTCCTGGTCGGGAGATCATATCTACAGCTTCGACATTGTCAAGTCTCCCGATGCGAGAGACGCCGATGCCAGAGCGGACGAGGTCTTCCGCGCCAATCGCCAGAGGAACCGATCCGACCGCAAGAGGAAACGGGACAAGGCGAATGCATCCTCGAGTAGTCTGACGGAAACGGCCAATCATCCTAGTAGACGTATGCGACGGGTGTCCGACAATCAAGCAGAAGAAGGCCATACCGCTCTGCTGGCGCGATATGAAGATGGACAGTCTGAACTGATCCCCATTCCTACCGATTCTCATGATCCTGTTACGGGGCACCGCTCGTCACAAGAGGTGTTGCTTTCGGAGGCGCAGAGATCAAGTGAGCGAGTGGCAAGATCACTGGTTCGGCTACGAAAGACTCTGTTCGACTTTTCTTCCTCCTTGGATGCAGACACGGCGTTGTCGATGGAGCAGTCGTCCGAACTCACACCTCACACGGCAGTGTTCACGTCGGCACTCGGCCAATGTGCTTCTCTCCTACCTCAGATGGAAGACATCATGCGTAGCTGGTCCTATCCGGTGAACCCGACCGAGGAAGACGTCAGACTGCAAAATACTTTGAGAAGGAACCGGCAGTCCAGCTGGCGTTTTGTACAAGCAGCAGGCTGCCTAGCCAGGTGTCTGGGTGGCCGTCTGCAGAGTCTGAGCTCCGCTGCAGATGTTCGACTCGCTTATTTTGACCGAATCAAGCCCGCGGCTCACGAAGGCAGAAACATCTCCCCGGAATCGAGGTTCTGTTATGATTTCCTGAAAGTCATTCTGCTCTGGCTCGATGGAGGTCAGGAAGCTGTCTTGCAAGGCTTCAAACGGCCGGCCAATGTGAGTGGCGAAAGCCCACGATTCCCGCTCGATCCTGACGACACCGTGCACACCTTCATTGCAAAATTGCAGTCATATTTCTTGGACCTCGCCGACGACAGCGTCCCGATCGTCAATCTGGAAGCGAACCGCTTCGAGCGCGATGAGACACGGCAAATCTTTGAAAGTCAAACGTCGGCCGTGCAGGCATTCATGAGAGCCCTTGCAGGTATCAAACTGGAGATGGGGCAAGGCATTTCAGAAGCCCGGAATGAGCCTTCAAGTCACAGCACTCCTATCCGAGTGATGGACAAGGGGGCTGCAGCCCGGTTCTGGGGTGTCCAGGTTGGCCGCTCGCTTCTCATGCGTGCTGCCGAGGGTGTCACGTATGATTATGTCAATCGTGCCTTTGGAGGCTGGAGGGTGCACGTTTTGCCCGAATGCGAGGGTATAGAACGATCACAGGAGTACGTTGATCCTGATGAGGAGGAACGCATCGTGGAAGCGATTGACATTGTACGAACCGGCGACGTGTCCAGGAGTTCCGTTCACGACGACGCTGATCCTTCCGCTTCTACGTCGGGGACGGCACAAATATTTGGCAGCACCATTCAAAGTTCGACTCGGTCTGACGTCGAGATGAGCACGCCTCCTGCGGTGCACATTGAAGATGCTGATGAAGACGGGGGAAATCATGTCCACGACCAAGACGAGGACGACGAGGACAACAACGAAGAAGATTCGGACTCGGAACGCATCGACTCGGACGATGACGATGATGAGGAGGAGGACGATGATGATGACCAGGCCGCGGAACGAATACTATTCCGTCGCCGAGCGGGATTCATGCGGTCCCGTGAACGGGCTTTAGTGAACCTGGACGTGCCATACTCTTCTCACACCAAAGTCTACAAAGGCCATTGCAACGCTCGGACGGTCAAGGACGTGAACTACTACGGTCTGAACGACGAGTATGTGGTTAGTGGGTCGGACGACGGACATTTCTTCATTTGGGATCGGAAGACGACCCGCATTCTCAACATCTTGGAGGGAGACGGAGAGGTGGTCAATGTGGTCCAGGGCCATCCGTACGAGCCCATGATTGCTTGCAGCGGCATCGATAGCACCATCAAGATCTTTGGCCCGGGCGGAGACAGCCGGGAACGCGCAAACGCCGAACGTGGAATTGACGTTGCCAACCCGGGCGTCGGAATGCATAGTTCTCTGCGTTTCGGTGCGAGAAGACGCGTCGGGTGGATGCGCAGCGAGGAAGATGTCAGTGACGACGATGACGGCGAGGCCGGTGAGGCAGCTCAGGATGAAGAATTGTCCAGACGCCTCCGCAGTCGACGGGCCATGCACCGCAGCTATGAAATCATCAGTCAGAACGATGTGGAGCGGCGACGCGGTGCGGAAGACACTTATGTCACGGTGAGTGCCATGGAAGAGCTGCTGATTCGGGCATGGATCATGTCATACTCGCGAGTCATTTGACTGCGACATACGGTGCTGACAAGTCTGGTGTCGTGCAGGAGGGAATGCTGACTCGACTTGCTATTGCGTTGCAACGAGGCCAAGTAGAAGCAATTGGAGGGCAGGGGTTGGGAGGGACTGGAGCGACTGTCGTGGTGGATGAGAATTGCCAGGTAGGGACACCCCCGGGGACTGTGTGGACAGGAGGAGAACGCCTTCAAGTCAGGGGTGGATGCTGACTTTGATGCTTTTTAGGTCATGTAACCTCTTTCATCACCTCTTGCTGACCCAATGGTAATATCAATGCCACTACCAGAACCACTGCTGTGCCGGTGTCCAGAGGGACGTCTTCTAGCTGAGAAGGAAGATGGCTACGGGGTAAAGGAAACTCTCGGGATTGTTGGGTCTCAGATGAGCTGAACGGGTGGCGCTTTGTCCGGTGGACAGCAAGCAGCGCAAGGACGTCTGGACGGTGACAATCAGTCTTGCTCTCTAGCGACACAGATATGGCGTGCAGAGTGTTGAGATAGTTCGTCGTCTGGCACGTACCTTCGAGGACAGTCGACCCAAATGATGGATGGCATCTTCGATCATTTGCATGCGATGGCCACCGGTTCCTTGTTTTGATCTTGACTCTGCCGTTCATTCGCCGGTAGTAGTAGCCTGTTCAACCTCGATGAAGAGTAGACAGGACAGACATGGCGAGAGTTTGATTGGGAGTGATACCGATACCAGACGTGCTGCTGAGCCAGACTTGTACCATCGCCATGCTCTGGTCCAGCTGGGTGACGTCGCATACACAGAGTATTTGGTGCTCGTGGAAGTAGATGTACGGCTAGAGAAATTCTCAGTACCTAAACATTGCATTCTATCGAAGAATATGGCTGTTGTAGTATTTCTCTCTCTCTCGCCAAGAATCCCGATTTGGAAGAAAGAAAAGAACGAGCGGAAGATTTGCACCCATTCCGCCACCTCTCATAATCCTCCTTCCTTTCCTCTACTCCCTTCCGCCTAGTTCTCCCAGAGAGGGACGGCGACGTCTGCGACGGCACCCAGTCTGGTTCATCATGAACGGACATTCTGCGGACGAGAGGCCGGCGTTGCCGCTTTATCTCCAGAGATGTATCGACCAACTTCCGAAGGACCATACCATTTCCCTCGACTCTCCCGTCAGTTCATCCGTTAATTACATCAAAACTCTACCCAGTCGCCGGCATCAATATGCTTCCCTGCTGCTGGCACGGCATCAGTTAACGCAGCAACTGGCCGAATGTCCAGGACCCGCTCCGGAGCTCATACTGCAGCGTGCAGCTGTCTACGAGGCTCTAGGATACAGTGAACTGGCTCTGGCCGATGCCTACGCCTCGTACACGTTGTGTGAGGTGGCTCTTGAAGGACCGGACATTTCGGATCTGGAACCCACAGACGCCAGCGGCGATCCATGGCCACCAGCCGAGGACTCGGCGGTTGCGCTGCTGCACAAGTACCGGTCGCTGATTGTACTCTGCAGGTCGGCAGTCATTTTGGGCTGTCAGCATCAGGCCAAGCTCTGGATTGATGACCTGCTGGAAATGAAGGGCAAATTGCAGACCGCTGAGGAAACGGAGTCGAACCCGCCGCACGAGGCCGCCGGCGACGACTTCTGCGACTTCTGGACCGTCTACGCGGCGGACACTAGCCTCAAGAACAGCGTCTCCGAGTTGAGGAGGTGTGCCAAATACAACCTGTTCGGACGCAGTCAACGGCAGGTGTACCCCTGGAATGAGCATGAACCCAATAGGATGTCCCGAGAGGCGCAGGACGAAATCAACAGCAAGCTCCACGAGGCTGCCCCGGATCTGGAGGTCGAGATCTCCGTCTTGCCGACATTGACAACAGGCGACACGACTAACGATGGCCCTTACGGGTCTTCCCAGCTCGGCCTTTACGCCAAAAAGGACCTGGCACCCGGCGACACGATATTGGAAGAACGGTCCGTCCTGACAGCGATCCGACCACACGGCGAGGCACTCTGCGATGCCTGTGCCGCCGACATGGAGAGCATTCCCCAAGAAGAGCGGAGGGATTGCCCAGGCTGCAACATCCCGTTCTGCTCGGAAGCGTGCTATTCGCTTGCACAGAGCAAATACCATGCTCCAAACGAGGACGACGACGAGACCGACGACGGGTATCCGCCGCCCCAGACGCCTTTCTGTCCCGGCACCAGTGGGAACGAAGACATCCATGTGCTCGGCCGAGCCGAGAGTTCCACGACTCCGGAATGGGATCTGTATTTCTTGCTGTTGTCCCGCACAATGCAAATGGCCGAAACTCAGGGAACACATCCGCTCGACCTCTTCGAGACAAAGTACTTGTGGGGCGACTTCTCGCCGACCCCGACTCTGGAAACCCTGCCGTCATTGACGGGCCCCAAATCTCTACCTTACAGCGTCCGGCATCACGTCGAGCTCCCGCTGCAGTGGTTCGAGATCCTCATGCACTCGCGTGCAGGATGTCGGCCCTACAGTCAACAATGGCTGGAGAGGTACGACTGGTGGATCGTCCAGACGCTGTTCGCCAAATTCCGAGGCGTCGCCGACGCCCAGCAGTCGACCTGGACCGGCAAGCCTGAGGTCGCCGCCGTGCATCCTCTGTGGTGTCTCGCCAACCATAGCTGCAATCCCAATGTCACCTGGAAACCGTCCGGTATTAGGAACCTGACGGTCGTGCAGGAGAGGGTATGGCAGCCTTCTTCTGACAACAGTGGCAACTCTGAAAGTCCGTGGACAGGCATCAAGGCCGGGGATCAGATCTGGAACCACTACACGGATATTCATGAGAAGGACTATCGCGAGCGGAGAGCTAGACTACAAGCCGTCCTTGGTGGTGATTGTAGGTGTGAGCGATGCATTGCTGAGGCGGCAGGGGCCGCAGAATGAGCAGACGTCCATGTGAGCACACAACGATGCTGGTTTTTCTTCTCTCTCTTTCTCTCTCTCACTCACACACACACACACACACACACACACACACATCCACGCCAGGCAGACAACCAGGCGCAGCATCACCACACGCGAAGCCATATCCTGTACAGACAAGTCATGGCCAAGGCTTGTATCTGTTTCTTTCTCCTGCAAGTGCATCTCGCCAATAGATTTTTGGTTTCACCGCCGACTTACGTATCAACCACCACCCCCAACTATCGCGATGCAGCAGAGAGAGCCGGTCCGCTCCTCTGGAGTCTTTACGCCGAGGGAGGGTATGCAGAGGATGATGGAACAAACCTCAGGTTTAGTAAGGTATGGTTGAGAGGGACGATGGGATGGACAAATAGGATCAACAATTTGTTCCAGATGGAAAGCCTGCATTCGAATCGAATCGCACACTGAGCATTGTTCGTTCTACCGCCTTGCCATCAGGCGAGACATGGCAATTGCACTGAGGGCGTGAGGAAGTTTCGAATGTCTAGACGATGTCACTCACTACGAATCGAGGCTTCGGCGGTGGTGATACGTATGGAGATTGAGATTGAGATTGAAATTGAAATTGCAATTGAGCAATAGACTCGGGAGCAGAAGAGGGTCGTTGTTCAAGTTTGTTCGGATTGCTTGTCTGGCTGCCACTGTATGTAGTAGAGTCAGATCTCGAATGTCAGTCATCACAGACAATCAGTTCCATTTGAGTCATTGACTCGATTCGAGCTGTGTATCGCGAACTGATCAGTGTGTTTCACAAAGTATAGGGGCATAGGGGCATAGGGATCGAGGCGAGATGAGGAGATGATGAGAAGATGAGAGGATGTATGGTCCATTGTTTGTTTGTTTGGTCGTTTGTTGGCCACGCTTGGATGAAGTATAGACGTCTGTCCATCTGTTTGTCTGTCTGATTCTGTAAGGGAACTAAATACTAGCTCATCCATTCCGGAGTGATAGCAGGACTGGGGGAACTACTCGCTCCCTCGCCCTCGCCTGCAGCTCCAACGCTGGCCTGTTCCATCTGCTGGTCTCGCTCTTTCTTGGTTTCGCGCGTCGCCGCAGCCCGCTCTCGCCGCCGCCGTCGACGCTCCTCACGCTCGTCTTTGTCTTCTCCAACATCGGCAGCCAGAGACGAGGTTGTCAACGGACTCATTCCCAACCCTGTGCCTACAGGGCCCCCCGATGCAGCTGACGCCACACTCCCGCTGTCCCGGTGGTGATGGTGATGATGATGCGGCTCTTTGCGCTCCTTGGTGGTGGGCTTGCGCCGCACGCTGGCTGTGCTGCTGACGCTGCTACCGCGCCGGACGCGTTCCGATAGCATGGGGCGCTCGATACTCCCATCGAACTCGAGATGGGGCGTCGACGAACGGGACGAATGGGTGCTGCGACTGCCTAGCGAGTCGGCCTGTTCGAGACCCGGCCGACGTCTATTGGCTCGCGCCGCGAGCAAAGTCGGATCCTTTTCGGATGCGCCACTCCCGCTCGCCATAGGATTGCGGGTCGAATGGGAATGAGAATGCTGCTGGTGGCCCTGGGGATGCTTCTCCAGATCATGATGCCGTCGTGCATATCGATGAGACGTGAATCGCCAGACGCCGGTCCACCACTTCCACCCGCCCATCTCCTTTGCCCGGGCGCGGCGCAGGACATTGAGTTTCCTCCGCAGGCCTGCGCGACGCTCGTTCTCTTTCTCCCAGTACTCGGTGCGGTATTCTTCCCAGTTCTCGCGGAATTCCGGACTGAACGACTTCGGGAGCAGCAGGAGCATGATGTGGTCGCCGCCCTTGGCCAGGTCTTCTTCCACGACCGTGCCGTCCTCGTGCTCCACCATGTGCCAGTCGAAGCCGCCTGCTTCGCGGAATATGCGCAGAGGCAAGAGAAAGGATAGGTGGCCCAGCAGTTCGCGCCACAGTTTGCCCCGAATCACCACGACGCGAAGGTTGAACCCGCGCAGTCCGCGGTTCGTCGTGCCCAGCCATTTCCGCGGCCAGCGGATCCCCCGTTCCCATTGTCCCGTTCCCCATACCAACAGGATCGTCACGACTCCGCCCATCAAAGCCAGCTTTTCCGACATCTCGACTACCCAGTATACCGACCCGCCGAGGCCGGTGCCGTCCTCGCGCGGCCGCAGGAACAGGGCGTAGAAAAAGAATCCGTTCCATAGCGCCAACAGGAGTGAGAAAAATGTGTTCAGTCTTCTCCGGCCGACTAGGTGCAGGTATTGTGCGCGTAGGGAGGATTCGAGGATCAGGAGATTCAAGTAGATCTGTGGCGGGGATGAAGGCAGTGTCGAGAGGAGAGGGTCGGGACTGTATTTCTCGGCCTGGGAAGATTTCCCGAGCCCAGGGAGCGGTGCGGTTGAAGGTGGTTTGATGTCGGCTGGAGGGGCGCCTTTGACGATTTGGTTCAGTCGTGTCTCGGTCGCCATGTTGGGATGAGAGTAGAAGGAGAAGAGCAGAAGGGCCCAAAAATCTGCGCGAGGCTCGTCCTGGAGGATATCACCTTTGCGCCGCCATGTGTTTGGACTATGGTCAGTGGGAGGCGTTTCTGTTGCGCTCTAGCTGACCGATTGAATCATGCGCTTGAGAGTGATGTACTGTATAGATGGTCAGAAGAGCCACTTGACCCTCAGAGCATCCCGTGCACAAGAATATAATATGACGGTAATCGTCAATGCAGCTCTTTCGCTGGTCCCAACAATATCATTGATATAGGAAATGTTTCGTGGCCGAAAGACGTCGAATCGGTAGAGAGGCTAGCGTGATGGGTGGGATGGGACAAGGCTGGGCTGCTGGTCGACCCGTCGCGGGGCTTCGATGGCTACGTATGCGGTATGTGCAGGAGATATCAGTGGCGACACAGTGGATGTAATATGTGCAGTGTGTGACAACGACGATGACTCTCCAGATACCGGGAATGGTCGATTGGATCTCAGGAGGGTCTCACGAATGCAAGGCTGGATATAGTGAGGTATGTGGTGTAGTAGTGCAGAGCGCGGTAATAGTGTACTAGTAGTAGTAGTTGTACTGGACGTAGTGGTGGAAGTGATGCAGTGGGAGTCGGCGAGTCGGAGAGTCGGCAGCAAATGATCCATTAAGTCCGGCACGGGCAGCGGCGATTCGTTGAGTCCGGCGGCGGCTGCAGCTGCGGTGGAGGAAGCTCGGCCGAAACCGCTCCATTGATTGAACCCGGAACTGTGGTGCCTGGCCTGCGATAATTGTCCTCTGTATGCAGGGAGAAATGATGATGCTGAGAACGGGAAGAACTTCAGAGTTGCTTCTCCCATCCATGCTCGCCAGTGCCAGTGTGTCGAGGGCTGCCTCCCACTCCATTCATTATTAGCATCAAATTGCTTTCTGCCTGATCTCCATCGGCTAGTTTCCCCGACCTATCTTCCCCTGGACATCCTCGCCGTCAACTCGCTTTTATACAGCCTCTTCCCCCGGGCGGTATTTGCCTCCTGTCCTTCACCAGACACCTCCTTCATTCTTTGCATCGGTTGTATGTGAGAGATCCTCATCTCAGCAGCAATCTGCTTTTGCTTGGTGCATGAGACGAATCGCTCGCTTGCGGTTCCTAGAGGCAGCTCCTCGAAGCACCAGCACCAACACCAACACCAACTCCACACGCATCCGCATCCGCCACCAGTCTACCACAGTTATTCTGAGTGAACCAGAAAACTTCCCCCCTACTTCGGTCCGTCCTCCAGTCATGTCTTCCAACGCGGCCGAGTCGGACGGTGAATATCAGGTCCGTGGCCAACAGAGCCCTTTGGTATCTCGACGTGCCAAAGCCGAGAACCCGCGCGGAAGTCGCGTGGACAGCTTCTTTCCCCTCGGCTACAAGCAAGGATTTAGCCAATGGTGGAACAGTGTCCCTGCCGCGGAGGCGGAAAACAGAGTTCTCTCTTTTATCCCTTACTTGCAAAAGCCGCCGACCCATACACAGACAGGCTCGGAGCCGCCTTCGGTTAACCCTTCGACGATGTCGGTCAACAATGACCCTGCGGCAAAGGCGCCTCCCGTTACGACGAACTCCATCACTGATCCCTATGGGCCTCGGACGTGGTATTCGCGCATGGTCCAGTTGTCGGGCAAAAACAGGGCATTGAATGAGTTTTCGGTCGAGCGCACGGGCGAGACTCCCGAACAGAATCTGGTCATCTTGCACGGCTATGGCGCAGGTCTGGGCTTCTTCTACAAAAACTTTGAATCTTTGTCCCGTCCTCACGGCTGGCGGTTATTCGCATTGGATATGCTGGGCATGGGCCGATCATCTCGACCACCTTTCAAGCTGAAGGCCAAGACGCGCGAAGAGCAGATCACCGAAGCGGAGGCGTGGTTTGTCGATTCGCTGGAGGAATGGCGCGTCAAGCGAAACATTGATAAGATGACTTTGGTCGGCCACAGTATGGGCGGGTACATGGCCGTCTGCTATGCACTGAAATACCCTGGACATTTGAACAAACTCATCCTGGCTTCGCCCGTGGGAATTCCCGAGGATCCTTATGCTACGCATGCGGCAATGCCTGAACCACCCAGTTCGACGCTCCAAAACGAGTTCACACAGGATCAGGCTACCGAAAGTGTGGCTCGATCAGATAATAACAACTTCCTCAACGCGCGGAAGAAGGCAGAGCAGGCGCAACAGAAGACGAATTCCAACCGTATCACTGTGAGCGACGAAAGCGACGATTCGACGCCTGCCCCAAGACGGCCACTGCCCAAATGGTTGACATACCTGTGGGACGCCAACGTCTCTCCATTCAGTTTGGTTCGGTGGACTGGCCCGCTGGGTCCACGGCTGGTGTCCGGGTGGACAAGTCGACGGTTTGGACATCTGCCGCCCGATGAAGCCGTGGCCTTGCATGACTACAGCTACAGTCTGTTCCGCCTCCGCGGCAGTGGTGAGTACGTACTGGCATATATCCTGGCGCCCGGCGCCTTCGCGAGGAGTCCATTGATCCGCCGGATACAAGGTATTGGAAGACAGCCGTTACCCAGTGCTCAGGCCACCTCCGGCTTGTCGTCCGAACCCGCCCGCGAGAATGGTGTGCCTGTCGTCTTCATGTATGGTGAACATGATTGGATGGATGTCAAGGGCGGGTATGCTGCAAAGAAGAAGATTGATGCCGAACGTGAGCGAGCGTTGAAAGGCAAGTCTCCTGAAGAGAGAGCAAATGATCAAGGAGGTGCCAAAGTCGTCATTATCAAGGGAGCTGGCCATCATGTTTACCTGGACAGTCCGGAAGAGTTTAACGAAGTCATGCTCGCCGAAATGGAGGATGTGAAAAAGCGCACCCAGGGAAGCACGAAAGGTGCAATGACCGGTGTTCAGATTGTTGACAGAAAAGTTGACGACGAAGCTTGACGATGGCGGATGGTTACGGATCACAACATATCCGCATGAAGAAGACGAATGAATGGATGCTCCTTTCTGCAGCAAGCACCTCTGGTCTTGGGCTTGGGGGAATTTCTAATTGCACGAGGTGCATGGTCAGAAGAAGCCGTTCAATTTGGCTGGAGCTCACGGAGACACAAGGCCTGCAGATTGCAATTCCCGTTCGGCGCAATCTAGGCCTTTCTGATTAGCCAGTCTCGGCCTCCTTGGCTTCTCTCTCGCAGGCACGTTCGTCTATCACGTCCTTACCTCGCGTCCATGGTCTGCATGTAAGCATACTTCTGCCAAATGGGCATGATGACATTGCACGGCCCAGACCCTTCTGGCTGGTGTAGAGCGAGAACGGTCGAGTCAAGACTTTCACCTCTTCCTGCGACAACCCTGCTCTGTCCTACCATGCCTGCCCCAGATATGCTCCAAGATGTGGGAATATCATCGTGTCCAGCAGCTTGCTATTCAAAGATGATCGAATCTGAAATGCGACATAGATTTCGGCTTCAGTTCCTCCGCGAATCCCAGCGTTATATTGTCCGATCATCTGCGGGCGACGCCGCATAGTCAGGCATTTTGACCGCTATCATCAGTTACGGTGCAGTGTGAATGGACAGAGGGAAAATTTCCGTCTGCTGCGGCGTTTCGAGGGAATGGAAAATGAAGTGGGAACACATATCTCGTCGTTGACGAAAATAGTGAACCATGTCGGATGTCAGTCTGGTTAAATATTAGAGATAGATATGATCAGGGACCCAGCGGCGCAATCTTCCTGTTGCCACATGGTCGAACGGAGTGTGGACAAAGAAACGCTCATATATCCAGCTTCAAACTAGACACCTTGGAAATGTAACTCGTCCTCACGGATCGAGGCTGAGGTTCAGGTTTTAGGGAAGACTGCCTCCCATAAATGAAAGGAAAACTGTGCTAGTTCAGATATTTGGTCCCAGGTGGTCATGATGCCGCCGCTGTCGAGTTTCAGGAGCGTGACATCCTTGTGGGTTTGGCAGTGCCAGTACCAGTGCCAGCGCCTTTTTCCCAAGGGGAGGTATTAACTCACGTGATTGGTTCTTTTCGTGACGAGGCTGCGTGTCGCGTCGACGCGCTCAACTCTGCAATTCTGTCTACCGCAGTCCCTCCTCTCTACGCTGTTCTCGTCCGACGACTTCGAGTATTCCTTTACTCAAATCGCCAATCTCGTGTCCGAAACCGCACCATCTTTGACAATCATACTCCCCCAATTCATCTTTCGCTCTTAGTCGCGAGCTCAACACGAAACCACGTGACGGTGTCCAGTTTCCCTTGACCGCTGCCGCGCGTGATCGCCACGACGACGAAGAAGACATCTCAACGCTACCGGCTACCACTAGAGAAACATTGCGGATATGCCCGAAGGTCGTGGCTACGATCAGAACAGACAACGACAGAGACATGATGACTGAACAGGTATTCAAGATCCAGTCCCACAAAAGCCCAAGGCCACCGCAGGCAGCAAAGCCCCTGTCGACCCTTCTGACAGCACTAGGAGTACGAGACAGCAAGTCATATCCGCCGCATGGCTTATCGATGGTTACGCCATGATAGCTCCCGTGGCGGGCCTAATAAGGCTGACCAGTGCCGACAGAGGACAGAGATACCACTAGCCTTGGTCGTTGTGTCCAAACACTTCGTAACTTCAGAAAGTTCTCATCAGGCCACGAGAATGCCGTCTTGTTGCGACAGCAGACTCCCCCGTTGATCTGACAAAAGGACCGTCATATACTGATGTCTTGACAAATCACGACTTCACCGACAACTCCCTGCGCAGCAGTCGTTCGGGAAGTCCCGTCCATGACTTTGACTTCTCTTGCTGCAGTCAAAGTCTGGATGAGGACTCCCTCCTTCCGGTTCTCACCTCCTACATTCACATCTGGGCCCGAGAAATGGACGAGACTGCCTTGCATGGAGTGGACTGCCGGTCAGGCCAATGCAGAGACCACCGTCCTGTGACTTTGGCGGACGATTCACCGTCTGGATTTCTTCCATGATGCCTGTTCTGCCTAGAATGACTCTGGGGTGATCCTCGCCATTGGCAAGCATCGCTTGACTCTCTCGATCTATTTCCGCCTTGCAGTTATGCCTTGTCTACAATATGCCCATTCCAGGCGCCATTGGTTGATTTTCTGTCCATTTTCTAGTTCCACCGACATGCCTAAATATTCTGGCTGCCCCTATCCCGTTCCTGAGAACAATCCTTTTACTCTCCTGTCCAGTCATCTATCGGCCTGTCCAGGCACGTCGCGCAACATCTGACTGCCATGCTCGTTGCATCTCTACTGACTATAGGATTGCGATATCGTTGACTCATTGGAAAAGAACTGCCTGCCTTTACAAACAATGTCAGAAGCTGGAAATATAATCTCAGATCCGCGGCGGAAATCACAATCTGTCCGGCGCCTCACGCAGTCATGATTAAAGTCGCAGTGGTTGGTACCAACGGGCTCGCCCAGTATATCGTGCACAATTTGGCCACTCAGACCTCCCACCAGTTTGTCATCTTGTCCAGAAGGGTAATGTTTGTCTTCTTTTCCTACTCACAGGACGCGTGGCTGACCCGCCAAAGCCTAGTCCTGGTCTTGTGGCAAGAGGATGGCAAGTGCTCCAGGTAAGTCGAGTCTTGTGCCACCGTTCTTCTGGAAGAAAGCATGCGGCGGCAACAGGGGCCTAGCAGGATCCTGTTCGGCACTGCTTCATGTTGGACGATGCATACTATGGTCCACCAGCCACGCCGACTGACCATTTGAAACTCAGGTGGACTATTCCAACCAGGGAGACCTCCAGTTTAAGCTGGCTGGCGTCGACACGGTCATCTCGACAATCAGCGGCAATGCTCAATTGGCACTGGTCGACGCGGCGGCAGCAGCGCATGTGCGACGGTTCGTACCTTCCGAGTTTGCCGGCCCTCCCTCCTTACGGCCTCACAACGATATCCTCGACGATGGACGACGTGCAGCGATTCTACGGCTCCATCAGCTGGAGGGTTCAGGCATGCAGTTCACAATCTTTACCTGTGGAGTACTCTACGAGAGATTCGCCCCTGGCGGGATGGCCGCGTCACAGATTGGGTTGAGAAGCAACATCGGACAAGAAGGTGATTATCTCATGGACTTTCGTCGACGACGAGCGCAGATCCCGTATCTGAGCTCCACGGGTCAGGCGGCCACCATCTGTATGACTTCTGCCCAGGACGTGGCCAGGTTTGTGGTGGCGGCCTTGGATCTGCCGTCGTGGCCACGTGAATTCAGATTACGAGGAGAGAGGATGAGTGTCCGAGATGTCGTTGCCGTCGCCGAAGGAATTTCAGGTATACTTGGCCCCAACATTCGGCTTTCACGCCGGTCCGCCCCAGTCTTGTGCTGATATTGACGTGTTTAGGGCGACAATTTGAAATCTCGGGCCACACCAGAAGCTCATTACAAGACGCGTTGACATATGCACGAGCAGTAGGGGACCGCGGACGGGAGATCAGGGTGCATCACTTGATGGCTACGGCTGAAGGTCGCTATGACTTTGTCAGCACGAATCTCGACCAGTTGGTGACGATTCGGCCAGAGAAATTCCGCGACTGGTTGGTGCGTGTATGGATCTCGACTTGAATTGAGACAGACAGCCCAAGTTCAGACGGGAGCGAATCTCTGCTGTACCGGGACTGTCACCGTTTGGCCAGCCAACCTTGGGAGGTTGCTCTCTGCTGTACTCAATTATGATATCGAGGCCCAGCGAACCATTTTCCTCATCCGAGATTCGGGCTGACATGGCCGTCGCTTGTGCCAGATCCCTTTATCCTTTAGTACCGAGATGTCCGACGGCAGCTGGACTGCCTACCCCTCAAATCAGATTGGATGTCGACCGGAACATGGCGTCTCTGGCGTTACTTGGGATTGTCCTTCGACAGACGTGCGGGTCTTCCGCGTCGGCCTGGTATTTCGTCGGCCTTCCTCATAAAGCGCCGAGTGATGCCCGGACCGGGGGGGGTGGATGGACGGTGGCTAGACTACTCAGTGACTGCACATCAAGTCTATCTCTCTACGTTGCCCAGGTATTCAGTTATTATCATTGGAGAGATTGAACCTGAGTATGTCAATGCCGACGGCAAACACTCGTGTGTGAGTGTGTGAGTGTGTGAGTGTATGTCAACAATTCCGGCCAATACGAAGTCATCGAGATGGACAGATGGATGTTTCGAGAAATGAGATCATCATGTCGGTGGAATCAACGTCACGACTCTGTACTTTCAGTACCATATTACCTCGTATGCATCTTCCAGTATCATTCCACTCTCCAAGAGCCATTGTTATTTCTGGATCTTACTATATAGTACCTGATATTCTCCATATCCAATTTCGGGCCTAAGCTTCCACCGCGGCGATAGCACAATAGCACACTGTAGTGTTGGTCAGCACCACGACATTCTATCATTCTCTCTCCGTTCACCGGATCGATTACTTGATTAAGAAAACGGTCGGCACGGCAGGAGACTACCAACCTACCTAGGTACATAGGACTCGCATGCTACATCAACCTTCTGTTCTCTCTTCTTTCCAATCTCTACATAAATCGAACCACCAAACCCATATTATATTGTATCCAATCAAACCCCCACTCAAGATCCATTCCATCCAAAATGAAAGCCGTCGTCGCCCAAAACAAAGAACCCGTCCTGGTCACCGACCGGCCCAAGCCCCAACTCCGAGACGACTACCTCCTGATCAAGGTGGTCGCCGTCGCCCTCAACCCGACCGACTGGAAACACGCGACGTTCGGCCTGGCCAAGGACGGATGTCTGCTGGGCTGCGACTTCGCCGGCATCGTCGAGGAAGTCGGCCCCGCCGTGACCAAACCGTGGGCCAAGGGTGACCGGATCTGTGGCGTCGCGCATGGCGGCAACGCCTTGCAGCCCGAGGACGGGGCGTTCGCTGAATATATTGTGGCCAAGGGCGACATTCAGATGAAAATCCCGGACGACCTGCCCTTTGAAAAGGCCGCGACGGTGAGTCTGGGTGCCACCACGGTCGGGCAGGGCTTGTTCCAGAAGGCGTTGAAGTTGAATCTGCCCACGGAGCCCGTGGGCGATAAGACATTTGTGTTGATTTATGGGGGGAGTTCGGCGACGGGGGCGTTGGGGATTCAATATGCGAAATTGTAAGTTCTGCCCGTCATCTAGGAAACGATGGTTTCACTCTTCCTTTGGGAATACCGGAAGTCTGGGGGGAGAAGGAGCTCTGAGAAGTCTGGGGATGGGTTTCTATCTCTGCTCTTCGCCTGTCTCTGTCCCTATTCCCTATTTCCTATTACTGTTCCCTATACTACTCTATTCCCCATGCCCTTCTTGGCCTTGTGTCAATCCCAAATATATCCAACCCCTTTATGTACACATACTAACCACTTCTGTTCTTTTCTACCTGTAGGGCAGGCTATACCGTCTTGACAACCTGTTCCCCGCGCAACTTCGACTACGTCAAATCCCTCGGCGCTACGGAAGCTTTTGACTACAACGACCCCAAAGCCCCCGAGGCGATCCGCAAATACACATCCAACAAACTCACTTTGGCGTGGGACACGATCAGCTCGGAATCGAGTGCAAAATTCTGTGCTGATGCATTGGCACCTTCAAGCGGTGAAGGGTCGGGCCCTCTACGCTACGGTTCCATCCTGCCGGTCACATGCCCTCGCGACGACGTCGAGAGCGTGTCGACTCTGATGTACACTGTCTTCGGGGAGCCGTTTGAATTCGGACCGGACAAGATCCCGGAGACTCCGGAGGACGCCGAGTTTGCAAAGAAATTCATGGGCATCACGGAGAAGTTGTTGGCGGAGAAGAAACTGAGGCCGCACAAGGAGGTTGTGGGCGGCGACGGGTTGAAGGGGGTCATTCAGGGGTTGAAGGATATGAAGGATGGGAAGGTTAGTGCTAGTAAGCTGGTCTATCGGGTGGCAGACACGCCTTGAATTGTGATAGTTACGACCTAGGTAGTATGATGAGTCATGGGACATGCAAGGATTGAATATCTCTCTCAAGTTACTTTGATATGTACCACAGTTGGTGTATGTTGAAGCCATTCAAGGCTGGTGTCGAGGCCAGATGAAGCGGCGAGAGCGGCGAGGCGGCTGTTCTAAGCTCCGAACGCAGTAATGCTCCACCGTACAAGGTGCCAAGACTGCGGCGTGATCGCAAATGCTCCGAACCAATCATTGGAACTGCAATACAGCTCACATCGGCATCGGCATCGACATCGACATCGAGCGAGCTGCTGTTACTAGTACGTGACTACACTCACATTGTGTCCTTGTACCAGCAAACCCTGTCCTGGTCCAGTACGGTGCTCAAAATGACGGTTGTCCAAGCAGTCAAAGATGCCGTCGGTCTGGGCGACAGTCACGGTATGCGCAGCCTCTTCCACTGATCCCGCACTGCAGGGTAGCATACCGGAACCGCCTGCGACTAACACATTCTGTTTGTGCCACAGCTGCAGCTCCGGCCCCGGCTTCTAGGGAAGCAATGTCCGAGGCTAGATTACCGCTGGCCTACCGTGACAGCTGTGCGAACCTCCTGATCCCGCTGAACAAATGCCGACACGAAGAATGGTATATGCCGTGGAAGTGCGAGGTGAGTTGCGATTGCATGCGGACAGACAACGCAGGTTCCGGGACAATATGCTGATGGTTGGGTTGCTTGGGCATTGCAGACCGAACGACATAGCTACGAGAAATGCCAGTACGAAGAGTTCAAGAAGCGAGTCGCCAAAATGGACGAACTCCGGGCCTCGAAAGCAGCTGAGACCAGTGCTTAAAGACAGACCAGGTCGGAAGGGCGTTCTGAAATACGGTTGAATCAAAATCGACAGCGACGGGCCAATCCCACTGTACATATCGTGAAGGCAGGCTTCTCGGGGTCTGCGGCGCATTTAAAAGGTGCGATGCAAGAATGAGACCAAACTCGGTCGGCTGGGAGGACCGAGGCAGATGCCGCATCGGAATGAACGGATATTGCAGTACGAGAATCTTCACAAGCAGGTGAATGCTGTCTCGTGGAGAGAACGATTGGAAGCGTGGCGAAGACGAGGTATTTGCTGCTGTCGAAACGGCCTCACGCCGTGGTCAATCGATGTAATAATACTCCCTCGTTGCCTTCAGCGATGCCACCTATCTAGCAACAATATATCCTGCCAGTTCAGTCATCTCAATGGGTCGAGTCTCGAGTACTTGACACTATTGAGCAGCGATTTCAAGGCCCTGTAACGAATCAGTGATCAGTCGTATTGTGAACCCCCCACGCTCGTGAATCCAAGCACTAGGATTTGGCGTAGATGGTGTGATTCCCTTTGGAGAGGAGATTCCCGATGCTACATCCTACTGCACGATCACTGCTTGAGCCTCGTGCCGGATGGCTCGCTCAATAAGGGCATCTTCTTCTCTTGTCGTCCCGAGCGGATAATCGTGTGGTCCACACCATCGTGTCTCCTGCAGCAGTTGTGCTACGACGAGTGTGTTGTCGATAAGGGCCTCAGCGACGTGATGACTAATTCTCCAGTGGCCCGCGCAGTTGTGCCTTTCACCCACATCCCGCTTTTTCTCTCCTCCAGGCCCGACCTCTTTTTGTTCAAGTTGTATATACTTCTTCGATCGCTTTTCCTCTAACTCTAAGAGTCAGCCTCGATCTTCGCAGCCAATCGAACCCCCGGTCGGCGCGTCCGATCCCGCGCCTCCAGACTCCCCCAGCCGAGCCTGCAGAGTGACCGGCATTCGAGGGAAGATTCTCTTATCGGGGAAAAATTGCGACGACTTCAACGTCACGGACGGACGAAATTTCCACTAGGCAAACGACATTGACGGGGAGAATAGTAACAAGAATACTGTGAACTTCTCGAACCCTTCATTCATCATACACATACAGTTGCATTCAGCATAACATCCATGGCGTCTTCTCTACGACCTTGACAGCTTCGACGTGCACTCGACCTGTCCCACCCCCAATCGCAAGAGGGCCGACTTCCTCCCGATGGGATTAATTTCTTTCTCTGGTCATTGTTCTGCATATATCGGCCGACACCAAGCATACTGGGCTAGTTGAGGGGCATTTTTGAGCATGGGTCTCTTGTAGGTCCATGGTGTATTCAAGGTTCATCTCCGATTCTCACAGTCACGCAGAGCATTGGGCACGCCTTTGACCTGGCCGGAAGCGAAGAAAGCCGCGAATCAAGTCAGGGAATGGGGCATTGAGGTGAGAAGGAGTCACTCCCACGACATCTCAGTCGCGTGCACTCAGGACTGATCTTGTCGTAGCAATTACTCAATATATGGCGCAAGGCTAAAGTGAAGGAGCGGGATATGCTCCTCTGGGGCGACGAGGTATGCTTTCCCCGTCATCAACGCAGACAGGATGATAGTTGTATTAAACTGCCCTCCAGATTGAATATCTCGTCGTCTCGATCGACGAGGGCCAGAAAAAGGTTCGACTGTCGTTATGCCAGGCCGACGTCTTGAAAGCGCTGGCCCGAGACACAGAGCTGGCCAAGACAGACTCGATGGTCCCGGACCTACAAGAAGACGCTGTGTAAGTTGTCGACCTCAAGATCACCCTCAGATGGCCTCCTGCTAACATAGTTGATCCAGCAAAAGCGGCAAACTCCCGACTTTCCATCCCGAATTCGGTCGGTTCATGCTCGAAGCCACGCCCGGGAAACCATGGGGGATCGGTTTCAAGGACTTGTTAGATGTCGAGTCCAACATGAAGATGCGGCGAGTCATTGCCAAAAACCACATGGACCCGGATCAGTACCCCATCACTCTGACAACATTCCCTCGGCTGGGGACGCGAGACGACTATATAACGCCATATTACCCACCCTCGGGACCCATGTTACGATCACAATTCGTCCCGGACGAGATCGCCAACCCACACATCCGCTTCCCGACGTTGGCGGCAAACATCCGCGCGCGACGAGGCCGAAAAGTCGAGATCAACGTGCCCGTCTTCCACGACAAGAACACTCCCAACCCGTTCAGCGATCCGACCGTCAACTACGACCTGCACAACTGGCCCGAGGACGACGACGTGCGCAACGGCGCGGTCAAGCCGGACTGCGTATACATGGACGCCATGGCCTTCGGGATGGGCAGCTGCTGTCTACAAATCACCTTCCAGGCCAAGAACATCCGCGAAGGCCGCATGCTGTACGACCAGCTCTCCCCTCTGGGCCCGATCCTGCTGGCCCTGACCGCCGCCACGCCCATCTACAAAGGATTTCTGGTCGACACGGATGTGCGATGGAACCAGATCTCGCGCTCCGTCGACGACCGCACGCGCGAAGAGTTGGGCGAAGCGCCGCTCAAGAATGACCGCTGGCGGATCCCCAAGTCGCGCTACGCCAGCAACAGCACGTACATCGCCCAAGACCCGCGCTTGCGCCCGGAATACATGGACCCGCAGCTGATCGTGGACGAGGCGCTCAAGCAGAAACTGCTGGACGGAGGCATGGACGAGCTTCTCGCGACGCACTTTGCCCACCTGTTCATCCGGGACCCGATCGTTATCTTCTCCGAAGACCTGAAGCAGCTGGACCCGGAAGGGTCGAACCATTTCGAAAACATCCAGAGCACCAACTGGCAGCACATGCGGTTCAAGCCGCCGCCGCCGGACGCGGACATCGGATGGCGCGTCGAGTTCCGCAGCATGGAGATCCAGATGACGGACTTTGAGAACGCCGCGTTCAGCATCTTCATCGTCCTCGTCACCCGGGCCATCTTGAGCTTCGATCTGAACTTCTACATCCCCATCCCGCGCACCACGGAGAACATGGAGACCGCACACATTCGCGATGCCGTCATGACGCAGAAATTCTGGTTCCGAAAGGATCCCTTCCCCAGAAGAAGTCCGAGGCAGTCTCCCGTGTTGAACGGGATCAGTGAGCCGGCTGGGTCGCACGACTTGAATCAAAACCATACTGCCATGGATCTTAACACCGCCACTCCAATTGCCGCTACCACGCCCGCGCCTATACCGACAACAACAGCGACACCGACATCCACAAGTACAAGTGCAACGACAAGCACAAGTGCATCCACCACTCGCCCGACAACCCCATACGCCGCAAAAGACACTTCTCCTTCCCTCGGTCCCGTCGAGGACGAATATACATTAATGACCATTGACGAAATCATCAACGGGAGCAACAACAAGAACACCCAGAGTCAAGATGAATCTGAATCTGAATCTCAAAGTGACGGTGACACTGACACTGACGGGTTCCCCGGTCTGATCCCCTTAGTCGAATCCTACCTCGACAGCGTCAACATCGACGTCAGCACCCGCTGCGACCTGGAACGCTATCTCGACCTGATCCGCAAACGCGCCAACGGCACCTTCTGGACGGGCGCCAAGTGGCTGCGCGAATTCGTGCGCGCGCATCCCGACTACCGCTTCGATAGTGCCGTCAGTGAGAGCGTCGTGTATGATCTGTTCCAGGCCGTCGAGGAGGTGGGCAGGACGGAAGGGAGGAATGGGACAACGGGGTGGGAGATGTTTACTGCCAAGGAGAGACGGAGGGGGTTGGATGATTAGGTAGATGTGGATTTTTGGTTATGTCTAGTTTTCCTTCTTTGGAAAGGGAAGGGCAAACATCAACATCAACATTATAAAAAGAGCATTGCAATACTAGTGACTAATCAAAGTCACTACCTTTAGATTTATTGTTTCTGAGCTTGAAGTCGTGGTGGTGTTGGTTTAAGTGGAGGTGGAGGTGGTGATAGAGGTGGTGATAGAGGTGGTGATAGAGGTGGTGATAGAGGTGGTGATAGAGGTGGTGATAGAGGTGGTGATAGAGGTGGTGATAGAGGTGG